AGAAATAAAATATAACTTTATATAAAGAATCTTAGAATAAAATAACTAAGTAAGAAACTAGATTACTTATAAGTTAGCCTATTTAAAATATAAAGATAAAAAAGATTTATTAATTATAAACTAGAATTATTAAATAATATTAAAATATATTTAATATTTTATATATTACTTTTAAAAAGCAAAAAACACTAAACTAATTTTAATATTATTTAGATATAAACCTAAAGAAAATAATACTTTTAAAGTTAAAAAAATATTAAAAGAATAATATAATTAATACTTTATTAAATAGAAAAACTATTTAAAAGAAGAAAATATATAAAAGTTAAAAAAATATTTACTACTTAACTATATAAGGAAGCTTTAATACTTCTAATAGTATTAATAATAAAAGTAAATAAAGCATTTTGTTATTATTAAATTAATTATAAAAAAAAATTAAAATTATTAAAAAAAAAAAAATTACTAATTGCTAGATTTAATTTAAAAGTTAAAATAGATAGATATATATTATTAGATTACTATTTTTACTTTTTTTTATAATATTTATCTTTTTCTATTTCTAAAATATTTTTTATATTTAGATTTTTTAGTTAATTTAGTTTTTTTAAATAAAATTATTTTATTTTATAAATATATAATAGCTTAAAATAAATAGCTAGTTTTTATTTATCTAAATTATTAAAAATATTATATTACTTATTTATTTTTTTCTTAAAAAAAACTAAATTATATTTTTTATTATATTTATTATATTTAATATAATAAACTAATTAATTAGTTTTTATATATTTAGAGTTTTAAGAAATATAGTTTTTATAGCAATATATAATAATATAATAATTATAATTTTTTTTTTAGAAGTATAATAATAATATTAAATATTATTATTAATAGATTATATAATATAATTAAAAGAATTATATAATAAAGAAAATTAATAACTAAGGACAATTATATTAAAGAGGGAAATAATATTATAATTTTATATAATAAATATAATTAAATAAATATTATAAAATAAAAACTATAACTATATTAGATTATAAAAAAAATAATTAAAAAAAAAATAGCTAAAGTACTTAAGTATATTTAAATACTAAAAGTACTAAGTAACTTTTAAATTAAATATACTTAAAAAGATTAAAAATTAAATATTATTAAGTAAATTAAATAAAATTATATATATAAAATTTTTTATTCTTTTTTCTAAATAGATTTTTTTATATTTAATATAAGTTTTATTTTTTACTATAAAATTTAAAATAATTATAACTTAATTTTATTTCGCTATTTATTTTTATTTATATTCTAATTATTATTTATATTTTAAAAGAATTAACTTATTAACTTGTAGTTAAATTAGCTAATATTATTTACTAGTTTAAATACTAGGGTTATAATAATAAATAAACCTTTAAAAGGCTTTAATTAAACTTTTAGTAAACCTTAAATAAACCTTAAACTAGACTCTTTATTAAACTTTATTAAAAATATAATTAAAGTTTATTTAAAAAGACTTTAAAATAAGTTTTTTTAAGTTTTATTTAAAGTTTTTTTAAGTTTATTTTAAAAATCTATAGTTTTTCCCTAAGATATAAAAGTATTAAAAAAATTAAAAAGTTAAAGCTTTTATAATTTAATAAGTTTATTTTTTTTATTTTATTACTAAGTTTACTTTAATAAGTTTAAAGCTTTAAAAGTAAATAAAATTTATTAATAAATTTAATTATAAAAAGTCTTTACTTTTAGAAAAAATAATAAGTTTAACTTATTAAGTTTTATTAAATTAATATTAAGAAAATAAACTACTTATATATAGGCGCTAGTATCTATTAGCTTCACTAACCCTAAGCGCTAGGTAACTAATATATATATTTTAGTTAGATTTCTTATAAAAAGGAATTTTTAATAATTAGTTTTTTAAATAATTTAAATATTATTTTATATTCCTTAGAATACTAGTACTCCGCTAGCTATAGTATTATATTAAGCTATTTAATAGGTATATACTTAATTAATTTATAATAATTATTATTAATAATTATATTAGTGTGGTGGCGATTTGCCTCAAAGGTAAGTTAATAACTAAATACGCTAGCTGCCTTTGCCGAGGCCCTAGATCGAAGGATCGCAAACTCTGATCTTATGCTTCAATTGTGACAGATTAAAGTGAGATTGTTTTGACCGTCTTTCAACGTGACCATGAAGCAAGCAAGTGAGGATGTGCAAAGCTAGATCAAGACATTCAGTACATGTAAGAGGGATGGTTCTCTCTTCCAATGAGAGGACCGTCGGTAGCTGACTGACCTGAACAAGCATGACGCATCACGAAAACTGATCCTGTCCTGAACCTCTAAACGATCTCGACCGATTCCCTCTACGTCTCCTTTTTGGCTATCTAACCCAGACCCGTGGGATGTTGCAGGAGCAGAGAAGGTTATCGACTACATCAGGCCGAGATGGGAAACTATAGAAATCGTCATTACCAACCATCATTAGACGAGGAGTTGGAAACACCATGCGCAACAATCATGTAGTGCTTGGCTAACTTACAGATTCACAAATCGAGTAAAATGTCTCGGTAAGGCGACTATTGACGCTCAAAGGCATTGGGATCAGCAAGGAAGCTTCAATCCTAGTCAGCTTCGCCTGTATGAGCATATTACCAAACCGCGTATAGATTTCGTAGCCGCTGTTTGGGGTTTAGCAACACAGGGTCACGTTAGGAAGGGGCCAGGGGAGCGAAAAGAAGCACAGTGATGCGCGTTAGCATCAGATTCCGGGATACATTATTGCGAGACCTTGGAAAAGAGCAACACGTCAGGATCGTCGGGAGATGCTTGTCTATGACTGGCTATACTCCATCCGTCCAGCACATCAGGCAGAGATGGTTTTTACCGCAACAGCCGACACCGTTAGTGCATATGACTTGCAATCATGGGTCAATGTCATGCTTAAACGATGACTATTTCTAAGAACCATGATATAATGGCATCATTGGATACGAATAAACTCAATCGGCGATAACAAGTTGATCAAATTGTTGACCCTAGCAATTTGTCACCGCAAAGAAGTCGATCTCTGGCGATTTACACTCACGAAGTCAACGATCGCTTCGCACCCCCTGTCATGATACATAGCTGCCGCTAAGACTCTCGCCTTTAAGTCGAAAATGTCAGTCGGGCCAACTCACGTTGTCAGGACGTTTGGCTTTTTCTGCCTCGCTCTTGAAGTTCTGCAGGAGATTTAAATACATCGCCTCTACAATCTCCTCTGGGACGAGATCGACTATCCTTTGTGCATCTTTTCCAGAGTTTGCCCACCCTCAGCCAACACAGAGGGGGCTGAATCGCCAGACCAATTTTCACTGTGCGAGAATACTACCTATCATCCATTCGTCACAGCAACTAGGTGACGAATTTGAGGAATACCTATGTACAGATTGCATTCTATGGTCATGGTCCGACATGGAATGTAGCCACAGCATCAATTCGGCTGGGAATTCTCTTCGAAATGTATGGGATCCAAAATGCGCCTTTCTCGGGGCACACTCTCAATACGGAAGAGTGGTTCAATGGGAAGACCAGTGTTCATTCCATTTGAATCTTTTTGCCAAACCTTCACAACATCTATTCAGATATCAATTCCAGAATCTGTGAACTCGCCACACTGAGTTTGAGATTTATGCTAGGAGTCGCAAGGGATTGATCATTTCGGTCAGATCGCCTACATCAACGGGGTGGATTCCGCCATAGGAGAAACGCTGATAGACCCTAAGACACTGACTTTCAAACTTGGTGAAGAAATCATCAACAACGATCGTACTCTGGCTCAGATCGAGGGAGTCGCAGAACTCATGGGAGATTCTAGAACAAATTTACGATTTTACATACTAAGCAAGCTATCTTAACAAGACTTTCTCGAAAGCAGCGACGACTCGGTCTACAGAATCTGGTATCTGACTGTCTCGTCGTGCTTCTAAAGCAATTCACGAGCTTGATATTCGCATGCTCCGGATGGTTTCGCAACGGTCGAGGACACTTCGCAGGCTTTGAATCCAAGCTCCTTGTCGGCCCACCCGTGAATAGCCAGGACAGATACAGAAGGCAGTAAAGCACTCCCTGGTGCAGGTATTTTCCTGAGACGATGACCTCCTCGAAAATGATCTTAGAACGACGACTCTAAACCTTTTACCATTTACAAGTGCTACGTGTCGTTTGCTTGGCATCTTCCCATCCTGTTTCGCTCTTGTGTGTGCTCAAGCTTGACCCTTCTCAATCAATCAGTGAACATGTGTTTTGAATACGCGGCTCATGTGCCCCCATTTCTTTGTTTGGGGTCGTGAAGATAAGCAAAGGACCTTGCCTTTTTGACACAGCACCAAAGATGTTTCAACATAGCATGGATCTGCAAAAGGAGTGGGTGGCATCTACTGAAGTTTTCGCCCCTCTTGAACAAGTGTGAAAAGCCAGGTTGGCCGTATTTGATTGGGACTGCAGCCGCTGTGGTTTGGGGGCTGCGAGGCCCACGCTTGCCCGAGCCGCCCTAAAAATTTGTCAAGAATGGCGTCGGACTCTTGAAGCTCTCCTTCAGCAGTTGATTTGATCTATAAAGCATTGCCCCTGATCTGCAACCTCTTGACAGAAACAGGATGTTGTACGGATGATCGAGAAAACACGATGTGCTATTGATAGATCTCATGCTCGAGTATCTCAAAGTCAACGACCGTTGAAACAAAAAGACCGACTCGGGCGGTAATTTAACGGGGCGACTGGGCTCAAATTATCACATTGTGGACAATTCGCCCCTTCTGATCGTTTCATGCCAACCAATGTTTCCTAATGCAGACTCAAGGCTGAGATGTTCGGGTCTTACCATGCTGCCGTCGTCCTTTCTCTGCTTCTTCACTCGTATGTTTTAATCAAGGTCTCCTCTAAGTGCGCTTGCGCATTACCCTGCAGTTGCTTTACTTCTTTGAACAGTATAAACTTCAAAGTATGAGGCTCAAAGCTCGACAAAAGCCGGCAAATATATCATCCGACGACTTTTTGCGCCGCTCCTTTCACGCAGGTACGCGTGAACTTATCGTTGGAGCCACTTCATGGTCCACTGATTTTGTTCTTAGCGGTCGTCACGAAAACTCACTTGTATATAGATGGTGGCCACTTTGGCTACCTGGAGAATGGCATTTCAAAGTATGACTGGGGTAAGTTCCTTCTTTGCGAAAGGGATTACGGTCGTGTTGAATCTCGCTCTTAGCTTCGACCACATTGTCCCTTGATTTGTCATCGAATTGGACAAACTCAACCGCGACCTTCAGATCCATCGAGAAGCCACCGGGTGCGCCAACGTATCTCGGTGGAGCATTATCATACTACGCCCCAGGAGATGTCATCTATTCAGGTATTGGAGGGAGGTCTGACGACTTCGATAACAGTTATAGACCTCAGAATCCTACCCCGCCAGCTTTATGGTCTTTAAAGCCGGACGACGACGGTGGCGGGACATGGTCTCGAGTACTAGACTCGAGCTCGCCTGCATTGAAAAGTCTGAGCAGGCCAGTGGATGCTGCAGTCGCCGCAGGTCCAAAGCAGGCTTGGTTCCTTGGAGGCGTTGGTCTCGATACCCATACCTTAGGAGGAATGCTACAGTTTGACATGGACACTCGACAATTCAGCAACATCACCAAATCACCATTTGACGATATTTGGCGTGGCAAATTAGAGTATATTTCTGTCTACGGTACAGAAGGAATACTAGTTGCTTTCTCTGGCGCAAAGCCATCTGGGTTAATCGATTTCATCTCTGTAGAAGTTTTTGACATAACAACGCAAGAATGGTATAACCAGACGACGACGGGGAACCCGCCTTTGCCCAGAAAAGATCACTGTGTAGCAGGCATTGCGTCGAGCGAGCAGACTTACGAAATCTTCGTCTACGGAGGTTATGGCGGAAAGCAAGGTAGCGGACAAACGGCATACGATACTATTTCCATTCTTACTCTACCAGCTTTCCAATGGATTTCAGTCCCCTATGTCGCGCAAAGCCCCCGCTTCGGCCATTCTTGTCATCATGTCGGTGGCAGCCAGATTCTAGTGGTAGGTGGGGGTGACCCGTCAATAGAGGTGAGCTCGGACCAATCGTCAGATATGTATCAAGGGGACATAAGAAGCGAGGACCCCAACAGGCAAGGTCTTGGTGTATTTGAAATGTCAAGCTTGATGTGGAATGATCATTATGACGCCTCGACACCGGCTTACACACAGGCTGTCAGCGTCAAGAACTATTATGATGGCGCTGGGGAGTAAGCATGCATCAGCCTCTGAAATATGGCATAATTGATGTTTGGCAGTTCCTACAAAGCAGGCCTTAGTCTATCAGTCTCGTCGCTAATGCAAGACGCACACTTTTCCCCATCTAGTAAGTGTGCTGCTTACTAGGACATGCAGTCGCTAATTTGGCAGCCACAACATCAATTCCAATTACCCCCACCGGAGCCACACAACCCCCTAAGCCCAACAATCAATCGAGAAAGAAGGGCGCCGTAGCAAGCGCCGCCATAGGCGGCATCGTAGCGCTCCTTCTCATTCTAGGCCTCAGTATCTTTCTGAGTCGGCTGCGGCGGCGTAAAAGGACAAGTCAGGTGCAAAAGCTGCTGACATCTGAGATGGAAAATGTGCAGAAACAGGCATCAGGCTCTTACGAGTTGCATAATCAGCATCTGCCCAACGAGACAGATGGTAACGCAATCCATGAAGCGGCTTCTGTGCATAGACCAACGCTTGTGGAGATAGGGTGAAGAGAGATGCGTTGAAGGTTGCATTTTTGAAGGGCAATGATGTATATGTAATGGGTATACCCGAACATATATAATTGGGGTTGGAGAAAAAAAAGGTTGTGTTAGATATAGGCAAGATAGCAGGCTTTTCCAACTGTCTTTAGACTTTTGGCTTAGTGGAGATATCAACAGGTTGTGCATCTAGTGTGCTGGTCAGGGGCGGTATCAATCGACAAGTTTGGAAGTTCATAGCTTATTTAAATACCGTATTACCAGATTCAGAATTGCACTCTGGCTAAGCTGACTTGGCTACAACGCCAGATCTCGCCCTCAATACAAAACCCGAGCACTAACGGCACCGCATATGACAGACACGAAGCAACCTAGCCTTTGCGACAGGCATGTGCCTTGCTGATGCTACCTTGACATGTCACTGATCACTGATCGCTAATCGCGGCAGCTGCGCTGAGGACTCTTTTCGCTTATCATGTTTCTTGTAGAGGTCCTTAGAACTACTGCGCAAGCCAGCAACGGCGGGATCCTATTCATAAGCCTTTGTGCCTTCTCAAAATCTACACAACTTGTGTTTCAATGCTTTTAAGAGCTTTAAGATAAACATTTAAAGAAAATTAATGATCTTAAGTACTTATAAATAAATTTAAATATTTAAGCTAAGAAAGATTAAACTTATTTATTAATATAAATAATTAATATAAATATTTAATATAAATATTTATAAAAAAAATTTATAAAAAAATTTATATTAACTTTATTTTAAGATTTAATTAAGCTTTTTTAATATATAAAATTTATTTTATATATAATTAAAAAGTTATAAAATCTTAAATTAAATTCTAATAATATTAAAATAAATTTTAAATAAAATATTTTAAATATATTATTAAAAACTTAATTCTTAATTAAGTTTAAAAACTATTTTTAATATTAAATTAAAATTTTAAATAAAAATTAATTAAAATATATTTATTTTAAAAAATATATTAAAAATATATTTAAAATAAACTTAAGATAAGCTTAATCTATATTTAAATAAAGTTTAGAATAAATTTTTAAAAATTTATTATAAATAAAATAATAAAAAAATAATTTTAAAATTTTTTTTATTATAATAATATAAAGTTTAATAAAATTATACTAATATAAAGACTTAGAGATAGATATATATTTTTCTAAATTATATAAAAATAAAGTTTATATTCTATAAATATAGTTATATAATCTTAAAACTTTAATTTTTTAATATATTTTTTTAAGTTTTAACTTTAAAAAAATTATAAAATTTTAATTTTAAATAAAAAAGCTTTAGCTTAAAAAGATAAAGTATAAATATTAATTTAATATTATTTTATTTTAGATTTTAAATTAAAATATATTTAAAAAAACTTTAAATTTACTTTAAAAATACTTTTAATAAATATTTTTATAAAAGTAATATTTTTTAAAAAATTACTTTTTATATAAAAACTTCTTTAAAATAAGCTTTTATTAATTAGATTTTAAATAAACTTTATATAAAGTCTAAGTTAAATTTTTCCTAAAAAGTTATATTTAAATATTAATTAAAATATATTTAAAATAATTTTAAGTTAATTTTTAATTTAAATTAAATTTAAACTTTTAATTTAATTTAATTTAACTTTTATAAAATAGAAACTTAGTATTTAAAGTAATTTCTAAATCTTTTTAAACTAAGATTTTAAATAAAAAAACTTTAAAATTTTTTTTATTTTTAAAAATAATTTTTTTTTAATATTAAAATAATTTAATTAAAGTTTTAATTAAATTTTTAAAAAAGTTTTTATAATTAAAATAAGTTAAATAAAATTAAAAATTAATTATAATTAAGATTATTTAATAATTATTTATTAATTAATAAATATTATAAAATATATATAAAATTTTAATATTAAGATTTTAAATAAATAAATAAATAAATATAATATAAAGATTACTTTTATTATAAAAAGTAGATATATACTATAATCTAGATAAGCTTTATAACTAATATAAAAGCTAGTTAGATATTCTAGGAACTAATCAATTAACCAATTAATTAATTATGACCTCTCTTGAAGTATATTATAGTGTTTTTTAATCACCTGTGGTTTGCTCTTGGAAGTCAATAGTCCATGTCGAGAAACACCGATGAGGCTCGCCTGTCGTCGTCACAGTTGCGATCTCTCTTCGATGTGCTGACCCATAATGAATCATATGACGAAATCCAGAATCTCAAGCATTCCAGCGTCATCAGTGATTTTGGACATCCAATACAAACATCAGAGAGGGCGCCTAGTTCGTCGCCTTTGTTACAAAACCTGCTTTGCAGGTTCATCACATCACTCCCCGGCCTTCGCGACGTAACGGCTGAAGCATGGAGTGGCAAAATTGCTGTGCTCGCCTCTGCTTTGGCGGATTGCAATCTTAGCGAAAGCTATGACAAGGGTGCCATTGGGATCCGGAGGACTCTTTCCACGGCAATAGCTTCAATAGTTGAGAGCGTCTCGCGGGGTGTCCTCGGAGGCCTTGCTAAACAACCAGGTGTACCTGGTCGAAAATATGATCCCTCCAATCCAGAAGACGTTCAGACAGCTTGGGACGATCTGCTCCAACAAGCTGTAGAGGGAGACTTGGTAGATGACCTATTTGCAAAAATTGCAGCCACCGACAAGCTTTCTGAGCAGAGTTCTTTAGTACAAAGTGCTCATCAATACATTATTATAACGTTAGTGTCTTGGACCCTCATATGATCCCCAAGGCCTTCTAAATGGAAACCTTCTAACAATAAGCAGGCTTGCTTCTTTCATGCACTATACTCTGATCGTTTCTCCACGCGGCCAGACCATGCTTCCTCTTCTGGTCAGAGCCAACGATTTGCTGCCCTATTTCGTGATACGTCAAACGTTGAAGGTAGGAAATGCGGCATCTATGGTCAATGGTTTAGTCAAGGTTGTCCTGGCAAAGATGAATATGAGTTCTTTCGCTGGCTGGTTTGGAGGCGCGCCATCCGACTCTGGTATGAATCTGCTGCAGTAGTAAGTTCTTCAACCCTCTGTATCTCAGTCTTGCGCACAATTTGGGCATTAGTAAGAAAGCGTACGGCGGTTTCTACCGACTCGATGGAGATTGGCGATCCGAAGGGACTGGTCAAGGCGCTGCCGTAATACTCTGTAACGTCTAGTATCTCTTTTTGATCGCTTATCAAGTACATTGTCTCTTTAGTTTGAAATGTGACCCCTGATTGCAGTAATCAAATTCAATCATTAACGGCTTGAAGTAGATTGATGGTAGACGAGAAAGATTTACTGATTTAGAATAGCATCATATCTACGGTCCTGACTTGGGACGTCAACGTCTTAAAGAAGAGGGCAAGTAGTGTCGAAAAGCAACAGGGCACGCTTACCACCTCTGACCTGGTTGCCATCCGCGAGTATTGCCACATGTCTCACGAAGACCAACAAGTGATAAGGGATCATAGCAGTAGGTCCATCTTCCATCTCTAATTCCAAGAAGATCCAAGACAATTGTTGATCGCACGACTTTAGCTTCAGATCAAAGTTCTGTGATCAAAGCAATCTTCCGGCACGGTGGCAAAGACAACTATATTGACACTGAAGGACACAAGAAAGCACTAGAATATCTGGCAATTCAGCTTTCCATTAGCGACCGAGACAAACTGATCCAAAGTCTCTGCAACCGCCAACCGGATATACTTACGTCGACGATTCGTATAGTCGTCGCTGCATACGAGCCAATCATTAGAAGCCTTCATAAAGCCGTCAATCTAAGTGATGGAGTTCACGATATGCAACAATTTATGTCTGATCTGATTGACTTGGCAAGAGTTGACTGTAGGACTGCCGCTAAGACGCCTACTGTCGAGGACTTTTGCATCCTATTGCAAAAGCACTCAGAGAGCTCCCATAGATTTCTGCATCAAATACTCAAAAATAGCCCTCAATCGAGGCAAATGTATTTAGAATATAGCCACCTCGCTTTGTCTCAATACAAATGCAAAGGTCGTCAGGGAGCCGACGACCAAGCAAGTGGTGCAGGTGACATGTCAGTCGACCTGCAGGATCTTTACACATCTCTATCCCCTGAAGCTAAGGCTACTGTAAGCGAGGAGCTAGAGCACTACACACATTACCTATACACGCTGCAGATCAAATCCTCAGGAAAGCTGACCGCCGTGGTCGAAAACCTTGCCAAAGAGACCTCAGAAACAAAGTTAGGCCCTGGAATCTTTCTAGCCAAATGGCAAGCATTGATCGATGCAACGCCCATCACACCCGAATACATGGAGGCGCCTGTGCGGACTGCAAACAGCAAGAGTGTCAAGGACGCAACGGCGATTGATACAGATGGAGGAAATAGAGGTCTTCTAGCCAGCCAACACAATGAGCAGGACGAGTACCCAGCCCAGCCCAGCTGTAGTGAAACCGTTCGCTTATTGGGGTTGGGTTTTCGACAAAGATTAGTTCAATTGGGCAAGCCTTGATATGTATTGTGGATAAGGTAAGGAACAACAAAAGCTGCTCGAGAGCGACAACGATCTATGAACAATGGGGCGTGGACATTCAAGATTTCAATGTCTTCAAGGTCAAAATCCTGAACCTAAGATTGTTGCCCAGCAAAACAAGTAGACCTAGCCTTTCGAGCATTTCCGAACATTATGCGGCAAAGCTATATCTTACATATCAGATGTGAAACTCATCAACCCATGTTGATCAATGAGAGAAGCATTCGATGATTCTTCTCAATTAACGAAGCGATGCGATAATGCTCATATCTGCAGTCTTGCGACCCACAGCTGTAGCAGACATTCCTGGGATTTAGCCAAGTTTTGTCGGAAGATACGCTGCCCCCCACAGCTAACACAGAGTGAATAGCTCCGTAGGATATGCGAAAGGGTAAGATAATGACTGCTGACGCATCAGATAGGCCTCCTAAACTTCGAATGGTACGCCTTTCATTCCATGGATCGATTGCTGGCTCTTTGTCGGTCACACGCTTGCAGCTCCTGGATGTGCTGCTTTCAGTCGCGAACAAAGGCAAGTTGAGGAGACCGTCACCTGGATTTGACTTGACACCTTCACCACCTCGTGGTGATAATTAAACGTGGACTCAACACAGGATGGATGGTCTGTCGCTGCTCTATGAGCACGAGAACTGTATCAAGGACCGTGCTATTGCAGACTGGTGGGAACCACCTTCTCCTTACCGATATGGCACAAGCTGCTCTTGGTGAAAGTACCGCCGCGTCGATTCAATGCAACACTACCTTTTCACCGGGAACCCCCGGGGATTGGACAATTGCGGTCGTCTGTCAGCAGAATGAATCACCTCCTACCTTACTGGTGTTCCTTATGCTCTTCACGTTCCGATACACACGTCTTTTAGTCAACTCTGTCTCCTACCTATGCTACTTGCCTACACCAATTCCTTCGAAGCCAAGCTATACAGCCAGAGATGTCACGGTCATCGTTCCTTCAGTCGAACCATTTGGAAGGACGTTCGAGAATATCCTACAGCGAATACTCAAGAACAGACCTGCTAGTGTTATCGTGGCTGCGGCAGGACATCAAAGGAAATGGAAGCCCTTGGCAAATTGTTTCTGCTACCGTGGTGTTTCTGTTGTCAGCGTACAAGCTCCTAGCAAGAGACGCCAGATCTGTGAGGCACTCTCGAAGGTACTGATTTCCAATAAGTTTAAGTGTAGCGCGCATCTGTTGTGCCAGCGAATCGGCTCTCTTCACCAATCTTTACCAGAAGCAGTCTGACATGTAACCTTCACAGGTAAAGACACCACTTGTAGCACTTTGTGACGACTCTGTCCAATGGCCGGTCACTTTCTTGCAACATTCGCTTGCGCCATTTGAGGAAACGCAGGTTGGAGCTGTAGCGACGAGGAAGCTTGGGAAACGCAATGATCATGGATGCTTTTCCTGGAAAGGCTTCTGGAATTTCATTGGATGTGTATACCTTGAGCGGCGTAATTTTGAGCATGCCGCAGTCAATAACATAGACGGGGGTGTTTCCACGCTCTCTGGACGATCTTTCGTGGCCCGAACAGAGATTCTTGCCGACCTCGCATATCAGAAGGCATACTTGAACGAATGTTTTGGCAAGTCCGGTCCTCTTAACGCAGGAGAGGATAAATTTACCACCACTTGGATTATGGACAAAGGCTGGAATATAAAGGTGCAGCACTCTGAAGAGGCAACCATGGTCACAGAACTGGGCACTTACCCAAAGTATTTGCGGCAATCTCTTAGGTGGTCGCGCACTAGCTGGAGGAGCAATCTTCGCCGCCTGTTCATGGAGCCTCACAAGGTAATCAAAAAGCCTTGGAGCTTCTATGCCGTCCATCTCCAGGGCTTAACCAATTTTCCTCTTTTCTGGGACCTAGCTTTGATTTTCACGCTCTGGGGCGGTCTGGAGAAGCTAGAGTCGCGCCGTCAAACCTCAGCTCTGGCTGTCCTGATCGGCTGGACGGCCATCTCCAAGCTTGTCAAACTCATGCCACATTTCCAAAGATGTCCAGGTGATATCGTGTACTTTCCGGGATATCTCTTGTTTGTGTATTACTGTACCTTTCAAAAATTATACACGCTCTTTACCTGCTACGACATTTCTTGGGGGAGCAGATCCGGCATCGACAATTTCACAGCGGATCGAGCCAAGTAGAGTGAACAAAAATCCCCCAATCTAGACTGAGCTGTACAGATAGCGGAAAGGGTTTGGCCGAACGGATTACGTTGGCGTGTGGTATGGTACCGGTGTGCTCCTCGCGAAAGACACTTTGAATGATAGACGTGGAACGTGAATTTCGCGATACCTTTGTAGGGACGATGGGTGCCCATTATATCGATCAAAAGTTTCACCTGGAATGCATTCCTATGTCCTAGAATTTCTTCCGGAAAAGTTATAATTGATGCTTCCTGATAGCGGACATTGCCCTTGTGGCACAAACATCTCTGTCATCGCATTTATGGCTTCCCTTGCTCAAATATACACTCCCTCGACAGACATCACTCCTTGTCAAAGGCTGCCTCTTGCAGCCTGAAGGTTGGCATCTGACTTGGTAGTCAACAGTAGCACATGTAAATACCGTCCGCCCTACAGACTTAATCTGGTAGTGTTATGTGCGTGGCATAGTAGTCCGAGAGGCCCAATGAGCCCATGACGGAGGACGCTATCAATAAATCTCCCTGATAACTTCAAGGCACGGCGACAGCTCGGCCAATGCCTTCCGTGACGGCGGCATGCTTAGAATAGGTCGAGTATTGGATTATGCAGGCGCTGGTGATTCGACCACGGACATGAAGATCTTTAGTTGCTGCTTTTCCGAGAAGAGCATCGATCGCTGGTTGCAGACACCAATTTGAGGTCACTCCTAAGTTTTGTCCACCTGGCGTCAGCACAACAACGCCGTCTCCGATGCCTGTATGTACCGCTGCAAATAAGGCTTTCGAAGCCGGACTTGTCGACTAAAAATGGCGGAGGAAATTTGCTAATACTCGAGACAAGTGAGACAGGTATTGTACCGTTAATATTGCTACCTCACATGACAAGGGGGAGAGACCGGAAGTCAATTGCGGACCGGGTTGGTTCTTTTCAATGACGAGGGTCAGCGACCGTGCGTTGAAAGGAAAGGAATAGATGGTACTTCCGTTGTCTACCCAATGGACTGCGATTAGTAGGAACGGTGCGTACTAGAAACAACGCTTGTTGTTCCATTCATCAAGCTGATTGTAGGTCAAGAAAGTCCTGCTAAAATGGCCTGCTTATTCAAGGAACCTCTAAAAATGGTCACGGTGGCGGAGCATGTGGTCCCCTTATGCCACAGATTTTACTTCAACCCTTGCTGCATTTACACAGCCGTCACAATAGATGTTCTACGCCATGCATGCAGGCGAGATATTGCAATACACGAGTGTGGCTAGATTCGTCCATGTGGATCATTCGAAGCCGTCACTATCAACCACTGAAAGCGTTGATGCATGTCTCTGATGGCCAGTCTTCACATAGGACTTCTGTGGCTCAACAGGATTCCAATGGCTTAAGCCTGTCCGTAGTGGGTCAGCGCGACTGACAAAGGCATCCAATTGTTCCTCTTGGACGGAAGAGAAGTGATCTCGAGCCTCCGTACCGTCAGGACCACCGGATTCGTCGCTGAGTTGAACATGGCCAATGCTGTGTGATAGACTAGCCCAGAGAGGTTGCATGCTTGGGAATGGAAGACTACTCGAGTCTACTTTCGAAAGTTGAAATAATTTGTTGGCTGCCGCAACTCGCGATTCCGCTTGAGATGATCTACCCAGCCGTGCCCAAGACAATGCAGCTGTGACATTCCATAGACCTGCCTGTCTTCTTCGGTCTGCCTGAGTCGTAGAACTATAGAGCCTCGAACTATAGTAATCTGCCATCCTTTCCGCTGTCAAGGCTTGCACGCTTGGACTGAGAATTGATAGCTCCAGCAGTTGACCAGCCCACTTCGCCGCATGATCCGCTGCAGATGGACCGCGATCGAATAAAAGCTCAGTAGCCAAAGTAAGACAGCGGATTGCTCCTGTTGGTAGAGATGACCGAGTCAGGTAAGAGTATACTGCTGCATCCAAGAACGAATCGATCGTCTCTGAGCGACTTCTCGACTGCTGCTGGTGCAGTAGCAAAGATGATAAAGCTGCACCATCGTTGGCGGCAGCATGGTAGATCCAGGCTTTATCGTGAGCGAAGTCTGAGCGAAGAGTGTCAAAAGTTGTGTGAGACAATTTGTAATCTCGTAACATGATAGCGTAGTCAGCCATTTGGCGCATAATGATTTCCGGAGATTCAGGGGGATAGAATCCTAATTGAGCATTATAATTACTTTTGTTGTTATTGCCTCCATTGTTACTATTTGCTTTGGAGGAGCCAAAACCTGCCCAACGTTTAGACATTGACATAAAGCGGCCGCCTAAACCACGGCGCCTCGAGGCAACCTGGTCATTCCAAGTCATGACGCGGCTTTCCATGAAAGGTACAATGGATTGCGTGACCATCTCTCTAATCAGTGAATTAATTGCAGTAGCGTCTGACTCAAAAATGCATTGCCCAATGCCATCGGTATCCCCTGTAACCACGGAACCCCGTCAGTACGCGGAAGAATATTGCATGAGGACGACTGAATTACCATCATTTTGCACGTCTCTCAACCTTTCGCTTGCTGAACGCCATTCACACTGAGGTACACGGTAGCTGTCGTCGTCACTTGGTACGCATTGTGAGCTTCGAAGCCGAAGTAGATGACAGTGAAGCCCGAAGTGCCGTTTCATAAGATCAAAAAGAGCTGTTGACTTCGCAATATCGTCGTTGTCTTCATCATGGATCAGGATATAGTACCTCAGGTATTCGACTCCCGCCCAAGGAGGAATCTTGGGGTTACCGCGACCTGTTTGGGCATACAGTTGACGTAGGATCTCTATAGGAGCTCGACTGCGGGAGCTTACAGCTACCAGACAAGCGACTGGATGGGAAAATGTCTCATACGGGACCATCTGGTTACTTGAAATTAAGGCACGAATGTACTCCATAAAAAGCTGCGACGGCTGGCTTGTGCCGGAACGCACGTTTGCATCAAATTCCTCGCTCGGCTCGTCCGAGAAGCTAGCCACCCAGTCTGGAGTGTCCATAAGCTGCCTGAGCAGCTCCTCCATTTCTTGTGGTAAAGGCAGCGCAGATAGTCCGTTGGGTGCAGGTGATGCTTCCCGAGAAGTTCGATGTACGTAGGTCTCATGGTATGCGGACGACACTAAATCCTCCACCTCAGTCAACGAGCTCGGAGGACTGACGAATTTGATTATAAAGTCTTCCCACGCTTTGCTAAGCCCGATGCTGTCCCTGATGATGACTTTTCCCTGTACATGTTCTCCGAAAGGTCTTAATAAGCCAGAAAGACCAGCAGCGATGCCTTTGCCTTGAATGAAGTCTTCCACGTCAGAAGACGCATGAACTGCCACAGTAGGCGCAAAGGACCTGGTGATCAAATTGCGGCATCCGCCATTGAAGGGACCAGAGGCACCACGCCGGCTCAGAGATGGGCTCCTGGAGCGTTCATGACTCCGATCCAGAGAGCCTGCAGAGGAGTATGAAGACGGTCGAGCTAAGGAAGCTGAGCTTGAGAGAATAGGTCTTGTAGTCTTCAGCGACGGCGATCCACTTGTAGCTTTGAGGTCGGAAAGACCAGATGGAGGATTGTGAAAATGGACGGGTGAGCTGCTAGGCTGTGTAAGGCCAGCATCATTCTCCTCAGCTGGTTGGCTCATGAGTAAATACTAGTATTGCCCTCGAGAGCCGCTCGAAAGGTGTTCGGTAGAGATAGGGGCTTCATCAGGAGCGCAATCAGGTCTTATTTGCATCGTATCATGGTTCTGGCGTAGTTATGTCGGACACCTTGCGCTTGTGGGTCAGCATCTCGTCGAGTAGTTACGAATAAGTCTGCTATGTGACGAATGTTTCTTTGATCACTCTCTTCACTGCTTATCGATTGCTCCTGCCAAGACCCAAATATTAACTTCCGTGGCCGTAAACAAATTGCGTCACATTTCTGAACGTCCGCAATCTTCAATGAGAAGCTTCTTATTCGGCTCAAATCCTGGATGTCAAGCCTCCTAAACTTCGTGTTGCACCAGGGGGATGGCTTTAGGCGGTTTGTGATGTCTGCGTCCGGATTTGCTCCCGCTTATGATTCTCTACAGGGCGCGTCTGCCTTCGCTATATTCTGACTTCCAGGTTCAACGGCATTCAAACCCCGACGGCTTTGACGCAAATTACACGGCTTGGATAGATGCTCTGACTAAAGCTGCTCGAGCTGCAGTCCTACCATCCCCAGGCGATACTGCTGATACGCTCTCTATCCAAACTGGAGAGGATCTCCTAAAAGCTTTAGAGACGCCAGAACTGGGTCGCCCTCTCGCTTTAAGAGCGGTAGTTGTAGGTATTATTCCCTCTCAGATGCCTCATATGACTTGGACTAAAGCGCAACGGATAGGATGAAGCAGTGACACAGCGCCGATTGATACCCGAAAATGAGTTCCTGTCATCTCCGAAGAGCATCTATGGTCGACAATGGACTATACAACCATGGTGGCTGCTGTCGTGGGCCTTGAAACAGATCAATATCTTTGGGCCAGGTCATTCTAGTCCGAGTTTACCTGCAAGGCGTTTCGTGGTACTTCAGAATGCGGAGGTATGCAGCATGCGCGAAGGCAACGAAATTCTGATTGTTTACAGGATGCTGGAACAAAAGTATGTTCAAAATTGGGTGGGAAGAAACGGCGCGTTGATCGTATCTATGGGATGAATGCCTTCAAAAACGAGGTGGTGTTGGCTCTTGGCCTGAGAGACGCCATATCGAAAAATGACGTTAACATTCTGCTGAAGCATTTGTCTCGGGACATGAACGCAGTATCTTACGATGATGAAGTAGTGGTCTTCAAAGACTCGGGCGATCATTCCCCAGCGCTCATGGAAGAGGATAAATCCATAGCTTCTCTGAAAGCCCTGATATCGGAACTCCAAGGGCAAGTGGAATTGCTTTCAATGAACATAGAGAAAGCGACAGAAAAATCGAAATCAGCTCTGGATCGAAAGAATCGTGCTTTGGCACTTACATCATTGAAGTCGAAAAGGTTGATTGAGAAGGCGTTGGAACAGCGAGCGAGCACTCTATCTCAGCTAGAAGAGTTATACTTTAAGATCGAGCAAGCAGCTGACCAAGTAATCATGGTCCAGACAATGGAGGCGAGTACTACCGTGCTTCGGAAACTGCAGTCAGAAGTAGGCAACCTTGACCGGGTTCAAGAGATTGTGGAAGATTTGAAAGAGGAAAGTGGTAAAGTTGATGAAATTGGCAATATTATTCAAGAAGCCAACCAGGGCACTAAGATTATTGACGACGATGATGTGGAAGAAGAGCTCGAGGCTATGTTCCAGCAAACGAAAGACAAGCAGACGGTCGGGAGTAGTGAGGCTCTACCCGACGTCACTAAGCTACCGGCACCGCGCGAATCTAAAGACAGTCAAGGATTGACCAAAGAGCGATTTCCATCAAACTCACACAAATCTCTGACGGACGCCGCAGAGAAATTCGATCGCCTTTCGTTGGAGCTTCCACGTGAAGAGAAGGGCGAGCTGCGGAAGGACATGAGCGTTTCTCTGCAGAACCATCAAAGCGTACTTGAGCAAGCGTAACGTGTTGATAGGTCTCGAGTCTTTTGCAGCCTGAAAGAGGGCGAAAAGACTAACTGTATGGCTCTTAGGATCTGATTGCTGACAGCTTCTTGAATATTCGATAACGGGTGACGCTTAATAACGCAGGAAATGAATTCTCTTGACCATCTTCCACTGGCTTGCAGACGTCTTGATGCCTCGAGACTTTTTACGCGTCACACAAACTCGCCCCGGGCTCCGATTCGGTCGAGTACTCCTGGTTTCTGGACCTCAGGCCAGCCATTGACTGCGGCTTGAAACGCTCACTGATAGATAGTGTGCGTGTCTTGATTGATCCTCGATTTTCTGCTGAGTAAGGTCTTCAGTATGCGGTCATCCTTGGTCGACTTTTGGTCTTTGAGAGGAAGATGATGGAGACCCGACGCGTTTAGGCAGTGAAAGGCCATCTGCGTAGACTCTTTCATGAATATCCATGGCATTGCTCCCTTCAAGCATTGTGACATCTTCATTGTTCTCGGGCCGTTGAGCTGCAGATCTATGAGTGTCTGTGCTCGTTTCTTGACGCACAGGTTGCCGTTTTGTCCGGGCCTGTGCTATCAAGTTCTTGAAATTACTTTGATGATTAGATGCCCATGCGTTGCCGTCAAAGTCCTTGCTCATTACAGAAGCGCTGCTCGTCGCAGTACCGTTCGCAAGTTGACGACCGTGGATTTTATCCCAATTGTCCAAGTCTCGCAATAAATTACGCTTTGTTTCTGGAAACTTAGAATCACAATTTGCGTTCACAAGATTTACCCATTCGGTATGTCTCCGAATCACGAGTTGCCTTGGTCCGTTGCTTGGAATACCTAGTTCCTCCATTTTCTTACGCAATGCCCCGTCTTTCAACAATGAATAGTTAATTTGAGGCAAACGTTCCACAGCCTTCGGTGGCCTGGAATCCGGTTTCTGCGCAAAATAAGGCGAGTTCCTGCGACAAATGAGCGCGTAAGCTTGATAGAAACGTCTCCAAAATACCTTGAAGTTGGTTGCGCCTTGGTTGAGTTGCGACTACCGCCATTATGCACGTCCAGATGAGAGTAGACCTGTTCCTCTTTCATTCGCTTATCACAAATCGGACAAGCCGCCAGGCCATCGTCTGGACCAACAGCTTAGTATGTGTTGCAAAACGTCTAAGAGCACCATTCACATACTGGGTTCATCGTTTAGCGCTTGCTGTACAGAGAATTCATCGGCATCAGATTGTGGAGTTGACCTGTGCCCGCGGCGTGATCGTGTAAAGAGTCGTCGAGGTTGGGGCTCTTCTGAATACTCCTCGTCCTCTGCGTCTGTGTCTTCAATCTTTCTCTTTCGATATCTCTCACGCGCTTCACCGTCTGGCTCTCTTGGGCTTTCCGCAAACTTCAAGATAGCCGGTCGGGCCTTGAGAAACGCTTCCACTAGCTCCTGCAGTGCCCAATTTTGTCTCAGCTTCATCATCTGGTCTGGACTTCGACAAGCAGGGCAGATGCCATCTTCTGTTAAGCATCTTCGGATGCAAAGAGAGCAAAAAGTATGTGAACAGGAAGTGATCATAGGTGTTTTGAAGAAGTCTTTGCAAACTTGGCAGTGAAGTGCAGATTCCACGGAGCTGAGTTCAGATACAGGGGTATCTTTCCAGTCTGTAGGATCGGGAACGTCAGACGAGTCATCCATAGACGACACGGCCGTTGCGGGCTGAGAGGTCTAAAAACATCACTTTCAACAACCCAGAGCGTGGTGAATATCTTACCACTGTAATACTAGTGCTGTAATATATACTGACTTGTCGAGATGAAGTAATATCGAAGCGCGTCTCTGACGCGTTGGCAATTTAAGTAGGAGGGTATGCGTATCAAATTATCGGGTGTCATTGAGAACATTCATGATCGCGACACCATGGCCGACTACAAGGCTTATCTTGCAGTGCATGTCATCAATGAAGAGAAAATCGTAAGTCTGAGTTATGCCACATAGAGCTACCCGCATTGCTCAGACAATGTGGCAAGGTATCATACCGTTTATTGGCCCGAGAGATGAAAGTCACGAATAATGCCGCGAAACGAATGCTCTATGACTTTCATTCAAATCAAAACAAGAGGAAGCCAAATTCCGTCCATGCTTGCTATATCATAGATGGATTCCTTAAGCGTGAACCCCAGCCCGCTGTAGATGGGAAAGAGGATGATGGCGAGGACGTTCACATGCAAAGCAGTCCATTCATTAGTAGCTCGATGCCGCAAAATGATGCAGAGGTGGCAAACATCCAAACAAGAACGATCATGCTGGTTAAAGAGGAGCACATGCAAGGTAGGATGAATCGTGAGGGCTATTGACCTTATATGCTTTTTCTAATTTTCCATTCTTCCCTCTCTAGAGGTCCAAGTCAAGTATGAGCAAATCTTTTCAGTCCACATTTACAGCCTTAGTCCCTTCACTGTTCAAGTACGTACCCCCTGCTTCTGACATTGCGTGTGTTCACACATGCCAGAACCTCGAAATACTCTCCGACTGCAACCGCGCCATTACCAAAAGATTTATCACCGAGGATCCTCTTATATTTGGCAAAAAATATGGAGTCATACAAAACAAAAGCGTCAAGGTAAGTCTATTTCCCCCAACAAGTAGACATGCTCTAAGAAACGGCAGCGACGGAAAGGTGGTTGTGCTCCCGAACCGGTGCCAGCGTTCCCAGTCTCAAAACGAGCATCAACATTGGAGAATTCAAAGAGCGAATCAGATAGTCGACCTACGTCCTCGAAAGGGAATCCAGAAGCCATTTCGCCACCCGCTAGCCAGAGCGGCAAAGAAAAAAGCAAAGCCCTAGAGATATCCAAGCCGTTCAGTAGGAACGCCAAATTGGGCGCGGCCAAACCACCAGCCATAAAGCACGAAAAATCCGACATCATGAAAGCCTTCTCGAAACCCAAACCCAGACCGAAAGCCGACGACACAGCTAGCTCTGTAGACTCCGGCGCTGAACAGCCACCGAAAGACTCTAGAGCACAAGCTGACGGTTCGCAGTAAGGAAGTTAATCTCAGGCATTTGGGCTGACCTTTGCAGAACCAATGAAAGATATCTCCTCCGAGTCCGAACATGAAGATGACTTCATCTCCAGCAAGGAGAAGACAGATGCTGGAAGAAAGTCACATGTAGAGCGTGCAGAGCAGCTGCGGAAGATGATGGACGAGGATGGTCAGTCCGACCCTTTGTCTCTTTCCACCCTTCCTGTGCTGCAATCCCCCCTCTGATCCGGTATAGACGAAGAAATGGACGACGCACCCCCAGACTCAGCGGACGAATCACCAAAACCAGTTGCGGAGGAAGACGAGCTGGAACAGCCCGCCGCCAAATCGGCTGAACCGTCTCCAGAGCCTCTCATGACTGTGAGCGGAGGCCGGAGAAGGGGTAGGAGGAAGGTCATGAAAAAGAAGACTATCAAGGATGAAGAGGGGTATTTAGGCACGTCGATTCACTTATTCCTCTGTTGCTTTGATATATCATCATTCCGCAGAAATGATGTCGATGATACAAGCTTTACGGGCTAACTCTTCACAGTGACGAAAGAGGAGCCAGCGTGGGAGTCCTTTTCCGAGGACGAGCCGCCCCCAACAAAGGACAAGACCTTGTCGTCTTCGGCAGCATCAGCGAAAGCGAAAAAGGCGGCGGGAAAGCCAGGGCAAGGAAACATCATGTCGTTCTTTGGAAAGAAGTAGTGTCCTCAAGGCTGTCTTAATTCCCCTTTTCGGCTTCGTGGGCGCCACGAGTACCGGCGCAGTCTCTGAGTTGATCGTCTCCTCATGTTCAGGTCCTGACTGCCTAGTCTTTCTTGAAATTAAGTATGTCATCTCCCCAGGGTTTCGTCGCCCTATGCATGCGGAGCCAAGCCCAACCTCAACCCATCATAGTCAAAAACCACGAACTGGCTCTTGAACATGATATCCCCAAAGATCTGCGGTCCTTGCCCACCATTACTCTGGATACCTCCATAGCACACTACAAAACGCATAAAGTCAGCACTTGTACCCCCTAATCTCATCCTTTCAAGATAGGACATCAACTCACTCTTCCCATCACTAGTGGGCGCGTAATTCACCATCTTCCCCTCCACCACGACCTCATACCCCCCGTCTCCCTCTCCAACCGTAAATCCAAAATCTGGCAACTCCTCCCCACAAGGGAAAACCCATCCGCCATCCCCCTCTACCGCTCCCTGCACGTCCCCATAATAATCCTTCGCAACCTCCGGCTCCAACATGAGCAAGCTACTGCCTGAGTCTGCAATACTCTCCACATTTCCAAACCCCTTGGCCCCCTTGGCCCCACCGCCGACGCGATACCCACCGACCCGAAACCCCCAAAACCCTCGGCTATTATCTACAGGTACATAGTTGATTTCATCGCCTTTGTACGCAATATGGTCAATACTCCCGAATCCGAAATACCCCGGCGTGCCAAACTTCAGGTTGGCGGTGAAGACACCCTTGACCAGTCCCGAACGTGCGTTCTCAAACCATGTCGGTCGCGGATTGGGGACGTAGCCGGCTGGGCAGGAGGAGGATGTACCGATAGCTTTCTGCTCCCCTTCCGCCTTCCCTCCCCCGGTACCATCGCCAGACTTCTGGGAGTCGCCCAGTGTCGCAGAGGTGCAGATGCTATTGGTGCTCTGGAAACCTAGGCCGATAATACCATCGCTGGGGTCGTTCAGGACGCCCGCAGAGAAGTCAGTGGGCAGTTCCAGCGCTTGATTACCGACCGAGATGCCGCCTATGGAGACGGTGTCGAAGGCCACGGAGCCGGTGAGCGAGGTGTCGTCGCCATAGGAGACATTGAAGCTCGCGCCTTTGATGTGGTTGTTCGCTGGAGGTTGGTATAGTGTGTGAGAACCGCGCTCGTGGGACTCGAGCTCGGTGCTGAAGACCCAGAGATCGGAGCTGCCGGTGTCGAGATTCATGTGGAGGGTTTGCGACCCGACTTGGACGGGAATGAGGTATTCGCTATTATCGTTTGCGAGAGTTGCGGAAACCGTCCCAGTTTTGACGCCGTGGCCAGATGGAGGGGCGGAGCTAGGAGGGTTGTTGGAGTAGGCGTCATTGTTGTTGCCGGCTGCTTTTTGGCTTGTTTCGATAGATATAGCGGCGAGTTTGCCGGCTACCTTTGGTGGGAGCGTCCAGCCGTACTTGCTGTAGGCTTTGCAAAGGGCAACTACGCCATTCTTTGGGCTGCTTGCGGCGGGCACGCGGTGGATCTTTGAGTGGTCTTCTCCTGCCTGCGGGAGTGGTTTGGTGAATGCTGTTGAAATGAAGGTTATGGTTGCTAGCAATTGCAGTAATGAGTGATAATGCATAGCTCTGAAAGCTGGCCGGCAGGCGAAAGCCAAATTATCTCCACGTCAAGTGGGTCGTTCTTGTCTCTTGTTTCTGGTCTCACAGGGTCTCGGTTGGACGATATCCGTACGAGAAAACAAGCCTAAAATCAAGTATCTAGAGTTGAAAGTGGGGTCAAAGAGTGCGCCAAAGCTCGTTGGCAATGTAATATTGAATGGGGAGAAATGAAAGTCAGGTGATTAGGGAGTCCTAAAAAAGCAGTACAAAGAATGAAGGTCCACAATGCGGACAAGTCGTTCAAGAGGCCAAAGGAATGAGCCTGCCTGCCTGCCTGTCTCAATGAAACCAAAAATGGAAATGCAAGTGAAGGCGCGAGTGAAGACAAAGAGTGAAGAATCAGTAGACAGAAAGCAGAGAAAACAGCACACAGATACGTAAGACAATACGGAGTACAGGCAGACATGATTAATCAGATTAAGATTGACTTCCATTGGCGATCTGCCAGGTATGATGGTAAAGGATCACAGCAACAGGTCAGCCATGGGTCACTTCAGCGTGCGAAGCTCATTTGCTGGTGCAGATGAATAATGAGAATAATGAGAATGAGAATAGGAGAGGGTGGGCCCTCGGGGTGAAATTTGGTACTTGGCGCCACGAAGCGGCCGCTAAAACAAAAGGCGAGGGGCCTGTGCATCATCCCAATTTCGGGTACCTTGGCCGGTTGGCTCAGGGCCGCCCTGGCAGCGATCTGGGGGCAGTAGTGGGGGGTGTTTCGGGTCCGAGCAGCGTTAAGAGATTGATGACTGATGCCAATCATGCCAATCGTGCCATCAATCGCCTATCGTTCCCCTCGGATTTCTTCTTCCCCTGACATGTAACATGTTTGTATACAAAACTTACAAAGAGAGACTTGAAGTTTCGGACTGCGCAAGGCTGCGAGTGTCTCACCTCCTTTCACTGCTTCACGGCTGGTTGTGGATTAGAGCGTCGCCGCCGCGGCTGGCACCTCCTGCTCAAGAGGTAGAATGTCGGGCACCGGTCCGACAGGCGTAATGGAGTATGGGTTGATCTGCTTATGACTTTTGGTGTAATGCTTCTTGATGTGCTCGAACTGCGTCGTCTCCTGGAATGCCGCCGGCACAGTCCAATACAGTGTCCGGAGCCACTTGTGGAGGTTGGGATATCCAGATCGGATGTCTCTGATGTTGCACTTGAAGTGCTGTACGTACACCGGATCGAAGCGGATGATGGTCGTATACAAGCGGACGTCAGCCTCGGTCACTTCTGCGCCGTAGTAATATGGTGCTGCGCATTTCGACAAGTGCTCCTCCGCTCGGTCAAGCGAACTGAATAGGGGGGCCACAGCCTGCTCATAAGCTTGCTGAGTGGTCGCAAAGCCAGACCTGTATACACCGTTGTTGATGTTATTGTAGGTCCAATCGTTGGTGCCTTCAATATCAGCCTGTAGGTGCGGAGGGAAGAGGTCCAACTTGGCAAATTTCTCGGGCAGCAAGTCGTCAAATTCATGGTAAAACATCCGGATGATCTCGCTTGATTCATTGCTGACGATCTTTCCCTGCTTCACATCATAAAGAGTGGGAACTGTAAAGCGGCCTTTGTATTCGGGGTCGACCTGGAAGTATATCTGCCGTAGGTGTGTGTAGTCTGGATGAATCGGATCTGGGCCGACATTCTCACCGGGCAAACGTTCGTCCTGTCTTGCAAACCGCCATCCTTCCATTCGTTATTTCAACTCATCGTTATCATCGTAATGTCCATGGAAGTACAAGGACACTTACCTTTCTCAAGCATCTCCCAGTGAACGGAAGTATAGGAGATCATGTCTTCAAGACCCTTGAGCTTCCTCACGATCAAAGTCCGATGGGCTGGACATCGTCAGACAAGCAAAGTAGCTTGATCTTCGCTGTTGACATACCCCATGGGCAAGCATACGAGACGTAGAGATGATATCGCCCCTTCTCAGGAGGAAATTCCGAACCGGGCTTCTTTGATATCCAATTCCGGAACTGGGAGGCTCCTCGTTTGAATTCGCCGGACTTATCGGCCCAGTTGGTAATCGAGCCATTGGTAGACTTCGAGGTAGTCAGCGAGCAGTCACGATACACACGTTTGCATGCAGGCACATACCGCCATCCTGACAGATGCTTTTGGAGCTGCTTTCCAACACGATTTCAAGGTGCAATGGATCGGCTTGAGGCTGGAAAAAGTCCTTTGCATCTAACAACGGGGTTTTGGTAAAGAGATGAGAGAGAGTCAGAGTATTGTAAATAGTGCAATCACGTTGGAATATCTGTTTACGTTGTGACGTTGTTCCTTAGTCACGGTTACATCAGCGGTGAACCGTAGGAGGGGCACGCCTGGGAGGCTTTGTCAACTGGCCGCAGGAACTGCAACAGTCTAGAACTTGTGCCAAGATTGTCTTCTCTATCAAGAGAAAGTAGCTCGATAATTGACAGTGCTGCTACAAGTGGGAGGAAGCGGCTTTGGTGGAAAAAGTTGACAATTTGCCTTGCATTATTGAGGCTGCTTCTATATGCTGTTGAAGGGCTCCTTACCAATGTGACGCCCCATTATGCTTGCCGGAAAATGCATCCTCTCCACTTCCAAACTCCACACTACCTCGAGGTAGGTCTAACCTTTTAACTCCGCTTGACCATGACATACGGTACCTCAACATCCTCCTCAGTTATATCCTCTACTGTCATTTCGAATATGATATTTCTCTGATGGTCAGGCAGGGGCTTCCTCGATACGGTCTCAACCAATTTGCTCATGGTAAGGCCCATGCGATCCCTCAATTTGGCCTGAGGGTAAAAGCTCGCGTAAAGAAGGCTGACCCCAGAGCTGAGCATCTGGATGTTGAGTCCTTTCTCTTCGAAATGAGCCAAGAATTCCTTTAGTGTCATGTCATCGACTTCAAAGCGGTCCCATAACCTATCTATTGAGACTTCACCGTTCTTGCCTTGGTACTTGCCTTTCGGACTGGCAATTGGCTCACTGAATCCAAAGAAAGGCAACGCTAAGTTGATGAAGCCGTTCTTGTACTGTTCGATGTCATCCTTGCCATCAATGATCTTATACAACTCTAAGACAACCAAGCCAGTAACAAGTGCGGTCGTCGTAGCAATAGCAGGAATGATCTTTCCCGCGATGAATTTCGTCTGATGACGGTCTGCTTCTTGGATAGAGTAGTTCAAAGCTCGCAGATTGCTTGCGGCAGTAATAAAATCAATGTGGTGATTTGTGTCGTCATCCTTCTCAAATTCAACAGGGGTGAGTTTGAAGCCCGTCGAGAATGACTTAGGAGGCGGGATTTGTGCTACAAGCTTCTCTAACGCGCCAGCGTCGTCAAATCGAGACCCAACAGGTTGAGCATTTGGGTCGGGCTCATTATCATCTGCCTGGATTTTCACGGAAGAACTTGGCTTAAAGTCGGGTATGATCATGTTGCCCATCACTTGCTCGACCTGTTGTTCCGAAATGCCGTGGGAGACATCGAGTCCGTAATTGAATGCGTGTAAATAGGCACCAGCCACAACAAAGCTCATGTGTGTCTCATTGTTGGGATCGAATGTTAAAGGATCCGGCGCTCTCTTTGGGCCGGACCAGAAAAGCGCTCCACTAGTCGTAGTCGAGTCTTTGGGGAAGTTGTACAGCAATTGCTGGATGGCATTGTTATATTCGCTCTCGAACTGCTTACGTGCCCACTCGATGCAGTCATCAATCCCTGAGGGCTTGTCCGCCACGAGGAAGTCTCTAATGCTTTCTAGAGTTGGTATTTCGTTCCCTTGTTGTTTCAAAGTTTGTTCGACATAGTTTGCTTGTGAGAGGTATAGATTGACGGTTTCTGGAGGACCAACAAAGTACTGGTGAAACTTTTCTTTTGCCCAAGCTATGGTATGATCGATCTTGTTTGGGAAGCTACGTAGAGTGCACTGAGGAAAGGATTGCTCAGGTGGGTCTTGAGAACTCGAATATGATTCAGTCAACATTGGAAGGACAACCTGAGTATTGCCTTTCGTCCCGAGGGTTCCGCTATCGACAAGCGGTTTTCGAAAGAAGACACATCGTCGGTCAACGTATTGTCGTGCATCTACGTTATCAAGGGCATTCGTTGCGCCGTCAAGGCTTTGCCAGAACTTCTCATTGAAGATATGCTCAGTATCTTGGCCAACACGATCTGGATGAATGACAATCTTATCTTTGAGGTCTGGATTCATCGCTTGGACGGCCTCTGCAGCAGCCTCGCTCTTCAGCCTACCAACATCCTTAGGCCTGAATAGGAACTGTCGATTGAGATTGCTTTTCTCGATTTGGTCCATGTCTGCCACGCTGATTTTGCCTCTAGGCCCGGTTGCTAGCCCGAGCATGGCCCAATTTTTGAGCATCTCGCATCCAATAGCGCCCGCACCTACCAGAAACTCATTGATATTGGCAATTTTGTCTTGAAATTCCTTTCCGAACACTGCTATCTGGCCGTCGTAGCGAGTACCGGTGGGTTTGCAAAGATCTTCAGATCTCTTGACGGACGTAGGAAGCGATTCCAGAGAGTCGAAATACAGCCATTGAACAATGGGATGGAATTTGCCGGACACTGATTTGAGAACCTCTTGGGCAGCCAAGCCTCCAAAGAAGGCTGCCATTGGAGCGAGATCTCCTCGTGCTTGATAGCTGAGCTCACGAAGTATCTTCTCATCCAATTCAGGTTTCTCCTCTTGCTTATCTGCTATATCTTTGGCAAGCTTAAGGACCTCTACAGCATCCTCATCTGAATGGGGTCGAGGAAGCTCCCCGTTGCGGCTCTCAGCGAACTCATGCAAAGCTTGGAATCCAATGTGGAGCTGCCGTGGCCTGTCGAATTTCGCAAAGTCTGATATCAAATACTCAGGCTTCTCAAGTTGCTGCTCAAAGGATTGGAAGTTGATGATCTTAGGCATTTTGACTTGCGTATACAGCCCACCCCGCTTGTATTGACCGAGACCAGAGACGTCGCCAATAGAGAACGTATAGGGACCTTTCACAGTGACTTTCCGCGGGTCTGCACCGTTCAGCTTCTCCATACCCTGTATTTCTGTGAAAGTCACGTAGTCTCCGTCCTCGAGGCCATGCTTCGTTTCGTCTAGAGCAGACACCAGGCCATCTGCATCTATATCTGCAAGAATTCCCTGCATGGGATTCTCACCCGTGGAGTCTGCGATTGCAAAGTCTTTCCCGAAATCTGTGAAAATAGAACCAAAGAGACCAAAGATATCGGCGATGACAACAAAGATGCCGTTCACATGACAGAATTCAGCGATAGTAGCTTGATCCCTTAATGATGTTCCAGTAAGGACGATAACTTGATATTGTCTCAGCAATTCCAGATCATCCGTCAACCGCTTGCCCGGGTGTTCTGATACTGGAGTATATGCGTTCAACTCTGCCACTCGTGGAACTGTAGCCTTGGCTCTTGGCTTGCCTACATCATCCGGATGCAGAAAGAATTGAGAGGCAAGGTCAGAAGTAGCTGCAGGCTCCGGGTCGAAAAGCGTCAGAGACTTGACTCCGGCAAGCGCAATGTTTTTGGCTGGAAAACCTGTCAATATGGATCTACGACCCCGGCGGGTCGATCATACCAATCTCTACTCCTAGGCCCCTGAGACCCGCGACAAGCACATGAGAAGCCCCCATACGCTTCATAGCCTCGTGTCCCAAGACATAGAGCTGCCGGCTGTACAAAGATTCATCAATCTCCGCATTCTGGAGCTTTCCAGTTGCAACGGATGGGCCATCAACATCCATCTTGGAATCCTTGAAAACATTTGAAATCAGCCTTCTCTTCCCAAATAGGTTCTGAGGCTGCTCTCCCTAGATTCACGGCGGACTTACAGTCATTATTTTTTTGTGATCTGGACGAATATGTTCTTCCGATGATTTCCGCTTACCCAGCGTCGCCGGGAGATTCACGAGGGAGGGAATGGTGAAAATGAAGGAAGTGCTTGCACGACGGCAAGCTTTCTGGCGTCAGGCCTTTGTATGACGATCGCTCAAACAGAAAGACGTGCTGCTGACGAAAATTCTGGAACCTATCAGCGGACGAAATGGCGTGGCAGCCCCATGATTCGTGACATACGACTGAAACGATGGTGAGGCTGATAAATCAGAGCTGAGATGGCTGGGAGAGTAACAAGCAGAGGATGTCGCAAACAGTGCTCCGCTGTGGTCCTTCCAAATCCTTCCAGAGCGAACCCTCGGAAGCGCGTCATTCACTGCTCCGGGCTTTTTTAATTAAAGCATATTTTCGATAAATCCGCAGATTAAGAATCTTTTTTAAACATTAAGATATAACGATCAAACTTATATATAATAATTTCAATTTCTCAAAATCTACTCAGCATATCAAGAATATAAAAGAATATAGAATTTTAAATTAATTAAGTATATTTGTATAATAAGAATACTTAAGAATCTATATCAAGCTTTTCTTCAAGAGGTTAGAAGTGTGACTTATCTAAAAATGCCCCGAGGAGTTCTAGATCGTCCGGCCCTTTAGGCAGTCGCACGTGATCTTTTAGGGACGGGCGCCCCGCACGGCGTTGCGCCAAGCTGGGTCAGCCCCATGCGACACCACTGAAAATGCCCAATGCATAGCTTGAAGTATTCCTGCAAGTCAATAAGAGAGCAGTCGGACGCCCTGTCTATGCGCAGGATGGCTTGTTGAAGCAGTAGGATCCCCCATTGTCCCCGGCAATGACCGGCTGAGGGCAGCAGCTCCACGAGCGCGAAGAAGGCATCAATCTACAGGTTCAAATCCATACCTTTCCAATCCTGCTCTGGGAGCCAGGTTCTCAATATGGCTGTCTTCGCTACGTGTTTGGGATATCTGAGCATGGTAGCTCTTCTGACGGGAGCAATGGGTGCTAAAGTAGAGGGCGGCGCGGGAGTTAAGAGAGGGGAACAAGAGGTCCTAGGTGGTGGAATTGATATTGAGAGGTACAAAGCTGCATGCCCCGAGTACGAGCATTATGCCATGACGCCACATCGACCACTGAGCAAAGGACCGCAAGCTCTTCCCTACCAACGACCATCACCACATTGCCGTACCTTCTCTTCCCCTCTAGTCGAGCAAATCATCGAGGAAGTGACATCAAAAATGATAGACAAGGACCTGGCACGGATTTTTGAGAACGCTTTCCCAAACACCTTGGATACAACGGTCAGATGGCACGTTGACAGCACTTCACGACTGGCGAAGAACCGGTACCCGGATGGGGCTTGGGAAGGCCCGCAAAGCTTCATTGTGACCGGAGACATCAACGCAGAATGGCTGAGAGATTCTACGAATCAATTGGCGCAGTATCAGACTCTGGCCAAGAAAGACAAGCGCATTGAGATCCTTATCCTAGGCGCAATCAACACCCAAGCTGAGTTTGTCATTGAGTCACCATATTGCAACGCTTTCCAGCCACCGCCCCCAAGTGGAGAACCTGTTCCAGGAAACGGTCAAGACGACTTCGTGCATCCTGTATATGAGCCTTCCCGGGTATTCGAATGTAAGTATGAATTGGACTCGCTAGCGCACTTCCTGGCCCTTGGGAACAGGTTCCACAATAACACGGGCTCCACAGCTTACTTGACGCCACGCTACTATACGGCGATTGACACCATTCTTGAGGTTTTGGAGCAACAGTCTAAACCGACGTTCGACCCTAAAACTGGTAGGTTTCTGAGGAACGAGTACACGTTCCGGCGAAAGACTACAGCTGGAACGGAGACTCTAAGCCTTGGTGGCATTGGGAACCCATTAGCTGCTGGCACAGGCTTGATTCGTAGCGCTTTCAGGCCGAGTGATGATGCAACCACTTTTGGCTTCTTCATCCCATCAAATGCGCAGATGTCGGTCGAGCTGAAACGAACAGCAGAGACCTTAAAAGGTGTTGGAAAGGATGCACTAGCAGAGAAGCTCCGGGAACGCGGCGAGAGAATCGAAAAGGGAATATGGGAGAACGGCGTCGTCATTCACAAGAATTATGGCAAGGTTTTTGCGTTTGAAGTTGACGGTTATGGCTCGTCTATCATTATGGATGATGCCAACATGCCGTCACTTCTCGCACTGCCGGCTTTGGGGTTCCTGGATCGAAATGATGAGATTTATCAGAACACGAGAAAAATGATTCTCGAACGCCACGGCAATCCATACTTCCTTGAAGGTAAAGGGTTTTCAGGGATTGGCGGTCCTCATGTTGGTCCTGTGCATGCATGGCCTTTGAGTCGACTTGTCGAGGTAATGACGAGCGACAATGACACCGAAATCACTGCATCACTCGAAGCTGTACGAGACGTTAGCCGATTGGGCTTGGTGAACGAGGCTGTCAATGTTCAGAGGCCTACGGATTACACGAGTAAGTTCTGAGCTCTAATCAATCTCTAGCACTTGGAAACTGATAGTCGACTAGGACCATGGTTTGCCTGGGCTAATTCAGTCTTTGCTCAAACGATCTTGGACGTCGCGGAGCGAAAACCACATCTAATTTTTGGTGAAGGTGCGAGACCTTACATAATATGACCCGTGAATATATTCTGAGATTCAGCATTGCGTATTGAAAGCGAGCATGGGCGAGGCGCAAAATGGGAGGGTTTCTCCATAGAACAGCCCATAATTTATGATACCAAGTATATAGCATACACGTATATTGATACGCCTATCTTTTCCCTCTCTCCGTGCGCCCTCAAGGACTCAGTCTCTCAATCCGCCACCCCTCTCTCTCCCTCTCATCCCTCAAATATTGAAATCGGTCATGCAATCTGCTGTCTCTCCCCTGCCAAAACTCCACCATTCTCGGCACAACCCTCATCCCACCCCAGAACCCGGGCACAGAAATTTGCTCTTGCCCTTCAAACCGTTCCTCCACCTCCCTCACCCACCCATCCAGAATCGCTCTCCCATCATCTTCTTCCCCCCTTTCCCCTTCCACCCCGTCTTCCATTTTCCCCACCTCCGGCTTCAGAACCTCACTCTGTCGACTAGCCCATGCCCCTACCCTTGACCCTCGTCCTCTGAGATCAAAATATCTTTGGCTCTCATCCCCCGACAATCTCTCTGTTGTCCCCTCAACCCTGACCTGCCGTTCCTGCTCCCTCCACCAGAACGCCAGACTCGCTTGCCCATTACTTTCCACATCCTTCGCCTTCCTACTCGTGCCCCAATTACTATACACAACGAAACCGCGCGAGTCGAGTTCTTTGAGGTAGACAAACCGGGAGCTCACGGAGCCGGTGGGAAGGTGGGCGGTGGAGAGACATACGGTTTCCGGTTGGTGGACGTGGGAGGACTGGGCAGATTTGAACCAGGCGTGGAACTGGGTGAAAGGATTGGGGGAGAGAGAGGAGCGGTGCAGGCTCGACAGAGTGTATTGGTCTGCCTGGGGGTTGGATTTAGAACCGGCAGGAGCGACTGGCGGGGAACATTAGTGGGACGGACAGAACTTAAGGGACATCAGGAAAGAAAGGGTGCGATGAAATGGGAGTTGGAGATGTACATATGAGGCTTTCGGAGCCTTTAGGTTGCGCCATCTTGGATATCCGTTGGAGGTGAATCGGAGCGAGACGCATAGGATGAGAGGTAGTTGAGAAGGAAGATATCTTCAAATGGGGAGAAGGTTGCTGTAAGGTAGGGTAGACCGCTTTCACCACACTAGCAAGCCTTACGGATCCTCATCCACAAGAAGGTTTCTTGGTTGTCATAGATCTAGAGGGCTAGAGAATATGCTTGATTCAACGATTCTAGAGAGACAAGGACTTGGTGGAATTAACAGTGGAACTCTTGGAGTATTTCTTTTATATACACATTGCTGGCCCAGAAGGCTTGCAAATGAATCTAGATGTGGAAAATGCCAGATCTAGCTCTGAGTGGAGATGTTTTGTACGTACTGTTACATATTAGTCGTGATGTAGTCGTTCAGGTCATTAAGAAGCTTTCCCAGCGCCAGGCCCGCTTCATACCATACACTGATGTGTGCAGTGGGATTTTCCCCCAAGTAAACACCGTGTAAATGCCGGACCCCGATGACAGTGTCTCAATTCATGGTCCGCTCATCGGACACTCCAGTACACCCTAGTAAACCACCGTTCTATGCTCGCCCTGACAGAGAAAATCGTAAGTAAAATCGAAAGGAAATAGACTGCCGTCTAAGCAATCAAATTTGGCCAGATAGCATTTGATACGCGTGCTGTGCCATGGCCGACAAGCTCGAGGATCTTGCTAGACACAGCTGATGGATAGCCTCTGGACAGCATTTCATGAACAGTGTTGAGAGCTCCTTGGCGATCTTCGGCAGTCAGAAACGCTCGTGTCATTGACTCGTATGTACTTGGCTCCCGCTTATCCTTGCCGACGCTGTCGTAGATAGCTTTCGATTTTGCGATTCGATTCTCCATGGCCCAGCCATGGATTAGTGTATTAGCAATGTAAGGGGTCATTTCCACGCCACTAGCGGACATAGAGTCGAGGACTTCTTCCGTACCAGCCACGCAGTGGTTCGCAACCATTGATTCGAACAAGGCTTGATATAAGCAGGCATGAGGTTGAACTCCATGGCTTGCCAGGGCTTTGTCGAAGACTTCGCGTGCACCCTCCATATCATGGAGTACACAACCTTTGGCATGGATCAGGGATGCATAATGAACTGCCTCGGGTTCGAAACCTTGAGCACGGATCGTATCAAGTACACCTTCCGCAGCCTCTAGATTGATTGGCTCTAGGGTGGCATAAGTATCGATCAGTAGCTTGTACGTGTGCATTGTAGGTTGAATGTTCATTGACTGCATGCGCAGATAATAAGCGAGGACTTTCTCGCTGTCACGCTTCGTCGTCAGAAAGTACTGCATCAAGCTGTTGTACGGAGCTGGGCGAGGCTTGTAGTTTGGCATGGACTCCATTTCGTCAAAAAGCTCTTCAGCGAAACGCTCGTCACTGACTCGGCAAAGTGCGTTGACAACAGTGCCATAAGTCACACTTGTTGGCCGGATGCCGGCAGCTCGCATCTCTTGAAAGTAGCGCAAGCAGTCATCGATGCGACGAGCTTTACCGAGCTTGCCGATGAGAGCATTGTATAGGAATGACGAAGGAATTACGCCTTCAGACGCGGCACGATGGAAGATCTTCACAGCCTCAGTAGCTTCGTCGAACGTTTTGGTCGATTCCTTAAGTGTTGTGATATAGAGTCCATACGTATTAGCTGAGGGAGCTGAACCCATGTCGAGCATCTCCTGGTGGAATTGCTCCGCCAGGACGCGCTTGCCTGCTGTAAGGCATGCGCCAACCATTGCATCGAGAATGGAGGACCAGCCATGGCGAACGACCGGATAGTCCAGCTTAAAGGGCACGTCGTGACGAGCCATGCCAAGGATGTCGTGTATAAGATTGGTCCTGCCTTCCTTTGCAGCGGCAGTGATGAGCTTCGCGTAGACAATGTATCGTGGATGCATGCCAGCACGACGAATGTTCCGGAACCGATTCAAAGCCTCTTTGAGTCCATTGGAATTTCGGTGATTTTCAAGCTCCTCTACGATTATGGTTGAGCCACGATAGTCTGTTGTGGCGGCATGAGGGTCGTAGCTCTCTGCTGTAGGGGCAGCCGCATGGAGAAGTCGAGTTGCCGAAGGCTTCGTCTGGGTCTGAGCATGATCAAGAAGAGATTGCTTGTAGCCATTCCAGCGGCCAAAGATATCAATCTGGCTTGAAGACGACTTGCGGACGGCTTTCTCTACCATGTCCATGGTCGGTTGCTCAAGAGCAACACCACTGCTCGTAATGAGATTAATTAAGTGATCCATTCTCGAGATGTGGGCTAATCCAAGGTCACTGGAAACATTGTTGAGCAAGCCAGCCTGGACTTGAAGCGCCAGGGCGAGATCTTGCCATCCAAGACTTGTAACTTGCTCGGGGCCAAGCTCTGCCATTACTTGCTCAGCAATATGAGGAATGATTCCACCATTCTCGACCATTGCCCACAAGATGTTTGAGCTTGCAACGGCAGATACTGCCTGGCTATCATTAGGAAGTGACAGCGCAATGACAGATATAGCTTCGTCAATCTGATCAGAAATATCGTTCTGAGCGGAAGCTCCTGTGGCTGTAGCTCTTATTTGACTAAACATTGCGCGCATTTCGTTGGAAGCTTGCTCCACGTATCTGTTGGACATCAACGCACGTATGTAATGAACAGTGGGCTCTAGGAGCAAAGACGTAGGATTTTTGATACTTCTTAGCTCAATCCATTGGGAAGTTGCAGTCATCAGGTCTTGATTGCGAACATGCAAGGCTAACAAGGCCACAGAAGCTTCAAGACGAGCAGTTGAGCCCGTCGATAGCTGTTGATGAGCTTGAATCGCTACATTGGTGTTGGAGCTGTCAGAAGCTGCGATTGAAATTTCCTTTAGAGCTTGCTGTGATGTCTGTCGCGACATTGAGCAGTTCTCGACCATTGCAAGTGCAGTCTCAAAATCGCCGTCGTCCAGATGTTGTCGAATCTTCGCATCCAAGTCGACACTTTCTCGTATACCCAGGAGCTGGTCATGACGTTCCTGAGTGTCTGTTGCAAAAGACTCAGTGATTCTGCCTAGGAATCGTTGCCCAAGCTCGTCTTTTCCGTTAGCACGGTAAGCTCTGATCAGCGAAGCATAGACAGTTGCATCATTGCGCCCAACAATGGAGAATTTTCCTCCATCATCTGCTATGGCTAGGGTCCTGTACTCGTTGTAGCATTCTAAGGCACTGTCAATGTCCCCCACCCGACCGAACGCAGCAATCATCTCCGGGAAAATTGAAGCTGCAGGTTCAACATTGCAATGCTCAAGATGTTGGTACACCTGTACCATGCCGCTTACGTTCTGCTGCCGAGCACAAGCGTGGATGAGAAGCTGATAAGTCTCGGTGGAAAAGTTTGCATCTGACTGCTTGCTTATTGCGTTGGCGAAAAGTCTAAGAGCATTACTCAGGGCATCATCTTCAACAAGTAAATTGTATTCCGCGGTATGCGACGCGAATAAAAATTTATCGTCCCTGTTCATAGCACCGTATCTTTGAAGTTGCTCCTCGAACCCCCGTTTCATTTGAGCAACATACAGCGCGCGGCGAGAAAGAACTTCAATAATAGTCGAATAGAAAGCTACATCTGGGGCAACCTTTCGACGTAGCATATCCGAATATATGCCAAGTGCTTTAGGGACGAGCTGATGCTTTCCCATTGGTATGTTGATTGCTGAAGCAAGTAGAGCGTTGTAGGCTTCGACAGTAGGCTGAATCCCATGTGACAGCAAGGTTTCGAAAGCTCGTGGAACATCACGGTAAGCTTTTGTAGTACTGAGATCATATATACGCTGTAAATAGGCTTGAGATTCCGGGTCCGACTGAACGGAGGTCGCTGCAGTATGGGTGCTCACTGGTGATGTTGACAACGAAGTCTCTTGTTCAGTTTCGATTGGAGGCGACGTGGAGACATCACTTAACCTGCCATTGAGGCGCTTGCTAAGTCCCGGAGCCGAGGAATCTGACAGTTTTAGTACATGGTCTTGCTCTGTTGTTGATTCATTGATTTGTTTGATGACAGTCGCAATTGCCTCGTCGACTTGGGCAACAGCAATCTCCTCTGCGCCTGTCTGGGCTTTTCTGATGTCGTCAACGGCACTAGTGCTGTAGGAGCGGTCCAATGTAGCGCGATCAGCAGAAGCATCTTCTCCAGTAGCCTCAATTATTCCTTCTGCTTCCTTGCTTTCTCGTACCTTGGGATAGGCTCTTGGCTCGATCAACTTAGGAAATTGGAATTGTCTCCATTCTCCGCCGTGCTGATGGAGATTCTGCCATGCGTCGTAGTAAGCCTTTAAACCCCCATCGTGAGGCGGGGCAGTCTCGAAAGCATGCTGTGCTGCCCTTGTCGACGAGGACGAGCCGGTCTGAGCAGTCGAGAAAGCTGTGTGTTGCTGTGCGGTCTTGGGTCTGCCAGCCTTCGCTGTCTGATGTTTGGAGAGGGGAAAAGGAGCACTGGTCTGGGCTCCGGCGACAAAGGATTGAGCATATCCATGTGCAAAAGTCTTACTGAGACTGGGACGCGCGAGATGGCTGAATTTGTTAAAGACCATTTGGCGCGATTAAGAGAGGTCGTTAGGCTGGCGGCATTGTCAGCAAACAACGCATAGTACGAGGATCTAGAGCATGACATACGTAGACAGTGCTTGAGTAACGGCGCAGGTTCATTGACGACTTGCAAGACGCCAGCAAACGCACGAGACCCGAGTGGGTTATATTGCACGATGCTTGATGGTTCATGCAGGATGAGGATCCCTGGAAGTGACGATAATATGTTGCGTCGATTCAACCAGAAAGTGAATTACTCGCACAGGGAATGCTGTACGGATGAGTGAAGAGCAGCTCTCAAAAGAAGAAAAGGGAGTAATAATGATGATGCCTAACGAGGGACGGCACAAACTGTAGTCGGTTGGTCAATGGGGAAGGACGGAGAGGAAAAGAGTCAGCTGGACTCGAATTTCAGGGCATGTGTAATGTGCCTGAGGCTGTGAAGGGACTGTGGTTGGAGCTGCAAAGGAAGAAGGTCAGCTTCCTGACGCCTAGGACGAAAATACTGAGGAACTTCGAGGGAAATTTCGGAATCCACGCTTGCCCTTTGCCTTTGGGTCGGAATGCTCCGCAAACTCCGCAAGCTCCGCCATCGAATTAGGCTAGCGTTGGGTCCCCGACTTCCCCCCCTTTTCTAAATTCGTCTTCGTATTATTTGGTGGTATCAAGTCCCATCACACGCGCTATGCCGAAGCCAGTGCTTTCAAACGTCGTCTGCTCAGCACCTGGTAAGGTCTTACTGGCTGGTGGATACCTTGTGCTCGATCGAGCCTACACAGGTTTGGTACTGGGCCTTGATGCTCGGATCCATGTGCTTGCCCAACCCTCCGCGGCGTCGGATTCGGGTCCCTCTGAAATCGTGGTGAGGTCTCCGCAATTCAAAGATGCAATATGGCGATACCACTTCGAAAATCTAGAAAAGGACGGAGGAATTCGGCTCTCACAAATCAAAGCGTAGGTGCAGAATTCCAGAGATTCATGCCCTTGTGATATCTACATATGTAAGCTACGACTGCGACGTCTATCAGAACCTTCAATCTTTGCATTTTTACGATTTGGAGGTCACAATTACCGCTCCTCACAATCAATGCCTCTGACGTGTGGGCGTCCGTACCACGCAACAGGTCTCTTCAATATTCTGTTGAGCGCGCAAAATTTGAAAGCTGATTTCCTTCCTGCGTAAAAGATCCAGTACATCGCCCCCAGAAAACCGCTTCGTCCAGACGGCGCTCACCTATGCATTGACATGGGCTTGCTCTCGTGCGGGCGCTGAAATTCAGCCAATGGAATTTACAATTTTGGCAGATTCAGATTACTATTCTAACGAAGCTAAGTCATTTGATTTTGATGACCGTTTTCAAAATTTTGATGTACCTTTACATGAGGCACACAAAACCGGTCTCGGCTCTTCGGCCGCTCTAGTCACTGCGATCGTAAACGCCGCCGTCCTCTTTTACTCGAAAGAGACGACACAAGAGCAAGATCAGTGGATGTTTCGTTTGGCACAAGCCGCACATTGCGCTGCGCAGGGTAAGATAGGCTCTGGATTTGATGTGGCAGCGGCTTCTCAAGGATCATGCATCTACAGACGTTTCTCGCCTGAGATCCTTAGCAGTCTTGGAAGTGCGAATCAAGCGGGATTTCAAGAAAGACTTCGGGCAGTGATCGAAGGCAAAAGAAGCTATGGCATTGAGCTCAACGCTGCGTGGGACTACGAGTGCGGGGAGGCGTTTTCCAGATTTCCTGTCGGGCTTCGAGTCGTGATGTGCGATATCGACTGTGGCTCTGAAACCGTTGGCATGGTCTCAAAGGTCCTTCAATGGAAGAAGGAAAAGCCGGAGGAGGCGAGTCTGCTGTGGGCAACACTGCAAGTAGCAAACGAAGACCTCGCTAATCAGCTACGGAAATGCATCCACACGATAACGTGCTTCGACGGCGTTTACGATGATGTTCGCTCTACCCTATTGACTATCCGATCACTAGTGCGGGAAATGTCCATGAAAGCCGCTGTACCGATCGAACCTCCCGTCCAGTCAGCTTTAATTGATGCTTGCTCTGAGCTTCCAGGAGTGATCGGTGGGGTGGTACCAGGCGCTGGAGGCTACGATGCAATCGCGTTGCTCGTCAGGAACGATACGGGAACTATTCACAGACTCGGCAGCTTTCTTTCAATGTACAAATCCGAGGCGGATAATGGAGATACTGTTAGTATTGCGCGAGTTCGAGTACTCAAGTCGAAACAAGTCGACAAAGGAGGATGGCAGGTTGAGAATTGCGACAACTACCGGTCGTGGCTCCGTTGTGCTTAAAATCATGCGCATATTGATAGAGTAATCAGAGTTTGAAGTAAGGGAGTAGCGAATATGAACTAGATTCAGCAGTCCAAAACCTGGCAGAATTAGGTCTATGCGGTAATCTAGGCGCTCTTAGCGGATCGTCCGCCTCCAAGACTTGTGGTCGTCAGCAAGTCCACTGCTTCGTACACTCAGCTTCCGTGAAATGACTTTCTCTCGTATAATTACTACAGAGCACTATATTGATTGGCCATCGTCTTGCAGTATCTAATCCAGCGACGAGCACACTTCTGGAGCAGAAACCCTCGGCCAATCAATCAATCTTGAACGTCTAAACTTGAAGCTTGCATGCTTGAAGCTACAGCAATTGACCCTCACTCTGAATGTCGCACAACAGCTTTCACTTCGAAGTTATGTCTTCATGATTTTATCCTATAATGCATGCTTGATTGGTCTTGTCCTACCGAACCGTCTCGGCCCTTCCGCCAGTGGCACCCTTCGAAACCGTTTCACGTGAGGATTACGAGCCCTCAAGTCGAGAGACAGTAGTCTGAAAGACCAAAAGCGTAAAAGATTAGTTTGTCCTCCGGCGGATGCGCGTGTCACTCATCATCTCATGAGATGACCTCAACCGAGTCGCAGGTAATGGCGATTGAAGATGAGAGCCACCAAGCGACCAAAACAGAGAAGCCAGTACAAGCGGGCTCGTCAAATCCAATCGAGATGTCTGACATGTCCAAGGCTTCTCAGCCAGATACATCTCGAGAGGACCATGGTGTTTCAACTCCAGGCCCTATATCTACCGATCCTCAGCAACAGCCCCTCGCCACACAGCTTCCACCTATGCCACCAGAACCCGAAGTCATAACACCCCCCCGTTGACTCGTGAGTTGACGAGGCCTGCAATTGGCCCAGCAACAGATGAGCCACCAGCTCTTCCGAAGGAGCCGGAAATAGAGGGACCAGTCCTTTACATCACTTTACTACTTATTACTGGGGCGAGACATCCCTTCAAATTAGATCGAAAATATTTGAAGAAGCGAAATGTTGAGGTTGAAGGAGACAACCCAATCAATATGAGTTTATACAAGCTGAAAGAATTGATACTGAGGGATTGGCGAGAAGGTGAGGACGCTAGTCATAATCTACTCCTGTCTCGGCATTATTGAAAAATCTGCTGACGGGTGATCATTTACAGAATGGGAAGCAAAACCATCAAGTCCAGACTCAATAAGACTGATTTCTATGGGTAAGCTGCTCACGGACAAGTCAAAGCTTTCAGGTAGATCAAATCATCAGAATCCCGCACATGCCCGAGCTAACACAAGCTAAGATTTCGGATTCAAAGAAGGAGCTTCCCCGACAATTGTTCATATGACCATAAAGCCACAAGAAATAGTCGACGAAGAGGAAGCGAACAAGAACACTAGAGATCGTGATGGCAGCGAGAGAAGTCCGAGGTGTCGATGCACCATAATGTAAACACCTACCTAATCTAATAATGCACAATGGTTTTTGACGGCAGTATGGGCGAATATATGGGCGAGAATTGCATCACACATCAAGTCCTAAGGGAGGCTTGACCGGTCGCTTCGCACATGGTAGGCGTATGGCTCAAGAGGGTCACTTACGGTGGAGTCTCACGTCAGCTCGGATTTTGGAGAGTCGAGTAGAGCAGTAGACCTGTATAAAAGTGGGAGAAGCGTGTACCATGAGCACATCAGATTTCAATTACATTGCACATGGTGTTTGGTCGGCGTTTTCAGTTGGTTTTTCGTTCAGTGTACAATGAGAAGCCGCTCCGCATCTTCTACTCACTCATTCGTCACTATAGAATCAATGCCTCCTCTCATCCCAAAGCCTTAGTCTACCATTCTCCGGCTCCCACTAACGAATCCATTTCCGCCTGTACCTCTCCACTCGCCGGCCCCGAACCATCATTCCAGTAAATATCCTCCCAACCCATCTCACAGTCCCGTCCCGCGAGGATGTCTCCCCCGACATTTGCGCTACCCCCTAAACATTGTGGTCTGTACTCTCCCTCCCTACAAACCTTCAATTCCATGCCTCTCCTCACAGGTTCTCCAATACCGTATTGTTTTCGCAAGAGAGAGGACTTGAGTTGGTCTTGTGTGCTCTGCCAGTTGCGAAGGCGAGATTCGAGAGGGTGTGTTGATTGGGTGGTCGTTTCTGAAGATGAGGTGGCAAAACTTCCTTTCTCATTGAGGGAGAGGTTTGTACGGAGGGTATCGTGTAGACCTGGGGCGGAAGGGGCGCCCTTCGTGGGAATGCTGGAGCCGGTGTTGGAGATTGAGGTTGCATGTGAGGAGGATGGAGCAATGCGGAGAGCCTAGGCGAGTGAACTAGTCAGATACGAGGAAAGGGGAGAGGAGAGTGCACAAGCTTACCATGATAGTAGAATAAGCGTACACAGGCTTTGAAAGATTGAGCAAGTAGATGAACTTTCGATAGTATAAGAGGTCTACGCGGCGAACGTGAACTCGAGCTTGGACGCTACGGATGTCCTTTCTCAAAGCCTCTTGTTTTTCGGATGCGACGGAGAGCTCCCCGGAGAAATGCGAAAACCTCGAGGCTCTGATTTACTCACATATCCCGGGCGAGGATGCCCATCCCCTTCCTGGCTGATGTGATCACTCGAGGAATCAATGCTATACCGTTTGCCGTATCAACAGTAAAGGTCATACCATGTCTCATCCTCTTATGGCTTGTCAAATGGTTCTTTGGGGGTGCCAGCAACAGCTCAGAGCGATTGATGAGATCAAAGGTTGTGATGATCACGGTAAGCAACCTCCATTGTATTCCGCAATGTTTGCCAACATCCTTCAGGGTGGAACTTCAGGTATAGGTGCAGCGGTCGCCCAGGATCTTGCCTCTCGCGGAGCGCAAATCATCATCTTAACGCACCATGAATTGACCGATCCTTTCCTCGTTGACTATCTGGAGGATATCCGCAGCTCTAGTAACAATGAATTGGTCTACGCAGAGCAAGTTGATCTTGCGTCGCTACACTCTATACGAAGTTTCGCTACCAAATGGGTCGACAATGCTCCCCAAGAAGACTTGACATGATTGTCCTATGTGCTGATACGTTGACACCTCGTTTCGGTATCTTGGCCAAGACGCAGGACAATGTGGATCCAGTCTGGGCAGTGAATTACCTCGCCAACTTCCATCTCTTAAGTATCTTGAATCCTGCTATTAAAGCACAGCCCCCGGATAGAGATGTTCGCGTGGTGTTCGCAACATGTTCTAGCTATATTGGAGGAGATATTAAGAGTTTGAAAGACGATCGAGACCCGCTACCGAACGGAACGAAATACGAAACTAGCAAGCTTGCCAGCATGGTCTTCGCCCTGGCCTTCCAGAAGCTGTTGGACAAGCATAAACGACCGGACAATCAGCCGAACAACACAAGAGTAATCCTGGTTGATCCTGGTTTCACCCGAACGCCTGGAATGAGGCGATGGCTGACTATGGGCTCTCTATTGGGCCTGTTTCTGTACCTTGTGACTCTACCATTCTGGTGGCTCGTTCTGAAGTCTCCAATTCAAGGGGCGCAAGGATTTCTAAAGGCAGCAATGGAAGCAGACTTAGGGCGAGGTGTTGGAGGAAGATTGCTGAAAGAATGTAGAGACATTGAATACCGCAGGCCGGAGATCAAGGACGAGCAAGTGCAGAGAAGGCTCTGGCAATTCTCTGAGAAGCAGATCGAAGCTCTGGAGAAGGAAGGCGCAGTGCGGAGAGCGCTTGGCAAGAAAGAGAAGGAGGGAAGAGAAAAGCTAGAAAGTCAAGCTACTACTGACGTGCCTTCGAATGTGACCGAAGCAAACGCAAATGGACATGCGGTAGCCGCAGAGTTGGCAAAGGCGGAGAGGAAACCTAGATCAAGGCAAAGCCGGAAAGCCGGATGAAGGCTGTTTTGCGAAACAGTTACACATGATACCATGAATGGTTTGATATGAACTGATGCTGGCTACTCGACATCAATTACTCACCTGGAGAATATCCGGCTTAGTCGATAACAAGGTGAGCTTTTTGGACGGTGGGACTGCGCGTCACTCTGTGGAATTCTGCTCAAATATGCGTTGCTTCTTGTTTCAGGGCTCAAAGCCCATCGTCTGCTTTACAATTATGCCCCTGGCTCACCGTCTGTCGACCATTTCACATGTGAAAAGTTGATATGTTGAGAGATCAATGAAGCATCAGAGACAAGTCACACTCATCAATATTCATCAGGCTTCCGAATGTTCCTCGTTGAGCCATGATTGCACGTATCAAGAGCCGAGTCATCCATTCTGTTTTACTAGGAAAAGATACTAAACAAATTTCAGCTTGTTTGTCTTCCATTGCGTCCATTGACTCGGAAGCTCTACCTTACTGTTCGGGTATTGTGAATTCGGCTTAGGTCAACCTACGAGGCTTCAGGGAATGGCCATGCCCGAGGAGGCCAGTCTGACCATGCAAGGTTCGCGAATCATCGCAGAGCTCTTACCCCACCCTCTCTTCCCTCAATGTCTCTGTAACATCGGCACTCCGTGCTTCGACGTGCGTTGATGACGGCGACGGCGAGGTCCGGCTTGTTGACCTTCACTGACGTCGAATTTGCTGACTAAGATCAAAACACGACTAAGGGATCTAGTGTTTGATTGCCTGAGCTGCTCAAGTGGAAGAAGTAGCAGTTATTCTGCCTTCTAGAATAATCTAATTGGGCCTCAGAATATTCAGCATCCCCTAGATGACTTTGTGCATGACTTTGTGCCAGAAGCAAACTCCCAGCGGGGTGATGCAGGACCTCTTCTTTTCTGAATTGGCTCACGATTCACCAACCACCACACGGATATCTCTAGCATGCATTCAATGTCGCTCTAGACACCTACGATGTGATGCAGCAGCTCCAATATGCTCCAGATGTAGCGCCAATGGGAAGGAATGTGTATACCAGAGATCTCGGCGAGGAGGGCGTCGCCCACGCAGGCCTGCTCTGTCCAACGACAGCAAATCTCTTGCTGATCGTTCGTCTGATGACCCGTCTCGAAACCAGGCAGTAAATTCTTCCTCCAGCACAGACAGTACAGCTTACTCAGATTGGACTTTCAGCACCAACAACCAGTTCTTGGGCGAGCTGAGCCCGAACCGGGAATTGCCATTATGCACTCCAAGCACATCCCCCACATGGTCGAATGATCGCTCGAGTAATCTGTGCGACAGTCCACAAGTTATGACTCAAGAATCGGGGACAACCGCTACAGATGAGCTTCTAGATGCTTACTATAGATTCTTCAATGCTGCTCATCCTTGCGTGCTCCCTCGGCAATGCCTAGAGTTGTACTTGATATCAGACCCTCTGGGGCTCAAGCTACTCTATTCAATTATGCAGTTCATTGGCTCATTGTACTTACCGTCGATTTCATCTGCGGCAATTGAAGTACAAGTGCTAGAGGCTCTAGCAGAAGACCAGGTTTGCACTGCGCAATCAATAGGCTACCGGGTGCAGGCCCTAGTCTTATACTCCATTGCCGTCTTTTGGCGCGATGAGATCAACAGAGGCCTAGCATTGCTTGATCAGGCTATTTTCGAGGCTCTAGGTGCCGGCATGAACCTTCAGGAATTTGCCACGAAGCATGGCTGCGGGAGTCCCATCTTGGAAGAGAGCTGGAGACGAACGTGGTGGTTGATATACACAACAGATGGTCACGTTGCCGGTAGTACTCACTCATTTCTATTGAGAACTACCAACATCACCTCCACTGTGGACTTGCCCTGCGAAGAAGAAGACTATGAGCTGATGGTTCGCTTATCTCCTTCCCTTCGAACGAGCTTGTGACGACTGATTCTGTCCTGTTTCAGTGCGTTCCTAATTCAAGGACACTGTCGGAATTTGACATGCGAGAGTTCACAGACAATAATGGCGAACAATTTTTATCCTTTGCTCAGCTCGTCGGTCTCGTACGCAGCCTCGATACTGTCTTCTCAAACGGACGCAAGTCCGATCCTTCATTTATCTCCACTCTTACTACAGACTTTGATGCGAGCATCATGGGCTGGTATTCCTTGCTTCCTCAATCCAAACGGAAATTGTTGCGTACAAAGGGCAAGTTAGATGAGCAACTCTCCAGAGCGAACATGTTGATTAATACGTAAGTCGTATCTTATTCTCGCGGAGGCTGGTGTTATGTCAGCCAGAACAAAATGAATCTCTGGATCGGAACATTCTCAGCCGTCCGGCAGAACTTTTTCTGACGAGCGTAGATACCTAGTTGTCATCCATCGACCTTTGTCGGATCTAGCATACTGCGCTGTGGAGTCCGTGTCGAGATGTGCGCCTCCACCGCCGGCAGGATACTCGAGTCCAGACGAGAATCATGCTTCAGAGACTCACACGCCAAAGATACTTCACGGCATTGAAGCATTCAATAATTTGCTCACGCTATCCAGCAGTCTGAAAGCACATACTCCGTTCATCATCTGCATGATCGCAGTCACAACGATTACACATCTGTCCGCTTGCAAATATGTGCTTCGAGGCCAAGCATTGAAGCTTGCTCGTGAGAGGATCCGTCTCAACATGGGAATTCTGAAAGCTCTGGGAGAATCCTGGCCACTCGGTGAGCGAACTTATCGAGAAGTCGGAGTGATAGCCCGCGAGATCCTGTGTCTAGTAGACCAAGAGATCTTTCCTCCTCCTGCTTATTCATGTGAACATAACACGTCCTTCTCGATGGCCAATCAGTTAACTTTCGATTTCGATTCCGTAACTGACCTGGTCAACACATTTGGATTTGAGCGAAGCGGCCTCAGCACAGGTGTTGCGGTGTGAGGAGGTTCGAGAATAGCTGGTTGGATTCCTAATTTTGATGCTCCACTTGCCGACATAAGATTTATCCCTTGAATCAGAATCTAGCCTCACTCAGTCTGATTTTCTTACATACTATAACGAATTGCTCAGCAATTAAGTACATTGATGGAAAGAGGCAGAAATGTTTCCTCAAGACGAGGTCTGGTTCGGCTGTCTCTCGGTCTCGTTGCTGCTTTTCACCAAAATGAACCCACCTGCTAAACATTGATTCAGGCTTTCAAGCTGCCAGCTCACATCCACTGCCAGAGCCAATCGATATGGACAGGATTGGTTGCATATATACGTGAAAGTGAGCAGTATATGAAAGACAAGGCGGATATGACTACCGCTAATCTAGACCGGTGTTTAATCTGTGGTGCAAGCATACTTCTGAGTATCCATTCTATCGATATATGTTGCCAATTGAAGCTCTGTCCTGAGAATCCTTCCCATACTGACACCCTTTCACTTCTCCTTTTCACGCTTTCGCCTTCTTCTCCTCCTCCTCCTTGTCAAGCACAAACAATCCCTCATACCCACTCTCCTCAATCAATTTATCATCAACGATAAAAACCGCATAAAAAGCCGCCTCCTCCTTCGTGTTATTCTCACTCCTCACATGATGGCACCCAGGGCTCTCATACCAAGTCTCTCCCTCCTTGTACGTCTTGGCGGGCTCATCATTCATCTGATTGAGAGTGACACCCTCGATCATGAGCGCGGTGACTGCGGCACCACTGTGACGGTGCGGCGGTGTGGCTGCTCCAGGGGGAACAATAATTTTGAGGGTTATGATCGAGTGGCCAGGGGTTATATTCGGGTGCTGGTGGGACAAAAACTTGAACGTTTCGCGTGGACGGCTGGGTGCATGGAACTTCAGCAGGTTCTTCGCTTTTTCAAAATCTTTGGCAATGCAGGACAGGACTGGATGCTTGGACGGAGAGGAGGGTATATGTCTAGCAGAAAGATGACACAAAGATATCTTGAAAAGCTTACCCATCGACTGTCCACTGGCCGTCTTTCTTAACGATGTTTCCGTGTGTAGACATTCTCACGAGAAGACGCTGGATCGAATGATAGAGAATGGGGTAGTCAGGGAGGAAATAAAGTAGTGCCCTTATGCTCCTGGTCGGGGGTGCCGGATATATAGTTCAACTTCATTCTTCACGTCTCGCAACGCCACACTGGTGACGAGGCCGCTAGAGGATGGCTGAACGTCACCATTCGCTCAGTCTGATAATGGAATATGAAGGATAGCAAATGAGTAAGCACGCATGCGCAGAATTGCAGACAATTGCTTTGCTCGCTTGCCGGAGCGATATAGCTTCAGCCGAGCATCTCCATAGTTCTCTATGAGATAATAGGCTAATGAAAACCTTCATGGTCACACGGTGCAGGAAGGCATGCAGCATGATATCACTGCTGGGCAGGGCAAGCTGATGATATGGACATCAGTCATTCTTCTGCAGTAGCTATCTGCTTCGCACCATTGAAGCAAATTTTGGAAAGAGATGCTAATGCTGGGATAGGCCACTGGCGAAGAAGTCGCACACCAGGACGAGTTGACTATTTTGAAGTCCGACCGCATAGTTTTGAAATTGCTGTGTTTGCAGCTTGCGCCGCACAAACCTCCATGCGGAATTGCTGTAGTTCAATGTCGTAATTAATGGGTATCTTTTTCTCTATGTACAGTATACGCCACGCTATGCAATTGACAACTCGATCATAGAAACGTACCTTCCAGCGTAAAATGCGTACACCAACATAAGTGGGGCAACGTCATAGCCGTCCTAGAGACAGAGGTTTGTGAAGCTGCGAGAGAGCTTTGCGTTAACGATTTCCGGTGCTTGAGGCATTTTCGGGTTGTTCTGGTGCGGCCAAGGTGGTGTCAATGCCTCAATATCAGATGGGATCACACTATGATCAAGGGGTTCTTTCGAGGCACTGGGTAAAATCTCATCATCAACCGCGCCCGCACCTTGATGTAGCAATACGTTGTCCTCGTTCGCGGTCGTTTCCCCCAGGCGCTTGATGTTTTGCTCTGCCTTCTTGCGCATCATCTTGATCCTCTTCTGAATCGCACTTGTGGCCGAGAACTCGGAAAGGGTTTTGTCGATCCGGTTCTCGACTAGACCTTTGAGGTAGAACCCCATTCCTTGGCTGATGAAGGCACCAGGAAACCTATAACTCAGCCAAAGGTAAAGAACGAGGGCTTTATGTAGCATCTCCAAACGGTCAAGGTAACCTCGATCAACCGTCATCTTCTCGTTGAGTACATCGATGTTGAGCTCTGAAATCTCCAAGAGAGCGCCACTGGACCTGTCGCCAACACATCTCGCAAATGCACGTACTATCTCTGGCATCCCCCCAATACGTTTGGTGCCGCCTTGACCGCCCACCTGGGCTGGCGCTGCACAAAACGTGATGCGGTCACGTAACGATAGGTTTTCCACTGAATGTATTATATCGGCAATACGAACCTGATCTCTGAGGTGGCAAAGCTTGTACCGTGGCTGTACTAGCGCGATCTCGTGAAGGCGCTGCATGATATGACTAAAACGCGTAGACGGATCGAAATAGGCCGCAAATTGCTCAATGATATCCGTTGGTGGAAACAGACCTGCACTCATTATAGGATCAGGTTCCGCCTGCATCGCCCTTCGAACGTAGACCATGTCATGATTCTCTAGAGTTGTAACCAGGCCCACATTGGGAGCAGGCAGGTCTTTTGGGTTGCTAACCTCTGTCTCGTTCTCAGCTCCAAGTGCGACACGGAATCTGCCGGCGCGACCAGCAATCTGCTTGATTTGAGCACTTTCCATCAGCTCGTTGGTGAAACCATTGGACTTGTGCACCGATTCAAAGACAATACGTTTGATGGCCAAATTTAACCCCATGCCAATAGCGTCACTCGCAACAAGGAAGTCGTAATCATTGTCTGGGTCGTTGAACAGCCTCGCTTGTTGAGCTCTGACCTCAGGCGGCAAGGAGCCATATACAATGGCAACTCGACGTTGCGTCGCTTTCTCAATGTCTCTTCGCATTGCGTGAAGACCCATCCGTGAAAACACCACGACACAATCCCCTTTTCGTAAACTGGCTAGATCACCGCGTAAGCTGCTTGACATGGTTTTCAAAGGACTGAGGCGTTTGTAAGTATGCACCTCGATCTTATCACCCATAGAAGCTGCTAGCTCACGTATCAATGGGACTGTACGCTCTTCGCCACAGAGATGAAGCTCCCGTGCTTTGAGGCCCAGCAGAGCTTGAGTCCATGCCCAGCCACGTTGATCATGACCAAGCATTTGGATTTCATCAATGACTGCGACGTCAAAATCGGTATGCAGGGGTAGCATTTCGACGGTGCAGCTTTGCATCTTCGCAGGTTGACCATCTTCAGCTACAGTGATTCTTTCATCCCCTGTCAAGAGATCGCAGGATTTCCCCTGAGCATTTAGTCTCCCAAAGACCTCATGCGCAAGAAGCCGCAACGGACCAGCATATACTCCAGATTCGGCTTGCTCCAATCGTTTCAAAGCACGATATGTCTTGCCAGAATTTGTTGGACCTACGTGTAGATGTATAGTTCGTTGAATGCACCTTGTGTCGGGGTACCATTCAGCGGGGTACCGTAAGTCTGCAAGTCGTTCCTGATCTTCCAAGGTGATCGTAGACGATTGCCGATTATTATCGATAATTGAATAAGTATATCTCAGCTGAGCATTAACGGCCCGCTCTCCATCCACGAGATATAGAGCTCCAAGGGCTTTGTAAAGCTTTTGAGGATCTTGCGATCCGGTAGGTTGTCTAAGAAGTGCTGAACCAGTCCCAACAACATGATCTCCTAGCTTTTGCCGATATACCTTATGCAAGCGCAAGTTGATTTTGAATTGCTTAAGATACTGCGCGAAGCCCTTGTCCGTGACGCTCTGAGCGAGTACGTCAAGCCAATCTGAAAGCCAAGTTGCAAAAAGGCCATCGCTCAGGGTCTTTTTTCTTGTTGTGGCATCTAATGCCTGTTCGCCACGGTTGAGCCTGACGGCAGACCCCAAGGTGGGCTTCACAGACAGTTGACTCCTCTGGTCTGATCCTCGCCAGCGCTCCCTAACTCCATCTTTGTGTAGCTGAGAGACGGAGGAGCGAGAGCGATGTTGTGAGATGATAGATTTTGGTAGCTCGAGGATCCGACCTCTCGAAAGCATTCCCTTGAGGGGAATAGTTGAGGTTGAGATTTGACTAGGATTCTATGGAATGTAGCCATACAAGAGTCATTTAAGACGCTGCTTGTATCGTGACAGGCGCATGGAGGTAAACTAACGAAGGACGACAATGCATTGGGCGTCATGGAGAAACGGCGCAATGCAAGGGCTGGTGAGGGTTTCCGGAAGACGTTATTCTGACTCAAATTTTAGTGTGCTAAGATTGGCGGAACAGCTGCAGGTTTCTTATACTAATCTATAAGCAAAGCCTTACTTATGCTTAGGCGCGAAGTGTACCTGAAAAGTCCCTTAGAAAATTTTACTTTTAAGTAGCCGTGTTTTTAAAAAATTAGATTTTATTATTATAATATTTATAGATATATTACTAACTTAATATTCTAATTTATAATACCTTCTTATTAAGTATATATATATATTATATATTGTCTTTAAAACCTTCTCTTCTAATCTAATGCCTCTAAAACTTAAGTTATTGTTAACAGATTAAATTACTAAAGGCTATATAGCAAGGATACTAGCTTTATTTATAGAATAATACAAGAAACCCGCAGCTGTTCCGCCAATCTTGGCACGCTTAAATCCGAGTCAGAATAACGTCTTCACAAAATTAAAACCTGCACCACACGACCTTCGAAATGTATTCCTGAAGCACATAACTCTAGTAGATGACTGTAGGACTCTACTGCTATGAAAACCTGGTGCTTGGCCCGGCATTGCTACTCGATCACACAACCTTGAGCGTGTGAGTAGGAAGTGCACAAGATGGGGACTTCCGCGATTGGGGTACAGCAGGAAATACTCTTGGATGCTATAAGATCAACAGCTCGGGGAGAATGGAAGGTGGTGGTCCTGGATGCCATGAGCAAAAGGCTCGTGGACAATGCTGTTCGCGAGGACGATATCTTGAAGGAGAATGTCACAAATATCGAACAAATAGAAAATAGGAGACCTATGAATCAGGAGATGGACGCCATCTACATTCTCTCTGCTCTACCCCACATTGTCGATTGCCTGATGGCCGATTTCGATCGCAGGCGCTATCGAAGGTCCTACATCATATGGACCTCACTCCTACCCCCGGCCGAGCGTTCAAAAATAGAGCAGAATCGAAAGGCGATAGATCAGATCGCTGTCATGAGAATACTGAACGTTGACTTCTTCCCTCGAGAGTCTCATTTGATTACTTTTCGAGATCCTTGGAGTTTTCCTTACCTTTTCCACCCCGCTTGTGACAATTTCGTTCGAAAGCATTTAGACGATCTAGCACAGAAGATAGTATCTGTGTGTGTCTCACTCGGAGAGTATCCTACCATACGATATTACAACCCCCGAAACTCAACCCACGAAGCGAGCGTTATGTGCTCGCACCTCGCTCGATTTGTGCAGCTAGAACTTGACCAATATGCGAAATATCATGAGGACTTTCCACCGCCCTCACCCCGCCCTCGGGGGGCTCTAATAATCACAGATCGGTCTATGGACTTATTCGCACCTCTAGTTCATGAATTCACCTATCAAGCAATGGTACATGATTTGCTACCGTTGATAGAGGGCGATAAGATCATGTACAAGACCACTTCACAGGATAGAGGAGTGGAAGGTACTTCCAAAAACGTGGAGATTACAGAGAAGGACAATATATGGGTGAATAACAGGCATCTGCACATGAAGGATGTTCTGGATAAGCTTGCGTCAGAATTCAGGGCATTCAAGGCCAAGAATCCTCAATTTGCAGAAAGTGATAATCCAGCCAGCCTAAACAACATCAAAGACATGTTGGCTGGCTTACCGCAGTATCAAGAGGGTAAGGAAGCCTTCTCTCTGCACCTTAATATGGCTTCAGACGCTATGGATGTTTTTCAAAAACGGAAACTGGGCGAGCTTGCTTCGGTCGAGCAATCGCTGGCGACTGGTCTTGACGAGGATTACAAGAAGCCAAAGAACGTAGCAGATCAAGTAGTAAGATTATTAGATGAAGGCGCTGTGACCTCTCCTGATCGACTTCGTTTACTGATGCAATATTTGTTGTATCGTGACGGCTTGCTACCTTCGGATACTCAAAAGTTGCTAGCACACGCTCAGTTGCCACCACAGGATGCTGAGGTTATCAATAATCTGCATTTACTGGGAGCTCATGTGACAAGGGCACTTAAAGACCCTAGACCATTAGCCCAGCCTCCTTTTGGAAGAACGCAAGCTCCCTCCAATCCACAAGAAGAGGAATCAGGGCTTTCTCGATACGATCCAGCGGTCAAGCCTATGCTTGAAGAACACATTCGCGGTACCCTTGATCAACAGTCATACCCTTTCACAAAGCCCCATCTTGATGGCGCAGAGGGTATGGGAGCTCAAGATACTGTTTCCCAAGCATCCCTCAGGAGCGCAAAGCCAACGTGGGCAAGGACACGGCCCTCGGCTTTAGAGCCACGGCAACGCATTATTGTCTTCATGGCAGGCGGAGCAACTTACTCAGAGTCTCGCGCTTGTTATGAAGTCTCTAAATCTCTCAACAAAGACATTTTTCTTGCAACATCGCATATGCTGACGCCAGGTCTGTACCTCCGTCAGGTTGGCGACCTTAGCGTAGATAGGCGGCGATTGAACCTGCCTGCTGAGCAACCAAAACCAAAAGCCCCAGCACATTTATTTGAGGCAGAGCGACCTCAGCAACCAGATTCTAGACAAGCAACACCACCCTATCAGCCTTCAACTGGGACGATGGGGAACATGAGCCTTCATGGGCCTTCGAATGGTGCGGCGAAGGCGTCATCCAGACCACAGGCGCCATCTCAGCCGGTGATCCAGACAGGCATAAAGCTTGGGAAAGACACAGATAAGAAAGACAAGGACAAGAAAAAGAAACACCATTTTTTTGGTTCCAAAAAGTAGTCAATGACTTACGAGCCTGTGTCCGCATCACGGGCTGGCTTGCAATTTCAGGAGCTAGGGGCCAGTTTCTGACATATGTTGCATTTGGATCTTCTTCTGGACAAGGCGAGAGGCGTATGAGTAGGCTTTCATGAGATACCACTGCTGCTCATAAGTCTCAAAATTCAAGGGGCGAGAGGGAGGTGAATGAGTATGTACTATTAAAGATATGTCAGTCAGACAATGAACCCTTACAGAGCTTCCGAAGAGGCTCTCTCCTTGATTCCGTCTCACTCCACTAAAGCGCCCCACGATTCCCATCAGACCAATCAATCATGGCCGAGATACTTCTCGACGTCGTCATTTCGATAAAACATCTCCTGCAACCTCTTCCCACGCCTCCTTTCGAGCTCCTCCCTCTTCCTTACTTTTCCCGCATCCAATGAAACAGGCGCTATGACCTGTTTTCCTTCTGGTACTTTCATCCCCAAACCCACTGTGTCTTTCTTTACCTTCACTTTGACAGGTGCTCTGATACCCTCTCCAGCTGCGCCAAGCCCGACTCTACGATCAGGATCCCATCCATATGAGGAAAGGTACTTGAGACCCTGTCGATTGCGATCGAGGTGAGAGGGTGGATATGAGTGTTGGAGGCAGACTTGGTGAGCGAGAGATAGATCATGGCATTCTAAGGGAGCGGCTTTACTGTCTTCTGAGGCCTCGATAGGTTGATTGCATATGTCACATACTGTTGCAGAGCGCAGTTTCAAACTTCTTTTAGTATTAGACGTCTCGAACCTGCCTGAACGAGCAACTGTCGAAGACCCACCCTCTTTCAGCACGATCGAAAGATACTGATCCCCTAAGTTGCGGAAGGGTTTTTGCGCCTCCTCGACATTTGTAGTGGAGGTAGCAGGGACAAAGTCGATACGCTTCCGTTTCAAGCTTGCTCCGTATATGCTTCGCTCTTCGCACCGTCCTCCCATTTTGACGTTGTCGTTGTTATCGTCGTCCATGAGGTAGGAAGCTGGTGAGCAGTCTCAGGTAGTTTGCTTCAACTTTGACGAGTCCGGGTCAACTCCGGGGGTGAGACTATCCCCGCTTAAATCCGGTGGAATTATGAAAGATTTACTCGAGGGCTGCTATCAACAGCTGTCGTCGCTTTACCTTCAACCCTGTGTGATGGACGACCTCTATGAACTAGAACTCCTCTCCTTGGTATCGCGGATCACATCAGAACTCCAAAATCATCTTGGAATCCTCGACAAGACTCTAGCAGAATTCGTTATTGCCCAACATGAAAAATGCCAGTCTATCACAGATTTCAAGTCGCAGATGGACGCAATGGGAGCGGACTTCCCCCAAAGCTTAGTCGAGAGTATAGACCGCTTGGTCTTGACGATACACCCAAAACATAAGGCCAAAGGACGGGGGAAGGAAGTACAAAATAATGAACAAAGTGCCCCTCTTGATGCAATAGACCGCAAGACGAGAATCTTTAAGGGCTTAGCAGTGCCTGACAAAGAGAGCGTATGGCAGGACGAAGAACATGAGGACGTCACAAGTAATGGCAAGCCTTCGGTGGGCACCTTAGACGACACCTTTGCTATGCTTGAGGGCTTAGCGGGGAAACCGAGGGCACCAGCTACATCCAACGGCAGAAAAAGGAGTCGGAGTCCGGATGACATCGATGGCGGGATTGGAAAAAAGACAAAATACAGGTCAAGATCAAGATCAAGATCAAGAAGTAGAAAGGTTCATAGCGGACGCGGAAGGCATGAACATGAGCACGGGTTCGGCAGATCACGTAACGGCTTTCACGATGATGATGATGATGATGATGATGATGGACGAGGACGAAGACGTGGAGGTGAGAGCAAGAGACGGCAAAATCACAACGATGACTACGACATGTTCAAGAGACCGCCCATTCCAGAGATTGATGATGAGCCCAAGATTTTCAAAGTGTATGATGGGACAGTGACTGGTGTAAAGGACTTTGGTGCTTTCGTCAATATCAAAGGTGTGAAGGGCAAAGTCGATGGATTGGTACATGTTTCGGCTCTCCAAGAAGGCGCCAGAGTAAATCATCCTTCAGACTTAGTCTCACGAGGTCAGCCTGTGAAAGTTAAGATCGCTCGTATAGAGGGAAGCCGTATATCGCTTTCCATGAAGGACGTCGACCAGGACACGGGCCGAGATTTCAGGCCACAACAAAGAATAGCATCTGGGGCAAACATGGAAAGAATGGCAAACGGCGCCGGGCGACACGACCACCTGGGGTTGGATGTGCCTGTAGTAGAAGATGATATTGGCGGCAAACCCATGCGGCATAAAAAGAGAATGACTTCGCCCGAAAGATGGGAGATCAAACAATTAATTGCATCTGGAGCCATATCTGCGTCGGAATATCCCGATATTGACGAAGAATACAATGCTACACTTAATGGAGAGGGTGACTTTGAGGAAGAACAGGATGTCGATATTGAGGTCCGGGAAGAGGAACCTCCTTTCTTGGCTGGTCAGACAAAACAGTCCCTCGAGCTCTCGCCTATAAGAGTCGTCAAAGCACCTGATGGTTCTATGAATCGTGCGGCTATGGCAGGAACGTCGTTGGCGAAGGAGCGGCGAGATTTGCGGGAACAGGAAGCACGAGACAAGGCAGCTGAAGAAGCATCGCAGGTAGATCTCCAAGCACAGTGGCAGGATCCAATGACAGCTCCGGATCAACGCAAATTTGCGAGCGATATTCGTAACCCGCAAGCGCACAAGGCCCCAGATGCAATTCCAGAATGGAAACGCGTTGTGCAAAACAAAGAGCAGTCCCTGGGCAAGCGAACCTCTATGTCAATTAAAGAGCAACGAGAATCTTTACCTGTCTTTAAATTCCGCAAGCAGCTACTTGAAGCTGTCCATCAAAATCAACTTCTTGTTGTCGTTGGTGACACAGGGTCTGGCAAAACTACACAACTGACACAATTTTTGGCCGAGGATGGCTTCGCAAACGATGGCATGATTGGGTGTACTCAACCTCGCCGTGTGGCAGCGATGTCTGTTGCTAAACGTGTCGCAGAGGAAGTTGGATGTACCTTAGGCCAGGAAGTTGGATACACGATTCGGTTCGAAGACCAAACAAGCCCTGAGACTAGAATCAAGTATATGACGGATGGTATGCTCGAGCGAGAAGTGTTACTTGACCCAAATCTGAGGAAGTACTCTGTGATCATGCTGGACGAAGCTCACGAGCGAACGATAGCTACGGACGTACTATTTGGTTTGCTGAAGAAAACGTTGAAAAGAAGACCAGATCTAAAGGTCATTGTCACTTCCGCAACCCTTGATGCAGACAAATTTTCTGAATACTTCAACAAATGTCCCATATTCACGATTCCTGGACGTACTTATCCCGTTGAGATCATGTATTCGCGGGACCCTGAATCTGACTATCTTGATGCTGCATTGGTCACTGTCATGCAGATACATTTAGCTGAACCACCTGGAGATATCCTACTCTTTTTGACTGGCCAAGAAGAAATTGATACAAGCTGCGAAATTTTATTTGAAAGAATGAAAGCACTTGGTCCTAGTGTACCTGAGCTTATCATTTTACCTGTCTACTCAGCGCTACCTAGTGAGATGCAGAGCCGAATATTTGAGCCAGCGCCCCCAGGAAGCCGAAAAGTTGTTATCGCCACAAACATTGCCGAAACCTCTGTGACCATAGATGGTATCTATTATGTGATCGATCCTGGCTTTGTCAAACAGAACGCTTACGACCCGAAGCTTGGTATGGACTCGCTGGTGGTCACACCCATATCACAGGCGCAGGCTAAGCAAAGGGCTGGCCGTGCTGGACGAACAGGCCCTGGTAAGTGCTTCAGACTGTATACAGAAGCGGCCTTTCAATCGGAGATGCTTCCGTCCTCAATACCTGAGATTCAGCGCCAAAACCTATCTCACACCATTCTCATGCTCAAAGCTATGGGAATCAATGATCTCTTACACTTCGACTTTATGGACCCGCCACCTACAAACACAATGTTGACAGCTTTAGAAGAACTCTACGCTCTTTCTGCATTGGACGATGAAGGTCTGCTGACCCGATTGGGCCGGAAGATGGCAGACTTTCCCATGGAACCAGCTCTTGCGAAGGTGTTAATCTATTCTGTTGACATGGGCTGCTCGGACGAGTTGCTTAGCATTGTGGCCATGGTGTCCGCCGTCCAAACAGTGTTTTACCGGCCAAAGGAGAAGCAGCAGCAAGCTGATCAGAAGAAAGCCAAATTTCATGATCCACATGGAGACCATCTCACCCTCCTCAATGTGTACAATGGCTGGAAAAACTCTAAATTCTCCAGTCCCTGGTGTTTCGAGAATTTCATTCAAGCGCGGTCAATGCGCCGTGCTCAGGATGTCCGCCAGCAGCTTGTCAGTATCATGGAGAGGTACAAGCACAGGGTTGTCTCCTGTGGGAGAAACACGCAAAAGGTAAGACAAGCGCTCTGTTCTGGCTTCTTTAGGAACTCGGCAAGGAAAGATCCCCAGGAAGGCTATAAGACACTTGTGGAAGGAACGCCGGTGTATATGCATCCCAGTTCTGCCATGTTTGGCAAGCCGGCCGAGCATGTGATTTTTCATACGCTGGTCCTAACTACGAAGGAGTACATGCATTGCACGACGGCTATCGAACCAAAGGTATGTTCTGGCATCAATGTTGTCTACAGCGTGATACTGATGATATATAGTGGCTCGTCGATGCAGCACCTACCTTCTTTAAAGTGGCGCCTACAGATCGCCTATCGAAACGAAAGAAAGCGGAAAGGATTCAGCCTTTGCATAATCGGTTTGCAGGTGAAGACGACTGGAGACTCTCGGCACAAAAAAGGCAGGGTCGTGGAGGAGGGGGTGGGACTTGGGGCTAGGGAAGCTGAATCAATCACAGTGATACCCAAATATGTTGGAACCTGCCTTCAGACATCCCTGAGATGTTTTGCCATTGCATCTCCCCGCTCTTCACCCGCTTGTTGCTTTCTGGGAACCTTTTCTGTCTTCGAGGCGGTGCAGACCAGGCAGCACCCACGCTAGAGCTCGAAATCCTTCTAGGCCACAAATACTCATAAAACGTATTCTTGATCTCTCGTTCTGTATGTGTGAACATCAGCATTTCCGGTTCATCATGTCCGCTACCTCACCGTTCTCTGAGCAGCAGCAGCAGCAACAGCAACCCCCATACAAGGACGATCCAGTAGCAGAATCAAGCCAGACGAAACCTCACTACTTCCAACCCGAAGCGCAAAGTGAAGATCAAGAGAGCACTCGAGCCCAATCGGAGCCCTCCTCACCTTCGTCACCGGCGACGGCCCAACGACCCTTGAATAAATGGACCATGTTGCTAACCCCCGTCTCCCTTTTCCTCGCAGTATTCGCGACTATAGCGACAATCAGTACGCTCGTGGCAGCGAACGCGAGTGACCCGGTTTATCCTGTTGATGGAGCCGTAGTGGTTGATATTGGTGGTGTGCTGACTGCCGTGTGTTTCTCCCCCTTGTTCTCCCCCACTGCATCACTCCCTCAATCTATCAATCACGTACCTTTTGAGTCCTCAGCATCGATGAAAACCTTCTTATGAAGCGAACGGAGAGGGGAGAGCTAACAAGCAGCGCGCAGGCGATATTCGTCACCATAATCTCGGGAATCAACCTTCATAGGATAAGGAGAAGGCGGGGGCTGATTTGGCTATGGTTTGATCTCCTCGCTGATCTGATCTTTTTAATTCTTCTGTCGGTGTACGCGCCGAGTGGACTGGGTACGCTGCAATATGAGGGTAGCAGGGACTGGGTGTGCAACAGCGAAGACGAGCGATTCAGAGAGTGTGAAAGAGATAGGATAATTATTCTTGTCTTCGGGTACCTGGGAACAGGGGCGGGTGTTCTGCTCGGGTAGGATGTTTCTTTTTCTATCTATCCTATCCTCATTATATTACTAGCTTTGCTGGCTAACCATTTTATGGGGATAGCCTCGTGCACTTGACGCTATTGGTGCTGAGGCTAGGGTTAGTGATTAGGTCGAGGTTTTGGGAGAAGCCGTGGAGCTTGCCGAGTGGGCAGGTGACGTTCGAGGTTACTATAAAAGTGTTGAGAGAGCCGGAGAGGAAGGATAAACGGCCAGAGTCTTTGGTATGAGTTTGCTGGGGGTAGTCAGAACACGCTCAAGATGTGAAGAAGGCAACGATCGGACAATCTTGACGCTTGTTAAGGTGATACGGCACGGTAGTAGAGTCTTGCTCTAAAGACATACCTCAAAGTGTATGGAGCGAAATCTCACAACGTCTTACCATTCTTGATATGGAAAATAAGGATGGAATGCAGAGCGTAATTGCACACGCAAGACTAGCAAACATAGGACAGACACAGTGGCACGAAAGGGAGGGTGGACCTAGTAATGATCACCAATTTATATACATGCAGCGTCTCATCCGCGGCGTGTGATCTCTTAATTGTTCATCATATCTGCGTAGCTAGTCAGTACAATTTTTTTTTCCTGTTGCGAATCAGAGGATCAACTTACCCCTTCCAAAAAGTGTTCGTTTTCCCCAATCCATAGCCAGCAGGACTCTTGTTCGAAAGCTGACGCTTTGCGCTAGATAGACGCTTCTCCAAAGATACACTGCCAAAAGCCCGCCACTGAAGCTCAAGCCTCCGAAGTCGAATACTGCTGAATTCCCGATATAGGCAAGGCTACCCAGATGGTGGTACTCAAAAGCCTTGTATACAGCGTTGTCGACATCACCGTAGTCCACGTCGTTAAGCGCCATTCCCGGCCGGGCTTGGGCCAACTTGTTGAACTTTTTGGCCAGATACTTGCCTTGCTGATCTGCCCTCTGGGCAGTGGCAGGCAAGGACGTAAGTTTGTTATCGATCTGGATTAACAGTTCGTGGAGCTCGCCAAAATCAAGCGTGCCGCTTTTGTCGCGATCGTACTGTTCAAACAACTTGTCAAGCCGGCGAAGATGATCTGATGCTTGCGGGAAGCGCTTTTTGACCTTCTGGGCGATGCCTTGCCATTCTTGGAAGTTCACCTGCACCGTCTCAGGATCTTTGCCTTTCTCAAACGCAAGGCTCCGCAAGAAATGGACCAAGTGATCGGCGACGTTGTTTTGCACAGTAGAACAGTCGCCGATGGCGTAAACAGAGCCCAGTGGTGCGCCATTGAGCCGTAGATGTGTATCTGTTTCCAGTGCGTGTCTGTTCGTCTGAACGTCAATTTTCTCGGCAATCCTTTTGCAGAATTCTGTCTGTGCAACACCAGTTGACCACAGACAAAACCCCATTGGAATTTCCTTGGTTACTGGTTCCCCGTTCTCATTCTTTTGACTGAAAAGGATCTTTTCCTTCTGGACTTCCTTCACCCTCGAATTTGTCAAGACCTCGATTTGATCGTGCGCAAATCTTTCTTCGGCATATTTGGAAAGAGCTTCATCGTAAGTGTTTAAGATGTGACCCCGGCTTTGAATGACATGGACCGAGATCTCATTCCGCAGAATTTTCGGGAATGACCTGCCCAAGTCCTCATTCAACATGTCGAAAAGCTCAGCAGCGAATTCCACCCCTGTCGGACCACCTCCACTGATGACAAACGAGAGCAACCGCCGGCGGTCCTCATCGGAAGTGGTCGGAAGGCAGGCATGTTCTAGGTTTTGCAGTATATGATTCTTTATCTTCCGAGCATCCTCGATGTCTTTGAGGAAATGGCAGTTCTCAAGACCTTTGACTCCATGAGGATTTGTTGTAGAACCTGGGTGATCATTAAGTATAGTGTCCCTTTTTCAATGAAAGCGGCCAAACTCACCAACGCCAAGGACTAGCTTATCATAAGGCAGGTAAAAGCGTTGTTTATTTCCGTTGTGATCCTCTTGTGCAACCTCGAGCAGTCTCTCTGATAGCTCAACGTCAACAGCCTCTGCCTTGAGAAAATGGCCTCGTGCTCTTTGTACTATGCGCCGTACTGGTTCGGCCAAGGATCGCAGTTCGAGAGTACCAACAGTAGCAGAGGGAAGCATGGGCGTGAAAAGGAAGTAATTGACAGGCGAAACTACGGTAATGTGATAGTCGTCAGGATTGAGGTTTTTCAGTAGTGATACGCTGCCCCATCCACTTCCTAGTATCACGAGCTTTGGTTTTTGCTTGAGCTTGCTGTTTTCAGGACAATCGTCGTCGTCAACCAAAACATCCGCAATCGGTAGGTTCTTAGGTCCACCACGGCGCGGATTTAGTGCAGATTCAGAAACTGGTATATCGGAGAAGGACAGGTCTTCGCGGTAGGTCGAGGCGTCGTAAATGAAGAAGGCAAGCACTAAGCCTCCACTGACAAGTATGAAGCCGCCAGCATAAGCAAGAAAGCGGAAGCAAAAGCGGAAGATAGGACCTCGATGTGAAGGGAGAACCTTAGTTGAGATTGTTCGATTACAGGAGGGCGGCAACGGAGGGAAAGGATGAGGGCGGCCGCTTTGTGATTGAGGTCTGACGGGTCTCCTGGCTTTCTGTATTGCCAATCTGCTGCTCAGTGATTGTTTGGACCTTGTCGTGCACAGCTGGGAGCACTGGATCAGAATGCCAGGCCTTCTCCGAGCGCGCCACAACGCTCTTGGGACGATGTCGAGCGCCATTGTGCCAATTGATACCCACGTTACGTATCTTGAATGCTATTTGTGCCCCATGACCTCCACAGTGTCTCAGGCAGTACCAGTGTCAGAAGCAATGAGACTGGAGAAAGGCATAACTTGCCGTCCTCAAGGTCTCGAAGAAATGTTGGCATGACGTATGAAGCTAGGCCAAAAGTGTTCGGCCGGAATTTCGTTGTCCCGAAGGCTGCGCTAGTCCTGTGCGGCTTTCGAATGGAATCTAATTCATGTAAGATTCGCTGCCTACAATCAACATGTAACCCGCTTTGAAAATGGCGGTAAAGCCGGCTGAGCTCGATGCAGAGCTGCCTCGTGTCAAAAGGCAGAAGCTCAGTCGAGACGTGCCAACCGCGGTCGAAAGCGAGGTCAATATCAAGTCTACTGAAGATCTCAAGAAGTCGCTGGCCTTTGAGCAGGATGCTGGTCCTAATGCTATGAAAAGTCAGCAAATGAAATGATGAAGATAAATCCTACTGACATATCATGCTAGGAGTGAAGGAATTGAAGTCTTTCTTGACTCAACTTCAATATGGTAAGGAGCCAGAAACGAAGATTGTGAACCAGTCAATCCTACTGGAAGTCTTCAAATCGAAAAGCCCCTCAGCAGTGGAGCGGAGCAGAACCGCTTTCACCGATCTCATTCAAAGTTGGCATTTTGCCGTCCAAGCTGGTGTTGAGAGTTTGTGCTCTGCGATTTCAGCTGTATTCGCGTTACTGCTTAAGTCCATTTCTAGAATCCCTGATTTCCGGGACTACGGCGTAGCGCTATGCCGTGAACTGCTACATGAAGATCACATGAACCTGTTCGACCGAAGTTTGACCGCTCACAGATCTAAAAAACACTTGATCGGTCCTTGCATTCGCCTCTTGACAGAGGTGGTCCAGTTTGACGGTGGTAGCTGTGCAAAAATCATCTACCGCCAACGAGCAACAACTTTTCAGCGCCTCGAAGTCTTTCTGTCAATGCATAAAGAGGCTAATGAGCAGGACGACGACAGTAGCAAGAGGCGACCATCCATCCGTGAGATTGCTCTAGAGTATTTGATTGCAAATGTCAAGTTTCAAACCGACAAGGCAAAGGGCTTCCTGCTTAAACATAATTTGATTGTACGCGCTTGGCTTCGAGATGTGCCTGTCGATCCAGCCTGGGCGGTTAGAAAGACTCTTCAAACATTGACGAAGGATGTTGCGGAAGACGCATCTCTTGATTATCACACCAAAATCTATCTGTTCGACAGTTCGGCTCTCACTGATCTGTCCAAACTGTATAATTACAAAGGTAGCGCTGACGTCACAATTCAATCTCAAATGAGGGAATTGATTCAGGATTTCCTGCTCGTGCTGCTAAACTCGCGTACACACGGGCTGCTCCAGCCTTCCCTAGACCCTGTTCGCCATCATAGACGGCTCGATGATGTTAAGACCTCTAAGAAGGACAAGGAAAGCAAGAAACATGATGCAAAGGATGATTTCAAAGCGAGAAGAAATGTGATTCGCTTTCTCCAGTATCTTCGCCCTCATGCGGACCTTTTCCATAGCGATCTCATCGTCAAAGCCTTCGACACTGATCCAACATTGAGCAAGGACTACTTCTCAGCAGAAACAACTTTCAGCTTTGACCCGAAATTGACAGCTACCTGGGTTGGCTACTCTAGGTTCTTACTTGCTGTCATTCAGCTACCGATTCCTACGTCGCTCATTGGCGATGGTGCCCTAGACGATGAAGGGCTTTCTGTGGTTGTGAATTGTCTGCTGCCTCAGCCACTGCAGGCGAAGACTCTTACAAGATGTTTGAACCAACACTCACGATTAGTCACATTCTTCACTATCAACATTCTGATTGCTGCGTTCAAGAAACTCGACAGCGTCACTCGGAAATTGGCAAAGGCACATAATAATTTTTTCTCACACAATTACGAAGAAGATCTGAAAGCTAGATTTGCAGCTCGATGTCCAGATATGAGACATGTCATAGCTCAGTTCCATTCTTGCCCCAAAGATAAGCAGTCTTTCCGTGAAAATATCACAAACCTACTCTCGCTATATTGTCGATTGATTCCCGAAGTTGCGCTGGAAGAAAAGATTGATGTTTCTGTTGTACTGTCAGAAAGATTGACAGCAGCGCAAGAAAGTTCCGATCAGGAGCTGTCTGTCGGTCTCGACGCACGAGAACTCGAACACTTATTAGAGGTCGCTATTCGATCTCCTGGCATGAAATGGTGGCATAAACCTGGTATGAACCGTCAATACCTGATTAAAATCTTCAGCTTTTTTGCTAATATCTTGGAAGGAAACGATAAGTCTTCGCCTTTCATAGCTCTATTACGGCTGTGTGCTAGGCATCCCCGTGATCAGCGTCATACTGAGCAAATATTGAACGTTATTAGCCAAGATAGTGGACTATTTAGACCCTCGCCGGAAGCCAAGGGACTTAGCATATTACTTGCTACTCTTCGATCCTTGGACGGCGAGCTTGAGACTGACGTGTACAGCTTTCTTGATAACACAATTTCACGCCTGCCCCAAAGGGCAGTTGCTTATCATTATCTTCTAAAAGATATTACCCGGGAGACTCTCAATATTGATCTTTTACTGATTGCTGTTTCGGAGCAATGGCAATACCAGGCTCAAATGAACTTCTCAACGTTCGTCTCAAACATTACGATCTGGTTGGTCTCGTATCTATGCCTTGCGGCACATTCAATAAGCAACGGCAACCTGGTCTCGATTCTTAGCGCGAAATTACAAGAGCTTGACTCAAATGAAGAAACTAAAAAGCTTTTCGAGGAATTAATTACCCAACACTGCAATACAGAAAGCCACGATACCTTACGAGCACCAGTGAAACCCGTTCAGCAGATGGAGCTTGTTTTACCAGGCGGGCAAACGTCTGATGTCACAGTGGTAGCTCAGGTCGGTGCGTCAGTTCTAGCAGGTCCAGCGTTAGAAAGATTAGACCACCCGGAAATGCATCGTTGGAAACGAGAAAAAGTACAGGATGCTGTCTCTGAGCATATGATTGGTGAGCTCGTTTTATGCTTGTGCTCTCAACACAAAGCAGTCCGTCTGGAATCGGGACAAGCCCTTCAATCATTTGTGCATGCGCTCACGGTGGGTCTATCTTTGACGCGGATGTGCTTTTGCTAATTCGCGCAGATATCGACGTATCCAGAGCGACACCAGACTGAATTGCTTATACGTGAACTGATCGAGACGACTAGGAAAATCGGACATGCAAACCCGTTGCCATATTTCGTAGGAGCCTTGACTGCAGGCCTTTTACAAGTACTCGATGATCCTTTGCACTTCATGTACTCGAAGGCGAACAAGTTCTTGCACAGAAGTCCATCGTGGATCGTTCAGAAACTGCCGTCGTATTGGATTGACAAGGTCATCCTACATGGACCGTCTGATACTGAAATGCAACATTGCGAGGTACAGTGGCTTCTTAACATTCTCCTCGATGGCCTTCGCACTTCAGATGATATGGAGCTTTACCGCCAGTGTCACGTTTTTGAGCACCTACTTTCAATAGCTGTCTCGCCGGTCGTGCCAGATATCTGCTATGACAAAATAGTCGAGCTCCTATTTCGATGCACCTACGTCAATGGAAGCACTACGCTGATAACGCGTTATGGACTGCTTAGCTGGATTGCGTCTTGCGTTGAGCAGAAAAGTGCGGATTCTCGAGAGCGGCTGCTCTCGCTGGCAGCAAGAATGTACGATACTGCAGATCATGACCGGCTTAATGACTGGAGCGATGATAGTCATGCGGCCACCCTCAGACAGTTGAATCTGTCCAAAGGCCCATGCATAATACTCTAGGTTTCAAAGAGGCCGGTAGGATTACCTTCAATGTTGCCGGATGATTTCTCAAACGGGAAGAAGATTGGCTTCGTTGCAAAATCTCTATCCCTAAAATCAGTATCTTGCTGACACAATTAGCAATGAGAACCCCCATGTGAGTAAAGTCTTCTAGCTATATGTCACAATTGTAGCTAAGTGTAGATTTGTTGGCCCATAGTTGAGAATCTGTCGTGAATCTGATGCTGACTTCACCTGGTTGCCGACTGTAACCATAGAATTCTGATATCAGGAAGGCTGTGATGTAATGTTCATTTATTCGGTTCCCTCCCTAAAGAGGCTATTTCGGCGACAAAGTACAATTGATACCATCATTGATAAAATCGAGATGATAATGACTCTTGTCGACTCGAGAATTAGCTTCTCACAGTCTCAATCTCTCCTTCTCACGGGAACAGTCTTTCTTGATATCGACTTAAAATGTCGTCCTGACAGACGTCAGATTCTTACATACTCCTCAGCATCCAGGGAGACATCCTGTGCACAAGGACGATACTTCTTATGACCTAACTCCTTCTTTCACGCACACTAGCGCCATGAAATACCTTTGCTCTGTCACTTCTAGGATGATGTTAAGCGTGTGCAGTTGTGCTTTCGCCGCTCGAGTTGCCAATGAAATTGTTGAGACGCCGAGTCAGGCCAAATCCAATTTCTGGAAGGTTTTCTTGAAGTCTCACACCGGCTACGAGATGTGATCATACTGAAGAATTGGGTCTTTGGCGATAAGATTGATCTCCTGGATTCTTCCGCTAGTAGTTCGGGGCTCAACGTAAACGTTGTCTAAAGAAAGTGGAGAACGAAGGCTTTGAATTGAACTGACAGGGAGGAGAATACACAAATACGTGAGAAAGAGGTATGGATGGTGAGGATGAGGCGTGTTCAATAGTCCAAGCCTTGACTAGCCGATTTCATACTAGATAAGTCTTAGCACACTAAGCTGTTCAGCGTTCAACCACCTTGCTCTTTCTGCTTGATGAAACGACTATGCCATCAAATCACTACGAGGGTATCATACAATGGTCATGGCTGTTCCACATCGTCCTACATAGTTGCATATCCCTCACCCATCACCCTTCTCTAATGCGAATATCACCTGCGCGCATGCCCAGGTGGAAGAAACCCTTGCCCAAGCTCGAACCCGCCTCCACCAAGGCCGGGCCCTTCATGACCGTATCCCATGAATCCTGGAGGCGGCGGTCCGCCCATGTTCATGAAGCCAGGCGGTGGGGGCATACCGACTCCATTTGGTCGCGAGGGAAACATTCCAGGTCCCATACTGCCGGACCCTCGCTGCGGGGGTGGAAAGCCCGGGGGCGGAGGCATACCTTGTCTTTGTGACGAATGCTGGCCGTATCCGGAGGGCAGGTGGTCGAAGCCAGGGGGACGTCGTTCAAGCCCAGGTGGTAGAGTTGAGGGCGGAGGTCGTTGTGGCTGATTGAATTGGTCAAAGAGGCCTGGAGGAGCTGCTCGTTGGAGCCCAGCAGTCGGGTTCAGCTTGTCGCGTGGTGGCATTTCTTGCCTGAAGCTTTCGTCGAAGAATCCTGGAGGCGGCCCCGAAGATGGTTGTTGATGAGGCGCCTCCTGAGGAGGGGACATTGCAAGATTGGCGAACGGCGACGTAATTGATTGATTTTCTTGGACTCGATGCGCATTGATGTTCGATCGGGAGTGCTCTGGAAAGTTTTGCATTGGCCGACGCATGAGGTTGAGTAAGAACTCTCTGTCTTGTGGCTTTGCTGTATGCTCTGGAGGCGGTGAACGCACTTCATCTTGCTGTGGTTTGGCTGGAGGTGACTGGACAGGCGGAGATGCGAGCGAGTTCTGTCTGGTGGCTGCCCGTGGTGGCGTCTGCTCTCCCATGATTGGTTGCTGCTGCTGGTCAAGCAGCTTGAGTATCCGTTGGAAGCCAGCTTTATCTTCGCTGGCAGGATCTTCGATAGCTGGTATAATTGGCGGCTTGACGGCAGGATTGGCACTAAATAGACTCGTAAATTTGGACGGTTTTGCTAGCTTAGCAGCTGCGTGCATCAAGTCCTGCCGCGACTCTTCTGCGAGTGCCTCATGATGTTTCTTAGGCTGGCTAAGTATGTCGTAAAACGTGTCGTGGAAATTGCTGAAATCGAACGTTTCGGATTGTTTCTTGTGTGAAGGACTGGTCCCATTTCCGATATCGCGAGGCAAACTTTGAGATCCATGGTCGGCCTTGGCTGGGGCTGCGTCCTTCGAATTGCGCGCTTTCATCTGGGCTCTGAACTCCTCAAAATCCTCTTGAGTTGGTGGAGGCTTCTTCTCCTCTGTTGTCTCATCTTCACCCAGCCACAGCGGGTCTTCATCTGCAGCAGCGCCTCGACCCCAGCCATGGCTCTGCTCACGCAGTCCACGTTTTCCCCTGGCAACAGGACCTCTGAGATTGCTTCGTTCCGAAAAGCCATCCACTTTCTCCGTTTGCTTAGCGTCTCGACCCCAGAGCGGCATTTCGTGGCTTCGAGAGGTCCCGTTTCGTCGCTCAGAGCGAGACGAGTCTTCGTTTTCTCCGTTGGCATCAATTCCTCGCTCTCGTCTTTCATTCCTAGGATCTTTCGTTCGGTTGTTATCCCACTCATCATTTCTCTTGCGAGGCTTCTCCTTTTCTTCTTCGTCAGGTTTTCGGGGCTGTCGGGCATTGGCCCACATTTCGGGATCATCTTTCACACTCCGTCTATTGCTAATCTGTCCATTCCTCCCCTCACGAGAATTCCCCTCCTCTCGCTCGTGTCCTTGCAGCTCTAGTCTATATCCTTCTCGTTGTCCATTTCGATTCTTGGAGGATGCGTCTTCGTCGTGACTGGATAGTGCTGATCGTTGACCGTTGCGCCCAGAGGCAGAGGCAAAAGCGGTTTTAGGTGGTCCTAGAACAATATCTCCCGGTGCTACTAGTGACATCAATCCTAAGTTCTGTTAAGTCATCAAGCTCTGAATTACCTGTAGAGGATTTGCCTCGCGCTTCGAATTGTGGTCTTCTAGCATTAGCTGCGTCGGAGCTCGCGTCATCCTGCTTAGTGCGCAACGGACCACTCCTTGCATGTCGTGCTTGCTGTAAGTTCGCATTTGGATCTGGAACTGGTCTGATCTCTTTTCAGTCTAATTCAACTTCCTCAGTGATCGATACTCACCCCATCCACTCCTCCGAGGGAGGTAGGTTGGGAGGTCTGACCACAAGGGGTGAATTTTTAAGCTTCAGAAGCTCGTCACGTGTATAATGGTGCGCCATGATCTGAGCTCAATGTTGATTCCTGGTTGATCAGGGACTCTGGTGTCTTTCTCCGGCAGATAGAAACGGGTTGAAGGTGTAGCAATGCCGCTCTTGATGTATTCAGATGACACGTGCGTTCATAAAGAAGCATTGGAACATGTTCGTGGAGGCTACATCCGCTACGTTAACTTGGCCTCAAGCCTTCAGAGCCGTGAAGTGAAGTGAAGTATTCCAAAGCGGGGTTGCACAAGGAGGTGGACTTTCGAGCTAAATGGTGGAAAGCGGGATCTAGACTAGAGACCACAGATTATAGAGCGATCGTAGGTGTTATACAGCTATCGAAATGGTGGCGCAACTAGGTGAAGCTCCGGGAGGTGGTCTGGTACACAATTGTGATAATGCAGTGCGCTGTGACCTTCGAGACGCCTGGTGAGGTAAGGTAGGGCTGAGCTCAAGGAAGGCTTGGCATATATACGGTGGCCGAAAGCGACAATTCGGCAGTAAGGCTTGAGCTGAGTCAGCGCCAAGAGCGGCCAACGAGGTTGGTCTCCCGTCCAGAGTCACCCCACGATCTTTATGCACATGACATTTTCTATCCTTTGAAATCGCTTTTTACGGGTTCTATCTCCAAAAAGAGAAGCAAGATGGGCTCAGTTGTCCTGCCCCATCTGGTCACTGGCTGGCATGTCGATCAAGCCATTATGAGCGAAGAAGAGCGACTTGTCGTTATCAGGTTCGGCCGCGACTGGGATCCTGATTGCATGCGTCAGGATGAGGTTCTCTATCGTAAGCTTTCACTGCTTTTCTTACATATCTGTATTGACATCTCGGCATAACGCTGATAAATGTATCTTCTCCAGGAATTGCCGATCGCGTGAAGAACTTTGCGGTTCTCTACGTATGTGATCTCGACCAGGTCCCAGATTTCAAACAAATGTACGAACTGTATGATCCCGTCACCCTAATGTTCTTTTTCCGGAACAAACACATGGCAAGTACTGTACCTCCATTGCATTATAACCTTCGCTAATATATGCTTAGATGTGTGATTTTGGGACAGGTAATAACAACAAGCTCAATTGGGTCCTTGAGGATAAACAAGAGCTCATAGACATCATTGAGACGATATACAAGGGAGCCAAGAAGGGAAGGGGTCTTGTTGTGAGCCCCAAGGATTACTCGACTCGGTACCGGTATTGAGTGGCCTGACGGAGGACCAAAATTAAGAATATGAAACGACTCATGACCCTGAAAGGGGAACGAGGACATCATCCTGGACCTTAAACTGTTGTAATGATCAACTTTGAGGTCTCAAGGGTGGCAAAATGATGATAATTGAATGGGAGAAGTTGCCTCGTGCAGCTGAGAATGGTTGGTCTCACTCATGCGATAGTTATCAGGCAGTCAATATTCTTGCTAACATGCAATTCTTCCTCAAATTGAAGACGTCTTCATCTTTGTGTCTCAATCTAGCCGACGTAGCTTGGAGAGCCAATTGGACCACCATGACGAGCTTGCAACAGCGGCCTCAAATGCAAGAGCGCGGCGTAGGGATGCAGTTGTCTTGAATCCTTCTTCTTGAGGGCATGATACCTGACATGAGACTTTCTGAATCGATGAATTATTAAAGCTTCATAGTGCCGATTTGTCTCCTTCATCACCGGGCTTGTTGATCTGGTACACATATCAGCATCGACCTATAAACCCGAAAGCCGGTGTTGAATGGGGGCCCCTACTGCTTCAGCAAACCCAATCCATTCACTAAGACCTTTAGCAAATGCGTCGTCACCCTCCACTTGAGCTTCATGTTCCCACAATTGGACGTGCTCGAAGGATTCGACTTCGTGAAGCGATCGGATGTCTCCCACTCCATCGTCCTCCTCTTCACCGTTTTCAGAATTCCATTGTCGATTTAAGGGTTCATGGACACCTCCATTCTTAACGATGATGCCCTGATACCCTGCTGGTATCCGTATCTCCTTCGCTTTCAGTTTGCGACCACGCAGAAATGTTTCTGAAACTCCATCTGCTCTCGCATTAGCGTTACTTCATGTACGGTTGGCGGCTTTTATCTTGCCCTTCGCGATTTCTGGCTTCCAGTACCGATCTGCGGCATTCACAGTCCCGTCATGCTGGATGGAGCAAGGTAACAAATTGACTGTGACTTTCTTGGTGTTCTCGGTTGTTCCTTTAGACAACTTCAGCATTGTGGAAATGTGCACAAGTTAGTCTGATGCAACGCCGATAGGACGCGACGCGATTGAGCGCTAGTCTTTTCAGATTATCTTAGCGGTATTTTTCGGTGCTAGACCCTAGGTGCCAAGACATTTACCTCGATCAAATAGAACGACTGCGCAAATGTCATCCAATAACGTTAGACAACGCACGCGCAATGCTAAAGAACAAGCGTAATACGAGGAATGCTTCCCCACGACTTTGCACCCGTGGACACTCATGACACCACAACGTTCTTTCGTTGACTACTATGGATAACCGGTACACGCTAATTTCACTCAAAAGCATTTGCTTGGATGGAATGCCAAATACTGCTTTGCCAGAACTATTTTATCATGGGCCTTAGGAAGACAATCAACTATCGACATCCTGGGTTTCATTCCCCTTCCAGAATTGCTCATACCCTTCCTGTGTCTGTATTGGGAATCCTTCTGGCCATGCGAGAGGGGCCAAAGGCGCACCCAATCGCTCGAGATCGTCTGTCGTTGTTGGGACAACTCCCTTAATACGCAACTATTGCAAGTCCGCTCAGCGTGGAACTGGGGTCTCCATGTGACGAGCTCAGCCCACCGTATCAGCATATACAGTGTCAACAGAAATCGAGCCTCCTCCAAGAGGCGATTGAAGGAATTCAATCCACCCTTCGACGTGGCATGGAATATCTATTTTCCACGTATGCCAGGTCTACTTGTGCTTCGATGAAAAGTTCTCATTGGGGGCAGCGTACCAGCTGAATCCGCCGTCAGCGGACAGTTCCACTCGTTCAGGCCATCTTCCTCCACCAAGGTAGGCCCACCCTCTGCAATGAATCTTGCCATCGTGTATGACGACTTGGTCCTTCTAGGGGGACATCGTTGCTGAGCTCACCGATATCTCCTGAATCTGGATGCCATTCGTTGGAAGCCAGTTGTGCTTTCCGACCTACTGGTTAAAGTACAGATACTTTGGTCCGCGGTGCAGCAAGCGATTGGTTCTTGATGGCTAGAATGCGGTAAGGCCATTTGGTGCTTCTCGAACCTATACAGCCCCGCACAACCACTTCGAGGGGATTTCCATGAATGTTTGGCAGCGGTTCTCCGTTCATTTCCCGCGCGAGTAGGACCTCGTTAGATTTCACTTTGGACCATGGAACGCTCGCGACGTAGTTCATCACCTCGTTATCTTAAAGTGGTTGTCGGCTCCGTATAATTCAAGGTGTTTGGCCCCGTCCTGCATGCCACGGCAGTCTTTCATGATTTTCTTCAAGCTGATACCAACATATTTTACGGTGCCTGTCGCGCCTTCAGCCCACGGGGCCTGCGTACCCTTGTCACCTTGCCCTGTGTACAGAGATTCTTACTCTATGCGACGAGTTCCAGAGCATTGCATTATGACCACTTTCTCAATCCGTGGAAATGTTAACTCATCCATAAGCTGTTCTAGCTTATACGACTTGGGGTTCGCAACCAACCAATCGAGGTCAAGGCTTCATTTGTCCCTGTCCATAATTGGTATCTCCGTGGTTCCGAACGAAGTGGAGTGGATTTGGAGTGATCGCCTTTGAGGTTACAAGTCTTTTAGGTGCCTCCCCATTATATGGAAATATGACAGATGCAACATCTCAGGATGCTTTTCTATAAGAACGGTTTCCACGAATTTTCAGGAACAGAAGTTAGTTCACTGCCAATGGCGTAATGCCACATCTTCCCACGAGTACCGGGCAGCACAGGATTTGTGTCAGGAATTGGCCCAAGCTGAAAATTTGGATGCGGAGGGAAGGGTTGCAAAGTGGGTGTGTTTTGAGCCTTTACCTTTCTCGTCCTTGGCCGAATCCCCTATTTTATGAGGTTTTATTTCTTTTGTCTCGAGTCCTGTCTAGTCTAACATAGAAGGTTTGGCCCCTGATAGGCCTTGTTCGATCTTCCATTCATCAGGACGATTGACCATACTGGTAATAGTGGCCATTTTAGTTTCCGTGCAAGAAGCCTCAAGAAAGAACAACTCGTGGGTAATGGGCTGCTTGCTGTTCAACCATCTTTCCCTATTCAGATTGCGTGCAAAGTCATAGTCAATTCATTGCTTCAAAAGCGAGAATTGCAAATTCATGGGCCATATCATGTCTTCAATGGCAGATGGCAGACGTCAAACAGCAATACCATGATCTCGACTGAAGACTGGACTGAAATCTGGTATTGAGATCTATAATGACTTGGTCATCATTACTTGTCCGTCATCCGGCAAGGCGTCGCTTACATCACCGATTCATTCCCTGAGGGCCGTAACGGTATCGTTATTGTGGACCTCGGAATTGGAGAAAGCTGAAGACATTTGAACAAGATCCCTCAAGTACGCCCAGAATCAGGCTTCCTAACCTTCATTTGGGGAGAGGCTCTCTACAACCTACCGCAATGGCCGAATGGACCACTTTCACAGGGTGGATTTGGCGCTGATGGCATCGCATCAAGTGCCGACGGCGAGACATTTTACTGGACGTCGGTGTCCTCGCGTTACCTTTAGTCAGTACCCACCTCTCGATTGTTGGCAAGGCTTAAGGTTTCTAAGCTTTTAGCGACGCGAGCGGCAGTTTCCCACGAACAAAAGGGCATGTCAGACGGCATGGAGACAGACATCAATGGACTCAATTATGTGCCCAACATCGAGGGCAATGCTATCAACAATTTCTACCCGAACAATGGTACAGTCGGGGGTTGGGTCAGAGATTCGCGGATTGCATGGCTTGATACTTTGGCCGTTGCCCCTGATGGACATCTATATTTTGTCAATAACCAGCTTCTCGGGACGTCGATGTACTTTCCGGGGACTGATCGGAGGGTAAAGCCATACGCACTGTTTAGGGTACCCTGTTTATATGGTGGAAAGAACGTGATTTTGAAGTAAACCCTGGCAGGGTATCATCGCTTTGTCGAGGGCTCTGAGACCAAGTCGCAGGCCGCTCGGTGGCAGTGAAAGGGCACTTGGTGCGATGAGTCTCAGTACATACCATTTAAGTATTCTTAGATCAGAAAGTCTCCACTGAACGACATGCTGTGCATTTTCCCGCCCACTTCCAACGCCAAGCGTCCCCAAAGGAAGTCCCGCTTTCAACATTTTTGCTCCGCAGCTTTCCCGCCATCACCAAAAGTTTGCATTCTGTGAAATCATGGCTCCTACTGCGGTATCTCTACCGGACATACAAATAAACATACCAACTAAGCAATTCTCTGTCGGCCAAGCAGCTATTCATTCCACTCTACAACCGTGCACGCAAACAAGCACACGGACATCCCCAATCCCTCCGCTCCGTGCAGCCCTAACCTCCGAATCTACTCCCCTCGCAATCCGCTTTCGCGCTCTTTTCTCGCTTAAGCATCATGCCTCTCTCTCGCCATCCGACAGCACCACCATCCCCGCCATCGAAGCTATTGCCGCCGCTTTCCCTTCGCCCTCTGCACTGCTAAAACATGAGTTGGCATACTGCCTGGGCCAATCAGGGAATCTGGCTGCAGTACCATATTTGGAGGGTGTGCTGAAGGATAAAGGGCAGGATGACATGTGCAGGCACGAGGCAGGCGAGGCGCTTGGGGCATTAGGCGGAAGTAAGTCCTTGCCACTACTGAAAGAGTATGCAAGCAAGAAGGCGGGTGGGGAGAGTGTGCCACTAGTGGTGAAAGAGACATGTGAAATCGCAATCGCGAGAATCGAGTGGATGATGTCAAAGGAACGGGAAAAGGAGAGATTAAGAATAAGCGATTTCGCGAGCGTAGATCCTGCGCCGCCTACACCACAGGATCTCCAAAGGGAAGGAGAGACGGGGATCGAAGAATTGAAAGGACAGTTGATGGATACGAGATCGAGTTTGTTTGAGAGATATAGAGCTATGTTCGCCTTGAGGGATCTGGCTTCTCCACCTAATTTACCGACTGCGGTAACGGCGGTAAATGCCCTGGCGAAGGGATTTGAGGATAAGAGTGCTTTGTTCAGACATGAGGTTGCATTTGTATTCGGGCAGTTGAGCCATCCGGCGAGTGTGCCAGCGTTGGAGAAGGTGTTGGGCGATCTAGAGGAGGAGAGTATGGTGAGGCATGAGGCGGCAGAGGCGTTGGGGAGTCTGGGAGAGGAAGAAGGGGTCGAGGATTTTCTGAAGAAGCATTTGAATGACAAGGCTGAGGTGGTGAGGGATTCAGTCATTGTTGCGCTTGATATGGCTGAGTACGAGAGGAGTGGCCAAGTTGAGTACGCTGCGCTGCCCGAATAGTTGCAGTCAGATATTCATATGAGATAACATGAAAATGTCAATTGTTCTGAGTGTGACTGTATCAACAATTAGGACTGAAAGTGAAGTCTCGACTGAAAGGCGCGTACGTGTGTCCGCATCCATCGCATTCATAGAAGACCGTCTCCCCTTCATCCGCGCCCCGCAGCTGCCGGGTGTAGTATCTCATTCTCTTTTTCGCACAATCCGGACACGGAACGTCTATCAATGCACCCTTACTTACGTCATCCTCGGTGAGCACCTGCACCGAAGAAAGCTTCTGGCGCAGTATTGAAGGAAAAGCAGAGGGTTTTGATTTGGTGGTGATGGAGGTTGATGCAGTATCTTTGTTCTTCGTGCCACATACGTCGCACGTCAAGACTACGTTCTGGTTTCCAATTGCACCATCGAGAAGGTTTCCACAGTCTGTACAAAACACAAGTGAGCCGATTGCTGCCATTTGTGAAGTGCAAGTGAGGATTTGATTCATCGAGCTAAAAGACGTGGTTGACAGCTTTAGCATCACCTTAGGGCTGCATGTGCGGGCCGACCCCCCTATCTAATCTTACGTTGGGGCATTCTCGCATGGCTGGAGACAGACGTGTGAGGGCTGGTCATCTCTCTTTCTTTGTCAGGAGTCCAACACCACCTCAGCAGGAAAGCCTGTTGCTTCGACTTCAGTGGCGGAAGCTGTCCTCTCTTTGTACTTGTGCATGTATAAGTGACCTTGTGATTGTACAAGTCAATCGGATGGCAGTCGAGCATTCAACCTCACAAAGATGTCCCAGTCTCAAGGGGGGCAGATGCATCGAGAACATCGGCCGCGAAATGTCCATGACGGCCGCCTTCCCCACAGGAGCAGATTGCCCAATGTTGAGCAAGCCCTACGCTTCTCTCCATTTTCCTCCGTTGTCCCATTCAACGTCGATGTCGTTCCGATGCCCGACGCCCGCACGCCTGGCTTCCCCTCGTTGTTTGCCAATGTCTCGGAGCAAGAAAAGGCTGAACAACAGCTGCGACAGCTGAATGAGCAGTCGACTAGCACTTTGAATCGTTCTAGCTCCGCAGAACGAATCAAGAAAGACTTACAACGGCTCATTGACCCGGACGACATCACCGATTTGTACAACGCCCGGTGACTACTCCTATGTTGTTGCTAATGACGATTTTAGCAATTTCAAGGCACCTGTCAAACTTTACCGGAACGAGAAAAATCGTAAATCGCAGACCAATGGATATACAAATCCTACTACCCCAAAAGGACTCGGTCCACTGGCCTCAAGCGTCTTCCACCATACCAGCTCAAGCCACCGTTACCCTACCCCTACAAGCTTCAAAAAACAATCTTCAGCTGCCGCAAGTGTAACGGCACCCCATTCGTCGAAGACAAATTCACTTCAACCCGCGACTGGGCTGCCGACACCTCAAGTCGTCATCCCTGCAAAAAGTCCAAATGCTCACTTTCAACCCGCACGTCAAGATGGATTCAACCAGATTCAGAGTCATAATCAAGCTGTTTTCAATCAGCAAGCCAGTTCAGAGGCGACCTCACACACATCTCCAACCCTTGGGTCGTCATTGTCCCCTCATCCGGCCCCCAGTCAGGTTTCTTATAAAACTCCCTCTAAACCAGCGATGATTGCAAAAGCCGTCCATTTACCATACACTGGTACAACTTCCGCTGTGAACGGTCACTACTTCGCCTCACCTGCTTTCCCTGTTGAATCGAATACATCTGACCACCACTCTGTGGCTTCGAACCTACCCAATGCTCAACAGCCGGCCAATGGCAATCTCACTCCAAATCCACAGACCCCAACATACCGAAGTACCAACTCTTCAGTCTCTTCCTTACCAAAGTCTAGCGCTAAACCAATGGTAGTGATACCTGCATCAACTACCCATATCACCAGTAGCGACTACGTCACACTTGATTTGCCATCTCCAGAAAAGGTATCTCGCAAACGGAAACGTGGCTTTGGAGTTGATGCAGCCGGTCATGCTCCTGAGATGAAGGACCAAAAGGCTGCTGCAGACGCGACGCTCCAGCAGTTTACTGAGCTCACAGAAGAAATTTTTGAAGCGGAGGATCAATCCCAGCAAAATTTACAAGTGTTCATCCAAGTCCGTCTCGAAGATCGTGATTTGACTACGCTTACACCTGCTTTGCATGGTAAAATCGATGCATATTTACAGAAGATTATATCTTATGGCCGGTTCTCAGAAATCGCTGTTGACGACTTGCTCCGACTGCACACCCTTAGCGAAGGAGCCATATACTCAGTCGAGAATCAAGACCTGGATTTCAATTCCGAATGGACTGCAGACGGTTTTGAGAGCTGGGTGGAGCGCCTTGAAACCGCCAACCTTAGCCTTCGCTCGGCGAGGACCATTCTCCGTACCATGACTGGTGCTCGCGAGGAGAAACAGGTGTATTCAGAGGATCTCCTCTTAGCAATCGTGAAGATGATCCAGAAAATTACCGATGGGTGTGTTATTCCTGTTGTCGAGACGAGAAACTCGTCGGATGGAAACCTATTCGAGCATTTGTCGACCCACAAGAAACCCCTATCACACATCCTGCATGAGGCCAACAAAGTCTTAATCCTAATAGCAAGAATTCTATCTAAGCAAGAAATGGCTGAAATGATTATGACAGCTGTCGAATTTTTCGCTATCCGTCTCATGTTCGTAGAGAATGCTTCAAGCGAGAAAGAGTCTGCCTTAGGCATTCAAAAATATGAGACTTTACGGCGGACAGCGATGGACATGATCGCGATTATCTTCTCACGCTATCCAAGCCAGCGCACTTTCCTGTTCGACGAAATTTTAACTTCACTTCAGAGGTTACCCACAGGTCGTCAAGCAGCTCGACAGTTCCGGCTCAAAGATGGTCGACCTATCCAGTTAGTCACTGCTTTGATAATACAGCTCGTTCAGACAAGCTCCACGGTGGCGAAATCTCCAAGGCCCGTCCAGACGAAGACCACAGCCACCATGAAGAACGGCACTTCAGGCGAAGCTTCTGAGAAAGAGAGTGAATCCACGTCGGAAAGTGACAGTTCTGATACATCCGAAGGTTCCTCCAAAGCGACCAGTGAATCCTTAAGGAAATTAAGACATAAAGCAATGCCTCTTTGTGCAGCAGCAGCGAAGAGTGCACAGCACGTGGTTGGGTACCTCATGCAGCGTGCGCAGACCTCCTCAAAGAGTGGGGATGAACCTCATCGTCAATTGCTTGACATCTTTGTCGAGGACCTTTTACTAGTTTTAGGCTTGTCAGACTGGCCAGGCGCGGAATTACTTCTTCGTGCAGTATGTGCTCGCGCAATCCATATCCTTGATACCCCAAAATCCTTAGCTCCTGCCAAAAACATGGCCTTGGAGCTGCTTGGCACAATGGGCTCTGCAATTTCTGACTTGGTCGCTCATACGCGAACCGCAGTGCAGAGTCTGGAGAATCATGACTCGAAATTTAGTGGATATCTAACGCAGATGTTCGAAGACTACACGGAAGGATCACTGGAACCTAGCGAACTACTCTTGTGGAATGGCCCTTACCACGCCGTGGTCGAGCAATATGAACAAGCTCCCTCTGATGATCTTCAAGCCATGAGTGCCCAATCCTACTATTTAGCCCAGTGGGCGAAAGCTGTATGTACTGTTTCACCTCAAGCGAGTCCTGCAGTCGACAAATTAGCAACACGTCATTATGCGATGCTCTCAGGAGAAGAGTGGGTAACATCTGAAGACGTTCAAAGCGTTTCTGCAGGGCAGAGTCAAGTTGCGTATGCCCTGACGATCCTCAACATGGACTTCTGTCGACATTTTGATTATATGCTGAAACTTCTGATTGATTCGGTTACGAGTGAACAAACCACGGTTCGGAGTCGAGGTCTGCGAAGTGTCACGCAGATGTTAGAAAAGGACCCTTCGATTCTTGACCGGGCAAGAAACGTCAAGAACGTCATCCTGAAGTGTGCCACTGACACGTCACCAATGGTGCGAGATGCAGCACTGGCACTGATCAGTAAATGCATCGCATTGAAGCCAGCATTAGAGGTCGAATTCTTGAACCACGTCCTTCGCCTAAGCAATGATTCAGCCGTTGGCGTACGCAAGCGGTCCATGAAGCTACTTAGAGATATCTACCTTCGCAATGCCAGCAGTGATATCAAGGCCGCCATCAGCGACAGTCTATTGCAGCGAGCACAAGACAATGACCCTGGTGTTGTGGATCTTGCACGACAGACGTTTGAGGAGGTCTGGATTGCGCCGTTCTGGTCAGTCAGTGACAGTGTCAAACCTGATGCAGAAACCGAAATCGCTCTACGGCGTCAAATTCTTCTCATCATCAAAACAGCATCACGAAATCCAAATGTGCCACCAGTTCTAGTCTTGATCTTGAAGCAGCTATTATCAAGTGACTCTAAGAATGCGACAGCAAATGCTAAAGTTTGCACGATCCTCGTTCGATCTGCATTTGACCTCATGATTGATTCCGCTCAATCAGCAGATACTCCAGAGCAAAGACACATTCTGGAAACGATTACCATCTTCGCAAAAGCTAACCCGCGTCTCTTCGACTCTGACCAGCTGCAAATTCTTCAGCCCTACATCGGCAATCTCAACAGTCTGAATGACCTCAATATCTTCCGTCCAGTGGTAGTGATCTTCAGATTCGTATTGCCGGTATTGTCCAGTGTGGAGCAGGGTATGCTCGAGAGTATCCAGACATCATTGCTCAAGGGTGTGTCTCGCCTTTCGAAAGCTGAGCTTAGCGAAGTCGCGGAATGTTTGTGGGCCATCAACGGTAGCCTGAAGAGGCCTGATCCTCTGATCAAGTTGATCGCCTCTGTTATCAAAAACCTCCGTCAATTCGCAACCATCAATTTCAGCGACAACACTCAGAAGGACAACATGCTCCGTGTCAAAAAATACATCCAAATTGCAGGATTCTTCGGCAAGCATTGCGACTTCGAGGCTTATAGAGGGGCATTCCAGACCTTGCTGCCGGGATTCAAAGAAGACTCGGTAGCCAGTCTGATAGTGCAATCTCTAAGTCCTTTCACCACCGCGTCACAACCTCTAAACCTTCAAGCACTGGCTTATGACAGCGTCGGACTCATTTGCCAATCCTGGCCTTATCAATTCACAAAGCCAAGCGTCAGCAAAGCTTTTGCCTCCGTCCTTCAACGTGGTCAGCCTGAATTGCAAGAAATTGTTCTTTCAAACTTTCGAGATTTCTTTACTGGGGTCGAGCATCAGTCAGTGTCGAAACCTGAAGACGATGCCACCTCGGAAGACGCAAGTGCACCGAAGCTTGGATCTTCCATGACAGCCAATGAGCGGGATAGTGCTTCGGCTTTGATATCGCAGCATTTTCTGAAAGACATACTTGGGATTGCACTTGCTAGCCAGGACCTGTCGGCCTTGACTGCTTCCGAAGTAATTGCAAGCATCAATCGGCAAGGTCTCGCCCACCCCAAAGAGTCCGGACCAGCTTTGGTGGCACTGGGAACGTCCTCTAACGCTGCTATCGCCCAGGTCGCGTTTGAGGAACATCGCATTCTTCACACACAGCACGAAAGCATGTTTGAGCGTGAGTATATGAGAGCGATCTACGAGGCATTCAGGTATCAAAAGGACGTCGTCAAGGACCCGCTGGGCTTCAGCACGCAACCATTGACTGCAAAGCTGGCGGGAATGTGGGACATTATCAAGACGAGCAAGGCGAAGTATCAAAAGAAATTCTTATCGAACTATTGCGCCAAGATCGACTTTGACCTTGAGAGACTGGATATGTCTGAAGACATCTCCCCTACACTCCAGTTCGCCCGCTTTCTGCTAGAAAATCTGGCCTTCTTTGACTATAGTCGCTTAGACGAGCTGCTTCACGCATTGGCTTGCATGGAAAGGATAGTAGGTGGCACGGGCTCGGCTGTTGCCCATCATATCTCTACAGAAGTCTTTCACATCGTCGTAGAGTCAGCTCAAGATACCGACGCACGGTCCCAAAACCAAGCAGGGCTAGCAAATGGGGAAATCTCGGAATATCAGGCCAATTCGCAGCCTCAACTCTCATCTCAGGGGACTAAGGAGCCTGTCGACCCCGCAAGACTCAAGAAGCTGACGAGTGCGGCAGTCATCCTAGCTTCCTTGTGGGAAGCTAGAACGTACCTTCGACGGTTATATGGGCAAAGTGCTAACCAACAACGACGCGAGAATGGCAAAAGCAAGGGTACAACGAAGGACTTGAGCAAAGCCCCAACCCGCATTCAAGGTGTCTCAGGCGAAAAGCTCGTATCAACAATTGCCGAGAAGGTCGCGTCTCTCAATTCTGAAGAAGCCATGATTCGAGCGTGCGAGGAATTTGTTGAGCTCATGTCGGTAGACAACGAAGTCAAGGTCTCTGCTGAGAGTGAGGGAAGCCTCGGTGATCGTCCAGAAACACCAGGATTGGATGATGACGAGGATGACAAAGACACGCCGATGAGTGGTGCATCTAGAAGCCTCAAGAGAAAAGGCTCTGGTTCGGCTACAAATACCCCGTCAAAGCGCCGAGGTCGACCGCCACTGAATCGCAGAAAATCAAGCAGCCGGAAGAGTGTGGACGGTGATGATGCGGACGACGACTGGAAATGAACAGAAACGAGCGTGGCAGTGTGGCCTTACTTTCGATTACGATTTACTTGAGAGCCTGCTTAAGCAAAGCTTTGTCGGCTTGCGATCGCCTTTCAGGAAGAGACTTCAGGCGTTGGATCCCTTGGGAAGGGTTCCGATCCAGTAGGCTTGAGGATGAAAAGTCACTGTCTATGGCTGAGATTAACTAGCTAATAAAGGCCACAGGGGTATACAGCAGGGATATACAGCCAGATCCACAGGTGGAACAGTGTGGCGCCTCTGCTAGCAGAACATAGCTGTCTCAATGCCGGAACTCAATGGAGCTATTTTATCAATGCGATTTCATTCGATCATGCTAATTCTCTTCTTTTTGCACAGTCACTTTTGTCTAGGTAAGCATGCATTTGGTGGTACTCGCCCAATTGATTCTCCTTTGTGGATTGTCTTGAGATGGAATACCCTTGAGGATACCTGATCAACCAGTAAACTTCTGTTTTGGAATTTCTACGGGTGGTTCCATTCCAATGGTGGATATCTTACCTTTGTGGACATCGGATCGGGTCAGGGACACCCTGCTGTGGAACCATGGTCTCCCCGTCCCTTCCAATCGACTTGAATAAAAATATAAAAATTGCTCCACAACGAGCCTGAGCTCCAGTCGGCGAGCTTTGAGCTTCTTTCTCCCCCTTATCTAGCGTTTGCCACATCCTCCATGGTACAGCTGGTTGAAGCGCTCAGGCCTCTGCTCGTTGCCACACGGTGTTCGTGCCTGTCTTTACGCGTGGGATTGTTTACTTTATCCCAGTTTGAACGGCGTTCTCTCGGTCAAGTTTGCTGATCAGAAAGCTCCACGCTCAGATATTCAGATATAAAAACCCCCTTTTCCCCCCTCGTTTTATCTTTCTTCATCCTATTGATCGGTCTACTCTCGTTTCTTCTCCTCCGATCAAAAAGACGCTCGCTCTTCAAATCACTTCGTGCTTCTTCATTACGTCGAATCACTCCTCTTCTACTTTCTCCTTTACAAAAAACCTTCCTCTTGAAGCACATTTCTTTTCGCCTTTTTTCACTCCTCCCACGTCGGTAAATTCAAGACCAGAGTTTGCCACTATGCAGTTCTTACTCTTCCTGTCACTCCTTTCCGGAGTGATGTCTCTGTCAGCTTCTCTGTCCGCCGGGAGCTTCGCCCTATCATCCTCGGTCATCGCCCTGTCTCTCGTAAGTTCGACCCTGGCAGTCCCACTCGCTCGTTTTGGCCAGTCATCGTCTCCGTCCTCGCCTCTGGTTGTTCGACAGATGCCTGGTGATGTCGTCACAACCATCATCACCTATTTTCTGTCCCCGGAAAAACCAGCAAACGGCACCACTTCGGAACAGAACTCCTCAAGCAACGCCACTGCGATTCATCCTATAATCGCAGGTCCCTCAGCAAGCGTCGGGGTGCCGCAGTACGTTGCCGTCAATACGGCTGTGCCCTCCGTAACATCGACATCGGGGTCAAAAGCCTCTACCCCTACGCTATCGTCATCGTCTTCGCCCCCTGGCAGCAAGGGCCCCTCCGGCAAATGCGGATCCGGACAGCCCGTCATCATGGTCAAGAATGACTCCAAGGATCCCGTCTGCTACATGGTGGAGCTCAACCCTGAGACCAAATCTCAGGATCTCGATGTAGCATGCGGGCCCGGCAACGGCATCCGGATACTCGCAAACCAAGAGTCGGAGTTCTGCCCGGGGGACAACTTCGTCGGCGCCCTCACCGCATTTCATGACAACGGCAAGGAACGTGGATCCCGATTTGAGATGAACTTCGCCGATGCCGGCAAGACATTCTTTGACGTGGACTATGAGTTGGGCATGGACGCGTCGACGCTGGGACCCTTTGGCGACAAAAAGGTGCAGGGACATCGGGATTTGGCTGGGAAAGTCGACGAGGCTTACCAGCAGTCGGAAAAGAAGGCGGAGTTACAGGCGACGGGTCTGCTCAATGTGGATGGGTCTGGCAAGGTTGTGGAAGTTCGTGTACCCCTCTCAAGCCTTCAGCGATCTGTTGCTGACTAGTTGCTTCACAGGCGAAGATGGCCCCAGGTGCGCCAAGCTCGTATGTCCACTTCTTGCAGGTCGAGGCTGGGCTGCAAGGCTATGTGGTACCCGGAAGCGTCACTGGGGATCAGAACCAGCAAGGGGCAGCGGCTGGATTGGACGCCATGGGGATGGCGGATGATTTCAGCTGGAGCACGGAGAAACGGACGCTCATGATCACCACTTACTAGGTGGTCATGGCGCCCTCAGGGCTCCATTTCTTTTCTTGTCCTTCATTTGGGCGTTCTATCCTCGGGTATGTTGTTTGCAGGCATATCTTGAAATACCCCCTTCAGCGGCCAGAATGTTTTCTCATTATCTTAGTTATAAGACAGCTTGTAAATATGCCCATCACATTTTGTCACAGTATGGCTATTAAAGATGCCCACACTCTCAGAAATAGGGAACATCAAAATCATCTCTCATGTCCCTTTGCACTGCCTGTCTTTATCAGATCAATTGTCAGTTCACAGCGTCCATCGCCCTTTTGGACTGAATCCGAAGTCTTCGCTCACCACCATGTCCTTCCCTCAAATTGAAACATCCGTTTATCGTAATTTCCTGAGCTAGCTACACCCAGTCTTTCATGCTCAATGTCCGTCTCAGGAAAGCGGCCTATCAGTGCACAGCAGTGCACAATCTGCTTGCTATCCACAGCTTCCGATTCGCTAGAGGGCTTCATCCAATGGTGTCTCCGTGATGGTGCCACTTCCCCACAGCCTCGAGAAATGAAAAGTGGGTTAGTAGTTGTAGACACCGAGGTACTAGCACGAGAAGTCTGTGGCTTACCGTTCTCGATAGGAACAGGACAAGTCAAGCCCCCAAAGCCACGAGAATACCAAATGTGGAGATCCAACCAGCTCTTGAATGCAATTCACAAAACGTAATACCAATGCAAAGAATGACGAGCCGAGGGAAGGAAGTCGGAATTGGCATCATTCATGGCGATCAATACGCCTCTCCTAGAACGCCTCGCTCATTCCAACATGCTGTACGTAAAAACCCCTAGAATCACCAGTTCCACGTACGGCTTGCAGCGCCAAAGACCGGCGGTTTCCACTGCAGCCTCTCCGACTCAATGGTTCTCCTCTTCCCTCTCTTCTTCTCTCGCTCGCGCCCATCCTCCCATTCTTTGATGACTGCATCAGTGAGCACAATGACATGCTGCCCTTTATACACCCGTAGCATATTCTTATTCTGCAGTGTGTTGATAACGTCGGCCGTCGTCATGGCACTTAGAGCAGAGAGATCTTCGACGCTCAGTCCACTTTGCTTATGACCATTCGTGACATTGCTGTCGGGACCATGATTTTGATAGTGTTCCATAATTAGTGCCACGATTGTCCTGCCCCAGTACGTTCGATAGCCCAGCAGGCCAAGATCGCTGAGAGGTTTCTCGGGAGAGCCAAGCTTGCTTTCTCGTTTCGAGAGTTCGTAGGAGAAGGCCATGAGGAGGTATCCGTATCCGCTTCTTTGCACATGCGGCAGGGTGAGGATGCAAGCGACGTTGTAGCCTTCTGCGCTTTCTTTTTCTTTGCTGAAGTATCCGACGAGATGGCAGCCGTGCTCGTCTCGAGTGGTCATGCAGTAGAACAGGAATGGGTCTACGTCGTAGTACAGCGTTTTATGGTCGAGGAATAATTTAGAGAGTAGGCAAAGATTGCGACACCAGGTCCTCTGCCGCCGCCCATCGATTTCAAAAAAGGACGCAGTGTCATCTCGATAGATTTCATTGCCAGGCGGATGCACGAGCGTGCACTTGGCGCGATGACGGGTGAATGTCTGGAGAGTATCGAAATAGCTTAGGCAGAATTCGCAGACGTAGACAATGTCTGCATCTGCGTAGGAGGCTGGGTAAGGGGAAAAGTACCAGGTCTCCATTTCATGCTTGCCCATCTGTATTCGAGCTATGTTTCGGACTCGCGAGATTTCAGTGTGATTCTGGGTCATGGACCCCCCCGTGCGTAGCTTCTCGATCTCCTCTTCTCTGGAGTACTGTACTTGGTGTGCAGCATCGTTGCTTTTGGCTGCAGCAGCCGAAATCTGTAAGTCTTCAAGATCGATCTCGGAATCGTCATCGCCTTTCGGTGTGCCGGTGCTGATCTCTGGTGCAAGAACAGCAATATTGCCATCACTACCAGGCCGATTTTCCTTGCCTCCAACGAGCGGCGGACGAGTAGCTTTGGCTGCATTGCCAGAGGTAGTGGCGAGCTCCGGGGGATCAGAGGCTTTGCGGGAATCTGCTGCTGATGTCGATCCCCTTGGTCGTTTCTGTCCCGCTAATGATTTGGGCTGGCTGGGTGCTTTCGGGGCAGCTGCGGCACCTTGCTTTTGCCCCTTTTTAGGCGCTTCAGGCTGCGGCCACTCGACTTCCTGCGAGAGGTCCAGTCGAGAGGATGGTACCCATTCTGTAGTGGGTCAGGTAGAGTACAGTCATGAACGGAAATGATATACCATCAAGACGCTTGTTGAAGTCCTCGTAGTGCACACTTTCAATCTGTGAGCCTATCTTTCCCAACGTCTGTGGCAGAACCTACTAGTAATGGGGCTCTCCTTTTCTCGTCTGTATAGAGAGTATCTCTGCTTTTCGTTTCTCGCCATCCTATCAAAGACGTCAATTTAATGAGTCCTCTCGGCCGTATCATTCCTGATATCTCTTCTGCGATCGAAGAAAGAGATGTGTTTGACGAGCTACTCTTTCACAAGGAGATTCTGGACACAGCAAGCTTAGGCATAGACTCCGAGAGCGAACGGCAATCTTTCGAGTCTTTGACGAGGAAATTTCGGTCATGATGAGATCAAAAAGGGGCCAGCAGAACAGAGCGAACATAACAGGCGCAGGCAAGAAAAACAAAACTCAACAGGACAAACCTTCTGTACAAAAGCCTTTACACCGATTCTATGGTCGTCAGTTAATACTAAATACTCGAATGTTCTTGGAAAGCTGAAAGGGGGGCTCCAGCCGTACCTTAGAGACGAAATGGTCGCGATGCCGCTTTCCACCGCCGAGTGGGCGTCAGGCGTGCCCACCGGATCAGATGAGCCATCTCGTGGTGCCATATCTGTCGCGAGACTTGATACTGATGCAATTCAGCACCTCTTGGATGAATAGATCGGTGGGAGGGTAGATGGCCGATGAATCTGCTGCGGGCTATACCTAATGGTCTAGGTCGGAGGTTTAGGGGGAATGACTGCTGCCTGTCCAAGACTTTTGCGGGCCGTTTCCGGGAGGCATTAGGGACTCCCCTCGTCCCGTGCAGCTCCTCACGCTTCTTCTGTAAACCGAACAAGTCTCGTTGTGCTGCCACTATGTGAATGGAAGTCCATTATACTTGAGCGTCGTCTCTGGCTATACAATCTGTTCATAAGCATGATTTGAGCCCGTTCAGTATGAGGCGGTTGGCATAGTTCTACAATGCCCCGAACCCGCCAAAATCGTCCGCCTTCTTGTCCGCCACCACCTGCGTCTTTTCCCCCATTGTCGTCACCTCCCCCCCAACCTTGGAGGATCTACACTTACACCCCAACCGAGAAGAATATCTTCGCTCCGTCCCCCTACAAGTCCCTACTCCTGCCCCTCTGGCGCTTCTCCACGCCCTCAATCGCAAGAACATCCGCCCAACAGATCTGGGATTTGTTCGAAAGCTTTTGCAAGCGGGAAGATTTCGTAGGGGCAGATAATGCGCGGAAGTTCTTGCAGATGGGCATGACAAGAGCGGGACGGTATGCGAATCACAAGGGTGGGAGAAAATACGCTAAGGTGAATGGCAAAAAGGGTGAGGGAGGAAAGGAGAAGAAAGTGCTATTGGAGCAAGTAGAAGGCGACTGGGAGGGTAGACAGGAGAAGAGAGAGGCGAGTACGGTTTTCCGGGGGTATTGGGAGAGGGCAAAGGCGCACCCAGAGTACGTCAGGTTAAAAGAAGAATTCTTGAAGGGACAGAGGGAGCAAGAGGAGCCTAAACTGGCCGATGAAGGGAGGGATGGGAAGAGCACTGGGCATGGGGAGAGAGGGCGGAAGAGGAAGAGGTGAGTCGGTGTATAGAAAGTCGCCGTTTGAAGCTGGCACTTGTATTATGTGTCTCAAAGATCGGAGTCGACACCATATGGCCTCTTGGCCTAATGTGATCACGCTTGATCCAGAGATCCCCTGATGGTAACATTATTGATCAAATCTGTCTGCATGCAAGAGGCATAATTGCAGCTAAGAGACCCTTCCTGCAGCCCTTTAGCCTTAGTGAGCTTTGATCTTCAGGCACGAGCCCTGCAGCTGGGTCTGTCAGGAACCAGGCGGACCGCAGCGCAGGGCAGCAGGGGACTGGCTTCCAATGGCCCTGAAGGTTGGAAACGCTGCGCTCGTAGACTGTAAAGATTGCTGTATGTACTGTATACTGTATACTGTATACTGCAGACCGTCTCTACTTAGTCTGGACCCTGATGCTGGCTTGGGCGTTGTCCAATGTCGTCACCATCTTCCCTCTTTCCCCAACAAACAGATCGCCGCAATCTCCGGGCCCCACCAAAAATAATAATTAGTGCATCGCGACCGGCACAACAAATCGTCCAGTCGTCAAAGTACGAGTACGAAAGAGTGATTCGATCATAAGTTACTCAGCGGCGGGCATACTTAGCAGTCCGCTGGCATGAGCTGGCTGCGTCAGTGGGGTTGATGTCGGCTACATTCTCCCTGATAAATGTCTAGATACCCCAACCTTTCGTTCATTCTTGTGCCCGCGCAATGGCGTTGTCCCGCTCTTTTGATGCTGTGAAAGCGTATATCGGAAGCTTGACCTGGGCACCTTTGGTCCAGGTTTCCAAGAGCACTGTCTTAAATATCTTGCGGAGAATAGAATTTGGGCAATTAATTGTAATAGATACTAATGGCGCCGCTATTGTCTGTGGGGAAGGGGAGGTGGACGGGGCGAAGCCTCAAACGGAACTGAAGGTGGAGAGGGAGGCTTTCTGGGTGCGAGTATTGCTCTTCGCCGATATGGTGGGTCAATGCTCTGCTTGGTGGCACGTCTTGCATTCGCTGATGGTCATGGGCGCCAGGGTTTTGCGGAGAGCTTCATGTTGGGCGACTTTTCATGCTCTAATCTGACCGACTTCTTCCGGGTTCGTTCGTCCGTTTGAATCTCGAGGGCGATAGCTGACATTCCAAGCTCTTCATCCTCAACCGCAACAGGTTATCCAATGCCACCACAATTACCTCTTCCTTTGCTTCCAGCTTGACCAGCCTCGCACGAGGGACAAATACCATGGCCAATGCCCGCCTCAATATCTCTGCTCATTATGACATCAGCAACGCCATGTTCGCCGCGTTTCTCTCCGAAGACATGACATATTCTTGCCCGATATGGGCACCTGAATCAAGTCCAAAGTCACGAACAGAAAGCCTCGAAGATGCTCAGCATCGGAAACTGCAATATTTTATCACTGCTGCTAAAATAAAAAGCACGGATCATGTGCTAGAGATCGGTACGGGTTGGGGTAGCTTCGCCATCGAAGCAGTGAAAACGACTGGTTGTAGAGTAACAAGCTTGACACTGAGCCGAGAGCAGAAAGAGTTGGCCGATAACCGCATCGCCGCCGCAGGATGCACAGAAAACGTGGAGGTACTGCTGTGTGACTACCGAGCGTTGCCAATGCCGAAAGAAGGACCATATGACAAAGTAGTGAGCATTGAAATGCTAGAGGCTGTCGGACGAGAGTACCTTAAGACGTACTTCAATTGCATTCACAAACTGCTCAAGCCAGAAGGAGGTATAGGTGTCTTCCAGTGCATCACAATGCCTGAAGCCAGGTATGAAGCATACGCAAAAGGCGAAGATTTTATCCGGAAGTACATTTTCCCTGGTGGTCATTTACCGACTGTAAGTCAATTGATCGGAAACATTGAGCAAGGCTCAGAAGGGGCTTTGATTGTTGATTCAGTGTTCAACATCGGTGGACACTATGCGAAAACATTAAGGTTGTGGAAGGAAAAATTCGAGCGTAATTTCGACAGCAAAATTCGACCTGCACTCTTATCAGAGCACGAAGGGATGAAAAGCAATGATGTCGAGCTCTTCCGGCGCAAATGGCAGGCAAGTCTTCCTTGTCGTTTAACTGAAAGGAGGAACTAATGACATTAGTATTATTTTACATATTGCGAGGCAGGGTTCAATACCAAAACCTTGGGGGATGTAATCTTCACTATAGGGCGAGAAGGAGCCACGGAGATGCTTGAAGATATCCCGCTATAGATGCTAGCTCTCAGGTGCTAGCTCTTGTTTTCGAATATATTTCAGCGTTGTAGCGATTTCAGCTGATGAAGACCTGGCAAACTTTCCGTGTGAGATAGTAGGTAGTGCGCTAAATGAGTAGTACGCTTATATGAAGCCAGTAAAGGTTCCTCTTTCATGACCGCATCTTGTATTTACCAAAAGTCTCGGAGACCTTTGTGGAGTCTTAGAAGGTCCGATGAAGAAATCTGCATCATTTTTTGGCCTTCCTCTTTTTCGATTTCTGACTCTTTCGTTTAGTCGTAGTCCCATTCATTGCCTCGCTTCCTCCAACCGTCCAAGCAGAGCCCCACTTAGCCATGTGCTCCTTCTCAAAGCTTGCCTTCTCTCTTCTGAACAGTAGCATCGTCGCTCTTGCATCTTCAGTGCTGGAGTGTTCTCCTCCTTGAATATCCATATGTAGCAGCTCTTTAGCCAATCTTTTCAGGCTTGGAGTTCGTCCTCCAGACACTTGTCGAAACACCGAAAGTTTGCTAGTATCCCTGATGTCACGTTTTGGATGGCCTAGTAGGAGTGCATCGAGATCGTTGCGTAACGCATGGCCGACAAGTATCCTTCCATCGATCAAGCTGGCAACGTCTTGCTGTGCCTGTTCCAGTGTTCGCCCAGTTTGGAGCAATTTCGGTGTCACTCCGGATACATGCGTTCTGTAGTCTGTCACTGTCTCCTTAGTCTGGACGAAGGAGTCGTACAGCTGTTGACCATGGTAGTTGACGATCGAGACCCTTGCTAACGCTGATTCTTTGTCTGGATTCGGTCCCACTCCCACCATCTCACAATCAATGGCGAGATATCTACCCACTTCGATATCTCGTGCAAGACCCTCGTTGACCCTCACTTGCTCTCTGCTCAATTCAGGTAAGGCCGTCGTCTGCAGTGAGGTGCCGTAAGCGGCCGCAAGATCTCTCGGTGAAATCTGGTTGTCCTTGGCCCAAAGAGCGAGCGAAGCTGAAGCTGCGGGTAATGGCGATGCCCTCTTATCCATGTTCAAATTCTGGAAGTTTCTCTGGATTTGTTGAGATGCGCCTTTAGCTCTCGGTCCCTTGCTTTTCTGGCGCTTTGCACCATTTGCTATGGGGTGAGAAACTTCTTCAGGTGCATCCCTTTTTCGTTTACTACCATTTTTCGAAAGGGTGTCTTGTAACCTCCGCCAATTACTGGAGAGATTCTGTACGTCTGGCCCCTGCGCCCCCTCGGCCATCACATTCGCGGCTGTTTCCTGGTATAGTCTCGAACAGAATGCTAGAAATTGACAAGCATTTTGCCAAGACACTAATGCAGCTCTCCGAGCCTTGATGACTAATACGCCTATACCGAACGGCCGAGGCGGCCTCGGCCGAGAGCATCATATAGCAACGAGGGTCATGAAAATTAGTCTCGCGTCACTCCCGCACCCAACTACGCCAGATTGTGACGCGAGACTAATTTCAAGACAGTTGAGAATAAATTCAAATCACCTTCATCCTCAATGATCAAGTACTGGGGAAAAAATACATTGAGTTACTAAAAAGCGACCTCAAGCAGCATGGACTCAGACTGATGTGGGAATAGCTTGGCCCATAAATGTGTTTACATGAAGATGTGTGAGTCGACCTTTTAGTGTCTAGTAATATGCAAGCGCGCAAGCCCGTGACATGTAAAATCATTTTCACTCCCCGGGAAATCAATCAATCAAGAGTTTCGCTGATGTCTCCTGTCTGATATATCCTGTGCCTACGTCCCACGTGCTCGACCTGCCTCTTGCCCCTTGATCTTCTGTCCTAGGCTCGTCCATCATTAGAGAAGTGAAAACGAGCACCGAATAATGTTCGTACTATTCAATTGAAAGATATTCAGAGAGTCCAGCTCCTTCTACGCATTACGTGACTCGTATGTCGATGACGGAGACGCTTGTGGCTAGCATTGGTGGTGCAAGTGCCAAATTTTGATTGGCAGCCATCACCACAGTACTCCAGAGTCGTGCCACAATACCTGAAAAGGGTGTCAGCATAGATATATCTACCAGTGTCGAAAGGCAGACTGAGCTTACCCGTGCGAAGAGCAGCACATTCCAGCCTTGCAAGTCTGGCCGCCTCTACTACCACACTCGTCGATCGACCCACCGTCGGAGTTATTCCCACTAGCAGTGACAGCCCCAGCCCCTGACGCAACTGGCATGGCTACAGGTACCAATGGGGCACCAGAGTATCCTTTCGGAAGTGAGTCAGTTGTGCTGCTTGACTGGGGAGAGTATGATGATGTAGAACCATTGGTAGAGCCTACATCCGCAGACTGAGTGGTTGCTGATGTTGTTGCGTCGTGTGCAGAAACAGCTCCGCCGGTTAATGCGCCTGGCTTATTGGGCATGTGGGCACCACATGATGGTGGACCTTGATAGTTCTTTGCATTGCATTGACTCCGAATATCAGTGCAATAGGCATCCCAGTTCTTGCAGTTCTTGCTTCCCGTCGGTGGAGCGGACGTGTAGCATGTCTGAGTCTGTGCAGAGCAGTTTTTCGAAGCCTAGGTAGATCAGCAAATGTAACAATACTGAGAGCAAGATGACTTACCGCCCAACATCCATCCTGATCAGTATAGGTTGGAGGCGTGAAGCCACACCAATTCGCGTTCTGCATGACACAATTCGCTGGCTTAAGTCCATAATCTTGTTGCATAGCCCGTGTCCTGAGGCGTGAAGCACTCTCAGAGCCTGTGTACACGGCTGGGCCAGGTTCAGTAAATGGCTTCAGAGGCTCCTGCCAGACATTGTAGGTCATGGCAGGGGTTTTCAGGTCCACATAGCCTGGAATGAAGACATGATCCTTTGGCTGGCTGTTGCCGCTTGAAGACAAAAAGATTTGAGCACATCCAATGTAAAATTGAGGATCAGGGGGTTCTTGTCTGCTTGATGTAGTGCAAGTAGTTCCGGGCGCATCAAATAATAGCCCGGGGCCAAGTCCTTGGGTATAGTAGCTTCAAGATGTCCATCCGCAGCGTTCAGCATCTCGGTGCACCACTGCTTCTTGGTGCTATCATACCCGTACTCCATGATTTTGAACCAGCCGTCTCCGGCAGCATTGTTGTCAGCTGCAGCGTTTTCGACCTTCTTCATGTAGACCGCGCATGAACCTTTATGGCTCTTGTCTATAGCGCCTGGCTGGGACCCGTCCGGGTAGTCACGCCATTCGAAAGTAATTTTAGATCCTGCTTTAGTAGAAGCAACTCGTGCAACCCCCTTTTCACCGTTCACTCCTAGTTGTAATGTTAGCAAGCTGCACGAAGCCAGATTACTGTGCAGACGGTTTTAATTAGGGGAGCTTACCGCATGCCATCTCGGGGCTTGTAATTCCTTGAATAGGAAAAGTTGCATGTCCTGGGTTATTGCTCATGCGAACAGCGACACCATCGCCCTGATTCTGGCCGTCTACAAAGAAATTGGTGAAAGCTGTGTGACCAGCACAGAGCTGAGCAGAACCAGCTGCGAGAATAAGAAGATGCAGGGGTGGAAGCAACATGCCGTTGAAGTGGCAAAAGTATGCACTGGGAGTGCTAATTCAAGTCTTGGTCAACAAGACTGTATGAGACAATATTTTTAGAGAGAGAGAGAGAGACTGGAATCTTAAAAGGTGAAGAATGAGAGCTGTAAGCCTCGAGCACCCAGTCTCGAGAGATCCAAAGAATGTTCACGAAGCGGTGAAAACAATGAGATCGTGGGGGGTGTTATGGTTCAATTGTTCAACACTTGAGCTCGGCCCTCATCACTGTACGACGGTGAAAGGAGCCACAACTTGCTTCAAATTCTCCTGCGCCTAACACTACCTTACGACAAGATAGAACAAGACAAAGTACTTAATTTGAGTATTGATCAAGAGAAGTTTCACTATGCAGTCGGAGACTCAAGCTTCAAGAAGCGAGAAATCGGTGGCTGGTCTATCACGAAGCATTTTACGAGAGAACCCTTTCGCATGGGTGAATGTTGCCTCCCGGAGCGAGGTGTCCCTATCTGTGTTCCACGATCTGCAAAACAGAGGCAAGTATTGCTCTTGTCCAATACTGGGAGCCGACATGAATGTTTCGAAACGGGGGCGGGCGGCAAATGTTCCATTCCTCTCCAAGCAAGGTAGCACACTTTTCATAGCCACCATTGCGATTCAAGGTCGAAGGTTGAAGATATCGGTCGACTTCGCGACCTTCTTTGCCAAAGGCCAAAGGGGCCTGGATACACAGATCAACTTTTCGCTGGGTTTGTTGCTCAAAGTCCCCCAGGAAGGTGCTGGCGCTTACTAAGTCGATTGGTCTCCATTGTTTGACGACCACCCTCCAGTTTACTTTGTCAGAAAGGTAGTGCAGATGAATGTTAAGTCTTGAGGTTCGTGGAAGGGCATCTCAAGCCGGCCTGAAGCCATTGCTTTCAAAGAGTCGACCGTAGCCTTGGAAGGGCCACGCAAAGGTCAGGCCAGCGACTTATGACGAAAGCCACCTCGCATTCGGCGGTAACATGTGATAAGCCAGATGCACATTGCCTCACCTACTCCATCGAGATCGTGGGCAGTGATCCACTGTTGTTGAAAATGATATCAAAATTAAATCCAGGTACCAAATAGGGGGAACGTAGTTCTAGACTTTCTTGTGACGTAGTGAGGCCGGCGGGGGTTGCGGGGCACCAAAAAAAATAATTATTCTTAACGTTCCATTACGTCCACCACCCATTGAGATGGCTACCATCGTCTTGGGAAGCCAATTCGGCGACGAAGGTACAACCCTCAAGTAGAGAAAACCTTCACCAACTTTCATCGACTGACGCATCTACATGATTCAGGCAAAGGCAAACTTGTCGACATACTCTGCCGTGAAGCACACGTTTGCGCTCGTTGCGCAGGCGGCAACAACGCTGGTCACACAATCGTTGCCAATGGCGTTACCTATGACTTTCATATTCTGCCTTCTGGTCTAGTGAACCCATTATGCAAGAATCTGATCGGCACAGGTGCGCCAACAATGCCTGCAGGCAGACTTGGCTGACCATTCAGGATGCGTCGTACACATTCCCTCTTTCTTCAAGGAGCTCGAGACACTGAAGGCCAAGGGCTTGAACACCCAAGACCGTATATACATTTCAGATAGAGCTCATATCACTTTTGATCTACACACCGTAGTTGATGGCTTGGAGGAGCAAGAATTGGGAACCGCCGCAGTTGGCAGTAAGTCAACATGGGAGACATTCGGCACTGACACGGTAAAGCTGATTCTACAATCTATTTAGCCACCAAAAAGGGGATTGGGCCCACGTACAGCTGCAAAGCTGCTCGTTCGAATGCGAGAGTGACAGACATATTCCATAAAGACTTGTTGGACAAAAAATTGAGACACTTGGCCGAAAGCGCGCAGAAACGGTACGGCGATCTTTTCACGGCCCAGAACTACGATCTTGAGGGAGAAATTGCTCGATTCGATGAATACAGGGTTCAATTGCAAGATTTTGTTATCGATGCGGCTCCGTTCATATCCGAGATGTCCTCAGAGACCAATCTTCTGGTTGAAGGCGCAAATGCATTGATGGTGCGTCCTATGCAACTATCCCCCAACCCGTTGCAAGATAGACTGACTTTGCGGTTCAAGCTTGACATTGATTGGGGGTTCGTCTTGCGCCTGCAGCATCAAGATCTAGCTCACTGAACATAGAACTTATCCCATGGTAACCTCGTCTAGCACTGGTATCGCTGGTGCAATGGCAGGTTTGGCCCTCTCGCCTGATCAAATGCGGCAAAGACTAGGCGTGATGAAGAGTTATACCACACGTGTAGGAAATGGTCCACTCCCTACAGAACAGCTTAATGAAGATGGCGTGCGTCTGCAGAAGCTAGGCCGCGAATTTGGTGTTACGACTGGTAGACCTCGCAGATGCGGGTGGTTAGATCTGGTTATCGTCAAATATTCTAAATCTATCAACCACTATACAGCCCTAAATCTGACAAAGCTAGACGTTCTCGATACGTTTCCCGAGATCAAAGTCGCTACGAAGTACAAGGTCGACAGTCAAGAATTCGAATCCTTTCCAGCTGATTTGGAATTACTCGAGCGAGCAGAGGTCGTGTATGAGACATTACCAGGATGGATGTCAAGCACAACTGGAATTACTACCTGGGAGCAATTACCAGAGAACGCCAAAAAATACATCACATTCATAGAGGATTATCTGGGTGGGCTGAAGTGCAAGTACATCGGAACAGGTAAGCACACAAATAATTCGAATAACGTACCTTACTTAGACTCGCGGCAGGTCCTGACCGGGAGCATATGATATTTCGATAGAGGTTCTGAGCAGTTTTTATGATTTGCATGACATGGATGATACCCCTTTGAAATGGTTACAAGTGTTGCATTTAGCAAAAATCCTAGACGGGTCATTTCAATCAAGCCATTTGTGGCTATGGCGCACTGCGCAAGGGGCAGCTTCTTGTCTTCGGAATGAGGATGTCGTCCAGATAAATTGCAGGTAGTAGCAATAGAAGGGTGCAGCATTTCGAATCCTTGACTCTTGGATCATCCGAAACGCATTCCATTTGTTTATGTGGCGATAGCTCTACCTTTTCGATCTACCCTTTGATCTCTCGGATCAAAACCACCATTACCCCAATTCGCCCATTCTGGGGTTGGTGGGCCCATGTAGTCCTCTGGACTGAACTTGCGTCCCTTCTGCCAGAGCTCAAAGAACTTCTCATAGTCAATAAGAGTGTGCCACTTTCCCTCCACAAAGAACCGACGACTAGCGATGAGTGCACAGCAACTATGGGCATGCTCAGCCGCGATTCCATAATCCAGCCCTCTCCGTTCCAAAGCTACGTTCAGTGCTTCAACAAAAGCTACGATCTCTTCATAGAAAGGAACATTTTGCATCGTGAGACCCGCGGACGCTGAGGTCGAGGTACCACAATAGGTCACACCTTTGATTTCAACGAAACAGGGTAAGCCTTTTGCAACTAGATCGGCATAACCTTCGACTTCTTCCTCGATGTTGAAACCCTTCACAAGCGTAAGCCGGAACACCGTCCGCATCTGCATCCGCTTCTCTCTCAAGATGCCCAAACACCGTGTGAAACGCTGCCAATAGTCCCTATGCAGCGGCCTGTCGATCTTTTTCAAAGACTCAGCGTTGCTAGCGTCGATAGACACATAGAGCTGCGTCACTGGCTTCAGTGCAGCAAGTTGGTCAGGATGCTGTGCATTACAGACCAGAAAGCTCGATATCCTTTCTCTGTGCAACATGCTAACAAATTCGTTGATATGGGGATAAAAGATCGGCTCTCCCACCAAACTGAGAGCACAATGCCGTATTCTCATCGCTTCTTGGAAGCGCTCGGCTCTGACGCCGGGGACGCCACGCATCATCTTGATTTTCTTGTAATGACCCTCCTTTGCGCCCTCGAAGATCATTTCAGGCGGGTCGACCTGCCATCGCCAGCTTGTACCAACGGGGTTTGTGCCGTGCCGCCAGCAGAAAACGCATTTGTTGCTGCATGACAACGAAGGCGTGGTTTCCATGCAGAGATGGGATTGAATGCCATAGAAGGAGTATTTGTAGCAGGAACCACGACCACGAAGGGCGGATTTTGTCCATCGACATATTTTGACGCCAGAGTGTGTCCCGATTATCGTGTAGCCTTGCTTGGTGAGTGCAGTGTATGTTGGGGAGCTGATAGGGACCATAGGCTTGGGACCTTGGGGCTGCAATGAAGTGGTGAAGTCAATGGGTAGTGGTGAGGACCCTGGAGCTTTACCTCCGATATCTTCCAGGTCCCCTATACTTGAGGGTCTACCCTTTTGGGACCGCTCTGAATGATTAGAGTTTGGAGTTTTGATATCTTCTTCGTCGCTCTCAAAAGCTTCACCACTACCAACGACGCCTTCGCCTAGGCTTCCACTTGCCGCAACGTCGGTCAGTGTACTTAGAACTCCAGCAGTCCATTCGTCAAACCTGGCATCAGCATCCGATTTCACATCTCCCATGCCCACCGGAAAAGCTCTCTTCTGCCCTGTCAATTTTGCCATCCACCTATCGAAATCAAGTGCTTGAGAACAGAAACCATTGGCCACAGACGACCAACCATCTTTGTCTCCCAATCCAAATACTGAATACCCCGCCAGGCAAGACAAAGGGGCTGTGTCGATACGGAAGTCATTGTGGATATCTTCAAACAGCTTCAAGACGCTATCTAATATTGTGTCTATGTCATAGGAAGGAATCAAAAGCAGATAGAAATATTTTATTATTTCTTGAGACTGGTGAAGCATAGGTGCATGCTCGAAAAAGTCCTCGTGATCAATTGCAGCAAGATCAACCAATTGTGGTTCCAAAATCGAGGAGTCCTGCCTCTTAAAATGTTCACTTGCTCTCTGCAAAGCTTTCTCCGCTCGTCTATTGGTCGAGCCTGTCAACGAAAAGAAGAAAAACAACGGTTGAATCCTCGTATGACCGCCTCCAACTTTCGCTGGTGTGGTACGAATTTTGTTACCATTGACACGTTTCGGTATTTGACGTCTATGTCGTTCAAAATCTTTGATCTGCAATTTACTGTCCCCTCGATAATCTGCTTCAGATTTGGTGTCTCCACCAAGCAAAGTAGCTGATAGGAACGAAGCATGGCTAGATTTACCCTGTTGTTTTTTCCACCAAAAAAGTACAATCACACCAACACATACAAAGGATATTGCAAGGCCATAGCCATTCCACGCAGCCAACAGCACGGAGGACAACATAAAGCTTGAGCAGACGGCCTTCGACGTCGTAGGCTAGTACGCGGGCTGGATTTCACGGGCCTTCACCTCATGCTTTCGACGTACCGTCAGACCAGACATTTTCATCTCACAAGTTCGTCCGCTGCTTCTGGGGCGGAAAGTTGCTCATCTGGGTGTGGTGTGGAGAGTTCTACGCAGTCATGATGCGAAGTACGAACCATCTTTTCGGCTAGCTTCTTATCGTCGTAGCCTTGATATTGTTTACTCTTTCGAGGCACCTGCACTTATTCCAGACTATGGCGACAGTCGACTCCTCGTCTCCGACTTATCATTCAGCTTCAACCATCTCAGTATGATGTTCCAGATACGCAGCGATATATGTGCGGACTTCAGATCGTTTGATTATTTCAACTTTGGCGTTTCCCTGTATGATATCTTGTCGTCTAAGAGGCACAATAAATATGTGCTGACAATCTTACCAGCTTTATCCTGGTTGGCATTCTCATATCGTACCTTCCACAGCACATACGTATCACTCTGCGTCGTTCCTCGCAGGGGCTCTCGCCATACTATGTCCTACTAGGAACTACTTCTGGCACATGTGCTTTCGCCAACATTATTACACTGCCGGCCAGTCAGCTAGCGCTTGGATGCTGCAAACATGTGAGCGGCCTAGATTGCACAGCAAGTCTGCTTGGTATAGCCCAGGTTGGGGTGCAGTGGGCATGCTTCACGATTATGTGTGTGCACCAAGGCGTCGCTCCTACCAAGAGAGACTGACATTTGAGGCATAGCTTGTTGCTCTACCTTCTCTTTTTCCCACGTGCTACGCCCCTCACCTCGCCTGCTAGGAAGAATGCCAACCCAACATACACAACCGCGATAGCGGTCTTCGGATTGTGCATGCTCCATCTTGCTATCGTTTTCTTACTCTCTTTAGTCTTCAAATATCTCTATCCTAGCTATTTGCGACCTTGGGCAGAGTTTCTGGGCGTGTTTGGTACAATACTGGCGGCTATACAGTTCTTGCCGCAGATCTGGACAACGTGGAAATTGCAGGAAGTTGGTAGTCTGAGCATTCCATCCATGTGCATCCAGACGCCTGGTAGTTTTGTCTGGGTAGGTAGTCTTGCAGCAAGACTAGGTTGGGACGGATGGAGTACATGGGGAATCTACCTTTGTACGGGAATCTTGCAAGGTATTCTCCTGTCCATGAGCATTTCCTTTGAAATCAGAGACTGGAAGCGGCAAAAGCAAAAGGTCAAAGATCCCAACGAAGATGCGGATGAGAACCCAGAGGCTGACGAGCGCACCGGATTAATCGGTAGTGAGCAGCGGTGACACTGGGGGTATGTGTCTAATAACTAAACTATGTCTATTTGCCATGTCACCATTTCCACAGATGACAGTTTCTTGGCGCTGTGCCAGCGCAGTTGCGAATGTCAAGAAACCCGACGCGTCTGCGTATTCCTCTCTGTCCTCATTGGGTACTTGGCTAGAGAAGCAATGTCTCTAGAAGAGGAGGCCAGTCTACGAGATTATGCTTGCTCTCGCGGCCTCACGAACAATCATCTAGCGCATAACCCGCTTTCCCGCCTTGACTTGCAACCCTACGACTGCCAGTCATCTGAGGGCTGCCCTGAGTTGTTCCAGATCGATGAGGGCAATGGCACGCTTCCTGCCGAACGCATAAATATAGATGCAGATGCACTGTCTCTGCTTGCTGCGGTGACTCGGTTCCCTCGAGAGCCGCCTGCACGTCTCAGCGAGAGCGTAGATGCTGATGTCTACCGCCACAAAGAGCTAAAGATCGAAGCTCCGCTGCTCCGTACTGACCACGATATGGACATGCAGCGTTTTGGAAAGGCGATCATTCCAGATTTTGAAAATGAGTATCTACCGCTTGAAGCAATCGATAATGAAGCTGGCGACGGCCCCGAATGGCCTTCCAAGTACGCAAGACTTCCTGACCAACTGTGGGACCAATTTCGTGCAGAAAAGATTTCAGTATCAAATACAGATCTCTGCTATCTAGTGCAGACTTTGAAATGGCACGAAGACAGTCCGCCGTTCGCAGGGCTTGAAGATGATGAAGCTCTACCTAAATACCACAGGGTAAGGCACCAGCCCCTCAATCACCTGTATTCCGCTAAGTAACGACCCAGAATGCTGTATCCAATCCTATCACGCCACCGTTGCTTCCAATGTCCCCAGAGACTTCACCATACGTTCCATCTTCGAAGACTTGGCATCTAGAGATGCTATCAGAAGCAACAAGCCCGATCAAGCAGGAGATCAGGCAGGCTGAAGCAACCGTATTCCGTCATGATGCTATTCAAATGATGCCTATTTCCTCAGCCCTTGGGTCGGTCAAACGTGGCATTTACACAGGTTTTAGACTGATGCCATTCTTTAGTCCTCGGCCAAAAATTTCAGATAGAACGATCGACTCCGATAGCACTGGTGAGATGTATTGTCCACTCCTGGAGATCAAGGAGTCGGTGTCTCCACCTCTGGTACCCAGAGTCCCCATAGCAGATCATAAAGTGGAAGTGCCATTACCTCTACGATCGCCTCAGCCCCCGCCACCTTGGGCCGACAATAGCGTGCCGTTCAGCAGTACGCTAGCCGAAATCATGCCCGAATTGCCTGGACTGGTATCAAGTCCAGAAAAGAACCCAGAAGAAGAGATTAACACGTTTTTCGAGCACTGCGTAGCACCTCGTGCTGTTCAAGCCGAGAGAAAGATAGAGCAAGAACAATTGCAGGAAGCTGATACGACGCAGAGGGTGCTGGTTCCAGTCATGGATTTCTCACTGCCTAAAGCTCCTTGGGATATCACCCTGAACGCGTTTGAACCTTCTGAGGCACTCGGATGTTGCATAAATGTATTAGTTGATCTGACTTCATCTGATTTGAAGGCACACATGTGGCAGCCCTGTGGCAAGAAAGATCGAGAATTGACCTGGGTCGCTATTCCATCTTCTCTAGCTAAAGTCGATACACGTGAAAGTATCGAAGATGATGGTTCCGCTGCAGCAATCCTCGGAGCACCGGAATGCGTGGATCCGAAGGTGCTGCTTTGGAAACGTGAAGGCCTCCGTATACTTGACGACTTGGAGGATTCAGATGGGGAGGAGCTTGAACTGGGCGTCTTCCCAAGTGGTAACGACCTGACATCGTTGGTGCAGAAACGAAATCTTGAGCTTGATCAAGCTGCGATAGCTTCAGGAGATCACCTTGCTGATCAATTAGTTGGTGCAAAAGCCTTTGCCAAGCGAAGGAAGACCTTGACCTATCAGGACCATAGCTTGGACAAGCAAGAGAAGCCAGCAGACACGTCTAGAAGTCATAATGCTTGTAATTTGCTTGACTTTCATGCCCCCGCGCTCACCGCATTAGGCGGCTATATGGGTGTCCGGAAGAATGCCTTGACATCGAGTCAGATGGACGTTGAATTTGACAAAACATCAGACCAATCGCAGCGTCCAGAGGAAATCTTCATTAGAGCCGATAATTCAAAAAACACTTGGGAAGCCAGAAGTCCGCTGCCAAAAGTTTTCATGATGCCAAAACCGGATGTCATACCTGAAGATATCAGACAGTTCATGTTCTCGGATTCGCTGTTAAGCAATCGCAACCTCTCGCGACGTGTTTTGGCTTTGTATCCTACAGCTCAGGTTATTGAGAGGACTTGGCTCCCGCGTGCTGACAAGCAAAAGCTTCGAACGGAGCCATCTGGAAGAGCTGATGCCACGATGACGGACCATGTCTGTAGTGACGAAGTCGACGTGATTCTCTCCCCGACTACTGGTCTGCTTCTCACAACCCTACAGAAACTCAAGCAGCGTTCCCTGCCTGGACAAGGCAAAACATCTTCTCATACCGAGCTGCAAGACCGTGTTGCTCATGCGGCTAAACGGTTTGAAAGCCTCATTTTAATTGTCCATCATTCAATGAGCTCAGCAACTTCAGCTGATGACTTGAGTAGTAGTGACTGCGATGCATTGAGTGAATTCACAGCGTTCTGCTCTGCACTCAATTCCGGTGTGTCCATCATTCAAACCTTAGGCGATGACGAGCACCTAGCAAGATGGATCGTGGCTAGCATGGTCAAGCACAGCCTCTGCGATAATAATTTCCAGCTCATGCAAGAGGAAGGGGCTGCCGAGATTTTCATTCGCAATGCAGGCTTGAATGCATATGCCGCTCAAGTTGTACTTGCTGGAAGTAAGAACATTTCAGCTAGAGGACCGTACACGCAAAATGCACCCAGTGCGTTCGTGCACTTGTCTCTAGATGAAAAGCTTAAGCATTTCGAATGTCTGGTGGGCCGTCGAAGTCTGGTCCGGGTACATGACATATGTTCAGTGCGTTGGTGACTAACTATTAAATCGTGCTTCAACATTTAACTCAGGCCTCCAAATCCCTCTTCGAAGTGTGCTTCATTCTTTCTTTGGGAATTATTCTACACGAAGGTGAGACTAAGGGCCCCGATTTTTTGAAGCTGCAGGATGTCGAATTTATATGCTTTTCGTTTGCGTGGTTGGCTTGGATGCTTTGCTTCGCCTAGTCTCTATGTTTACGTCTTGGATGTCTTGCAATGCTCGGATCATTCTGGGTGAGACAGCCAGCATGCGATAATGCTAGATGTGGGCTGTCTTTAATCTCACTTTCCTGACGCACTCGCCTATGAAGATCCAGATTCTTATGATTTGCAACAACCATCATGAACATCATCAATTACGCCTTCTGCCTTCCAGTGCTCACGATCATCCGCGTCCTGCCCCCGATCTCTGCCCAAGAATCAATCACACAGCTCACAAACACCACGATACCCGCTCCTCCAGCACAAGACGGTAATCTGCCATCCAACCTCCCACCACCCTGCGGTCTGCAGACGCAGGTTTGTATTGCACCGGATCAAGTCAGCTATGTGTCTGAGCCTTTGGGAATACTACCCAGGCCCTTTCGCAGTGCGATCTGCTCTGTCTCATACACAAATGATAATGATGCTCTTGTGTTCCCAAATATCACCACCATAACGGATCCGGCGATACCGTGTGCTGTAGGCGCGGCGATGGCCGGCTCAATCATTTATGGAAGCTTTTCGGTGTCATACCAAGGGGTTTATTCAACTCTGCCAGCAGATCCACTGATCGGGTAAGTGTTGGCAAACGGTGTGCTTTTGCTGCCTGCAATAACGAACTACGTCAAGCGAAATTAGGACAGACCGGCTTATTCTTTGATTTTACAGAATCGTAGACTCGCAGAGTCGTGCTCGGGAATTTCATGCTGAGGAATCTTCGGCTTGCTCCAAAGGCAATTACACTGACGCTGGTCAGAACTTTTGTTCCTACTGGTGGTAAGTTCACGCGTTAGACTTAAGTCTTTGATTTCGACGCTGACTCCGAAGGTGCAATCTGTTTTGCTCATCATGATCGTGGATAGACTGGCCCTTCGTTTCTTTGTTCTCTCCATAGAAGAAAAGTTGACGAGAAAAGAATCTTTCCATACTCTGCTTCTTCACATCTGTGTTCAGGCTACTCTGCGATCGCCATTGAAGTCAACCCAGGAGTGGGCTCCGAAATAGGGATCCACTTTGTGCGCGTGATTCATCACGAAAGAGCCTGTTGGTCACCAATTATGTATTTTGGGAAGCCTGAATAGGCGCTTGGTCGACCCACTTGTTGCGCTTGGCTTAGTGAGTAGGACTTGCGAACGTTCTGTCAAGGAGAGTCACTGTAAAGCTGAGCCATCGTGACGGAGACTATGAATGATTCTTGCACGTACAACAAGCAACAAGTTGCAAAACCGTACAACTACCCACTGCCTGAATTGCATATACAAAGCCTGCCATGTTGTTCTCCACTTCTTTGATATCTATTGCACTGCTACTGTTATCTTCAGCTAGAGACATCGTTGCAAGTTTGATCACGTACGTCAATCGAGACAATGAAAGCAGGTCTTGACGTAAGCAGAATCACTGATGAGGGTAGAGGCTATGAGTTTGACGCAAATGTTACCCTCCAGAAACGAGCCACGCCCCAAATCACCGGCTCTAGCGTAGACAACTACGACCAAAAAGTCATACTCCTCCAGAAGTCTTTCCGCCAAGTCATCCAGATTGCCCGCTACAGCCTCAAAGCTCCTGGAGTCACCCAAAAGCGCCGCTCCGAAATCTACAACAATTACTTCTTTGACAAAGACCTCACCCTGGTAGAGAAAGTCTTCCGGAATATCCTGGGCAATAAGGTCCGCGAGGGCTCGGCCTCCTTCACCAATATCACGATCAGCATAGATGTGCCTCAGACGGCGAGCGAGGAATGTCAGAGGGGCAGGACACTGGCTTATGTTGTCACGCCGGAACATAAGCGAATCCAACTCTGCCCGCTGTTTTGGACGCTGGCGGGGACTTACCTTGAGCATGCTGACAGATTAGATATTGGGCAGTTGAGGCCAAAGTGCTCTCAGATTGGGGACTTTGTGTCCGAGGCTATGACGTTTCCTGCCTTGCTGTTGCTGCATGAGATCTTGTGAGAAGACCCCGAACGAATGGCTTTGTTGAGAGCTGATCGAGGGAGTCCAGCCATCTCAGATTTGTATCGAGTTTCTTGTAGGCGACCCCTGCTTGAACTGTTTTACGTTCAGAGGTTCTAACGCCGTGAGCCTGCAGACCCGATGGAATTATTAATGATTACAGTAACGGAGCCAACAACGGCGAGCTGCATTTGGGCCCGAGGAATCCCACGTTCGTTAAAGAATTGGAACATCTGGGACAAGTCATGGGTGTCAAAAGCGCGAGCACTCTTAGAGCTGCCCGGAACTTTGAGTTCTATGCTACAGTAAGTCACTTGAATCAGGAATTGCGTATATCTCTGGTTGATCTGCCCAGGAGATGTACTGGACCTCAATCTGTCGCAAGAATTACCGACAGCCAAGGAATAATGTAGAGGCTCAGAAAGGTACCTGCTTCGACAATGACTGCGCTGAGCTTTGAAAAGAGTGTGATGTAACATTTTAAGAAATGAGATGAAGCGCAAATTTGAAGGCGAGCATTACTTTGAGACGCTGGCACCGAGATCATATTGCGTTCTGTTTTGTCTGCCTTCACCGTGCGAAGGCCCGGCCGGACACGCAATCCACATGAGTTGGTCACATATTTGTCAGAGAGTCCAGTTCATTGAAGTCATCGAACAAAGACCGTTCTTGTGAAGACAACTCTGCGGGAATATGGGCAGCGCTCAGATCGGCGTCGTCTCCAGGCAAAACAACACACATGACAGGCGCAATACACGGTCATGAACATGATGTCTGCTCACCTTTCTGGGACTGCGCAGATCCTGAGAAGTCTTTACTTATGTGTTGGCTTTCAAGAACACAGCGGGTTGGGATTGCCCCTATGATGCACCCATTGAATAAGTTAATGACTGCAGAAAGGGTGCTCGTTGAAAGGGCGTAGCCAGGTGGCAGTCATCTTAGCAAGTCCACACTTTCAAAGAGCCGGCTTCCTCTTTCTCTCGTCGTGATACATCACTATCTTCGTATATCCTCGATCCTGCGCAAGTAGCAGCGATGGTCATCTCGCTGTCAGGATACAAGCCAAGGCCTCCAACAGCATCCTGGTGCAACTGCCACTCACGACTGCACTCCACTTCTCCTTCCTGCATCCCAATACCGTCCCACGCCCTCACGACTCCATCTGTACCCCCAGCCATCACCTCTCCGTCTGCAGAAATCTCAATTCCAAGCCTTTGCTGAGTCATTGCTTTTCTCCCCCTCAAGGTGGCCATCACCGCCCCGGCATTCCTCAGATCGAATACGTGCACGGCATTCGAACATCTCGAAGCAACAACAAGATAGTCTCCTCTTGCCGGTTGCGGCTGGAACTTGAGCGCCGTAACGCCTCTCATAGTGTCTGCGGGCAGAGGAAGGGTTCCAACTGATCCTTCCTCCCGAAACGGATCTAGCAAAGCAATACCGCCATTGAATGAGCCAGCAGCAAGTATCTTCTCATTGTTCATCGCCAATGCGCTGACGATACCTATTACGCCACGGCTACCTACCCCTTCATCACTGAAAAATTGTGCGGAATTCACTTTCCCCGCCCTTCGCCTTCGTCTACCGGTCTGTATGCTTGCGAATGGTTCCTCTCCGTCCCTCCACATGTCAAACAAAGATACCCTGCCATCACTGCCAGCAAAGAAAGTGCCGGAGTCTTGAGAAGCACAGAGCAAGCTGTGGGGAGCTATCCACGCCTCGGTATTCCTACTGACGAGTGGGTAGCTGGCGACGAGACCAGGAGCGAAAGGGCTGAGGAGCCGGATTGGTAAAGCGCGAAGAGAGGCGAGGTAGTAAGATTCCGGGTTGGAAAGAGAGAAGGCCGGATGAATGGCAGTAGCGTAAATGGGTTCAGGGAGGCTGTGGATGCAGTAAGGGTTTAAGTCGTGGTAACCTTGAGGATCTGGAGGTGTCAAGAGACCAGGCGGGAGGATGTAGCTTGCTAGCCTGTGCGATACAGCGCTGGAAAGTAGTAGAGTGGTGCCATCTGCAGACCTGCACTTTTTCAGTCACAATGTGCGGATCCAGTGCGAGGAACGTACCATTGTAACCCATCAAAGTAGTCGTGATGAGATTTTGGCTCGGGCCTTGCGTTACTAGTTCCATCGAGTACTGTAGGTGTATCATCATCATCATCATCATCAAATCTATCATCTGACTGGAGTCGTTTCGTAGCCGCTAAGAGTTCTGGTGTGAGAGTTTCCGCTTCACGTTTAGACGATTCTTCACGGGTTATAGTTGCTCGATCTTCCACAGCCTCTACGACTTCCATGTTTTTCTGCTTGAGCCATGTCTGATCGCAGACTCCCAGAGGCGCTTGGGAGCGTTAGAGCATTGGATTTGCTCGCAATGTCTGCCCGTCACGATTGTACCGAACTTATTGCGCGCTGAATGGAGTCGCCAACCGTACAAGCCTTGGCGTCGAAGTGAGCTTCCTCAAGAACTGAGAAGACAAGATCTACGGACGCAGAAGCGCGGACTTGCTCTATATCTGTTGCGCTGAGCCATTGCTTACAGCTACATTTAGTCTGAGCTGTAGTCCACCGTCCACGGCAAAGGTGGGAAGAATCTTCATAGCTTGGGCTACGTGTCAAAACAGTTACAGAACATTCAATTTGGTATATGTACTCTTACGCAGTACGCTGACAATGTCTTCAAGCAGACACTGCACAAAACTCAGCAAGACAGCAAGGGGTATATTCTCCGCCAGATCCCAAAGACAAACGCCGTGGACCATGTAGAGACCTCCCTTCATCTCATGCTATGCTTGCACAAAGTAACGCCAGCCATGCTCGCCAAGTCGCTTCAAAATCAATCCGTTTCACGAAGACACCAAAGAAAGCTCTCACTCATGCTTCATCTTGAGGAACTTCAGCCTCCGCATTGAGCTGCTCATTTTCCTCAAGCAATTCCGTCATCTTCACCAAGTTTTGTATGGTTTGCTTCCCATGTCCAATTAGTAGCAGCTTTTCCGCATTTGCCGGTAAGCCAAGGTACGTTGGCGGCTCCCGCTCTGGTAGTCTGTCAACCCACGTCGTGAAGTCCTTCATATCATTGCTTTCAGGCACGGTCAAGCTACCGTCTCCTTCGCTGTATACCTTCGCTTCTTCCAGGGGCGCACGTCTAACGAGTTGATGGTCCAATTCGAACGCCTCAGGCGTCATGAAAGAGCGTATGAGGTCCGCAAGCTGTTGAAAGTCACTATCGTCGTCAATCTTGCCACCGTAAATTTCGCCGATCAGGACTCGAATGAGATCCCAAGGAATTTTACCAGGCGCAATATTAGTACGACCTTGTGCGACTGCGTCGACCCAATAGTCAATTATGAATGCTGAACATTCGTACTACATAGCCTGTTAGTTCCGGCATAGAGATTTGATACTGAGAGCAAACTTACGTCACTATCGTTAAATTCCCAAAAACCCTTCCATCCAAGTGTGGGCGCATAACGAAGACGTTCTTGAATGACGGCATGGGCGAACGACAGAAGAAGATATAATCTTGCCTTCTCCCTTGGACCTTGCATACCACGAACGGACAAGGTCGACAAAGAGTCTCTCATATTGGCTCTGATCCCTACCGGTTGTTCGTACATCAAGACGCGCGAGGATCGAAGCAGGCTGACGGGAATCTTGGGGCTTGTCTCCATCGAAAGAAATACCCGAAAGTCAGGATTAGATTTTAACGAGCCCAACCTTTTCTCCAAGCTCTGCACCCACTGAGGAGCCAGGTGAACATTCTTGATAAGGACCCAGGAACCGGTCGCAGCTGCATTACTGATAGCTTTCTCAGCGCTGGCGACTCCCTCAATAGAGCCCATTGCGATATACGCACAACGAGCCTTCTGTTTCTCCGCTAGATTCTCAACCTTGTAGCTTGCATCAAATCCGGGGCTTGAGCTAAGTGCTATTGGCGTGGTAGAAAGCACTTGAGTGACAATTTCTTGAAGGCTATCAGTGCCTTCAAACATGCTTTTGCCGAACAAGGATGTCACAAAATTCTCTGCAGCTGGGACAAATCGATCGAGTCGAAACAATTTGACGAAGAGAAGTGATCGCAGTTGTTGATCCACCTTGGCTGTTGCTGAATCCCAGACTTTAGGCACAAAAATCTCACCAAGCTCTTCTGCAAAAAATCGACTCCACTCTTGCGGCGTTATGATCGACAGATGCGGTTTGAACGTAGGCACGCGTGCAGCTAGTGATTTTGCTTCATCTTGTTGCTTGGAATCTGAAGCAACGTCACTTCCCTGCATCGACGGACTCAATATCCTATCTATCAACGTTCTGTCCATCGCGTACGGTGAGGCATGGGCAAGCAGAATCGCCAAGGTAATGCGGTCCTTTTGCAATAAGCTTAGAGACGTTCTCTGGTAGGTAATGATGAATAGATCGCGTAATATGGTATCGCCGCGTTGCTCGTAGTCATTGTTGTTTTTCAGCCTCGGATTCCGGTGTAGGACTGTGTTGAAGATGTCAAGGAAGAACTGAAGGGAGAATTGGTAAAAATGATGCAGGTAGCGCAACTGTTCGAGAACAGCGAAAACGTTACTGCAAGCTTGAGCGATCGTACTGTATTGCTTGGTGATACTCTCAACCTCGTTCATAACGCCATCCGTCTCGGAGACTTTCCTGGAAATTTCGGCGGCTTCACGTTTAAGAGTTTCAAGCGTCTCGATTACAACATCGTCATCAAGGATATTGCCCCGGGACTGGTTGAGCGCCTGAAGTAGCCGTTTTTCAAGACCACGGAGGTGGGTACTGAATTCGCCTTGCATCTTGATCAGGTTTCTGCGCCTCTGATCAACGTCAGGTCTCTCCGACTTCAGAACGTCGTTGAGAGACTGGGTCTGTAGACTACTTTGTGTCACCGTGAAGTTGACGAAAGTTGTCCGACTGCATATATCTGGGGCAAAAGTGGCTGAGGGGTCTCGAGTGGACAAGTAAACCTTGAACGCGGGCGAAAAATCGATTTCTTGCTTCCCTAGCTGTATAAGAACGCGGCCTCCAGTCTTCTGATATTCCTTGTTCAGCACATGATTCAGAATGGGATCCATGTGCTCCGCATCTTGAATCAATATGGGGTTTCCAAATCGGAGGGAGCTTTCAAGTTGTTTGACGAAAGAAGCGTCCAAGAAGCTTGTGATGGTGAGCCTGCGCTCTTGGTTCTCCTCTCGCAGGAATTCGATTGCTCGACCTGAAGGATCTATGATGAGAGGATAACGATTGAAACGCTTCAGAATGATGGCGTTCTCCGTGCAGAGGTCGTCCACGGGTAAGCCATGCTCTTGCCAATGTAAACGCTCGTCGGCACTTGAGAGATACTCCGTGATGGGATTGTGCATCTTGTAGGAGATACCTGACAAGGCTAATTGACCGAGCCAATCGTCGACCATTGCCTTGCGAAACTGTTGATCATACAAACCGCTGTAAGCTAAGAAGGCAGCGGCGATCAAGACATCGCCAATGATGGTACTGATCTGAGTTTCGAAAGATTTGCTCCCATCTTCCCATCTCAATCTCTCAGCCGATAAGGAATCGAGTAGCTTCACACTTCGATTGACCTTACTCTCAACACGGGACATCTCAGCTTTAATTGCTTGGGTTTCACTGATCAAAGCCGCATATTCTGACTTATACTGCCCAATGCTATCTTCCAGATGTGCGATATTGTTCTCTATAGCTTTGGCTTCCGCTCTAGTTTGGAGAGCGTCCTCTTCGAGCTTTTCTGCCTCATCCCGAAGTGGTCCAATCCGGTCAAGGATTGCTGAAAAATTGACCTGAGCTTGAACCCATTGCACCAGTGGGCCACAAGCCTTACTAGCGCGGTTGACTCTTTCATAAGTGAAGTCTTCCTTGGTGAGGAATTCCTGTTGCATTTTAGTTCGGAGACCTCTTGTCATCTGCCGTTCGTTGTCGTATCCAACAATGCTTGCGATGAAATCGTCACGGCGAACGATTGCCTGTATGTTTTTCCAGCCATCGATCTTGTGACCGAGAAGAGTACAGACTGCGTCCAAGGCAAGCCTTACTCCCGCGGGCGGATTTCCCATGGACCGAACTTCCGTCAGATGTTGTCGTTTGATATTGCCAACAGCTTCCTTCGCATCCAAGACAGCAGGCTCCGCTTTGGATAGATCATCATTGACAACCTCTTTTCGTCTAGCCACTTCTTGTTCCTGTTTATCTAGAGCAGTCTGTATCTCCAATGAAGCGGATTTGCGCTGTTCTGCTTCTCGTTGGTCGGCGACCATCTTCTGAAGCTTCTCGTTTGCTTCAGCATCTTTCTTTTCAAGCTGTTTCTTTTTCTGAGCCAGACTTGCTCGGAGGTCGCGAACTTTGTCAACGGTATCTCTCAGTTTCTCCAAACCAACGTTCAGATGGCGCTGCTGTTCTTCCAGATCCTCTCGCTTTTCATTGAAAAGACTTACGCATTGAGCTACAAAGTCTAAGAAGTGCCGCGGTGTGAGGTAGGTGATTCTGCCCTGCTGCTTTCGCAGCCTTTGATTGAGTTTCTGCAGGGAATGATGAACATAGACCATCGAGTTGACGACAGCATTCCGATGGGACGCAGGAAGTAAAAGTTCACGGTAGGCTACGGGTATAGTGTCTGGAGCGCTGAAGCCAGAGCGATCAAGGTCGACGGATTGCGTGAGTTCTGAGCCAACCTGAAAAAGAGCTTGGTCCGACCAATCGCCAAACCAGTTGAGAACACAGCGGTTGAATAGGGCAGGACTCGTCGCAGCCTTAGAAGAAAGACCGCCTTCTGGAGGGTTCATGGTGAAGACAATATGTAGGTTTTTAACGATCTGTTGTGTAAACCATTTGTACAGCTCTTCCTGAGAATCAAGCAGAAGACCTTGACGTTGTGCCCCTTCTTTACAAGCTGTCATCAGAGCTGCAAATTCATCACCCTCGAAGAGACCTGGAACTTCTGCGTTTGCAAGCAAAGTATTCATCCGTTCAAGGAAACCAGAGTCTAATACATTTGATTCATCCATGATGAAACATATCTTTTCGCCCTTACACCCCGTTCTCCGAAGAACGTCCCTCAGGTCCTCGTCAAAGTCTTCAGCGGAGTATCTGCCATGGACCTTGATTTGAAAGACTTTGAGGCCATTCATCCAAGCAACAAAGCGCGACAAAGTCGTTTTACCGCTTCCACTGACACCAATAAGTATCAGGTGACCTTGTGGCTGTCGGAAGACTCTGTCAATACGAAGAACATGCTCGAGGACGTCGTTAAAGAGTACGATAGGCGTATCAACCTCTTCTTCGCAGAAAGTCTTGAGCCTCGCTTTGACGAAATCCCTCAATTGCTCGCGGTCAACAGGGATGTAATTCTTTGAGAGCCAATTTGAGTACAAGATCGGTCCTTTCAACGCTGCACTGTCATCAATGTTGGGGAAATGGTGGACTGCAATGCGTTTCACAGCATCCTCGGTCCACTGGCGTTCATCCTCTGATACCAGTCTATCTTGGAACAATCGCAAGGCTTCATGAGCCCAGATCCTCACAAGGCCCTCCACGGAGAGGCTTTCCAAAGGCTTTATCGATTCATACAGACCCCGGACCCAGCGAGTTAATTCACGTGGTGAGTAAATGTAGTGTGGTTGGATTGTAGGCGTGAAGCGAGCTTGGGATTGTAAGTAGAACTGTACCATAGCCTTTGTGAGAGCGTCGGCGTATCCGCGCAGGTTAGGAATAATCTTGAGTACAGCATTATTGAAGGTGCTATAGATTTGGTGAAGAGACAATTCTCCAGGGTAGTCCACCATTACAACAGGAGCATGTCGTAGGAAACGTGGCCCTAGAGGAGTTCGCCCTGGGTCTGTCGGGGGATTGCAAGCTCCCACAAATTGAATTCGTTCCAAGGTCACCCAAGTCTTATCCACAGTTCGCCAGAATCCGTTTTGCTCGATTAACTGTCGAAGGAAACTGATGGCTCGCTGCGTGCCATAATTATCCTGCTCTGGGAGATTAATTTCGTCACAGAAGAACACAATCCATTTGCCAATCTGAGCAGGAGACATTATAACGCCATTGAGCGTCTTCCGGTACTCGCAGTATTGATCGAACGTCTTGATTAGGAGGTCAGGGGTCGTCGCGCTCGAGAAGTTAAGACCAACAACCTCCATGTATGGCAGCTTACGCAACGAACTGAAGAGAGTCATAGTCTTACCGGATCCTGGTGGCCCGCACAGGATCAGGGGCTTATGTTCTGCAAGCCAAGAATTCAAAACAGCCTCATGCCGAATCGTGTCCAGCGTTGGGATGACCATATCGGTCTCTGTTACCGAGTGCGTATTCACTTCTAACGATGGTACTTGCGACTGCCACGACATCCATTCCGCTTTAGGGAGAAAAACGTCATAGTCAATGAGAGAGGTAGCTTCGCTAAGAAGTGGAGTTCCAAAAGTCGTGAGGCCACCAACGTAAAGGCCAAACTCTCTTCGGTCGCGCAGTGGGCAGTCTCCAACGAAAGCCCAAACTAAAGCTAACATCATCTTTTTGGACAGAAATGATTCGATTTGTTCAGGCCCGAGAGGGAAGTCATCATGTTGGTAATTGTACTCGATGATGGATCTGCATGCTCTGTTAAGAAGAGAACAGAGTGTATTGATCACTCGTATCTCCGTGTAATGCATGATGTGATTGTATTTGCGGGCCTCCCGAAGCACATTAAGTAGAAGATTCTCGGTCCCTAGGTATTGCTGTAATAGATCAGCTACCTGTTGTTGCATTCCCAAGGCCTTCGTCGGCGTTTGGCTAGTTCCTTCTTCGTCAAGCTCTTCGAACGCGACATTTCGTAGGCTGTCAAGGTAGTTGTCGAGAAGCATTGAGGATGTAACAGTGTCATCGCTGAACCAGACCATACCGCAACGACTGACAGTGGCAAGGGTTGCGTACTTCAGATTCTCCACTTCGAAGACAACACGAACGTTGGGTGGTAAATTGAGCCGTTCTCCATTGGGTAGAGTCAGAAGCTTGTTATCGTCGAGGACGCTGTTGAGGTTTTCCACCCACTCTGGGTCAACATCTCCATCGAAGACGATCCAATGTCGTTTAGAACTTTCTCCTCTCAGGTTGTCCACGATCTTGCGTAAGATACTCGTAAATAATCCGTCTGTCCATTCGCGCGTGGTACTGTCCAGACTGCCGTACAAGGCTTCTTTCGACATCACTTTGGAATCAATGATGTGGCTTACACCCTCGATGCCTTCGGTTCGCTGCAATGCCTGGAGTAAGACTTTCCAGATTGACGACTTGCCAGACCCAGAGTCCCCGACCATCATGACACCGTGATGGATTCTTTGAATCTGATAAAGCTGTAAGATTTTTGTCATCCAGGTGTCGTTGATGACTAGATGTCGGGAAGCAGCCTCAATCTTGATGGCAGCCTCTAGATTGTCAAGGTTTGCTGAGACGTAGTGAATGCCCGGGAATGCTTCTTGCTCAATATCTTTGAGTGTTCCAACATCTTCACGAATTAATTTGGGAGCAATCGTCTCGCGTATACTTTGAACGATGATCTGAGGCTCTAGATCAGTCTCGGGACCAGAATTCGCTAGACTGCCTATCAGTCTTGATCGCTTTAGACCCCCAGAACTGACAAGAACGCTCTTCAATGCCCTGAGTCCGAAGTCGTAGTGAGCTTGCTTAGTGAGATGGGTTGCGCAATTATCGAAAAAGGGCACCGTTTGTTTCGAGAGCTGTTTCGCGTTTTTAAAGCCTTGAGAATACATCATTACCTCTGCAATAAGCTCTTTATCCGGCTTCGACATAGCCACACTTCTGAATAATTTCTTGAGATTGTCTGGAAGATTGGATCGACCTGCGTAACCAGGATTCATGGTAATGAAAATTCCGGTATTCCCATGAACGTCAAATTGTCGTCCAGCCAATTCGATTTGTGCATCCCCAGATTCCATGCCCCTTTTAAGGCCGAGCTGGATGTTTTGGATCTGCTGGGACACTGCAGACAGAATACGCTCTTCAAGCCGGTTGAATTCGTCGAAGCAGCCCCAAGCCCCAACTTGACAAATCCCGAGAAATATACGCCCCATTGCTTGGAAGTCAAACGTGTCATCGCAATTGAAGACCAATGTAAACCTCCCTAATTGGACGCCAAGAGCTTTGACGGATTCTGTTTTCCCAGTACCAGCGGGACCATATGGCGACCCTCCGAGCCTTTGTGCCATGGCTTGCGTACATGTTAGAAAACATCGATCGGTCAGAGGGGTTCGAACAAGCCGCTCGGGTACACCGAGATACTCAAAACCATATGCAAGATCTGCATTTGCCATGCGAACCCGCAAGCGATCAAGAGGCGCACCGTCGGATCTGTACGCATATCGCATTTGTAGGAGCCACAGATAGTGCGTAGGACTTGAAGCGTTCGCACCAATCAATTTACTAATGAGGTCCCTTTGATGTACAAATTCGGTGATTAGATGCTCGCATTTCCTTCTAGTGAGCATGTCTAATTCTTCAAGAACTGTAGCGGCTAAAAGCTCCAGGAGTCTGACCAGAGTTTCATGCAGCGACTGTAATCCTTGGCCTCCAGAAGACAGCACAGATTCTACCGATGAAGTCCATACTACTTGTGTTGCGAGCACCACGACTTGGGCGGGGAATGTAGTAATATATCCTTTGAAGGTTCCTGGCTCAATAATGGGCAGGCCAACGATATCTCCAAAGCAAGTCTCTGCCTCACTAAGAAGCTCGGCTAAGGTCGTCCTCATATTTCGCTCCAAGGCTGCAAGCCAGTCGTTGATCTTAGGCGTCTTGATTAGGGAGATAGAGCTCCTGAGTTTCACTTCCTCGCCCTCTTTGGAAGTGAAGCCGGTAATAATTGCCTCTTCATCCATGAGCAGGCCTGCCAGGCCAGCAAACATCTTTCGAAAATGCTTGGCGATTCTCAGCGTGTCACTGCTATTTCCGATGATCTCCAGTAAGTCCTCATCGCCGACAAAGTAGAATCGAGGGAAAGATAGTCGTTCCCGTTCCAAGTATTCACCCAAAGCCTTTTGGATCTTGTTCAACAGGTCTGCAAGACGTTCTAGAGATTTCTGTACACCCGAGATGTTGAGCACGTCAAGCACAAACGGAGATTTATAGACCTTCTTCAGGACGGCAAGGAACTCGGAGTTGATGTTTTGAAACCGTGATGACTCCACTGGGAGGAGGTGTTTTATGTCTGCGTTGCCGGTAAAGACGCCCTCCAAGTAAACCCATTGGCGCTGGACATCAATCCAGACATCGAAGAGTACGTGCACTCGATTGAGCCTGTCTTCCCAAGAAGATGCATCTTCCTCAAATTCTTTGTAGTACGGTGAATGTCTCATAGCTTGCAAAGAATTAAGGTTCTCGCTACATCTAGCAAAGAGCTCATCCCATCCTCGTATTAGCCGGCATTTATTCTGATAAGTAATCAAGTCGAGGGAGTAGTTTTGCCAAGTGTCGCGCACCTGCCTCAAAAACTCTTCCAGAGCCATTTCGCCTTGAGCCTGTGCGATAACATCACGAATGGTTGCCTCGCTTGCCGCGAGCTGAAGATCCCATACATCACCCAGGCTGATGGAAATCGGAGAGTACCGTTTGCCCGGCTTCAAAACTTTGTAGATTTTGACCCAGTGTCTTTCGCGAACAGCCTCGGATTTCATCTCGGAGAGGATCGGGTTGACTTTGAGTAGACTTTTGAGCACTACCTGAATATGTTCAAATGCAGCGTACTGCCGCATGCGGCTGGGCATCTCTTTCGTCATAGTTACAAGCCCGTCGAGGGATTGGCGAAGCTTTCTTGGCTGTACGATTGTCCAAAGATTATCACGAAGCTCATTTAAGCTCTTCCAAATCGTTGACAAAGCCGTCCACACTGACGTGAAATCCTGTACCTCTTCCACGATTGAGGGTAGTAACGTCGTTGCGGCAGCGGGCAAGTCTAGTGCCTCCTTAGCTTTTGAAACCATATCGACCTCCGTTCTCATGGTAGCCAGGCGACTTTGAAAAGATTGTAAGGACGATATTGCTTCATTTGGTGGGATTGTTCCCGAGACTGGTTTTTGTTCGTTCCAGTCCGCGATCAGATCTGTCATTCTACCACTTACGACCTTGTCCTCGGCAATTATGTTCGCACGCAGAGCATCGGTCTGGTCACTGACGACCTTCAATTTCCGTTCCAAAATTTCGCAGAGCGCAGTCCATTCATGATCCAATTGATCCACAAACAGCCAGTCTGAAGGGAACTGGTATCTTTGTCGGGTTAGTAGAGTTTGTCCTTGCCGAAATACCTCTATTTCGGGCTCCCACTGCTCGGCTTTCCTTCTGCATTGCTGTACTACAGTAATGAAGGACACCGCTTGAGATGTTGACGAAGCTTCGAGAGACTGCCCCTCAAGATCTCGTCGAGCTTTCTCAATCTCGGCGTAGATTTCGCGCATCCTATTGCTCAACCGGCCAGCAAACTTTATCCGGACTTCATGCTGCCATTGGTCGTATCTTGCGGTGACTTTGGTTTGAACTTGCTCGTAATCAATTGTGACGGTTCCAAATTTCCGATTGGATTCCGAAGTGTCGAAGGTTTCTCGAGTTTTGCGGATCTCTTGTAGAAGTTGCAACCACTTTGCGAGATTTTCGCCCAGGGTATTGAACACATGTTCGGATTCGAGGTCCCACAGAGACTGGAATTGGAACCATTTGTCTACATACAACGTTATATCCGCGACCTTGGTCTCGATCAATTCATAGGTAGCACGAATCTCCGTAATGCATAAGGAAGGAAGATGAGAAAATTGGTTGCTCAAGGGCTTTGTTCCGTCTTCTAACTTCATTTGGTACCGGGAGGCTTTAATTACGAAAAGATTGCATGCTATGCTTAGGTACTCGTATAGCTGTGCAAGCCAGTATGAGCGAGCGTGCTCGGGCGGAGGGTCAAGAAACACGACTTGATTGCGAATGAGTATCTCAAGAGTGAAACGTCGGAGATCAGGAGCGTCAGGCGTGAGTCTCTCACCATCATTTTCCGGGTCTATGAAAGATTCAGACCAGACTGCGATAGCCTTTTTCAGACGCTCGAGCAGGATACCCTCGATTATGTCGTTCAATCCTGAAACCCAGAAATTGAGATTGGCATAGTTCTCTAGATTCAGCGAGTCCACAGCGTGTTGAATAGTGTCCAGTTGAGAAGAAAGAGCCGGTGAAGAATATCTACACGACTGAAGTTCTTGCAGAGCGTTCCGTACGGTTCCATTGACGCTTTCAAGGGCAGAAGTCTTGTCCTGCAAAATTGAGGCTGCGGAAGAAAATTGACGCACAAACTGAATGTGATTGCTCTCGCCACGAGGGGTAGCGCTGCGTGCGCTTTTATTGGCGGCTGGAGTGGCTTGCTTGACATTGAGATCGTAGGAATGCACAAAGGATTCCCACTTGAGATTGACGCCCGTTTCGATTAGGCTTTGCACGTTCTGCTGATGTCGGCTTAAAAGAATTACCATGTTAGGCATCTGGTCAATTACCCTCGTCGTCTGCGAGAGGGATCGTGCACTTTCCATAAGGCTGACAGCAAACGGATAGATCCTCTTAGCCTCTTTGGATACACTGCCCACGGCGTGAGGTATCTGGTAATTGAGCCATATCAAATTCCTAACTTCCTTGAAGAGGACTATGACCTGCGAGTCAAAGTTGATACTGAGCTCTAGGGCATTGCCTTTCGCTCTGTTCTTGCTCAGCCCGAACAAACGACCGCGGATCTGAATCTTTCGTTTTTGCACATCTTGTAGCCAAGAGTCGAAAATTGGTCGTGTGTCGAGTTTTTTCCGGAATAAAACACCGTCAGCCTCCAGCTTTTGACCTTCTGAATGCAAAGTCCACTCTTGACCTAGGACATCCTCAATTTTACTCATGTAGCCACGAAGCTGCCTCTCGATTTGACGAGCCCAGACTATGGCACCAGCCACAGGGGGAAGATCGCGGAGCTGTGCCATTGCATGAGCTTCTGAGTGGCCATACTGTTGCTTAAAACGGTCGTGGAGTGCAGTGATATCACGCTTTACATTGTCGATGAGCTGACTTTGATATTCACTGATTGCGCCTCGGATCTTTGGCCGGACTAAGAGAGCGTTGAATTTTGAGAATATTCGAAACATTTCGTTAGCATTTTTGGCGGTGGCAAGTCGATCCCTGAGCCGAGCGATGATAGAGTTCTCAACACGAGAAGTGCGTTCGTTGTATGTAGATTCAGCTTGTGCCCAGATGTCTGTTCCTTTCGGAGAGACGTCAAGAACATCCACATCTTTCAGAGCAGCAAAAGCTTGCGCTACCTCTTGTACAGCATCCACGTCCCCTATTTCTTCGATGATTACAACCTGAGCTACACTAGAATCTTCTGCTGCAGCATCAGACGATGCTTTACTGCCCAACACTTTCACTATCGTCTTCTCCAGCTGCTCATGGTTTCTCCGAAAAGTCTTGATGTAGGTCATTCGGTCTTGTGTTCCCGCATGTCTGCCATTGACTTTGATCGGCATGAATCTTTCCCCGCGTTTCCTCATCTGTTCACGTGCCACTTGAGTGAAGTCTTTGACGTGCTCATCCCAAGTATGCCAAATAGCTTCTGCCTGGTCCATTACTGCTTCGAACTCTACGAAGTCCAAATGCATCAGCGTCCTCCCGCGCAGAAGAGCATGGATCCGAGCATCAAGGTCTACCGAGATTGCATGGACAAGTGGCAAGGCTCGCGCGATAGGATAAGCAGAGTTTCTTAAACGCTTGTTGAAATGGTTAAAGTTCGAGTGCAACGCCTCGTCGACCTTCTGTAAATTTGTTGCAGATAAGAGCTCGTCAATGGGAAATTTGTCCAGTACCTGGTTGAATTTCTGAACGGTGTCTTGGGCTTCTTTTAAACCAGTGTCTGAGTAGAAGCTCACTCGCACTTGGTATCGCTTGGCATGCTGTAGAATATCCAGCGTTAGCTGCACACCCTCCTTCCTCATCTGTGACTCAACATCCTTGAGCTTCTCTTCTAATGCGGACCAGTAATTGATTTCCTGGGTAGCGGATCCGATATTGGGGTCTTGCGAAAGCTTCGTGATTGCCTGTATTGATTTAATCCAGTGATTGACCTCAGTCTGTAGGTCATTTAAGAAACGGCTGTCCGCAAGAATCTCTGCAGGAATTTGCTCCACGGACGGTTTCAAATTCTTAGTTGCAGCCGTGTCGAGAGTATCTTGCACAAGATCGGGAATAGGGAGTATTAAATCTGGTATTTCATAATCTTGCTGAAGGCTGCGAAGATTTGTTTCTAACTCGGCAAGTTTCTTCTTGGCTGCCGAAATGCCCATCTTGTCGTCCATATCCGAACGAGCATTCCCAGCAACCGTTTGTTTCTTGCCATTAGAATAGGCATTAAAATATGGTGACAGTGCAAAGTGTATGATAGAGTAAAGTACTTCGTAAGGCGAGGCCGAGCTACCCTCCACTGTGCTTCCTTCACTCAGCGTGGCTGCGCCTGGTAAATTGATCGCTTGTACCTGCGTTGCAAGTGGTCGATGAGGGTCGATAGGCTGGGGACGCTTGAGAAGGGCTATGGAAGATACTGTTGTTGGTGCAAATGAGATATCAGTTGAGAGGGTGTAATTGAAGGCCGGGATGGTCTCTATGCAATGCTCTCAGTCAGGGTCCAAATCCGCATGCCTCCAGAGCGCTTACCAGGGATAGGATGACCATTCGGCAGTCCATTTGGTATATTGGTGGGCACAATATCTTTTTGAACATAGAGTGCGATTTGCGACTCCCTCGCAAAACGCGTACATCTCTGAACAGTGTCTGGCCTTTGGGATTCTGACAAGAGACTGCCCTTTGCTTGCAGATCTTCGGTCGCAGCGCCCAGCGTGATTTCAAGAAGATCTGCAAGGTGCTGCACCACCAAATCTGGGTCTATAGCGGAGTGCTCAGCAATTGGTGGGGGGTGGCCATTTGCCCCTTGGCCTGGGGATGCTACCTCCATGTTGGAAGAGCATATATCAGCTGCTTTGATACATTGATATGTGGGTCAGCAACAGGGCCAGAGCTTGCTGCATGCCGGAACTCGCTACCAAGGTCAATGCATTTGCTGTTTGCAATCCTCTTTGATCAATAACCAACAACGCGGAAACCTGGCCGCAGATTTTATTTCACGCGCGCTGAAGTCGTCTTGGCGCTTTATGCAGGCCAGTGGAACGGAAAGTACATGAGTCAACGCATTCAAGATATCATTAACGGCAAAATATGTAACAAAACAGTCGTTCGGATGGTCATTCCTGTTAACTTTACAATCACGCTCCGTCTGAGCAAGAGATCAGTAAAACCTCTTCCGATACAGCCTCATCGCAGGTCAGATGAGGAAAAGGGGCTAATTGTCTGAGCATCACCAGCGTAGCAATGAGCCAACACTCAAACGCCCCCGAGAACTGATGTCTGGTTCATAAAAAGCTACGTTTTACATTTTCTTTTCAAACGAGTCTGTCGTCCTTTGTTGTCTCTACGTATTCAATAGTTTCAAGTTGGTTGTCTCTGCATTATATATTTGACTCTGCATATCGTCTGTACATACTCTCGTGCTTGTAAAAGCCTAGCGGACGTTTCACAGCTCAGTCCTTGCTCATTAATATATATTCTCAAATATGTTGCAAGTCACCGGCATATTTGTCATTAAACATAAGCTGCTGACTCGTCAGCTGCACTCAACAAAGTCCTAATCTCATGTAATGAACGTTGCCTCAGAGAAAAGAGTTCCCTCTTCAACCCTCTCCTTGCCATTAACGTCCAATTTGATTGATAATCTCTGTTGCGGTGAATATTGGTAGATATATGGTTTTGTACCCACGGTTCCACCAACGATTGTCTTGATGAATCCAGGTACCTTCGCCATAACATCTACTCGGTCCAACCGATTCCCCAAGCTTCCTTCTATCGTGGCTTTCATGTCCTCACCGCCTTTTGTGACACCTTTCCATTCAAATTTGACTTCCTCTGGCTCAGGCCACTCGTTTTCTAAGTCTGGCTTTGCTTTTGTGTGGTTTGCAGTGTTACTTGCTCCTGCAAACAGTATCTTTCCATCTGTGGCGATACCTCCAACATTGACTGTGGTTGAGCCATATGACGGAGGCGTTGTGTACTGCATCATGACAGCAGAGAATGAAGAGGTCTGAAAGTCTATGAAGTCCCATTTTGCAGCTAGGGAATATCATCAACATGAAAAGCTTCAGAGGCGGGAAGAAACAAAAGCATGATACTCACCGGCATGGTGCGGCTTCATCCCTTGAAGCGCATGGACGAAGAGACCACGTCCTCCGAAATCGATTTCCCCACCTTTTGTGATGAATGTACCTCCGACTCTACATCTAGGCCAGAATACATGTCTCATACTTCCCCATGGCTCGTTGGGATCAGGCCCAAAGAAACTTGTGCCGTTATTGCCAACTTGAAAGCCTGGCGCAGATCTCGTCACCGTTACATTGACTATGCATTCTTCATTGACAACGGACTTGATTGTATACGAGTCACCGGCGTCGTTCAGAGTTATAGCGCAGCCGTCGGCGTGAAAGCAAAGTTTTTCGGCGTCGAAGTCAGCCTGATCCAGCGCATCGGAACACCAAAGTGGCGATTTTTGCTGGTCAGGGTAAAATATTTTGGTATTGAATTGGCAGGTGGTATGTAGACCACTGTGCATAGAATGAGTAACCAAAGTTTATCGTCGTTGCTCAGCAGCCTACATGACATTACTGTAGATGACCTGTGCCATGCCAATATATCCACTCTCTGAATTGAAATAGAACGTCTGTGTTTCGACACAAGTTGAGGTCATGGCCCGCCACTTGAGATCTTTCTTTTCGAGTTCCGTCCATGGTACCTTTTCTGCTTGTTTGGCGACAGATTGAATAGCAGAGGGGCCATATATAGGCTCTTGCGTCCCTGCGACATTTGCTACCCTGATTTGTCAATGGTGATCCTCGAGCCTGTTACTAACGTACTGTTGCTTGATCCAGTTCATGGTGCTCGATTTGCCAATGTGTATTTCTATGGCTAGGCGGAGCACGAGATGTAGGTGCATGGCAGGGATGCGCATGCGGAGCGGGAGCGGGCCGGATGAACGTGCATCCATCTGCATTTCCTCACGCCAAGATTGAAGAGTCTATACCGTCTTTAATCCCGATGCCAATGTTCTATATTCGCAGGCTTGATGTTCCGGACAAATGAGTTGTCTCTCCCGACCTGCCATTTGAGACCTACGGGGTTGCAACATTCCATCGAATCCGAGCATGGCTCGCAGGGCAATTCAAAAAGATGTAATCGTAAAGCTGATCGTGGGTGCGGGCCAAGCATCGCCTTCTCCCCCAGTGGGACCAGCGCTCGGCAGCAAGGGTGTCAAGAGCATCGATTTCTGTAAAGTACGTTTCTTGAGACATCATTCTCATTGCTCGTAACTATGAGCTTTCTGCAATGCTGACAAATATGTAAAGGAGTTCAACGCTCGCACTGCCCATATGGAACCTGGCACGCCAGTACCTGCTCGGGTGACAGTACGTCCCGACCGCTCATTCACATTCGAACTTCGTACTCCAACAACATCCTACCTGCTGCTTCAAGCGGCTGGCGTCAAAGAGAGTAAAGGGAAAGTTCGCGGAGCTAGGTCGCCAGGGAAGGAGGCTGTGGGGAGCATTAGCTTAAAGCACGTATACGACATTGCAAGGATAAAGCAAAGCGAATTGAGGTTAAGCGGCCTAACCTTGGAGGGTTTATGCAGGAGCGTGATCGCCCAAGCCAAAACTGTTGGAATAGCTGTCCAGCCCTAAGCCGATAGCGGGCTGCAGGAAGTGAGCTCCCTTTTCTACGTGCATCTCATAGGCTATGTTGTCAACTTCAAACACTTTCGCAGTTGAAGCGTGTCATTCTACATCTGAAAGTTATTGCATTGCCTTCGCTTTCAATTATGCTTGACATGTTGCATTGACGATGCTGCTGGCAATGACTTTGCACTCATGCGATCATTGATTATTGACGGTTAAACACCCTCCTTCCATCAAGAAACCAGACCTGAATTGCTCGATCGTTGGAGCGTGCTTGACATTTTTAAGAACAAGCTCATGAAGTCCATTTTCAGGCCTAAGCTTTTTGACGAACGGTTTGACCTAAGAGTATCAGCTCGCTCCTCTGGTGTCAGAGAAATCTGAAGGCTTACTAGGAGTCCGTCTTCTTCGGTGAGTCTCCACTCACTAAAATCCAATACAAGCTTTTCGAGACTCGGAAAATGAGTGGCTTTCTCACCACATCGAGGGCTATATGTATTCGGAGTCAGCATTGCTCTTCAGGGCGGGAAGAAAGACTCGTGATGTCTTGAAAGACATCACGCTTGCGACTGTGTCCTTCAAGCCGACCCTGTTTGAATATGTAGCCCAGACTAACCTCGAGAATGAATCATCATTGAAGAGGTATATTGACCAGTCTCGAAAAATGCTATCGCGAATCGCACTGATGTTGCCGTTATAATGGAATGAAACGTAATCTGACTTCAGCTGGAGAACTAGGGATCTGAGAAGTTGCAAGCGGCCTTGAGGTAACACTGTGAAATTGAACACTGCGAGCAATGGTTAACAGAGTTGTTCTGCAAGACTTGTCCATTATTACCCCAAGGCTGATCCGACAGGTGATTGCCACGCCAAACCAGTACATGCTTAATCAGGGACGCTGGAAGAGCATTTGTCACGGAAGGAAAGCGCCTAAAGCTGCCTGATTTGACAAAGGATGAGCAGTCCTTAATCCATTTCTCTGATCTGACGTGGCAATAGACCATCTAAATAGTCCTTTATTGGTAGAAAAGAGAGGCAGGCTTACCCTGTGGGTATCCACTTAGTCCCTGGTTCTGGAAATGGCGAAGAGAGCTACCCGACGAGAAGCTGAAGGAGTTGAGTCCGTACAGTATAGGAAGTGCTTCAGAGTAGATCGACCAACATGTTCGAAGGATCGCCGCGTCAATATTTGGTATGGGCTTGTAGTTCTCGAGCATTGCTGTCTCCTTGTTCCCAAGCTGCTTGTGCGCCTGGTCAATGACTCCAGGAGTTGTCAACAGCAAGCGATATATCATATGCCTAATTTCAATCGGGATACTCGCAAATAGCGGGGAAGCTTGTTGCTTTGCATGCTTGGGGGATGACTTCTTATTATGTATGATGATTCCATTCCCCTGTAGTTTGGGTTAGTCCCAATCTCGGTCGCGTCTCCTAACTACTGCGCATACCCTCGTCATCCCAGTACTATCACCACAGCTCAAGTCATAGTTTTTAGATCCAAATCCGAACCTGAACCCAAAGAAACTTCCCAGATCAACAGACAAATGAAAATGACCGTGCATATTACGCCTCGCCACTAAAGTTGGAAAACGTGAGATGTTAGTGGCCTTGAGATGAATCGAAGTGCAAGATCAAAGAGGGTGACGATAACAGATTAATAAGAGAGATGCAGGCTGTAGCACTCCCTCTCCACAAGGCTGACAGTTACCTTAGTTGGCCAAGCCGTCCTAAGTCGAAATAAGGGTCCGCTGGGTGCCCTAGAGATTTACTTATGGGGCCCGCTTCAGCTTGAAGCCCCCTAAGGAGCCCTTGGGCGCGCCACCAATCAGACAAATAAGGGAGCTTACCCTCAAATTACGCAGTTGGGATGCAAATTTCATCGAACTCCCCCCAAAATTTACCCGAGTGCTGTGCGGCATGTCTATCTAGAATAGCACCCGTCATATCCTCAAAACCCTCACGGGCCTGCAATGCTCCATCACGCTGTTGGAAAGGAGATGAAGATTTTCAGTGTAAGAAGTGTTCATTCTGCCTTTCCGAGTAAGTTTCACAGGAGTGTGCCTGCAGTGAGCTTCGGAAACTGTGTTATAGACCTTTGAGATCCACGGCTGCCTCGTGTGGTGCGGGACAGGACTTGCGATAACGGTCAACGTTTGCATCACGCAACAGACTTTCTCACTAACTCAACGATTCGAGACTTCTGTAACATCTCCATCATGCATGTTCTGAATTTGCCATCTCACTTAACATAGCTTCGCCCATCTCATCATCATTGCACACCCATCCTCGGCTTCCCGACATGGAAGCCGCAGATCATCAAGGTTTGCATGGCATGTGAGATGTTTGATGAAGAATAGTCAGCTTACGTATTTGCTCCCAGCGACTCAAGAGGCGCACTCTTCCGATATGGCACCCTCTGAAGGTGTTCCCTTACAAGGTGTACGGTTCGCTTCCAAGAATGAAGAGATAGAACCTTCACTTAGCCTCCCATCCGCGTCACAAATTCCGGACAAAGCAAGCTCTGATCAGCAAATTGATCCGAAAACAGAAGATGAAATTCGCAAACTTGCGTCAGGCTTGCATAGCTCACATATACAACAGAGAAGGATGAGCAATTTTCGTTTCGAACCTTGCTCTCTACCAGCATCTCGTGTTCCATCCAATGAGTCTACACCCTACCAAACATCAAGAGAGCCGACGACATCCGGCGGCCCCTCACCGAAGACGACGCCTCCTGCCTCCGCAATGACAACGCCTTTCCTCTCTCCACAAGAAACGCATTCGGCCCACGACAAAGAAGCATCCGAGAAAGCCGAGTCCACCAGAGAACACCCCGAAATTCCGCCTCCTGGTCCCAAAACACAGATCAGCAAAGGTCTACCACAAGCTACTGGAGAACCTCCATCTTCGAGTGTATCTGCTTCTCAGCCATCTACAGGAGATTACGACTCCACTAGACCCACATCATTGTCGCAAGAATCCAACAGTAACGATGTGCATGCCAAAGAGGACGGACAATTCTCCAGAGGCCCGAGTGGGAGTTCATCATCACAATCTCGTTCAAGAGGAACAAGTCCAGCGGAGAGAGGTCGTGGATCAGCTGCATCGCAAGCAGGACTTCCTAGACCGTTGACTCCTATGGGTGACAAAGATGATCCTTATGCCAGAAATAAGAGGCCCGCGCAAACCAAAAACTTGGAAACGATTGACGCGAGATTCAAATTTGGGTCTAGCGATTCTCGCCGAAGATCGGGCATAAACTTCAGCTCGGCCGAAGTTTCTTCATCCCAGCCTTCCACGAGTGGTGGGAAAGACACGAAAAGTGAACATCGAAAGTCGGCATTCTCACTTCTAGGCGGAAAAGATAATCATACAGGAGAAGACAAACATGACAGGCATGAGAAACATCATGGATCGATGTCAGATCTCAAGCGGTTCTTCGGAATTGGCTCGCATCATCACAAAACCAAGCGGAGTGCGTCGCCTGCAGCCTCCCTTCGAGGGTCTGTCGATAAGAAGTCCGGGATAAAAACACCTCCCCGCCATGGATCGTCCATTGCTGTGCCGTTTGCGGACGACCATGGCTTGGAAAAGAAATATGGCAAATTTAACAAGATACTGGGCTCGGGCGCTGGTGGGTCCGTCAAGCTTTTGAAGCGCTCTAGTGATGGTAGAACTTTTGCAGTCAAACAATTTCGAGATCGGCACAATTATGAGTCGCAACGGGATTACAATAAGAAGGTCACAGCAGAATTCTGCATTGGCTCAACCCTCCACCACGGGAACATAATAGAAACGCTAGATATCATACAAGAAGCAGGGCATTGGTTTGAAGTGATGGAATACGCACCATTTGATTTATTTGCTATTGTCATGACTGGTAAGATGACTCGAGAAGAAGTCACTTGTTGCTTTCTCCAGATTGTGAACGGAGTCGCTTTCTTGCATGGCTCGGGACTTGCTCACCGAGATCTCAAATTGGACAACGTTGTGGTAAACGAGAATGGTATAATGAAAATAATCGACTTCGGCAGCGCCAGTGTTTTCAAGTATCCTTTTGAGACTGATATAATTCTGGCTTCTGGTAAGTGTCTGCTTCTCAAGGCTACAATGATCGCACGCTAACATGAAGTCAGGCGTGGTAGGCTCAGACCCTTATCTCGCGCCGGAGGTTTATGATGAACGTAAGTATGACCCGCAACCAGCGGACGTCTGGTCGCTGGCGATCATTTTTGCATGCATGACTCTTCGGCGGTTTCCGTGGAAAGCACCCCGCCTTAGCGACAATTCCTTCAAGATGTTTGTAGCAGAGCCACACACAAACCCTGAGGACATCCTCCAAAAGGAACTTGCAGGAAAAGAGAGAGCCAAATCAACCGCGACCTCACCTCAAATAGCTGCAGAGAGAAAGAGCAGCGCCGAGCATGGCAGTGACCAAAGTCATCATCACCATCATCATCACCACCATCCTGAGAAGCGTGAAGATGACAGTTCGGCCAAGGTTGGAGATACAGCCCGAAATAGTGTAGCAGCACCAGCCAACCGAGCCGACGGATCAAAGGGAGAAGTAATTAGGGGCCCTTGGAGGTTACTGCGCCTGTTACCAAGAGAAACCAGGTCCATCATGGGAGCAATGCTGAAAACAGACCCAAAACAGCGCGCCACTCTTGATGAGATAATGGCAGACCCGTGGATAAGCAATGCCGCAGTGTGCCAGCAACTTGAACACGGGGACGTACTCAGAGCTGGTACTCACCCTCATGTTTTGGAACCGGGTTCAAGCACACCTGCGCCAAGTGCTAAGCAGTGAGCTTTGGTGTCTCAATGAGGAGCTCTTTCTCTGTGTCGTTGAATCGGTCGTGCTTTTAGCGTGATTTGTGGGCCTGGATTAGTTTTATTACAGAGCTTCAGTGATCCATTGACGACTACGAAAGGAGTGGCCTGTATATATTCTGCGCATTATCACGAAGTAACGTGCTGTGTATAAGTGGAAAAATTGTTCGAACAATGCAACTCTGAGCGTCGTCAAAGCAACTCAAAGACCAAGACATGTATTTTGCTGACTGCTATTGTCGATTTGAAGCCTGTTAGCTGAAGTCGCGCGGCTACAAAGCCGGACATGTGTAGACTCAAAGCCACGACGTTCACCACGAAGGTTGTAGAGCATGGAAATACGAGCAACTCCTTCCCTTGCAGCAAAGTTGATGCTTCAATGCGCTTCCGTAACTCAGGTCTTCTTGCCCCGAGATGGCGCGTCAGGCCCGCCGGCGGATTTGCTACGGTGAGTCTTCATCTGGTCTCTACCTGACTGGCAATAAGCGTAGCTCATTCATACTCGCAAGTGCTTCCGCTGGCCAATTCTCCTGGGGGACATCGCCTAGGCGTCAACGGACTTGCAGTCGATGCTGAGAATTCTATATTGTATGCTTAAAAGTCCCTTAACCCTGCAAATATAAATACTGACGGTGTCGTAGATACTCGGGTGGACGAGACGGCCTCATATGCGCCTGGGACCTCGATGTCTCCATCACTCATCATGAAGGCCTCGTCACGCCTCTCTCCCAGCCATCGACCTTTCGTGACCAAGTACAGGCCCACACACATTGGGTGAATGATATACTACTTGCTCGGTCCAACTCCGCTCTTGTTTCAGCTTCCTCAGATATATCCGTTAAGGTATGGCGACCACATGCGGAGGAAATACAAATGCCGACGACAATTGGTCTGCATAGCGATTATGTCAAGTGCCTGGCTTCAGCAGGCTCTCACACTGATTGGGTAGCCAGTGGTGGCTTAGATCACAAGATACGATTGTGGGATTTAAATGGCCATGGGGAGAAATTACAAATTGATACTGGAGAGAGCGAGAGCAGCTCAAAGGGCTCTGTTTATGCATTGAGTGTACGAGGAAGTGTAATGGCTAGCGGAGGACCGGAGAGCATTGTTCGTTTATGGGATCCGAGGACTGGCAAGCGGATCACTAAATTTGTTGGGCATACAGACAACATCCGTGATATACTCATTAACCAAGATGGTGATAGGGTCATGACCGCATCTTCGGATCAGTCCATCAAAGTATGGTCGGTTACAGCAGGCAGGTGCATGTATACTTTGACAATGCATAATGATAGCGTATGGTCCCTACATTCTGACCATCCAAACTTATCGGTCTTCTACTCCAGTGACAGATCAGGTCTGGTTGCCAAAACGGATGTCCGCCATTGCGACGACATGGACGAGGGGCTTTCGATCGCCATAGCACAGGAGCAGGAGGGCGTCAACAAGATTGCTGTGGCAGGCGATTGCCTTTGGACGGCAACTTCGAGCTCAAGCATAAATCGATGGGACGATGTCGATACAACAGGTCAGGTACAGCCCAATGAACTTCCACGGCATCAGCGCGTGTCTAGTATTGCTTCCCGCACAAAGGTGCCTTCACCACCATCAAACCCTGGTGCCGTGCCAGTCTATGGTCAGGTCAAGGCGAAGATTCCCATAAGCTGTGTCCTGCGGGTATCCAATAATGCTCCTATTCCGGGGGAGACAACACGGGATATGGATGTGGCTACCATCTATTCCAGTATCAGTGCACGGAAAGCGTCCGAAGCCTTTATAGATCATGAGCTGGGTAACTTGGTCCCGTATCACGAACTTCCAGCGGAAACTATCGAGGGACAGCATGGTCTTATCAAGCATGTCCTCCTTAATGATCGGAGACGCGTTTTGACGCTAGATACCGCAGGTGAAGTCACGCTGTGGGATCTTATAAGTGTAAAGTCTTACATCAGGTCATCGCAGTTACAGACTGATTTCAGACGCAGTGCAAATCGATCAAATCATTTGGCAAAAGACACCTCGATGAAGTTCGACCCGAGGTAGATACTGTAGAAAGCATAGTCAACTGGTGCGCAGTGGATACTCGAACAGGTAGACTGGCCGTTGTTCTTGATAAGAACGATTGTTTTGACGCCGAGGCGTATGCTGACGAGCTGGGACTTGAAAATTCGGAATACTTCAGGGAAGACCAGCGTAGTAAGCAGCTGTTTGCTTCACATTCCAAATGAAATCCAGATGAAAGTCTAGGCCACTAATTGAAACGTAGTAAATCTGGGCAAATGGGTGCTTAGATACCTGTTTGCGAAGCTTATCGAAGAGGAGACCGAAAAAGACCTGGAATACCGTATGCAACTTGTTCCTAACGCGTCAAGCTTCAATACGGATAACCTCATAAGCACACGGCCCCCCATACGACTACCTGGCTCACCACCAACTTTGACAAGTGGCATGAATCAAGATGATGCAGTGACTCCCAAAGCTATCAATGGCATCTCCAGTACATCCGCCACGTCCATCGGAACATCAGCGCCCCAATCCAATGGCATGGTTGTGAATAGTACTTCTCAAATGGTCGCCAACGGCACTTCAACAATTGAAGAGGCCTCGAAATTAGAGAAGCAGCCTTCGCAAGCTTCCGCAATCAGGGGATCAATGGATAGACCTGCAGATCTCCTGCCGAATGATTTGCAAGCAAATGTAAAGGTCGAGGATCAAGCCAAAGCACTGACATCACCAGCCGAGGCGAATGAGAGCTCTGCTACCGTCTCGTCAAACGATAATAAAGATGAAAGGCCAGGGAGTACACTTTTCGGCAAGAAATTTCGTATGAATTTTCCAAGAAAACTTGCGAGATCGTCAGTAGAGGTCAAACCGGCAGTTGTTGATGAGAAGTCTGAGGAATCCGATAGATTCGAAGATAAAGACGAGAAATCATCTGATAGCTATTTCCTCGGGACAATCCTGGGCATCAAAAAGGATTACGAGGTGCAGCTTCATGATTTTCCAAATCAAGAGGTAATATCAGGCATAAGCCCAAGCACAGAGCACGATACTCCGCGGCTGAAGCATCCACCCTATACAACAGTCATCATTCAAGAAGAGACCCCTGAAGCCGGAGGAGTAGCAGACATCTATCGAGGTACCGTCAGCTCGGTCGGGAGTGACGCCCATATGATAGAAAGAAGAGCTCCAAGTTGGCTTGGTGATGTCTTACTGAAGGTTGGTTCTTGGTGTACGATTTTCCCACAATATACTGATAAATTTAGAATCAATTGCCCGACAAGGAGCCTACCAAAGTGTCTTTCGTATTGTTGCCACACGAGGATCTACTGCCCAGCATTGCCAGCGCAGATGGGTGAGTCACGGCATCCAGAGCATGGTCAGGTACGCTGACTGTAGTTTCAAGCAATACAAGACTAACGGCAAACCGTATGCTGCGGGCAAAGAAGGTTCTCGCCTATGTTTCTGAGAAAATAGAAACCACATCCATGAGGGCAGATGCATCAGCTTTGAAACCGGAGGAATACCTTGATTTATATTGTCAAAATCAGGTGAGAATTCAACGCTTGACATTTGGCCATACCCAACTGACTGTACTCTAGCTCGTCGAGCACAACATGACTCTGGCAACGCTACGGACCCACATATGGAAGACCGGAGGTGATGTCGTAATGTACTATAGATCAAATGGAATGAAACCAGAGTTAGAGCAGATGATCTCCGAGAAGGCAGCCGCGGCTTCTGCAGCTGAGACTTCTGGAAAGGTTGGACCTATAATTCCCGGATGACATTGATAGGGAGCGGCATCTTCTTCCACAATTTTCAGGATTAGCTTCATACCTTGACCCTGGACATAGAGATACGAAGTGACAGCAATGTTATGTACATTGTAAGATCTGACATCACGGAATTATTGATAGCATGATGGAAGCCGTAAGGGCTTCAAACATTGGTTTTCTCTTGAAGCTGGTTGTAAGCCCACTGATAGCTACCCAAGAAAACAGCACCACCAGCACTGATCCACATGATTCTCGGTCCCAATCCGCTGATAAGGGCTCTTGGGCCATCGTCGCGTAAGATTTGCCTCACCATACTCACCATGCTTTGCTTTTCCCTTGCCAGCATCATTCTGGTCTTCAGTACATCCAACGGGGTCGTCAGCCCTGCCGCAATAGCACCAGCAATACTCCCAAACAACCCGCTTTCAATCGCTGAAATTGTATCCGAGGCCTTAGATTTCTTCCGATAGCCCTTCAACGCTTCCCAAATCGGAAATTGTATGATTGTGAAGGGAACCTCACGCATGATGGTAATGGACCATCCTCTATACATTTCTCTCCGCACCCCAGCGACACCAATCTGATTTCTCTGCTCCAGAATCTTCCTCAGCACCTCAAGCGAGCCATGACCCTGCAGTGCTTGTGCCCTTTGCTTCACAACCTCAGTCGGCACTCTGACGGCGCATGCAGCGATTTCTCCAATGCTTGCGGCTATCATATGCTCAACTGGTTCACTTCGTGCAATGGCTTGCCCCCCATCCCTTTTGATACTCCTTTCATCCAATGGCGACCCATTCGTGCCATTTCTCAATTTCCGCAAACCATCCTTCACGCCCTCATAGCTCACAAAGAATAGCGCTGCTCCGGGTGCGGAGCCGACGATTGCGGAGCCGACGCCAGCATAAACACCGCGAAAGCCACCTGCGCGCAGGAAACCTTGAGAGGATTGAAGGCGAGTCTTGATTGTGTCGAGAGGGTAAAGGGAGAGGTCGACGGTAGTGCCTGCTAGAGCGCCTGCCTGGATGGTATTAGAGGTGTTGGGAGTCGAGAAAAAGGATTATTTACAAGGAGGGCACGTCTAAATGGAGAGGACACTTGGGCAGAGGAAGTAGAAGAGGAAGAAGAGGTCATCGACAAATCATTGTGTTGCTAGATCTCGAGATCGTAAGGGTTCTGGTACGCTTGTGAGGGCCAGTACCCTCCGAACATCAGAAAGATATAATGGTACGCTTCTGCGAACAAGGCGTTTGAAAACTCATACAATGGGACGCTTTTGGATGTACTAGGTGAACATGTCCTGGCGAAGACCAGCGAGCGTCTGCGCTTGTCGCGGCTCGTCGGGTGTGCAAACCGCATTGGAATTGTACCCTCAACCTAGAGTCTGCACTTCTTGCATCCATAATCTTGGCCATACGTGTGTTCATTGCATATACGTCTAAATGATGGGCAATGTTTCGGAACCCAAATCGGCTGCTGGTGAATGGGGGCTTTTGCCCGATGCTCGTGCAGTTTCCGAAACAAGGCTCGATGAAGAGAGTCATGGCAATTTCAAGCTCGGTTCGACGAAAAGCCACACAGCTCTCCAAGTTCCGAAATCGGCTGTTCGAGACATTTCCAGGGGATGCACAGGGCAATGTAGTGAAGAAGACTCGTAACGTCGGTAAGACTTTACAACATTGCGCGAGGATGACCAATGACTAACGCGGTGTAGCTGTAGCTGTAGCTGTAGCCGTCAGCGGCGGCGTAGACTCGATAGCACTTGCGCTACTTTGCGCCAGATTAGATCGTAGTTTCATTTATCCAGTAGCACTCATAGTCGACCACAAAGCACGGGAAGGGAGCACTCAGGAAGCGATGAAGACGAAGAGTCGTGTGGAGAAACTTGGTAGACAGTCAAACACTGATCAAAGTCGATGATCACTGACCGAAATTAGGGCTTCGTGCGTATGTGTTGACCCTCGATTGGGCGGCTGGTGTGATTCCGGACCAGCTTCCAGATTTTGAGACGCAGGCTCGAAAAATGCGTTATCAAATTCTTGGTGGTGCTTGCCGAGAGCTCGGTATTAATATCCTGTTAACTGCCCATCATCGAGACGACCAAGCAGAATCGACTATAATGAGTGTTGCGGCGGGCCGGTCTGGTCCATCACTCAGAACAATTAAGGCCAAGGGGTCCATTCCAGAGTGCTGGGGTATGCATGGGGTCTACGAGAGTGGAGTCTACGACGGGGCTTTTAGAAGAATGATCCTGAAATCCGCTACGAAATCCAGCTTCGTGAGGCCGAATCTAAAGGAGCGAGTCATCTTTGAAGCAGGAAGTGTCAGAGTTGCCAGGCCGTTTTTGAATTTTGAGAAGGACCAGCTGATTCGTATTGTCAAGAAGGCAAAAGTAGGCTGGGAAGAGGACGAGACTAATAAGCAAGCATGGCGTACTGAACGAAATGCTGCCAGAAACTTACTTCGACACTTCAGCTTGCCAATAGCACTTAGGGAAACATCACTTGCAGAGCTGCGCTCTCGCCGTAGGCTCGTCCAAATCAGCTTCAATAATCTATTTCATGCAATAAAACATCGTTGCGAGGTCATCTCCCTCGATGTACGGTCTGGGATTCTCAAGATTCGCATGATAAGGGCCATATCTCCTTATATAGATCGTCCCCTGCAGGAGCTCTTCAGCCTTCGTCGTTTTGCAGCTCACATCATCGAATCTTTTGTTCGCGTTGTAACATCTTTCGAGACTGTCAATCTAGAAAGTTTGCAAATTGCAGCGGAGACTATCTTCTCTGACTTTCGATCTACTCCTCAAAAAGACTCAAATCAATCTATAAGTTTTACCGCAGGTGGCGTCCAATTCCACCGCATATATTCTTCTCTCGAGAACCCTGAGCAGATGCTTGGAGAGATCCCTCAATCGCCTCGTAGCGCTCTCGATCCTGACTTTGTATGGATTCTGAGTCGACAATCACCGAACGATCCGCCTCCCTGCTTATCTGTATCGCCGACATCACCAGCAAAGCTCAGAGATATCCAGATCGTGACTTACACGAAAACGCAGGACTTTTTTGAACTTGACAACTGGGGCTGGTCAGCATGGCAGCTTTGGGATGGCCGATATTGGATTCGCATAAAGAATGGGACTTGTCACTCGCTCCTTGTACGACCGTTCAAGCCGTCCGACATGGTCAGGCTTAGGAGCACGAGCACAAGAAAAGATCTGCAGCAATTCGAAGCATATCTGAGAGAAGTCGCCCCCGGAAAGGTACGCTGGACGTTGCCTGCGATTTCACGAAATTCTGACAACAATATCGACCCAGACTTAGTCGTCGCCTTGCCTTCACTTGGGAGAAGAATTCAGTCCGAGGTTTTCTCCAGAGAGATGACACGAGATATAGAATTCCAAATTAGATACAAAAGTGTAGCCTTGAAATCGTCTACAACAATCCTAGCCGATGATGGATTCACCAATATCCGTTGGGGAAAGGACAAGACTGTTCAATCCTGGCTAGATGAATGAGACCGTCAAATTATTTTACCTCTAACGCACTTCCTAGAAGGTTGCAGTCCATGTTAGGAGAGGATCGATACTGGAGCCCGAACCTGCTCACTAGTACACATACTTTCATGACTATGTTCACTACCCAAGCCCAGAGGAGTTGGGATACACTTTCAACCTTCATGAAGTGAACCCAAACATCTCCTAGTGGCTGACGATTAATTCCCTCAGTCTGAAATAGTGCTTGGGGACATCATTCATGTCTACGTAGTAACAGAGGGAACTAGACATACGCAGGTACTAGATCGCTCTCGAAGTGAGACGTTCAGAGATCAATGTTAAAGAGCTCCTTAGAGTCACACCCGACTAGACAGGCTATCAAAATCAAAAAGGTCTGCAAATCGCCGAAAGACCTCATATTAAACTAAAATCTAACATTTCCTGAGTATTTGAGTCATAGGAGGGCTTTGAAGATAAAGCTGGTCATCCTCTATACTTGAATTCTTTACCTAATTACCATCTTCCTTACTGGGGATATCATTAGGATGACTTCATTTCGATTTTTCGGCAAATGTGAGCTTCGTTATGAAGCTCTCGTCAGAGCGAACACCTGCGCTTCAGATCACAACGAGGCAGGGCACTTCGAACCAGGAAGTCATTATTGACCTGAGAGTCCTACTCAAACAGAACCCCGGTTGGTTTCTCTCAAGGAGCAAAATCTTGGAAAAGGAGAAGCTAGATCGTAGACGAAAAGGGTTGTGGTGGTAGCTCCGTACAATAAACGCAATAGATTCTGAGCGCAAACACCCAAATAGTGCGATTGAAATTGTCTTCCGTCCAGTAAAGGGAAAATGCAAATCGAATAGAGAAAGTATAGAATATATCGTGGCAGCAGATCCAGAGTACTACATACGATTTGGCGTGCTTATAATAGTTCCCCAACCGACTTCCCACACCAAGAGATATTTCAAACAAGCCCGCCTTGCTCGAGCACAACTCCTAGTCGGGAGATTTGAACGCCGTCTATTTCTGTAATTTTGCATCAGATTCCCTTCACGAGATAGCGCTTTTCTTCTAATGTCCAACAAACTCCTTCACAGTTTCCTTGCTTTTCCTGCCAGGTACGAGAGCGAGCGGCACGATACCCGAGACGTGCATATCTGGGCCGTATGTGTGCATGTCCAGCTTGAGCTCCTCGCCGACGGCTTTCATGTTTTTGAGGCCTTCTTGATAATTGGGACCTGCGCGGCGGATGTATATTTGCACTTTGTGCTCATTGAGCTTTGCTGCCACCTCTCGGAGGGCTCGAATGACACCTTTAAATGTAGAAGCAACCTGAAATGTCTCAGTTAGATCATTCCCGCACTGCCAATGGGGTGAATGAGGAACGTACATTCGTGAAGTTAGCAATACCACCCCCAATGAACAGGATCTTGCCTTCTGGGCGTTGGGGAGCGCGCAGCATCAGGTCGAGAACAGTGCGAGCATAGTAGTACGTCTGGGTCTCGGTGGGAGCCCCGGAGTATTCGCCGTAGTTGGCAAGCTCATCGGCGAAACCCGCGGAAGCAATGGCATCTGCGTACACTACCGAAGCACCACCTCCAGCAACCAGAGTCCAGATCCGGCCTTTTGAGTTGAGTACGGTCAGCTTCAATGACGCACCAGTCTTTGCATCAAGTTCTTGAATGTAGGCTTCCTCCTTGCTCAATTCGCGACCGAAAGGCGCCGGAAACTCGATTGGTGGCCCGGCGTCGATGCTCACTTTGTCAGTTGCTGAGACTGGCTGGCCTAGAGCAGCAGGACCTCGAGCGACAGCCCATTTGACGCCGCACTCGAACTCGGCTGTCTGGTCAAGCTTCGCAGCCAAGTCGAGAAAGTGCACTTCAGCAGACGTAGCGTCGGCGTTGGGGATGACGACGAGCGGGTTGATTTCGAGGTAGGTGAATTGGCAATCAACGTAGACAGCGTAGAGGCGTGAGATGAAGTCGATCAAAACGTTATGAATGCCTTTCGGTACATCTTTCAGCAAAGTCTTTGCCAGCTCGTCATTGGAGGGATATTTTTCAGGATCCACGGGAATGAGAATCTTTTGGGCTTTGGCGTCAACATCGCCGACCTCAACACCACCCTCGTGAGTGAAAAGTATCCAATCACCCTGTAATCCTCGTCTCAGCACTCAATGTTACTTGGATCCTTGGCGAAGGGACTTACGTCTCGAACGGAGTTCATGTTTATGTAATATTCGGTATTTGATGGATGGGGCACAAAGGGCTCTACCAAGAACGTTCTTAGGGCACCCTTCACATTCCCTACTGGCTGGTCCTTGCCGGCGCGGGCCTCGATCCATTGTCTTGCCTCTGACCATGGCTTATTTATCGCGAGTAGTCCCATCTTGCCTCGCCTTTTTATCAGTTGATCTGGTTTGGCGACGAATCGGGCTTCTTGCTGGAGGAGAAAGGGGTACTTCGTTTCGGCAGCGTCGAGTACGCCCTTGATGTCGGCATCCTCAGGGAAGTGTATCGAAGCAAGCTTTGGAGGAGGGTTGTGTGTGGTCGAGGGGGGAGGGGAGTTGGTTTGAGGACAGGAGCACGTGTGAGATGGTAGCTGACGATTGCCTTGCCGTCGGCTTCGGAGACGGCTTTGGCAGACATGGCGAAAGGTCGTGCTTAGGATCTGCTCTTCGTTAGGAAGAATGTTCCTGATGATAGAGACGTATTCGTGAGCGACTGGCTGCTTGCTCACCACTGGGACTCGTCTGCAACGGCTTGTGGGAGAAGGGGTGAGGGGTGAGGGAGTTGGGACAGCACAGTCAAGAATTGCAATGTCAATTGGCGGTGGTGTAAGTTTTCCAGGCTTGAGGTATTCTTGTTGAGGGCTCGGGACCCGAAAAGACGAAAGTTGCACAGGAAAAGTCTCCGGCTTTTAGCGTCTGAACTCCGGACTCGTGAGACGGCGGCGGAGGAGACGGTCACCGAAAATTGATCTTATTGCACCGTCGACCTGTTGTTGTTCTGTTGTTCTGTTGTTCTGTTGTTTTGTTATCTGCTTGTCTACCAAGCTGCAGTCAATTCTCCAGCACGCTCAAAGGCCAAGAACTCCCAGTCAAATTCCTGCGCAATTGCTCATTTGCTTTGTTGAGAGGGCTAGAGTACACAACTGTTGAGAGCTCCCCCGGGCACCCTTGAAGAATTCCTCTCTACTCTATTAGGGCTAGTCTCCCCCAAGCCTTTTCTCCTCCCGGCGGTGACGGGGACGGGCGAAAAAAGTAAGAGCGGAAACAGAGAAAAAGGTGAACGCCAGCCCACACATTCTGTAGTAGAACTCCACCAGGCCCCAATTGCTTTTTCACATCCGCAAGCCCAACAGCCTCCTTCTGGACGAGCGAGAATTCTCTTTTCTCCCACAGGCTCACAACATCTACCGCCTCGGAGCTCACTCGTCAGTCCCGTCCACGAGCTTCGCTCTCGAACGCTCTGTGCAGCAAGCGCTGTGGTCTTTCGGGATCGACGACTAATTGAGATACTCCAGACTACGATCTATTGAAAATGCCTGCTCCCATTGCCAATGGTCCTCCCTCAGGCTCGACATCTACCCCTCAAGTCAATGGGGAGGTCAACGGCACTGGGCCGAATGGACCCCCTTCCAATCAAAACCCGTCTGCAAATGACAAGATCCGCCGATTTGATGCTCCGAGCAGACCCTTGAGCCCTCATGCTCAGCACATGCTGTTCCATAATAGGACGCGATGTTTCGTTTAGTAAGGCCTCACCCTCGAGTCCGGAAGTGACACAGATTAACAGGAAACACAGCGGCCTGCAACCACGAGCCGTCCAGGGCATGTTGGATTTCGACTTCATCTGTGGCAGGAAGAATCCCTCCGTAGCCGGCATCATTTACACCTTTGGTGGCCAATTCGTTAGCAAAATGTAGGTCCCGGAGAACCAATGCGCATGGATCAAGGCCGATGTGCTAACGATGCTTTCTGAAAGGTACTGGGGCACCAGTGAGACGCTTCTACCCGTATATCAGACAGTCGATGGAGCCATTGCAAAGCACAATGATGTCGATACTGTCGTGAACTTTGCCTCCTCCCGTTCCGTGTACAGCTCGACTATGGACCTGATGAACTTTCCTCAGATAAAATCGATAGCGATCATCGCTGAGGGTGTTCCGGAGCGACGAGCAAGAGAAATCCTTCACACCGCAAACAAGAAAGGCATCACAATCATTGGCCCTGCTACGGTTGGCGGCATCAAGCCGGGTGCGTACAAGATCGGTAACACCGGAGGAATGATGGACAACATAGTAGCCTCGAAACTCTACCGAAAGGGCTCAGTGGCATACGTCTCCAAATCTGGGGGTATGTCAAACGAGCTCAACAACATTATCTGTCAAAATACCAACGGGGTGTACGAGGGCGTCGCTATCGGCGGAGACCGATACCCCGGCACCACTTTCATCGACCATATGCTTCGCTATGAGGCAGATCCGGAATGCAAATTGCTCCTTCTCCTAGGTGAAGTTGGTGGCGTCGAGGAATATAAAGTCATTGAGGCCGTCAAGAGCGGCAAAATCACCAAACCGATTGTGGCCTGGGCTATCGGAACCTGCGCCAGTATGTTCAAGACGGAGGTGCAATTCGGCCATGCTGGTTCAATGGCAAATTCCCAGCTTGAAACTGCAACGGTCAAGAACTCCACCATGAGAGAAGCCGGTTTCTACGTCCCTGAAACCTTTGAAGATATGCCGAGCCTGCTCCGCAAAGTCTACGACGATCTCGTTCAAAAGGGCTCTATCAAAGTAGAAGCAGAGCCTGTTCCACCCAAGATTCCTATCGACTACTCATGGGCACAAGAACTCGGACTCATCCGAAAACCAGCCGCCTTCATCTCCACTATATCTGACGACCGTGGCCAGGAACTTCTTTACGCGGGCATGCCCATCTCCGATGTCTTCAAAGAGGAGATCGGTATTGGCGGTGTCATGTCACTACTCTGGTTCCGTCGCCGTCTCCCAGACTATGCCAGCCGCTTCCTCGAGATGGTTCTCATGCTGACAGCTGATCACGGTCCGGCTGTGTCCGGTGCTATGAACACCATCATCACAACACGTGCCGGCAAGGATCTCATCAGTTCCCTAGTGTCTGGACTACTGACTATTGGATCTCGATTCGGCGGTGCTCTTGATGGTGCCGCTGAGGAATTCACCAAGGCCTTCGATAAGGGTCTAAGCCCGCGAGACTTCGTCGACGGTATGAGGAAGGCGAACAAATTAAGTGAGTGACATGTGCTTCTCTAAATGCACGTGTACTAATCTTGCATAGTTCCTGGCATTGGTCACCGAGTTAAATCGCGAAACAACCCCGATCTGCGCGTAGAGCTCGTAAAAGAATTTGTCAAGAAGAGGTTCCCTGCTTGCAAATTGCTTGACTATGCTATCGCTGTTGAAACTGTCACGACCTCAAAGAAAGACAACTTAATCCTCAATGTGGACGGGTGTGTCGCTGTCTGCTTCGTTGACTTGTTGCGCAACTGTGGAGCTTTCTCCCCAGAGGAAGCAGAGGACTACCTAAGCATGGGAGTGCTCAATGGGTTATTTGTGCTAGGCAGGAGTATTGGTTTGATTGCTCACTACCTGGATCAAAAGAGACTGCGAACCGGACTGTATAGGCATCCCTGGGACGATATCACCTACTTGCTGCCCAACCTGGCGCAAGGTGCGCCTGGAAACGAGGGTCGTGTGGAAGTAAGGTTGTAAGAGAAAAGCGTGACGGATCTTTTTAGGCAGGTTTTCCTTGTGGTTCTTTGCAGGAGTCCCAAGTGTCGCATACCTGTATGCTCATAGATAGAGGCTAGAGCGGGAGTATCAGTTGTCGCAATACCTGTCGGTATCTTGGGCTATCGTGTCGGTGCATGTCTTTGCAATTTATGGTCAGATCCCGCAAAGGTTTTCACGAAAATCATTCAAGTTCTGCTGCATGAAAGGTCGCTGTTCAGCTGACGAAGCCCCGTGTCCACAATCCACGCTTAACGACCTATCCAACGCTCCAATCGCTATGCATCATTTCAAAATGCCTGTAAACTCCTCCCTGTATCTTCTTTTGGGGTCAGGACTCCCATTGCCCTTCATGCCTGGCCAGATGAGTCAAGCCTCGATTTCGGTCAATCTCCCGCCCATAAGTGAATCCACATACGCTCTCTCTACCTCCGCATTTCTCCGCCCCTTGTCCTTCTCCTCCTCTTTCAACAACACTGCCAGCACTTCCAGTGGCGGTTTCAACCCAAGCCCGTCGGCGCGCTTCCACCGTTTCGTTCTAGCTATGCCTATACAAGGCTAGGAGATCTCAATGTCAGCAAAAACCAACACGCCACAAATTTCTTATCTCAACCACGAGATGCGATGAAAGAAGTGGAAGACAACATACCCCAAAGTGACTACTCAAATCGAACTCCCTCAAAACTTTCTCATACACACTTAACCCCTGCTGATGCACCCTCGGCGCTATCCTCGCCTGCTCTTTGAGGATCCAGTACTTCTTGATCTGCGCCTCAGAGACCTTGAGCGCTTCCACTTCTTTCACATCTCTTTCAGTTTTCTTGACACTACTCTTCTTGGCGCTACTACTACTCTGCTCGGCTTTCCTCTCCTGTTGCCGGATTGGCAGTGCTTTCGCTTTGTCGTCCTCTTCCTCTACTTCCTCTGCTGATGTTTCCTCCCTCGGCGTCTCGGGAGCAGTAATTTCTTTCTCTATCGCTGTCTTCGCACTTGGCGACAGCTTCTTTTCTCCCCTCCCCAGTGGTGAAGGTTTTGTGATCTTGTTTGTAGCATTGGGGCCAAAAGTGAGTCGTTGCTGGGGTTGGGTCTTTGGGGTAGAGGTAGAGCCGGCGGGACGACCGCGGCGACCAGGTGGCATGATAGGTCTTAGGTGCTAGGATTTGCTATATGTGAGTTCCAAGGTGGTGGATGGCGAAGATGTTGATTGGAAGCGGGCGAAAATTGATTTGACGTATTCTGATGCGGCTAGGCGCGTTGGTTGATCGGGCGACGTGGAGTACTCTAGTGTAGGGCTTTTTGAGTTTGAAGCCCTATGATATTACTACTTCTGTCTAGCGCGAGTCTGCCCCCTATGTCCAGCCAGTACGGAGTAAAGTGGTAATCTGTCCATTGGGTTGTATTTACTGCATTTCGCATTTTCGTAAGTCAATAGCGCATGAGAAGCTTAGAAGTTGTGTAAATCTACTCGGATCGATCCCCTTCATGATGCATCTTCTTTGCCTTTCGTCTCCCATTCTCGACCTCTTCAATCTCTAACGGCATTTCTCATTCTCGCAACAGCAAAGATTAATCCAAATACGGAGGTAGCTTTAGCACAATTGTCGATTGTCATATTATCTGCGTCATGCCATTGGAATTTGATCCTCCCATTCTCAATTCTGCCAACCCGTGGGCAACGACTTTCGAAGACCTCTTGGGCCTTTTTCGCTGTCCTTCAATTGGGGCAGTGACGACACGCACGAGTCTGCTTCGTGCTTTTGGGCTTGATGCGTCTATTCATCAGCACTGCTTCGTCGAGAGTGTCAAGCAGTCGGAAGTCTTAAAACCGCCAATCTCCAAACCGCAAGCAATAACAAGCCTTAACACGTACGGCTACAGCCCATACTCGTTATCGCAATACCTGCAATGGATCACCCAAATCTACGAGTCTGAACTTCTTAGCTACAGAAGCAGCCAAAAGCCCGTCATATTTTCCGTCACCGGCACAGCAGAAGAAATCCAACAATGCCACACTCAAATCGCAGAAAACCTCACTGATGTTCTAGATAAGGGCTACTTCACTCGCTTCTTCATGGAGATCAACCTTTCATGTCCAAACATCGATGGTAAACCGCCCCCTGCCTACTCCAGAGAGAGTCTAGAGACATATCTTGCACCACTCAATTCACCAGACCGCAATCATGCTCGAGACCTCGTTCCAATTGGTATCAAGACGCCACCGTATACATATCACACTCAATTTGCGGAGCTGATAGCTGCCCTACTGAACTCGTGTCACCATACTAACCAAAGCCCAATTGGATCATGTCCCATATCCTTCATCACAGCAACAAACACCCTCGGCTCTTCCCTCTTGTTAGCCCCCATGACTGACTCGGCCGTCCCAACCAATGGCAACGCCAACAATATCCCAGCTTTCAAACCCGCTCTCTCGTCCGTGGCAGGCACGGGAATAGGAGGCTTAGCAGGCGCCGCGTTGCATCCTCTAGCATTGGGCAACGTCTGCACGCTCCGTTGGATGCTAGACGAGCATGACGAGTTGCGAGGTATTGAGATCATTGGCGTAGGCGGCGTTAGCGATAGTGATGGGTATGAGAGAATGCGGAGTGTAGGTGCTGCGGCCGTCGGGGTTGGGACTGCGTTGGGGTTTGAGGGGGTTGGCATTTTTGCAAGGATATTGGATGGCAAGGAAAAGGAGCTTAAGTAGCTTGGGCAGCCGAAATTGTAAGATATCGTGGGTGGGAATCAGTGGGTAACAATGTGTGATGAGTGATGATCACGGCGCATTGGAGAAGACAGCGATCATGAAGGTTCAGCTCCTCGAGTTGGATCGAGTATTCTAGGAACGCTATGCTATGGTCTAGGGTCATCGAATGCAAATGCAACGCTTAGAGCAACGCTTCTAGGGGTATATAAAGATAATGCAAGAGCATGCAACCCATCAGTCCCGACATCAGTCAACCCAAGCCAAATCCATGCATAATTCACATTGGTCGTCATTGACGTTCTTCGTAACATCACTTCTTGGCCCAAGCCTTCTTTACCGCCCTAAAGCTCGTTACAGTCTCATTTTTGCCCGGCTTTCGTCCAATTTCAACCACGAGAAATCTGACGAAGTCTTGCATAATCCAATAACTGCTATGGGCACTCAACATATTCAGATATTGGATCTCGAGGGGCCCACCACCAGACTTCAATGTATAATCAATCTGCCCGTTGTCGTTCAGGAGCAACATTCTCTTCTCGGCAATCTCCTCGCGCGTGAAATTGTGTGTCTCTAACTCGACTGTAGAGGGCAGCTTCGCGATAGGGGGGCGAGAAGGAGCAGCTCCAAAAGCTTTAGTAGGGATAGCCGCTTTGCCTCTGAACATTGCACCGAAGTATTGGGTCCATGAAGCTGTTGCGCTGGGAACAAACGCTTGCTGCAAAGCGTTGGAGTAGTCGACGTCCACACAAGCATTGACGCGATAAGCAACAGGATCGTTCTGATGCATGATATTGTAGAGATTGTCCACCGCTAAGCAACCGTATTTGCCTGTTTCGCCACTCACCCCACCACTTCCAATATCCTCGACATCAGCTCCGGCCTTTTCCCTGCCACGTCTTGGTACTAGGGGAGCATGATTAAGCAAAAGGAAGAAGCCCGCGGGGCTACCGCAGAAGAAAAGGCTCTTGGTATCGAACTCGAAAAAGTCATTACGTGGCGAAGTCGCACCAAAATCTAGTTCTTGCGGAAGTTTGGTGGGCTGATTGCTAAGAATGTCCAACGCCATTACACTACCCAGAGAGTGCGCGATCAAATGTACCTTGCCATGTTCATGGAAGCCTGGATTGTTGGTACACCAAAGGCGATATATGCGATTAGCCTCTTTTATGACGGCTTCGATCATCTTCGGCTTATGATGAGAAAGATAGTATGGTATGTCGAGCATCACGTCACTGATTAGGTTACGTACAGCAGGAAGCGTCTCTGCAGTGATATCTTTCAAGCTGTAATTTGGGTTGGAGGGACCACCACTCGCCTGTGACCTTTCTGCAACTGGCGAGTCACCATCTATTTTCATTTTTGATCGCCAATTGACAGGCAAGGTCATGATGGTCCCAAGGTCAGGCCGTAACCAAGGCTTGACGAGGTCAGACTGGATTTCTGTGTTGACTGAGCGACGGAATGCATTTATTGCATGAGTGAAGTGAAAGCTTTCCACCCGCTCGGAAAGCTTTTGACCAATGCCATGTATGACAAGAACCAAATCAGTGACCTTAGGGGTCTCCTCTGCTGAGAGACATGCGACACAGGACTTTCTTCGATCGGTGGAAGCATGAGTGGGGACGCGCATGCCTTGAAGACTATCTCGAGTTGCCTTGGCAGATCCTTTCTTGGAAGAGTACTTCTTCTCCCATGCTTTGAAGTCAAAGCCTCGCGTTACAGTCACACCCACAGACTGGCCTTTTCGAATCTTTGCCAAAGGTTTTCTGCCTCTGGCAACGGAAGGCAATTGACCAGCGTTGAGAATTTGTCCTTCATACGCATTTACATAAATGATGCTCGACTTAGCAAACGGCCTGACCGGGTCGTCAAAACCGTCAAGTATACCAGCAGCGCGATTTTCAGGCTTTCCCGCCGCTTTGAGAGCATTGCGCTGCCTTGCTGTTTCTGGTCCCAATTGTACCTCTAGCGGCTTGTCTCGAGAAGTCGAAGGCCTTGAGTCTGCTGTCGCTTGTTCGGCCGGCCAGATTTTATGTGCAACTTTGAGTTCAGCTTCTGGACCTATCTCAATGCAGCTATTAAGCTCGTCGTTGTAAGTGGGAGTCCAAGGCTTGATGTACTCGAATCCTTCCTCAAGCTGGTTAGCAAGGTCTGTTTCAACAGGCCACATTGTCTCTTTGTAGAACCATGTACCACGGACTACAGAGCACACGTCGTGAACAGGGTCCCAGTAGATCGGGCCCATCTAGATGTTGTCAGTCCGCGAAGAGAAATCTATGAATCTATAGACTGACTTTCAGAGTAGGCAATTCGACTACATGAAGACGGGAAACTCCAACGGGTACCTTCGCTTGCTGTATATCTCTGGGCGTAGAAGGCGGCGAATGCTTGGCATTCTTCTGGAGGTGACCAGATCTAGGACGGCGTTGCAGAGTTGCGCGTGAAGAAGTAGGGGAAAGCGTATCCCCGGAGCCATCCATGTTGGCGTTACTATCTGCAGGTATCGGTTGTCCACTGGGCTCCGGAGAGCGCGATCTTGACCGGTTGCGTCGTAAGCTTGACGGTATGCGTAAGAAAGGGGTGCCTGTAGTGCTGCGTTCAGTGGGGCTCGACCCAAGATCTGTGAGATCTTGTCTCTTCGATGCAGCGAGAGATGCATTGCGACTCGGACGTGGCGTATCTTCTGAGCCCAATGCTGTGGCTGCTTTAATGTGGTTTCCTGTTCTTTCCTTGCGACTAAACGGACTCCTACTTCGCTTGCGATCAGCGGGCACGCCAGCGTTTGCTTCGTTCTCTTTGATCTCTTTTTGTGTTACTGGCGAAGCCTGTGCTAGTGATGTATACTCGGGATCATCGCTCAGAGTGACATGGGAACTAGTGACTAGAGAGGCTTGAGGCGGCGAGAAAGGCAGTGGTGTAGCAGGGTCTATATCGTCAATCGAGTCCAACTCTGGAGATGGAATGACAATATCCGTCGTGGTGGCCTGACCATCTGGGGAGCTGATACCTCCTTTGTTACTGGAGATTTGATTGGAGTGGGCGAAATCGTTCTTCTTACTGCCGTTCCGGTCAAGGGAACCTTTGAAGATTTTAGAGAGACTCTCGCCTCTCCTTCTTGAGACTTGACCATCGTGTGGATATTTCTCTAAAGCGGCATCTGATAGTTTTCTGGAGCTCTCTTGCGACAGGTATGGTCTGTGGATTTTAAGCCACGCTTCTTCAAGAGCTCTATTATCATGTACCGAGAAAGGTCGTGGGGGAACTATTGCAGCCCGAGGACCACCGGTATTTGGTGGAGGAACGGGCAGCAGAGGATCATCGATAGGGAGAGAAGAGCAGTAGAAATAATGTGCCTTGATTGGCGGGGGTTCGATTGAGATCTGACTGGCTCGCCGTGTGAATAGATTGGATTCGGTATGAAGCATGCAGGAGGGGTCATAGGTATGGCCAACATTCGCCATAGCGAGCTTTCTGAGCGAACAGTCTTGGTCAACGTAAATGCTTGCCGAATATCAGGACATAACGCGGATAGGAAATGCTGGTCGATCTATAACTTATTGGTGGATGCCTGCCAGTAGGATTCTTAGGTCAGTGTCGAATGCGGGGAGACTTGCGGGGCGAGACACCGGAAATGTCACGCATAGAGATATACGGTATTCGATATATGCAGCTCTGATAGTCAAGCGTTGTGGAGACCGTTGTCTGGCGCGACATCTTTGCTCCTTCCATGGGGGTTAGAGAGTGAAGGAGCTAAGCAGGTATGGGTCACGGGTAGGCACGTAGGGCTGCCTATTCATAATGGAGTTCGATGCAAGTCAATGGCCCATACAATACATCTCAGTAATGTCTAACGATGCTTTGCCATGAGGTTGAGGAAGGAGCAAAAATCTGAGGGGGAGATATTATTGGTATGCACAATGATCTTCAGACCCGTCATCCCCGCCGCCGTCATTACAACCTTGGTCAACACCGTATGATCTGCTAAAGTGCATCGCGAACAAGACCCCGAGATAGGGAATTCTCGACCACATGTAATCAATCCTCCAGATTCAAGCAAACGGGTTCTCTCTTTCCAATCTCTCTACCTCTTCAGCACTTCTTCGAGGCACCTGCCATTGCCTCTCCACTCCGAAAGTCACCGTCTTGAGGCCATCCTTCCTTTTTTGCTCCTCTGTGATGATCTTCATTGCTTTGATTGAGATCTCCTGAAAAGCCAGAAACGTCACGAGAGGTGCGCCGAGGAACTCAAGAATCTTATAAGTATCCTGCAAATGCTTTCTCACTGCCGAGTCAGGGGTACAGAATGTTCGGACTGACATTTCTTTTGCGAGCGTCTTCCATGACCGCATCATGCTGTTCATGGCTACAACGTTAGCGGCAGTTGGTCCATAGAAGCGGAAGGTTTCGAGGTTGGCCTGGATGAGCTCTCGCTGAGTTCCCTGATTAAACATGAATTCAATCACTTGCGGTCGGTTTTTGGCTTCCCAATACGAAATCACCTTCTGCAATGACTCAATTGACATCCGATCTTTCGTTACTTGGTCATTCAGATACTGATTTGCGGTCGCACAAATCATAAGCTCAATTTCTGAATATAGTTTCGCCTGCATTGGAGGGCTCAAAGACACATGGAAAGTGGACGGTCCACGAGACTTTGAGCGTGAAGGCGACGTCCCACTCGGAATTGACTTAGAAACGTTGTCAGTCTGTCAACAGTCAGCAAAACGTACCTGGCCAGAAAGCTCAGTTGATTCACTATATTTCCGACTCCCTTCTTTATCTTGCTACCGAGACTCCTAAAAGGGCTCTTGCGGTTCTCTCCACTAGGCATCTCGTTCATACTCATGCTTTTCCCGAGCCATCCCTTCTCCCCCAAAAATCGTTTCAATGGTGACCGAGACCGCTTCGAAGGGCTAAATGGTGGGCTTTGGGGTGGCTGAACCTCCTGTATACGTTCGAGCTCCTTGTTTGGTGACGGCGTTCTCAGCCGAGGACGTCCTCGCGAGAACGATGACGACGAAGCCGTATCTTCGCTTATTCGAGTACGGTCCTCTTCACTGCTAGAAACCATGTGACTTGATTGACTTCCAGCCGATGAGCTGGGTGGCTCATGACGGAAGACGACGTTCCCTTCGGATTGCGAGTGCATCATTCGAGGTGACTTGTATGCCTTGGGAGGCAATTTTGGGGGTACCTGAGGAGGAATTGCCTTTGGCGTCTTTTCTGCATCAGTGTGAAGAAAGTCTTCGACTTTTGCGTAGCGCTCTTCTCCAGCAAAAGGATTCAGCTTTGTGACGCTGCTGTAAGTTAGATGGCTATTCCATGTCATCGTTTGTGATGCTATTGTTGAGGTATATGATGACGAACCCTGTATACATAGCGGAATATTGAGTCTCTTTTGCCTCAGCTGGCGGACTGAATTTGACTGGATCAAGACTGTTCACTATATCAAAGCGGTTTGTAGTCTTTCTGGATGGTGCCCGAGAAATCAGTTTTTCAGGGGTTAGCTGCGTAACGCGTTGCAAATGAAGTCTGTGAGTGGGCTCACGCATCAGTCAGTGGCTTTATTGTTGAATAGAAGCCGTATGACAGATACGTGAATAAGAAGTGATAGTTAGAGTGAAGGCGGCTCAAATAAATCAGTAAACAATAATGCACCAGACGCGACAACACTCCATCAACAAATGATGATGGGGCCTTAGTAGCGCAACCTAATCTCAAATCATTGCCAAAAGTTGATGCAAGCTAGCGTACTTCATCTGATAGACAGTTTGATTCGACATTTGTGAAGTGCTGTCTCAAATGTGGGCTCAAGCTCATGTCTGTAGGACTTTTGACATAGCTGAGCCATGGCCGCCGTGGGCACGGAGAGACGGAAATTGAATCACTGCACAGTCGATCTTAACCGCAGTAGAAATATCTGAGAAGCTAGCAATACGAAATTCCTGAAGTCATGTAAGACTCTGGCTCGGGCCAAAAGAATTCTGTTCTAATATCAGATCGTAAATTGGGGAACGCCTCGGATGTACTGTGCTAATACAGGGGCTAAGAACCCTCTGAAGCTCGGTTCTTCGCCCTGTGGTGCTTGAGAGTCCGGTATCTCCTTGCCTGTGTAGATCACTACCTTGGACTCTTTCGAAATCCGGACGAAACTCTCACCGGCTAGCGGCAGTATGTGCTTTCCTTTGCTAAGAGAAGACCCTTTCAAGCACGGCGAGCGATTTGTGACTGTAGAAGAAGACGTGACAATCTCGCCCACACAAGCCTGTTGTGACGGTAGACCAGCTGACCTAGAAAGCTCGCGTTGGGGGTATTTGTGCGTCGGGAATTTTTCGAGAGGTAAAGGATATCGTACCTGCTCAGGGTCCATCGTCCTGTATTTTCGTCTCTTCAGGGGCTTAAGACCGCTACGCAGGACGTATCCGTCAAATCCACTCCCCGGTCGCCAAACCGCTGGTCCTGCTCGCCCCTTGGGCGTTTGAAGTGAAAGTTGGTAATCGCTCTGGTTGATGCGGACTCCTAAGCTTCTCGTATCGTTCACTGACCCTTTAGAGGCCTTGGTTGGCCTTCTACTTGTTCGTTCCTTTGTCTCACGGGGTTTTGGAGTGCGTTCTTCTGGAATTAAGCCGGTCGAACAGTCGCCTGCTGCGTTCAATGGATCGTCCAGCGAAATACCTTGGGTCTGCATCTTCTTCGGCTCGTTAAAGCCTTGATACGCAAGCTGCACCAAGGAAGCAGGCTCTGCTGAAGTGACAATAGGTGATACCTCCCTATTTGGAGGACCTTTAAATGATAGTTCAATTGCTTGCGAGTGAGTGGTTTGCTGAGATAGCTCTTGCGCTCTGTCACAGAATTCTTTTGCTTGAGATGGTTGATTGATAAGGGCTTGCTCATGTTCCTCTCCATCAGCAGCGTAGGGATCAGCTAGTTGACGATTGTAATCGTTTAATACTCTCGAATCATGTGTTTCACGAGGCAACACTTGGTCAATGGCTTCAGCCGTCGAGTTCCTGTTCGATTTCGCCTGCCTCCGCCGTTCTCCGAGTTTGTATAGGAATTCTTGTATATCCATGACATACCTGAGTGGGAGAGTTGTGCTAAGGTGAGGCAGACTGCACAATCACAATGTAGAATTGTGTTCTGATGGGCAAAGCAAATGAGCTTATCACATGTGGCAACTTGGATCCAAACCCTATGATTAATTATGTGGTAGGATCTTGAAGGTCCTCGGATGTGCAAAATGGCTCTTTATGAAACCAGATGAGCGAACAGAGCTTGGCCCAGCTACCGTGTATTGAACAATGATTTTGTAGCATTAGTCATGTACGATCGTAAGCTTGTGTTGATTAGTACACGTTTGCGATATTCTATTGATGCGATTTCTGCACGGCTGCGAATGGGAGCTTGCTGCCAAATCCCCTGCCCCTGGCTCACGCTATCATAGAACAGTGGGATTATGTTTAGAAACGCAATATGGAAATGCTCATTACCTTTCGAGTAATCATTACGGCGTACTCTAGACTACAGGAAATAATCCGGTGTTCTTCTTGAGACCATTGGCTCACCTTCCCTCGGACAAGGGTCAAATTGCAAGCTGGACTTGTCAGTCTGGAGATGCATAAATCACATGACAGAACTCACAAAGTATACTTCAAGTGCTCGTCTATCTCCATTATGGCAGCTTGATTCCCACATCTATAGCAGTAATTCGGGGCTAGCCTATGTCAGTGGTGTCGATTCCCATTAGGGATCAGGAAATCTTTACCCGAGAAAATGGTAACAACATTGCGTTCCTGACTCCAATTGTATCCTTCCATCACGAGCTGATGTGCTCTTGCGACCAATGTAAGTCCATTGTTATGGTTGAAAGCTTCCGAGATGTCTTGACCGAATGTGTAGCCGGCTCCTCTTGGGCTTATCCCCCACCCACATCTGTCGTCGGGATCACTCCACAAGAGATCGCACATCGGCCCCTCGTGTGGCACTTCTTGAATTCTATCCAGCGCTCGAATGTTGTCTAAAGTATCGATACTTGGCGATAAGCCTCCATGCAGGCAGAAGATCTGATTGTCGATTAAGGCAGTCAGAGGCAGGTAGTCAAAAAGATCGGTGAAATATTTCCAGACATTGGCATTGCCGTATTTCCGTAGACATTCGTCATAAAAGCCATAGACCTGGGTGATTTGTCGGGATTCATGATTGCCTCGGAGGATGGTGATACGTTGAGGGTAGCGAATCTTGAGGGAGACTAAGAGGGTGACTGTTTCGACTGAGTAGTAACCCCTGTCGACATAGTCGCCTGCGTACATAGCTTATTAGACATAGAAACCAGTAAGAGGAACAGTGTGACTTATGAATAGGTAATTTGTGTCTGGGTTGGGTCCGCCAATCTTGAAAAGCTCCATCAGATCATGGAATTGGCCATGGATATCCCCGCAAACAGTGACAGGGCATTTCTGCAAAGAGAATTTAGCATAGCGTTTCTCCGGGCTTGGTGACTAAATTCATACAACTGGCTGCACGTTCGACTCCTCCTGCAAGACCTCACGTGCCTATCGCGGAGCAATTAGCTCATGTCCAGTACGTCAGGCACAAGCGCGTTGGTGTGCATACTCGATCGCACAGTCGCTGGACATCATTCTCACTCAACTGTTTACAGCTCATCAAGCTTTCTATCCACCCGTCGAGGGTAGAGATTGACCCAGGATCCTCTGTTGGTGAGAGCCGGTGAGGCTCAGGCTCTTTGCCCACATCCACGTCCATTTTGGTATCCATATTTGATAGCTAAAGCTTCTTCTTGTCCGCTGGAAGCTGACCAGAATAGTCTACCCTTGATTAAGAACCTCAGTCTTCTGAATTAAAACGCGATTTCGCGGAGTGCAATCTTAAGCTTCGTCCCGGATAAAGATGAGGAGTCTGTGAGGAGATTTGCGATGGAAAAGGCTGCTGATGTATTCTCGAGTCCTTTTAATTGGCTGTAAGTCTTGTGCACGTTTATTCTGGCGACTTCGCAGTCGTTTGTATTTGGGGTGGACGAGGGGGAGCAACTAATTTTCTACCAGAGGTACTAGCGCAGCGTTATAAGGTTTTACTAGCGTAAGGTTCCCGCATTTGTGCATCCAATGTTTCCTTGTCTTGCTTGTGTCTCCCAAAGCTTTCATCAATCACACCTATAAGCGACTCTGGACACCGCCTAGTCGCTTGGTTGAGAATGCATTGAAGTATTGGTTCAGTGCGTCCACTGTCCCGGATCCTTCTACAAGGCCGACTACGCAGGAAACGTGCCCGTCAGGTCTCACAACGATCACACCTCCCCTATCTTCAGAGAAGCCCATTTTGAAATGTGCCCTTGGTCCAGTGTCCTGCATTGCGGGACACATCACATCGTCTGTATATACATGCTCTCTGTATCTCGAGAGCAGTGGTGGTAGCGATTCGATGACGATTTGAGATCGCGGTGCTGTAAATATGATGCAGATTGAGAAGAAAGGAGAATGCGGGTTGTGTCGCTCGTGGTAAGAAACACTTCTAGCATCCTGGTGCGGATAGACGGCTAGGAAGCTTTGCTGCTTCTGGAGATTTGAAGCGAAGTCAGTCAGAGCTTGCTTCGAATAATCTGGCTTGCCGGCAAAGACAAAGAGCCTGAAGGAGCCATTCAGCGGGATCTCATGCTCCAACTTTACAACATTGGCGTCAGCAACACGAGTCACGTCCGTATGTGGCATCACTCGGCCGGCGGTCAACTTGTGTCCACTTGGATCGAACACAAGTGATTGGGCTGGATGCAACAGAGACCAATTGAACACATTCCCGTGATAAGCGATACCGTAACCCGAGGTGAACTCTTGGCTTTCTTTAAAGGCATTCAAGAACTCCTCCGAGGCGTTGGTCTCATGTCCATCAGCTATATCAGCCTTCTCTGAGGCCCTTTTCGAAATAGGCGGCAGTCGTCGGGAGAAAAGGGCTGCATATCTGGCATCAAAATCCAGCAGCTCCTCTGCAATCATTTTGCGCTCTGACTCGTAGGTATCTAAAACCGATTCATTCGCAAAACCACTTTCAACTAGATGCAGCTTCCAAGCCAGATTTAGGGCGTCGTGGAACGCTGTATTCATGCCTTGTCCAGCCTTTGGCTAAAGTTGTGTCAGCTAGTTTCGGAGGGGTGCAATCCAACCGACTTACGCTGTGTGTATGACAACAGTCTCCGCCCATGAACACACGATTATCAAGCGTATACCTTTCGGCAATCCCTTGATCGATAGGATATGTTGAGTACCACTCTATCCTTTCCCATTCAATATGATAAGGCTTTAGTATTTGCTTGGCTGCATTTTGGACCTCTACCACTGTGGCCTGTCTATGAGGGTCGAAGTCTTCGTCTGATGATGTAGCAAGCTGGATGTATAGTCTGACTAAGTTGTTTTCTCGCGGTATGATCATAATTGAGCCTTGCTGGCTATGTATCGTGCATTTCATCTATTCAGCGTTTCAGTGTTGGCAAAGGCTATTTGGGGCGGCAATTCTACCTTGATATCTGGGAAATCTGTCTCCACCACACCATCCATCACTCCCCAAACATTCATGACGCGGTCTTTGTGGTGGATCTGTATGCCAAGTCTCTCTCGTATGAAGCTTTTTGCGCCTTCTCCGCTAAATAAATACTTGGTTTTGACTGTTTGCTGCTCACCACTTTCAGTGTGCTCCAAGATCACTTCAACAGGATGAGGTTCGTCATTTCTGTCATTACTAAAGTTTACAATAGCCAAAGGTCTCTCAACTTCTACCCCATTCTTTCTTAGATCAGCTATGAACACTCCCTCTATCAATCCTTGGTGAAGGCACGTGGCAAAAGGATATCGAGCCTCGACGAAAGGTGGGCAGGCTCTCGAAATACTAGTTCGATGGATTCCCTCTCCCTCACGCATTGGATCCCAGAAAGCCACTTCATAGACCTTGGCCGGCTCATGAGCCATGATCGCACGCTTGAGGCCCAAATTGCGAAGGATATCAAGAGACCTTGGCTGGATGCCATCAGCTCGTCCAGTCAAGGTTGGTGTGTGGCGCTTGTCAACGACCTTGGTGCGAAAGCCGAAGCGTGCTAGGCATGTCGCAAGGAGTAGACCGACGGGTCCGGCCCCGACGACGACAATGTCATAAACCTCAATTGTGTTGGTAACCATGATGTGAGGATGAATGCGTACTGCGTGAAGAAGACTTCGATCATGCCGATCAGCAGCTATTTACAAGTCATCCTCAAAATATGACTATACATGATGCAATCTGCTGACAAAAGCAACACATTTCTGATGCAAAAGACCAATTTGTTCCACTGCATGACTAATGTTGAAATGCAAGATCGAGAGGTTATACTGATCATGGGAGCTATTGAGGAGTTGAGCGGGGATGACGACTCGATAGAGCCAGTCGGTAAAATTGTCCGGCTGGTACATTCCTTTGTACCTGAATGCTTGGCAGGCAGGCGTTAAGTACCGCTTCTACCCATATTATGTTGGATGCAATCATTTTCTCTAGCTACAGGTCGAGCTATGAAAATCTGACGGCAGAAGGATGATGTCTTTGTTGATCTGATGTTATTTCATCAGCTTCTCTACCCCAGCTCCAAGCCCACATGACTTCTTAAATGGGGTTTTCTTCGGTGTGAGCGAAAATGAAAAGCATTTTGCGAGAAAATTTAATTTCTCAACGCAAACCGACTCAGATCATTCTTATCCTTTTTTGGAAACTTTACCGCACCGAGTACTCCCCTACGGTACGTCTGAGGTGAGTAATAATGTTCTTGTTGAGCGTCCACCAAGCAGCGCGTGATGAATCTTCGAAGGATATTAAGGTACAGCAGGAGAGGATGGGCGTTGAGGCGGCGAAGACACTCCGTTCGAGAATTGAGAATGTTCGTGTACATGAGTAGGTATTAAGGACGTTCTGAGTAAGAGTACGATAATCCCCAAAGTAAGATAAGAACAAAAAAATTCGTCCAAGGCATCGGAAGCATGCACGAAGTCAATGAGCAAGTAAGGCTCAGAAAATATTACAGAAGAACTTGCTCCTGACTTTAGTTCCAGTGCTTTGGTTCTGGAAGTCTGCAATTATTTTTGTTTTATTTCTCTGATAAATCTAAAGCAAATGACGAGGCATATTTGTTATTTGTGTCGTGAATCTTTTCCGCTCATCTCTTCTCAATATATCTCATCATTGTCATCATCATCATCATCATCATCGTTTTCGTCGTCATAAATTCCCTATTTATTCTCAACGGACGTCGAGACATCGCACTTGATCATTACGGCTCTTCTTCCTTTCCGGATAGATTGTCTGCGCTGACACCTAGGATTAGAAAGCTGTTGAGCTAGCCTGTCTAAAGCACTTTTCCCTTCTTTTTCAATCTCGCATTTAATCTTGTCATGATACTCCCGCCTGACTTGGTATTTCTCAAACTCTGACGGCAAGGTGCGCTGGAGGCTCCGGCACCATAGATTCAGTTGATGTTCGCTCGCCCTAAATGTTTCGTTCAAGACTCGATAACCTTCTCCATCCTTACGAATCATCCATCTATTTACATCAATTGTGGTGGAGCTGTAAGAGGCCATGAAACGCTTTGTAACAACAAGTGATTCCAAACGATCCGTCCAGACCGCGCTTGCAACCTTGAGGAGGATGCCAGAATCAAAGTTTGTATCCACGCTCATATAATCAACTTGAGTTGTGATGAGAATCTCACGAAGATGTTGCATTTGCGACACAAGCTGTAGCATTTCTGACTATTTGATGATGTCAGTCTATTATCCTCTACTGTTTCACGTATTCACCAACCCAATTATGACTGTTCAAATCCAAGTCGAAATGTAAGGTCCCAAGATTCGGACAGTAAAGCCTAATTGCTAACAGAAGGCTTTGAGCCAGGGACATAAACCCTGTACCTGAGCCAATGATCTGGTCTAAATGCCGAGTATGTCGACGCCGGCACCCCAAATTGTGAAGTGAGAACTCTTTGAGATTCGTCAACTTATGAGATGCAAGCGGAATGATAATTACCGAAAATGCAGAACCGATAGAGTCGAGTTCAAATATCTCGAGTGAAGATTGTGAGCAAAGGAAGTCTTGCAGGGAATTTTGTTGCATCTGCATGTCTTCAATCTCGCTTTTCCAGATTGGGTGACGTATACGAAGCTCTGTAAGGCTTGTGCCTTGTGAGATCAGACGTTCAAATAGGAAGTCAATATGCTTGCAACTTTCCAGCGTCAGGCTTTGGAGCACACAAGTCTCTACGTTCATGTGAAGACCCCATCTAGAAGCTTCGAATTCGTACGACTTTAATTCAAGTTTGCTTACTGGCGGCAGCTTCTTCATTGATTTCGTGTGGAATGGGTCTCTGTTGTCGTGAGGAGCCAGAGTAACCATGTTGATAGAAAGAGAGTCTAGCTTGGTTTGCGATGCTATAAATTCTTTGTGGCATCGAATAGAATCCTCGATACGATTGAGGATAATTGGTGAATTATGTGGACGATACTCCAGAACAAGCTCAGCCAGCTGTGTTCCTGCAAAGTGTTGGAGAGATATCGTCTCCTCGGGCAAGCCCCAAAGCGCGACAAGCGCATTGCGTCTCAAGATCTGGGCATTCGGATGGGACTCTAGTTGGGCGAGGAGCTTCGGAGGGATGGGCTGTGGTACATACCAGCTACGTAAGCATTAGTTGAACAATTCACGAGCCACAAAAGGACTCCAACATTGAAGGACGGACCTGAAGCTTTTGAGACTGGGTAGCTTCGGTATCAACTCGACGATTGCGTGGTCGAGAAGCCGTCCGTCAAGGCGCCGGCGCGAGAAACCTCCAGCAGTTGCTGGCTTCGAGACGGAAAGCGTATGCACGAATCTTCTGATTGAAGAAAAACCATCGTGGTGAGTATGTAAGATTCGCAGAAGGCGGGCGGTGAAGAGAGCCTTCGCAGGCGCGAAGTCCAGAGTGATGTCTCTGTACAGGAAGACGCTTGCCGCGCTGTGGAAGATTTTGCTCACTCTCAATAGCGACACGAGGGTTTCCGCATTTCCTAGTTGGTAAATCTACCCATTGGCATGAGACATGCTTTGGAGTTATCACGCCGCAGGAAAGCCTCACCTCTTCGGCGATCAACAGTACAATGTCCAAACTGAAGCTCCATTGCCGCAACGGTCCCGGACAGTTGGTTTGTCTGTGAATGAGGACACCTCTGCCCCCTTCTAGTGACGAACTTGCAGAGACGTGTGAATTGGAACATTTCACTTGCGTTTCGTATGTATGGCCTGGCATTTTGTATAAAGACTATTGGTCAGCGTGCAAAAATTGCGACAAGTCATGCAGTGACTCCTTGATTGCAAAGTGGAACGCTTCACTCCTGGATCCGCCCTTCTTCCATTCCACCTCCAACAGATCACACCAGGATCCTGCTGCGATAGGACAGTATCATGGCAAAGGAAAGCAATCAATTGTTCGATTGAAGTGCAGTGCACAGTAAAGAAGATGAAAGGAAGAACAGACAGCTGAGAGGAGAGAGGGTGTTCTAGGAACCATGGTGATTGTGAATCCGATCGGGCAGAGAGTGAATCAGCATGACACTTTTTGTACGAAACAAAACACAAACACATGGTTACGCTTCATTCACTCTTTTTTGTGCAACACAGGATGAGGTCATCCAGACTTTCACGGTACGTCGAAGCCTCCTGATATTCCCATCGAGCGCGCCCGAAATCAAGCCGTAGGAAAGAGAAGAAATGAGGGTCGCTTCTCGCGTCAAACGCGACAGACAGGCAGCTCCTTGCGTCATCCCTCGTCCATTAAATAGATGGTTGAGTATAATGTAGATGGCAACTCTACCCACCAACGACACCTGCTCCAAGATGTCTGTCAACCAAGGGAATGTCTTCAGTGCTCTGGCGCTGTCAGGCTACATGATCGAAAGTCTTCCCAGCAGCCCCACACCACAATTAAAAACTCCCTGCGATGCTATTGCACTTCTTACTCACGCCTCCATGATGGCAGTCGGTTTCAGATTGATTGGTCTAGGAGAAGATCACAAGATTCCTGCAGCTTCAGATACGACTAGTACACAGTCTCTACCTCAGGAATGGAATTCATCGCCTTCGAACTACGCTTTCCGCTACAGCCATAGTCAATCTTCCCTCGAATATCTTATCCGAATCAGTCGCCTTGGGTCGAAAGCAGTCATCAATGGCCTTGGGATCGGTGATGAGAAGGTGCACACCTTGGATATACCAATAAAAGACTTCGTCTCGGAATCTTCATTTCCTTACACTGTAGCCTCCGAAGGCGGCGAGAACGAAAACGCACAATCGTTACGACAACTTTTCATTTCTGCAGGACGCATGACAGACGCAGGATCTCTTCTCAAGTTGCAGATCATCCAGAAGCTGGCACCTGGGTTGCAGAAGGAGGGATACGAAGACTCAGCCCATGCCGCAAGCACACAGGCTCGAGAACCAGGAGATCCCAGAATTCCTGGGCCTGACAATCCACGAGGTGATCCACCGGCTTACGATCCTCTTCGGGATGACCGCCTCCCTGCTCCCGCTCGACCACAGCCCTTCAACGACCCTCTTGCGGCCGAGCCTCGGCGGCCATTCCCTGCCGGCGACTTCCCTCCACCCGGCTTTGATGATGAGTACGATATGACTAGGCCGCCAGGAAGAGGCGGTATCGGTGGAGAGCGACGGCCTTTGAATATTGGAGAAAGAGATTTGTACCCGCAAGGTCTAGGGCCTCATGACCCATTTCGAGGTGGGGGTGGCATGCATCCGACATTTGATGATCCGCTCTTTGTAGGCGGAAGGGGTGGAGGTGGCCTGGATCCAAGGTACGTCAGCATAGTCAGATTTTGACGACTAAGCAATAACATGTATTTAGGGCGCCCCCAGGAGCAAGGTACGATCCGGTTCATCCTGGCGATGAACCACCAAATCTTGGTGGAGGACGCTTTCAGGGTGGCGGTGGAGGATCTCAAGGTGGTCCTCCGAATCCTTTCAGTGGTTTCGGCAGTGGTGACTTTATCTAAAATTGTGAGAGAAATAATGATCATCATGTAAAGGTATAACGAAGATGAACTCTAAAAGGGGGCATGAGAGACTGGGGCTTTTCAAACATGAATGAGTGTATGATCATTAATTTATTGTATGCCTTTAATTTAAAATGCGATATGGGTATCTTCAGTTCAATTTTTCTTTGCGCCTGTGCTTTTTCTCATGCTCATGAATGTCCACCCAGGCGCCAAGTGTCCGCCGTAAATCGCCAAAGTGCCTCTCTAGACCATTGTATGAACGAAGTTGTCTTAGGGAGATCGTAATAAAGGTCGTGTTGCAATCTCTTATTGTGGATCACCAGGCTTCTTAGCATTGCAGCTAACGATCTTGATCTTATCCGCCGAGACGTTGAGCTGGTTCTCCATTTTGAAGTTCACATCGCTGACCAAGAATGTCCACACATCGTCGCAGAAGCGATAGGTATCAAGATGTCCCTTCAGACCCTCATGATCAGCCAAAGCTGCTCCAACATGAGGCATTTGACTACTACCTTGAAATTCAGTCTCGTCTTGACACGATCTGCTAGAACTTCTGTGATGGATTTATCAAAGGTAGAAATGACTTTCATGGCAGTCTGAGGCTCGAGCCGACCTGAGTGAACGAGTTCATCGAGAGTATCGATGAGGGACATCCCGATACTACGCATGCGGTGTGATTAGTCATACTGCGCCTGCGGCTGTAGTGGTAGTGTCTACCTGCTACCCCGGTAAAGCTCATAATATGAGGCGTTGTTATTCATTTTGACGGGGAACGTGAGGTACCACCTGTAAATGATTGAAGAAAGAAATGCAGGTGGGAGTCAGCACTCTGATATGCTAAGCTGACTCATTAGCGTGCCAAGACTTCATGATCCCTTAGCGCATTTGGATAACGTATGGTTCACTGGATTCTATCGCCTACAGCATCGACCGCGTGAAGAAGAGGTGCAAGATGAGCAGCTACTATGTCGCTGGCTCTACTACCGCAGCCCTCGTAGTCATCGGACTCTGTACGTCTCAAAGGCCGTGGAATCATACTTTATGCTGATAGGCAACTAGATCTCCTATTTACAGGGGATGGCGAAGCTTTCAACGTAAGATCTGCCTTGCCTATGCATTCTTCAGCTTTCTGATCGCATAACAGGTTGGGCTATTCCTCGAGACTGTCTCGCCGTACGCTTGGGCGGATCTAGGCATTAGTCTTTGCATCGGATTGTCGGTCGTTGGCGCAGCATGGTATACCAAAATCGAGTATCAGCTACAGTTGCCAGGTTCTGACCATGCTCTACAGGGGCATATTTATCACAGGGTCTTCCATCTTGGGTGGTGGTGTCAAGGCCCCGCGCATTAGAACAAAAAATCTCATATCGATCATCTTCTGTGAAGTAGTTGCTATCTACGGCGTCATCATGGCCATCGTTTTCTCTGCAAAGTTGAACCTGGTAGAAGGAGATGACATTTACTCCGGGTCGAATCAGTACACCGGCTACGCGCTTTTCTGGGGTGGCTTGACTGTGGGCATGTGCAACTTGATCTGTGGCGTGTCAGTCGGTATCAATGGCAGCAGTGCCGCCCTTGCAGATGCTGCGGATCCTAGCTTGTAAGATACTGCCTTTGGAAGAGACGCTTCTAGTTGCACGCTGGCTAATGACTAGCAGATTCGTCAAGGTACTTGTGGTGGAGATCTTCAGTTCCGTGCTTGGGCTTTTTGGCTTGATAATCGGGCTGCTTATATCACAGAAGGCAGTGGACTTTAGTGCATCATGAAAAACAATGAAATGATTTCAGCTACAATCCAGGTCATGTAACGCGTAGAATTGAATAGACTCAGGCATAGCAGTGGCGTTATCGGCATATGTTTTCCTATCACTAATGCCTCAGAGAAATTATCGACGCATCGAACAACGAGATCCCTTCCAGAAAATTGCACATTTGGATTTTTGTCTGTTGGATGGGAACTGTGAATGCAACTCGCCGAGCTTGACTTTTTGATGCTTGGCGTTCACACCGCTAGCACATAGACTCCGTAGAGGCCGCCCGTGACAGACTCTCCTACGACTCTCTCTCTCCACTCGAACCTTTGAAGTGTCTGATGTATGTGCGAAAATCCTGAGGGTATCGATTTATTGAGAACATGGAGAAATTAGCGCTCAAGGCCGCAATCTTGATCATTTCTGATACTGCTTTTCAAGATCCTTCAACGGATAAATCTGCACAAATACTTACAGACGCATTTTCCAAGGAGGGTGGAGATCAATGGAGTATTTCTGACAGAACGATAGTTCCAGACGACGTCATTGCTGTTCAGCGCGAGATCTGTCGCTTAAGCGATGGCGATGACGCTGTCAATTTATTGATTACGACAGGGGGCACTGGCTTTGCAGTGAAAGACAATACGCCTGAAGCTGTACATCCTTTGCTGCACAGACATGCCCCTGGGCTTGTGTAAGTCGATAGAGAGTCTGTGAGATCTTGACTCGAACAATATCTTGACTGGGTCAGACATGGAATGTTGGCTGCATCTCTTGAAGTTACATCTTGTAAGTCACAGCTGTGTGTGAAAAGCAGAATCTATGGTCTATGGCACCCAAATTTCCTCTTAGATACTCCCGTAATTAAAGAAAAATCCAGCCCGCGCTTGAGAGTTTTGCTTTAGTAGAAGACACTCAGACACATAAGATCTGACCGCTCTCGGCAGTTGCCATGATGTCCAGACCTGTGGCCGGAGTACGAAACAAAACCCTTATTGTCACCTTGCCAGGCTCGCCGAAAGGTGCCAAAGAGAATTTGCTTGCGATCCTAAAGCTTCTCCCTCATGCGTGCCAGCAAGCAGCAGGAGGTGACTCTCGAGCGCTTCATGCTGGCGGAATTAGGAAGCTGGAACGAGATGCTGGCGTTACAAACAAGCAGCCGAGCCAGCATGCTCATCACCACCATCAACATGACCACGTCCACAGTCACGGTGGCCATGTGATACCAAAAGCTCATACGCGCCCTGAAGATCGCCCCGTGTCCAACGACCCTCAGGCAGGGCCAAGTAATCGTCACAGAAAGTCACCATATCCGATCCACTCTGTCAATTCTGCCCTGAACCTCATATATAAGAATACCCCGCCGCCTGAAGCTTCAGTTGTAGCCGTCAACACAGATCTCGTAGGCCATACACTTGCAGAAGATGTGACTGCAGGCGAAGCCGTGCCTGCCTTTCGTGCAAGTATCGTCGATGGCTATGCCGTCATTGTCTCTGCTGATGCTCCTTCAACGCCTGGTGTATTCTCGGTGGCGTCTGTGTCTCATGCAGCAGCTGGTGAGATACCAGAGTTGCAGCGAGGAGAAGTCGCGCGCATTACGACTGGTGCACCATTGCCTCCTGGAGCCAATGCAGTGATCATGGTCGAGGATACGCTAGTGAAAAGTACGACCGCTGACGGAAAAGACGAGACGATGGTTGAGATCTTGACCGGAGCTGTCAAGCCGAATGAAAATCTGCGAGAAGTGGGCAGTGACGTTAACAAAGGAGACGTTGTCTTGAGACGAGGAGAGGAAATCACTTCTGTGGGCGGTGAACTGGGACTACTGGCTTCTGTGGGCGTTTCACGGGTTTCTGCCTACCGTAAGCCAATTGTTGGTGTGCTCAGCACAGGCGATGAGATCGTTTCCCACGACCGCGAAGAACCTCTGCGCCTCGGCGAAGTGCGAGACAGCAATCGGCTCACTCTGATGGCTGCAGTACGTGGATGGGGCTACACAGCAGTGGACTTAGGTATAGCAAAAGACAGGTATTGATTCAGCATGCCATGAATCTTCAGCTCTATGCTAACATAAAATCAGGTCTGGGTCTCTGGAGGAACATCTCCGTTCAGCCCTCCGAAGCATCGATGTTATCATAACTTCCGGAGGCGTTTCAATGGGCGAGCTGGACCTACTAAAACCTACCATCGAGCGTGCAATAGGAGGCACAATCCACTTTGGACGTGTCGCAATGAAGCCCGGTAAACCGACAACATTTGCGACGGTCGCTCATAAACCGCTTTCGGGTGACCGCAACTCGGCAAGAGATAGACTCATCTTCAGTCTCCCTGGCAATCCTGCCAGCGCGCTCGTTACAGCCAATCTGTTTGTGCTCCCCACGCTGCAGAAGATGAGTGGGAAACCCGCGCCTTGGGGATTACCTCGCATGAAAGTGGTGCTGAGGGAAGACGTCAGGTGCGACAAGGATAGGGCCGAGTATCATCGCGTTGGCCTCAAGGCCGGAGATGACGGGAGAGTCTGGGCTTCTACAACAGGAGGCCAAAGGAGCAGTAAGGTGAGTAGTCTAAAAGGAGCTCAAGGGCTTCTTTGTCTGCCTGCGAAGGACGGCATGATTGCACGTGGCGAGACGATCGATGCCCTGCTCATGGGTAGTCTGCAGGGACTTTAATGATTCTGAGCCATCTTTCGTGTCTCAACGCGCCCTCAGCTTTCTGCCATGAGATGACTCAGGATTTTCAGAAAAGAAATTGCAAGAGCACGCGACGTGAAGGCCAAGGTCGCACATTCTCGATCGCCTTTCCAGCATGCCTCCGCTCTGGCACCTTTTGGCGCACTCTCACTGCCGTTTCAATTCGACGCGCTACTTCTTGTCATTGACGACATAATCAGGATCTTCAGAGTTGTCATTCGCATCACTCATCGCAAACCTCATCCCGCGCGATTCTGCAGCGTGCAGCCATACCTGCACGACTATCTCCTACACGTGTTCGCTAGCTCCATACCAATCTCTCGTTTCATTTCTTTCACGATTTTCGAATGTTACCGCAGTATTCGTCGCGCGATGGAAAGCGACGACGCAAACCCAATGCAGACCTTATCAAGACTAGGGGGTGTATGGCGGGCATCCGGTCGGTCTCGACACAGAGACCATTATCGCACCACCATCCTAAGCAGAGCAACAGATAGATAGCATCATGACAGCGGTGACCATAGTCCCACGCCGCGCATCCCCAGACCAAAGCTATCCAAGAGGGGAAAAAACCCAGTCTGAAGCCAGGTCCCCAATTCTTACCCTGATTGGTATAACGTTGCGACCAGACCTGCCTTAAGCCCACTAGCCGACTTACTATACCTCCGTTAGCTCAGACTTGCCTGAATCGCGGCCCCCCACCACCGTCACTACGACCACCTTCTCTTCATCCCATCAGCTTCTGAAACACCGACTCCGTTGGCTGCAGGAGGATCCTTCTTCACCCTCCTCCTTTGGTCGAGAAGCTTGGACCAGGGTAAATGGCCGCCTGGCTTACCGTATGCAGGTCATAGGCCAATTGCGCAATAATGAACGATACGACATCAATCCCCCGAACGCCCGTCGGGAGCAATCTCTGCTCGGCCCTTTCCATGTCCTTGCTCCCGGCCTATCGATAGGTGACTCCCATGTCAATTGCGCAATAACGACAAGGATGATTGCCCACCCTGAAGAATAGCGTTCACACCATGTCAGACCTGTTGATACGCAGTAATGCGCACTGCTTTGGGGGAAGACGCTCGTCGCGCTGAGTTTCAGACTTAGGCCATTGAAGTTGGCCAGCAAGAGTATAACATTATTGCATACTTATGCAGGGTCACAGCACTACGGCGCTGCTGTGTGGGCTTTGCCACTTGCACTACTTGCACAAGCTCAAGCTTCTGTAGAGGATGTACACCGTCGGACTTGGCGTGGAGAGAGTCATGAGAACTCGCAAAATTACCCCAATTGGTAATTCTTGAGACCGCCCCTCCTTCACGCGATGGCGATGGCGATGACGATAATGCCGAAGCTTCCTTATCGTCGCTGTCTCGGTCTCCCTATCTCGAGCCTCGTCTTCGAGAGTTCGCAGTAGCGTGAGCTGCTTCTTATTGCTCTCGCAAAGAGGCAGCTTCCGTTGTTGTCCAGGGACGATGTCAGGTGGTGCTCCACTCTCTGCCGGTTGGTTCCGCCCCCACATCCGTTCAAATTGCTGGCTCGGTGCGCTCTGTACTGGTGGGTGCATTATGCAGGAACCTTTCCACGGCTGTCTACCGACCCGAACTGAAGTCAACTGCAGCTATCTTCCTCTCCATCTTTGCGCTTGGTAATGTTCCTGTGCGATTTAACTTTCGCAAAAGTGTCTGCTTTGAAGAGGGCAATCCCTAAGGTATCGTCTGATCGGCTCTTCGCACAAACTTGCCTCGTTCGCAACACCCAGCTCGTATGGGCATGTGTGCGATGGAGGTGAATTTGGGGTCTGTATCGTTTCTTACCCTGTGCCTGTATTGGTGAATACCACCGGATATAACGATTTCGAAGCGCGTGTTGAAATCGTTTGCACTGAAAGGATCTGAAAAGTGCTGTAAGGCATCTTGGTGGCAATTGCAATAGAAATAGGAGTCATCGTTGAGACTGTAGGGCTATAGGACAATACACACATAGGAACATGCACAGAACGTGATGATTGAGCGTGATTCAAATTACCCGATACATTAAAAAAGGACTCACGAGTATTGCAACTGAGCATTCAATTCCCCATGTACGAACCATCTGAACCCTTGAGACGATAGAACATGATGCTTCTAGTCGCAAACGATGGCTGGCTTGGAGTGGTCACGAGCCTTTGTGGAAATTTTACCGTGTACCTCTGTAATCAGCTTGAAATCTCGATGATTAGATGAATCAGGAGTGCAGCTGGTGAACTGAGCACAGGGAGCGGACCGTAGCGACGGTGGCAACGGGTAGGAAGGCAGGCATAGGTCTTCGGAGGAGCTCATGGCTCAGCAAGCGCAGTCGCTGCACACACATCCAACACTCTTGGTGGCTGCAACAGGTAAGGCCTGGCAACTCCACCAGACCCTAACGGCGATATAGGCCCGACTCAAAGGTATCATGGCCTGAAACACACTGACTTAATACCTTGCAATGATGGTCTAGATCAGCACTTGGATTGGCCAGAGAATTGTAACCATAGGAGATGGTGGGTTCGGCTCTTGTCGGTGACGTGAGAGTTGATCACGTTTCCGATGTTGGTATTACTCAGTCCTTTATTCCATGGTTGGGGTGCTCAGTCGCTGCGCAAAACCATGTTCGTATTGCTTTGTAAATAGCTTGCGAGATGTTCCAAAGATCGCACCTTAGTGGAGAGCCTACGACGATCCCGGGAAGCTGTCGAGGGCGTAGCAGGAACAAACGATCTCGATATACCTGAAGCGGTCAGTAAAGGGTACTGCAGTCTCCCCTAGGTCTGTGCGATGATTTGGCTCGGCTCCTCTACCCTGGTGTGATAGACTTCATGATTATGCGGAGATGAAAAAGCTACCACGAAGCCAGAAGCTGTCGAACTCAATAGCATGCGGAGAGCCGCACCGCTGGGTCACTAGAACCTGCATCACAAAGACTGAGCAATTGAAGTTCCGCACTACTGAAATTCTCCACGGTAGCGTTCACTTCTATTCTGCAAAGTCAAGAGCTCCGTCAGTCCAGCTTCAATAACGTAACTTCGACAAAGCTATTTGCCATCCTTGGTCTGGGCTCTCGGCCATTTTTGCATTTATCTGGTCAGTGCGGTCCTCACGGTAGGGAATTTCCGAGCCCGCAACTGGTTCAAATTAGCTGCACTTACTAGACCCTCTTGGCGAACTCAAAGGTGGTGTTCGGTGACATTATAGCCATATCTTGAGGGGATGTTTCAACAGTTGGTGAGGGGCAGACTGCATCCAATCTGTCCCATGGCGAGTCATTTATTAAGGCATATGATAGACTGACTGCGAATAATGGAATCGGTAATAACGATAGTTCTGGCTTTGGAGGATGCAAGATAGCTGCGTCTCATTCGATATCGTGCAATTTGAGATGGATTGTGATTATCAGTGTCAACAGGTTCTGGTAATCATCGATCTTGGAGGATGCGCTCCTGCTCTCTGCGCACGCGAAGTGTCGTACAATTATCGATAGGACAAGAATCGCCTGTATCAGGGTAGCAAGGTTCGGGAAGTAGCAAGTCATCCACCAATAATCGCACGAAGCGGTGGCGTTGCGTTGTTGGTTTTGGCCGAGACAAGTTCATCACGTCCTGAACAAGCTCCGCGATAGTCACTTATCATCGCAGAGCCTCGACGCTTTAGTCTCAAGCATAGTTCTTCGGTCTTAGTTAGCAGATCAAGTTGTTGGGGAGGAGAATCACATGCTCTGGACGATAAGCGTAGGAGGGTCCGACGATTATATTTACCTTTTCAGAGTTGGGCAGCCTCACGAATGGTACATTACTAGCCACATCGAGTCTGAGTCCGATTCTCAACGGGAGAAAATGCCTGTCGTGCTTGATGATGAGCACCATTCTTTTGACCAGACTTCTTTCAAGAGACGAGGGAGAGTGATCTGGGTAGCGGATCGCACAGACCAAAGGGAGGACTGTGGGAGCCATGACGGGTGCGGGCACCAGAGCATCAGCCAGAGTCGGCAGCACTCGGCAGCGGTATGGGATGTGCAAGAACCCTCATGCCCGACTTTGTACCCAAGTACCTGTTGCTGAAACACGTCCCAGGCATTCAGAATTTAGATCGCCGTCAGCAAGCAGATGGTAGCTCCCAGAGACTTTTGGCGCGCTAAGAAGGAAGAAAGACCGCTATGGATCTGGTACGGTATTGAATTAGCCTTGGCTCTGGCACTAATCCCTTGCATTATATTTATGAACCGGGTCTAATTCTTGTCCCCGGTCCTCCCTTTCACTCCTGTTTCCCCTAATTCTCTATGCCTTGCTATCGAGTCACCAAAGCCGTGGCTAGGTACTGCGTATGAATAACCTTACAGACCACAACAGTAGTATTGGAAGTAAGAAGGAGACTGTGTAGCGCCTCATCTGTCACCTAGCGTCAATGGACTGGACCTAAGCTGGAATCCAACAGCGAGCAAGCCCAGGCCAACGCAGTACAAGCAATCGAGAGACGGCGTCCAGCCAGGCGAGTGACTAATTGTTCTGTTTGCCTGGAGGCTATCGAGAATGGGTATGTATGACAGAATGAACACGTGAAGTACTTTGTGATCTGCAGCGCATTTCCTTTGTTGACTGGAGGCCGTTAGACGAAGACGCTTGGCACGCTGGACAATGTCCGTACGACGATATGTTTCGCAATCTTGATTACTCTGCAATGAGTCACGATAGCTAACCTATATGCCTTGCGCAATCTCCAAGTCACTGAAGCTACGAGGACAGGAGGAGAGTCAGCTGTGGATCGGCGATGAGCATTGAAGTCGGAAACGCTGCGCAATTCCATACGTCCGCCAGCTTCACATCCACCGCGTCTTTACATGTGGAGCATCCGAAGGTGCGAAGGATTCCAACTTCCATATGATGTCTGTGTGGTGGCCGAGTCATGATTCTGCGCTTCGTTGAACAACCTCCTGAAGATTTCATATCGATCTACAAATGCGCAGGCAGCTCATGTCCATTCATGCAGGCACGAAAAGCTAACGCAGGAGCTCTAGCTGTCGCTGCGGGGGAAATGTTCAGCTCCAGCAACGCTCTCGCAGCTCGGTTGCCGGCCCTCTGCGCTGAAGAATATGCTCGTACTCGTCTGACTGAGGGTCTGTATGGACGATATACGGCGGAGAGTGACGCGATCGAGTCTGACAAAGAGTCTCGCGTAAACGACCGATCTCTATCTTCGGGGCTCTCCTGCATGACTGGTTTAGGGAAATCTCTGCGATCTTCTCTCTCTCTCTCTCTCTTTGCTGAAAATCAAGTCATTAGGCAGGCGAGAGTAAGATGACAAAGTACCTTAGTGTCTGCCCTGAAGCCAAGCGCGGAGTAGACTCCGTTTCCGGGTGTCTCTTGTCTCTCAATGGTGTTCAATTCACTCTTTCCCTATCTATCCACACTGCCGTAAAAGCCTATGCCCCTACAAGGCGTCCCTTGGCCGAATAATGCCAAATTGTCTGTGCCATGTTTCTAAGCGCCTTGTCCGCCTGGGTACCTGCGCGATGTTGCGGTTGGTTCCAGCGGCACCTGGTGCTTGGCTGCTTTAGGCTCATTTGTCGCAATATCTTAGTCGCTCTATTTCCTCCCCCACGAAGGATGCCGCCGTGGTAGGCTGGCAGTAGCGCTGACACAGCCACGCCAAAATAAAACAAAAGGGATTTTTATAGATCTCACTTGCGTTTCTCGCTCATGCACAATCCTGACGGCACCCTTTCTAGAACACGCACAGTTCATTGGAAGGCTCATACGCTGGCACGCTGGCTCGGCTTCCTTCTGGCTTAGTGCTGACCTTCGTAGGATCGTCTTCCACTCATTTTCATCTGCTGCGATGTTTCACGTTTCACTTTGCGAAATCCTTCCAGCATCCTCCCAATGGCGGCCCTCGGATCATCCGCAGCACGACACGCCTTGCGTCTTTAGTCAGGAACGAAACAATACCGTCCAAACATACAGGTCGATACACCTCCATGACGCCCAGATGACACTGCCGAATCAGGACGGTACCGGCTGTAATGCGTAATGCCCACCGAGCGAGGCTGAGTGTCTAAGGTACGTACTACTCATGAGAGCCGTGTACCCGTCGGTGTTTCGCATATCCTTAGAGGCGATCGATACCTGCCCTGAATCTCGCACTATCTGCCTACCGCCAGATCCGGACGGATGATTACAACTGTCTCCTCTGCATCCGAAAGTCTTGGTTTCCCATTGTTATTCCCATGCCCTCGCCCAGGTACCGAAAGGACTGTACCCTCTCTTGCTAATAGGGTTACATGCATGCATGCAAGCCATGTGCCTCGCTCTCTTTCCCCGGAGCCATCCCTGCCCTCCACGCACACCAGGCACAAGACTGAGTCGTCGGAGGAAGATCATGCTTATTGTGGAGACTGCTCTTGCCTAGCGACCTGCTTACCTGACCGTCCTCTTCTTTCTCACTCAGCAAACACCATTTCTCCCCTCGCTTTATTCCCAGCGCTTTCTCGTCTGACAGAGGTACCACCAGTAGTCAGGCCTCCCATTCGGGTGATTGAGATCAAGCCCTCGAGAGCCTCGAGAGGCAGTGAGCCTCTGAAACACGCTGCGTACCTGCATCGACTCAGCCTCAGGCACACCCACAAGCGGGCATAACTTAGCATTTCGGCATGACATCAAAGACATGCCTTAATGCCTAGACATCTGCATCTGCATGTACGATCCATCTGCTAGCTAGCTGTAGGTGCGTACCCTTAGTGTGCGTGTGAGCAGCGGCGGGGGGAAGACAAAAAGCGGAATTATCTGCACGTGGAAACAACCAAGCCCAGGCCAAAGCAATCCACTCGAGTGCATTCGCATGCACGCACACGCAAGGGCCTAGAAACCCCGCTGCGAACTCTACAGGTCAATGCAAAGCGAAACGTCAGCTTCGCCACGTTCGTCGAATCCTTCCAGTCCAGCTGCAATGCTTAAGAGAATCCTTCGAGAATCCTATTCCCCACCATCCATCCTACCAACGATCCCAGAATACAAGCGCTTGAAAATCTATGGCTCCACTTGTATCTGACACTCGGCTGTCGGTCCGATGCCCCTACCTTTCTCCTCCCACGAAATGGCCATCCGAGCTATGATTCGAGAGAACAGTGTCAGGCGTGCTGTGGGGAAAGACTCTTTAAGGTGATGATGTGTCCTTCCTACAAAGGGTCTCCCGGGGGAAGCTACCTGCAGGCTGGAGGACTGCCGCGTATACCTAGGGACGCAGGGTATGTTTCACAGCAATTGCGAGCTGCGTAGAATCGGGGAATATGGCATGCAAAGCCGTTGAGATCGATGATAGATTGTTATGAACTGTGCACATGATGCATAAGCCCAACAATGAAAGTGATTTTAGCCTTGTTGGACATTTCAAATCACCCAGACATTATCCCAAACAGGGAAAATGGTAGAGCGCTTGCAGCAGCCTGGATCGTGAGGTCACAGGAGCATTTGAATATTGAATGCGTAGTCAGACGATCGAATCCTATCGACGGAGAGTGCCTAACGCCCTAAAGAGGTATGAGGAGGCGTCCCGATATCTCTACCACCCTTCATCGTGTTTCAATGTTTCGACCACGTCCAGAAAGGTACAAGTAAATCAGATAAAATCACCATGTATTTCGCTCCAAGGGGCATAGCTCGTGCCCTGCGCCTTCGTGGGGACCTGAGAACTGCCGGCACGAGTCCCTGACATGAAATTACAGCGTTGCATTTCCCCACTCCACTCAGCCTTCCAGCTCAGGTAGGAGAGGAGGCAAAGATGCTTATCAAGAGGAGAGAGATAGGGATAGCATAATCATGGGCGAGCCAGGCAGACTTCCCAAAGGCATGCATACTGGTGAAATGATAGGTAGCAATATGGATAGATAGACATCAATTGATTGGTATACATTCAATATACATACTCATACAGTGGTAATTTCCCCCAAAGCCCTTATTCATGTGTGTGCGTGCAATGCGACCGGCCAAATGCTGTCGTGCAGTCATTTCCAACCGTTGAAATCGTTTCCCTCCCATCTGCCATAGTCTCATTACCATGTCCCATCCATGATCATCGTATTCCACCACCAAAACATAGCCACCCAAAAAAGCAAATGATACCGAACTCCCCGTCCAATGACGCGAAACATTGCAACGCCGTGATTTTTGCGAGTATGTAAAATTCAAAAAAAGTCGCGAAATTTCATCTGGTCCGTGGGTAGAAGCTCAGACCAGGCGCTGCAGCGGGCGGGATGAAGAAGAGGCTTTCGCCCCGCGTTTTCTTCCCCTCTCACTAGCACCAAGCTGGGCTGGCCCAAACGCAAATAGAATTGCGTTTCAGGAAAATTCTCTCGCATCCGGTGACCGATGGCTGTGTGTGTGTATATATACAGGGTATTCCGAAAATGGGTTAGAACAGGCGACCTTAATGCGATAAGAGATTGCGGATGACGCAATGAGGTGTGTATGTTCATTGCGCAAAGATTGAGTGGGTTGTAGTCGTCTGCAGTGGACTGCTGACGAAGTCGGGCTGGCGATGGAAAAATGATGGTTGAGGGGCATGCGCTGATGCTGGATGGGGCATGGGTGGCAGCATGCCGTTGCCGTTGAGACTGTAGGTACGCTCTCGTGGGTAATTTGGCACTGGCCAGCGTGTCACGGGTGGGGCGGACTCGCGAAGCCCAACCTCAAATCTTTTGGGGCAACCGTCTTCGGTGTGTCTAAAAGTTTGATCAGTCATGACCTGAAAGAATGTAGATCGACAATCTTACCTTCGAAGTGTGTCTCTTCGGGCAAAGCGGTTGCCACAGAGATTGCAGCAGTGATTCTTGGCTTTGAGGTGTACGCTGTCGTAGTGCCTGTCGAGATCGGTTTTCCTTTGAAATTTCTTCGAGCAACGTTGACCGTTCACGTCCGCTGTGCACGGGTGTGGGTACTTGCGATCTGGGTTGTGGGTTTCCATGTGCGACTTCCAGTTGTAACTCCGCTTGAAGAGCTTTCCGCAGACTCGGCACTCATGGGTGGCTTCTTCGGGTGTGGTCCTTTGGCGCTTCTTCTTGATGCGGTTTACGCTTGGCAGAACCGGAGCGCTGTCGAAGCGTGGACGGATCTCATCGCTCATCAGGTTCTCGGTATGAAGTTCCATAGGGTACGGCGCAGAAGCGACTTTAGCCCAGTCGCCGGTGGGACTCTTATAGAGATCCTCCGTGGAGCCGTGGATGGCGGTGACGCCATTGGAATACGGCGAGAAGCTCTGTGTGGGCAAGGAGCGCTGCAAGACTTGATCGTTGTCGGGCGATGGGTACCAGGCTGATTCTTCGGCCTTGACCCGGGAACCGTAGTACTCGGCATGTTGGTGTGGTGGTGAACAGGACGATGACACCGAAGAACGATGCGAAGGCATGTTCGTGCTTGGTGGAGTTGGGCAGTAGACTAGGCCTGGTGCTTCCTCTGAGGCTGCCGAGATCATGTGGCTGTTGCTAGGATACTCAGAGAAAGGATCATAAGCGGCGGTCAAGATGTTGGGAGGTTGCGTTGTCTGGAGATAAGGATCTTGTTCGACCATTGATGAGTGTGACCAGCTTTCAGATTGCTGGGGAGAGGGTGGAAGTGCTTGAACAGAGCTCTGCTGATGTGGCATTGAGCAGTCGTATATACCTAAGCCGCGCGCAGACTCTGCCATAGACGAAGGCTCAGGGTGCGGCGTAGGGTAAGCACAGTTTCTCCGAGATTCGAACGAGTGCTTCGCCGGGTCGTCAAAAGGCGACACTGGCGAACGCATCGACTGCGGTGTAAGATTCATGGTCGCAGCGGGAGCTCACGGTGGATCAGGCGGGGAAGATCAATATAAAGTTGCCGGCGCGATAGTGCCTTTTAGTGCACCGACGCGGGATGGATCCTTATTGAAGGATACCGACAACAGGGTGCGAGAGTTGACTTGAGTGATGGTGAATGATGATGATGAGAGTAGGTGGTCGGTGGGTGCCAGTGGGGTAGATATATGACCGGCGTTGAACAGAGTATGCCTGTCCGACTGAGGGAGCAGTGAGCAAGCAAGCAATGAGCAATATGACTTGCAGACGGGGCAGTAGATGCAAGTTAATGCAGGGACAGAAGGAGGAGGAAGAATGTGCAAAGAAGAGGTGATTCGAAGGGTAGATATGATGAGTGGTGAATCAGTGTGGCACTGCCATGCTTTATCTGTTTTGTGACGATGGGGGGGGAGGTAAGAGAGGTAGCATTTGAATTTAGCATGGGGTTTGTCTAGAGGCATGCAAGTCAAGAATAATAATAATAATAAGAATGCGAAGCAGACCAGACCAGAGTGCTAAGAGCTTGCTTGCTCGTGGAGGAGGGGATTTGGGGAGCTAGGAGTTGCTAGAGCTGACATCCCTGCAGTGTCCTGCATCCACCGCCTCGAGATGCATCCGCGCTAATTCCAGCCTAAAATGCCAAAGTTAGCGCTATCCTTCCACCAGGTACCAAAATAACCCCCCGTCAACTTTTCCCGACCGTTCCGTATTTTTCACAAGGAAATAGATGACCGTATCTTACCTTAGCCGGGGGCATCCGAACTCTAATGCCCGGGAATGTCATCAGTCATCTTCCAACACCGCCCTCGCTCGTCGAATCATGTCTGTCGAATGATAATGCCCGCTGCTTCTGCTTTCCTGGCTGTTGCTGTTTCTGTTGCTTGCGTGCTCACAGCCTACCTCGCACGATAATTATCATCATCATCATCGACGCTCAATAACCTTTCGCGCGCAATCGACATGTCATCTTATCAAAGCACCGCCGCAGCAATGTTTCATCTGACTTCAATCGATCGCTCGCTCACTTGCTCGTTCGCGTGCTTTGTCGTTCTTCGCCAAGTCTGACTCATCCAAAAGCTCCGAAGCATCCATAACAGGCAAAACCCCCAGGGTCGGGGCATGACCTGTGTAGCAGCAGACGATTGCAGGTCGGACTCGGTACCCCCCCCCGGCGAGCGTTGTGCCTGGAAATAACATGCGTGAGCCTAGTTCCTGCACTCGGCTGAACGGCCACACCCAAGTAAGGATAAAGGATAAGGGAGAAAGGAAAAATAAGAAATCCTCCTAAAAACACCGACGACCTTTTTTGCCGATCGGAATTGTGCATTATTACGCACATGGCCAATGCATGGCGCTGAGCCTTTCCGCTTCCGGCCTGGCCTCGAATTATGCAAGACAAGCCAAAGGAATCTGAAACACGCACCAAAATGGGCCATCGCGAGGCTTCGTCGCCCTCCAAGTCAATCAGGTAGAGCCATCTGCCCACTCTCCAACAGGTAATTGCTAGAGCCAACGTGCAAAATTGCCTCTTAACGTAATTCTGACCTTCAGTCTAGCCTCTTGACCCTTGCGAGCCGATCATCCAATCTCTCCGTGCTGTCCTTGGCCATCGCCAGTAGCGTCTCAACCACATCGGTAGTAGCTGGTGTTCGTGCCTCTCTGCCAGCTTGGGATCCACCAACATGTGTCTATCTGTCCACGAGCTGGTCGACCTGCTGTCTGATAGTGTCTAGTGCGTCCGCGAAACCGCCGGAAGCATCTGGCCTCTTCGTCGCACCAGCTTCACTAGGTCTTTTCGTCGTTTGGGATAACATGGCAGTCGATCTGGTGTGGCAACCGAGGAGCCGAGGATGTTTGGATGGTCCAGTGATATGGCGAGCTGCTGGTATCTTCCTTTGCGTCCGTGAAAGACTTGAGCAGCTGAGCCATCGGACATACGTACTATCGTGACCTTTTCGTAGATTCTTTGCAGGCCACACACGGAGCATGCATCTTCTTGAGCGAAGTGATTCGCGCGGAACACACTTGCTTAGACGATAGGACAGCCCTCATTGGCCTGAAACACGCAGCTGTATCACCTACTCCACTGCTGCACTCCTCATGATCTCTGTAGACTCCTTGCTAGACGTGCTTGGTAATGGGTCAGTCGAGACGCAGATGTCTGCCATGGACCATTTGATGTAGACCCACCTCCAGAATGAACACTGCATAGTTGCATGTTCATGAGTCAAGCGTATTTTGCCACGAAGGATTTCACCTACCGGAAAAGGTACCCCTCCCTGGCATGCCTCACGGCCTATCAAATGCTGGGGTACGAATCCTTGAACTTGCATGGACGTTGGGTTTTCCATCCCTGAAATTCGTATCGCTACGTAGATGTGACACTCGTATGCGATAGCTAGGAGAGAGGACACATCTCAAGTAGGCTCTAGTCCTTGAATGGGAGAGGTTAGCAGATTGAATGTCATCAAGGTCGTCAAGCTGATTAGCCGGCGCTGGGACTCAGCTTCGGCCAGTCAATTCTGGAATTACCACATGCGATGCAGTGGAACGTACCCCGAGCGTGACATCCGGAAGACTTAGATGTACCTTGAATATGCAGCCGGGAGGCTATGTTTTCTCAGGAAGCTCAGATGACTTGATCTGCATGCCTGTGTTTGCCTCAATCCCACAGGCGCGAGCAATGACTCGATCAAAGAAAGCTGCCTCGCATGAGCAACGTAAACGCTGAGTTCGTTTCTTTACCATCAGTCAAAGGGGTTCAAAGCCGTAAAGTCACTTCGAGCAAGCATAGTGAGTCTGGTAAAGGAGCCAATTATACGACGCCTCAAAATCTTGTGCAGACTGGGGTTCACCCTGCCAAAAACACGCTTTCAACTCCAGGATCGAGCAGAGGCTGAACACTAAAAACAGCGCTTCAATTAACAACATGTCGAATGACATGTCTGTAATATCCTTTCCATACTGCTCTCAAAGTCCATTCATGTTCGCAATAAAATTCGAGTCCAATGGCGAAGATAGCAACATCCCAATGTTCCAGAAACCAACTACGTAGAAGTAATGCTCCAGCGTCTTGTAGCTAATAAGTTGTATGATATGCGAAGCCGATGCTCTAAACAAAGAGTGAGATTTTGATGCTTGTGGTTAGCATGAAGACCTTCTCTGCTAATACAACGCAATGTATGAAGAGGAACGGAACCAAGAAGGTGGCTTGAGACGCTTGTTGGTGTTTGGGCGTGCGAAAGCTGCAAGCGGGATCTGCTCCTCTACTTGATCATAACTGAGCTTGTACCTTTCTCATGAACTTGCATCTCTGAATCTGAAGGGCGCGAACATGTAATGATGGACCGCATTCGTTCCTGCTTTGCACGTTGTGAGACTTATATAACTCGACCCTGTCAGTCCTGATGTCACGGATGACTTTACGGATGTAGCGTGAGCTCGGGACTCTTTGGCTGTTCAGACTTCTGCAAACCCCAGAACGTTCAAGACTAAGACAGCGGTGAAAGAATCGGCCTCAGAACAATTCTTAGGCTCGACATAAGGAGCAAGCAAGGCTGCTTTGATGTAGCAATGTCGTTGATGAGTTCTGCGAAAGACCTTGAACTCGAGGGGCCGCCTGGAGACCTGAAAACGACTGGGTTTATTGCGTTTTTTAATGGCGAAAAGTATGAGACACTTCAGAAAGGCTCTAATGGAGCCTCATGCGGTCGACCTTTGATAGGTATCGCTATTAAGCTCACGCTTCTGAAGATTCGAGTAATTTTCAGGAGGTTTCAGCAGGTCTTGGCAGGCTCTGGAGAGGGACCATGCTGAGAACTACACAGCTCGTGACGATAACGACTGAGCCCGGAAAAGTCACATGCCAGCTCTCCTATTGGTCGGGAAAAGCTGTCAGTCAGCGTTCTAACTCGCCTTGTCCACATCATGGCGACTCGCCGACGCAACGTAGAGTCAAGCATGTCAAGCCAGGCTGCTACCCAAGCAGAGCCCCTGATCCCTCAGGCCATCCCTCCTTACCTCGACATCAACGACTCTCCGCCCCCATCTCCGCCTCCACCCTCTGCCCAAAGACCCACCTGGGCCAACACAACCCCATCCTGGATACCCATTGCAGCAGCCAGTGGAGCCTGCGCAGCTTTCAATGGCGTCTTCGCAAAGCTGTTTGTTCCCACCTACTTCCCAACCCTCTCAATCGCCACCACTGATGCTCTTGAACTAGAACAACAACCTCCCTGACCACAAGCTGGGCTTCCCACATCTCCACCGCCCTCTCGCTATCGGCCGATAATAAACCCATCGCCTTCGCTCTGCGCGCGTTTTTCTTTCTCTTGAATCTAGTCTTCAATGCCCTCATGTGGACGCTTTTCACCATGGCCTTAACCCGTGGATCGTCCACCACTCGTGTGTCGCTCGTCAATACGAGCTCGAATTTCTTGCTCACGGCGCTGAGTGGGTTGGCGGTTTTCGGGGAGCGTTTGCCGCCGCTATGGTGGGTTGGCGCAATGGGGCTGGTGGTGGGGAACGTGGTTATTGGGCGAAGGGATGGTGGGGCAGAGGGAAAGGGGAAAGAGGAGGGAATTGGGTTGAGAGAAGACGCAGGGCTTGGGCCTGAAGGTACGAGGGAGGATTATAGGGATCAAGATGAAGGGGATGTGGAAGAGGAGGCAGTGGGTAGAGGACGGCCAGAAATTTAGGGTTTGAAGATTATGGATCGTCTCGTCGTTTTTGCGCAGCTCATCATGACGGCATCTACGACTATGTACAATAGTGCACTCATCACGTCTCACATACAGCATATATCATCAGGACCAGTCTGCCGGAGTATTTGTAACGCTAAGCGATGCGTGCTCAATACTTGGGCGGATCGTCGTAATAGCCGTACTGTGGCCCCCCTTGGTTGTAGGATGGCTGTGGAGGGGGATAGCCCTGCTGATACTGCTGGCTAGGACTGGGTGCCTGTTGGTAAGGTTCTGATTGTTCTGGCTGCAAACCATAGCCTACAGCAGGATTAGGATGCGGCCTCGTTGAATCGTACTGCGTCTGAGTTCCTGGGTACAAATTTTGAACATTAGTAGCATCAGCATCAGAAATCTCGCGAGAAGGACCCATGCCCGCACCAGGAAAGCCATGGGGCATGTGTGGGAGGTGAGGAAAACCTTGACCATGGCCACCTCCCATGAACTGTCCAACACCTGGGATTTGCCCAACGCCTGGAATGTGGGGAAAGCCATGTGAGCCCTGGCCTTGACCACCGGCAGAATGGCCGCCCTTTCCCATTATGCCGCTCATTCCAGGAAGACCCGCGAACCCTTGCGACTCCGAGTCTGCAGATTTGGTATGATTCTTACCGTCCCTGACACTTTGAGCCCCCAGTAGGACGTTCAGATTCTGACCACCATCCGGTCTCGATCGCGCCCAATTCTCGACCGTACTAAACATATTTCTATGGAGCTCGCACCCATGATCACGCATAGCCGGATGATGGAACACGCGGGTAACGTCATTCAAGACTTGCTCTACAGGGACGTTGGGATTTTCCCAAGCATATATGACTCGGGGTGCGACATATGTAACGATAGCAGAAGCAACTTGGCCAGCCGGTGCGTTAAGAATATTTGAGAAATGATCTTTGGATAGGAGAGAGTGCGTTGGATCCGTGCAATGAGGATCGGTCCAAGGCTCGTATTGATGACGACCACTTGCTTGTACGACCCCTGAGCTACCGTTCTTGAGCTGATCCGATACAGCATTGATGATAGGGCGAATGAAGGGTGCCAACAACCCCAGGACGAACAAGGTCAAGGTTTCCGTGATCTTCTCTACCAGAGCCTGTAGACCAGGAATTTTCTCAATGGTAGCCGAGATTGCTTTGGCAACCTTGTCCCGGAATTCTAGGATCGGATAAATCGAGGCCAAAGTCTTCACCGGATCGATGCTTGTGCCCGGAATATTGGGACCGGGTGGGCCACTCGTCGAACCAGGCGGTCCTTCGAATGTCGCTGGATTATTGGCAGCAGGGGCTGAGGCGCGGGCCTGAGCATCTGAATTGGCTTGCAGGTCTTCTGCTTGTTTTACGAGATCTCCAGCCCCTGGGACTTGAGAAAGAAGGCCCGTCATGCTGGAAAGCTGTGAACCCCCCACGCCATCAGGGCCACTTCGGCTGCTGGTTTGGGCTTCCTTATTCTGTATCTGAGCGTTACCAAGGGCAGTGTCCATCTGCTCAACCTCGCTCTGAGCGAAATGGTCTGTGGCCTCACCAATGACACTGTGCAGGAAGTCTACCATACCAAAGGTGCCTGTCACGAGTGGGAATACTCGATGTCCACGAAGGTTGATCTCTGACGCTGTACCGGTATGGGGGAATACGTCTCGATGTCCAATCTCACGCAGAACAAGCTCAGTGTAATTGGTATGTGCGCCGAAGTCCTCCATGCAGTGGAGAGCTTGACCCAGACACCTCAAAGCCTCAGCAATGTCCTCATCCCGGCCTCTGTTATTGCCAGAAGTGAACAGCCTTCCGAAGTGTATGCTTCTAGTCAATGAAAATTTAACGTAGCCTGCAGATGTTGCAATACCGAGACGCTCGTTAGCAATATAATTCTTCATTCCAGTCTCGGGGTCGATTTGTAGTTCACTCGGCTGAATGGGACCTCTCAAGCGCGGATCAAATTTGCGTGCGTCTTGGTTGTCGGCGTAGTCTCGAGGATTGTCGATATGTTCCTCAGGCCGATAGACTCCCAGACGCTCTGCTGTTACTTCAAACTCGCCTGTAGCATAACCAAAGCTCAGAAAAGACAATATCCAAACAAGAATCCGCAGTGTGTCGGACTGGCATTTAGTCAAAGTGCCGACGTCCAAAGCTTGCGAGTAGTCGCGGAGCCAATTTCCAAAGTAGACCCGTTTGATCATGAGGCTCGTCCATTTCTTCCCTTTTATGAAAGCGATGGTTTTGAGCATGTCCTCAATATCGCCATGACGCCAGTTCTGCCCTTCGATGGCGGAGATTGAGGCTACCCATTAATGAATACTCATGTCCAACGTGATCGAGGTTTCAAAGATGGCCTACCTATGTTACCAGCGCCAAATGCAGCAGTGGGAGAGGCAAAGAAAAGCAGCGCAGCAAGCAACAGGCAGAGATGTAGAGTAGTGCAACCCATCTTCTCTGACCTGGAAAGCAAAAGACTCGACGCTGAAGGTACAGCAGGACTTGAGTTGGATATTGGATACTGGTATAAAGATTAGGGGAACGGAATGCTTGTAGTACATGCGTGAGGTGGTTCTAGATTCCGCCGAAGTGGCTGGTGGTGGGGCAAATCTTTCGCGAAAATATCCCCAACTTCGCATTTAAATGCAATTTGTGCCACGAAAAGTCAGGCTGAAGATCTTATCAATGTTGGTTTTCAGGACTCTAGCTTTGAGCAAACGTGTCCTCGCTTTGCTTTCCTATCTCGATGGTATCTCTCCTGCCGCTAAATAGGCGTATTCAACTGTTCTCACCATCAGATGATGAATAAAGTGCCCCTCGCTTTGCAATGCGTACGCGCTGATAATCAAGTTCTACGGGGAAACATCTCCCGAACCAATGCTCCCAGATCTTACACTCACATACATAGATCTTGAAGCGTCTGATCCCCCATCACCGGTCCACCCGATGCTTCGATGCCCATAATTACACTTACACGTTGGTCTTCGTAATACGCCCGGCTTGCCTCAGACCGAGGCCACCGATGGTCGTCTTCCATTATTCATATGTTGTAACTTTTCTTTCTCGCTTTCGTTCATCGCATGGTAAAGGTCTTGAAAATATGGCTCTTGGCCCACCTCATTGAAGAATTGAATAAGATACTGTTGCGTTTCGTCGTCACTCTGGTGGAGGTTCCACTGATTCATCTCATCCATGAACCCCATGAGGTCAGCTCGAGTACCCGCGCTGGCCAAGTCAAGGACAGCGGGCTCGTCTTCCCACTCATCGTCGTCACTGCCGTGAGTTTGTGCTATACTCGCTTTTCGAAGACCTAGTCCTGCGCTGTTGGGAGTTGTAATCAGCTCTTGCACGAGGACCTTGCCAAGTTTCAGAGGTACTGGAACGATGGAATACTGATCAGGCTGCTTTTTGGCCTGCGACCGAGTTTTTATGCGAGTGCTGTTATCAATCAAGAGATCTCCCTTAGTCTGAATACCGGAAAGCCGCTCGTCATGTAATTTGTAGATGTTCGTGAGCGCCATGACGTTCTGGCGGATCGCGTCGTAGCCGGAAAAGTTCACTGAATTGTCAAGCCATTTCCTCATCACCACCTCTAACCCTGTTCCACCTTCAGCACCTGGTACTTGAACTTGCGAAAGAAAATCCAGGACGTCTTTCGGGTTGGTGAGAGCAAGTCGCGCAAATACAAGCACGAGATTCTGAATGAAGTCTGCGCGCTCGGCAGTGCTCAAACGGATTGCCACAACTTGCAACAGCTGCATTAGATATGGTCCAAGCCGTTCCGCACCCGCCTTCTCGACTAATACCATCGCGAGACCGCCGACCTCGGCAGCAGAAGAGTCCTGCACGTGTGGGCCTAAAAGCCGATCAATGACAAGCAGCATGATCTCCAAGCCTCCCTTAGTGGTCTCGGGATCTGTCCATGCAAAGAGCTGGTCGGCGTCATGGCTCAATATGTGCTTCATTGTGACGGTTGCAGACTGGTGAACATTGAAGTCGACATCCATAAAAAGCAATCGATAGAGCTTCGGTACGACTGTGGCTATGAAACCTTGGGGCAAGGGCTCCGAACCGTGTTCAGCAAGGGTCGATATGAGATTGACAGCCATGTCACTCAACGAGCTCTCCTGTGTCATATCACTCACGTCGAGAGCACCCATGAGACTTGGCAAAACTTTGGTGCACAGTCGAGCGTATTCCTCGGGGCCTAAGGACGACATTGTCGTCACCGCTGATTCGAATGCTTCATTGACAATGTCCGTAACATGCCAGCTCTTGGCGCCGTATGAAGCTAGAGTAAATAATACATCAATGGCCGGATGCTCCAAACAAAGACTAGGGTCGGTGTAAATGGCGTCTCGGAGAGTCTCAACAAGGGTGGCAAGTAGATCTTCACCCTCAGATATCTCATTCAGATCACGCGATGACACAAATCCGGCAATCGCAGCTACAGCTTGAGCTTGAAATTCCTGCGCCAAGGGTTTGGGTATGTCCTTCAGATACTGTTGTAGTGCTTTCATGCCCGCCACTTGCACAATCTCGGACTCGTCACTCTCGATGACTTGGATTGCCTGGCGGCCGAAATCTGGAACGAGCTCACCCAGTTCTTTACCTGGTGCTGTGATAAGAAATCCTGCAGTGATGAAGCCGCGACTTTGCAGCATACAGTTGTCTTTGTCTTTGTCTTGCATTGCAGTCTTTGCGTAGACAAGATGGCCATTGAGAAGATCTGCGCCGATCACTCTGTCATATCCGTTGACCTCTTCCATGGCCTGCTTGACGACATAGAGCACTGCTTCCTTAGCTTTAGAGTCGGCTGGGATGCTTTCAAATGTTGTTTTAGCAAGAGGAAGTAAATCTTCGAGTACGGGCCAATTGTAGCTGCACAACTTTGTGACGACCCCGGCGCATGCGTTTCTCGCTGAATATTGTGCCGTTTCCGCGGCTTCTTCGGCAAGGAATGTGTTGACGTCAAATTCCCACATATTTGCATCCTCTGCTGAAATGTAGGCATAGCCTACGATTAGAGTCAGGATCTGTGAGAGCCAGCGAACACTCTCGACTCCATTAGTAGCATTATTTGACTTTTCTAGCTGGTTGTCCATCTCATGTTTGATTGTGGAAGTGTTTAGCAGTGTCTGGGTGTAGTCTAATTCCTCCATCACCAATAGATCTAGAGAGATCGGTAGCCGATCAGCGTCCTCCAATTGACCTTCCTTTTGTTCTTCTCCAGTATAGAGAATGTGGTACGGCGTCAAATGAGCTTGCAATGCCTCCCAGAGTGCATTGAATAGTTCCATTGTGCGTGGTGTAAGTGAGTGTGGAAATATATTGTGGATCTTGTCCAATGCTTTCACAGCTTGGGTCTTGATCGCAACGACTCCTCGCCATCCTCCAATTCCGGGTGATTCAGGCGGTTCATCGGTATCTGGTATTGATGGTAAAGGTGCTTTGATGGTCTCAACAAAAAAAGGTACCCAAGACTCCGATGCGCCCTGCACAAACTGTTGTACAGCCTCTGAATTTGTCTGCATCACAACTTCCATTGAGTCCAGACAAGATCGAAAGATCGATATGGCGAGTGATCTTGTCATCAGCTTCTTCTGACCATCGACCGCCACATCATAAATGCTTTTGATCAACTCCGCGGCGCTACCCGCAAATTGGTCATCGTCGAAACCTGTATCAACGAGTTCCCCGAGCACGACCAGCACACCATGTAATTGAGTATCGTCAGCTTGGGGTATCAGCGCGAGGAGGGTAGGAAGTAGGGTGGGCCATTGCTCCGGAAAGTCGGCATTGGCAATCTTGCTAACTACATAACTGGCGGCTCCGACAATCTTCTTCTGCTCATGGGTTGCTGTAGCAATCGCTAAAAGTGAATGGCGTATTTGACTTTTGACATTGTCGTTCAGTTGCTCAGGACCTTCATATTCCTCTAAGCTTGGCGACCAAGTCCTCAGAACCAATTTCTTGAGTGATAACAAGGCGGCTTGACGATGTCCGAGTGGCACAGACACGTGAGATGCGACAGATAGGAGAGACAATGGGAAAGCATCATTTGTATATAGCTGTTCGAGGCGTCGCTCTGCATCGCTTCGGATCGGTCCTGAGGGATCGAGAGTCGAAGCTAAAAGATCGAGAACCTGCTGCTCCATGACTGGTCACTTTTGGCTAACATGCAGCGCAACAATGCGACGCGCAATTGAAGAGACAGTGAGGGTTGCGCGCTGAAGGAATGAGGTAAGTAGCACTACCTTACTCAGATGGAGCTAGAGCTGCAAGAGCGAGACGGGGATACGCGTAAAGCTGGAAGGGAGAAAGTTTCGGGCCATCAACAAATCGCTTAGCTCCCGTGTGGGAATAAGCTCGGGTATCGGACGTAATCGGCTTAGGCTTGCATAACATGCCAAGTCTGCATAAAGATATCAGATTCACAAGATTCCTAAGATTGACAGGCGGGCAATCGGTCGTCTGTCCCTCTCGTGAATCTACAACTCTAACGTCACTTCACCCCCCCACGATGACTTCCCTCGGGAGCGAACTTCCATTGCTTGATACGTACCAAGCAGTCGTGTCGGCATACAGCGACTTTCTCACCGTTGCAATACATACAATCCTGTTTGAACGAGACATCTATCCCCAGAATGCCTTCATCAAGGCGCGAAAGTACAATTACCCAGTCAGACAATGTCGTCATCCAAAGGTCTGCAAGTGGATCCAGGATGCTGTTGCTGCCGTTGAGCTCGAGATGCTAAAGGTGGGTGACGAGACATGATCGTTACTCGAGCGCTTCCTTCACTTTCGTTAGCGCTATTTCATTGGGATCTTGCATGTGTTGCCATCCGAATAATCTCTGAAATACTTGCTTTCACGTAGTGCTTCACCAGCTATGTCATCCAACGTCGTCCCTCACGTAGAAAGAATTTGAACTGCTTTGCCGTGGCTTGTTTGCTCGAGGGTAATATTGTGGTAAAGATGAATGATGAACTCACCCTCATGCGGAGCCTTTCGCTTGCTGTGTCCAAGATCTAAAAGTATGTCTTGTGGCCCTACGATAATCCATTCACTGACTCGTTTCCCCCCTCAGTGTAGCGTATCCCGCACCTCACTGATAATCTACACACCACCCCCAACATGCCGCCCCCTTGAGCGCTACGTTTTCAGCTCCGACTCGTTTCCCCGCGTCCCTCCAGGAGAGGTCCAAACACCTTTTGCCCGCCCAAATACGATCAGCAGCGACACCAACGACGCCGATACCAGCAACCCACAACCACATCCACCCCCCGAGCCCCCCACGGTCGTCCCCCACTACACCCCACCAGCTCCATCCAATCTTCCCGAACAATTTCGCGCCACCCTCGCACGTTTGATACCCTCAATTTCCTGGCTCAAGGCCCTGGGTCACGACGACTGCACTTTCACCCTCGCGATTGAGCTTCGCGATGATGATACGGCAGAAGCACCGCTTCACAGGGGTGAGGGAGAGGGAAAGTGGATTGCTGCTGAGCCAAACTTACAGAAGGAGAGAATGCGTGGTGGCGAGAGTGGCGAAGCGGGTAGTAATGAGGGTTTCGAGGGAAGAAGGAAGATGGGGAGGGATCTAGGGGGGGTGAGGACGACGCCGGTGAGAAATCTCGAAGCGGGCGCCTTTGCCATGGAGGTCTGGGTTGAAGAGGCAAGGGGGAAGTTTGAGGCGAGCGTTGAAGAAGAGGAAGAAGATAGGGAGGGGGAAAAGAAAGATGGAGTTGACGAGTGAGTTTATTGAGAATAGTAAGGACTTCATGCTTTAGAAAGTCGTCGGACGCTATCGTTAGGACCAGAATACATTTTTTCACTTTCCTCGTCGGTCGTGATACACATTCATGAATCATCAAGTTAGAAGTCTCCCATGCTCTTTAGGTCGTCAAGTCATCTCACAGCATATATTTCATAGCCATCGCTGACATCCAACCTATAGATTCAACCCAAAACCACGCAACACCATGCTTTCCCAAGATTGGATCAAGTAACCGATTCAATATATCTTCAACGATCCCCTCACACCATGTCCGATGAAGTGGCTGTACAACCGGACAAATGTCGTCACCAATTCATTAATAGTCCCCCTCATTTGCAGCAATACGGCCTATTCATCCCTGCAATCTCCCTGCAAAGCGTAGCCCATTCGACCTCCCTCCGAACAGACTCACCACGCTGTTGCTGACAAATCTCGTTCCACTTCATCAACTCGTAGGCGAATCGTAGATGCGGCTGAATGATCACGTTGAGCCTCCTGGCACGCACGAAGCAGTATGCACGCGGAAACGACATGCCTAAAGAAGCCATCACCTCGGCGATGCAGATTGTAGCAGAGCGAGAAACGCCGACGCGACAGTGGACGAGTGTTGCGCTGTGGTTGGCCCGGCCTTTAGCTACATATTGTTAGCTTGTATCGAAGCCGAGGGGGTAGTGCGGTCAAGAGGTTTAGAGTTACAACGTACCGATAAACTTGAGACATCTCTGGAAATCGGGCATCAGAGGATCAACGCCGTTGTCCTGCACGCGGTCGACATACATCACATTCTCCAGATTCTTGGTACCCCAGCACTCTATCTGAGATGTGGTCCAATTGATAGGCTCACCTATGCTTAAAATTTGGGTGATACCGATAGCTTTCAAGAGCTCAGGATTGTTTGCGTGCCCTAGATTTCCCAGATACAGGTACGGGAGGATACGGCTTGGTAAGCTGCCGTCCATGCGAGAAAGCCAAGCAGGCGATTCAGGAGCCGGTGCCATGCGTGCCCGTCTGCTGTTAGGACGACCCTGGTGTATGAGGTTAGGTTCAAGGGAAGTGAGGAGCGTAACGTCCGACGCATAGGCGAAGAAATTACGCTCCTTTTCGCAGTGAAGGCGGAGCCACGCCTCATGTACCGGTAGCTGCTCAGCATACATGAAATATGCGAGACTGAGCAGTGTGGTCTCTGTGTAGCCATCCGTGCAATGAATGAGGATCTTACGTTCAGTGGGTAGAAGATTCCGCATTTGAATATCACCGTTGCTATCAGCAGCTAAAGCATCCTCACTGTCCTGAGCATATTCAGTTCGATTGGCTAGCTTATGTATCCACTGGCACATTCTCGTGAGTGGATCTAATCCGGTCTTCGGGCATGTCTGGGGAATAATGCTGCCGGACGACGGAAAGTCAATGTTCTGCTGTGTTAGGTAGCTCTCTTCGCCTATGCGCCTCAAATTCTGGGCATCATGAGGACTAGCAAGGTCGCTTGCTTCGATTAGAATATCGAATGCACTAGATTCGTCGCCATTCAATTGACAAACAGTTGTGTCCGGTGTAGGACCAAGCCATACATTGTGCGATATCTCTGTCGCTTTGGACATTGTGCACATCTCTTGCCTCTCTAGCGAGACTAGATCGGGTTAAGGTCGCCCTAGGAGAGGGTTCACGGGGCATCACGTACAAAAATCTAGTGTATGCTCGGCAATCTGCCCGTCAGCACCAATAGCGACTAGCTCTGGATGTGACTTCTCGATCTCTTCAAAAGTGTCTGGGAAGCATGAGCCGATGGGCAGAACAAAACGAAGTGCTCGTGACCAACCTGAAAGAATAAAAGTATTAAATTCTGGGGCATCGTCGTCATCGACGAAACGATCCTTTACCCGCCACGTGCTTTGCGCAAAGGCAACTTTCTTTGCAAGGTCTTGAATCTGCTCTGGCTGTGTTGAACAATCTCCGTACACAACGATATCCGATACAACAGCCGTCTTGGCGACTTGGATGTGAAAGTTGCGGACCGAAAACCCCTCCCTAGGGTCTACCTCTAGAAAGGTTGCTTCTTGACCTTGCCCTCTTCTCTCATCCAAGACTTCCTCTGGACCAACAGCTCCTTGCAATCGACTTTTTGATAGGTCTCCCCCCACTTTGATGATAGTCAAGCCCCTGAAACACTTCGGAGGGCCTTTCAAAGGGCTGTGGCGTGCGTCGAAGAAGGCTAACTGCATCTGGTTTTGGTGATGTAGACCATGCAGCCAAGGAAACACCTGTCTTGCATCTGGCGAACCTTTGGTCGATACCTCTTCCAATGCATCCTTAAGGGTGGAGCCGCAAATGGAATAGACAACAGGACTTTCAACAACTTTCGAAAAGGAACTAGCGGGATGAAGAGTCGTGAACTTGCTCAAAGATGTTACACTCGACGGAGGCGTGTCCGGAGGCGTTGAAGGATCATTGCGAGTAGTAGCAGGCGGACCTGGCGGACAGTATGGTATGTGCTTGTTCGGTATGGGTGCCGAATTCGGTCGGCAAGTATCAAGACTCAAGTGCGGTGTTTCCAACGGCGGGGTTGGCGCATGCCGGGGTATCGCAGGATGTACAATTGCAGTAGCCATGAATGATCCTCATTGGGAGCCAGTAGATACAGCAAATGCGAACTTCCGAAATCCTGCTGAGAGATAGGATATCTTTCGTGGCCCAGCTCCCAGCGAAGTGCAGGAAAGTTGAAACGGATTGAATAGTTGACAAACAGGAATGAATTGCTGTGTCAAGTCTGTTCCAAGAATTCAAATGATCGAACGAAGCCAAATTCCTATCACTCCGCGACGGTCACGTGTCTAAGATCAAGCATTGTGTTGCTATCAAGACATAGACATGGAGAAAGAGGCGGTGGGTCATCCGTTTGATTGCAGTATTTCAGTCAATTGGATGAAGGGTCAAATAGTATTTTATAACGAAGACAGATAATTTCTCCGGGGAAGTAAGATCAAAAGGAGGGACGATCGAGGATTATGAAGAACATAGATAACTGGCAGAGGTCGAGAAAGGGACTGTGAGATAGGTCAATCGCTGTTGAAGCGTTATCGAAGGGAACATAAAGATGGAAGGAGGAGGTTATGATAGGAGGGGAAAGGAAGGAAGGAAAAGGATGGGCAGAGGTTGAAAAATGGCTGGTTTGGCTTGCAATCACGATGGGGTATGCAGTTGCCCCACCTTTCACACCCTCCACCATCGATCTATGCGGACGGGGACGCTAACCACTAGCGCCGACGTTCGCTGCCCCGCCAAACCCTATTTATACACGCTGCATAGATGCATAGATGCATAGATGCATACCATATCTGCATACAATCAGCTCCCATCAATGGACTCCGGTCGTTCACTCATCTTGGCTCCGAGCCGGCACTTCGCATTGCTGCGGGGGATGCGCATCTTTTCAATGCCTGTTGCTTCAGCTCCTCTGCGAGCCGTAGCAAGTAGAATTGAGCCATGTCATCAGGTAGCCCCTCAAACGAATGGCCGATTTTCCGGATGTCGTTTCTTCCCTTCTCATATGCCTGCACATCACGGTTACCGTAAACATCCCTTCCGGGGGCATACCCCGTCTCCAGGTCACGGAAGAAGACATTAACGGAAACGCTGACCGTTTCAAGAGGTTGTGCGGCATGCATCCACAGAGGCGGAATGTACAGTACATCACCGGGGTGAAGGATAGACTCATGCGGATGCATAGCTGCTAGAGTAGGGTGCTCTGCAGTTTCTCGCGGATCGAAGACGGCTATGGGAGAGCTAGACGCACCGGGAGCGATACCTGCGTGTATGACGTCCGACGGTGGGTAGAGCAGGAGTCGCTTGGACCCTTGGATTTGACATAACACATTGGCCATAACCTGTAGACGTCAGGGCTAAATAGCCAAATCCTCGCCCGAAAGCCTTACGTCATAGTGCAGCCTTCATAAAACCGGAGTCAGCAAGGCTTCATTAGACTTTGACAAGGAGTCGAGAGACATTACCACATGTTGACCGGTCCAGATACCCTGAGGACCGAGCTGTGAGCATGCTGGCTTACATATTCAAGTTGTGGGGGAAGAACGAAGTCTGCTGCCAATTCTGGATAATCAAGAGCTATGTTTGCTGGCTGGCCCGAAGGCTTCTCGGTTGAGAGCGATCGCAAATATTGTCTAGATCCGTGGACAATTTCGTCAATGAACTTGCCAAAGGCTACCTTCTTGTATGAAAAGTTTTTTGATATAAAGTCCATCTGAGTCTCCCGACTGTGGTGGACTATCACCTCTCGCTGTCGTCCGATTGTCCTCTCTAGATCTTGCAGAGTCCATGTCTTGCAGCAAGGACCTATGTCCAGAGAGTGCATCACTGTGGGACGTCTTACTTGCAGCACCTGCATGAATGACGCGCTCGATGACAACAGAAGACGTCTGACCAGGCTCCCATGTTTTCTCGGGGTTTCCCAAGCTTGATATGAAGGCTGTTCGGCGAGCCTTGTGGTTCGTGTGAAGGGCGATTGAGTCGAAAAGTTGAGCATTTGAACATCAGACTCCACGCTGAAGCCGCCTTCACCATGACTATCCTTGCCACTTAGATGTACTAGAGAAGTCTTTGCCCGAGAGCCTTGGCTTAGACATAGATTTCCATTCCAGACTGCTCCAAACGAAAAACACACTGCGCCTCCGCCAAAGATATACAATGACGTATTGAAAGAGGCGACGCAATGTCCGACGAGCAATGGACGTAAAAGATCACAGTAGTATTTAAGAGGCGTAACAGAACAGGCATTGTCCGAAGGCATCGAACATCTCAGCTTCACGATCTCTTGATCTTCTGCGAACACTGTATTCCCTATGCCACCAACGAGTACTAGCTCGGAACCGAGCGGTACAAGTTGAGCACCAAACCTCGCAAGCCTCAAGTCCCCCCCAGAATTAGAAAGTCTCGACTTAGCAGACTTGAGGTGCAGCTGGCCATGTTCGGAAAGTATGGTCCATTCTAAGATTTCTGCTGATATTGAGCAGTTCTCGGTCATACCGCCCACGAGAATACCTGAGCTTCCACCTGTAGAAGCAATACTTGCTCCAAAGACGAGCTTCGAATTTTCTCCACGGCAGGGAATTGCCTGCCATCCAATTGACTTCTGCCAAAGTAGCCACTGATCTGAGAATACATTTCTAGAAGTTTTGCCCCCATAAACTACGACTCCTGATTCGCACGAGCTCCCCTTCTTGAAGTCAACCCAGGTGGCACAATGTCTGTAAAGAGAAAATGGTAAGTCGTGCACGCGCCGCCAGATATTGTCGAAGAACCAGCAGTCACGCATGGGGCTACCTGGAGACGCTCTACCACCGGTGAGCAAGCACATTCCGCTTCTAGATACCGCGATTGCATGGCACATTCTGCTTGATAACTCGCTTGGCAACGCCCATCTCGCAGCTCCCGCTGCCATATTCGTGTCATTATTGGTCGAATCTTTCTCAGGCGAAATCAGGCGATATATCTCTGTCGTGTTACTCCTGTTCTGCCCTTTGATACCTCCATGAATGCCAATGACATCCTCACATTTGAACAAAGCGGCAAATTTTCTTGGAGGTAAAGCTTTTTTGACAACGCATGGCTGGAGTGTAAACGAACTCAACTCAGTTGTACCTTCACCACTGTGCTGGGGATCTCTTTCAACATCATCAACATGTGCAGCATGTTCTGCAATAGATCCTGCGTGCGGGGCAGAATTTTCGGCGAATAAAATAAAATAGTGGGAAGCGAAGAGGACGAATTCCTCCCATTCATCGAACATTTCCACCGCTTCAAAGGCTTGCATCTCTTCTGGACTATGAAGCGCGAAGTTAGACCATACGTTCCACAGGGTTTGCGTGCGGACTGTAGGCCAACCCAGCGCCCTAAATCGGCTTTCTTGGTCACGTAAAAGAGGATACTTAGAGATACTTCGTAGTGGGGTACGAAGGTTGTTGAAATGTTCCAACATCTTGCGAGCAAATGGATGTTCTGGTCCTGCTGGAAGGAATTGCTCAAGAAGACAGAAGCGCACTGGTAGAGAGAGTCAGGGCTGACATGGGAAAGACTCGTTGACGTTGCAGCATACTATTCTCGTAGCGCGCGCACCATCTGATCAAACTGTCTGCAGCTTCCACGTTCATATATGTCATTGAGACTTCCGCGGTGCAGAGCACCATGCAGTGTGAGATTTCAAGTTGGTCCTTAAGCAGGCTTTGGAGCCGATCGACATCTGCGAGATCACAACTAATGGCATGATAGCGGTCACTTCTCAGACAAGGATTGTTGAGATCATTTCCTCGTATTGTATTGGTCAATAATTGGCAGAGCTGCGGAGTTTCTTGAATGATATCGGCCTTTTTGGAGACGAGTTGAGCATGGTCAATATCTACGAAGATAGTGTTCCTACAAAGGTCTGGAGCCTTAGTAAATAGCTGGAATGGTAGAGGGTCGCTTAACAAATCAGTAGATGGGCTTCCTAGACCTGGAGAGAGGGGCATCTTACTCACTATCCGCATCCAAGATTCATCACAATTTTTCGTTTCGGAGATTCCAGCTGCAAGAATTTTCGCACAATATTTTCCACGGCATACATGCGCAGCCAGTATCCTCTGTTGATAAGCGGAGATCTCCTCTGAGGTTTTTCTACAAAGTAACGGAAAAAATGAGGCTCAGGATAGTAGAGCCGTTCAACGCTTCTCTTTGATACGATGGAGCTACTGTTAGTGCCCACGACGGAATTCTCGTCCGGAGTCCTTCGTTGGCTAGGTGTAGAACGCATGATGCCTCTACCTCGCCGTAGGTGATTCTTTGAAGGCCAACCCAGGAAAGGAGGATGGGACTGGGGCGAGGTTATCAGAGTGCGTTTTAGGGTTCTCTGGCCGCGGCCCGAGTCGTGTCCCGCTGACAGGCTTCCAAACCCGGGGCAGGCCTCGAGCGTCATATGGGAGTGCAACATTCCCTCTCAAGGCAGCCAGTATACTTAGGCACAGCTAGGCATTCGAAGGGGCGGCGTTTTCTAAGCTCATCTTGGTGGCCGACTGTATCGTTCTCGGGGTTGTTACCCCTGTGCCTTCATTCAAAAATGCCCATGAATTTTGTCACTTTCAATCAGGACTACAGCCATTTGGCTGTTGGTCAGTACAATTGATTCGTCCCTGTTGAGCAACTACTAATCGATGTTTACAAAGGTACTTCTCGAGGTTATCGCATTTACACCACCGACCCTTTTTCCACATGCTATGAATCGAAGGAGGGTGACATCAACCTGGTCGAGATGCTCTTCTCCACCTCGTTAGTTGCCCTCATACTCACACCACGAAGGCTACAAATAACGAATACCAAAGTACGTCTGTCGAGTATCGCATAGTCATGGTGTCTATGTAGTAATTCAGAGCACTACGATTGTTCAGCTAGCTAACTCTAGTCATCTTAATCGGAACAAACTCCTGCTGACTAGCATTGTCTTACAGCGGAACTCTACAATATGCGAGCTCACGTTTCCTACTACGGTACTCGCAGTACGAATGAATAGGAAACGATTAGTAGTCGTACTTGAAGATCAGATATATCTCTATGACATAAGCAACATGAAGCTCCTATACACAATTGAAACATCTCCAAATCCTTACGGTATTATGAAGCCCCTCCCGCGCAAACGAAGAATCATACACTGACTCCTCCAGCAATCTGTGCACTCTCTCCATCCTCCGAAAATTGCTTCCTCGCCTATCCACTCCCTCAGAAAGCCGCTCCTTCCTCCTTCGCCCCTCCTTCCCACGCCCCACCATCCAGCACACATATTCCACCTACAAGCGGGGATGTTCTAATCTTTGATGCTCTAAAACTCGAAGCCATAAATGTCGTCGAAGCACACCGGTCTCCGCTCTCCAACATAGCCGTCAACGACAGCGGCACTCTCCTCGCAACCGCCAGCGACAAAGGCACCATCATCCGCGTCTTTTCGATCCCAGCGGCCCAAAAAGTCTATCAATTCCGACGCGGCTCGATGCCAAGCCGAATATTCAGCATGGCCTTCAATTCAACCTCGACCCTCCTCTGCGTCTCATCCGCAACAGACACTGTACATGTCTTCAAACTCGACAGCGAGGGAGGAGGGGGCGGCGGCGTGGCTCTTCACGCACCAATGGCTCACGGGAAAAGGAATCTGCATCTACGATGGCAGAGGGTAAGGAGGCCCGCGATCGCAGTCTCAGCCCAGCTCTGGGCGACGGGGAAAGCGAATCTCAGCTTGGCCTAAGCAAGACCAACAGTAATGGCACAGATAGCAACATCGCAGGGCGAAAACACAACGGCACATTCATGGGCATGATACGACGGACGTCACAGAATGTGGGCACATCAGTCGCCGCATCCGTAGGTGCTTACCTGCCGACCGCTGTATCTGAACTGTGGGAGCCGGCGCGGGATTTTGCGTGGTTGAAAATTCCGAAAGCGGCGCATTCGCCAGGCGGTAGTGGAGGGCAGTCCTTGAGAAGTGTGGTCGCCGTGAGCAGCAATAGCCCGCAGGTCATGGTTGTGACAAACGAAGGGAGGTTTTACGTGTTTGGGATCGACCTAGAGAAAGGTGGGGAGGGGACGCTCATGAAGGTTTATGAGATTGGGACGGAGGGGGAGAGATTAGGTGCCAGTGTAATTGGAGACTAAGGCGATGTATCCATCTATTGTATGATATTGGTCAGCTCTCAGCTCTTTGGGAGGCTAGGAAGGCGCTCTAAGGAGGTCATCTGAGCGCTTGCGTCTGTACAACGATGTAGGATTATGCAACGAGTCACTTTCCCATTGGTTTTGATAAGGCAGCTTTGCTAGGCATCACAGCCTCTACTATCTTTTGGTGGTGAGCTGCTCTTTGACAGCTGATCTGACTTTAAGATCGATCGTGGGCAAATGGACCATTCTGGAAAGGAGCAAAAGTAGTAGCAAGAAGATCGTGAGCTTTACTCTGGTTCAGCTTGTCTGAGTCAGTCGAATTGTAGGCCGGAAGGGACTAGTTTAAAACATCATGTCATTATTGCTGGTAATGCTCAGCTAATTCATGCTTTGGGGACATTTGTCAACCCGGGGTATACGCTTCCCTTTCCTTCAGCGCCATGACAACATGCAAAAAAAGCAAACACGACCACTCTTGAATCAGTAAAATTCCACAATCGGGGCAAAATCGCCATCAAAACTCCCGTTGATAACTTCGGCAACAATCCTCCGCCTCTGCAGAGGCATATCATCCGCGGAAACGGCCATTGGATCCACCCCCAGAGTCACCATCTTCGCAGTCGTGACTGCGAAGACCCCGCAATCACTGCCGTTATTCTGGGCCGGGCCTCCGCCGCGGCCCTTCAAGCCTTGTTGCTCAACGACGGTCCATTCGCTCTCCTCATACGACTTCCCAAGCTCTCCTTTGAGCCAGCTTTTAATGATCCGTATATGTGGACCTGAAGTCCCGTGAAAGCTATCAAAATATTCGATAGTCCGTCGCCTCGGAGACACAATTGCCATCGTCCAATGGTTTCCGGTTGCGTTGACCGGGATGAAGATATAGTCCATCTGTAATAGTGCCTGCCCTCCGAAATTCCTTTTCTGAGCGAATCTGGCGACAGATCCGTAACCATTATCTCTCAGCGATTTGTAGAAATAAGAGTTCCATGCATAAACTTTCGGTCGCTCGTTACGTTTGTGTCCCTGTCTTTTATTCTCATAACCAACAATCAGCTGCATGTATGCGTCTATCATGGTATCGTTAAGCCATCCGGCTGCGCTATCCTCAGTGCCGGGCTGTGGGAGTACCATCCCAATGTCTCGCCGTGATATATCTGTCTTCGTGATCCTTGGCCCCCATTCGGTACTCATTACCGCAACACAATGTTTCATTGGTTTACTTAAAGCATCCTGAATTAATTTCCCGGCCCCTTCAGGAAGAGGTTGAATGACCTTCTGACTCGGTACTCGACGCACCCCGTCACGAAGAGCTTGCTCGTTAGTGTCTCTCCTTACTCGTTCTCGAGCCTCCCTCTCTTCCTTCGCAATACGGGCTGCTTCCTCAGCTTTCTTAGCTGCTTTCTCGGTAACGCGGCGACTTGACCGGCGGTCCGAGCTTGTTGTAGGAGGAGCAGCTGTAATAGAAAGGCCCAGCTTTTCTACGCCTGCCGTCAAGTCTTGCGATGACGAATGTGCTGAGGAAATTGATGGAGCTGTGGAAACGGCCTCTGAAACGTCTCCGGCGGGGTCAAGACATAATCCCTCCTCCCTTTCATGCAAAACACCTGCGTCGCTTCGCGCTGACGTACTGACGAACTTTGACCTCGTATTTGGATATCTGTCGAAAACTTCCGGAAACGAGTTGACTGTTAGTTGATCACTCGGAGAGTGTCCCACAACCGCCTTCTGAGCAAGCATCGCGTCTCTTTTCTTCACATCCTCGGGGCAGTCTAGTTTGACTGACATATCGTCGGTCTCCTGAGACACTGCCGCTTGGGATTGCGATAGAGGTGCAAGGGTGCTTTCTTCGAGTGCGCCTTCTACTTTGCTGCTTACTGAAGATCCTACGTCGCACATTGGCATAGACTTCCCCTTTCCTTTCTTCACATCCTCGGCATAGTCTAGTATGACTGACGTGTCGTCCGTCTCCTGAAAATATGTCGCACGGCTCGGTGATAGAAGTGCAAGACTTTCTTGACTTGGGCTTTCTGCTTTGCTGTTTGCTGGAGGCCCTACATCGAACTCCGGCATAGATTTCCCTTTGCCTTTCTCCACGCCCTCAAAGCAGTCTAGTCTGACTGACATATTGTCAGTCTCCTGAAAAACCGCTTCTTGGGGGTTCGATTGTGGTGGAAGTAATTTTGGTTGGGGTGCGCTTTCGTATCTGCTGCTTGCTGAAAACAGGTTTCGGTTCTGTGGTCCTTGTGCGACGATTTCGCATGCGGCGCTGCCCATGATGCCCTGATCCAGCTTCTCATGGCAGTGTAGTATGGCTGACTTCTTATCAGCCTCCTGAAACATTGTCGCTTGGGTTGCTGCCTCCGTCGGGATATAGGTCGAGTCACAAGCTTCTGCGATCGTTGTCCAGCTCTTCTTCGGAATCTTTTGGGTAGTATCTCCTCTATTTTTCAACCCCTCAGGGCAGTCTAGTGTGACCGATTTGCCGTCAGTCTCCTGAAATACTGCCGCCTGAGAAGGCTGAATTGTCGGAAGGGGTGGCCCGTTTGTGTCAAAAATAGAAGCTCGATCTGTAGCGTGCATAGGCGCGGGTGACCATTGCGATGATTTCTTTCCTTTAGCCATCTCCTCGCGGCAGTTTAGTGTGACTGATTTGTCGTCAGTCTCCTGAAACATTGCCCTGTAAGAAGGCTGATTTGTTGGAACGGATAGCTCGTTCGTATCGATGATTGGAGCTCGGTCTATATCATGCTCAGATAGTTGCGATGAATTCTTGTCTGGTGTGTTGTGCACTATCTGTTGGGGTACCTCGCTTCCCGTGGCGGAGTCTTGCTTTGTGCTCGCTGCTGAGACGGGCACTGACTGTAGTGCGATCGGGGCTGACTGGTGAGAAGGTCCGCCACTAGATTCCTGAGATACCACAGTTTGAGGTGCAGGGTTCGCTTGATTGGAGACTAGGTTTCCGGCTTCATTCGAGGCAAGCTTTGCTCCTCGCAGCGGTTGGGATGGCTTTTCGAGTTGCTCCTTGTTATCGTTACGACGGTTTGCCATCTCTAAGAATGCGTTTCCGGTGCCTGAAACTTCGACTGCGCCTGTGGGAGACCCTTCGGTCGGCGGCGACGGCTGTTGCAGGATTTGCGTGCCCTTAGTCGCGCTAACAATACTAGACTCGCCATCAAAGTCGGGTTTGAAATCCTGTTGGGAAGGAATGCCGCCTCCGCGAAGTTTCGCTGTCTGGAATGGGAATTCGGTATATTTTATCGGTCTGTTGAATAAAGTAGAAGCGGTCGAGTTAGGGCGTGACTTTGGCGATGTATGTCCCATCGCCAAATATGTTGGTAGCTCTTCATCGTAGCGCTTTCTCTTCGTGACAGGTGCACCAGTACTTGGGCTTTCATGGAAAGTAATGCCTGTACGCATGCTTGGCGGTATCGGATGTCCCCGTAAGCACGATTTTCTTGGCAAGGGCCTCCTCACTGGAAGCGGCTGCATCTGTGAGAATTTACCATATTGGGCTTCCCATGCTTCTTGCAAGGCCAGCCTCTTATTCGCAGATAACATCTTTCTTTTTCGACTCATATGCTGTATGGACAAAATTGAAGGATCTGAAGCTGCTACATGCATGGCTCCATCTGCGCTGACCACATTTTCACGGTCTAGAATCATTGAATGGTCGCTCGTGTTATTTTCCGGTACAATAATTGAACTTGCGTCAATCAGCGGACGCTCAAATACCTGCTCGTGCAACGAGCGGACAGGAGAGTCTGGGTAAGTTCCTGGCATCCGTCTGAGTTTGCGCGCAAGAGGGCTGGAGTCTGAATATGCGTCGATCAAATTCGTATCGGCTTCAGCATCATCGTTCCGCAGAGTCTCCACCGGTGCGACTATCTGCATGGTAAAAGCATATTGTGGGCTGTTTGAAGACGCAGGACCTTGTAAGCTCGGTAGGCTATTCGAGACAGTCGCGATATTTGGTGAACGCAATGTGCGTCTTGTGAGCGGTGTTGTTGATGCGTGGCCCGTAGGCGAAGGGGGATTCTGGCGGAATAGTCGATGTCCCTCAGGACGGCAGCGTGTGAGACGGCTGGGGAGCGTAATAGAACCTGCAAGCACACCCCTAATACGACGCTTGACGCTCTGGTACACGGATGCACTTCTGTCAACAAAGTATTGAGTCGGTCGTACGACATAGCCAGTAAGCCGGCGGAGGCTGAGTAAATGTCGATTGTGACTTTGATGTCGTCTACTGAGATGTAGGATGAATGGTGGAGGGTCTTCCCCCCAATCCATCTCCATGGCGGCGTGAGTGACACGCGATGGTGTGATTAAGGTGGTCACGATTATTCAACGTTCAAAAACTGTGCTTTGTTGCAATATGAAGACTGGTCGTCAGAACGGTGGCTGGGTGTTGAAAGTTGGTGGATGGTGGAAAGCGGAAGAGATGTGCGGAAGAACATGATAATTTTGGAGGGAGTGTTGTGGGTTTTGTTTTGATGTGACGTACGCGTAGAGGGGTGTCAAGATTCCAGATTCGATCATCATCACGGGGCATTGATGGCGGATGGGGAGGCGCATTGATGCATAGATGAGTGTCAAACCCCCAACCGCGGAACCTCCAAAAAACAGCTGCCGGCTGCCAAGCCAAGCTAAGCTTTTCCACGCTAAGGGACCGTACCTGGTAGCTCCTGTCTGGCCGAACTCGTGCTTAGGTATGTCGTGCATATGTAAGGTCCACAGACCGTTCCTACACAGCCTACTCTACTCAGGCTATTCCACGCCCGTTACCGATTAAGACTTTGTTCAATATCAATACACCTTTGGATTCGCTACTAATCGTGATGACCTCCATAAGCATGCACCGCATCCCACCACTTCCGTTCTTGTCATAGTATGCAACCACCCCTTGTGCTTAGCGAACATTGAGCCATTCACGCTATCAGAGAATGTAGCACAGCTAGGACCACCAAGAGCCCAGTGGTCGCGTAGGACCTGACTTGAACCGCCCCGCTCTTCTTGCTTGACGACGGTTGCGCTCCACTTGAGGTCCCGGTCCCAGGGACATTGGATTGATCTTGGGCTAATGGTTTGATGGCTAATCCCTGAAGCTGCTTGCCGTTGCTTCCATACACCGGCAGTGCTACCTGAGTCTGTGTCACATCTACCAGCTTGCCGCGATTCGGATTTTTGACCCCGTTGTTGAGTAGATCTTGGCCTCCGGAAGGAAGTGACGGGAGCGTGAAATCCTTACTGAAGGAATCGGAGGAGATCAGATCGCTGCTGCATTTTGGTGCTTTGATATTGGTAGCTGATGAATTGCCACTTTGAAGAGCTTTGACGTCAAGCTTGGCGTAAGCATTTTGAAGGTTGTCGTAGTCCACCCTGACTTCTGCCGTTCCATTCTCATATAGCCAGACCAGCCCGTAATTATTCGACTCCTCTTGGTAGTATTCATACACTAAACCTCCACTCATAACCGAAGTCATGTTACCATAAAGAACCGAAACCTCGTCCCAGACCCGTGGTTCCACTAAGGGAGGTCAGTTTCAGAGAATGGATGAGGCGCTTGGTCACCTTGCCTTTATTACAGCCATATTCACTGAAGAAGATCGGAATAGTGGTGCTACCGAATTCCGTGATGAGATCATCATAGCTACTCGCAACGTAATTCGCCGTAGAGCTTGTCGGCCCGCACCATGAGTAAGAATTGAGGCCGAAGAACTCGATACGCGAAGGGTCTTCTTGGTCTCCGTCAATAGCACAGGAAAGGTAAGCCCAGGAGTCGGTGAGGATTTCTTTCACGTCGGCAGCAGAATAGCCAACTGGTATCGTTCTCGGCGAATGCTTCGAGATGTAGTTGTTCAAATCACGCGTGACAGCCCGAACGTAGGGTGGGACATCCTTACCATCGCCCACTAATTCCCCATTAGCGACTCAACATCCTACTGCACGTTTTGCCATACCGTCGTTCATGACCTCATTGCCAGAAAAGAAGCCAAGAATATTTGGATAACTATGAAACGCTTCGACGACGGAGAATATACGGTTGAGGTAAGTTGAGCTGTAGCTGCTGTCTAAATCATCCGGGTTTAGACTTTCATTTGGTAGAGGTGAGTTGACGTCTAGCAACATGTATATTCCTACGGCGTTAAATATTGAGACGCATTCATCGTGATTGAGCGTACTACTCTGGTTAGTGCATGCCGTACTTCCTCGTGAGAAACCATCAACAAACTCACGCATCTAGATTGTAGACTCGGATCGTATTCAAGCCCAAGCCTTGCATAAGGGCAGCATCTCGTAGACAGAGAGTGCTATTACTCAACGGGTCAGACCCTTGGCCAAATGCTTCTTGGCCACCTGGTTGGTATGCAACGCCCAGGATCTGGAAACGGTTGCTTGTGACATTATTAACGAAATCCGCGCCTTGGACTCTGACGTTCTGTACAGCTGAGACGGCGGGAAACAACAGCAGAAACAGTGCTGCAGCCAGTGATCGCTGAATCTGCATCTGTCAGCTGGTTTCGTCTTCGAGACTCTGCGGGGGCATTGTACCCTTAACATTGGCATTTGTACGACTACTCAAAATGTTAGTGAAGAATTGAATACGAACCTGTCCCTAACGAGCGTGGAGAATGTGAGAGAAGCGAACGGAAGACCCTTCAAGGGCAATTGATCGGGCGCAATACGAAGAAAGGAAGAAAGGAAGGAAGGAAGGAAGAAATGGGGTAGCTCCTTCCTTAAACACACCTTGAGGGACGCGGCCTGTCAACTGAGGTGAAGAACTAACGTAACGCCCCGCCGCTTGGCATTTCTGGTTGACACGCGCCTCTGAAACTCTGGTGCAACAGTGATGTCGAGCATTGATCAATGCACTATGCGAACGCAGTCCGGATTATGCAACATGTATTTGTATAAAACAGGTGAAAGATCCATCGACGAGGACCTAAAATACAGAATGAAAAGAACATGCCTCTCCACTTTGCGCCTTCCGATGCATTATCTATGTGATCTTCGTCGCTCGCAAGCTTTCCTGAGCCGTGACTATTCTGTACATGAAGCCCTCACAGGCTCTTGAAAGACGACCGAGCGCCCGGTAGAACGTGAGTAGAGAAGGTGCGGAAGGGTACGAAGATTGGATGGAACAGTCGGCGTGTGGAAGCTTGTTCAATCATCAATTCCACGATCAGAACCAGGCCCTGAGCCCGAGAGACTTCCACTGAGCGACGAGTCGAGAGCTATCATCTCTGCTAAGACATCAATCACAGGCTTTGGTACTGTTTTGTCGTATATTCCGATGAGATCCTTTGGATTAGGATAGACCTTGAGTGCTTTGTAGAAGAATGTTGCAGCTTCGAGTCTGCGCGAATCTGTAGACGAATGTCAGCCTCTTGCAAAGCAAATCTTTCGCAAAACAGACTCACCGTCACCTACGAGACCTTCGCCTTGCGAAACCTGCTCCATGAAATAGGCCTCTCTCTCTTCAATGCTTGTTGGGCTGTCATCCCGTCTCGCCTGATCAACTACATCCTGTATTGCTTGTTTCTGCTGTGCGTTCTGATTCTCTGCTTCTTCTTTTACAGCCCTAGCTTCTCGCCTTGACTCTTTTTTCAGAGCTCTGCGAAAAGCTGGATCTGACCGTCGTTTGTAATCGAAGTACACAGCGTAGCCTAGAATTGACATAATCAATACGCATGAAGTCACATCTCACTCTTCGGACTAGATAGAACAGTACCCAAGAAGCCGGTGGCTACTACACCGATTGAGGCAGCTAGTATTGTAGAGGCTTTTACCGACGATGAGACGGTCATAGCTGCGATACTGATGATGTTATGTAAGAGACAACATAGATAACTCTCTTATGACGCCGAAAATACGATCTTAATAGTTTGTTGTAAAAGACGTTGCGCTGGATTGAAGTTCCGTAATTATTTTCTTCATTGCAAGCCTTGAATGCCAAGGAAGGCCAGGCTTTAATAGGTTGGCTCTCAGGGTGCCTTCTCTTGCACAAGCAAGGTATTCATCACACTGAGTGGAGGGTGTCATCATCATGGAACCAGTCGAGGTATAGATATTGCTCAGATGCCCTGCAAACTGCAATGGACGACAAGAACAAGGGTTTCTCGCTCCGTCAGAAGAAATCAAAGCGCATTCCCATCAGCGGTCCCAAACCAATATCAGGACCGATCTCTCAAACGAAGCCCCCGACTCTCAATGGCTCCACACGTACGAATACCACTGGGAGGACAGATACAGCCAATACCGCTGACATAGTCAAAAGAAGATACTCTACAAGATTTAATCAGCTCCCAGACTTTAACACAGCCAATGCACCGCCCGTTCCATCGCTCTCTCAAGGCTATTCCAAGCCCAGCAGTCACGGGCAGCAGCAAGCCGGCCAAGGTCTGAAAATACCACTGGACGTGAATGCTCTCAAAGACCCTGCCTTTCAAACCGAGAAATACTCGACCAATCTGCTTGCTGATGCCTCTGACCAAGACCTTCAAGATTACCAGGGAACTCTACGCAAGCTGAAGAACCGTGCCTCGAGCGACATTCAGCAGAATGTCTATCAAAATCGATCTCAATTCATTAAGGTTAGCAAAGAAGCCGAGAAATTAAAGGGCGAAATGCGAACATTGCGAGGTCTGATTTCCGAGCTCACTTCGGCGGTAAGCCAGGCTTCTATCAGTGCTGGCGCTCTAGAACCTACAGTCACAATAGACGATGATGCTCGATCAAGGGCACGAAAGCAGGCAAATAGAAGTTCGGTGGCCAATCTAGAAGCCATGTGGAGCGCACAGCTGCACACATTGTGGAAAAAAATCGAGGGATCGCAGAAATTCCTCCCCGCGATCCCAGGTCGGCATGTCGTTACGGAGCAACAGCATTGGCTAGAGCTTGATGCGGCGACCTGGAAAACAAAAAGACACGCGCACATTTTTCTCTTAAACGACCATCTGATGATAGCCGGTCGGCGAAAAAAGCGCGTCGATGCCAGTACGGCCGCTGACGCAAAACAAAGTCAAAGCACGAGAGCGGTTGCAGACAGATGTTGGCCTCTACAAGACATAGATATGGTCGATCTTGCCTCGAATGCCTCGGGTGCAGGCGATAAGCGCGGCATGTCCAATGCAATTAGCATTCGATGTGGTCAAGAATCATTCACGTACCGCAGCGACAAAACGACAACTGCAGACAAGATGAAGTTGCTTCAAGATTTTCGACGAACAGCAGACGAACTACGCAGAACGCTCAGAGCCGATATGGAGGAGCAAAGTAACAAGACAAGAGAGAACATGGATTATCTTACCACTAGGGATCCCGCTCTTTCTAACAAAACCGAACTTCTGAGAAAAATTAGCAATGCCAAAGATAGGCCAGAAATCATGATCGAGGTCGATGGCAAACATCAGAACCTCCGATGGGTGGAAGGCCAAATTGATGAGCTTGATAGCGAAGTCGCCCTCCAGCGCTTCGAGGAGGCTGTGCGAAGGATCGAGAAGCTGCGGAAGCTCGCCAAAGGGCTCAAGGGGAACATGATCGCTCAAGACCTCATCAGCACCAAGGTCGACGAGCGAGCCCGCAAACTCGCTGGTAAGTCGAGAGACATGATCATGATTCTTGCCATAACTTGGCTGACGTATAGAATTGACAGACATCCTTAATCTCCGTCTTTCAGCCACTCACGCCCACCTCGCTCCGACCCAAAAGCACATAGCTTACCTAGTCCGTCTTTCATTCGACGCCTTGGCGCGGGAAACCTACCTTTCCGCGCGCAAAGCCCTCATCAATACTCGCGCCCGAAGTATCATCTTCGAAGGCGACCTGCGTCATCACGTCTTCCAGCTCAGCTTCGTCTACTTTTCCCTCATGCGAAACACCGTAAAGGTATACCAGCAGTGCTTTCCGCCACTTATGTCGAGTGCCTGCGTGAAGTGGTGCCATGAGCGATTACAAGAATTCAATGACAGTCTCGGGCGGCAATTGAGCAGTGTAACTACAGGAAGTCCAACGTATGCAGATAGTGTAGCGAGAGCGAAGGAGCATGCCGGGATGATGGGGGAGGTGGGCTTGGACTTCAAAAGTTTGGTACAGCCAGCCGGGGTACAGAGAATGGAAGGGTGAAGAAGGAGCTGTCTCTTAAAGGCGAAATTTATGGCTTATTTCCTGTATGATTGGTTGTGGGGCTCATAGTAAATGTGATGGTCTTTGCATGCCTCATATGTCGACATTTCATCATGCTTAAGACCTCGAGCATTGGTGATCAACTGCTAGAGGTGGACGTCCTCATCAAAGTCTTACAAGGGTACCATATCTGTACAACAATCGTCTGGTAACGTCATTCTGGCATAGAGAGTATCGGTCCTCAGCTACAGTGATTTACTCGGTGTTTCAATAGCTTTTCCTGTTTAGCTTATCCTCAGGTAACAAGGGGAAGCTTAACAGTCCCCAACGCCTTCTCGGATATACGTAAGCTGCGATCATTCCCAAAATTTTCAGACGAAGCGCCGCCAGATTTGCACCAAGACATTGAATCTAAATCCCTCGTATCTGCCCCGACAAGCTCGCAACTACCATCATGTCTAAATTGCCCTACCTCTAGCCCTTGAGGACGATTGTCGCAGGAGGATTAGGGGAGGTATACGCACATTAATGACAAAAGTCCAAGTGTTAGTCATATTGCAAGGAGGGCTACCTCTTATGAGTCCCAGCAGATTGCCAGTCCAGCATCTTTACTGTTGAGCCACAATCTTTCCGCCCAACGCTGTGATTGCCAAGGCAATGGATAAGTTCTGCTGAATCGAACTTGTCACTTGACTTCACGGAGGACTTGGCAATTCACTCCTTTGGCTATATTGCGCCAAACACAGATCGCAGTCCGAGGCGTCGATCGGAGCCGCTTACACTGAAGGGTGGTCCCAAGGCGTTTTCTGCGAGCGACTTTGGGTCACCGCAATCCTAGCAAAGACTTCGAATTGTCGTACACTACGTAAGTGATGCTTACGGCAGGTACGACTTTCAACAAATTCGGAGTGATGCCTTTGAACAAGCCTCGCATACCCTCCCCTTGGACAGTCTTCACAGTGACATCCCAGATCCCGGTATAAGTGGGGGGATGTATCGCGGTACCCTGGCTCTGCAGCCTCGTCCTCAATAGGTTCAATGGATAGACCGCACTTGCCCCAAAGGCACCTGATGAGGCACCCATAGCTGCTGTGGTAAAGTTTCCAGGTTGAGCCGATTCGTCTTCCTGAGACACACCCAGCCGCCGTGCATTTCGCGCTGTGACAAATTGCTTCAAGTACTCGAATGTAGTGAGGTCAATGGCGCTATATGGGAACATACCGACCAGTCCCATTGTGATGCCACGGTAGAAAGAACGAGGACCCTGAGCCCACATCTTCTTAGCAGTCTTCGAAATCAATGCGTTACCCGTTGGTCCGCCTTTAACAGTCTCGTTTTGCATCCGGAACTTGAGCGTATCAAGAGGATATATGGCAAATCTAGAGTAAATGAGCGCCCACATACGTCGGATGAGACTAGCTTCTTACTGGGAAATCATTCCAGCCATTCCCGCAGCAAAGAACTGAGACCACGGCGCTAAGTTTTTAGGGTCGTCATGACCTTCAAGCCTTGCAAAAGCACGTTTTGAACCCTTTTACAAACATTAGTCATGGAAAAGTAGTCTCTGTGCACAATGGACACACCTCGTATGACCCAAATTTGATAGCGGACTCGGGCATAACTTTCAAGACGTTCAATCCATTGCCTGCATAATCAGCGAGAACTGAAAGATGTCACAGAATGGGACTTGACTACCAGCAAAGAGGCTTTGAACGCCGCCTAGACGCCACAGAGTTCTTGTCGCCTCAAGTAATGATCCTGCTGCATTCCTTGCAGCTTTCACAGGTGCACCTGCTTTCGCTGCTTGCACCGCTTCTTCCTTCACGCCAGTTTGGGCAATCAGGTATACTTTCAGTCGATCGAGTGGAGCTGTCGCTGTCCGAGAAACTACGCCTGCGATCCCTCCGGCGAGAAAGTAGCCTGGATGAGGAGCGAAATCGGTCAGCAATGCGGCCTTTTCGGGGGTCGATGCAATGACTATAGCTTCAGAAGAGGCTTTATTTTCTATGATGTACTCGCCAGGGTCCCAGGGAAACGAAGCCTCTTTTGATTCGTTCGGCACCTGCAAAGGTTGGAAGAGCGAAGAGGGCCTTGTAGGGGGGAGGACGGAGTGGTTGACGGTCGTGGTGGATTAAACATGCGCATCATTCTGCCAAATAATTTCGTAGAAAATCGATGATTACCTGTCGACTCAACAGTCTCATTGGAGACATGTACATCTCCTTCCGGATTCACTGTCACGGTCGAAGAATAGTAAGACAAAACGGCGCGTAAGCTAGGAATGTCGGCAGGGATAAAGAGGAGAAAATTGCTAGAACGATTCAGTCTTGTTGATTCTAGTGGACTTAGAGACGTAGTGAAATACCGCCATTCATCCCATGTGATAACTCCATCGTGATTACTGTCCACCTCGGCGAAAAATTGATCCAGTTTCGACGGGGGCAGATAGATACCAGCTGCAACGAAAGCTGATCTGAGTTCAGTCTTATCCAATTGCCCGTTATGATCACGGTCTATTTTCTGAAAAAGCTGCCATAATTCCTTCTCCGTGTGTTGAACGAACTGCCGGAATTCTGCCTTGACTTAGTCGGATTCATAGATCAGAGAGCAGCGTATGGGTACCTTCATATTCGATGTGGCCGTCGCCATTGACATCGACGGCTTTCAAGATATCTTGGAGCAAGGAGTCGGCACATTTCAGTGCTTTCCTCATTTAGCTGAAGCCATGGTTCACTAGGGGTGACAAACGGTGGTCTAGTCTGTTTAGACCGCTCTTAAGTCCATTCAAGTTCAATTGCCCTTCTTGTCTGGTATCCAAAACCTGCCAAAGTCTTCTCACCCGAGCATCCTGCGCCTTCTGGTCTTCTTTGTCCATTATCCAGATAGGTACAATCGCTAGGAGTAAGTCATGGCGGTTTGCTTGTTTGAGCAGGCATTGCTAGACGGCAAAGTCGGTGAATCTCGAATGCATCTGCTTTTGTGCACAACAGAGGCCTAGAGGTTAGGTGTAGTGGGAGCTCGGTGTCTACGAGAGGGATCTCTGCCCTTGATGAAGTGGGGCTATTCCGTAGTGACAGCGCCTCCGCGGCAACAGCCGCCGGCTCATTAAATATTTAAATGATAAACCCCGATGGCCTCCTTCCCTGCTTTCATTCTTGGAACGCACGTGTCTTGCTGTGGTAGGCTACAGAGTCACATGGATGCCTCTGAAGAATGTCGCTCGATGAATCTTTAGACGGTATTGGTATCCGTTCAATCATCATCCTATGCTACTTTGGCCATCTACAGTATGGCTGCAAATTACTGGGCGTCGACACAGTGTCGGAACTGGCAGTTTACTCGAGGATCATTGGCTGCCGCCAGGCAATCTCTGGAGGATAAGGAAGCCCACCTAATTCAACAGTATCCGTTGCCCGATCGTCGTCTTTTGAGCCAATTTTTCAATCAACGTAGGGTCATCTCATCTCATAAAACGGATTACCAGCCCTCGGCTTATCATCCTTGCAGAGCTGGCTAAGCTAGGCAAGCGCATGTCCGTCCGACAGCAAGCTCTAGCGACAGCACAGGTCTATCTACGGAGGTTCTATAACAAAGTCGAGATTCGCCGCACGAATCCATATCTGATCATTGCTACAGCACTGTATCTAGCGTGCAAAATGGAAGAGTGCCCACAGCATATTCGTGTAGTCATAAGCGAGTCACGTCAGCTATGGCCAAGTGAGATTGTCCTATCTACATAGAAAGCATCGGCTGAAAGGCAGTAGACCACTCTGTTATCACTGATGTATCCAAACTCGGCGAGTGTGAATTCTGGCTTATATCAGAGATCAACTCGCAAATGATCGTCCATCATCCATACCGTACCCTCAATGAACTGCAACCCATCCTTGAATTGAGTCAAGACGACAGTTCATCAGCCTGGTCTGTGATCAACGACCACTACCTGACAGATTTACCACTCTTGTTTCCTCCCCACATAATCGCTGTGACAGCGATTCTTTTTGCTATGACCATGAAGCCGACGCCGATAGGTTTCCAAGCTGCAGCTAATGCAGCTAATGCTCTAGCTCATTCTGCGCCAGAAGAAAAGAATGCGCGCCTTGCTGCCTCACCCGCCGAGACTGACCAGCAATGGAAGATTCAGCAATTCATGACTTGGTTGGCGCAAGGCGACCTTGATCTTAAGGCGATCATCGATTGCACGCAGGAGATCATATCTTTGTACGATATCCTGGAGCACTACAGTGAAGCAACGTGCAAAGATCAAATTGCGCGCTGCGTGAGGGCTAGGGGCCTTGAAAAGTGAAATGCCAAGGCTGAAGTGGATCTCAATGTCTCAATATGAACCACGCTTCAATGAAATTATTGGTAGCACGAGAGGGTCGATTTTCGTGAATGGGCATGACAGTTTCCGATCCCTGCTGAAAATCATGCGTACCTTGCATCGGTTCCGTCCGAGCCCTGCATAGAAGCATTGGCAAGGCTCCGGGGGACTCAGACTTTTAATTGCGCAAAGGAAGACGATCACGCACTTTGCTAGCAACGGCAGCCCATGAGACAGATGTTCCTACCATAGGTTGGGCCCGCATGCAACGTCGATCCTAAGTGCTGGAAAAGGGAGAAGGTTTGCTAACTCTGTCGCAGAAAAGCAGAAATTTTCAAACGAACATGGGGCCCTGTGAGATTTATATTGAGTAGACCCTCAGATATGGGCGACTTGCCATTTGAAGTTGGGGGCTAATGCCCCTATGCGCCTCCACAACCCCATTCTCTTAGTACTTCTCTGGCTTCTTTCCTCCATTGCAGTTCCAATACTACCAAACTATACCGATCTTTTTGCCTCTCTGGGCGAATCTCCTTCACGAATACTCAACATACTGAAGAGCCTGTCAACCTTCCCCGAGCATGTCCACCACACCGAAGATTTGACATTTTACATCAACAAAGGATCACCCTACCCTGCTGGTCTGATCGCTCGATCGCTGTGGCATGTGCTTTCATCGGCTCGCCATCATCTCCAACATGCAAGTACCGCGACGGCAGCCAGTTCCAAGATGGCCAAAGTCATGCTACACTATAATCAGCTTCCTGCTTTTCACATAGATATATTGTACGGTCAAATCGAGTACGGCGACGTGATCGATCTTTGCGAGATACTAAGATCTCTAACCAGGGATAAGAATAATGATAGGCTTCCAGCATATGGTGGAATCGGATATAAATGGCATGGCTTCATCTACCGCAGAAACCATTATCTAACGCCAATTGGGTCCTTTTATTTTGACTAAAAGGGTGTTTAATAGTGTTTGCGAGGTTACGACTTCTTTCACGAATGCACGAACGAACCTCCTAATGTTGTACGAAGAATGACGTGTCTAATGTGTGGTGATGAAGATAATGGATTGGGCTCACACGTGCTCTTAGGCTTTGCAGAATCTCCGAGAATGTACTTGTGAACGTGATTCTTTCCAAAGAGATTATCCTATCAGTTGCAAATGCAAGACTACGATGTAGTCAAGGTTGGATGGCTGACCGGCACTTTCAAGCTAGCTGGACATTACCACATTATTCCTCAGATTTGGCATGGATCCTATGTACAGTGTATGTACTCTCATTGTCCAAAAATTCACAGTATGCTAGTCCCACTGGTCAAAACCTTGCCTTGTAACTTTTTTGTTGGGATATGAAAGCTATGTCTTCTGTGCAGTCTAACTTTCATCGGGTCCTAATCGGCAGTCAACCGGAATTGTCTTGTGATTTTGAGCGCGGTCTGTCGTACCGCAGAGTCTCTGGATTAACCGGACTTTTTACTATGGTTGGCAAGAAACCTAAAATATGAGTTGGAAAATTTCCTGATCAAGGATTAGCAAGCATCAAAAATCTCGGAGAAAGCTAGGCTTGCCTGAGCGCTGACTCGTTCTCCCGTGCAATGGCTGAGACTTGTCTTCATTGGCAGGTTGCCTGGCCCAAATGTCTTTCCCAGCCTCCCCAAAGGTCTCAACACCAAGATGAGCGCCGCATCCCAGCATCAGATAGGATGCTAACCAGGTTGGGCGATCAGGAAACGATAAGCTTGAACTTTCAGTACGCGGCTCAGAATCTTTATCGAAGTCTGCTTCCATAGAGCCTGCCTGACCCAGCAGCAGTTGCAGCCATTCCTCTGGGGGAAGACTTGTTAGATTTGTTGAGCAGTAGGTCTCCTGGCTTCCCATCAACAGATTAGGTGCTTGCGATTGTGATGACGCGACGGAAAGTACAACTTGCCCCCAAGGTAAGGTGTTGGAGGTAAGGCCTTTCTCACTTGATAGTAGCTTGCGGGCCCTGTGGATACACTGACTCTGAAGTTCCTCAAGCTTGGCCACAGTGAGCCGTGGAGGAGAAGACTCATATTCTGAAGACATGGCGTAGACTTCCTACCTTGTGCTCTCGAGATGAATGGCTGTACGCAAGGAGTCAACATGATTGGTATTCGAACGAAAGGAGAAGAAATAAAGAGAGAAGAAAAAGGTTAGTGCGGGCAGAAATATATGCAAGACAACATAATATCGGGCTCCTATGAATGCACCGTTCTATGTGGAGACGGGACGGGACATGATATGGCATACATTCCACAGATCGGGATAGCGGCGGTGTTGACAATGCAATTGGGGTATTGCAACTGATCAAGCGCAATGCACGCAGCCGATTTTCAGCCTTAGAGCATGGCTTCAATATGTCTGGTTGGATTTTCTCACAATCCGCCTTGGGTGCCGCTCTGTACAATAAACATTCGCCCTGAAGTGACTGCCCTTGGGTGCGGATGGCGACATGACAACAGCGAATGCCTGCAGAAGTGACAGTTCCTCGCCAGGCGGCCCGTCTTTTGACATACAGCTTTCATCCTACTACTGCAGCAGCTCAATCAGGCCAATCCAGGCATGCTACTGAAGTGCAGCAAGTCTGCAATTAGCTGACGCCTTCATGAGGCATTTACAGATACGCATGTGCATATGAGGACAAGGTGAAGGCTACGATGTTGAAGCATGTTAAATCTTCATCAGCGTTTTGTCACCTATCGCTGGGTCATCACTAGATGCCGAATAAAAAACGGAGACATTTGCACACTGGAAAGAGAGGCAACTTCTGATAAAGCCTGGGACATCAACTGGACTGAGAGAATGATTTAATCAGCGAGCCACCTCTTGCTCTACAACATGACGCAGGGCAAGAGGCAATCCAGCTTGAATTTCATTGCCTACTTGTTAGGGCAGAGGATTCCTAGACTTTGTGATAACACAGCTACCCCTGACGTATCTGACGTGTATACTATGCACGAGGTCGTGATCAGATTCCATATTGAGAATGATTCTCACTCCTGAAAGCCTTTCACCTGGCATCCAAAATATTCCATGAGCTTCTCTCCGGCACTTACGAGAACACCATAGTCCTGAATGCTGAGCTTCCCCAACATCCCACTTTCTGTTTCAATGAAGCACCGATATTCTTGTCGAGCATGGTAAACCGGATTTGGGCTCAAGATCCTACTACCTGGATGATCTGGTGGAAAATGGGCGAGCCGATGCTCTACGTTCTTTTCATGTCTATTCAGCCAACGAAGGGCGTGTGTTAATGCTCAGATGACCGGTAATGGTGTCCAGGCAACTCCTTTAGAGAGTCGAGATCAAAAACATATTGCACCTCCACAGCCGCCTTTCTGGCTTTCTTCAGCTCCTTAGCCCTGTCGTCACCGATAATCGACCTAAATGATATGAAGTGTTCTGGTGGCCTTTACACCCCTGTCCGCCCGTGTGGTCGAAATTCTACAACTTCATCACGCGATCGAATGTTCCGATCAGATTTCGGCGTAGGTTCTAGAGTGTGCCGAAGTCATGTCATCATTATACCACGAGAATGGGGAATCGTTCGGCAATAAAATACCTTGACGATACCACTTGATTTATTGACTCTTGTCACCATGAGCTGCTTGTTTTCAAATTTCGCACATTGGCCTCAAGTATTCCTCTCTTCGAAAGCCTTCTTGCAAGAGATGCATTGATACTCTGAGTAAGAACACAAGTTTTATATGATGATTGTTCCATTCGTAATGTAATACCCATGAAGTTTTTAAAATAATAGCAAATATAGGCTACTTCGTGATCGAATTTGAACGTGAAGGAATTTCTCTCAATTTTGTAGCAGCTTGAGATGACATCAATGCAGATGCTAGGCTAAAGGTACTGTCTCTAGAATGTGTGAGTTGCACTTGCTGCATCTTGGTAGCGGTGAATTTTGAAGCGCTTAGGCTTTCAAAACAATTGCTCGTCGTCCTACTTCGCGCCTTTGCCCTTAGCTTCTCCGTCTGCCAAACCTCTAATGTGTATTTTAATTTCGCCCTCGCCAACCGCTTCTTTCCCATCTTCAAAGCCTGGACATGTCGCTATGGCAAGGTACTTCCCATCACCGCTAAAGCCAAGCGCTGCGACACTGCTAGAGTATCGCTGATACTGCCGTATCCTTCTCTTCGCGAGTCCATCCCACAATGCCACAATGCCGTCCCCACCGCCTGAAGCAAAGGTGCCGTGAGTAGGATGAAAAGCCAGAGCATTGACGGGATACACAATATCACCCCCTTCATCTCCCTCTGGTGGATTTAATCGATGACACTTGAATGCGTATTTCCTTGCCTGCGATTCCGTAGATGGATCGAACCACTCTACTGCGACCCTGCCTTCAATTGACCCTGATGCGTAGCCGAGATCCGTGGGCATGCAAGACACTGCTCTCGTCATGAACTTCAAAGAAGATTCACGACGCTGCCATGGTTCCGGCTTGTCATTTGCTGCTAGTGAAGAGAGCTCGTAGATGTGCACAGTGCGTGCAGACATAGCAACAACCAACTTCGTGGCCGTGGTGGATAAGGAGAAAGGTTTATTCGGAAGCATGATCTTAAGTGGTTCTTGTGAAGTGTCGGTAAGACGGTGAACATGCAAAGTGCAGTCCCATGACGCGGAAATGAGAATGTTGTGTGAAGGAGAATACGCTACTGATCTTACGCCGGCGGCATGAGTAGACAGAAGCTTTTGGTCGGACGTCGTGAGGTCGATCCTGCGCGTGGTCAGCAAAGAGTCTCAGCAGCCTGATCATTGTTTGCGAACCTCCGACAGGCGTGGTCTACACCAGCTGTGTACGCAACATTCTCGTTCTCTCCAAAGCAAACGTCTAGCACTGGTGCGCGATGTTCGAATTTGCTCAGGAGCTGCCCACTGGGTGGAGCTGTATCATAGAGATACACGAACTTGTCCCAGGAAGAGACAAGCATGCGACTAGATTTTGGGGCGAATTTGACTGCCGATATGGCGTCTGTCGGAGGATCTGGAAGGTCATATTCTGTAGAGGATTGTTAGACTACTAGGCTTGAATCATTGGAGTCGCACTGCTCACGGACACTCATATTCGAGAAGAAAGTCTTGCTGGCCTTGGGTATTTGGAGGAGCAAAGATCAACATGCTACGCGCAACGGAGGGGGACTGACGGGCCTGAATGTGAACCATTGGAAGCAAATAGCAAACAATGACCGGATCAAAGTTTTGACGAAGTCCGGATCTCAACCCTTCCCTCACCTGGATTGGCAGCGAATTCTGAGCATTTACTGCTTGAGGAAGCACTCTTTCCAGTTGTGCAGAGGATCACTATGCCTTTTGCGCAATTAGTCATTGGTCCACCTGGTTCTGGAAAATCTACATATTGCGATGGAATGCACCAATTCTTGTCCACCATTGGTCGAAAATGCTCTGTGGTCAATCTGGACCCTGCAAATGACCACACGTCCTACGAAAGCGCCCTTGATATTAGGTCTCTGGTGACCTTAGACGAAGTGATGAACGACGAGAATCTGGGCCCTAACGGTGGCACGCTTTACGCACTGGAAGAGCTTGAGCACAACGTTGAATGGCTTGAGGAGGGACTGAAGGCGCTGGGGGAAGACTATGTACTTTTCGACTGTCCGGGGCAGGTGGAACTGTTCACGCATCATGACAGTCTGCGAAAGGTCTTCTATAGGCTACAGAAGCTTGGGTACAGAGTCCGCAGCTTTCCTCTCTCATGCTATTCAGGCACAACGGACTTTCTTCACTAACTTGTGGTTGGTCGAATAGCTAGTTGCATTACACCTGACAGACTCATTTTGTTTGACTCAGCCATCATTGTATCTTTCGACTCTTCTGCTGTCACTAAGAGCAATGCTCCAGATGGACCTTTCACATCTCAACATTTTGACTAAAATCGACAAGATCTCTAGCTACGGACCGCTGCCGTTCAATCTTGACTTCTACACCGAAGTTCAAGACCTATCATACATCTTACCCCATCTTGCTGCCGAGAACCCCATGCTGCGACATCCTAAGTTCGAGGGTCTCAACAATGCGGTCGTTGACCTGGTTGAAGATTTTGGGCTCGTTGGGTTCGAGACGCTGGCTGTGGAAGATAAGAAGAGTATGATGACACTTCTTCAAGCTATTGATCGAGCCAGTGGATACGCCTTCGGAGGTGCTGAGGGCGCGAATGACACGATCTGGCAAGTCGCGATGAGGGAAGGTCTGCCAGGAATGACCGTCTTCGATGTGCAAGAGAGGTGGATCGACAGGAAGGATGAGTTCGATGAGATCGAGAGGCAAGAGGCAGATAAAGCCCTGCAGGTCCAGCGTATGGCTCATCCTCTTGGCGGGGATGGTGGCATAGACTTTGATGATGGGCAGACGCCCGGTAGTGGGATAAAGGTCATAAGACGGAGCCCAAAATGATGACTTATTGGCCACATGCTTTTCTATGCCTCATCCTATCGGCACTCCAAGATCCTCGCTTTCGTCCGTGACTCCACCGTCATCTTCATCTTCCAAAGCCACATCTTCATCCACATCCTCACCTCGATCCTTTGCGATCCGTCTCCGCTTCCTCGGTCCATCGTCCGCCCGCACATGCACCTGAACAACTCCCACCGCTTCCTCTCCGCCCTCTTCATCTTGGTCATTACCAATCCTAGCCCTCCTGATCTCCTCCTTCGCTCTTCTCACAACCTCTTCCTCCGCCTTCCTGATGGTCCCACTACACCTAATAACCCTCATTACGCAAGGTTCTTCCTGTCCCTTGCCAGGCCTTCCCAGAGTAGTAATCCAAGTCAAAGCCGCCCACAATATTCGACAATGCGCTCTAGCGACCCTTATGATAGCTGTTGAGGTGGCCTGGGAAAAATAAACGATTTTCAAAGATGAAGCTATCAGACCGAGGCCGTAATCGCCATACATGTATTCCACAGAGGATTTCATGAGTCGGATGAGCTGGCCGCTGTCAACTGCTGATGGGGTTGGGCGATGATATTGGAGGACATTGGGAACAGAAGGTCGTGGGTCAGCGTAGTCCTTTGGTAACGAGGGGTAGAGAAAGTGGACGACGAGGTATCGATGCTTTATGCGGACCATTGTAGGACTACTAGGAATTCTAGGTCATGTTCTCATCCTAGCTCGGACACACTCGCAGACCTGTCACTTTCAGCCCTGGGGTAGGATTGAATGTGCGCAAATGTTGTACTGTAAGCGTCATTGTCAGAGCGTCCGATCTGATAGTGTTGGGGGTTGAAAATGTCTACGAGTACGCAAAGAAACGGTATTGACTCCATCTGCTTTCAGGCACGGGCCGGGAGGGAAGGGGCACCAAGGGGGCCCATCCCTAAGGGCCCGAGTTGTTCAACTTTTCTACCACTCACCGCCTTTCATATGAGAATAATTCCAATGTAAGAGTATCTAGACTATTAAACTTTGTTTTTGCAAGACTGAAAGACACACATTTAGTGGGAGTATTTTGATGTTAAAAACATACAGATTCGACAGATTCAGGCTTTGTAGGGGGATGCTTCAGCGTGAGCCTTTAGTGACCGCTTGGTCTTCTCCGCCTCCCAAGTTCGTCGTTGTAATTGGGAGGCGCAGGCTCGCCAGCAGCATCTTGAGGTGTGTTCCTTACCGCCATCTGCAACGGGTGGGTCCCTTGCGCATCACGTTCCCCGAGCACACTTGGAGGCTGTCCATCGCCGAATCTGGTATTCCCCAGAGCTGGAAATAACCGGTTTCGCCGCTCTCCTGCTTGTAGACGCACTTGATCAATAGGAGTATCAACGCCTCCAGCACGATTAATTGGTGGTCGCGGGCCCGGAACTCCAGCATGGTCATTATAGTCTCGCAGATTTATCGCATCTCGAGCCCGCATTCGTTGCTCTCGTAGCGCTCGCGCTTGTTCATGGTAGTCCCAATGCCCATCTTCTGGGCGGAAGCGTCCCCAATCAATACGTTCTTCGAGCCCCTCTTGAATCGGTAGGTTTTCTCTGAATCGATCTACTCTGCGACCAATTTGCTGTTGGAGAAAGGGGTTGGCCGGCAATGGTCCACCGTGTTGTCGGAGTCGAGCTGCTGTCCGGTCGAATTGCCGTTGAAGCTCCTCGCGAGCAGGAGCATGTTCCTCGAATCGAGCCTTCGTCTGCTTAAGCTGCTCCTGAAGACCATGAATATCTGGGATCAGAGTTCTGTCACGTGCCCTGTGTATGTCCAATTGCGGCTGGATGTCGTTCCCGTACGGTCTTTCTCCTACATTGTGGACTGGCATAGGGTTGAATCGGGCCTGGGGGAAATATTGCAGAGGCCGCAAATTTGGAGGGTTTGCCGGCTGAAAAGCCCTAACGTGTTGGGTCCAATAGTCAACTTCATTCAAGCCTGCATTGTAAAAAGGATTTCCACCCACTGGGTCCGCTACATTTCTCTGCTGCATGTCTCTTTCTGGCAGGACTTCATAACGAGGAACGGGGGGAGGAGGCTGGACGCGGGCATGAAGATAGTGGTGATGATGGTGATGATGTGGTTGACCAACGTTGTCTTGAGTCTCAACTTCCTTGGAGAATTTTATTCGTAGATCCTCTTCAGACAAGTCGGGATTTTCTTTCTGAATCTTCTCTATGGCAGCCTTGCCCGCTTCTGCGATTTGCTCGTCCTTACGAGTCTTGGTTTTATCATATAGCGGGCACTTTTTTCCTCCCACCTCGCCATCTGGAAACGGCACTTGGCCTTCGAAATGATTGTATCTATCCACCATGAGTACGCCATACTCCCAGCTAATAGAGCAACTCACTTCATTTGAGTTATATCTTGGCCACAGTAATCGCATATCACTAGAATAGTGAGCGGGATCAATTACATCAAAAAGTGTCATCGTATCCTACCGTTTGAACAGGTTGTGCAAGTCACCTTGTTACAGCCGTCTTCTTTGATAATTCGGACCTTACATTTAGGGCATGTTCGAATAAGAGCTTCGGTCCTGGCTTCTTCGATGAGATGACGTTCGTTGATGCCATTCTCTTTCCTATGCTCATCGCATGATAATGGGACGTGGGATCTGATGATTTTAGCTTTGTCTCAGCTGAAACATACATAGTTCATTGTCTACCGTTCTTTGCACATACGACATGTGACCTGCAAAGTGAGTCAAAACACCCTTCACAATCTCGTCAAGGAAAGGACTTACTTCTTTACAGTCTACGAAACCGCACCGAAACTCCTTGTCCTCTTCTATAGGAGGACAGATATGCCCATAATGACAGAAAGGACATGTGACAAAATCGGGCAAGTCTTCCATGGCGGCTCGAATAGCTGCCTGTTGCTCGAGGTCCTCAAGTTTCTCTACAATCTTGACGTCGAGAAATTTCGCCCGCTCTGCCCGGCTGAAGGTAGACTTGCAAACACTTCCATCCATACATTGCAGGCCATATTTGTTCACGCCGATGTCATTGTCTGCATTCATTCGAGCGCAATCGAAGCAAAAGAAATGCGGGATCTCTCCATTGCAATGAGTGATTGTCGAAATAGTTGCGTCATCAAAGCAGCAGGCACATTCCATCACATCTCCATTTCGTCTCTCGGCTTGTTCTTTGGCTACAATCTCTGCTGCTGCTCGGTTTTGCTCTACGCGCTTGTCTGAAGCTTGTCAGTTGTGGACAGAATAGAAAAGAGTAGCTAAGAAGCACAATTCCAAAGAACAATAATAATAGAGAGTGGCAACCCTTTCGAAGTACCACCATTGGAGTCATATGAAGTAGCCTTGAGACACTCGAGCTTATGAAGATATATCAAGGGGCAATTTCTCGGATAGGATACTTTAGAACTTGCATTTCTGAAGTAAAACTTACTGTTGTCCCTCTTCCGTCTCTGCCGGCTAGCTTCGATTTCTTCTTTCAACATGTCGTACTTATGACCTTCCCTTGTCATGTGTACCATCGAATCTTCAGAGCAGAGTCCCGCACAGTATCGACGAGACTTCAGCTTTACGTACGGTTTCTGTGCAATATCGTCGTATTCTCGTTCTGCCTTTGCGATTGCCACATGGGCACCGTAGAAATAGCCTTGTTCTTTGAATTGTGAGTCGATATACTTGGCTGGAACTAAGGGAAAGTCTTCCTGCAATGCCTTCTGACTAGGGGAGAAGGTTAGTTTCAGTGGACAACATTTGTGTCGCCCACCAAATTACTCGGAGATGGAGGGATCACATACGAAATTTTGGTATAGTCCCAGGTCTTGCTGATCAGGTCCTCACTTTTCCACCTTTTTGCCTCTTCAGCGTCGCCGCCTTGAGATTCTCTCTTCCGCTTCAATTGATTAGCTTCCTTTCTTCGATGTCGTTCTTTGGGGTAATTGCTGGAGTCTAGAATTTTTTCTATCAGCGTTTGCGAGGTCCCCGTGTCATGTGTAGCGTTGAATTCGTCTGAGTTGATGTGGCTCTCGTAGATTTCCCTCAGATAGTCGAGCGAGATGTCGGGGAAAACCTCTGTCACCTCCTGGAAGCAAAGCTCGGAAGCGACTGCTCGATCAATCTTCGTCTGCGATGCATCGTTTTCTCTATCTCTCACAGCGTGACACCTGTCTTCCGCATGTCGAGGACTACGAAGCCCTTCACCCGACAGTGAATCTTCATCGCTTGAAGTGTCAAGTTCAACAATGTCTGGTCCTTGCACCATGACAACAACTAGGTAATCAAGCAAAGTATTTACTCTGAAAATAAGAAATGGTGGCGCTCCGGGTAAGTAACGACTTGTGCAAGAGGAAGGAGGGAAAGAAGGTGTACAAGGGACAAATGATGTGACATTCTGAATACGCAGCCGTATTTTTACACATCACAGACAACAGGCGCGAATGTGACAAACAGAGTGAACCAAGAACGCATGAATGAAGTAGAGCAAAGATTGAATGTTTTATGTGTTGGACGTCGGACAAGGCTGTTTCGGCCGCTTCCAGTACCAGTCGTTTGTGAGAGGTAGCAGCCGGACAACGCCCCGGTAGTACGCAAGGGCTCCTGACACCGCTCTTGGACCCTGCGATTGTTATGATGCCGCCAAGCTGCAGCCATCCAGCCAGCCCATAGATCAAGCAAGCCCGTCTATCGTGAGGACTGAGTGAATGAGGGACATGACACAAGCGGCGAGGGCTCTGGTGGGTGGAATGGCGGCTAATCTCGGCATGATATGACGGTCACATTCTTCACCTCTTGTACACACAACTTATATGGACTAATCAATGTGTTCCACTACGGAGGATCAACCTCCCTTTGATCGCTGGGACTTCGATTTTCTCACATTCACGGTCTATCATCCGCCATGACGTCGAGCGAAGGCAGTCCACCCTCCTCGAAATCTCCTGACCTTGCGCTGGTGGAGCAGACTCCAGAAGAAAGAGAAAGGATTTGGAGACTCAACGGCGAATCCTGGAGCGGTCCTCTTTCGCCAGATCAATATGTCGGACGTGAGAAGCATTTGAGCAGACAACTACTCACGAAGAATGGTGGAGTCAATTATTGGATCCTTACCGATACTACCAAGCTACCAAATGAGCGCCCCATCTTCTCCAGCTGCGAGTCTTATAAAAAGAGGGCGCTGGTGAAGAGGCCAGATCGAGACGTCATGGATAGCATCAGCTATAGCATAGGAAGCGTTTTCTGCGACCCTAAATATAGGGGAAGGGGATACGCTAGAAGAATGATGGGTGAGCTGGGCAAAAAGCTCGACCATTGGAACCAATTGGGAGGACAAGAAACTAGCTTCACTGTTTTATACTCAGACATTGGGAAGGTAAGCAGAATACTTTCATCCAAGAGGCGATGAGATACTGATATGAGGAAGATCTTCTACACTAAGACTGGTTGGGAGCCCTTCGAATCAAGCCACATTACCCTACCTCCTAACCAAGAGTTCAATCTCAACCCCATGACGGATTTTGAGCTCTTATACGCCAGCGATCTTGAACTCTTATGTCAGACAGACGAGAGAAAGCTTCGCAAAGCTATGAGTACGCGCGAACCAGAGTCTGATACTGTTGTTGTCGCTCTCATACCCGATCTGGCAACGATCTCGTGGCTGCATGCTCGGGAAGAATATGTGGGCCTGGAGACGCGAGGGCGAGCACCGAAAGTCAAAGGCGCCTTAGTCCATAGTGACGGCGGACGTTTTTGGTGTATTTGGTCTCACTTCTTCAGCAAAACGGCAGAGGAAGGTAATGTTTTGAGCATTTTACGAATAGTGGCCGAAGACGAAGGCGGAGAGGTTCTAGCCGTGACAGATGGAAACTCGGCGGCTATGCCAGCTACGAACACAGATCCCGCGAATGTTTCTGGATTGAAGAAACTGCTGCAAGCTGCTCAATCTGAAGCTGCTAAATTGGCAATGAATGAAGTACAAATTTGGAACCCTAGCCATTGCGTGTTGGCAGCGGCAACAATCATCAATCCGCACATCCATGTCATTCAACGCGATCAAGACAGCATCGCTAGCCTTAGATGGCATGGCTCGAAATCGAAACCAGACACTATTAGCTGGATTGCCAACGAAAAATATAGCTGGTGCTGAAGCTTTGTCTTCATGCTTTTCGAAGGCAATAAGACGCTATTTAGTGGCTCACTGTCATGCTTTATTTCCTTGCAGCCTTGAATTTGTCGTGCCATCTTCGCGAACCTATGGCTCCCTTTGTGCTAATCGGGTCCTGTGAATTGTTAGACTCACCGCTAGCTTGCTTATCCCCAGAAACTATGGTTGATTTGGTTGGTCGAGAAAACTTGCCCTAACGCGAATTATGAGTCGAGATAGAAACGCAATTTTCGTTGAGCAGTACCTTAAGCAACTCCAGTTGGGCTTCGTTTCTCCACATCTCGGGAAGGAGATCTCGCCATTGTTGCATAAATTTTTCCAGTGGAACACTTGACGCCGCTTTTGATTGAACTTGGAGTGCAACATCGCCTATCCAGCGGATGGTGAGCAACTTGTCAAATACAACGGTTCCTGCAAAGCCTGATTAGCACAAGACGCTCACATATGCATTAAGCAACGTGCCACTATTATGAGTGTCCGGTCCGTTGCTCGTAAGTCGAGCTATGACAGCGTTGAGCAACGAATGAGGATGGCCGTCCTCCTCAGAAGACTCTTCTAAAGGAGCAGTAGGGATACATTCTCCTAGATCAAAGCCTCGCAGCGCCAGAGCAGTCAGTATCGATCTCCATAGATTGAGAAGTAAGTGAGCCCCAGGGCGCCAGAGTCCGCCATTTGCCTCGAAGACACAGAGTTCTTTCCATCCTGTTTCGAGCTCTCCATTTGAAAGCGGTAGACTCTCAAATAAGTCGCGCTTGTGAACATCAGTCGCGTGCTTTCCCCTGTTGACCTCATCCGCTTCCGAACCAGAGGTGCCATACAGTGGTAATCTCTCCTCCAGCAGCATTGTAGCGGAACCTGAGCATGGCAAGAGCTCCAAGGTGGTTGCACACGTTGCAATTGAGGTCACGCCCGGCAATGAAATAGCCTCAATATCTTCATTGTTGTGTGTCTCCGACGGCTGGATTAGGAAAACTGAGTTGGAAGATTGGACTTGGCGGATTTGGAATGTTCGACGAGAAGTACAAAGAACTGCGGTGGCCGCAATTTGGTCTTTCTCATTCGCTGAGCCAGCTGACTTAAGCCAAAAACTCTCCAGCATGTCAGCATAATTTAGATTGTCAGCTATTTGATTCCTACAACTCTGAATCGTTTGATGAGATGCCCTCTACTACATCTGTCGGCAGCTCTAAAAAGCGGACGGCCTCCTGAGTATTGCTCGTACTGAATGGTACATCATAGTCATGATAGGACGACATCTTTCGAGATTTATAAAATCAAAGGACGGTACCCTCGTTGGCTGAGTGGCTCAAATCAAAAGATGCTTTACTTTATGCATCCAGGGTCGGCTCGAGAAAATCACGCTGACCCGGGCTCTAGTATGGCCCGCCTCCCGTCACTAGCTTACCTAAGCCGATTTAGTTCTGGAGCGCGTCGGCGCGTTGCCCGAATAGTACATCCTGTTATCAAAACAACAAGCGAGGCATTGATTTGAGAAGGTGAGGAGAGGTAGGCACTGTTCCGTGAGCATGTGTGACTCGAGACTATCCGTGTACCTTGTAGATTAGCTTGCCTGCTCTCATTGCCTTACGAAGGAGTTCTCAACGTCACTTGCAGTCTCAGATCCGATCACACGCTTGACACCCGATGTCCGAACTTAGACACCATCCGCCTACATAGACCGTACGATCATACGAAATGGTTGTAGCAGCCGAAGACTACAGTTGGGTATTGTAACAAGCTCAAACGTCGGGCTCGACATCATGATTTACGTCAGTCCGCCACTGCCCGAGCTGGATCTCGAGCGATTGTCGTTATTCCACGTGAATGAACCAATACTTGGGGACTTTCCTTTCTTGACTTTCTATGGATCATCAACAACCGCCAACCTGACTCATAACAGCTCTCGAATTCAGGCTTACGTTTATTCCCTAGCGGGCTTTTACTCGTTTCCACGCTTGACTGTAGCTCCAACCTCCCCGCTTTACGCTGCAGTCAATCATCTTCCTAGCGAAATCCAGGGTGATGAGGTCGCCCGTGGTCTAGCTATTGCTTTACTCGCCTCTTTTGCAGCTATTCCGTGGACTACAAGGGCAGCTCTGAAAGAATTCGCTAACAGTCGTTATCCGCATGGCGTAGCACCAGCCATCTTCGATGAAATGCATGCTGCGCATCTTGCAACCGGCATGGTTCAAATTGGCAATGCTCGAGAAGTATGGGACTACTTCACTTCTGCTTTGAAGGCTCGAACAATATCATGGACTGATGTCGACGTTATATTGCCCGTAGGATCTATTCATCACGTCCCAAAATCTGACGAAGGCGAATCAATTTTGGATGAGAATGGCTTGCCATGTCTTGATTATGAGAGTTTTGCTCCGTTCATTGAGACCCTCGGCAGTTCAGCTTTCCTCCCAACAACAAAGCTACAACGAGCACCCTCCAGGCATAATGTCCATAGTAGGTCGAGAAACATGTCCAAAGAAGATAAAGTGGCCCTCCGTCGTGAGATGTGCGAGCTCTCTGATACAGAAAGCAATTATCTCGCTAGAATTCGCGAGCTGCTTGGAAGGATCGCGTGTGATTCGTATAGTACGGGTGGATCGTGGCCGTCCTCCGTCGCCCGGAACCTCCAATCTATGTACGAGGTTAATGAATCTTTCTATCAAGATATCCAAACAGTTCTGGATACTACCGAGTGCGACGCTATAAAAGACATCGAAGGTGAAATGGTGGGATCCCCTGGAATTCCCATTACAGTCACTCAGAATCGAAAGCGCGACTACACAGGTGCCCTGTTGTTAGCAAAGTCGATTTTAAAATGGTTTCCACATTTCATTCGGCCATACCATGATTACCTCAATGCTAGCGCGGATCTGTCGGCTGCTCTCTCCAGGTTGTCAAGCCGGGTGCCTCCAGGCTCCCAGGAAAAGCAATCCGAACTTGGTGAGCAGTATTTGCGGTCACTTCTCATTGAGCCAGTTCAGCGCCTACCACGGTACACTCTCTTCATAGACAAAATGCTCTCACTGCTGCCAGCCTCACACACCGCTCGACCTAATTTGCTAAAAGCCAAAGACACGATTGCTGATATCTGCGCTCTGGATCATGGCGGAAAGGGAGGCAACAACCATCTTTTGGCAAATTTGCAGAAGTCTGTCAATGGGTGGCCTCGCTCACTCAAGCCATTAGGCCGTTTGATAACGGCAGTAGACGCTGTAGAGTTGAGACTCCCATTTAACCACGCCGTTGATGGTCTGTCCTGCATAATGATACTCTTTGCGGGCAAGCTAGTTCTCATACGCCAATTAAAAGACGATTCAATGTCAGCACGCGCCTTCCTCGCCCGCTTAGAGCAATCTCATAATGTCGTGAGCAACATTCGGCAAGACCCAGAGCCAGCAAACGATCTAGAATTTGGGGCGGTGTATGATTTGGACTGTCTTCAAATCACCGAGTCTGCCGACAGTCATTTGATATATCTCGCAGACATTCCTTTAACGCCATTGTTGCCGCATGAAACATTGACGATCACCACACAGGTATTCTCACTCAAAGCACCATACCATGGGAAGACAGCACGATTTGCGGAGGAGATAGTGAAAGCAAGAATTGAAGACAGAATTCCCTTGAGTGTCAGAGATAGTGAACATTGGTCCCTCAGACGCATTGAGGCAAACAAAACCAATCTCGGAATACTAGCCATTATAACAGAGAACAATATCGACCGGAGTCTACACCGCCAACACACTTTGGGCAAGGTACGATTGAACGTTGTCGATGAGATGGCTCAGAAAATGACCCCGATTCCTGTTGGTGGAGCGAGTGTATCCGGCCAGTTAAGCGTCCGCAACAATCATGAGGCCATCCTAGAAGTCGAAAGCTCTGACGGATCTCGCTATAAAGATTCTTGTATGGCTGAAGGTTTCGGGGGTCTTCTAAGAAATCGTCGTAGGTTGCCATCTCGAAAGTTGTACCGTGCTGATCTAGTCAGTGGAGCAACTACTATCGTCACCAAGCAGTCAATCTGTACTGCAACAAATCTCATTTAATGCTCAGATCTTGGGTGGCCTCCCACTAGGCTCGCTCAAAAGAACCAAACATAAAGCTTTTCGACCAAAGTCTCCGGTTAAAATGCTCTCAAGCATTCTTGGAGGCGTTTCAAGCCAGTCCAGCGCGCCGCAAGGACCTCGGTCAAGAGGCCCTACTATCGAAGATGCTCCACGTCTGTCGCCACCTGAAATGGTCGATGAGGGGCTTTCCACCAAAGTACAGACGGTAGTGTCGCCTGTGAAGCAGCTAAAATCGATCTCTAAAAACCAGGAAAACGTCAAGACTTCTTTACAGCTTCTAGAAGACACTTTCTCGGCCTACATCCTTGCCCTTCGCTCTCGGTGTGGCAATGTAGTCGGCAAAATTCTCCAAACTCGTGCTTCAGCCGACGAACTCCGTGTCAACGAGCTATACAATTCTCTTATCGAGGAGCCAAGTAGCCTTGAAATCACGGCTGTAATGTCAGTCGACGTCCTCTTCGCCGCTTTTGAGAAATTCTTGCGGTATGCCTGGAAGGAGCGCATGGGGCCCCTCTTGGCCCCGAGTACACTTAAAGAATTACAAGCCTCTTTTGACTCGGAGAACCCTGTCACTTTTGCGCAGAACTTCAAGCATTCCCTAGATGAGATGTCACCCCAAAATCAACGAGCCTTTGCGGCTGTGGTGAGACTTCTCTCAGACTTGCTCGATGCTTCGGGCAACGATGGTGATCGTGGTATCTTGATTGCGAGCTTCGCCGAAGCTTTGGTCCTTGTCGGCAATTCTCATGATTACATCATGCTCCTAGATCGCTTAGTTGAGGACTACGATATACTGTTTGAGCACATTCTTGAGCCTGGAGCAAGCAGCACTTCTGCTACTAGTTCTTTGAATCGCACGACGTCCTTCAACACGAGCTCTTTGACTTCGAATGCCTCATCGCTGCGTAGAAGATTGGGGTTGGGAGCAAACCTGACGCGTGAAAACAGTAAGAGTGAAACCGAATCGAAGGTTGCATCTATCTGGCGAACATTGAGCAAGAATTCGAAGAGCGCCGGTGACTTGGCTCCCTTTACAAGCTTGTCCAAACAATCACTGGTCAGGTCTAGATCAACTGATAGAGACTCACGAATGGGCCCTCCCTCTCGTCCTGTGTCGCGTGACCGACCAACGACCTCAGGCTCCATTGGATCTGAAGGTCAACGCTCTCGGCCTATCAGCTCTCATACGAATGCTAGCGGTCTCAGTAACATTTCAGAAGATGTGGTTCACAAAGCAGCCTCAGTGCTGAAAAAGAAAAGGCGCAGTTCTTTTTCGGATTTACATACTTTGAGAGAAACAGAGCTAAGATCGATTGCGCCCTTGCAGCTACAATACCCAGAAGCAACACGATCTGTGATTGAGAACTCGGACGCACCGATCATGATTGGATCTCAAGCACATAAGGAAGCTCAGGACAAGCCAAGAAACAGACGCTCACCTCAAAGATCTAGTATTCCTCGTCCCATTTCCCCCAATCAGAAGGAAAACTCGCCACTGCAGGGCCGAAAGGTCGGAAAAACTACGGACACTGACCTGGGTGCCATCACTATAACAAGCCATAGTCCCAATAAAGCCAATAACTCACAAGTCTGTAGCCCACCTCCAAGAGCAGGCTTGAGCGAGCGTTCCTGGCCGCCCAACGCTAATATCCCTCCCTCAGTCCCCCAAAAGTCACCACCAAAAATGCGTCTTCAGAGCCCTCGAAAAATCCGGCAACGGCTGAGCCAGGAACAAGGGGTGACCATTACCACAGCGCCTAGTCTTCAAGCTGAAATGGACAAGATTGGTCAGGAGCTCTCGGCCATGAGCCGACCAGGCTCCTCGGGTCAAAATCCAGTTGCGAGGTCAGGCCAGAAGGATATTCAAGATATGTCAGCTCGGATAAATGCACTGGATAAGCAATTGAAGGTGTTTGTTGCAAAAAGCATCAAGGCATCACCACCTGCAGCGCCTGACCAACTTCTAGTCAGCGAGACGAAGATCAAAAGGTTGGACGCGCTGTATAAAGAAGCGAATGCAGAGAACGAAGCCCTCTATGATCGTTTTAATGACGAGCTAGGAAGAGTCCTTGCTCGAGTGAAGAAAGGGGAGGGCGTCGCAGAGCTGAAAGCCAAGCTGACAGAAACCCAAGATGAGGTCAATAAATTAAGAGCGGAGAATGCAAAACTCAAGAGGGATTCTGTGAATGTGAATGGTCGATAGCGATATACGACCAACAGCATTCAAAGTCGTTGAGGATTTTTGTGTATGATATTTGCCTCTTGCTTAGCCTCTGCCGGCTGCAATCCAGTAAGTTTTCATGAATGGGACGATCAGCGTCGCAGGAACGCACGCTATACATTGATACGAGAGCGTAGAATTATCGATAGTTACAGCAGTGCTTATGTATACGATTAGAAGGATAGCGCTAAAAGTACATATCAATACAGAAGAACAGGCCAAAATGCTTCCAGGTAATGAAACGTCCACCAACCAATACCGCGCTCAAATATCGCGCTGCTCAGGGATAAAACCTACTCCTCGTTGTGTTCCATCTGAAATGCCAGTCCCTCCGAATCTTCTGCTAAAATAGTCTGTGCCATGTTCCTGGCTATGTGTAGTCTCGCCTCTTTCTTGCTCCCCTGCCGGCTAAGATTTTTCCCACCAGGATTTCCTTAGAACCTCCCTTGTTCTCCGCTCCTAAGACCTTGAACTTCCTTGATGATCTCCCGGAACCCTTCTTCAAGTGAGTTCATCCGCGCTAGCACAAGTTTGCTGATACGATCTTGATCTTCCTGTTCTTCTTGCTTTTGAGCGGCCCGTCGCGCCTTCATACCTGCTTTCGCATATTCCAATTGAGTGGCGAAACTAGCAGGAACGACCCCTGTATTCATGAAGCCGCCCTCGATAGCCTTGTTATCGCCAATGTCGGAACCGAGTTCGAAAGCTGTAAGCGATGAACGACGGTGACCTCGACCGTGCTTAGGTAATGACAACATCCCCGCTAGGTCAGGGACAGAATGAAAAGCGGTACGAGGAGGCATGATCGGTCGCGGTATGGCCTTTCCGATATGCTTTGGGGTATGTCGCCCGCTCGAGGTGGAAAGCCTGTTCGGGGTTGCTACACCAGTAGCTCTACCAGATTTGAAGGGCATTTTCCGCCGTGTAGAAGAGCTACTAGAAGAAGTTCGTTGCGCGGGAGGGTCATACACAACAGTGGTTGTGGAAGGCATGCGACTGTGGTGCCGGATCTGTCTTGGTGGCGTTCCTTTCTTACTGTTGAGTGCTGAAGTTTGAGGGGATGAAGATTGTACATAATTAGATGGAGTGACGGGTGAGAAGAATCGAGTGACTCGAGTGGGCGTCGCTGGGCGTTCCGGTAAATCGCTTCCGCCATCTTGTCGCAAAGTGGCTCTCCTATCTATTCCAGGGCGGCTACTGCTTCTGGGGTCAAGCGTGATGAGATCCTCTTCCTCATTCGTAACCAACTCGTCATCACCATCTGCTTCTGTCTCCATCACGTCAGCTACGGGAGCTCTCGGAACGCCAGAAGTCTGCCTGCCAGGAAGGAGAAATGATCGACTTGAGCCTCGTGCTAGGAATTCTTCAGGATCCGAGACAACGGATATTGTTGCTGCTTCTGTGAGATCTCTCGTGCTCTCACCCTGCCTTCTCCGCATAGCCAACTGTGAGCGACGATGCACGACATCACGTGCTTCTAGCCTATCTAGAATGCGTTGATCTTGTTCCATAGGAGGATGGACAGTGCCGTTAGGATCCATGCTCGACATCCAGTGGCTTACTACATTACTGTTATTGCGCGGCTTTTGGCTCCTCTGGGTCTCTCGTATTGTTTCATCTTTGAATGGCCTCCGAAAGACCTCCTCGAGAGCTTTATCTTTGTGAAAGGTGGCCACTGATGCTTCACGAACTCGACCTTGTCTTGGACTAAAAATATGCAAACCTCCTGTTGCGCTGTCAAAAGTCTTGTTGCTCGGCTTTGAGCGACCTCGATCCTGGACTAGATCCATGCCTTCAAACAGCGTTCCCCGTAATATTGTACGTTCATAGGCATATATGACGAACAGAATGGGGAAATGTGTAGCCTTTATGACTGTCCGATTGATCCGAACATATTGCCGAAAGGGAAGTAGGTATCTCAAAGGGGTGAGTAACCACGCTATCACGTTAGTTGGCGCAACGTATGAAAATAACGCGTCAGACTTGACCATTGAAATGGTGTTGACGGCTAGTAGAAATTGATGCCTAGATTGGAGAGGACAAATGTTAAGGTGGATCCTTTCAACGACGTGCAAGAGGTATGATACGTAACTTACTCTTCATTGGCGTTCTGAACAATTGCCATGAACGAGTTGGTAAGTACCGTGATTAGAATTGTAATAATCAAGAAATGACACAATATCAAGAATCTGAAGATGTTGTCAGTGCTGATCCTTCACACCGCGGAAAATGAGTTGTTATGTTGAGGCGACGTAGACTGACATGGTCATGATGGTCTTGCCTAACATATTGTACGTTGGCCATATTTCCCATGCAGCTGTAAGTACCCATTAGTCATGCAACTGACGAGGCTGCGAACGTAGTCTCACCTGGCGTGAACCCCATCAAAATCTGAAACAAGATATACGCAACAGACGGTGCGTCGTAACCGTCTCCCGTGCCAAAGGATAGTGTAAAAGCAACGAAGAAACCGCTACAGCTTATAATGATCAAAATGAAAACTGCTACTAGGTTCATAGCCATCATTCGAAAGGCGATCAGTAGCTGCGAGAAATAACGGTAGTGATCGAGGACAGAAAAAAGTCGAGGGAACAGCAGCACCCCGTTAGCAGCAAGAAAGTCGTACCCTAGATCGGCGATCTCGTTCTTTCGACCATCAGGCATGATAATACCGTACAGTCGCAAGCAGTAATAGCAGACTAACAAGAACAGGATACCTAAGTCAAAGGTGTTCCAGAAGCTCATGATGTATAGGCTAAAGCCTTGCTCATTGAAGCCGACAACCTCGTCAAGTAGGAAACCCGCACTCCAGATCCAAAATAGAACCTCAAGAGCCGATATTGAAAGAGAGCGCTCGATGAGTACAGCCAAGTAAAGACCTAAAAGAATCGCGAATGAGCAGGTAGACAAAAATTGCCGGTACCTTGGGACTCGTAGGCGAGACAGTTTAAATAATGACGCTTGCCGAGGATCGTAAAGTGTCACGGATCGTCGCACTGCAAATGCTGTGGGTGGACGGTGTTCTCTTTGCTTAGCGGGCTGCAAGTGATCCTCAGATGCTTGAAGAGTCGGGGCGCCTGACCTGAACTTTCCATAGCCTCTGTTCTGATTAGGAGTCACCTTGACTGGTGCTCTATGAAGAGTGTCCGCAGAATGGTGGAAGACAATATTGCCTGCCCAGATTGCCTCAAGTTGTTGGACTACGAGTGGATGGGCAAGGAAACGTTTAGCTTGTGCACGGATAGCAACTTCCAGCGTAGAAATTCGAGCAGCTCGCGGATGAGTCTTAGCCTTTTGCGATTGATCCCAGTTTGGGCCGGGCGTCATGGGGCCATCATCTGAAGCCATTCCTTGCAAAGGGTAGAAATCGTATGATAGAGCATCTATCAAGATATCTTCAGCATTGCAGAAGGGGCCGTCAAGCTTTCTGAGCCTGCTTACCAATCTGTTGCTGTTAGCTTGAATCAGAAAACGTTGAACCGCAACTTACGAGCTCTCGATCCGTGAACTCTCGAAGCAACCTGATAGCAAGAAGCTCGGTGACCAAAGCTCTGGTTTTACTGACTCCACTATTGCCAGGATTGGTTTGTACTTCCTTCGAGAATTGCAGACAATTTGACATCAGGGCATACAAAGTAGCTTTGGAAAAATGCGAAGTCCGGACCTGTTGCTGAATTGGTTTGATAAGGAATTGGGAAATCTGCGGCGATCGAAGCTGGTCCCAGGAGAGTGTAGTCTCACAACGGATAACGATCAAAAGACGAAGCGTGTGCGTAACATTATAGACTGGCAAGGCATCTATGCGGTAGAAATTAGGTACAGCTCGAGACGGACGTCAACCATGGCTTGCAGACCCAAATGTTCGGCAGAGAAGATAGGGAGCAAAGGTGATTGTTCTCCTGGGCTATCCACATCGTCACTTTCATCGCTATCTTGGCCGTCCTCTTCGTCATCGCTCGGCTCTTTTGTTCGTCTTGTGGAGCCGGGTGAAAAGCCTTCCATGAAGCGGGCAGCAGGACGCCGTCGTTGCTCCAAAGTGGCTCGACGAGCGGCGATTGGGGAGGCCCCAAAAGGATAGCTAGGTGAAGAGGACGATGGCTCACGTTGAGGCTCCTTTACTCCTGTCGGAAACATTATACTCTTCATGATTGCAGAGACGCCTCTCGATGCTGGTCGGGCTAGTCGAATCCACAAAGTAGTGGGAGAGTCATAGCATCTCAATCTCAGGCTACGTCGCTATTGCGAGTTGTATTCTCATCGCGGCTTTGCATTAAGATCCGAATGCGGAGCTCCCTGCCAGCGGCCTCAGCGCATTCCTCATGTAATCGTCATTGTTCGTAGCTTCCGTCACGTGGCAGTCAACAAACGCGTGCGGACTGGACCCCTAGAAGACTCGCTCCGCTAAGCGGCGAACGGCTCAACTCAATCCCAGAGCTGCGGAGCCGACATACGTATTTCTGATCATGTACGCGCAGCTTGTAGACTGAACCATTGGGAGATCCCATTTCTTCACCTGTGGACCTCGGCTTTCCTTTCTCATGACGACTGGATTGCAGCATAGGATCGACTCTACAGAAAATGCTGCTTATCCTCCCCCAAATATATCATCTCACTGCCTCTTAGACCACGGTAAACACTGTCTTTGCTAAATCAAGCGTATGGTGCAGTGCAAGATGAGTCTAACAATGTCTCACACTCTCCCTCTTCTTCCTTTACCTCAAGGATCCGTCCTGCTACCTGGCATCACCCTTCGTATACCTGTATCTGGTCGCTCGGATATACCTGCACTCCTATCCGCCATATCTTCGAAAGACAAGCGCCCCAAACAGGATGCTCGGAACAGAACAGTTGGCTGCGTGCCCATCACTTCTCCGCTCTTGCGGGCTGATGGCTTCCCTTTGCCTGAGAATGATCTCGACGAGACTCGGGCTTCACAGATAGGAGACGTTGCAAATCCCAGTCAAATCGATCATCGGAGGTTGTTCATGTATGGAACAGTTGCTAAGATAATGGGGGTTCAAGGGAAAGGAGCCGACGATTTGGCATTGATTGTGGAGGGCGCCAGACGTTTTAGGATTGACAGATTTGTTCAAATGAGGCCATACTTTGCGGCTGAAATTGCATACATCGACGAGGAGCATGGTAAGCATAGGTTTCAGCGATTTTGGGGATCATATCTAATGGAGCTGGCGTACAAGAAACGAAGGAAATCGAGGGAGACGGCCAACAGACAAACGCCATGGCCTTTGATAAGCTGAAAGATTTATCTCTAGAGCTGCTTGGTCTTATTAGAATGACAACCTTGTTTCCCGGATCTCCAACAGCGTTGTCGCCTTTCCTGACGCGCAGGCTAGAGCTCTTCGTGATAAGGAAAGAAATACATGATGCAGGAGTCCTCGCGGATTTCATGGCAAACGTTGTTGATGCATCTCTCGAGGACAGGTTACGTGTGCTGGCTTCGATAGTTGTGCGCGAAAGAATGGAATTGATGATAGAGCTACTGACAAGTCAAGTTGAGAGCATGAAGGCAAACAACAAGATCATAATCACAACTACCAAGCTGTCGCCGAGAAATAGTGAACCCAATGATACCAACCAGAGAGACAAGGAGGCTCTTTTACGGAAGTTCTTCAGTGGTCTTGGTGGCTTCAATCCAGCCAGTCTGGCATCGCCAGGACCCGGGGATGCAGGAGCCGGAGACGAACCCAACGAAGTGGAAGAGTTGAAGACAAAGATTGAGAAGGCCAAATTGAGCCCGGAAGCTCTCAAAGTCGCAGAGCGAGAGCTCAAACGGCTCAAGAAAATGAATCCTGCACAAGCAGAATACGGAGTCTGCCGAACGTACATAGAGACGCTGTCTGAGATACCGTGGACACTTGGCACACGTGATAAGCTAGGTCCCGATACGTTGGCGATAGCACGCAAGCAGCTTGATGACGATCATTACGGGTTGCAGAAGATCAAAAAGCGGTTGCTAGAATACTTGGCCGTGCTTCGGCTCAAACAAGCTGTCAATGACGAAATTGATGCTCAACTGGGGAAAGCAAAAGCCGAAAGCTTGCCGACTGAAAGCAATGGTGATATCTCAAGCGTTCAGGTTGACCAGTATCCAGCTGATGTTCAAATTCTCCTCTCGAGGCGTCGTGTGGACAAATCTCCCATTCTTCTTCTTGTTGGTCCACCCGGCACTGGTAAAACAAGTCTCGCAAAGTCAATTGCTACTGCTTTGGGCCGGAAATTTCACCGCATATCTCTTGGAGGTGTCCGCGATGAGGCAGAGATTCGGGGACACAGAAGGACTTATGTCGCTGCAATGCCAGGTATGATTGTAAGTGGGTTGAGGAAGGTTGGAGTCAACAACCCAGTATTTCTACTTGACGAGATCGACAAAATCGGTGGTGGTAGCTTTCACGGCGACCCATCAGCGGCAATGCTTGAGGTACTCGATCCGGAGCAAAACCATACTTTCAATGATCATTATGTCAACGTCCCTCTTGACCTTAGTAAAGTCCTCTTCATCGCCACCGCAAACACTCTCGACACGATCCCTGCACCTCTGCTCGATCGAATGGAGACTATATCTTTGAGTGGCTACACTACCATAGAGAAACGTCACATTGCCAAACAACATCTCATTCCAAGGCAGATCATTTTGAACGGCCTTAATTCTGAACAGGTCCACCTTCCCGATGATGTTGTCGATGCGATCATAACCCAATACACGAGAGAATCAGGTGTCCGAAATCTTGAAAGGGAATTAGGATCTGTGTGTCGCTACAAAGCAGTCGAATTCTCTGATGCTAAAGATACATCTTCATTTCAAAACTACGATCCAACCGTTTCAACTCTCGACCTAGAGGAAATTCTTGGCATAGAGCGCTTCGACGATGAGATAGCGGAGAAAAGATCTGTGCCAGGGATTGTAACAGGTCTTGTCGCATACAGCACCGGCGGCCAAGGTAGTATCCTCTTTATTGAGGTTGCTGACATGCCAGGTTCAGGGCGTGTGCAATTGACTGGGAAGCTTGGGGAGGTGCTCAAAGAGAGCGTTGAGGTTGCGTTGACGTGGGTGAAGGCACATGCACTTCAGCTTGGTCTGACGGATGACGCATCTGAGGATATCATGCACAATCGTAGCATACACGTGCACTGTCCAAGTGGTGGTATCCCTAAGGATGGACCGTCGGCTGGACTGAGCCACGCAATCGCTCTGATATCTCTGTTTAGCGGCAGGAGCGTCCCTCCTGAGATCGCTATGACTGGGGAGATTAGCCTTCGAGGGAGAGTCATGCCAGTGGGGGGTATCAAGGAAAAGCTCATTGGGGCAATGCGCGCTGGGGTCAAGACGGTGCTCCTTCCCAACCTTAATCGGAAGGATTTGAAGGACATACCGCAGGAAGTCAAGGATGGCTTGGAGATCATACATGTGGAACGTATATGGGAGGCCATGAGGCTTATCTGGCCAGACGCGCACTGGCCTGGAGAGCAGCCTATTCCAGCAATTGAGAGCAGGCTTTGAAGAGACAGATCATTGGTGAGAGCAAGCTCATATAGAGTGGGTTTTATAATATTGATTTGTTGATTAGTTGTGCAGCAAGCTATCCAAGAACACGAGGTAGGAACAGAGGCATATGCCAAGCCGTGTAAGGCTGAGCTAGGCCTAATTGGGCGATCCGAGCTCTTGGAGGCCGTGCTAACAATTGACCAATTATTATTCTAGGCTATCATTTGTGCGAGTTTATGAGCGACTGAGCCCTGGCTATCTCATCAAATCGTGCCTCAGGACATTCCTGTACCACCAGCACCTCACCGATAGGCCCTTGCTGGATACCTTCAGATGACGGCTAATAAATGATCTTGAACCTGTTCACTAGTCCCCGGATCCGGTACCTTTTTAGGCAAGATTAGAGAATCTTGAGGAGTGGGGGCGGGGTGAATGTTTCCGCCTAACAGTCATCGTAGGCTCTCATTAGTTCCGACAAGCGTTGGGAATATGATTGATCAGTCTCTAAGCGAAGCTTTGTGGGACTGGTCTTCAACATTGGGACCCTCTTACTCTTTCCTTACCTTACGCACTTGGGAATCGCCATGAGTCACATTGGAAAATGACGTGCTTCCCTATGAATGGACGACCGACTTATCAGCCTGACAGTCTCTTCTAAGCATACGAATGGCGTCAATCAGTGCAAATGATGGACGAAGGTTTACTTTTCAAAGAAAGTCTTCCTCTTACCTGCAAGCCGTATCTTGAAGACCTTCCGAGCCAAATCTGTTATGGCTGCGGGGGACAATCAAGACTTACGTGGACCATCTGCAGTGGATCACGTTGCAGAAGAAATATCGAAGTTAGGGCCGGAGCATCCTCCAACAGCGGAGGCCAGTACCAATGTCTCAATGGTGAGATCCTACAGGAAACCGGTCGTCTCAGCGGTAGCTCCGTTAGGCCCTGGAATGCCAGAAACCACGCGACCATCCACCGAGCTGGACAGAAAAGAAGCAATGCACGAGGAAAGAGCGCTTCTACTGGACAACAACATTACACCCCCAAATGTCGGGAACGCCTATCAACAAGTTTGGGCATTTTGAAAAGCATCAAGAACGTCGTCGGCTTCAAGGGAGACATAGATTCACTGCCAGACGAAGAGGCGCCTGTCCAAAGTCACGACTTGCCAACTGAGGGGGCCCCGTTGCTAACTCCGTCATCCGGAGGGAAGTCTTCGCAGCAGGAACTTCATCAGAAGTGGGAAGACGCTGTCCTAGAAGGCAGGATCCTGACGACATGGCAGCTGGAAACCAAAACATTGAGCAAATCCTCAGCCCCTTTAGTCCTGGCCTTCTTTCTTGAATACTCCTTGACTGTGGCAAGCATATTCACCGTGGGCCATATCGGAAAGGTTGAGCTTGGAGCCGTCGCTTTGGCAAGTATGACTGCCAATATCACTGGTTTTGGTATTTACAACGGCCTTGCTACTGCGCTGGATACACTCTGCCCGCAGGCCTGGGGATCTGGAAGGAAAAAGCTTGTGGGCTTACAGACTCAAAGGATGGTATTCTTCCTTTGGACCATTACCATTCCTATTGGTGTCGTATGGATGTGCGCCGATTTGATTCTCATGAGGATAGTGCCGGATAGAGATGTTGCAGTATTGGCAGGTAGATATCTGAAGATCCTGATTCTCGGCGCTCCAGGTTACAGCTTTTTTGAGAGCACCAAACGATATTTACAAGCTCAAGGACTCTTCTCTGCACCTTTCTATATCCTGCTTGTCTGTGCACCTCTGAACGCTTTCATGCACTGGCTATTTGTATGGGTACGCTATTGACATCCTATATGCATTCTTATCTGCCATTTTGCCATTCTGGAAATGGTCAAACCCTCCGAACGTATTTAGGATGCATCTAATACGGCTTTGCAGAAATTCAATTGGGGCTTCAATGGAGCTCCGATCGCAGTGGTGATCACGGACATCCTACTAGCTACAAGTACCCTTGCCTACATTGTATTTCGTGTGGGGCTTGAGTGCTGGCCCGGATTTTCAAAGCGAGGTACTTCAATCCACGTCCATGATCGCTTCGAAATTGCACTTTGGCTCACCTTGTATAGCGTTCCAAAATTGGAGGCCCATGATTCAGCTCGCCATCCCTGGATTTCTCATGGTGGAAGCAGAAATTGCTGCCTTCGAATTACTAAGTCTATTCTCGTCGTTCCTGGGGACTAGCTATTTGGCTGCAGAAAGCGTGCTCTTTACTCTCGGAGCATTGACATTTCAGACTCCGTTCTCGGTATCAGTTTCCGCGTCCAATCGAATCGCCAGCTTGATCGGTGCCAGCCTTCCTGACGCTGCGAAGACCTCAGCGAGAGTGACAGGCGTCATGGCAGTCATAGTTGGCGTTACCAATGCAATGTTGATGATAAGCCTGCGTGATATTCTTCCTAGCCTCTTCACCAATGATGCTGAGGTCATAACATTGATCGCCCAGCTGATACCCGTGATGGCAGCTTTTCAGCTGTTCGATGCAGTGGCATGTTGTTGTAACGGCATATTACGTGGTCTGGGGAGACAAAAGGTTGGAGGCTACGTACAAGTCACCGCGTACTATGCTGTGGCTATACCCATCAGTCTGAGCACAGCTTTCGGTCTGGATTGGCGATTGTACGGACTCTGGGCGGGTGTCTCCGTTGCCCTCTTCTTGGTTAGCTGTGTGGAAATCATTTTCCTCTACAGAACAGACTGGGAGAAAAGCGTGGAGGATGCAAAGTCTAGGAATGAAAACGGTTGAATTGTATGAGCCACAAGAAGTGTATGAACCTCAAAGTATAGCGACATAGACCACAGACGTCCTAGTACCGGATCTGATATCTTTCGTTAATTTCGCATGTCTTCTTCGCCATTTGATCGTGCCATCGTAAGATCATATCAATACTGCATTACGTAGTAGCGTCACACTCGAGACACATCAAATTTCTATTCCTTTCGGTACTTGAGAGCTTGATATCAAGTCTTAGAGGCCTTGGTCTCACAACCTGCGCTCTTGCATTAGCCCATCAAGTAGCAAGACCCGTACCATCTTCTCATGGACATCTCATCTCACTTTTCTCGGCATCTTTTGTGCGAAAGATTGCCGTAGAAATTCCTAGATTCCTCCACCACTTCGGCCTGGGGAAACGCTAAAGCCTTTTCCGAGGGTCCCATCACTCTTGTCGCCATTTCCTTCGCCTTCTTGTGACCCAGATCCAGAAGCTTTCTGCGCCCGCTTAGCGAAGGCGGTCCTCGATTTCAGACCTAGATAGAAAGCGCCACTGCCACAGATTGCCAGGACCGAGAGGCTTGAGGGCCGGGTAAGAGCTGATGTGAGGTGTGACGACATGAAGCCGATTGCTGGAAGAGAATGAGTAGTCAATTGCTCAATTGCGGGGCCATTGCAACAGCAAGGGCCTTGTATTAGAAGACTCTTGTTGAGGCTAAGACTCGAATCAAAGACTCGAGGCGGTCGGTATGTAAAGTGTTCCTCAATATGCTCAATATGGAGGCTCGAGGCTCCCAGCACAGACCACGCTTTTCCTATTAGAGCTAAAGATCACGTGTCTCAATGCACCCTTTTAAAGTCGACGCAATTTAGAACGCTCGACATTGTTCGTCTATGATCGTAAGAGCTACTTGATGGTAGTTCTGAGAATCCCGTTTATCATTTGTCTTGTCTGACACGTCCCATTTTTCTCGGGTCAGGCGCGCCGCGTCATTTCTCCAGATCATCACCTTCTTCTTTTCCTTTTCCTCTTCCTTTTCTTTTTTCCGACACGTCAGCCTTTCATTGACAATCTGTTTAATCTCGATTCGGTGTGAAAATACACGGTGTCTCTTTCAGGACTCGCCCCGCTCGTCAATCGTGAAGCTAAAGTAGCAAACAGCTGTTGCATTTGCGACTCACCGCATTGCGCACCAGGCAGCCATCCCAGCCGGCTATACGTAAGGCTGAGCTGAAGGCCATCACTCCCACCACTCCACTCCCCATGTTATCTTTCCCTCAGGTCCCTCTTTAGTCTCTCGTAGTGACTTGTCGCTTTTTGCCTCTCCATATGACCGTCCACGGTTCCTGAGGCCAGGACCTAGTGCCCCGACACGCAAATATTCCATTGGGAGGCTTGACACTTGGCAATTGACTCATCTTCAACGTTCCTCACCTTTTATCCTTCCTTCACCCTTCACAACGTAAATTCTTTCATATCTTGTTCATCTCATAATCAGAATACGCCACTCGGTCTTCTCATTTTGTCAATGGCTATTAGCACACACTGGTAAGGACTACCCGTAGTAGACTTCAAACCAGAGCACATGCTCAACAAAGCCTCGTACCAACGACATCCCCGCTTCACACGACCTAGGCGCATTTCCGATAGTCGTCTACTTCAAAGCGCATAAGTCACATGAGTCTCACATTGTGGAGGACGTTATGGCATCCTTCGACGATCTACCACTACAGAGAGCGCTGCAGCATTCCTTTGCCGATAAGCCAATACATACAACAGTTCAGCAAACTACGGATGAATCCGTCGTGATGGGGGGCAAAGAAACGACTACCTCAGACACACTCATACCACCAGTAAGTTCGGGAGCGCAAGGAAACCAGCCGTCAAGTCCACCTCAGCGCTATACGATTGACGATTGCATAAACGACATGAAACACCGCCACACGTTGACTTTGCCTGATATCAATGACGCCGAAGGTGATACCTGGGTGTTCATCGACCCTCCCTCAAGGCAGCCCGAACAAACTGAAGCAGACCTCGAGCGCTACGCGATCCATCTTGCTAAACCTTTTCTGATGAAGAGCGAGAAACTCATCCACGCATCGCCAATGTTCAAGGAAATGCTAGGATCTACCAGGCAGTTTCGTACTATCCGGCGGCGTGGGCTCGTCAACAAGCTGCCCAATTTTGTGAAGTTCGTCTTAGATCTCACCCCACCAGCTGAAGGTGAAGACGCCGTTTATCTCACGGCTAGCTTATGTTGTTCTGAAGGCATCAGGTTCTGGTACCAAGCTTCAGAGATTTGGAATGTCTCAGATTCAATGGTAGGCGGTAAAGACGAATATTCTGCTACTCGAGCCATCGAATCTCCCTCTAGTGGTTCTCCACTTGAGTACTCACCCATTCGGCATCGATCCGCAATAGAACGTGTGCTGGCAGCTATTCAAGGGGTAAATTACCATTTAGACTCTGCCGTCAAAGTCTGGACGACCATCATTGTTGCCGACTACTTTGGAATCACAAGTCGTACGTGCACGGACCTCACAGACTCGATTGTAACTTGGTTGCGTGCTGAACCGAATTCACATTTCATTGAAGTAAATCCTGAGGCAACTTTGCGCATCGCCACCGCGATACAAAACGAAGATCTTGCGCGCGATGCTTTCGCCATTCTAGTAGGGGAAGAGGCCCTAGATTCTATAGCTAGACGGCATGAAAGACAACACACTACATTTGGCCGCAGGAAAGATGAGTTGCCAGAGATGTGGCTTCAACCTATTGAATATGCTAGCAAGTCTTTGGTTGAACGGACTGCACACGACTTTGAAAAATTACGACTGCAAGAAAATTCGGTTTGGTTCGATGACCTCCCTTCAATCAAACGTCTCAATAACTTTGCCGATCCTGAGCTTCAGAGACTTGCGATTGAACTCAAAGATAGGCTCAAGGAACGAGTGACAATGCAAATTGATGACGGCCTGACTGCGCCACTTACAGCTGCAGAGACAGGATTTGTGCCCAGGAAGGGCGTGCACATACTACCTCGCCAGACATCATTGAAAGTTGTGAGCGGCCTTAGACATCAGGAACGTATCCTTTCTCGTGACTTCTGGAACAGGCTACGGGATGAGACAAGAATAACGTCAACGGGCTATGTTACTCCCTACAGGCCTTACCTTCAAGGGGCAGGTGCTAATGAAAGAGCGGCGAGCGATGCCGAATCTCGGAGGATGTTGATGAGCATGGTGAAGGTAATCGTGAGAAATGGGCAAGACCATCTTGAATATCTGCACAGGCTTCATTCTTTTGTGCAAGGCGATGGAGCAACGACCACGAGTGGCAGCGATGAGAGAAATGCGGACGATGACAAAGACATGATGGATGAAATGGTCGAATTATACCCATTGCTTGGAAACGACCTTCCAAACAGAGACACAAAGCCAAACTTCAGGGGAATTGAAGAAGCGGAAAGGCCATCACATCTCGAGGTCCCTTGGATCAAGACACTCGAATATGGATCTCATCCACTAGAGTCGCCTGTTGCAATTTCGAACCTCAAAATACAAACCCCAGCATGGGACATTGACGAACGCAAAGACCTGAAAGACTTGAACGGAGAATTCCGAAGTCCAACATTTTTCGACCTCGAAACCTTTGCATTCGAGGTTTCATTGCACTTGATTTCTGTCGCTGAAGGAAAATTAGCCCTGGCTGATATTACGACTCGTCGTTTCCCGTACCTCCCTGAATTAATCGGCACGCTCACAAGCCTGAGTGATAGTGAATGGAGATACTTGCCCATGTGGGCTGGTGGCTTTGACGATGGCACTGGTGCGGTCTTCTCAGACGATCCCACGGAAGCAATTCCCGATGCGGCATTCTCTACTCCCGGACCATCTGTGCATACAGGAGATAGTACTTACTCAGCAAGTAGCTTTGGTGACTTCGACATATTGAGTGAGGCAGGCTCTAGCAAGTCATTCAACACTTCTACGGCTGTAGGTGACGGACACACAGATCAACTATTCAGACACAAGACGTATGCTGTCAGCAGTATGTCATCTGGTACTGACAACAATTCAATTGTCGACATAGCAGAAGAAGATGAGGAGACGAAGGCCATACGTGAGGTCAAGGCGATGGAAGCAATGGAGGCCCTCGAAGCAGAATCAAGAGAAACGGAACATCGGCAGCATGCAGAAACGACAAGGGAAATAAGCTACGACGATATGTTTTTCTGCGAAGGGGATGATCAGGAGCTGGAGGACGATTCTGATAGCGATACTACTGAGCGAGGGGATGATTTCGACGACCTGGGTGACTATTCCAATACTTTCGATCTAGCGCTTCGGACGATGAAAACCTAAGTGGGCAACCCGGATGAAGGCAGGAAGGGTAGTGGAGCGGAAGGATATCAGCGATGAAATGGTGACGAGGGCCAAACTTTTCATTTTGCTTCTTAATGCTTCATCATACGTTCAAGTACGGCTTTCAACCTCGTCCTCGACCTTTTTTATGCCGGCCCGCCGTTTTCTCCCTTCTCTTTTCCTTATCCTTCCTCAGCTTCCGCACCGCGTCGGTACCCCTTGTCTCCCCTTCATCACCACCTTTTCGACCTCCTATATTAATTGCTGTCCCTGCCCTACCAGCTTCCTTCGCTTTCTCCACTTTCTTCCGCTTCTTGTAAAAGTCATCACGATATTTGTCCGCCTCCATAGGCGCCCTCTCACTCCTATGCCTGAAGCTCTTTCCGGACCCAAAATTCCCCCTACGCACGCCAGCTAGACGCTTTGGAAACGCAGTTTCTGCCTCCCCAACTCTTGGCATCTTAGCGACTTTATTCGCCTTCTTCCATGCCTCAAACCTCCCACTGCGGAAACTGGCGGCAATCTTCTGCCCAGACTCTGACCGAATAAACCTCTTACTTTCCCGATCCCCTTTCCTATCATTACCGACGTCCACGTATTTTTTAGCTTTCTTGTCCCAGCGTTTCTGACGGCTCGGCTCGCCAATGCCGCGGCCTTCGTCTGTTACAAGATCCATTGTTGCGCCTTGGGCGGCGATGAGGAAATTGTTAACGTCACCGGTGGAAGTCGGTTGTTGGACAGCATAGGCGCGGTCTTCGGCCAGATTCGTGCTTGTGGGGGTATAGGCCATGAAGAAATCAGATTGGGGATCGGAATTTGTGGACTTGGAGTGTCGGCTGGTGTATGTATTCGAGATGGTGACTTGGAGGTCGTCCTCAGACGCGGAGCCGGTATCTACATCGATGACTGAATCTGGAGACTGCTCTGCTGCATCAATGTCTCTAGACAGCTGTACAGAAGATGAGCGCTTCTCATTGTCTGACAGTGCTTCAGGATCCACTGAGGGTATGGAGTCTTGCTTCCTACTTTGGTGCGTACCAACTGTCGCACGTCTTCTGCGCATGATCTGCGCAGCTGCGTCCTTTTGGCCTTTTCTCCCAATTTCGAACACTGTTTCCGTCGGCCGGAACCCACTCACACGAGCAATCATTTCTGCCCGTTCCGCTTCTCCGTCGTCAGTATGGTCAAAGAACAGAGGATGTAACGCGCTCCAAGGTTTGGACGACGCCATCGTCTTCGCCCTGCGAGCACTTTCGGCTGATGCGGCAGGTCTCGACCGAAGATAAAGCTTTTCACCCCTAAGGGCAACAGACCTCAAAGCCCGTAAATCAGACTGTTCATCGAGCAATTTCGTCACCCATTCGCAATTGCTTTCAAGCTTGTGTTTCGCAAGACTTCCAATGACCACATCATCTGAATAGCTTGGCACCGTCCTGTTCTCCGTCCCCAGGACAAGGCGTTTTCCGAGAAAGAGCTGTAGATCCAACAAGTATGGAGCCTCGGACGTCTGGATGAGACTGAAGCTCCAGCCTTTTTGTCCTGCGCGAGCAGTGCGGCCAACTCGGTGCACGAAAATCTTCGATTGGGCAGGAAAGTCGTAATTCACTACATTAGCAAGGACTGGTATGTCTATGCCCCGGGCTGCTACGTCCGTTACGACTAGGATGTCTGTCGTGCCTGTGCGAAAGTCTTGAACCTGCATCTTTCGTGCAGTCTGATCTAATGATCCGTAGGCAATGGAGACAGCGAAGCCGGACTCGCGTAAAAGCGCTGCTACATACTCAACGTGATGCTTTGTTGCGGTAAAGATGATCGTTGAATGCTCACTAGGAGCTTCGTGCTGATCCGTAGCTTCTGATTTGCCTCGTTTCCTCTTCTTAGTATTCTTGGACGGTTTAATGTCCTCAATGCGGACATCGTTTGGAGCTCCAGTAGGCATTTTGATGACATCGTGCAAGATATGAAGCAATGCGCCCTCCTTATCAGCACTTTTCATGGTGAAAAACGCACTCTGCAAATCCGATGATATCTTACTTTCTGCGTCCAAGCGGATCAGAGTCGGCTCTTGCAGTCCAGCCCTAGCAAATTCCACGAGCGACTTAGGTAGCGTTGCGGAGAACAATAATGTTTGTCTTGACTGTGGTAAAGCATGCAAAATCTCGATCAATTGTGTAGCAAAGCCCATTTCGAAAAGCCGATCGGCTTCGTCGAAAACCACATATCGTACAGACGAAAGATCAAGACCCATCTCTACCTTCAGGTGTAAGAATCTACCGGGTGTGGCGATGACAACATCAGGATTTGACGACATGGACCCAAATTGCTCTTCTAACGAGTCTCCCCCGACAAGTAGAATGCTTTTCAGATCGGTACCTCCGCCAAGCGCTTTTACCACTTTCAGTGTCTGAAGAGCCAGCTCTCTTGAAGGTGACAGCACCAAAGCCCGAGCACCTACCTTTGCACTATGACTTTTCAGCTTTTCGATCATAGGAACCACAAAAGCGGCTGTCTTGCCGGACCCTGTCCGTGCCATACCAACGACATCTCTCCCATCAAGTATAATTGGAATAGTCTTGCGCTGAATGGGAGTTGGCACGGAAAATCCTTTCTTAGAAATGGCTTTGAGGAGATTCGCACTCAGGCCCATTGCTTGAAAACCTCCTCCTTTCTTGACGGTCTTCCCTTTCAAATGTGAACTCTTTCGATTTGCAGCTGCAAGAGACCCAGCAATGAAGTCAGCGTCATCTGACTCGCTTCCTTCAAGGTCAAATGTGCCATTTTCGACCTGTTGTTTCCCACTGGATTTCAAGTCTACTGCATTTTTCGAGTCTTTCGGGACGTCATAATGGGACAGAGAGGCCGTGATATCTAATCCATTCTCCGAACCCACTGGCGAGAGGGGCCGCCGACCCATGTTGTTGCCGCCTGTCAATCACGAAATGATTGCGTTCTAAATTCAAAGCCTCAAGATTTTGCCGATTCGGACTTCAACCGGAATTAAGGCTAATTTTAGCGTGCATCATCTACACGACTACCGACGCGTAGTAAATATTAGCATTAAATCACTGCAGCCTGAGAGATGAAGTTTTCAGCCTCTTTGATCTCTCGATGTACATGACGGGGCAAGAAATTCAATGCGACAAAACTGTACGGAATTTACGCCAGCTAGAGAGAAGGAGTTCACTACTTCGCATCAAGGCCCAACAGACTTGTAACTCGCAACGATGAGTAAGTCTTTCTTCCATCTTTGACAACCTGAAACATTGAAGTCGTCAGATGTCGGGTATGGTGGAGGGTACTCCACCACATCATATGGTGCTCAGGGCGCGGCAGATGGTGGGGGATTTGTAGGGGGTTCCCAAGGCGGGAGTCAAGGGGCAGGCAGGGTCACTTCTAGCATTGCACCATCGAGCTCATATGTTGATGGCAAGATAGGGCACTCATGGAAAGGACACCCTTCGCCCAGTGACTATAAAACAAATTATAGATGCCGATCAACCACACACAGACGCAGAGTTCAAGATTGATGACGTCGAAATTGCACAGGCAGGAGCACATCTTCACCCTCACCCCAAAATTGAAGGCTGATGAGCGGCTATGCAGATCGCCTTTGTTGGTCAGATTCGTAACATCTCTACGCAAACCACCAATATTACATACAAGCTTGATGATGGCACAGGGACGATCGAAGTTAAACAGTGGGTGGACGCTGACACACAAAATAATATGGACATCGATGGGGGAAAAGTGCAATCGGACTCATCAAAACCGAAGCTTACAGAGAACGAGTGGGCCAAGGTATGGGGAAAGCTGAAGCAGTTCAACAACAGGCGACATGTGGGAGCTCATGTCATCCGGCCGGTCACTGACAAAATGGATTTAACGTATCATTTGCTTGAGGCAACCTATGTACATCTCTATTTCTCTCGTGGGCCATTGGATCAAGTCAAGCAAGAGCCAGGCAGTGGCGTCAACGGGGCCAGCAATTACGGAGCGGGAGGCGACATGGGTGGCCAACAGCTCCCAAGTATGACACCAAATGCGCGGAGAGTCTTCCAAGCTCTGAAGACGAGCCCACAGAATAACGAGGGGTTACATGTACAAAATGTGGCCGCTATCTGTTCCATGAATGTCGCAGACGTAATGAAGGCTGGAGAGGAATTGCTAAGCAACAGTCTGATCTTCACGACAGTAGACGACAGTACATGGGCTATACTTGAGTTTTGAGGTAAGAGCATGAATAATGTTCCGAATCAGTGACATGAACATCTGAAGCTTATCGCATGAGCGGTTCAGAAAGCCTGTAACTTCCGTCTTGCTGTGACCGTTAAGCTCCCGCTTTGATCTGCCCCATCCCCTCCTGTTCTTCAAACCCGTCCTCCACTTCCGTCGTTCTCCCTGCATTTTCCCTTAACAGCTTCTGCGCTTTCCTCCTCAAGCTCCCAAAATCCTTCGGCCACTTTTTGCTCCTCCCTTCCCTGTCCCTCCACGCGTCCTCTACCTTCATCAGCTTAGCCTCCAGGCCATCCTTTCCCCAGGGACTCTTATCCATGGGTATCTTGGGCCATAGGAAGGGTCCCTGGCCCAGACCGCTCTCGGTACTGTTTCCTTCCTTCCTCGCCAATTCTACCGTCATCTTCTTACGTGATTGCGGGCGATACCATCGTCGCTGGCCTCGAACCCCCTTTTCGCTGATCTTGCTCTGAATGACGTAAGAGCGAACGCTGAGGACGCGGAGGTTGTAGAGATTGTAGAGATAGTCTTTCAAATCGAGCTTGTTGAGCCAGAGTGGCACCATGAAGGAAGCATAATTGGCTGGGAGGAAAGGGGAGGGGCGGATTAGGGCGAGGACGAAGTTGGGCCTGCGGTGCAGAAAACGGTCAGCTTCGTGATTTCAGGGAAGTACTCATCGCCAGTGTATCATATATGCAGCGCAAGAGCTGAAGCAAACAGCACATTTACAATTGAGAAGTGGATGCGTACGTACAGAAAGACTTGCTTCTCGCCCTTTGGGAGAGTAAATCGGTTGGGCGAAAGCGGTCGCTGCGGGAATGGGGACGGTGTTTTTAGACGCGCCGGATTGAACTTGGGCAGAGCAGGTTTTAAAGAAGGCTTGACGGCATGTATGGCGTTAGGAAAGGACATAATATGGTTGTATTCGCAAACGAGAACAGTTTCGCAGGAAAATGCAAATAGAGGCCAATATTTTGGAGCGTTCTGATTGGCGGTGGGGAGGTCTGCACCGGGCATCGAGAGGGGAAATGGAACCATGGCCACGATTTAAAGTATTGAGCTCCACCCAAGCTCGTTGTCTGCCACAGCTCTCGATCATATTGTGCAACTGTGAGAAGGCAATTCGTTGAATAAGAAGTGTATACGAGTGCCTTCTTAGAAATCGGAACCTGGAGGTCAGCTTTTGATGAGCAGCTTCAATCTTGGCTCCTGAGCTTGCCTCATTCGCGACGACATGTCAATATCCCGGTGAAGAAAGGCATGATCTACCTCAAACTGGTGCAGATTCCAATCAAAAGCTTTCATTCACAAGCTTGATATAGCCTGAGGTCCATACTCCCGCTATGATCTGGCGGGAATAGAAGGTTCGGGTTCAATCTACCTCACTGCCGAGCCTGTCTGGGCGGAATGAGAAGTGCGGAGTAGCGTTCTAGGCCTCCTTCCCTACAACTCCGACTGCTACGAGCAGGTGCCAACTGCCAAACTGCTAGTTTGAATTTCAATAATCTTTGAATAATCAAACTAATCGATCCCTATTCACACCATGGCCCGTCAGAGCTTAGCATGCACCATATTCAGTCTAACTTAAGCCAACCTTTTCCCTTCTGGCTCCGCATCTCAGCTGAGTCAGCTCTCACGGATTCAGAAACGCCCATGGCAAGCCACATGCAAAATCTGCCAGCTGAACATCCCGAAGCTAGAATATAGCGAGTTAGCAACAGCCTCGGATCATCTCTTAGAGTCTCATGATTCTTATCGCTAAGATTGTTGTCTGAGTGGACACGGTCTTGCCACCGCTGCTAGCCTCTTCTCAGCATCATGATTGACCAAATCGAGAGCTTCTGCCAGCCCTGGTACACTGGGCCCTGGGCCAAAACGCGCGACCATCAAATCAGTCGGGACTCTGTCTCAGCGTAGCCTCACATGATTGGCCTCGAGCGTTTATGCTCAATGGTCTAAAAGCAAAATCATGGGTGGATCTCTTGAAATGGGGGTCGGCATACTGGTCACGAATCAGCTTCCCTTTGCTTTGGACACTTCTCAGCTTCTGGTGTTCCTATACCTGTTCCTACAGCCTTTCAACTATCCCCATCAAATTTCTTCGCAGGCCGATTTCCCGTCTGGAAAGAAGCACCTTTCAGAAATAGACTGTGGGCTTTCGCCATCCATTAACATTGCTAGCATACATCATGGGTCCGAAAGTCCCAGACAGTGTTCCCGACGAGCATGGACGAAATCTCAAAATCGACAAAGATACGCCGACTCCAAATCGTCTCGTACTGTGCTTGGATGGCACTGGAAATTCTTTCCAGGGTAATCCTTCGGACACCAACATAGTGAAGCTGATGGACATGTTCGATCGTTCCGCCCCTCATCAAATGCACTACTATCAGCGTAAGCCCGAGAATTCTTACAGCTCAGATCCAACTCATGTTTCACCCGTTTGCTGATGGTTATAATGCCTTCAGCCGGCATAGGCACATACACGACAACCGGCTCGGTCAACCAGGGCGTCTTTGGGCGAATGAAAAACTCCATATCCCAGACAATTGATTCTGGATTAGCCACCTCCTTCGATGCTCACGTCATAGCTGGGTACCGATTTCTCATGCGATATTACAGAACAGGTGATCGGATTTACATCTTTGGCTTTTCCAGAGGTGCTTTCACCGCACGCTTCCTCTCACGCATGATCTCCCACGTCGGCCTACTTTCGATGGGCAATGAAGAGATGGTACCTTTTGCATATAAGGTCTATCAAGATTACGAAATGGGCCTTGATAATCCGGAGCCGACGGCGGAGCAGCTGAAACAAAATTACGAGAGAGGCACAAATGGCAGAGCTTACATGGAGAGATTCAGAGACTCATTCTGTCGCCATGGTACAGATGACGGCGTAAAGGTTCACTTTCTTGGACTCTTCGATACCGTGAGCTCGGTAGGTACGTTTGATGTACCTTTCACGGCTGTGCCCCACTTGCCCGAGGTGGAAGGCACCGCTGAGCATGTCCGCCACGCTGTGGCAATCGATGAACGTCGTGTCAAGTTCAAGGCAGCCCTTCTCGCGCAAGATAAAGAGAGTCTCAAAAGCAAGGGAGAGGATATCAAGGAGGTATGGTTCCCTGGTAATCATGGCGATATTGGTGGTGGTTGGCCAGCTGAAGAAGTGGAACCTCAAAAATCGCCGGGCTTCTGGGAGCGACTTAAGAAAGCCTTTTCCAAAGCCTCTAAATCCCCAGCACGGCCTCCAACGGATCCAGAACAGGACAAATTTCAGCTTAGCGACATTGCGTTGAAGTGGATGATTGATGAGCTTGATGGTTTACCCGAGAACATTGACCACCTGCAATGGAATATTGAGAACAAGAGAAGTTTCCTTAACCGCTACAATGCACCAGAGCACCGCTCTCAATCCATCAGGGCGCTTATGCACGACACCATGAAAATTGGTGGAGGATCGTCATTTGGCAACACTTTGATGTGGAAGATCATGGGTATGTCGCCTCACATTTGCATCGCTTCCTATTTCCACAGTGTTGCTCTATCATGATGATTCCGAAGCGACCCCTCTATCCTCGATTTTCCTTGCTTGGTTCAACGATCACGCGCTGACCGCACAATAGAATATCTTCCGTTTATCAAGCGTTGGGAGCTTGATAGTGGTACGTGGCAGTATACGGCTTCGCCGCTTAATAAGGGCGGCAGGCGTGATGTCCCCATAGGTGCCGTCTTCCACCATTCTCTGATAGAGCGGTTGGCACTGTTCGAGAAGACTTACAGACCGTTAAATTTTATCGGCAAAGGCAAAAGTGCACACCATCACTGGCATCTGGAGGACGTCAAGAGAGAGCCTGTGGAGAATGGCGATCCGAGGCCAAAAGAAGGGCCGTTTCTTGTAGCTCTGGGTAATCAAAAGAGGAAGGTCAGAGACGCCAATACCCTGGAGGTGGTCAAGGGTGACGACGATGAGGTGACCATGGAGCCGGTAGAAGAAGCGGATAAGCTTTATGAGTTGATCATCCCTTAGAGTGTCGAGTCTGAAGCTTTCACGGTAAGTTCGGAATCACACGTTCATGGTATGGTATCGTGCTAGTGATGTTTGTTCTTAGCCTTTGGATATATTTCAAGTTAGGCACAGACTGGTGTGGTTCGGTATGGGAATATTCAGAAGGAAAAACACAATCGCACATTTCTTCTGTTCAGGACCGTTTGATGTTGAGGATGAGCCAACTAGCACTTGGCGGGATGTGATTCCTTGGACTCCTTTTTACGGCTCTCCGCGCTACAACTCTTTCACGTGTATTTTTCGACCAGCGAGTGCTAATTCTCGCGAATGACATACCTCGATCCCAATCGCACCATTTCTGTATGACATGTTGACATGAGATTGAAGCCTAAAACAAGGGTATATACTTGTATCATGGTACCACCAGCAAAGTCTAACGATTCGAGGAGCCTGTCTATACTGATTTCATTTCTGAACCTGCATCCGTGAGAAGAAACTCCTCTCCTAGATCAAGAACTTGTCTCCGCCTTGTCTTTTCGCCCTCAAAGCTATCTTCGTTTTCTCGAAGTCTCTACCCTTGATTGCAGTCTAAGAGTCCTTCGGTAGTTGTGACGAGGACGCATTCGTGGAACCACGAGGAGTGAATCTGTCCAGGCACGCAGAAGACAGCCGACCTTGCGCACCAGCCGAGACTCGGTATAATGGGGTTTCTGTCAAATTTCCCAGTCCTGAGTAAAAAATTTATAGACATTTTGCCTCTAATCCCGTCCATTTGATTTCTGCAACGCAAGGCTTAGGATCCCCCTTCTTGGTTTAATTATTTTCTGCCTCCCTACACTCAAAAAGCGCCGGAAGTATAGCCTTTCTTCTTTTCTCCACCAAGCTGCTGAAAATCACGCCTATGAATATCTCTGCGAAGAATATTTACATCTCTCTAAATATCGGTCATGGTTTCCGCCAGGCAGAGTTATCATCCCCTAACCTCACGGTTCACTATAGACGCGTTGGCTGCATTGATTAGGACGAAAAATGCCTTTAGCAATAATACTTGTCACAAAGTAAGGCTTACAATTTGGTAGAACAAGGATGGCGTGGGCGGAGGGTCCGACAAGACGGAGACTAGGTGTATTAAATACGAGACTTCGAAGCAGGATTTTATGAACTGACTTGCCTACTGTTGCTTGTGTCTGTAAGACTTGTGCGGTTGGGTTGGGTGGCTAGTGGGAAAGAAGGGAAGGAAAGTTGCAAGATGCTGTGGCGGTCTTGGCTGACGGAAGAGAAAGGAACGATATTTTCTCCACCATATAGTGAGTCCTTAGTTGTCCGACGGCTCACGCCTGGTGACACTCAATTGGATCTTCATTGATAGTATACTGAAGTTTGCTTGGGCTCTAACCGAAGCTTTTATTCATCTTGATTTTTAGTATACTTGTGGATATGACCAGATATCCAATCCTCATCAGCCTATCACAAGATAGCTTCTATGTGCATTCACAACATTGTATTCATGATCGAAAGAAAGAGAAAAACTTAGCCTCCTTGATGGGCTGGGATATCTTTCCTGTATACCAAAGAACCTTTGCAATCTCCCGCTCTTTCCAGTGGAAATATTTGATTTACAGCACTCAACTGTCTCTCCATCAAAGACGACTACTCGTCATCGCTTTGGCGTGTGATGTACTTCGGCGAACATCGGCATACTGTTGCTGCCGTCACTGCCGAGTCGTTGTCTTCCCTCCTGCGGCCGTTGAAGACTTGCTTTCCGACCAACGAACTTTCCCAACTTTCCTCCAGCACTTGAGCCATGATTGGTCAGGCCAGCTGCCAAGTGGCCCATCTTCACGGGCAAATTTTTTGCGTCTTTGTCTCCGGATGCAGCGTTCAGGCCATTGGCGCTGACATAATCACTCCTCCTTGGTATCTCAGGCTTGCCAATCATCGACCGGAAGAGGTTCATGACAGCAGTTTGCGAAGTGATGATGTACACACAGCAATTCAAGAAACCTTGTAAAGGAAGAACGAGAGACTGTGCATAATTCAAGCCAAAGATTATGCGGTTGGGATGAACGAGAGAGTATAGCCGATTTATTGAGGCGGGTATCCAGGGGATCAGCATAGCGCAAAAGAAGAGGAATGCTGCACGAGCATATAACCAGGCGTCGGGATTGAGTTCTCGCAGAGCCGCCTCCCGGGTGTACGAGCGAGCACCATGCAGCTTGGGCCGGGAAGGGCGGCGACTTCGATCGTTTTCAAGCCTTCCTGCTTCGATGTTGGCTCTGTAAAGATCTGGGGCTTCTTCTCTGTGATCATCTTCTGTGCCCGGCATCGGCGGCAGTTGTGACTCCATGCGTCTTTTAAAGTCGGAATGATGGGAGCTTGTGTGAGAAATCGATGGACGTGCGGGTTCATAGGTTACCTCGATCTCTGTGGTAATAGTTGTCGAAAATGGATCTTCGTTAAATGGGTTCAGAAGTCCTGAAAGCTTCTCGCGGTTATGCCACACCTTCTTCGCAGCCTTGCAATAGATGGCAAAAGCAGAGACAAGCGCTATCCATACAATGGCGTATAATGTAAGGACACGAAGAAAGTCCCATTCAGGAGTAATCCAACACCAGAGCTGTTGGAAATTTCACTGTAAGCATTTCGAGTTGAAGGCAGCTTCGGAGAGCAGGACGTACGGTAGCAGGCCCATATATCTTACCACGGCCCTCAGTCTCCACAAAGATGTATATAAGCGAGGGCACAAACGCAGCGCCGTAGCAACCCAAGAAGTACTTCCACTCTTGCGCGCGCAATCGTTGCGCTGTCCAAGCACAGAAAAGAGCGAGGTAAACGTTCAAAGCCATGCACAGGGCCCAGAAGACATCCACGCCAAGGAACCTGGAATATGTTTAGTATGACGGGCAGATCTGAGCCCGATGCGGAGCATCTTACATCTGAATGGCCCAGGCTTGGAATTGGCACAGGGCAGACTTTGGGCCTGCGGCTGGTCCATCCTCGGCGATAAAAGTGGCGATGTTCACGCCCACGTTACTAAAGGAGGCGAAAAAGACGAGGCGGTTGATTGGCTTGTCGAAACCGCGAGCCAGGAGGAAGGTAAAGACGATGAAGAGGACGCTCAGCATGGAGAGGAGTGAGGTCACCCGCTCCGTGATTTTCATGGCATCAAGCTGATCGGGCGTCAATTTTGAAGGCATATCGGGCAAGGTGGAATTGATTTGGGTCGATTAGATGGTCAACCGCTTCGCAGACGGGTGATCTTTGAGGTGGTGAGGAATGGTAAGAAATGCAAGGCAATTGATGAGGCATACGGTCTGCTCAGCTATTCATCGTGACTCTACCATTGAGCCACACCAGAGAGGTAATGTGAGCTTCTGGTGAAAAGAGCGTCTTCGTCAGCCATTAAAGAAATATGACTGGGCAAGTGAAACAAGCCACGGTAGAAGAGTGGGCTCGCATAAGGAGGAGCAAGTGCAGGTGGGTGATTCAGCGCTGCTTATAAAAGTAGGATGCACGAGCTGGACGGTTTGAGGGACGAAGGCGACTAAAAGAAATCTGGGCAGTTGGCAGCGCTGAGCCTTCCTTATCATTCGGGATCGTCCTTGACAGGCAAGACAGATGGGAGGTGAGCCTGTGGGTGGGTTGGCATAGCGTCGAGACGGTGCACGTTTCTTCACTCTCTGAACGGGCTAGTGAGAAAGCGAGCAGGGAAGGACGTCGATGCTTGCTACTTGGTGGCAGAAGTGGCAGAAGTGGCAGAAGTGTGACCACATGGCTGCATCTTCACCCAATCACAGAGACTGAGTCCTATCATCATCATCACGTTCATCGCGATGGCAATTGGGGAAGTTGGGGGGAAGTTGGCTTTAGCTTTAGCTTTGGCTTTCAGGGGGTAAAGCATTTATCATTGATTTACTTTAGCGTTCACGTGGCTCTCACACCTCTCACACCTCTCACTACTACTGCTGCTCTCTCCCAACCTTCTTCAGTCCTTACGCAGGAACAGCGCACTAAGAACGCTTATTATCTTGCTAGAAGCCCTAAAGCTTCGATGCAGTTTGGCGCATTATTTAATATTGGCTTTCAAGGTCCCACCCGATCAAAACCCCTGAAGAGTCTTCCGTAGTCTGCCACAGGGACACCAATCATGCAGCATATTATTATTATTACTATCATTGAGCATACACCATGAATAATGAGAGGGGTAGTGAGAACCTTAAGGCTGAGCCGGTGCGAGAAGCAGACGTATCGGGTGGCCGACCGTTGGGCTGGTGCTTCACCAATGTTACTAATAAACATTAACATTTCCTCATAGTATCTCGAGCCTGCACTGGCCAACGGATCGAAAAGACAGTCCTATGGGCAGTATTATTGCGACCTTGGATATTTGGTACGTCGGATCACCTCAAGAGCCTTCTGAAACGATCATCGACAGTAGGCCAAGAGGGGGGCAGAATCGATCATACTGATGACCATCATGGCCGTGGGCTTGGTCTATTACTGCTTCCTACTGGGCCATCAATGCCCGTGATTGGGACGTCCTGGTTTTGACCCAAATTCTGCCTCGCTCTCAAAGCCGAGAGCACTCAGCTTGTATCTTGCTTCAAATTCAACAGCAATAATACGTGTCATGCAGGTCCTGAGAGATTCCTGCAGTATGTGAGATAGGCCTTGTATCTACAGTCGTGCTTCCCATCCTCTATTCCCTGAGCCGTCTAGAATACCTTATTTGTGATTGACCATAGATATTTTCATGAAAGAGCATTGGCCATTGGGAAGGTACCTTGGCTCGACATGAGCGTACCATAGGTCTGAAGATGGAGGACAGGTGTCTACACACTCCTTTGCCTTATCTCACCATCAAGTACCAAAAACGATATTCTCCCAATTCCTGCGTCATCCTTCCTCCCACGTCGGATTCTACGTGTCACGCATTAGCATCTGTCCGGGAAGAGCGGGTTCGTATTAGTCTGACAAACCTTCTTTAAGATCACCAACCCTTCGAGGTTGCTCGCCAGACTTATATATTGCTCGTCTTCCAGCTCTGCTCGCTCGCCGTAAGCGAGCAGCACTGGCGTTTGTTGGGTCTGCCATCCAGTAATCGTTTTCGGTCGGCCAGCCTGGCCAACGACGTCGACCGCTTGACCTACCCTGACGTTCACTTGCAGGGGCTTCAGATCTTCGTCCAAAGTAACCAGAAACCGAGGATGCATGGCAGTGATTAAGAAGTAGAGGAGATAGTGGTGTTCGCCAAGTATGAACTGCTTCGCATCGATCATGGAAACGAGCACAGTCAGCAAGCCAGCTGCGGCAACTCGGGAGAGGATTTGGCGGTCGGTGTGGAAGGGGTTGATAGACATCGTTCCCTTGCCCATATGCAGTAGACCCTGGGCTATTCGCACCATGAAAAGCGAATTCTGGTCGCGGTGGTAGTAGCTTGCGAGCTGTCTTAAAAGCTGTGCTAATCTTGCATTGTTGGTACCCGCCCCAAGCAGGCCCATGGCGAATATGGCATTGATTGCCACGTCGTTGTCGTTGTCGTGACTGTATCTTGAGAGCGTGTCGTAGACCTTCATCTGAGGGTTACTTGGACTGATGAGACCCAGCGCAAGAGGTACAGCTTTTCGGATATTTCCTTCGCTGTAATGCATGAGATGGCCGAACTGACGGAGAACCATTTCCTGGCCAACATCCTCGCCCATTGCGATGAGAGACAGTCCAATGACAGCGTATGTCTGGATGAGCTCGTCTCCTTTCTTCTCGTCTGAGTCGCCTTCGAAATGATCGTTGCAAAGATGCAGCAATTCCTGTAACTTGAGGACAGTCCCTGTGCCCGCATACGCACACACCTCAGCCAGCACACCAGCTGGTTTGGCCATGGGATGATCGATAACTTTCAAAGTTTCTTGAATGACCTCAACTTCTTCTTGTCGACCGAAAAACAGAAGCGCTAAGCCTAGAAACATAAAGCGAGTCCACTTATCTTTAAGCTGCTTTTGTCGTTCTTCATCCAACAGGGTCGTGACTATGGCCTCACTCACTCGATGGTCTGAAGAGCCTACAAAGATGAAACCAAGAGATAGAGCTGCCATAGCCGAGAGCTGCATCTCGAGAGATGTATCTTCTACAATAGGCAGTAGTAGGTCCAACAGATCATCTTTGTCCGTCCCGGCACATGCTAAGCCCAAGCCCATAATTGAAGCTACCCGTACTTGTTTGTCCTTATGATTGAGATTCTCCTCGGTCGCAAGTAAAGCCATGGCAGGTTCCGTGTCCATGCGAACCGCCGAGTTGAGCATTCCTGTTGCAAGAAGAGCGCCAGCTTTGATCTGGTTGTCCTCTGCATATGTATATTTGTCCACCTGTTCCAGCCCATTTTCGATGTCCCACCGCAAAAGCATGCCTAGCGACGCCGTTGTTGAAAATTGCCCATCGTCTTTGGTCTTGAAAATCCAGCTCGTTTTGTCACCTTCACCAACGTCAAGCAATAGCTTATCATGGCCGAAACCAGCATTGGTAAATGCATTTACGAAGGCACTGGCAAGATTGTGCCGCGCGGAGTCCACATTAGTCAAACCCGCAGTCCTTGTGCTTTCAAGATGACTCTTATATATGTCTTCCGGTGTCTTAGGATCTAGTATATTGAGTTCTTTGGCCAAATACTTGAAACGCTCTGGCATCTTCTCATTGCTTAGACATTCGGTGAGTTCTTGATCTTCTATGTCATCAGACGGCAACCAGATCTGCTGCCGTGCAACTAAAAGAGCCATCTGGCGCCTCATAGAAGCATCTTCGGTGGACTCGAAATCTTTCTTGATTAGCTCGACATCATTGAGACGGATTGCTAGCACCATCGCTTGAGGAAGTTTGTTGTACCGTTTATAGATATCATGGGCTGTTTGCAGAAATTGCTGATCATCAGGATAAGTGAGGAGGTTGACCATGCTGACCATATAAAGGCAGACTCTGGTATACGTGTTTTCATCGAGATATTTTGGGATCTCCTGTATTATCTCAAGTTCGCTCATCATGTCAACTGCGTCAGCTTCGGCATTGTGACTGAGGAAGTATGGCACAAGAGTCCGCGTTAACTCTACTAGCTCTTGGGCATCCAAATCATCTGATATACGTCTCTGGTAGTCCTGGCCAATCTCCAACGCCAGGTGCCGTACATACTCATGACCCCATGAGCCAAGATCTTCCGATGGCGCCGCTAGTCGGTATTTCAAGGTATCTAATTTATCTTCGTCCCCTTGTGTCATACCAAGCACCGACAACACGTCGGCGAAGGAGTCTTTTGCTTTTCCGCTCGGCCAATTTTCGTATGTCTTGCCCAGATCTTCGTAGTGAGGTCGAAGGAACTTGAGAGGTTTCGGTACTGCAGTCATGGATGAAGTGGAAGTTTTGATAAAGTCTTTGATGGCATCGAGGGCAGGGATATAGAGGCTTGTATCAGATTCGCTCAGTCTTGATACTAGCATCTCTAATTCATTTTTTAGATTTTGATCTTCGTCGCTGAGTTCTTCCTCGTCAGGCTCTTCATCCTTGCTACCGTTTGCGATCGTCTTGCCGTTTTCATCCTTCTTCATTTCAGTAGGTTTGTTTGGATTATCCTTAGGTTTTAGCTCTTCTGCTTTCCCCTTGCCCTTCTCAGCGGCCGACGGAGCTCCATTCCCTTTTGCCATGCTTCTTGTTGAGCCTAATCGAGGTGGCTATTTCCAGACCGTGAAGTTGAGGAGACAAAGCTTCTCGTCTAAGAAACAAGTGTGCTGGTCACTACTCGGGCACAATCAGAGCAGAAGATCGATGGGCAAATTCATCTTTGCTCTACGTAAGGCCGCTATTGAGACCGCGTCGAAATGTCCGGAAGGCGGCAAAACTGAAAGCCGAGGACTTTGCCCGCACTCACTCCGCAATTTCAATATCAACAATCTCTCCACGCATTCATCATGAAGCTGAACACAAAGTATCTGCGCTACCTCGCCTCTGAGGATTGGCGTGTTCTCACTGCGGTAAGCTCACCTGAAATGAACGTTCCCGCCGAAATGTTGCAGACTAACTGCTGACCAGCCACGCCTAGGTGGAAATGGGTAGCAAGAATCATGAAGTTGTGCCGACATCCCTGATAATACAGTTGTCAAATCTTCGAGGTAGTAGTGGTGTTCATAAGAGCATATCCACTCTAGCAAAAGCAAACCTCATTGCTCGTACCAAAAATGCAAAATGTGTGTGTCTCACGCCGGTTTACCTCCCCCATCGCAGTCACCTCTCTAACCCTAGCCTTTCATGGTAGACGACGGATACCGCCTCACGTATGGCGGCCTCGACTACCTTGCCCTACATACACACCTCAAGCGCGACGCAATCTACAGCCTGGGTCCTTGCATTGGCACAGGCAAAGAAAGCGACATCTATGTATGCGCTCCGCCTCCATCCAACACCTCAAATTCGCAAAAGTTCCATAAAAACAACCAACTTGTTCTCAAGATCCATCGTCTCGGGCGCATCTCTTTCCGCACAGTCAAGAATAACCGCGACTACCTTCGGCGCCGACAGAGCGCGAGCTGGATGTACATGTCGCGCCTGGCGGCACAAAGAGAGTTTGCGATCATGAGCATTCTCGGAGAAAATGGCTTTAGAGTGCCGGAGGCAGTGGCATGGACAAGGCATATGGTAGTCATGAGCTTGGTAGATGGAGTACCATTAAGAGCGGTGAAGGAAGTGGGCAATCCTGCTGGACTGTATGCAGATTTGATACAGATAATTCTTCAACTTGCCAGCTTTGGCATCATACATGGGGACTTCAATGAGTTCAACATCATCCTCCAAGAGGAGCAGCTGGCCAGTCAGACTAAGAAGACACCCGAACTAGAGGTGAGAGCAGTACCCTGGATCATCGACTTCCCCCAGGCCATTTCAATCGACCACGCAAACGCGGAATTCTATTTCAACAGAGATGTTCAATGTATCAAGACCTATTTCGAGCGGAGGTTTAATTTCCTGAGTTCGGAAGCCGGACCATTCTTTGCAGATGCGAGGAAAGCCGCTGCAAAGCAAGCGACTGCAAAGGGGAAAAGACTGGATTTGGAAGTGGAAGCTTCGGGCTTTTCGAAGAAGAAGGTACAAGAGTTAGTGCAATATATGGAAGACGTAGGTGCAAACCAGGACCAAGGGTCATACGCCGATGACGTGCAGGACGAGAGCGACGACAATAGCGAAGATGGGACCGGAGAGGGTGATCAGGATCTCATTCAAGATGACCCTGTTATCATTGGGGATCCTCCAAACATAGCGAGTAACGGGCTAGAAGATGACGCTATCTACTCGATCACGCCACTGAAAGCCAGCATTGCCAAAGATTGAGGACGAACATCAAGGCAGCCTCTCGACACAAGACCTTTGTGGCTTTACGCAGCTCTTGATGATCTTGTCTACTCCTAGCATGCACATCTAAGTCTATCGCGCAAGCTTTGCTTCAGACTGCTACCAAAACCACAAAGTGCTCCAAAATTGCCGCCAAAATGCAATCAGCATGCAAATGTTCATCTAACCCATATTTTGGAGTCTATGTTCATAATTCCGTGAAGCAAACGAGCCACGCTAAGCATTATCTTGCAATCCGATGCTACCTCCAAGACTCCTTCGCCGTATTGTCACCAGAAACGCAAGCTATCGAGAGACATTGTAAGAGTGCGTCTAATGAAATGCCTGTAGGAATACTCTGCCGAATTCTGGTCTTTTGCTTGACTTAATGTGATGGGACATAGCTTTTGCTCAGCTTCGGGGTCAGGGCCAATAGCATTGAGTCCGTCTGCAATTCAGTACAGACCGTTAAAGTCTGGATTTGGTGGGTGAAGCTGTGGCGCCGTTGGATGCATACGACTTGCTTGGCATCACATTCTCTTTCATTGGAGACGAGGCCGCATCTTCGTCGACAGAGCCTTCCTCGATCTTGTCGAAACTGAATTTTTTGGCTGCAGCTGTCAGACTGGGGCTCTGGTTCACGTCCTGGATTGCGTCCACGTCTATAGCCAGTGACGTTGCACCGGTGGAGGTTTTTGTGGCCGAGAGCCGATTTGTGAGGTTCGACGGCTGACGCGAGCGGAGCGCTGAGTGTTGATAACTACCGAGGCTACTAAGCAAGGGTGAGTGACTGTGTGAAAGGGGAAAGATGCGTGCTTGCGGTAGAGTCACGGACGGTGCAGGTGAGTGATTGATCCACGGCGCATTCACTCCAGTAGCCCGACTCTGTAAAGGACTCTGGTATGACGCTGCGCTTGGAGAGTAGCTACTGCCGAGAACGCCATATGCGGCCTCATTATATTCGTCTGCTTTGAACTGTCTCTTGACAGCTGTGAATGCTTTGAGTTGTTTCTGCTCCTCCGTATCTGCGAAGCGAATTTGAAGCATTGTAGTGTCGTGATCTTCTCCGATAGTCCTATTGTTGAAGGCCTGAACGATCTCATCGCAGATGGTGGGCGTTTCGAAGCTAGAATTCCGTTAGCCGTAAAGATGAATCTTGAGTATAGGCTGACGTGCCGAGCAAAACCAACGCCGCGGCTGCGGCCACACGAATCCTTCAAGATTTTGCAAGATCCTGCTTGGTGATGAGGATAGAGGTCTTCGGGGAAAACAGCTTGAAACATCTTTTTTAAGCCCTATAAAGATATTAGGCAAGCGTTGTTGGAAGTCGTAGAGTGCCGACCTACCTCTTCGTTGATTAACTTGGGAAGATTCGATACATAGAGGTTGGTGTTGTCCGGACGGGATAGGTCTTTGAGGCGAGAATTGTGTGATTTCTTGGTTGCATGTAGTCAGTCTCTGCGAGAGCTTCTTGTCTTGTTTCAACGTACCCGGGCAAACTTCGCCTCATAGCCTCGGAGCCAAAATCCGCGGATGCAGTTCTCGGCATCAATATAATTGTGATACTTGATAAAGCCGAAACTATATAGCTATCAGTATCTTGCTATTCAATGGGCCTTATAACATCACCCTTTACATGTGCCGGTCGTAGGGTCAATAATCGATTTGCAGCTGACGACAGCCCCGAATCTCTCGCCGTAGGCATGTAACATATCGTCCGATGTGTTTGGCTGCAAACCACGAACGTATACGTTTGTCGTACCATCTCTATTGTCCAAGATCTTGTCTAGCGTTCCACGACCTCCATCAGGTCCGCTATGGATTGCTGGCACGGGATCCGGCACGGACGGACTCTCCATCATCTTCTTCCAGTAGTCGACGAAGACGAAGTCCCCATCTTCTTGCTTCCAAAGGTGCTGATGTGAAAGAGGGTTGTTGGCTGACATGGGCGAAGGAGTGCTGTACACGGGCGACTGCCAAGTCTGGTATCCGTAGCCTGGACCAGGACCAAAATTCGTTGGGGTCTGAGGGCTTGCTTCCTCGCGAGACGACCAAGATGTTCGACGAAGCTCTGGTGGCGGTGGAATGTTGTGAGTCGAAAGCCATTGGTGGTTATTAGCAGCATTTGATGTGGGTATGCTGTTTGGTAGATAATTGTGTAGTGGAGCGGCCTCAAACTGCGAACCTTGGGCGTTGGGCCAGTTGAAATGCTGAGGAAAATGACGGTAGCTGGCCTGTGTTGGGTTGGGACCACTGTGCGTAAAGACAGCGTCGGGAAGCTGATACATGAAAGTGCTGCCGGCTTTTGAGTTCATTGAGGTATATGGGGCATTCCCATTAAGGTGTAGGCCGCCGTTGCTCGAGTTGTCTTGTCCAGAATAAGAGCCATTGCGTAAACTCACGTTACCGAAAGTGTCTGTGAGACTGTCGACCGAATTCCCATGATCTGGCTGGAAAGCAGAATTTGCGTAGGAAGAATACATGTGGTTGGGACCCATTGTCGGACCAGACATAGGGGTATGCATGTTGGCGTAAAGGTTCTCTGAAAATCAAGGATTAGCCGTCAAACATAAGAGCTCTCGTGAGGTAATGAATTCATTGCGACTCTCAATCGTGAAGATCAAGCGTACTGATCGCGAAGGCTCTCAGTGTGCAATCGAACAGTCGTCAGTGGGCATGAAGCACGACTCCTAGGTTAGGACTGAAGAATGTTCGGCTCGCTAGAACACATTGTACAGCCGCAAGATGGAGGAAACTTACGAGCCATTGTATAGCGTAATAACAGTGATACTAGTTTGAGTCGCCTCTAGGTACTAGCCTGAAAGCTGTTTAGATCGAGCTTAGTATTCACACGGTAGTGGAGGTCATAAGTGCAATCTCACAGTGAATATCCTTCAGGTGACTGAGTTAAAGGTCTTGGAGATGGGAGCACACTGAGAGGTAAGTGTGAGTAAGAACCTTCGAAAGTGAGACAGCTTGGGCGTTTACAGAGAAACTTTGGCGTGGTGTTAGAGATGGTGCAAGTTGTCGACAATGGCGATGATGAGAGCAATTGTTCCGATGGATGCAGAGAGTATGCTCAAGCAAGTTGCCAACAATGTATGTGAAGGTGCAGCGAATGAAGAATGAGAAGGGAGATGTTTGGAGGAGAAGACTGGATGTAGAGATGAGAAGTAGGTCATGTAAACAAACCGTTTTCGACAGATTGGGAAGTCGTGATCTTCATGTCATCGTCATTGAGGAAGGCGCAACGCGTCCCAACCTTGACTTCAAAACACGCTGACATGGCTTCACGAACACTATGCGATTAGAAAGGAACTGAAATCATGTTTGCTTCACGTCAAGGGAAGCCAAATGTTTGTTTGGCGGAGCGACAGAATATTGACCCGTTTGCTGTTCCAAAAGAAAGGCTCCTGGTAACCGACATGAGGTTCAGGACATTTCGAGGTGTGTTTGACTGAAACGTCGGCTTGCTCAAGGAGATAGTAGACGAACAAATCTTTGCTGTAACGATTCGCCGTTGCGAGATACATGGACGATTTGCGGGATCTAGTGTATGTGGTACGAAGGTACATGCGCAATTACCTGGGCCAGCAAGGCCCGTAACCAAGGCCGACCTGGCAATCAGTTCTGTGATAGAGCGATATGAACGTCCACATCTCTACCACTTGCTGGATCTTGCACGAGGCTTTACGGGCAAGAGAGCAGATAGCATGCGCAATCAGGAATCAGCATGCGCGACCAGCAGAGATGTCGCCCGCACATTACCCATCAGCTCGACAATCAGCAGCTATGCCGTAGCGGGTTCCGTATCTGACTGAGGCTGGCTTTTCGGAGCTCTACAACCCTCTAATTTGATCGTGGTGTGGCATGGTCGGGCGCGGGTTAAGTTGCAGTATGCCAGCAGGAGATATGCAAAGGCGTCGTCGAATCCATGCGAACCGAGCATTGACGATGTGTGAGAAAGGACGGAGGATTCTGAAGCTTCCAAGCAAAATCTAGTTCTATGAGCATGCGCTAAGAACGCCGTCACAGATGATTGGTGAAAACACTGGCGCTACATGTCTACTGAAGCCCAGCACATCAATGATTATAATATACGGTAAACAAAGCGACGTGCCTTCTGATTTCTCTACGTCTTCAGCTTCCCATGGCTGTAGCTTCTGATTCACCGACTATTGCGTACCTTGCGTTAGTATTTCAAATGCTCAACACAACGCATGTCTCAAAAGTTGGGCGCTTCCCACAATTTGGAATCTAGAAGCACATACATCGATCGCTCTTCTCACCGCACCGCACCCTGATCCAGTCACCAGAATGTGCTATGCTCGAAGCGACTCATTTCGACTCTTGACTAGGAAAATCGTCAAACATCGACCTCGTCATGATCATCAATTCTAATGTCGCTCTGATAGGCCATTCTGCTCATGACCATACATCTTCTTGATATTGATTACTACTCCGCATTCCCCTGACTATATCCTCCCCTTTCTCCAGACTGATACCCCGATGCTCACTTATGATCTTCGCCAGCTTTGCATTGACCTCGCGCGCCATGTTTGCGGCGTCACCGCAAACGTAGAAATTTGCTTTCTGTTTCTGCAACAATTCGTTGACTAATGCGGCGTTCTCCTCGAGGCGCTGTTGGACATAGATTTTCTTTCCTGGCGTCTCGCGGGAAAAGGCGGTGAATAACGTAAAGGAGGAGCCAAGGGTTTTTTTGACGCTCTGTGCCGCAAGAAACTTTAGCAAGCAATGATGGTGAGGTTTTCATATGTAGGGGATCTTACCTCCCACTCGTCCTTGTAGACAAAGTCCTCTGCTGATTTTCTGCAGCCGTAGAATAATACTGTCTGCCCAACCTTCTCCCCAGCTTTCGATTGTGCGGCTCTTTCTTGAACGAATCCTCGAAAAGGTGCAACACCTGATCCTGGTCCGACCATGATGATGGGTTTCGAAGGATCCGAAGGGAGCTTGAAATTAGAATGGCGGACATGGACCGGCACGTGAATACCGTCGTACTTATTTCGAGGCCCATTTATTGCATAGGTCAAGCCATGTGGATCTGGACTCGGATCTCCATGCTGTCTTTGTTTGAGAGCGAGCAGGTAGTTGGTTGTGACACCCTTGACAACATTTTCAGAACCAGGTACACGTATCTCATCAACCACGGCAGTAATGGAGATCTTGTCTTTCTGTACGAGAGAAGATGAGGAGATGGAATAGTAGCGCGGCTGAATCTTCTTAATCTGCTCAATAATGATGGAAAACGGTATTTGTGTCCATCTATTAGTGCTCTCAACGCGCTCGAGGACTTGTGCAATATTCAGATACTGCTGAGATACTTTTTCCGAAAAGTAGTCTTTATCACTCCCAAGTTTTACCATTTCGGTTTTTGCTGAGTCATTGGGAGCAAAAGCAGCCAAGGAGGCTAAAAATTGACGGGACACAGGGCCACCAATCTCAAGGTGATAACGGACAGCTGCATCGTAGGTTGTAGGCGTCGGGAACGGGACCCGAGCTGTAGGATCAAGTCCTCTGACGCTAACAACAGTGTGCCGCTTGTCAACTAGACCCAGAACATCGACGAAGCGATCAACTTCTCGCCCAGCATTTGTAGGCCAAATGGCAATGTGGTCGCCGCTTTCGTAGCTCAGATTCGAGCCTTTGATGTCAATCTCCATGTGTAGACAGTTTCGGTCCTTGATGGTGAACAGCTCTCTTGACTCGGCAATTGGTGCAATGTATGGGTTGTGAGAGTTGTAAGGTCCTTTCTGCTTGCCTTCGAGGTGATTTTTATTGGGCTCACCAAGATATACCTCCTCTGCATCAGCGTCGAGGTCGTCTCGCTCGGTAATGCTAAAGATCGGTTCATAGACCGCCTCGCGCTCTTCAAGGCCCATCTTCTCTGTCAGTGCAGCCCACATTGGTTCTTTCCACGCCAAAAAGTCTTCCTCCATCGTTCCAGCACCATCATCTCCTTCGCCAGCATCGCCGACTCTGTCGGCACCTAGTTTCGTCAGAGCGATATCGACATTGCGGACCATGGAGTTGTAGTGTTCATATGTGTTGTTGCCTAGCCCAAAGGCAACAAACTTGAGATTCTCCAACGGTTTATCATCTGCAGTGCCGCCGTTGCTAAATGTAGTATCTTCGCCTCTAACAAACTCGTAAAAGTCCACCGCGTTGTCCGTTGGTTCCCCCTCCCCGTAAGTAGCCAATACGAAGAACGCAAGTTTGTCAGCTGGGAAAGTATCAAGGTTTTCGTAGTCGTAATCTTCCAGGTCAGCTATCATAGTCTTGAGGCCAAAGCGCGAGGAGCCTTCCTTTGCCAATCTCGAGGCGTAGTCCTCCGCTGTGCCAGTCTGTGAACCATAGAACACAACGGTATTTTTGTCGGATTCTTCCATCGCCTCCAGTATATTGCGCGTCTTTCCTGCTTTATGTCCATTTGCGAAGGCATAAGAGTTTGCGTAAGGATCCTTAGGCACCCCCCAATAGGTTCCTTTAGTGAAATATGCGACGGTGCCTATCAATAATATGACGAGGACAATAATGTCCAATGTGTCGAACTGCGCCATGTTGGTGAGCTGGTCGTAGCACAAAGTCGCAGAAGGCACGAGATTCCAACGAATTTTTGGTCACTCGCTACTTGCTTTCGGGAATATCTAGTGAGTTCCTGAAGTAGCGATCCCTCTGTGGATCGATGTCTGACCCGAGTCGGACCCAACAGAGAGTGTTATCGAGGTACTCGATCTGATGAAGACTGGTCTACCCTTGTACTCTTCGTTCGAGGTGTCATCGAACCTGCACGTCGGTGGCGCTTTCTTCGGCGGACGGGTTACCCGGTTTTTGCGACCGTAAGCATCACAGTAGTAAAATGAACTCCCAGGTAGAGATAAAGCCCGGCTTTGAAGATCGCGGCACTGCAGTCGGTGCCCCCTACGATGGCAATGAAGAGAGCCCTTGTTCGAATAGATATTCAGAAAAGAGTCTAGATTCCTGGCTAAACAAATTTTAGGTCTGGAAGTCTGGGCACTAAGCTAGTTCTAGTGGTAGAGGAAGTCTCAGGGGTCCAATGCAGTGAGTGCCCTGGTTTGACTGCCATGACCTCACACGTGCAGATGTTCCGTGTCCCTCGCTTTAGTCGAATGAAATTTATGATCGTGTGTCTTCTCTAGGTTCTTGATAAGTTTAGAATCGTGACGCCGCAGGTTTTGGTGAGCCTGCGGGGCACAGAAGCGACCCACCCCATTAACCAATACCAGGGCGCTTCATGTCTCCCTGCTACGTAGCTGTCAGCATTTTTGCTGTGGATTTGCTGGGAGGGAAAGAGGGAGAGCGTCAGAGTGTGATAGCGGAGGATTTCCAAACGGTCCAGGTGGTTTGATCTCAGAAGCCGCAATGGGTGAGTGTCGGCGCGGATGATTGCCTACCACCCACTGACAATGCACAGCTTCCGCCTCTGGAAGGCATGTTCCCCCTCCACCAAGCCCCAGCGATCCGAGCGACTATGACCCTCCTCGTTTACACGGACGAGATGCCGCAGGCTCGCGAGGCCGCATCCTAGCACCAGGGAAAATGCCGCTCTCAAATCCCGGGTCTACTTGCGTCAATTCTCCAAGATCTCAATCTTCAGCTACATCCAACAGATCACCAATAATGGGAGGCTATTCCGATCGACAGCAGTCTTCAAGCTATGCGCATACAAGACAACCATCTAAAGCTCCTTCGCAAGGCCGTAACGGCGCTCACGCTCCGTCACAGACTACAAGCCCTGCGAGTCCTGAGCTTGCTGGCGCGTCCTCTGAAGGCCCCAGACACCTCAATGACTACCCGACGGGTGTACGTCGAGGAATGTCACAAAGGCAGCCAAGTAAATCTTCCTCGAGCGCCATGCATGGATCCTCGCAGCACGCATCATCCACCAGCACAATCCACGTTTCTTCGCAGCACACATCATCGACTTCGACTCTTGTGTCGGATAAGGAGATCGAGGTGCCGTCCGCTGTCTCGAATCCCAAGCGTCTTGACCGAACACAGAGTTCAAGAAATCGTAAGGAACGAATTCATCACAATGTGAATTCAAATACCGGCCAAGAACTAAAGCCGGTTGCTGAATATTGCTTGTATCCCTTGTTCAACAAGTTTGTTGCAATAGCAGACTTCAAGATTGCCAGTTGTATAATAGATCAGACGCATCGAGTGACAGGTCAGATTCAGGTTGTCTGTGGGTCTGGGGTTGACGCGGATTTTGATCAACTCATTGGTGCAATGGCATTCATTACTAGACGGGAACCTCGAGCGCTGGTTGACTCCATTATGTTGTGGCGGCAAGACAAGGCACGTGGGGGGGAGACGCTGGTCAAGAGACCGCACCCTCAAACGCGCTTTACAGACGACTAAATCGAAGTGCTTCGGAATATTCACAATCGACTTCTGTTCAAATCAATCGCAATAGGGCCGGATATGATGAATCGCCGTACAATCTAGAATATCGCTCTGCCGTGGCTATCTATCTTACCTGCCGAGTCCTAATCGAAGTCTTCTATCAGGCGGATCTAACTGCATTCACTGCTATTAGGTGCTCCCAATTGGAGGACATCATTTTTGACCGGCTTCAACGACTGGACTCTAATACTTTTGCTGAATTTCCATTCTACACAGCAGATCGGGAAATCTATACGCAGCTTCTAGGCGTAATGAGTAGCAGAAATCTCGGTAGGGTTGCGAGTTTATTCACAAACGACCTCCAAAAGTCGCAATGGGAGCTCTTCAGCAATAAAGGCGTCCCACCCAGGGAACTGGAGTCTAAGATTGATATGATGATACGGTCAATGAAGCATATACACCTCAAGACCCGGCCAGACGGCTTGTGGCGCGATTCATGCACCATCCTTGTTGCGCTTGCAGAACTCTTAGTCAGTTCTCATGGACCATCACTCAAGTACGCATACTGTAATCTCTTTGTTGACCTCTTGCTCCCCGTTGCCTCAAATTGGACCTCTCAGCTTCAAACGCCACGATATCAGAATTTTCTTCACCTCGTAACTCCTCGAGTCGGAAGCATAGTCGTCAAGCCTCGTCATTGGCCGGAGGCAATCTCTTGCTCTTCAATCTTGCTCTGTGTCTCTCCAAATGAACTATTTGCTTCGTCTTGGCTGTCGCATATTAATAGCCTGCAGCCAAAGCTCAAAGATCGAAGCACTAGGACTCTCGCACTACAGTCTGTAACAAGAGTGGTGTGGACATACCTCGATCGCATCAAAGAAGCAAGCACTACTATTCGGCGCTTAGAAGACATCATGAAAGTAGTCCTTCCATCCAACAAAAAGACTTCTCACACGCCAGACACTATGGCCTGCGAACCTTTGGCTGAGCTCATTCGTATCATCGGCTATCATCATCAAGAGTATTGTTTCAGTAAGATCATATTTCCTCTTCTGAGCTTCGATCTCTTTGCAACAGGCAAGGACATCAAAGTTGATCAGTTAGATCCAGAACGCATGGTGATCGGAATCAAAGCGTATTTACTGATTATGAATGACCTTGGGAGCGATGAAGGTGGCAAGCCACCGTTTCCTCGTTTTGGACAAGGCGGTCTCGCCATTGCAGATGGGAACATATCTGCATTTTCCATCAAACCCTCTACTGGAGCTGCAGCCTCAGTCGGTGATTCACGCTCTTCGTTCGGGGCTTCTCCTGTGGCCACCACCAAGCTAAGCTCATCTGCGCGCGAATACCACTCTCGATTTTGTGAGATCTTGGGGAAGATCGTGATCATCTGTGACAATGCTTTTGGTGGTCAAGCTGTGCTGGATGAAAAGTTTGGTGGCGGACTCACCCCAAAACCCCTCTCGCAGACACATTCAACTTCGGTCGTCGAGTAGACGACCATCAAGGGCCTACTGATCAAAGACTTGGTTTCTACGAACTGCTTCATGTTGCCGTGCAGGCGCTTCCTCGGTGCCTCCCAGCGCATATCTCACTAAAGTCATTGATCAATCTCCTTTGCACATGTACCGCGCACTTTCAATGGAATATTGCAGCATCCTCGATACAAACTTTGAAAGCAATCGCAAAGCAATCACATGCTCAGACTGTGACCATTGGCTTCGCGCGCTTCATTTTCAATTTTGACGCTCGGTACGCTACTATGCTAGAAGAGGGTCTTTTGGGTCCTGACCACATCGAAAGCACACTAAGCCTGTATGTTCAATTGTTACAGATATGGATAGAGGAGATCAGGCAGAAATCCAAAGAAGCAGCAAGCGGCTCAATGGCCAATGGCTTGTCTAGCAGTCGAGGTCGTCATCTGGACCTCACCAGCGTCACCAACCACGTGGACGAGGTCGAATCCCATGGCGTTTTCTTTTTGTGCTCACAGTCCAGGCGCGTCAGAGCTTTCGCGATTAAAGTGCTCAGGATCATTACTGAGTTTGATGCGGCTCTTGGGAGAAAGAACTCTCGCATTATTCACATTCTTGAAGGCGATTCCCAGCATGTCATGAGTGCCAACGATGGTTCTCTGTCAGTTGCCGAGCGGAGTAGGTTGCAAAAAGGTAGAATCGAAAACACAGACCAGGCAGAGCCCACTCTGGTCGAGCTCTGTAGTAGCGACGTATCTTACGACTCAACCCTCTGGCTTAAGATGTTCCCGAACATTATTCGTCTCAGCTTTGATCTCTGTCCTTCAGCTGTAATGTTGGGTCGGGAGATTGTCTGCGCACGGTTGTTGCAGATGCAGGACACTATCACATTCCTTGATACAGACCTACCCAATATACCCCTCCCTCCGCCTGATTCTGTGAATATCCGAACGACTCACCGACTCCAGTCCACGTCGTCTCAAGTAGTCGTCGAACAGTGGAAGCTGTATTTGATAATGGCATGTACGACCGTTACAAATGCTGGAGCTCAAACACAGAGTCAGCTTGACAAGACTCAACACTCCCGTAAGATCTCGAAGCCAGCCCCTCAAGGGCAAGACAAGCTCAGCTCGGCAAGAGCTTTGTTTGCGTATGTCATCCCTCTACTGTCCAATGGTAACGGTATTATTCGCGAGGCTATTGTCATCGCCCTGAGCTCAATCAACACGAGTCTGTTCCGGACGCTGCTAGAGTCCCTGCAGTATGCCGTGACCACGTGCAAAGAAGCAGCGAAGCAAAGGATTGGTTCCCATCAACGAACCGGCAGCAATCCGCACAGGACTCCCAGCACGGACAGATTACGCACAGAGGTCACTCAGGTCTACCGACTGACGGCGCGCTTTCTTATGGAACCAAGTGTCATGCAGGACGAATGGATTCTCTCTAATCTATGCGCTTATGCTAGAGACCTCATGATATTTCTTGGTGATGGTGAGGTACAAAGTGATTGGGAGAGTCAGAAGCTCCGCCAACAATTCTGCGGATTGGTGGAAGAATTGGCACGGGCTGTAAGTGAGGTAGAAGACACTCTGCAGTACATGCCCTTTGAATTTCGAAGATCCGCGTTCACTCTCATGGAAGAATGGTGCGGTTATTCTCCACATCAAGCAAAGATTGCGCACCGCGAGGACGCCATGAAACAGACCGTCATCGAACGCTATGCAAATACTAGAGAGAGGGATCATTACATGGCATTAATGGACGGTGATAAGCGAGATCTTGGTGCGGCGGCGCTGGGCGCCATGGCCGCCTTATGTGTAAGTGCAGAGGCCTACTCTTGGAAGTATTCGTTGAACTCATGAATCTAGGCCGGACCCATTAGAGTCAAAACTGATAGGGGAGAATCATTGTCTTTCGACAGTCGACGAATGCTATCCTGGGTTGATCAAGTATTCGGGAGTTCGCTTGATAAGTGGCATGCAATAGGGCGCAAGGCACTGTATAATCTCATCGCAAGCAACAAAAACCTTACTTCCTTACTCAAGATTTCAATCGAGCAGTGCTACACCCCGGATCGTCCTCGAGCAGTGGACAGCTACTTTGAAGTTGTCTCAAAGGTTCTCCGTGAGCACGTGGACTATGACATCGATTTCTGGAGGGTCTTAGCTGCCCTGCTCTTCCTACTCGGAAATGAGAAAAGCGAGATCCGCGTCCAGTCTGCAAAGTTACTTCAGCTTCTGGAACAACGGTCGGAACGCAATTCTCGGATTCAAGACTTCGACATTAGCATCTCTGACCGGACCACGGCGGTCTACAAATCAGCCTCTTTTGAAATCTCGCGTAGACTATCGAAAACGCACAGTCAATATGCCTTCTACATCTTTTCGCAGTTCTCGAGCCATTTCAGGGATATTCACCCGGACAATCAAAGGCAGATGGTTTACGCAGTCCTCCCTGGATTCAAGAAATTATTCTCCAAGTGGAACCGGATGGGAGACCCACGTCTCCCTCATACATGGTACTTGCGAATCTTCTTGAAATTACAACCACTTCGAGTAGTGTCTTGAACAACGAAGTCCAAGCACTTTGGAAAGCTCTCGCGACTGGTCACCCCGGAAATGTCCAGCTTGTGCTCGATTTTGTAATCTCTCTGTGTCTAGATCGGCGTGACCAAGCGCTTGTGTACTACTCAAAGCAAATCATAGTTTATGTCGCTAGCGATGTTGCAGGCCCGAAGGTTGTTGAGTTTCTACTATTAAAAGTCACGCCTAAGAATCTCGTTGCCACGGCCCACGAGCCTACACCTCCACCTGCCGATAGCTATGGATTCCCATATATAGCCGATCTATCGGAAGCATTACCCATTGCAAACAAGCAGGTTCGTTATGCCCTTTATCATGGGTGTCAAGGCTAATCAATCGTAGGACATGTTTGCTTTGAGTCATCTTGCTGTAGTCTTCCTCGTCGACCTTATCGTCGCTCCCATGACAATCAAAGCGGAAAACGTACCATTGCTTTTACATGTCATTTTCGTTCTCTGGGATAACCAAATATCACTAGTGCAGGAACAGGCTCGAGAACTGCTAGTCCACTTGATTCACGAGCTTGTCATAACGAAGATTCCAAAAGAGTTGCAGGAACATTACAAGTCAAGGAGAAGTGAAGTGGAGGGCTTCGTCGATGCCATTAGACATCACGAAGCTAGCTTGGTGTGGCAATATCGGGAAAGGGTTGCCAAGTACGAAGACTGGGACGTCCCAAACCCTTCCGGAGACGATAAACGGCTCCCGTCGTCAATGCCGAAGGTCACTAGCCAAGTCGTCGATATTTTTGCCCTCGTTTATTCAGACATTAAGGATCGACTTGCGAGAATTTCATTGAGCTGGGGGACATCATGTCCGGTCCGACATGCTGCCTGTCGGTCGCTTCAAATATTTCGATGTGTGCTAGTCCCAATAGACCAACCAATGTTGAGTGATATACTTGCACGTATATCCAATACTGTGGTTGCCGACTCGCAAGACGTGCAGACATTCTCGATGGAGATGCTGGCGACCGTCAAAAGCATCATCATCGAGCTTGAGCCTGCCGACCTCCTATTGTATCCACATATATTTTGGACGACGTGTGCGTGTTTAGATACGAATCTGGAGCGAGAATTCATAGCGGCAGTTGGTATGCTAGACAAGCTTCTGCCTAAGGTGAACCTAGAGGACCCTGCTGTTCTGAGGATATTGGAAAAGGCGAAACCTGCAAGGTGGCAAGGAACGTTCGAAGGTCTGACGCCCTTATTGTATAAGGGTGTGAAGTCTGAGATCTCGTTGTCTACATCGCTAGGTGTCCTTGACAAGCTACTAGCACTACCTAACAACGAACTTGTCGGAAATCAGTCACGTTTGTTATTTACGATATTGGCAAATCTACCCCGGTTTTTGCAATCATTCGAAGATGACAATACATTTGGAGAGTGCGGTCAGACAGCGCATATTCTTTCCTCCATTGCCGAAATTGGTGATCAAACGCAAATTTCTACAGTCCTTGACAAATATATCGGTCGATCCTATGCGGATAGCAATGAATTGCTTTCAGAGATCCTAGCTGCTCTTCAGAAGGGATACTTTCCGACTTGGGAGCTCAAGGCCTTAATCTTTGCAATCGGCCTATTGAGCAATTCGCTGCGTTGGTATAAATTACAGGCTCTGAGAGTCGTTCGAAGCCTTATTACCGACGTTGACACTCGCCGTCCAGAAATTTCAGATTACGGACCAGACCTGATTTCCCCTCTGCTTACTCTTCTTCAGACTGAGTTCTGTTCCCAAGCGATTGAAGTCGTTGATCAATTTTACTCCATGACCGAAACCCCGCTAACTCAAGATCATATGCGGATGAGCATATTCGGGCAAGGATTGCGCCCCGTTCCCGTACAGAAAGAATACGAAAAGACTCAAAGCCTGTATGGCATGCCAGAGGAGACGGGCTGGTCAATTCCCATGCCTGCAAAGCTTCACAATACGACACGAGCCAACATGCAACTTATCTATCAGGATTGCGCGAATCTTAATGTGCCGGCTGCTGAAGCTGTAGTGACCCCCGATGTAGAATTCCAAGTTGAAGACGATCAGGCCGCATCTTACTTCTGTCTCGAACGGTCTGAAACACTTGATCCCCACGATCTAGTTGAAGGTGGACGTGATGAGGGCGAACCAGGCGATCTTCTGACGAAGCTCAACAGCCTAGATGACTTTTTCAATGACTCCCTGGATACAGAAGACCAAGCAGATAGCCGTTACTCATCACTGACCACCACGCCTTATCAACTTGACCCTGTTACAGGCGCAGAGATATATGATCAAGAGACAGCTCCAATCCTGCAGCGAACGCTTGCTGGTGCGGGCTCCGCCCACTTGTTGCATAGTAGTAATTTTGAGCGGTCGAATTTATCAATTATGACCCCGGCTGCTTTCACACCAGCCACAGCTTCTGTTGGCACCGGCCCAGCTCGGCCATCGTTGCACGCACGTTCAGTGACTTCCCCGGCTAATAATATTTCGAGGAAAGCCCACAATATCCCAGAGTCGTTTTCGGATGATGAACAGGATGATGGAATCTTGTCCGAGGATGAGCGTTCGACCGGCCACATTGTCGCGAATGGCTCGAGGCTACTTGGAAATCCATCCAAAAGGTCTGACCTGGCATTTCGAAAAGTCGGCCCAGGGCTAGAAGGCAAAGAATACAAGCAGCGGGGGGCCTTCTTCGAGCTCAGAGTCGATCGCACGGTCATAACCCCGGAAGTCCTAGTGTGCCTAAGGTTCCGGAAGCTTTCTCTTCGTTGACGAGAATCCAGTGAGCATTAATGGGATCTACTGAGCTTTACGACACTTTAATTCCGTCCCCGGGACCAGAACTATGTATTTCAACAATTCCTTACGTTGCTCGCTTTGACGTACTAGCCTGGCGCTAGGATAGCGACGATGAGTGTAACGACGGCATGTCTATGATACCCTATTATGTAGTAAAAGTTCAATAGATATCGATGGCTCTTGCCTTGACGACCACTTCATATCTCCGAGTCTGCACAATACCACAATTAAAAAGCAGTGGTGTTCATGCCCATGATAGCAGCTTTCTGAATCCGTCTAATCGTACGAGCATAGTCAAATCAGTAGCCGGAACCCAAAACGGGCTAGCGCACATTGCGCTCTGATGCAAGGGGTTTTGCAAGATAGTTGGCGTCCTTCCTCAGAGAACTAGTACCTACGTAATGGCTACCACAACTCAAGTAGTCACGGCAGACAATGTCTTTCGCCTATTTCCCGACGTCAATACTAATCTTAGCTCCTCCCATCGTGTCGCAACAAACGACTTAGATCTACATGGATACGACGAGGAGCAAGTAAAGCTTATGGAGGAAGTGTGTATTGTCCTTGACAGGGATGATAATCCTATTGGAAGCGCAAGCAAAAATTCTGTAAGACGCCTCCGTTTTTCTGTCTTCTCTTATCCAAAACAAAGAATCCTGCTAAGTATCTCCAACAGGCCACATGATGTCCAACGTCAACAACGGACTCCTTCACCGCGCCTTTTCCGTCTTCCTCTTCAATTCTCAAAATCAACTACTTCTTCAGCAGCGAGCTTCGGAGAAGATCACGTTTCCAAATATGTGGACGAATACATGCTGCTCCCATCCTCTGGGGATACCTGGCGAGACCGGCGATACATTGGAGGCCGCTGTCCAGGGCGTGCGAACGGCTGCGCAACGGAAGCTAGATCACGAGCTCAGTATCAAGAAGGAGCAGGTGCCGCTGGGAAACTTCAAATTCCTGACAAGAGTACATTACCTCGCCCCGAGCGACGGCAAATGGGGAGAGCATGAGAGTATGATCCCAAAACTCAGCAGGCGATGCATCTACACCGAAAGCTGACTTATTGGCCTAGTCGATTATATATTGTTCATCAAGGCCGACGTCGACCATGTTGCTAACGCTAACGAAGTCAAAGAGACTTGCTATGTCTCACAGGAGCAACTTCGAGAGATGTTTAAAGACAATGCTTTGAGTTTTACTCCATGGTTCAAGCTCATTTGCCAGTCAATGCTATTTGAATGGTGGGACCATATCGATCAAGGTCTCGACCAGTATCTGAATGAAGAAGAAATTCGGCGAATGTAATGAGTGGACGGATACAGCATTATAGGCGGCCGACAAGAGGACTTTGATCAGCAACGAGGCCCTAGACGACTTTTGCTTTATTGCTTGATACCCCAAGCCTATGGCTTATGATGTCCTTTCGGGGACATGCCTCAGACAAAATTGAAGGAAATGTTCATCGCACAGGATGCATCAACATGGAGCCATGTACTCCTACAGCTCCCCGGGGGTTTCTACCACGTGCATGTCAACTTCCGTCCTTCTACTTCATTCGCCTCGCTTGCACGACTTTTGCGACTAATGATCGGAAAGTTTGGTGCCAGCTCATGTTATCTTTGCAGTAGCGCTAGCCCGAGAGGCTGCCACGTCATAGCTCCTTGCATTATCCTCTCGTGCAAGGACCTTCAGACTATCGGTGTGACTGAAGTGACTCGTCAAGATACCCTATCTGGGATGCCTGCTCGCCAGAACAGCATTTCGACGCGAGATCGGAAACTGCGATCCAAGTTCTTCATGCGTCTGAGGCGTTGTTTCCGCCGCTGACCAATGTTACTGATGAAACACAGTGCCATCGCTTCTAATCAAGGTCTGCATTTAGTGGCCGCAGCTGACGGTGTGAAGCTGCATGTCATTTGTCCCTGGACGCTCAAGCTCAAAATAAAGCAGTTGTCAGGCTGGCGCCGTCAGTCAGCCTTCGATTTTAGCAGGCGTCGTCGCATGGCATGGCATAGCATGGCATAGCATGGCATGGCATGGCAGTGTCCGCTTCATCAGCGACTGGTCAGTGGTCACCGCTGCTAGCTCAGGGACTATCGCGATGCCAGAGCGCTGTCATAAGTCATTAGGCCTGGAAATACTCTCGGTCATAGTCATCTGATTTCTATCGGTTCCTTTAAAGTCTCCCCTCGCACACCGTGAGCTGCATCGTCTACGTGATACTCTCTAAGAAAACGTCATCTGCTTCTCGCCAGACCCTTCCTTCGGCACTCGCTTGCCTCTCCAAGTCTCCAACGTCTCCCCGCTGTTCGGGAAAGTGCATATACCTTCCTGCAGCACTGCCTGAATACGCCTGCTTGCAGTTGCCTGCTTTCGAATTTTCGCACCAAGATCTGCTGAATGTCGGTCGATATAAGACCGTATCTCCCTTGTCTGAGGCTCCCCTATCGTCTGGAGACCATCTCAAGATCACAACTCTCAAGAGAACATAGTGGTGACTGCACAAGATCAATTGGTACGCCCAATTAACGAGACAGTGACTTCTGGTGAGCCGCGTCATCAATGTGTGATGAAGGCTACGTGCTTAACACTTGTGACAGGGCAAACACTCCTCTGTCTACCATCCCATCTACTGGACATCCGCCATGGCTATACGCATTGTGCATAGTGACATGCACCTACGTAAAGCTCTTAGTAAAACCGAAACCGACATCACGATCAACTCTTGCTCCTCAACGTCTACCGCGTCCAGCTATGAAGTCACCCAAGGCGTCATCACGTGCAGCGAGTCCTCCAAAGACATAGAGTTTCTCCACAGTCGCAAAGGGCTTTCTCGAAGAATCCCCAGGCGCTCAATTGATCCAACTTCGACGGTTCGAAAGCTCAAACCATCCGAGACCCGACACGCATCGCTGTGCTTGGCAGAAGCTTTCATTGACGACGATACTGCCCGCTACTTCACGCACACTCCGGACCGCGCGTCTTGCTCTGATCAAGACCAATGGAATTTGCATGTCTTTATTATGGAGCAGTTAGTTAGAGCGCATATTGTGTGCGGACTCGCCACCGTCATTGGCGACAATTATGACTCTGTCGCGCTTTGGTACGTTCTCAATGCTCCCACCAGACTACCCTGATTACGGGACTGTGCCCTGATGCCCAACAGGATGCCCCCTGGTAAAACGATGGACGGCCTCAAATCCAGAATGCATAAAGTGCTGCGCAAATGCGACTTCGAAGGCAAGCTTTCCGAAGAAGGCATGACTCGCTTTTTCGACGACTTTTTCCCCAAGCTTCACGAAACCAAGCACGAGATCCTCGGCAGCAAGTGTGATGCCAATTCGTGGTACTTGGTATATGTGGGCACGAAGATTGGTAGTAGGAAGAGGGGGTATGCAAGAAAGCTTATACAGCATACACTAGACAAGGTACGTGAACATGCATTGGTTCTACAATTTCGGGCGACACAGAAGCTGATTTGAGAGCAGGCAGATAAGCAAAAGGTCCCATGCTATCTTGAGAGTAGTAATGAAGCGAACACGAAACTGTATAATAGCCTTGGCTTTGTCCATATGAGAGACATCGAACTCACGAGGGCTGAAGAGCCGGTCAAATTGGATATCATGACGCGCCAACCAGTCAAAACAAAATCTAATCGATCCAAGGCCGCGAGGGGGTGAAATGGATAATGAAATTGGGGATCTGACATTGTAAGAGGAGGGATACTTCATCATTTTTCGGTACAGTCTACCTGTTGCGAATAGTGATTGCGCACAGGTGCGTGTTTTCAACCTGCAGTAATTAGGCATCATCGGATTTGGCGCGTGAAGCATATGATACCCTTGGAGCGAACATGATGAAACGCCTATTTCAATATAATGACTTTGGTACAGATACTATCTCCACTCGAAACCTTCGGTAGTGCTAAGCAATACAAGAGCATTGTTCTGATAGGCAACCCAAACATCTGAGAGCTTTTTTGCCGCGTTGATTCTCAGAGTTGCCAGAGTTCAGCAACGTTCAAATACCCGATATAACCCCTTAAGATCTGCCACCTCAACAACGCCTTTTAGGAGGCCTCGAGTCGCGACCAATCGTGCCCTCAAGGCCGGGAAAAAAACGTGCTCCAGAGTCCGCTCCATCTCTGTCCGTTTGACTGCCATCGCTTGCTCCTGCACCATCTCCTCTTCATTTCCAACAGCTTGACCACCGTCGTGATCCGCCATTACTGTGTCTAGGCTTTCACTTTCTTTCCCGACTTTCATCGTCGAGTATGGCGGTAATTGCTCCATAGCGTAAAACCTCGCCAATTCCCTTAAAAATGTCTGAAAACAACCTGTTTCATCATCCCATTCAACGCATGGCCCCAAACGCATCAAGAATCGTGGGAGCCTTGCCAAAGAAGGCGTGTAAGCCTTCAGCAGTAGAGGCAGACTCAAGAGCTCGCCTTCCAGACTTATTTCAAGATTGAAATATTCCGCTAACATTTTCTTGCGTGACAATAGTTGGCGAGTCACAGTATCGGGCACCCTGTCCCATTCCACTTCTACATTACCCTTTGAATTTCCCTGCTCATGTTCAACCCCGGCACGTATCAGAGCCCGGATGTCTAGAGGCTTCTCAAAAACGATGGTCCCAAAATTCCCAAAATCAGCCAAGCCAAGTTGATAGAAGTATTCTGTGCTCACGAGCCCATAGTCTACCAGAAAGAGCTTGACGCCGCTTTGGATGGCGGCAAGTCGGCGGTATGGATCTACCAAGCCAACGTATGTAAGACACGCAAAAGTCTCGGTCAGCGAAGCGTGCATGTCGTTACGAACAGCCGCTCGCAGAGTTTTGATTGAGGAAAGGCGGCATTCAGTGCGCATTCGAGGCGAGTGAAAATAGTCAGGTCCGGTCGTCGTCCGAAGCGGACTTGAAGAAACTAAGCTCTTATTTGAAGGAGGAAGCATAGAAGTAATCTTTCGCGTATTGGGGTCTGTCCGAACGAGATTATTCTCGTGCGGTTTTACAGGTGTAGCAGGTGGTTGCCGAGATTGCGTAGCATTCGCAGTCGGATGTGACGTTCTGGTATGTGCCGGGAGGGAAGGCCGGTTGCCATGAGGCAAAAGAGATTGCGTTGTGAACGTCCTACTTGTATCTACTTGAGCCAATTTTTCGCGGATCGAGGCACAAATGCTCTCCGTAATCTCGTCCTCATTCAGGAAGTTCACTTCGCGTTTTGTTGGGTGTACATTCACATCTACGCGTTGCGGGTCGACGTTGACGCTCAAGTATATAAATGGGTGACCGCCCTTCGGTAGGTAGGCCGAGTAAGTCTGCTCAAGAGCCTTCTTCATCGTCGAAGATTCCACGGAACGATGATTAATGAACAATATAAGCGTAGTCTTCTTGATATGGTAATTGGCATTGCTTGACCATCCACTTGCCTCGAAGCCCCACCTTTCGTCACTACAGTCAAACTTGAGGAGTTCATTAGCTATGGTGCTCCCGTGGATTTGCCGGATGCTCTCAATTGTGCTGGCACTAGATGGCGTGGAAATGCTCATGGCGGCATCGCCATGCTTCTTGCACGACAATGCCACGCCAGAGCAATGGATTGCGTAGCGACCTACCACATCCAGAATTTTGGCATATTCTTCGCTGGGTGAGCGGAATGCTCGCTGCCTCGATGGGACATTGTAGAACAGGTCTTCGACCTGAGAGAATATCAGTGAGGACTGGTTCATAGTCATGTTAGCGCACAGTTATCTGAGTGCCACCACGTCCAGCCGTAGGCTTCGGATCTGAGCTTTGACCAGGCTTCGCTGGTACCAGTTTACCGTCTCCATAGTGGGCTCGCCATGCACAACTGGAGTCTGCAGTCTTCGTCGTGATCGTCAGGTGTGCGATGTGACTGATGCTAGCCAGCGCTTCGCCCCGAAAGCCGTACGTGCCAACAGTCGTCAAGTCTTCAAAAGTCTTCAACTTGGACGTGGTAAATCGCTCGCAAAGAATGGATAAGTCTTCTCGCTACCAAAGTCAGTCAAGCGTTCTGGGGCTACACGCCATCCGTTGCTCACATGAATGCCGTGGCCGTTATCTGTGATCTGTAATAGCTTCAAGCCACCATCTTTTACAGCTATCTCCACAGCCGTAGATCCAGCATCCACTGCGTTTTCGATCAGTTCTTTGAGGGCATGTACAGGTGCAACGATGATCTCCCCGGCGGCAATCTTGTTGACCACATCTTGATCGAGAGCCTAGATAAAGGACCATCAGTGAGGTCATAGTCCACAATACTCATGCCGTCGCTGTACTTTGATCCGCTTCGGAGATTGGGAAATTGCATCTTCGGCTTTTCTCTTGCTGCCTCTCGAGAAATCTTCAGAGGACTGCATCATGTTGTAGAATTGAAAGTGATCAAGCGTCGGCTCCTAGAGGCGTGGCTTGCCAGTCTTGCCTGTTCCAAGCTGCTGTAGGTCTAATTCCTCCAGCCGCGCGTGTAGTTCTCTCCACGACTTGAGGCATCATCTGATCATCAGAATGAAGGAATAATGATGGAAGAGAAACCAACCACAATGCAATCAAGCATAACTCATGACCTTTCCAGGGCCTTTCCAGGCGTCGGTCCAGAAACTACGCTGTCATACTTGTCCTGTACCGTAGCGCTTGCGGGTAACTTCAATCACAAATGCGTAATTGTGCTCATTAGCCTTCTGCAGGTGATGGTCACCCAGACGCTTGCTAGACGGTCCAGGCCGCCATGTCACAGGAGACAGTCTGCACATCGATCTTCATTGTCATGTATGCCCTTTGCAGAAAGCTATGACATTCTTTGACAAGGAGACGAAGCGATCATTTCTGACCGCCGACTTTCCAAGCGCTATCATGGGCCAAAGGTGATGCGACAGGATGTCTCGACAGAGGCTCTTCGCCAGTGATGAGGAGCTGGGCAAGAAGAATGACGACCGCAGGCCTGACGGCCATGCAGCGACTGCAGCATGGACAGTGCGACGGCCTTCGCACAACATAAGGAAGAGAAAGGTCTTGTACTGGCTCTGTGGTGCACTTTTTGTATTCCTCTTCATCAAGAACATCCCTACCGACGTTGGGCCACATCCACGATGGGCTGATACAAGGACCTATCAAGCTCCTGTTGCTGAGGGCAAGCTTACATCCCCGACCAGTACACCACCGAATTCTAAAAAGCCACCGCGCCCTACAGAACCCTCAAGCGCACAGGAACACTACCACGATGGCCCTATCAAGTTCTGGCAATTGGCGGCATCCCTCCACGCAGTCGCAAAATTGGGTGGACAGAAAGAGCTAAACAAGAATGTCTTGTTTGCAGCAGCAAGTCTGAAAAGTGTAGCTGAGCTTTTACCCCTTGCATGTGAAATGAGTCAATGGGAAAGAAACGATGTCCACTTAGCCATCATGGGAAGGGACGACATGGAGATGCGCGACATACTGACTATAAATGGAGTCTCGGAGGAGGACTGCAATGTCCATTGGCATGATGCACGTCCTGATTTTTCAAGATGGAGCTCAGATTTCAGGATGGAAAGCAGCGTCGCCGCGAGTCTAGAGCACATCCAGACTTTCGTTCACCCTCAAGTCATTCTAACCGATGCTCCAAGCAGGGAAGAACAATATTTCGTCAATGGTATCAGAGGAAAAGCGCTAGACCTGTGGAAGCCCTTGATTGAATTGCCGCTGGACGCCATGAAAACGTTGACGTGGATCACCCGTCTCGATAGCTCGTCTCTTGCGGCCTGGCCGCGGGTATATATTGACATCTTTATACAGGCGCCTTCGGAGTCCTCAGGCTCTGTAGTACGGCTCCTCCGTTCAGTCGAGAGCGCCGATTACTTTGGTACCAGACGTCCCCATTTGACAATCGATTTGCCCGCGGAAATCGATCCCCCTACCTGGTCGTATATAGAAAACCTTGTATGGCCGCCGACTGATTGGTCCGGTGCGCCTCATACTTCTCAGGTCACGTTGAGACATCGCATATCTCGGAAGACGACAACGGCTGAGGAAGCCTCTGCGCGGTTTTTGGAGGCCTTCTACCCAAAAAGGACCATGGATTCTCACGTCGTTCTACTTTCTCCTCAAACAGAATTATCGCCCTTGTATTACCACTATCTTCTTTACACCGTCCTCGAATACAGATATTCCCGCCACTCTAAATCAAATGAAGCTACGAAAAATATTATGGGTATCAGCCTTGACCTGCCCGCCTCCTACCTGGACGATGAAACTCCTTTTGTAGCTCCCATCCGCAGGGAGGGCAAGAATAGCAGCGACGACGAACGGACACAGGAGCAGTTGCCGTTCATGTGGCAATCTCCTAACAGTAACGCAGCGCTGTATTTTGGCGACAAATGGATGGAATTCCACTCCTTCTTAGCCTTACGACTCACAAAAGGCCCATCAGATCCCTCGAAAGACTTCAGTAAAAAGCATCCCGCCTGGCTTCAATATCTGTCAGAACTCATGCGTGCCCGCGGTTATTCCCTCCTGTATCCGGGTGTTTTCGCCGGTGAATTTGAACTCGCTACGGTTCATGATGAACTCTACAAGGTACCCGAGGAGCTCGGAAGGCAAATTACGCCGGCAGAGTCATATGGGGAGCTTCCAGCACCAGAATTGCCTCTGGATGGAAATGCCACGTATTCTCGTTCTGCACCGCCCAACGTTGAGCGCCCCCTTATTGAGTCGTCATTAGTTTCGCTGCTTCCGAACAAAGGTGATCTGTTAGAGACGAGCCGCATACCACTACTTTCCTTTCAAGGTAAGTTCCTTACCTCACAATCTTCTGGTCAGGCCGCGATATCACATTCGGATCAATTTCGGCAATCAACAGGCGGCTGTGACAAGACTCATTCTGCTCCCGGACATCAAGTTTTCAAAGCTGTAGACCTCTTTTGCGATCCCAACCAGCCTTTTGACTATTTCAAAACGTCAAGTCCGCCTACATCAGAGGAATCTCGGGCTTCCACAGAACCCCCACCGGTACAGAATAAGCCCTGGGATGCGGATCAGATTACGAAGGAGGATGCCGAGAATGCTAGGAAAGAAGCATCTCACCATCTTGATAGGCAAGCGACGACTGAAGTGAGAGAACCTGACACGCCAGATAAAGTCAGTGAAGCCCCGCCAAGATCTAGTAATAAGGGTCAGAGCAATAAGGATGTGGCTGGGGCAGAGAGCACGGAAAAGCTTCTGGCTACGGGCAAGGACGAAAAAATCAGTAGTAGCAAGGGAGACGGCGAGGTTGGAGTGAGTGAGGACCAATTCAAGAGGGGAGAAGCAAAAGTCGTTTCAAGTACTCAACCCCCAGCGCGTGATCGAGATATCACAGTGGCAGATTTGAAGCCACCAGCAAAGCCAGCTAGCGCTTTTGAGAAACAGAAGCCACAAGCGCCTAATGAGAATGAGGTCGAGGGTGAAGACAGGAATCCTGGTTGGTAGTACTCAAGGTCAGGATGATACCCCGTTGAGCGAAAGTGAGTACGCTCAATATCTCTTTATTCACGTTACGATACAGATCAAGGCACGTAGTAAGCGCGCCGTTTAATGTGCATATGAGCGTCAGTGTATAGAATAGAATAGTATTCCTACCCATTGAATTGATATAAATTTTGTCTACCACGTACGATTCCGCACTTCCCTTTTGTTAATCTTCATTGAAGCTGTTAGCATCTGGGATCGAAGGCTAGGCGAACTCTGAAGGGTTTCCTCCTCGGGTATGATTTTTTCCTCCGTCTCGACGTCTCAAGCTACTGATAAATTTACAGTCGAAATAAAAAAATGAAGTTAGTGAACATCGACTGCTCAGAACCGAGCCTTCATCTTTGACCGTGATGAGTCTCTCCTGCTCTTCTTCCTTTTGACAAAGCTACCGGGTCCTTCCTGGCCTATCACACCGTCGACCTTCGCATTCTCGAACAACTGCTGCCCCAGACTATCCGTAAGCCTCAGTACTCTCGAACTGACAGTTGCTCCATCCCTCCGATTCTTGCCTTCTCGTCTCGACTTGGCTATCATCTCGATATAGTCCCACAACCTTCCTTGCGAGATAATTTGGCCTGTTTCAGGGTCTCGCTGAGGCGCCCACTCCTCCGCCAAGCAGATTAAAGAGCGAGATTTCTTGTCCTTGCCGTTCTTCTCGATGAAAACAATCCCTTCTTCCTCGAAAATCTGAAACGCATTCTTCAGCGTTTCCTTGTTGACGGCTTCGAAATAAGATAAGTCGCCTTGATGGTACAACGTCTTGCCGAGGAGCTGAGCAGTATCCTGTGCCTTGGTAAAATCAACCCACGTTTCTCCAGCTTCTCCTTGCGGGGTCAGTGGTTGAGTCAAGCCCATCAGTGAGACACTACCAAGCCACGTAGATTCGATGAAGGGCCAGATCAGGAAGCAATAGAAGTCAAAATTTTCACGACCACTGGCTCTCTCTTGAGCTGAGACTTGCGCCGAGAGGAGTTTACCTGTAGCGTCTTTTGTCAAGGAGAGCACACCATCGCTCTCCAAACCGCTCAAAGTGGCGTTCAGATTTGCCAGCAAGCCAGCAGTTGGATAGATGAACTCGCCCCTGAAGAGTTGGGAGAGGAATGCAACCTGCTCATATAGGGCATTGAACGACATCATTTGATTGTCGGGACCACCGCCTTGCTTCACTTTAGAGTACATTGCGGCCGAAACCAAAGCCTCAGAGATGAAAAGATGGATAGTCCTTCAGCAAACCGGCGTCAGCAATGCTTCTTTAGACTGCGAGAAGGAGTCACGGGACATGTCTCTCAAGTCATGACTCCGAAAACATCACTTACATATTCCTGTAGAAAGAAAGCTGGAAGCGGTCAACAGCGTAATACGTGGTCTCCGGTAAACCAGGCACAATGCCAACGAGCCCTGATCCCAGCACCTCAAGTCCACGATCCACGACAGCCTCAGTCGGTGCGCCCGCAAAATGAGCGACTCGTCCCCCTTTGTTCCTGACTCGATCACTCAGCCAATCAACTCGCCGTATAAGCTCGCCTTTGCCAACGCCACGACCACGTAGAGTGAGGAGAACTGTCCCGATCAACGCAGTCGGCATGACCACGGACACAGCATTGATCTCGGAAAGAACTCTGAAGCCCAACGTCCGAAGCAACCGGACCCGATTATCCTTGCGGGAAGTGCCCTTTGGCGAGCTCGGAGACCTGGGTTGAAATGCGTCGATCCTCGCTATTTGGTCATTGAGAAACTCACGCAGGGACCACGGTTCATGGAATCGAACATCTACCCTGCCGAGTCGTAGGGAGAGCACTGAAGAAGCAGACAAAAAGTCTTGCAAATTCTCTTTTGGCTTTGGCTGACCAAGAAGCTCGCTGATGTACGATTCTGTCTCGACAACTTTATCGTATTGTGTACTGACTGGGCAGATTATAGCGTCATTCACCCTCCCAGACAGTACGCTATCTAGAAGAAAGCTCAAGATGCCAAATTTGGGTGACAGCAGCTTCCCTGTCCTCGAACGCCCTCCCTCGATGAAACACTCGAAATTGTACCCATTTTGCAAGAGTGTGTCAATGTAAGCTTGCACGAGAGTAGTGTACAGCGCGTCCTCGCCAAAGCTTCTCCGAATCCACATTGCACCAGCATGTTGCAGAAAAGCTCCAACGACTGGGAAATTGAGGTTGTCCCCAGCGACGACCGTAGGCAAAGCAATCCCAAGCCGATAGCAAATGATCTGTAAACTGACATAATCGACGTGGCTCCGGTGACAGGGTAGGAAGATGATTGACTGCTTCTTCCCTGCCGCGTCTTCCGCAACGGACCTCAACCTCAGCACTTCCTCGCTTGAAACATGAATACCCTGATGATAGGCTCGAGTCAAGAGTTGCGTGCATACATAGTATGCTCCCCTGATGAACCTCTTGCTCTCCATCTTGCAGATCATTGCGTCTGTCATCTCAAGCGCTACCTCCTTGAGACTCTCCTCAATCGCCTCCTGCCTCCTCTTCTTCTTCTTCTTCTTCTTCTTCTTCTCTTCCAAATCTGTCTCTGAGCCAAGCAGACCCTCACGCTCCTCGATCAACACTCTGCTTCCTGCCAACTCCTCGAGCTTCTGCCTCAACATCGGCGTCTGCATAATCATCCGCTTCATATCCTCCGAAAATCCACTATAGAATATTGGTTGTCCTAGGACATCATCGTACGCCCGCCAGCCCTGACCGGACACGTGTAGCGAGACTTCACGTAGGAAGTCAAGTGGTGATTCGCGGAAACGAGCCATGTGCTCGACAAGGTTCTGCTCGCCATCTCCACCAGGCTTGGTAGACGGTGCGACATAGCCGCCTGGATGGAGGGTGACTTGATCACCGAGAATGTCGAGATCGGGAGGTGAAGGTGGGGAAATTATTTGTTTGGGCCAGGGCATGGCTGCTTAAACCGTAAAGTAGGAGAGCCATCAATACCACAAGGACCACGAGGCAGTAATGCGAATCGCTGTAGCCATGCCTCAATCAGTAGCCTCTACAGCCTGCGCCTTAACATTGGGACTCATGTAATAGCGATCATTAGCATCTCCTGAGGACAAATGAGTCGAGAAGCGAGGCTTGAGGCTCCTCCGCTCCGCTCCGCTCCACAGCCCCACCTCCTTCAATCCTCCCCCACCACCATCCTGTCCCCTTGCAATGGCATCGATACTCGATCCATGGGGCACTCGAGCTGTCACAATTGATCAGTAAGATGCTCAGGGACATGTTGTTCCTGTATCTCTAACGGCAGAATTCCAGCGACTCAGACAACAACCCTCTCCTCCTCCAACCCATTCTCGCTCCGCTGCTCTTCCCGAACGACTCCTCCGATGCGCGCGACCACTGCGCGAATGAGCGCACCTTTCTTTCCTGGCTCCGTCTCAGTATATACATGTCTGTTGTAAGCGCCGCGATCATCCTCTCCTTTCATCTGAAATCCGAGCCTACAAGCTTGGAAAGGAGATTCGCCCTACCAGTGGGGTTGACGTTCTGGGTCTTAAGTCTTGGATGCTTGGTCAGTGGGCTGGGAAATTATTTGAAGACGGTGAGAAAGTATGCTTTAAGGAGGGCCCTGGTGCAGAGTGGGTGGAAAACGCAGGTTGTATGTTGCAAGGCATTAGATGGACAGGAGAGCAACAGATACTGATGAGGATTTAGGTCTTTACGATTATAGCTTGCGCCATTGTGGCAGCTTGTGTGCTGTTCTTATCTACTGGCGCCGTATCCAGTCGATGAATACTTGCCAAATTGTCTTGACGAAATAACCTGTATGATTGGGTTGACGGCCTCAGGATGTTAGCCAAGTCGAGATGCCAGCGGGAAACGCCACTCAATATTCTTCTAACTGAGAAGCTTTTATACTCATCTACCTCTGACAACCGGTTCAGGTATCGGTCCTCCACTAGGTCAAGAGCCCCCGACAATGGAGGCGAGAAGCCCGTATTCAGATCTTTAGAGTGACCAACCCGCCGTCTCAGCAACTTATAGGAGCTGAGAACTGCCCTTGAGAGTGAACGATGCTGGTTTGCAGAGCCTCCTGCAACCTTCCATCCACAATCACACAGATTCACCTGTGCTTTGGAGAGTATACAACAGTCAGGCGATCGTTGTTACACTGACATTGGAGCCCGTTCGACGCCTCAAGGGCTCTATCTTTCATCTTCATATTTCCGCAATCCCATCTGTGTCGGACTCCGGTTCCCCAACAGATGGCGTAATTGCCTTCGCTGGTTGATCTTTATCCGAGAACATCACGCAACCTTCAGCCCAAGGATCTTCATCACATCCGAACAGCCCACTCCACAACCTCTCAAGCGTGTACAGAAAGAGTGGATGCTCAGGACTACTGCCATCCATCCACCCTAATACTTGCCAGGGCTCTTTCTCTCCATGGATCCAGTGGTGCTTGGGGGCAACGACGAGTTCGAGCAAGTATTCGTAGATCCTTTTCGGTCTTGCTTGTATTCGATCTCGCGACACGACGAACTGGTTGTACATGGCGACGCGTTGCTTGCCTTGGCACACCTTATCCGTGTAGAGAGCCATAATTTGTGGCACCAAGGGGAATTGATGGGTTTCCGGGCCTTCGCAGTCGCCGCAATTGCACCATCCAATTCCTGGCTCATTCAATCCGTGGTTGATGAAACCAGTGCTGTTCTTCAATTGGTAGCGAAGAGCATCATAGTGCGCTTCGTCGAACAGGCCTGTCGCTTCGTTGAGTCCGACGGGGTGCTCGTGGATGAACATGGTAAACCGGGCGAGGTTGTCATAATTTTTTACAATGTGGTGCAAAAAGGTGCCGCCCTCTCTGCCACGGTTACGCAAGTGATGAAGCTCGTCGCACTTGGATATGCTCATGAATTTGTTCGTTTCGTCGAGCTTACTCTTGGTGTATACTGTTGTTTTCGTGCCCAGCTTCCAGATGTTGGGCATCGTTCTCAGTTGACTTAGCCATGTGTTCATGGTACGTGGCCCTTCTCTGCTGTGCGCGATGACAATATGCAGCTGTGGTGTGTTGTCTGAAGGCGTATGCATGTTCTGTAGAGCCGGAATGCGATATTCTGGCAATGAGAAAGCCGGGCCATGGATACAGAGCCTCCATATCAACGAGAGGACAGCAAAAGTTGCAAGGCAGATAGTTGTTCGGGGGTAAGGAGGGTCTTTTCTAGGTACAGATCTTGGAGAGCGAGAATGTAATGGCAAGATGGTCATCGTAGGCTGTGAGGTATCAGTCAGGGGTGAAGCGTCGATTTAACACAGCAGGTCAATAACTTCATTTTTCGGGCCTATACATTTGAGCGCAGTATTGATATAGATTGTTGTAAGATCAGGATTGAAGCAAAGGGTCGCTATCCACTTTGAAAAGAGCAAATTTGTCTCATTGCACTCCCGCGACCGTGCCATAACGACTTACCGGCCATCGTCACATGTGGCGGTGGCACGAAAAGCTGGCTCGCAAGTTTAGCCAATCTAGCACGCTTCATAGAAACAGACGAACGAAGTGCAACACTAAAGACAGCACCATGCAAGCAATGACTGAAATATATCACACTTATCTTGAATCGCAATTTTTGCCAACGTCGATGATTTTTTAACACCCAGGTGTTCATTAACATGTGAGATCTCGAACTAAAACCCTCGATGCAAGATGTGAAATGCAGTTGCGACTCAATCTCGGTGAGGCTAAGTAATGCAACGTTCTGAAGAACACCCAGAATGAGGACTTGATCCCCCAATAGCCGAATCTAGAAAAATCATATAGGTCAAAAAGACATAAATCGTCAAGATCTAAAGATCCACTGAGCTGGTACAGAAGGCGTATCTCAAAATCACAAGCTGAATTCACCATCAATGGGCGCCTCCGACATCTCTGTTCAAATTCGTTCTGCTGCTCCGGTCTATTGACTATTTGCAGTCAGAGTTTCTTCAGCTCGGGATCTAGAACCCATAAGCTGACAAAAGCTGTGATCCCTTCACTTCAAGCATCTGGATCATTGTCTTCTTGGACCTTGTCAGCAAAGCACCCTGATTCTTCCAGCCCCATCAAGTAATTCCTTGCTCGAACGCACACAATGCTAATGGCGTATGCATGCCAAACGTCACGTCCGTCTAGGGTATGGTTCAGGTTGGCGATTATCTTGATCGGTCTTGCAGGCTGGCTCGGATCAAACGTAACAATTGATACGACGCTAAATTTAATGATCATGGCGTACAGCGTTGGAGTTGAATTTGAAGAAACCTGCAATGTGCGATTACTCTCGTTCTTGCCGTTGCTGAACGCATCTTGCCATTGATCATGCAGTATTTTCAGCTTATTAGTGGTTCTTCTGACAGTACTTGCGATGGCTTCGCCAGCCTTAGCAGCTACGATGACAATTAGATTGGGATAGATTTTGTGCTTCAGCTTTGCATCGCGTATAGACCATCTTTGGTACCTTTCGATACCTCTATTTAGCGATGATTCGGGCCGTTGTCTTTGATTGAGCGCGTCTCGACAGCGTGGTCCGTTATCCACAAGGGTCTGGAATTCCGTGGTGGCTACACTCAAAAAGTGATCAGCTTCTACATGTGGTATCACGAATATCTAAAGCTTTACCTTCTGCTAAGGTGGTATGGTGATTGTCAATTAGCCAGCGCTGCGTATTCTTTGTGAAAAGAATATCTGGAATGTTTGGAAACTAGATGAAGTCTACGTTAGCACTGGCTCCTTAGTAGGCTTGCAAGGGTACATTGCGTAAAAATAAACAGCGGTCTAGAACGACATCTTTGGGATCACTTACATCCCAATGCCACCGTTCAGGCATAAGCGGCTCACATCCACGACTGTCGAGCTTTGTGTAAAGCCAGATTTCTTCACTTGACCAATCTTTAAAGTCATGTTTTCTGGACTCAAGTTTGTGACCCCTTTGCTTTGACTTTTTGTGAGGGTGCGAGTTAGTCCGTATGTTCTCCTCAAAGTCTAGAGAGGCGTCTGATATTTGGTCGGTAGGATTAGTGTCACTATCAACATGTACTTTATCTGTGCTGCGTTGACTTCGAGTGAAGAGGTTGCCGAGGAATGGGATGCTCCATCGGCTGGTCTTCTGGCCTCCAGGTCGCCGACGCTTTATGATCCTTCCTCTTTTGACTTTGTGCAAATCAGAACTTTCTCCACTTAGGCCTATTGCTCCGCGACTTGAGGTTCCTGAACCATTCGCGCCATTTTGGTCTGTTACAGCTGTGGAAAAGGCTAACTTAGCGAAGGGAGAGAGAACTCTCGCAAAACCACAAATGAGCACCATAACGAAAGTGGACTATGTTTAGCAAAGGAAAATGAATTTGCAAGGAAGGATGTCGCAACGGATTGAGCGGCCTATCCCAATCCCGAATGAAGCGCAATGTGACTTTGAGGAAACCTTAGATCGCCATTGGGAATGCGGAGTGGAGGCAGCATCATACATGTCAGAACGACAGAAGCGATTTCAACGCCTTGAAGATTGTACACTGGCATCTAGAAGCGGGCATGTAGTGTCGAAGAACAAAGCAGTGAATGAAGAGCACTAGGCTTGGCGGCCGAGGGGGCTCTAGCTTGCGGTCCCCGGGTAAACGAAATGCCGGGGCTGCGGACAGGAAGTGTGAAGAGCATTCGGCTTGTCTCATTATGTGGAAACAGCTGCAGACCGCAATAGCCTTCGCTCAACAGGCCACGCGATCCGTTGGTCGTCTAGAATCCGTGAGCTCATCGTTCGGCCTATCAAAGAGGCAAGGTGTATGTCGAAGATGCTTCCAAACCAAGGGCCTTTACCGGACTGTACGAAACACTCCGGAACTATGGTGGAAACGGCAACGACATGGACGGACCTCTTTTGTTGTGTATCGTATATGGGAATACTCTACTAGAAATGGAAGTCGACTCGGAGAACAGCGCGAGGACCTCCCATCGACGCAAGAGGGGCGCCGCTCGCGACTGTCGAAGAGAGTTTCTCACCTGATGGACAACGTCCAAGCCAATGTATTCATAGCTGGACAGCGGCTCAATGATCTGACTGGATACTCCGGAATCGAAGCCCTCAAGCGAGAGATCGAATGTCAAGGTACATCCCAAGAGACTTTTGATGCATCTAGTCCTGATAAGGGTACCAGAGCAGACAGTTGAGTTGATGCGCAGCTCCCTTCAGGAAGCTCGAGACGCATATTCCGCAGCAATATCGACTCGCGCATCCTCTCAACGCGAAGTGAACGAGCTGCTTCAACGAAAAAACACCTGGTCACCTCAGGATGTCGAGCGATTTACGGCCTTATATCGCTCTGATCACGCAAGTGAACAAGCTGAAGCATCGGCTCGAGCCCACCTCGACGAGATCGAAACACGGTCAGAGGAAGCTGGTGCAAGGTTGAGCACGATCATACTTACACGATACCATGAGGAGCAGATTTGGAGCGATAAAATTAGGCGCATGAGTACGTGGGGTACGTGGGGCTTGATGGGAGTAAATGTGTTCCTCTTTCTCATCTTCCAGATTGGAGTTGAGCCATGGAGAAGGAAAAGGTTAGTCAAAGGGTTTGAAGACAAGGTTGCTGAGGCTTTAGAAAAAGAGGCGAGGCTGACCGGAGCAAAAGCCTCAGAGCGAACACCAGCAGACGAGAATCCGAGCGAAGTAGTCTTGATTGAACCCAGTCTTACCGAAGGACTTGATGCGAACGTATCGTTGGCTTCGAGTGGAACTGTTCTACCATCTGAGGCGCCTCATGCTACAGAAGTCAGCACTGTCGTAGCAGTTCCTGAAAACGCATATCCAGCTTCGACCATTGAGAGCGTCAGACAGTCTCTCAAGGACATATTCAGCGAACGAGAAGTTGTTATCAAGCGTGTTGATTTAACGACAGCAATGCTTGAAGGTTTCGGAGCTGGCATTGCTCTCATCGGAGTCCTCGTCATATTCCTACGCCCCCATTAGTGTGAAATTCTCGGATTCTGACACTATATCTTTGGCAACCCGCTATCTGATATATCAATTCAAATCCAAAAGACATGTTGCACCTAAGTCTCAATTTCTCTCCGTTAGAATCATCATCTTTGTACGCTAAAATATTAAGCCTCCTCATTCCATTAAGAATCTCAAGAATCCCTGTGCTACAAGCACTCCGTCTTGCGGCTTAGCAACCCTTCTCATACCGTCTGTGAATAGCTGTTTATTAAACACTCCTTGATAGTGCCTCTTCTCCAGCAATTCTCTCTCTATCTCTTCATCAAATTCAGGGTGGCCTTGTACAGAAATCAACCGCCGCGAGATATACATTCCCTGCACTTGACACACATCCGTCGATCCCAATGCCTCTACACCCGAGACGTATTCGCAGACAATATCCTTGTGCATCTGACAGATACTCTGTCCTCATCAGCCAAAATGATTCCTTATCTGACTACCGCATTAAGCATGGAGCACGTACCAGCACATCCTTGCCACCAAACAGTTCCTTGCCCTTCTCCGTCTGCTGTACTTCGCAAACACTGACCTCCCAAGTTCCCCTCTCATGCTTCGCCACCCTAGACCCCAAAGCTCTCCCGAGAATCTGATGTCCAAAGCATACTCCAATGACCTTCACGTGCGGATGTTCGAGCGCTTTCTGGGTATATTCCACGAGCCGCAGAATCCATGGTTCATCATCAAATGAATTAAACTCTACCATCATTGGCGTCTTAGTAAGATGCTCTTGTATGACACACAGTCTAAACGGGATGTGGGGAAGGTGACCCACATACTGCTCCCCGTAATCAAGACGGCGTCTACCTCCCCCAAATCAGGATACCCTCTCCGTCTCCTCCACCCATATATTCCTCCACAATCCACATCTTCCCCGTCAGGATCGGGGTGAAAGACATCCCACCCAGTCAAAGCGAGTTGAGATCTTGGGACTGAAGAGGCGTCGGCAGCTTTATGTAAGAGAGAGGTAAACACGCCTCCGTAGCTGCCGTATTTGGCGCTGGTTTTTTCCGGCGGATCGTCAGCTTCAAGGATCGCTACATGGTAAATGCGAGTTCCTGAAGGGAGAGACCCCATCTTTGTTCCTCCCTGCGATGGTCTTGGATCTTATCATGTGAATAACAAGTGAAGGTGAAGTGCGAGGGTCGTTCGAAAACGATGGAGGACTATCGATAAGCTGGCCTGGCTTGGCATTGATAACTCAGCTTTCTATAATTCGGTATGGTGCTTGTAAGATATACCTCTTGTAGATTAGAACGACTCCTGAGTTGCTCTATATAGCAAAAAAACTCTGCAGTACCAGTGATGCCCCCTAGTGGAATCGAACCACTGATCTTCTCATGGGCGTAAGACTCATATGCATACGAGTGAGACGCATTACCACTGTGCCAAGACTAATTGACAGAAATCAGGAATTGAAGGAATGAATGCATTTTTGTAGGCGAACTTACGGGCTTTCCAATCCGAAGATCAAATATCCATATATATACCTGACAACTTTTGCTTCTCTTTCCTAGCTCGTAGCCTCGTTTTCTCTGGCCGAGGATGTGACAAAACGCTGCCATGAATGGGCGAGTTCTCTTAAGGGAGCAATTTTTCAAATAAAAGGCTCTCCTTCAACGACCCGCATTACATTTAAAGCCTACTGTAGATATCTTTCCCTCTTTTGGTGGTAACAAGGACCAATAAAGCCAGTACCTTTTATTTTCCCTAGTTCAGAGCCCTAACGCCATGCTAATATGTAATCTCATCAGTCATGATCAAGCATCCGGCTTCCCAGTTTATAGAAATCGCCACCAACGTAAGTAGATCAACAAAACCCTGACAATAACCGTCTCTCTAAAAGTTCACTCTGTGCTGTAAAGTCTTTAGAAGTGATTGTAAGATTGATGCACCGGTGGCTGAATCGGAGGAACGTAATGTCCTGGATACGGATGGTCCGCAAGGGCGAAATCAGCCTTCGCAAATTGCGGATTGACGATGCCCATGGGCGGCAATCTTGGGGGCGGGGGAAGTGAAGTGCTGGACGAGTATCCGTGGTTGGTTTGTTGGGTGGAATCATTGTTGTGGCCCCATTTCCTTCGAAGAGCATCGTACATGAATTGGAGACGCCAGCCAGTCTCCTTTTGAACTCTTTGGAGGATCTGAATGACTTCGTCTTGTTCTGCACGATCTGTGAGGCATTCCGCACATGTAGCAAGACAGCGAGTGGCTACACTCGCCACACCCCTAGATATATTGTAAGATGAAGCACAAAGCCGTGGATGGAACACACTGACCTGTCCTTGACATGGGCGACAATTCCGGCAAGCATGTGAGCGTGGTGCAGTTCCAGATCATGCATCTGCTGCGCAACCTGCGTGTTTGTATGTGATACAGGGTTGGTTTGCGACAGCAGACATATTCCGGTATGATAGAACATGCGAGCAACTACTGCCGTCCGCTTGACGAGCCTGCTCCTGTCAGAAAATGGCCATTCGGAACGGGCCACAACTCACCAGACTTCTGGGAAGAGGGATTTGGAGGTCGTCCTAAAATTTTGAAGATGACCTAGCGGCTTCATGGTTCTTGGTGCACGCAACTCCCAGCCATCAATCCAAGTCTTCCACCTGTTCCACTCGTCACATTTATTCTGCATCCGCATATGATCTAACGGAACATCTCCCGGACGAGGCACCATCGAGGCACGGAAATTTGCGATCTTCGCTAGAATCCAGATCATTCGATGCGTCCAGATCTCCTCTCTTCCTGGTTCGCCGCCGTTGTCAAAGTTCATGTCTAGTCCCCAATCATCCGGGTTCCACGCGACTTGCCAATTAAAATGTAAACAACTCAGCAATTCCATGCCTACATTCAACCAAAAGCAGGCTGCGCCAACACCAACAGAGTTTGCATTCCAATTACATTCTTTGATCATCGCACGAGCACCTGCGATATGATTCATCCTCTGTAAAGCTTTTTCCGTCATAGTCTCATATACATTAAGAATAACCGCAGTCGTTGCACACACGTAGATGTCTCGGTAGGGATTCTGCAATTGGCGCAGGAGAAGAGTACTGGAGAGCTGATAATAATCTGCTGCAGTTTTGTCATCGTATGCTGAGTTGACAAGATTCATATGCCGGGCACCACATGCCAAGAATGCATTCAGCAGCATCCGGTCATGCAGTGATTCATATGGGAGTATCCTAGAGAACTTTGCTATCGTCAGAACATGGAAGCTTGAAGAGCAGACGAAAGACGTACGTATTTATCACTATCCAGACTATCCATCCAAATGCCTACTTCCTCCACAAAGACTTGCATGAAAAGGAGCTCCGTTGGATCAGTAAGCATTTCCCTGGTCTCGTTCGCTTGTTCACCGTTCGAATAGGTAGAGACAGCACCTAAAGTATGGCTAGAAAAGGTTGAGTCGGAAATGGTGGAAGCATGGCGCTGGTGCTGGACCTGGGTGTCATTCGACATGCCGGACATTGTGGCCTGGTACTGGTCCATTGGGTTCGGAGCAAATGATTGCGAAGGTAATTGTTGATGTTGGAGTACGGGCGCATTGAGAATTGAATCGCTCATGTTGTTGCTAAAGTCATAGGTCGGCTCGTCCTTCAGGGAGACGTGGTCCATTTCGGTTGTAATGTTGGAGTAACGATCTATTCCTCCCTTGTATTCGGAGGCGATTTCTCTTGATTCATCCTGGAACATGAGGGTCCACTCGTCCGACGCGGGGGTGAATGGTGGTGTCTTGACTTGGGTGTCGATAAAATTCAATCGCACTCCTCTTTTACATTCCCTATTCGACTTCTTGCAGTTTTGGCAATCCGGTGAACCTTCGTCGCATTTCAGGTGCCTCTCACGACATGTCAGACACCCAGTCCGCACCCTTTTGGGTCTTGCGGCTGCGACGGCTGCTGCTGCCACCTCTGCAGGAACACTCGAAAGGAGCTGCTCACTTGTCGCCATCGAAAGGGGCCCCAGGGGAAGGGAGCTGACCCGACTGGGAGCAGGAAGGTTGACCACGTCCTGGCGCAGCAGGATCAAGACCAGCAGCGACCACGCTGGCGAGGTCTGAAATCGGACACGAAAGGTGCGCGACAAGTTCGATGTAGAATTAGGGAGTCGTAACGAAGGGGGTACCCGATACGAGATGCATTATTGCGGAGCTGAACGTTCGACCAGGGGGTGGGGGGTGACGCGAGGGGGCTAACTAGAGAGGTCTTAGCGTCATCTCCCTCGTGCCTTTCTTCGAATGTCAATCGATCAATCAATCAATCAATCAGTCAAGCACCTTTTCAGTATTCACCTTACGCTTATCATTGTGTTCCACTCACCACTGCACCAGGCCACGATTGTGTCAGCACTGATCGTAGCGAAGCCTCCATCCCGTACGTCATCTGCGGTAGTCCAGCCGGAGATGCACGGTCAGTGAAAAGTGAAAACAAAGTCAAGCCCAGACCACGTTTCCGGCATTCGTCTGCAACGCGATCGAGCTCTGCAGCGTTGCCGCATCTTGGGCTAGAACTAGAAGCCGGCCAGGCGTTGCCAATTTTATGTCATCCCGTCGAGGTCCAAGGCTTCCCAACCCGACAAGTCAGGAAGCTCTTACTTAGCTCACAGCTTTGGCTTTCTTATCACGTTAATGTTTGCCCGCTGGAGGAAGTGCCCTTCCGAATCCAACGTCCCGCCAACGTCCCGCACTAGTTCTGCCTTCAAGCGGGAGACCGAGGCTGAACATGACTGAGCAGAAAGTGCCTGCCGAGGTCTTGATTTCTCACCTTCGCCTGTTCCTTCGACAAATGCGTTGTACGGACGTCTACCAGTCTTTCTCACCTGTTGATCGGGTCCCCAGACCCTGCTGGACCTTCAAAATGCCGAGTCTCACGTTCCTTGTCCCTATTCCAAGCCGACAATCGCTACCGTACAGGTAATAAGGCTACGGCTACTGCATCCAAGCACAGTGGTACACACATGTAGTTCCCTCCATGTTACTCTAATTTTAAATAATCCCCCATCTCTCTCATGCATCAGCGTTGGCGAAAGAGTTGAGTGGTAAATTCCTGGAAAAGCGACAGTGCTGGCAGGCTTGATGGCCGCACAGAATTTACCACCTGCCCAACCAGCCTTCATTCTCAGAGGCCATACTGCTCAGATACACGCTCTCCATTTCACACCGGGCAATGACAGGCTGCTTACGGCCGACGCCGATGGCTGGCTGGTTTCCTGGAATCTTGCGTTCAAACGGCCTGCTGCGGTATGGAAGGCTCATTCAAACGCCATCCTAGCTGTCGGGTCTTGGGGTCCAGAGATAATCATAACGTATGGCTTTTCAACGGATGGAACGACGTTCAATGGAGCTGATCTGATGCAACAGACATGGTCGGGACAACCAGCTACTGGTTTGGCGACTGAGCGAGCAGGACGAGGCCCACATGGACAAGACATTGCCGGTGGAGGCCGATGCCTTCAACTCTCAGCAACCTTGGCTGCTGCATGCGATGCCAGTCAACGCGCTGAATTTTTGCCCCTTTGCAATGTGTTATGATGGCATGCCCCACGCTATCTCAGCGCGTAACGCTGTCACCGACACTACAGTCATCTGCCCAATTTTGTTCGCAGTGCCAAATGCTATCGATTCTGGAGGAGTAAGTCAACGTCCATAGCAACACCTTCATCGTTCTCATGTCACTTAGATCGACATATTCGAGCTTCCCTCACGGAAGAGAGCCGCTACGGTCAACTCTGATCGTTCAATCACCACAGGTACGAATGGTCTAGACGCTCTGCGAATCTCTCTATGTGGGATCTGATGTAGTCTAGGTATGGTGATGGCACTCGGAATCATGGCAGACACCACGAAGATACAACTTGCAGCTGGCTTCGAAAGTGGCCACACTATGGTGTTTGTGCAAACTGATCCTGCTGCTCCTTTCGAAAGGCTGTATTGTGCGAAACCTCACTCTCAACCAGGTTTGTACTTTGCCATCAGATCATGTCAGAATATTCTTGACTGACATCTACAGTACTCTCCATGGTCATATCTCCATGCAAAGACCACTATATAACCTCATCCGCTGACGCTAACATCGTCAAACATCCCTTTCCCTCCGCCAAGAGCATTTTCAAAACCGAGTTCAAACCAATCCGAGTTTCTGCCACTAGGCATTCTGGCCAGCAGGGCTTATCCTATCGGTCGGACGGCAAACTTTTCGCCACGGCGGGCTGGGATTCAGCAGTCCGTGTGTATTCCGCCAAGACGATGAAGGAACTGGCCGTGCTCAAATGGCATAAGGAGGGCTGCTACGCCACTGCATTTGCTACCGTCAAATCTTTAACAGACCGAAGTTATGACTCTAATTCATGCTCAACCGTTGCTCACGAAGATCCCGAGAGCAAGAGCTCACTGGGGATAGCGTTTCGTGTCTCACAAAACCTGAGCATTCAGGAGAAACGGAACAGGGTAGCTCAATCAACGCACTGGGTCGCGGTCGGGTCGAAAGATGGCAAGATTTCTCTTTGGGATATATACTGAATCCGCTAAATGGGGTATCACTAATCAACCAATGTTAAATTCTTCAGCACCAGCCAAGTGCTCCTTCAATTTCGCCCGCATCTTCCTGGCCGCCTCAGCGCTTGGCTCTGACGGATCAATCTTGCCTCTCCAGTCTGGCCTTGCCTTCTGATAGACCTCGTCCGAAGGGTTTGCATTCTGCTCCTTGCCTTTATTTCTACCATTCAGTCGCCTCTTCTCGCCCCTTCGATCTTTCGAGCCATCCTTATCTGCTTCGCCCTTAAAGCGGCCCAAGCTTCCAGGTTTTTCTCTCAGCGCAAATGCCTTCGCCAAGTGCCCTAAATGCAAATCCTTGACATCAAACATACCCCTTTCCTTGACAACGTGGGTCGCGTAAGCCCTCACATGGCTCACATAAGCCTTCTTCGCCATCTCCCCCATCTGTTCATGGTCAACAACCCATCTCTCGACCTCAAGCTGCCACTCTGTTGCCTGCTCGTCCCATTTTCCGCCAAAATGCCCCCCGGCTCCAACGTCACCTGTTGCAACCCTCGCCTCGAACCCCTTCCTCAACACCTCCTCTGCCGTCTCACCTTTCAGGTTTCCTTTACCTGTTCCAGACGCACTCTTCAGTACTTCCACGTAACCCTCCTCCGCTCCCGGCATCAGAAAACACACAGCTCTCCCCTCACGCCCAGCTCTAGCCGTTCGTCCTACACGATGAAGATGTTCATCAGATGAGAATGGGGGATCATACTCGATCACAAAATCAATGTTCGGTAGATCTAGGCCTCGCGAGGCTACGTCTGTGCAAAGGAGGACGGATGGGGTTGTTGTACGGGAGAAGCAGGACAGGGTAGCGGTTCGGAGGGCCTGAGGAAGGGAGCCGTGGAGTTTGAAGAGCTGAAGCGTGGGGTTGGCCGGGGAAGAGAGAGTGTTTGAGGTGGAGATAGTGGGAAGAGACATGTGCTTGGCCGACCCTCTTGAGGACTGGGGTGGTCGGTCGTGCTCTAAATTTTGATTGTCGGGCCCGGTCCCGATGGCACTCTGCTCCTTAGGAGACTTTTGGGCGATCTGCTTGAGGGCTTTCTTATTATTGGCGGCAAAGTCCGAGAATACTTTTTCCGGGCTCAAAAAGGAGTTTTCACCTCTGCGGAGGACTTCGAAATGAAAGTCTACACTGTCTGCGCACGAAAGAAACACAATGACTTTGGTTACCGAGCCCTTTCTGGCGAAAGATCTCTTTAATAGTGCATAAAGTGTGACCAAGCGTTGTTTTGCTGGTGCAATGATATAGGCTTGCCTCAGCTGCGACGGTGCGAGGAATGGGCGCTGGATCTCTTCACTGAATAAGAGTGCGGGTTTTGAGTTTTCCTTTTGTGTCTGCTCGCTACTGTCGTTGTGATCTCCACTTATCTCTGGTAACTTGGTCGCATCTTCAGGCTTGATCATTTTAGCATCTTTGAGGCTAAGATCTCCTAATCGTTGTACCCCTATTTTCATTGTGGCACTGCATAGTATGTTTCTCCGATGCTGTGGGAGTCCTTGGAGACTTCCTGTAGTCCTCGCTTGAGGCTCAACTCTAGATTCAGGATTTGTTGCATCTTTGCCAGGTTTTTGATTCTTAAGAGCAGCAATGATAGTCTTGATATCAGCTTCAAATCCTAGCTCGACAAGTCTATCACCTTCATCAAGCACAAGCCATCGCACGCTGAATAGATCAAGTGCCTCAGTGTTCTCGATGTGATCGACGAGTCGTCCGGGTGTAGCAACGAGGATGTTGACGCCCTTTCGGATACGTGCTTTTTCGTGATTCTTTGTCGATCCGCCGGTGACTGTACCATGTACGAGCCAAGGCAGTCTCGTCAACAGCTCAGAGAGCGACACATCAACCTGCTTAGCAAGCTCTCTAGTCGGGACTAAGATTAATGCGAATAAGCCAGATTTCCGACTGATCTTTTCATTGGTGCATAAAGCCCGGAGAGACATGAGGTGTTGAATGATGGGAATGAGGTACGCCAGCGTTTTACCAGATCCTGTCTCAGCTTGTATGAATGCATCGCTGTCTCCCTTGAGCAATTGAGCGATGGCAGCTTTCTGTATCGCAGTGGGAGTCTTGAGTTTCAGCGAGGTGAGAAGGTGGGAAGCGAGCGCCGGATTGACACCAAGGGAAGTGAAGTGGATGGCACCGTCAGGAAGCGGAGCATTCGAAGGCTGAGAGACAGCCTCTTGATCTATTGTGGATATATGGGGCGTGGTCTTTGCAGACGGATTGGACGTGAAGAGAGAGGAAATGACTGCAGACTTCGTGGAGGACGATTGACTAACACGACTGGAAGAGGAGTTTTCCGTTCTTTTCTGCCTTTTGCTGGGCGGAGATGTGTCACCATTCAGTAAAGCGTTCTCGGGCTTTGAAGATGCAACATTCTCTTCTGTGCCCACGGCAGCATTTACGTTGTGATGCTTTTGACTCCGCCTGACAAGAGACTTTTTCGCCCGCACTCGATCTTTCCAATGTCCACCTCTGAAAACAGTTTTGATTTCTGCAGGTGTATCATCGACCGCAAAGTTCATCAAAAGGCCATCGTCGGCCATGACTACATGGGTGCGCACGCAAGATGGAAATCATGTGGAAGAAAATGGCATGAAGCTTCGGCGTTTGCGGAGATAATGTCAATCACCACGAATTCGCCGAAGCTGCTCACATCTACACCGTAGAACTGCCGCTCTTCACGTTAAGAGCACGCGATCATTGACAGAGTGCCCTTGACAATTGGATTATCATGTCTGTACTATGGGAGGAGAGACATTCAACGGCTAAAGGGGATCTTCAATCCAGCTTCGCTGCTCGGCATATCAACCATCTCAGACGGTTCCACATGTGACGAACGCCTCGTTGAGGTTACCGGCATGCCTCGCTTCATATCAAGGACTAAACCTGGTCCATTGCAATTCAAACCATTCGAAATCCTAAGGCAGAGCTTCGAACTCCGCCGCCGTCGTCATAATGCGTTGATGAACCGACATTCCGTCGGCTTTGTTCCTACTATGGGTGCCCTTCATGAAGGCCACTTAGCGCTGATACGACAAGCCGCTCGCGACAATCATTGGGTGTACGTTTCGATTTATGTCAACCCCACTCAATTTGGTGTAAACGAGGATCTGGGCTCTTATCCGCGGAATTGGAAACAGGATTTTTCCATACTCCAAAGCCTGCAACAAGAGTTTCGCCGGCCGAGATATCAGGGGCGGATTGGAGTAGTCTTCATGCCAAATTCGACAGAAATGTATCCTGGGTTACCACCGAGTTCCGAGCCTAATGGTGATGGGTCCTTTGTCACCATCACTCCGCTTGCGAGAAGACTAGAGGGTGCGTCAAGGCCGGTGTTTTTCCGGGGTGTTGCTACAGTTGTCATGAAACTTTTGAATATTGTCCGGCCTACAAGTGTATATTTTGGACAGAAGGACATCCAACAAACATTCGTCATCAAGCGAATGGTCAAAGACTTCCACATGGACACTGAGGTCGTTGTGGGCCCCACAGTACGCGAGCCTGACGGTCTTGCTTTGAGCTCTAGAAACGTGTACCTTGGAGAGCGGAGACGAAAGGTAGCGCTAGTACTTTCCAAGGCGCTGAGAGCTGCGGAGACTGCCTTTGCCCAAGGCGCGAGAAAACGGCGATACCTCTACGCTGCTGCTAAGGACGTCTTGGAATCAGCCAAAAAACAGCAAGATGCTCTGCCATCTGATCAGCGAGCAAGATTTGAAATCGATTATATCTCTATAGCTGATACTGAGACACTGGACGAGCTAGAGGAGCTTGACTCTCGAAAAGGGGCGATCGTCAGTGGAGCGATCAAAATGCTCCCAATCCAGGAAGCGAGGCAAGGGGAGCATCTCGGCCAAAATGAGGACGCCACGACAGTACGCTTGATTGATAACATCAGATTAGACTTGCTGTCCGCGAAGCTTGGCTTCCTCAAACGATGAATTGATAGACATTACGAAAGTGGTGCTTATCATATCAGAGGTCTCTTAGATATTTCTGCTTGAACTTTTTGGTCCCTCGGTCTGTCGCCCTTGTCAAAAATTGGGATCCATGGAGCTCAAATACTAGATTTGGCGATATACTCTCATGGTGGATCGCATTGCCCTCACAACCTGATCCCTTCGACTCTTTTCCTGCCTCTTGGGGTATCTGCGGGAGCTCGAAGTGAAACACAGTATGCTGTTTGGGAATAACTAGCGCCTATCAGCTTCGTCTAACTTCGCCCTGCAGAGAATTTAGGGCGCGCACCCTTGAGCTCATTCTTCCTGGTAATGATCTGAAAGGTAAATTTGGTGTCTCTCACTGCTATACCTTCCAAGCCAACATGACCAACACACCGGCTTCGGACGACCTTCAAGAGTGCGCCATGATAGTCGGCACTTGTAAGGATGCCTCCTTTACTGTCAGCTGTAATGAACGGCGTCCGACCTTCTCCTATCCCCAAGATCTCCCACATATAGCCAAGCCACAGTTTGTGGAGGGGAACGTATAGCTCATATTTTCTCGCATCATCAGGGATCTCATAGATGCGCAACTTTCGCATCTCCTTTGCCGAAACTGGTTTGACTCTTCGCTTTCGTGCGGTCTTTCCCTGCTTTTGCAAGCGTTGTAGACGACGACCTGCTCTAGCATCTTGAGACGTCGGATTTGGAGCTGTTGGTCGGAGGTGCAGCGGTTTCTGAAGGACTTTTTCTGACAGAATTGCGGATGCTGCATCTGGAGAATGTGCTCTTTCAAGCAACTGCTGTGCAATGTGCTTTGTGGGCGCCATTGACAGCGCTCTAACGTTCGGTCGTTGGTGCCAAATACCCAATTTAGAGTTTGCGCTTTCCGTCACCGGACGCGCTGAAATTAGCGTGACGCACTAGACGCGTCTGAAATTTACTGGAATTGGACAGACTGCATTCGACGTCTTTAAGGAGCGAAAGACAGAACACTTGCCGGCATGCAGAATAGATGAAGATTAGCCCTGAATTTCATGCCTCCATAGTTTCTGACTAATACGACATGACGGACCAGATAGAATTATTACGCTTTGCCAAGATTAACAGTGAATGGGAAAGTGAATTAAAAGCCGCGGTTTAAGGCACTATATCGGTCAGCATGGGTTCATCAACACATTCGACACCCCAAGGCAGACGCCACTCTAGTCGCCTTCACTCTACCAACGCTGGACCGACAGTCTCCAGCTCCCCATGTACTACACCCAAAGTAGTGGTCACGAAGTCGCCGCCGAATTGGAATTTTGCCGTACCTGTTTCCAAGGACATGGTCATGGAGGACATGCGCCAGACCCGTTCAAAGCCACGAGTGACCTACGAGATATCGTCTGATTCGGAAGGCTCTGGAGAATCTCTGGGGGATGGATCTTCTTTTTCTAGTCCTGAGAAACCGCCTTTGGTCATCATCGACGAGCAAGATGACAGTGAGCATTCTGAGAGTCCACCTCCTCCGGCTATGAAATTACGAGAATCGGCCGCTGGACATAACTTGCGCCAGCCAGGCGTGCTTCAGCAACCCCGCCATGTCTTGGAGAATGGCGATCGGCGCCCTCGCAGAAAGGCCAAGAGATCAAAGACGACAGGACAGAGCAATAAACTAACAACTAAGAATTATGATGTGACTGCGCAAACGGAACGGTCCCATATCAGGCAGCATATTTCTTCCGTGACTACCCGTGACCGAGCCAATTTCTTCATGTCAAAGGCAAACGTATTTCTTCCTCTGCTCCCTCAGGACAATTTCATCAAGCGTCTTCTTGAAAAAGCACCAAAGACAAGTGAACCAAGCAGTCATATTTCTGTACCATATCAAGTGATCAACAAGCAGCCGACTGGGTAAGTCGTCTTGTACCTATGTCTCCTCCCACTCTAATATATGTAACTTAGAGTGAAAGCGACTATGAAACCCTACCAGCTTCTAGGGCTATCTTTCCTAGTCTATCTCTATCGTAATGGTGTTGGAGGAGTGTTAGGTGATGAAATGGGTCTGGGGAAGACCCTGCAGACGCTAGCTCTCTTTTCGTACTTGAAAGAGCATACACAGCAGTCTCAATCAGGCCAATCTAGGCCATCTCTTGTCGTTTGCCCCTTAAGCGTTTTGAATTCGTGGATCTCTGAAGCAAGAAAATGGACACCTGATATGAAGGTATTAAGGTTTCACGGCCCTCGCCATGAACGAGATCGTCTCAAGAAGGTAGCCACTGGAGGATTCTATTCTCAGGGCAAGCCCCGCACGCAAACAGCATTCGACCGGACTGCGAAACGTCGACCGATCATTGACCTCGAATCTGAGGATGAGCTTGCATCTTCTACGAACGGTGGGCCTGATTTGATCGTTACAACCTACGAAGGCTTTCTTGCCGAGGAAGGCTGGTTCAAGAGAGCGTTCGTATGGAAATATGTCGTTCTAGACGAGGGCCACAAAATCAAAAATGATGTCAGTCTGATCTCGAAAGCACTGCAAGGTCTGGGAGCAGAATACCGATTGATTTTGACCGGAACACCCTTGCAAAACAATCTTCTGGAATTGTGGGCATTGCTTCATTGGCTTTATCCTGAAGTCTTCACCGAGAAAACTCAGGAATTGTTCAAGAAGTCATTCAATCTTTCTCAGGGTCGAGTATCCACCAAAGCGATGGATGATTCAAGACGGCTATTAGAAGAAGTCATGTTGAGACGTATGAAGGATAGCCCTGGTGTGGATCTCAATCTTCCAAAGAAAACTTCCGTTCTACTTTACTGTCCACTGACCCCGCTCCAAGAGTTTTGGTATATGAGACTCTTGACTCGAACAGACAAGGGGCTTCTTGACGAGCTTTTCAAAGGGGGTCAAAACATAGAAAGCAAAGACGAGCCTGTCACTTCTACTCTAGAAGTAGAAAAATCGTTTCTAGAACCCATCTCCGGAGATCAGACAGCTGCCCCTTGGGATGAGTCCAAAGAAATGATGAAGCAGGCTGTTGTACGAGAGCAGCAGGAAGAATCCAAAAGTCCAGCTTGGCGAAAATTGATGAACCTGCTCATGCAGCTCAGAAAGGTGTGTTTAGCGTCTATGGCGTTGGTCCACCACTAATATTACATTACGTGAAGTGTTGCAATCATCCGTACGTCCTTCCCAACGCCGAGCCTGACCCATATACGCCAGGCGAGCATGTGATCCATGCGTCGGGAAAATTTGTAGTCCTTGAGAAAATGCTTGACCAGCTTGTCATCAAGCAAAAGCGAAAGATCATCATCTTTTCTGGCTTTACAGCCATGCTTAATTGCGTAGAAGATCTACTTGCTCTTCGGGGCGGTACCGGCGAGATTTTCAGATACGCCAGACTGGATGGGGGTACTTCGCGAGCCAGGAGGAATCTCAGTATCCGGATGTTCAACTCTGATGAGACCAATTATCGTGTGTTCCTCATCTCTACCCGGGCCGGTGGACTTGGAATCAATCTGGCTGCGGCGTCTGATGTGATTATGCTCGATCAAGACTTCAACCCTCAGATAACACTTCAAGCCGAAGCAAGAGCTCACCGTATTGGACAAACCAAGCCTGTTACAGTCTACAAACTATGTACTCAAGGCACAGTAGAAGAACAAATGCTGGGCAGGATACAGAAAAAACTTTATCTATCTACGAAAGTAATGGAGTCAATGCGGAACATTCATACGACTTGGAAGACTGACGGAGGCTTTGATGAACTCTCGGCCGAGCCAGACACTAGCATGCCACACTTGCAAACAGAACAATTGATGTCATTGGTGAGACGTGGTGCTCAGGCTCTGGCACGTCCACAATTAAAGGTGGACGAAATGTTGAGCTGGGACTTTGAAACAATGCTCGAAAATTGTAAGGATAAGCCAGCTGACTATTTAGTTGCCCAGCAAACCAACGTCGAGTACAAGAAGGAAGACGAAGAGAAGTGGCTATCGCAGATCGAGCATGTGCAGTCACGCGTGTTCAATGGCAGAAAGCATAAATCCAACCAAAGCACAGCGGAGATTGCCCAGGAATGGAAGAGAGAGGAACGAAGAAAGGGTAAACATACTACGGTTATGGTTGGTGGGTACGCAATATCTAAGGAGAGCATGAGCTGCGGGGATTGGGAGGCTGTTCCTACTTTGGCAGGCAAAGATCCTCGACTTGCAGAGCCAAAGCGTGCGAAGAAAGCCGAAGTCGTCAATCAAATTGTAAGTGGACGTCATGGTCATACAAGAGCTTCTACTGACCACTTCAGCACTGTCAAGTCTGCTGGGACGGCGGCAGCATTTTGTGCTGTTCGTTGTGTCCTCGGAGCTATCACTATGAGTGCCTAGATCCTGACGCAAAAAGACGCTCAAAGGCAAAGATCAATTTTGCTTGCCCCCAGCATCAGTGCGCAGACTGTGAGCAAAAAACAGGAGATGCAGGGGGAATGCTATATCGCTGTCGCTGGTGTGAAAAAGGGTATTGCGAGGACTGTCTGGACTGGGAGAAGACTGACCTCCTCGGAGAAAGCCTCAAGGAATACGAGATACTCGGGTTCCCAAGCATCGTACAGGCTTACTACGTCAAGTGTCCTGACTGCACGGAACACCATAGTGAAAGCAGCGAAGCTCGTACCTTTTGTGCGGATAGATCCCAAGAGATTGATGATGAATATGAGGAGCTTCTCAACCACCAGGAACTCCTAGCAGCTGCAACAGAAGTGGCCGGACCCCAGATTGCAGGCTCAGATGGACCAGACAGCCCGGGATCGTTGACGGAAGGACCGACCCTAGACAGCTCGGGCATCAGCACTCCAGGTCTCGCCCCAAAGGTGTCTGCTGAATCAACAAGCAAGAAGCGGAAAATGCACATTGGGCTCACACGTGGCGACCGAAATCCAAAGAAGCGCCTGTCAAATCCTGCCTCTCGACTTAAGATAGCCAACGTTGAGCCCTGAGATGAAAATGAGCCGTCGTGACTCGTTTATGCCGCTAAACGAGCGGTATAGCGCGGAGATACTGAGTTGAAGGTGGAAGAGTTGGGCATGGGTATCCCCCGAGCTAGGCGCGGTGCACTGACGAACGGACTTGAAACCCTTCTGTGAAGGGAAGAGCCGGAAACTGAAGGATGAAGAGGTTAAGTGGCGACCGCACATCTAGATCACACCAATCAGAAATGGTTGAGGCGAATGAAGCGGTGCCCAGTGTTGAAGCCAAGGAGATCTGTCAAATCTGTTTTGATAGACGACTGATCTGCGTAGCAACATATGACTGAGATCTCGGCTTGCAATTTATAGATGGAGTCTATTGAAAGAGATTCACGTATTTTGTATTCTTCTACCAGGTCCCCTTCCAAGCCTTCCTTGATCAGGGTTGCCCCCTGAAAAACCTTCCGAACTTGACCCGAGATTTAAATGAGACAGCTGTGCGGAACTCCTCCGCACCTCAAACCTCGCACCGCCCTGCCTAACAAGTTTGATGCTCAGCAAAGCAGCAGGAATCTTTTGACCGAATCTTTATTAACATGTCTTCGTAGGGGGAATCGGTCAAGATCACACTTGTTACCCTGTGCAGACGTAGTTATTGTACTTTCTGAATTCTGCATTCTATCATCCCGTTCCTATCATTTTCAACTTCTCACACGATATTTGTAGGATCGGGCGGCAATCTCCGAGGTAGACATAGAGGTTGGATGTGGGGGTTCTTTCATGAAAGAAGGAAGGTCGATTTAACAGTACGGCTATCTCTGTGCTCAGGTTGATGCATGGGACCTTCTGAGTGCTCAGACTAGGAGGCAACAAAAGCTGAGAAGAGATACCCTTGGGCATTTCCTTCCTGCCTGTAGCATGAAATGGCCCTCTCGCAATTCACACCTATATATTGTGGTCGGTCAGATGCCGAAGTTGAAATTAGATCCAAAAAGTACGGCAAGGAATTCAACGGCCCCAGTAACAATCAACTAGATCGAGTTGCCAATCCAGACGATTACTATGAGCCCCTTGATCATAATCATGCAATCACTATCGAATGGAAGCGCCAACTAGGAGGCATGCTCCAGCGGGAAATGAGACCGCAGCAAGCGCAACATCCATGGTTTCTCATGTTTTTCCCCGAGAACTATCGGTTGTATAAACACAATAAAGAGACCCGCGATCACACTGGTAAGTATGATTAGACCTTGGACGAAGGGAAAAGTGATTGCTAAGTGGCCATCAGACGCATATCTGTACGGGTACCCTCAGGGGCGAAAGAAGCGTTTCCGAAGCGCACAAGAATTCTTTCCACATTTCCTATGGCTCATGGAAGGTAAAAGCGAGGACTATGGTGATTGTGCGTGCAAGAATTGTGCGGGTGACTGGGTCCACAAGATTGAGCCATTGCCTGGTAGACTCGGATTTGTGCCTGCCGCAAAGGAAGTTCAACCAGTGAAAAAGGAACAAACTCCAATTAAAAAGGAGCCAATCCTCCCCAAGAAGGAGTCGATTACTTTGTCACCAAAAGTCGTGATACCTCAGAAATTCCCCCAACAAGCAACCACCCTTCCAAGACCACCCACCAAAACACCGGCGCCGAACAATTCGGCTTCCGCTGTCCCAAGGACGCCGGCTCAACCAACGCCAACGCCCCTACCACCGCTGAAATCAAAGGAGCAAGAAATCGACTCTCAATATCGCCGATACATATATCGTATTGGCGAATTAGTATGGTTCAACAGGGGAACTGCCTGGGGTCTAGCTTTAATCACGAAACGGGACACCATTATCCAACAAGGAAATCGATCTGCTGCACGTTATCTTGTACAACCGCTTTCTCATCCGCTGAGGCATCCGGAATCCAAGATACTCACGTCAGACGATGTTTTGCGTCCATGGCTTGCTTGGTCAGCGCCAGGGCCTACCCACAGAGCTTTGACCGGCAAAAACTATTCTTCTATTGATTGGAAAGCTGTTATCGCAGGGCATTTCGGGACAGGAGACGCTGAGGTTGATGGCAGTATATTAGCTGCGAAGCAGATAGACGACAGCTTCTCCCTGGTGTCGCCCTTGACAAACAACACGCTCACCACAGGCGAGCGTACCTATCTAGCCTTATTCCTTGGCGGGGAGAAGATCTATGTCAGAGAACCGGTGAGACTTCGGATCAACCAGGGCCAAGACGTCCTGGTGATATACGAAATCGTTGAGAAATTAAAACCAAACAGCACCAACATAACTTCAGCATCAGTCCACGTCATTGGCGATATTTATCGATTCGTCACTCTACCTTACGACCCATCTAATGCAAAGCTGTTCGCCAACGCCCATCTCCCAGAACGAATGAAAGCAGACCTCGAATTTCGAAACAGCGTCACAGTTCCTATCAAAAAGGTGCACTCTTTTTGGAAATTGATGCAAAATGGTTCACGAGTGTCAATACAGGACCTCAAGGGTCGCTGGTACGAATCGAGCATACTCTTACCAATACTTCGCAGCAACGCCGTCTTTGCGAGCGAAGTACAGAGGGGCGAAGTCTCTGACGTGGGTGAGTGGATTAACGGACGAGGTGATGCTAATGGTGCCGCTGGGAAGACTGGCTCGAGGTTTAGAGAGCGTCTAGAGGCAGTAGGGAGAGCCGTACCGATTGGGGTAAGATTGGGTGGACCAGAGGAGAGCGGTGAGGGTGGAGTTGAGACGGAAAGGGCGTCGAGCAATCCCCAAGTTCAGCAAGCTTCGAATACTCCGAGACCCGCTGTCTCACAAAGTGTTAATCAAGGTCCGAGGCGTGAGTCACTGCACGCTCAGGGAACGGAACAAAGTATACGACCAGGACAAGGCGATCTTCCTCAACACATGGATGTTGATAGGTAGCATACTCACGGCATGTCAAGAATGCGTAATCATCAGATTGATTGTAAAATAGTCACGGGCTAGAACGTCCTTGGGAAAACGACCAAGTGTCTCGCCCAAAACACATCCAGCATCTAAGATACCGATATAGTCTTCGAGCTAGAGGTCTTCGTCCATGATCCACTGGCAAATGTCACATTTTCGTTATTTCGTTCGCGCAATTGACTTGATCCTTACTTCTAAGAAGTCAAGCACCCTATTTATGGGGTGTATTTGGCGCATTGCTACTACTCGTGGCCGGCAATACCAACTGTCCTATAGCGGTTCGAGAGGGATGAGCACCAAACATTGATGGGAAGGTTCTCTCAACTTACTCCATTTAGAATAACCAATTTGTCTATGTCATCAATTTTTCCGTGGCTTGATATTAAGTTGTTTTACTTCAAAAGAGCTCGCGAAGTCTCTCTCAACACGAACATCAAGTAACACACTGCTATCTCTTTGATAATTGAACATTACCCATGGCGCCCCCTCGAGACTTTATTTCATCAATTGGACGTGGAACGCTCCGTTGGCCAGTGTTGAGGAAAGAGCTCCAACAATTCAGAGGCTTCTTTGGACGGTTCGTGTCAATGAATGCATGTATGGCTTTAGACAGAAGGGAACTCTGAACAAGAAAACATGATGCAGTCTTCAGGAGCACGCAGAAGGAGCTTATTCTCTAGCCCGAAAAGGTTGATAACCTGATCAAATAGGCCTGGGGCAACGAGTGTTTCTTGAACATGGTTCAAAGTCTATAGAGGCTGCGTTACCTACCTGAAGGCCTTTAAATATATTGTTTTATAAAGTAACTTCTGCGGTCTTGTACTCCATCGACCCTGTACTTACGATAAAATGTCGCACAATCATTTCTATTCAAGCAGTGGGTTTTTGCTGTCCGTCGAGCCAAGTTCTTTTAGCGGTGGGATAGGCTTAGTATTCTCAACGTAATCGTACTGCCCGGAAGCGTTCATCAACCATGAGTCTTGCGGTTTTCCAGTACCTCCAAGAAAGTTCACTGGAATATGTCAATCTCTCTAGGTAATGAAAGCGGAGTAAGAGACTTACTTGGGAACCCAATATCAAAGTCGGTAGCTCCATCTATGGCGTTTATATCGTCTCCCGAAAGCTCCAAAGCCAGGGCTTCAATATTCCCTTTGAGGTGATCTACTTTTCTTCCCCCAAGAATTGGAAAAACATAAGTGTTGAATGTGAGAGGTTTTGGTTTATTAGAGACCTGAACCTCAGCTATATAGACGCCTACGTACAAAGACTTAATACTAACCCTATAGCGGAGCTCCAGATCCGGTGAGGTGTAAAGAGCCTTTATCCAACACCATAGCGCTATACCTATGTTTTCAGAAGCGTACATGGGGATGATCTCGCCCTCGAAATCGCGTTCGGCTGCGGACCAGCGGCCTTGATAGACAACGAATTGAGAAAGACAATGGTCACGAGCGTATTAGTTAGCTTTAGAGACGACCCAGGCTAGTGTGTCGGAAATACCGAGATAGAGGACCTTGCCTTGTTAGACGATGGTATTGAGTGGCATTGATTCGGGAATGCTGGTCGTGAAGTCCCACCTACCCCTGGTTTAGCAAATATTGAGTGTGATGACATGAACAGCAGACCAATGTACATAGAGAATGTCAATATAGTCAGTTTGCAGCTTTTTCAGACTGTTTCTTAACGATACGTGCAGGCTTTTGGCACCGTTACCGGCACTATTAGAGTGAAGGATGTCGTTGAAACCCTTGTAGTTTGTGTAGCAAGTCGTATACGTAGTCGCCACGACCATCTGGTCTCGAAGCCCTTCCGACGAAGCCAGCCATTCCCCGATCCATTGCTCCGATTGCTCACTCTACATTCACAAGATGAGTCAATTACTGATTCACGAAGTGTCTTAGGCGGCGATTGTTATCACTCACCTGATAGTTGTTTGCCGTATCAACGAAATTGCCACCTTGAGAATGGTCGAAGTCGAGGAGCTCAAAGACTTCCTCTTTCTTCATTCCGCCCATAAAATCAGCCCTGACCCAAATTAGACCCCATTTTATATATAGATGGGGCAGCTTCACCAAGCGTCTCCAAAATTCATGCCTCCAATGCATAGTGGAGACACCTTCACAGCGGCACCGGGCGAAAGGACACGATGGCGACCCAAAAGCGACTTTGGTGGTGGAGCTGGATTCATCGTGGCTTCAAAGACCTTGATAAAAGATAAATATGGGCTGGGATGACGGGCACGAAAGTGGTGCGATGTTGCAAAGGATGAAATGGGAAAGAACTTGATGTCTGGGGAGAACCCAGGGACCTTTTATAGTAGACAAGAGACGACGCTCTCGTCCGACTATGGGTAGCTGTTCCGTCGATCATTGTCGACGATTGTTTAACGCCTTGGCCACTTGAGAAGATAAAGCACGAAACTCATCCGACAAGTCCGTGCAAGAAATCTGATATGCGCAGATGTGCCTCCTTGACGGGAAGCAACTTGTCTGGAGTGCCTTAGATTGGACTCAGAGGAACGACAAACTGACCCTATTATCTATCCTGAGATGAAGACCATGAATTTGTCAGAAGCAGAATCATTGGCTGGAGTCCAAGATTTTCTGGGGGTATCACTAGTAAAGGCGCCTCAGGCAATCCTACTTGTGAAATGAGCGGTGCAATCACGGACGAAATCGAGACGTCCATACCGGAGAGAATCCGGAGTCATCATCGCCAACATTGTAAATCAGATTGGGAAACCCTTTGTCACGACATCTCAATATCTCTACCACTAGAGCTTTGATTGCTGGTATTCCTGTTTTCGCTATTTACATGTATTGTCATATCCAGCCACAAAGCCCGGCAGGTAGATAATGCTCGCTCACGTACGATGTTGGGTATAGTTGCTCGCAAATAACAATGTCGACTTCCGCCGCAATATGAAGCGAAGAAGATCCGCGCCACGCCATAAATCTTCTCCAAGAACGCCAATGCCCCAAAAAAGTCAAGCTGCGTTAGCACGTTGGTGATTCTATCGTGAGTCTGAAGGAAGATTAATGGTTCAAGGTCTTGGGATCGTCGGCCGTGCGCCGTCGTTGTCCGAGTCGTTCTCTTCCTCAATCGTCTGTTTCCAATGCTCCGGAAGACAAACACATACAAGGGGAAGGCTTTGAGTTCGCCTTGCGGCGAGGCGTCCATCCGTCGGGACGAATCAGACACCCCGCTATCCCTGTGTTCTTTCCTCTTCGGATCGTACTCTTCAGCTCTTTCATCTATTCGCACCCCAGTAGCCCAGCCATCGTCCCATATACCCACGACCTTAAGCATCTCCCCCCGTTCCAGTTCGAATTCGTCACCTGCACGGGGCTGGTATGCCCATAGCACTGAAACTTTGTCATTAGGGTGAATTTCATCTGAAGAATAATAATCTTTGAAGAATGGCAGTTGCTCGGACTGTCCGCTCGTCACGTCATTCGGGGAAGATAACTGGCCGTCAGTGTTGGGGGAGCTGTAATCATCAAGCGCCCCAAGCGCCGACTGACTCGAAAGCGAGCCTCCTCTTTTGCCTGCCAACGGAGGACCAGTCTTCTCAGGAGTATCGTTATATGCCTCGGATTCAGAGGTATCCCCAAACTTCTTGCCAGCGACGCCTGCTGCAGCCCCGTTCGCGTACGAGCGGGAACTGCTCGAATTGTTCTCCAATGCAGACATCCTGGCGACCCTTCCTCCGGGTTGTGGACCATAATCAGGTGGGAGTGTTTGAGCTCCTGGTTGCGGATTGTATGTCATGCTTGGTGCGCCCCTTCGATGTGGCGTGGGTTGGTTGAAGACGCTGGCCTGGCTTCCTCTTCGTCTCTTGCGAAGGCGAAGACATAGCAGTATCAAGAGACCTAGTATTAAAGCTGCACCAAACACAGAGCCTAATACGATGCCAGCTATTGCACCATTGGAGAGACCTCTGTTTTGATCTGATCCTCCACTGGGCGAAGGACTGGCGCTAGCTGTTTGGGATGGGAAGAGCGGTGGCATTGAGGACGTTGGTGGCAACTTGATTCCAGCGCATCGATCTGTAACGTTCGAAGCTACACAGCATGAGTCGGTAGCATTGGGAGAGCTGGCAGCGCACAGCGTGCAGAGTCCTTGCAAATTAGTCGCAAAACCACAGTCATTAGGCTCATTTTGCTCCGCCGTGACACATCCAGTGCTCAGTGAGTCAGAGGGTAAAGCGCAATTGGTAAAGTCTGCGCGTATTTGATCCATAAAATTGGCTTTCGGCGTTCCGCAAAGCTGTTGATTCACTGCAATGCCTTCTTCGCTCGTAGCTTGTTGTGCCTAGGACATGTGAGCGCAGGGTGACATCGATGGCAGCGCAACTTACGCAAGACTCTGCACACAACGGTCGGGAGGCGGTGGCTGTTAAGGAGCAGGGACGAATCGAATTCTGCACCATCGCATTACAAATTACACTTGTACTATATCGTGCGTAGAATGAAGTTGTATTAGTGAGGTTGACGTTACTACAGCCCAGCAATTGCTGGTATCTGAAGAAAAAGCTTTAGCATGGAGCTCAAGTGGAGGCCAGCATGCGACGTACCGCTGCTGCACATAAGTCCTGTTGACATATTGACTCAGCTGTGAGTCGAATTGCTCAACATCTGAAACGAAAGCAAGGAAAGGGCTTCCCCGGTGTTAGCCAGTGCTAATGCCCCCATGATATATGGAGATCTCACTAAGTGGAGGACAATTCGGGACCCGTGGAGATGGATGACTCATTAAAAGCTGGACACTGCGTCGACCCCTGGAGTGCTAAACAGCTTTGAGCCCTGGCGGTGGGGAGGCTGTAGGCGATCAAGGTCAAGAGGATAGTCCGCCCGTCTGCAAAAGCGCTCTTTCGCTTTGCCATTATGCCCGACTACGAATCGACTCAGGCGAGCGTGAACGAATGTTGGTATAGCAGCTGTCAAAGCATGACTGCGGTTGAGTTGCTCTTGGGTGAAGGCGTTCCGGCAAAATCTCCAAGAGCGGTGTGTAGAGTCCTAGCTTCGAGTACGCCGTCAAGTCGCGTCATTCCACCTGTTTCATTAAACTGTAGTACGCTGTAAAGGAGACAATTAAGAAGAGAAAAGAAGAACGAAGGTGCAGAAGACAGACACGCAAAAACAAGTAAAGAGTGACCAGATGAGAAGAAAGAAGGAAGGAACGACTCGGCTGGGCAGGAGGGGGAGCACTGCTAAGTTGCTGACGAACTGACGGCCAAAACAAATCGATTGGATTTCATGGAGCAATTGACGAAAGGGGAAATTAGCTCTCTAAGCCCTTTTGGGCTAGGCGGATCTTGCCCCTGTCCGGCGTGTCCGACTGCCGAAACCTTCTGTCTCTAGGCTAATGCCCTCGGCCTGCTAAATTACTCACAACGGTCAAGCTAACCGTCACACCAGCAAGGCGAGTCACCAGGCCTGAGTAACACTGCGGCCATGTCCTCGGAAGCCCATGACTCAGTCGGTGCGGCAGCCGAGAAAACAGGCGCAATCAATATCAATGGCGAGGAAAGCTCAGAACCTTCCAAAAGCGCACTGAAGAAAGCCCAGAAGCAGCAAAAAATGGCAGAAGAAAAGGCCGCCAAAGCTGCCAAACTCAAAGAAGCCCAGGTCAAGCCAGCAGCGAAAAAGTCATCTGGAAAGGAAATCGAGGGAGCAGAGCTGAAGGCAATCAACATAAAGAAAGAAGCCGACTTCGCTGGATGGTATGCGCAAGTTCTGACCAAAGGCGGATTCATATCCTACACCGACATCTCGGGCTGCTATGTCTATCGTCCAGCAAGCTACGTGATATGGGAACAGATCACCGCCTGGTTCGATAAGCGCATCAAATCTATAGGTGTAAAAAACTGCTATTTCCCTATGTTTGCAACGAAGGAGCAGTTGGAGATTGAGAAAGACCATGTGGAAGGATTTGCCGCCGAGGTTGCTTGGGTCACTAAGTATGGCAATTCGCAGCTTGAGAAAGAAATCGCTATTCGTCCTACCTCGGAAACAGTCATGTATGGCCATTATGCCAACTGGATAAGAAGCCATAGAGACCTTCCCCTCAGACTCAATCAGTAAGTACCTTGAGGTCCTCAGATCCATCGCAACTAACTCATGCACCTAGATGGAACTCAGTTGTCCGGTGGGAGTTCAAGCACCCTCAACCTTTCCTCCGAACACGAGAATTTCTTTGGCAAGAAGGTCACACGGCGCACTTGACCAAGCAAGGATCAGAAGAGGAAGTTCTACAAATCCTTGAATGGTACGCTGGTGTATACGAGGAGCTTCTCGCAGTCCCCGTGATAAGAGGCCGGAAGACAGATAAGGAGAAATTTGCAGGCGGAGACTACACGACGACTGTCGAAGGTTATATTCCCGAGACTGGAAGAGGTATACAAGGCGGGACTAGTCATTGCTTAGGTCAGAACTTCAGTAAAATGTTCAACATCGTCGTTGAGGACCCAGCGAACAAAGAGGGCGCAAAGCTTCACGTGTGGCAGAATTCTTGGGGATTGAGCACAAGAACGATTGGGGTAATGGTCATGATACATAGCGATAACAGGGGTCTCGTGCTACCTCCACGCGTTGCGGAAACACAAGTCGTCATTGTCCCAGTTGGAATTACTGCCAAGACATCGGAAGACCAAAAGACAGCGCTTCATAAAGAAGTTGACGCACTAGAAGCAATACTGAAAGCAGTGGATCTCCGAGTCATCTCCGACAAGAGTGAGGGCTACTCACCAGGCTGGAAATTCAACGAATGGGAGCAGAAAGGTGTGCCGCTCCGCCTTGAATTTGGCCCTGGCGAATCGAAAGGACACTACGTGACAACCTCACGTCGCGACATTCCTGGGAAAGAGGGCAAGGGCCAAATTGCCATCACGGAGCTTGGCGCTGAGGTCCCAAAATTACTTTCCACAATACAGAGCGACCTCTATGACCGCGCAGACCAGACATATAAGCAACACACAAAGCAGATCACGGCATGGGACGAGTTCGTCCCCTCTCTCAACGCAAAGAACGTGAACTTAATTCCCCACTGCTTGACCGAGAAGTGTGAGGACAAGGTGAAAGAATTGAGCGCCAAGAGAGATACGGATGACAATGTCCCTCAAGACGAGAAGGCGCCAAGTATGGGAGCTAAAAGCTTGTGCATTCCTTTCAAGCAGCCTTCGGGGGGTCTCAGAGAGGGCACGCAATGCCTGAATCCCGAGTGCGATAACAAGGCAGTGAAGTGGTGTTTGTTCGGGCGAAGCTACTAATGCTAAGTGCTACGGGAGACCATAATTGATCGAGAAAGAAGCATGACGATGTCTGAGGAAAGAAGAATGAAGTTCTTGAGGCGTGGAGCATCTCGCTTGCTAAGGGGATGATCCCATGAGTTAGTGAGGCACGAGGGACCACGTTGGAAGCATTTTGCGGAAGAGCATGATCACAGCAAGCGAGAGCAGTTAAAGGACGAAACAGGGCTCGGGGCGCATTGGCCATAGTCTGACAGCAGATTTGCGAAACGTCACAGCTTCGTGTAGATGACAAGTTCAAATTTGAGATCTACATATGCCCATGTGGGTCTTCCTCTCCCTTCTTTTCAGGATCCAACTTTATCATCGTATCAATCCTCATGATCGCGATACACGCCTCCACCGCGCTCTTCAATTGTCTTACTTTACTCATACTTGGCTCTAATACCCCTGCCTTGATCTCATCTACACATTTGCCTCTCCGTAAATCCAGGCCGAAGTTCTTGAACGCTTTCCTTTTCGCTGCAAGCCTTGCCTGCTCCTCCTGTGCCGCGGAAGCCTGCTTCCCGCCTTTCGAAGGTGACGACTGCGGCTGTGGCTCGTCCTGCTGTTTCTGCGACGTCGCATGCAGTGATCTCAGTTGCGCGACAAGATCCGAGGCATCCTTGGCCGCATTGACAGTGAGGGTGCGGGGGATGACAAGAAGCGATTGTGCAAATTCCCCAATCGCAAGCTGTTCCCTGCTGCCAACAGTAAAGGCGAATTCTTCTAAGTAAATATGTAGAGCGGTTTCAACAGCGCCCCCACCAGGCACGATGGAGCCGCTCTCGAGTGTTCGTTTGATGGCGGAGAGCGAGTCGTGCATTGAGCGCTCCATTTCGTCGAGGTGGTAGTCATTGGAACCGCGGAGGATAATGGAGGCCGAGCTATGGATCCTGGTGCCCTTGACGAGAATGCACTCGTCATCGGAGATGCGTTCCTGGGACACTTCTTTTGCTTGACCGAGGCTTGAGACTTCAAATTTCTCATTGCCGTCGAGGTCAGAGAGCGTGGATACTAGTGTTGCTCCTGTTGCTTTTGCTATGCGTCGGAGGTCTTCCTTTTTGCAGCGTCGAACGGCAATCGCGCCCTTCTCGATGAATTGTTTAAGGCAGAGGTCGTCGATGCCTTTGGTTGTGAGAACGACGTTGGCCCCTGCTCTCAGAATCATATCTACCCGTTCCATGACCATGCCTGATTCTCGCTGCCGTATCTGTTCGAGCTGATTTGGGTCGTCTATTGTGATATTCACGCCGAGCTTCATCCGTTCCTTCTGCAGATTCATATCCAGACAAGCAATCTTTGCATCTGTGACCCGCGTCTTCATTGCCTGTGAGGCCACCGTGCAATTTAGCGCATATCCTTTGACGAGCATCGACTCCGTTGCACTTTTGCCGTGTGCTTTTAGTATATTGACAGCTTTCACAGGATATTTGACTTCATTCTTATTGTTCGTCGATTTGACGGATTGCATGGCATCAACAGCCATGTTCGCGAAGAAGTCGCTGTCTGACCCTATGACTTTGCTTGCCATCGATGTTTTGGCTATGTTCACCAAAGACTCGCGACCAAGGTTCTCGATCCGCGTGCTTATGTTCTCGTTCATATACTTCACAGCTTCTCTGAGTGCGAGTCGGTAGCCTGTGATTATTGTAGTGGGATGGATTCGATTCTTCATAAGTTCATTCGCTCTTCGCAGCAGCTCAGATGCTATTAGCACTACTGAAGTGGTGCCATCTCCAACCTGTGTAGTGTCAGTTGGATGCGTAGCCTCATTGCCATTGCCGATCAAACCTCCTTGTCCTGTTGTTGCGCTAAATCGACTAGTATCTTTCCTGCAGGATGTTCGACATCTAGCAAACTTAATATTGTGGCTCCATCATTCGTCACTGTGACATCCTGCAATCTTCAGTGGCCATGCTCAAGAAGTCGAGACGAATTCATACGCCTATATCGTCCACCATCATTTTGTCGAGCCCGGATGGCCCGAACGAGCTTTTCACTACATTTGAAATTGCCTGTGTCGCAAGAACTGCATGAAGATCAGTCGAGGTTCTTGCGCTGGCCACGTTGACAAGGCTACCATTTTGGTCTCGAATGTCTGCTCCGCTGAGCTTTTGACCACCAAGGACTGGATCAGGGTCAGCCTTCGCAACAAGATACAAAATATGGGGGACGGACAAAGGGTGCCAGCATTTCTGGGCTGCTCAAATAAACCCGACATTTCTCAAGACTTCAAACCTTGACCGACCAAATCATGATCGGGTGTGGACGCAAAAGTTGTAGACTCCACAGCTATTTTCTCTTAGCTCGACGCGAGCGTGTTTAGGGCTATGACGCCTATTTTCGGCTTAGCTGCCTGCAGAAATTTGCTCTTCGCTTGGGTCGTTCTCGTTCCTCACAACCATCGGAGACTGTTCACTGCGACAGGCCATGAGTTCATTCTCGCTGCGGGCAGGTAAGTCAACTTCGTTATGTTCTCTTCCAAGAGCAGATGATTACTTTTTTAACAATCTGTCAATCCACTGAATCTACTACCTCCTGCAGTCGGGAAGCTAGTTTGATGTGAATCATATGTATTTCTTTATGATGCTTTGGAGACCCGTCTTGCCCGCCAGAACAAGCTCAGACAGTTTTTGCTGACGTGTCGATTGCATAGCCTGCGATCTGCGAGTTTCCTTGTTGTATACGAACGATGGTTTCCCCACCTTCGCACGAAGAAGTCGATCTTCCTCTTCCAATTTATCGAATCTCGAGCCGCACGGAACGTTACATGCTCTATGATTCCAAGACTTTTATGTGGTTGCGAAGAAAGCATAACATCCTGGGTGTCCTCATCGGTACCCTACCTCAGGTGCCACAGCAAAACATTTTCTTGGGTCTACCTGTCGAATTACAACCAGAAGAAGCCCGCCTGCTTGTTGAGGGCGGCTTGGCATTTGTGGTGGATGACCTCCGATCTCATACAGCTAATCTTGCGGCTAGAAGCGCCAAAGACAATCAAAGGCTAAGATTAAATCTTCGTCAGGAGGGGCTCAAGTTGGCTGGCGACTGGGAGGAGGAACGACAGCTGAGAAGCCAGCAAGTTCGGAAGAAGAAGGGAATTGCAGAACTCGATGAGTCCGTGGAAGAACATGAATTGACTGTGGAAGATGGTGGACAGCGTGAAGAAGCGTCGGAGAGTCTGTTTGTCGAACAGCCAGTCTCGAACGCAACAAGTCACCCACAACTTGAACCTAAACAGAATCGACAGCCATGGTCAGTCACTCAATCAATATCTTCGTTCTCGGTGCAGCACTTGAACAAGACAGCCTCATCAACCCTACCGGCGGTTAATCCATCTTCTTATGCTCTCTTCAAACGTCTGCACCAGAGGGGCTATTTCATGACCCCTGGGCTGCGATTCGGTTGCCAATTCTCAGTCTATCCAGGAGACCCGCTGCGCTTTCACAGCCATTTCCTGGCTGTTGGTGCCAAATGGGACGAAGAATTCGAACTTTTGCAGCTCATCGGAGGAGGAAGGTTAGGCACAGGCGTGAAGAAAGGCTTCATGGTTGGAGGACTGGAGGAGCAGCAGCCGAACGAGGACACAGGCAAAAGGTCGCAAGAACCTGACAACGCTGCGAATGCTCACGTTCGCACATTCTGCATTGAATGGGTTGCAATGTAGCGAGAACATACTTGGCTTGACCCATAGTTCGGCTTTTAGCCGCCTTGTGCATTGCCTCTTTGTCGTTCAGTGTAAGTCATACACTCTCCTAAGATGTCTCACCAGGTCTAGTCATCTGCTATGTCCAGTGACAGAGTTCAGTCTCATCTTCCGCCAGACCGACCTACTATACCAAGCCAATACCACGATCTGGGCAGCATCCGGACCGTCGTGCTTGCCACTGTGATTATATCGTTTGCCTCAGCAGACCTCAAAGTCGGCGATGATCAGTGTGCGGCACTTGCGTTCGATTCAGCGCAAGGAAGATTTCAGCCGGCATTAGTGTGCTGCTCTAATCTAGCGGGCAGAGGCTTCAGACCCACCCGAGCCACCATGAACGACGTGCATGAAGCCGTCCTTTCTAGCTCCAAAATAACGCCCCCGGGATGCAAGTCCATCTTAAGTTCCTGCGAGTCGTTACTGCATAGTCTCTACTCACTAAGTCTCCCAGAGTCAGCCATCGACATTGTCTCTTTTCCACCTTCCTGTCTCACCAAATTTCTTTACACGAAAACCGCCGCGCTGTTTGTTCAACAGACCCTCGAACTTCTATATTTGCATGTTGCTTAGTTCAGGCGATTGAATATGACTTTTGAAAATCTCGAAGCGTTCTTAAACAAGAAGTTCACACACATAGTCGTTGGTGGAGGGACAGCTGGTCTTGTCGTCGCTAGTCGTCTTTCTGAGCGCTCTGATATCTGTGTCGGCGTGCTTGAGGCAGGCTTGCCTGCCTTTGACGATCCCCGTATCAATGTTCCCGGTCGTTTTGGGGAGACGCTAGGATCAGAACACGACTGGCAATTCGAGACTACGAAGCAATCTGGCCTCAAAGGAAGAAGTCTACCTTTTCCAAGAGGCAAGGTTCTCGGTGGGACCAGTGCCCTCAATTTTATGACCTGGAACAGAGGATGTGCTGATGACTATGACGCCTGGGAGAGGCTTGGTAATGAAGGATGGGGATGGGATGGCATTATGTAAGTATTGGTAAAATGACTGAGGGATGCACTCCAGTACGCTGTCCACCATCGCGATTTGTCCATATATGAGTTCTTCCTACTTACCAGGGTCCTAGACCATATTTCAAGAAAGCCGAGAACTTTCACGAGCCAACACCGGAGCACCAAGAAGAGAATACATCCCTGTACGAAATTACGAACCACGGTAAAGGAGGTCCAATGCATAATACATACTCCTCAAGCTACAGAGCGTCGCATAAGCACTGGCATGCTACGCTGAATGCTCTTGGTGTCAATACGAACCCAAGCCATTTCTCAGGCTCAAATGTAGGTTGCTGGACTACCATCGCAGGGGTCACTCCGGATAAGGGCGAAAGATGCTATTCTGCTACTGCCTATTATCAGCCTGTTGCTAAGAGGGAGAATCTGGTTGTATTGACAGAAGCCATTGCTCAGGAAGTCTTGATGAGCCGAGATGACAACCAATGGGTTGTAAACGGTGTCAGGTTCAGTCGTGGGGGAAAAGATTATTCCGTCAAGACCCAAGGAGAGGTCATCGTCTGTGGTGGTGCTGTATCATCTCCTCAGTTACTTGAGCTATCGGGCATTGGCAACCCAGAAATCTTGAAGCCTGCCAATATTGGATGTAAGATCGAAAATGCAAATGTGGGAGAGAATTTTCAGGAACATATGAGTGAGTCTTAAAGCAAGCATTATAGACCTCCTCTGACAATTCGGCTAGTGACAGCCATGATATTCGAAATCGACCCTTCGATCACTACGCCAGACGATCTACGCTCAAATCCTATCCTCGCTGCCGCAGCTGACAAGCAATACATCCTCGAGCGAGCCGGTCCACGAACCATGATACCTAGCTCCGTCTGCTACTTACCTTTCACTCGTGTCATTCCCACCGAGATCCTCCGGAAATGGGGCCAGAGCCTCCTCTCTACTCCATCGAATCATCAACTCCGCGACCGCATACTAGCCGAGCGCCTTACTACGGAGAAGAACCTCGGACAGATCGAATACTACTTTGACATCTCAAACTACAACCCCTACTACGCCTCTGAAGCCGGCAAGAAATATGCCACCATGTTAATGATGCTGCAATACCCCTTTAGCACCGGCTGCATGCACATTCCGCCCTCTCCCGCCGGAAAACCAAAAGCGACAGCCGAAGACAAACCTTTGATAGATCCGAAATACTATCTCGGCTCCGGCGGTGACGTGGACTTCCAGTGCATGTCCCTGTGTCAGCGCTTTGCGGACAAAATCTGCCGCACTGCACCGCTTTCATCCATAATCAAGCGCCGCGTGTTCCCGCCAGAGAAAGGCAGTACCGGCGCCCCTCCACCGGTCGCAGAAGGAGAAGAAGACTTCTCCAACTGGGTCCGAGACACCATGATAACGGACTGGCATCCGATGGGGACGTGTGCGATGGGCGGGCGCGAGGGAATCAAGGAAGGTGTAGTAGATGCGAGACTGAGAGTTTACGGAGTCAAAGGATTGAGAGTCTGTGATGCGAGCATCATGCCCTTGCAGATCGCAGCGCATTTGCAGGGGACGGTCTATGCAATTGGGGAGAAAGGGGCGGACATGTTCAAGGAGGATTGGGATGCGAGAGGCAAGGCAAGTGGAGTGTGTGGGATCCAAGCGAACGGAACCAATGGTCTGAACGGACATGTGAACGGGGATGTATAGTAGATGCAAACGAAGATGACGATTTGCACTATGTAAACGGTCGACAAGAGAAAGGACGCAGACTGGAGTGTCCGAGATAGGTTGTGAGTGACTAAATCAATTCTTTATACACGTTGAGTGGCCGTAAAACGCTACCCAATGTCATGTTGTCACGCAAGCCGCCCGTCTAGTTCTACCTGATCATACAGACGCTTTTGAACCATATCGAACAAGGAACCCTATCCAGCAGAACAAACATCGCCTCCCACGCGGTAATGCAGACAGCCAACCAAGTGCAGCATCAAAATATCTTCTCTTAACAGTGAAGTCTTGTATTCATCTTACGCCTCCTTCATAATCAAACACATCAAAATCGAGACCCCGTGGGATGGCTCGCAAAGTTGTAGCATCCTTTGGAGATTTGAAACAGTGCCTTCAGTGATGATCAGAGACTGTCTGGTTCATAGACACGGTCTTGACGATGGTCCCAGCCTCCTTTTCATAGGGGCTCCGCTCTTGATTTCCTGCAGTAATTGCAGTGCCAATGTAAGGCTCCTGATTCATATATGCCTCTTCAGCCTTCATCCGACCCATCTCAAGTTCCTCTGGATGGACGGAGGGCGCTCGTGGAGTAGCGTCTCCGGGAGCACTGCTGAGGAACCCAGGCGTGGTACCGGCATTCGCGATTCTCTCTTCGCTTTCACTGCGCATATACCCATGTTCATCGTATTGGCGACGGTTGCGGCTGCTATTCATGCCTGTTTGGGAGGAGAACTTGTACCGATCTCCAGAGGCCCCACCACCCTGGCTCGTGGCCTTGAAGCTGCCGAGACGGAAGACGCGACTCAGGATCGGCCAGCAATGGGGAATATTGGCTACCATAACCGCGGTGGCTGCTTCTCCAGCATACCAGTTCAAGTATATCAGAGATCCATATCCGGCCGTGAAATTGTAGTATCGGTTGAGGATGGCGGCGAGAATGACAAAGATACCGAGAGAGAAAACGCCACACAGGACAAGCTTTCGTTTGAAAGGAAGACGTGCTTTGATAAGCATGGGCAGAGGAATAAGCAGCATAATTAAATCCGAGCTAATATTGAAAACTGACGCAGTTACAAGGTGATGGTAGTAAGAGGCACATTGTGAGTTGTCGACGGGGACTTGCCAATACTGCTGGATTGGCCTACACCAGACGCCCAAGAACAGGATTTGGGTCACGACGTAGCCAAGAACGCAATAGCCTCCGACCCATTTGACAAGTCGATGCTGTTTTGGAAGGCCCTTACTGCACAGTTCATTAGCGTGTCGTTGTCGAGATGAAACAAGCAACACTCGGTGCGACGCATAAAGCTTGTGCTCAAGAGTGACTTCAAGGGGAGTTACGTACGTCATGGATGAGTACAGAATCAATAAGCAGGCTTTGCAAAGCCATAACGTTGCTAGCTGGAACTGCTCCGTGACAAAGACGAACTTGCTGCCGTAAATGGCATTCCGTACTTCTTCGGGCGTGAGTGTTTCGAACATGCCAGGAGGTAGATAGTTGCTGAGATTTTGGCCGGTCATGTTGACAGATACCATCACGACCGAGAAGGTCATCTGGAGTGATTATGAGCTCATTTGGTTTTCATCTGACGCCCATGTGACGCTCTGAAGAGGCGAGCCACAAAGATCTGACAACTCACCACAATGAAGAGCATGATATAGTCGTCGACTTGAAGTTTTCTCCAATCGCCGAGTAACAATCTCCGGGAAATCCTGTAAACGGAGATCCATTAACGTCTTTGAGCAAACGCATCAACATTTGGCGTTGCCCTACATTCTTGCCACAACGAAGACCATCCCAGCAGCAAAAAGTGTCCATGACTCGATCAGTAGGGCCTCGGCATCGGGATTGGTGGCACCCATGGTGAAGTGAAGGCTGAGAGATGTGTATCCAAAGAGCCTCCCAAAGGATAAAATGAAAAGGGAAGGAAAGGACCGGGGTGAAGGAGCAAGGCAAAGCTATAGAGACATGGACGGTGGTATGTTCGGCATATGAGACTGAAAGAGAGTGGACGAGGAGGAGTGGCCGTCAACCTCCTATCTCCCCCGTCACAGGTGTGAAATACTACTGCAGGACAGAAAAGAGATGGATGTCAAATCTGTGCAGAAGCGAACGCCATCGACCCCAACTAAACACGGGTCCGGCAAGGTCAAAGCCTTGGTGGGAAACGGCGATGGTTGCAAGCATGCAAGGTACCTCCACAACGAGAGTACTGGCCAGAAATCTCCGATGGTTGGCAGTTGGAGAAGATGGGTGATGGCGCTAGTTGTTAATCAAATGAGAGTGCCAGATTAAGCGTCATCCGAGTGAGCCTAGTCCAGATCTGAGAATCTTCCTCTTGGGTCTTGAGTCTTGAGACTTAACTTGCCCAAGCGAAAGAAGCAGAATTTGGAGAGATGGACCAAAATGGAAGGCCAATGTCATCACCACCTTGATATATTGCTGAGCCAACATCCCAACCATCACGTCAAGAGGCAACCGACCCGGCCAAGCGCCCCATGAGACTCCAACTTTTTGGCGAAGACATTCAAACGTTCAGGAACGCGTTTGCTGAGTGAGGGTTTTTTTCCCTTCTGGGTACTGCGGTCAGGGGCTGCACACTAATAATGACCAATGTCAATCTTGTACGAAGGATCGCTATCGGGGCGGCCCTTCCATGGGGCCTTTTTGGCCGCCGTTCCATATTTGTGAGGCTGTAGGATTACGCAAGCCTACTCGTACAGTCGTACTACGGAGGTACCGCCGGCATGTTGAAATGGTGGCGTATCACCGTGGGGGACCTCAGACAGTGGTGGCTCGTGAGTGGTCAGGGGTCATAGCAGTGAAAATAATAATACCGTGCTGTCAAAACCCTCTTTCGCTCTTAGTGCTTGGGGATCACGGCTCAAGAAACTTTAGTCTCTTGAGCCAAGCTTAGACTTTTGACGGTTCCGACGCGGCTCCTCGACGGCGCGGACAAACTCTCTATCTAGGCCGAGAAGACCCTATCAAGCTTCCCATCCTTCCACTCCCCGCTGTCGGCCACGGCTCCCCCTTGAACTACGCAATAATTGATTTGACCTGCTACTGCATATCGATCTCTGAGTCTGAGCTAAGAATGCTGCAGCGGAAAAGACAAACAGTGGCCACAAACCACAGTCCTACCACAGATCCTTGCATTCCACCCCTACACCGACCCAACAGCCTCTTTTATACTCTACAGGTTAAGCCTTCCGTGGCGTTGATCCACCTAAAATACGTCGTGTTTTCTCCATGAGCACTGGCACTGGCGGGCGGCGCCATCGGAGAAGAGGGCGTCCCGATGCCGTCCAAGGCTCTAAGTAGGGAGAAATCGAGAAACGCTCGACCTTGGCCTTGCATTCGAGACTAATAATCTGACTGGATTCCATGGCTGCCAGCGCTATCTCAGCCGGAACTCTGTCGGGATCAGAACCCGGCCATCGTCGCCCGCCTAGCGCGCTTGAGCACGACTGAATGCTCAATTTGTTGCTATATTATTCCTTCGCGTAGATTAATAATTGCTTATGGCCAAAACCAATCAAGCTTCGGGTCTCCACTTCGTTCGACTGCGCTCCACGAACGCAACTGCCGTGCCTTTCGTGATCACTGTGTATGGGGAACAGGGATGGCGCGAGAGAGACTGACGCGAGAGATTATGCAATGATGTCGAAACAGCCGATGCATGGCAAGCAGGTCTGCTACCGAACTCAATTCATCAACATTAGCCAACGCCTTCCCTCTCCATGAGCGACTCTCAATTTACGCTCTAGAAGTCCACCTTGCATGGTCTAGAGTCTCTAGACGGCATGCTACCACGCCTAGAGTCCTCCAACCGAAAATCTCACCATGTCTGGGACACGTCCCAGCCATCGAGCCTTGTTTGACTGCACTACTCGTGGTCCTGGAAGTCCCAAGAACCGAAGTTGGGATTTTGACCGTGCGGCTGGAACCCAGTCCAGTGCAAGCTCGTCCTGCCATCTTATCTTTCGCATGCTGCGTGCTATCGCTCTTTGCAACAACCCGAGCCTCAGTTGACCTTTGCTTGTTGGACGTGGTTTCGCTTCAATCGCTCTCCCAAGTGGCCTATCCAGCCGGACCTCAGCTCAGTCACTATGACTCTTGATCTGGAGAAGCAAGCTGCCCAAGTCGAGGAAAGCACCGCCAGCAGCACCTCTGATAAGGAAGGCGTGATCGTTGCCCGCGAGACCGCCACACCATCTGCCCCGCATGTCCCAGTCCCCAGCAAACTGCGAGCGTTGAATAACAGAATCGAAAATCTTGCCGGTCTCGAAGCTCGTGGGATCACGCGCGTACTGCCAGAAGAGCGACATGGAATCTCCCCAATGCGATACGCCCAGATGGCTATCATCTGGTACAGTGCAAACATCAGCGCCAACAACCTCGCGGTTGGACTGCTAGGACCTCTGCTGTTCAATCTGGGTTTCGTGGACAGCGCCATGATGGCAGTTTGGGGGTGCCTTCTTGGGTCTGCCGTCACCGCTTATATGAGCACTTGGGGCGCGCAAAGTGGCAACAGAACCATGGTGAGCTCAGGGAATTCTCGCTGACCATGGAAAGGGGGTTAATGAAGCTTACGAGTAGATTGTCGTCAGATATTTCATGGGTTACTGGCCTGCGAAGCTCACCACTGTGCTGAACATGATATTGATGGTTGGATACGCCGTCATCTCCACCATCATCTCCGGCCAGATTCTGTCCGCAGTCAGTGATGGTAGTATGAGCATCGTCGTTGGGATTGTCATCACAGCCCTCATCAGTTGGCTTGTCGCAGTCTTTGGAATGTCAATTTTCCATACATACGAGAGGTAAGTCGATCTCGTCCTCTCGAAATGACGAGCAGTCCTAACAGTTGGCCTGCGAATAGATATGCATGGATTCCTCAAACCATCGTCCTCCTGATTCTCTGTGGTGTCGCAGGGAAGAATTTCAATACCGGCAGCGTCTCCATCATACCCGATGGTGCTCCCTCAGCCGCTATAACAGCCGACCGCCTCTCCTTCTTCTCCCTGCAATTGTCGGTCCCCCTCTCCTGGGCGGGCGCAGGCTCAGATTTCTATGTCTACTATCCTGAATCCACCTCCAAGCGCTTGACCTTTCTCATGACTCTCACCGGTCTCTGGATCTCCTTCATCTTCGTCAATCTTATCGGCATCGGCCTCGGCGCTGGGACCTTCACCAATACTAAGTGGAACGATGCCTATGGTATCTCCTCTGGCGCGTTGATCCTAGAGGGTTTCGCACCTCTTCACGGTTTCGGTAAATTCTGCGGCGTGGTCGTCGCTCTCGGCGTCATTAGCAACAATGTTCCTGGCACTTATGCTGCAGCATTGAATTGCCAGGTACTTGGCCGCTTCGGCAAAATGGTTCCCCGTTGGCTTTGGGTGTGCGTTATCGTGCTCATCTACTTCGTCTGCGCCATTGCCGGGCGAGATCATTTGTTCGCCATCTTCCAGAATTTCCTTGCCCTAATGGGATACTGGCTTGTCATTCTTGTGACGATTGTCGTTGAGGAAACACTCATCTTCCGTCGTAGCAGAGGGTTTGACTGGACGAAATGGGAAGATCAGAAATACCTTCCTGTCGGTGCTGCTGCATTGCTCTCATTCCTCATCGGTTGGGCGGGTGCCATCATTGGGATGTACCAGGTCTGGTATGTCGGGCCTGTAGCTCAGCAGGCTGGAGACGGGTATGGAGCGGATATTGGCATTTGGTTGGCCCTCGGATTCACGCTTGTTGTGTTTCCTCCGTTGAGGTTTCTTGAATTGAAGACTATTGGGAGGTAATGCAGAGAATGTGATCTTGGTTGTGGGACTCGGGAAACCTAAAGTTGGGTCGCCAAGTACATTGCATTCAAGCTTGTATGTAGGGCGAGGTTATCTGTCATGGGCATATAGCGACGGCGGTGCGCTTTTGGACACTTGAAAAGAATTGATTCGCTTTCATTCTCTCCCACTTCGTTATCTCGGCTGTTGTCGAACAGATTGCGACTTTTCGGCGGGTGTCACAGCCATTCTTAAAATTCAATGGCCTTTGCTGCCAGCCCCGTATCTTCCTTAGCTTGACCCTGCTGACCTTCGCTGTCTCCTTCTACAGGCGGTAAATGATATGGCACGACCACAAATCGCTTCCTACCGAGCGAAAAAGCGAGATCTCGCCCAGCCCCACCACTTCCACCACCCTTTTCCGTGACAACTGGTAACCTATGGATCCTCAGCATCCCTTGTGGCTTCTCCTCAGTCTTCTGCGTTGTAGGGTTGGACGGTGAAGATTTCGTCAGAGGAGGCAGGGCAAGGTCAACGCTGTAGGGAAAGGGCGCAAGCTCCAACACACCGTCCATCATATGCTCCACCCAACGCATCAAGCCAGTGCTACGTGGGTAGAGAGATAGAGGGAGAGTAAGCATGACTGTGAGATTCTGGGATGGTTGCTTGAGGAGCGAGCGAAGGCTGCGTAAAAAGGGAAGAAGGTGCGTCGGTTGACATGCATGAACTGGGTAAATGGCTGGTGAGAGAAGGGAAGGGACAATGACACGATGAACAGTATCTGGTGGAGAGGATTCCAGGACCCTAGAGAGATTGACGAGGATTGAATCGAAGGGATTTCTGGAAAATTCGGTTGCGGGCAGCACAGGAATGAAGCTGATGGGCGGAATAGGTGTAAACGTGAGTCGCTTTGTCAGATCGAAGGTGTGGCAGAACAATGGGGGTGCAGCCATTGATTTCTGGTTTGATGCAGACGTCACGGGAGTTCGAGTGGGTGTTGGAGGGGCTGGAAGCCGTTAGCGATGTAAATGACCAAGGGCTGCGGTCGACAAAGGGAATGTACGTTGTGCGTTATGGGAGTGTTCCCACCTCTTGACCCAACGCCGAAATCTCCCAACCTCTCGTATCGCCACGCAATCTTCATTTTCTCGCCTTGTGTATCGCTAGTTCTATGCTTGCGTTGTGATGCCTCGATGGAGTCTCCATCCTCCGCTAAGCCAGGCAGATCCCTTGCCCACTGCTCAGGCACACCGATAATAAGGACCTGATGACCCTGCAAGATACCTTCTGCAGCATAGTAGCGAAGCAAAGCTCCCGCAAAATCCGTTGTTCCAGTCTCTTCAAGAAGTAAACTATTGCCCAAGGGCAAACCTGCATGACCAGCTAGAAGGTCGTCAAGCGTCTGGGTCCCACTTGATGTGGTTGATCGGCCGTCCAATGGAGACGGTCGTACGCCTCCAAGCTGTCTTGTATGACTTACGATAGCCGCCTTCTCAGCCGATGATCCAGAAGATCCTGATAGTCCAACATTCCGCCGGCGGAAAGACATTGAGAGTGTTTTACCTCGCTTTCTTCGGGACGATTTGTAGGTGTGACAAATGAAGGAAGATCGATACTCTATTCTTATATGAACGAGCGTCCCCAATTGATCTCAGCCTACATGATCAAAGCATTCACGGGTGTGGTGGTCGAAGGATGTTGAGACCAGCCACACTAGCATCAATGCGGAAAACAATCTTGGGGTTCCACTCGCAGAGACTCGAGACGGCACGCAGTGAAACGTGCTCCTTGCTAAAATATACCAGTATTGGGTCAGTCCACAGTCGTCTCTTGTCAATCTCTGTTCGAGAAAAGCCTGTTCAGAAAGATGTGGATTGAGGAAGGGGGGTCGAGGGGGTGCAAAGTGCGGAGCGGCATGCGGAGCGGAAAGGAAAAATGATATTCCGTGGGAGACTGGCTTCAAGGCAAATCAGGGTGACTTCCACCTCAATTACATCTCTGTCACTTTGCTCTGTAATTTGTTCAAGATGAGTGACGCAAATCTGTACTCTGAAACCTTCAAAGTGACAGAGACTGACGCCGCAGATACAAAGTATGACCGAGTGCTTCGCCTGACTCTTCTAAATGATTCCGGCGACACTGAGATGAAACTCGACGTAAACAGCGAATTACTTCAGTGCAATATTGGCGAGCGAGTACAAGTCTTACTCAGCTCAACATTATCACTGGATGGCAGTAAAGACGATGGAAAAGGATGGAGGGACGTTGGCAGAGGAGAACCTAGCGTTGCCGACGACTACGACTACGTTTGCCATGGGAAAGTTTATCGCTTCGATGAGGGCAAGGGTGACAAATTGTATGTCAAAATAAACGCAAAGGACTTTGTTCCCTAGTTATTGACACATTGATTGAACAGGCAGGTGTTCGTCAGCTTTGGAGGATTGCTGCTCTTTCTCGAGGGACCTTTCAAAAACCTGTCCGCGTTGAAACAGGACTACGTATACCTCTGCTTGAAGAAATAAGGATTAAAGAAGCAAGCATTGACCGATCTGATTGATGCAATACTGGGTTCAGGCGATGGCGTTAGGGAATTATGATCATGTCTTTGTGGTTTTGAATCGGCAGTGGCATTCAGCACGACAATGTCGTGGGAAATGGAAGTCTTCGGTGGAGTCTGGATACAATCTCAGCATAGTGCGGCTCGTCTCCTGCAGTCATTATGCTATGACGCACGAAGAAGTCTAATAGCACCAACGCACAATTGGGCTTGAATTGCCCTGTCGCTAACCCTTGTTTCACCTCATCAACGGTCCAAAGGTAGAATTCCTCAACCTCCTCATCGTTCGGTCTGGGTTGAACACCAGGACCTACTTCCATATCGTACACGTATTGGCACTCTGGCTGAAGCAAACCAGTTTCTCCTCCAGCTCGCTCGTCTCGAACATGCACATAGCTGACGATTCCACACGCCTTGGCATTCGATCGAACAAGCTGCTCAGATAGCGATGCCTCTTCGTCAGCCTCGCGCACCAGACACTCGAAGGGTTCCTCTCCCGCTGCAAGACCGCCTGCCACTGTATTATCGAGCATACCACCGTAGGTTTGCTTAGAACGGGCTCTTCTCGGCACCCATATCCGCATGCCCTCCGTAGTATGAGTGTACACCGTCAGGTGGACGCCGTAAGTGTTAATGCCAAACAGAGCAGTTCCTGCCCGTTCCATCACGATCGGCTCCTCTCCTTCGGTCCTTTTTCCGTGGACCGGATAGAGCTCACTCCGCCAGCCGGCCAGGACTTTGAAAATCTTGAGTTGTCGAGCTTGCAGCAAAGTGTCACGAATAATTTGGTTCTGGGACGCCCAATTATCTGCGCTCGTCTTAGGCGTGACTATTTTCCTCTCATGATCAATGTCCCAGCGATCCTCCCAGGGCATCTTATCAACGACCCATGTAGGTAGATAGCCATATGGTTCAGTGAGAGAATTTCCATTGGTGAGACATAATGCAAAGTATTTAGACTTTAGTTTGGCCTTGTCTTCAACAGTTTCCTGGTAGTACGGAAAGCTGCACTTTTTGAGCAATAGATTGTGCCCGAACGGATCAGCTTACTTGTCACATTCCTCTACCAGATCCATGTAGCTTTTCGTCATATTCTTTGAAGCCGATTCGCGGTGTGGAACACTTTCCCCTCCTCCACACAGCTGAAGTCTATGTGGGACTAACCGAGTCTGCAGGGCGCTAACAATCAGCAAATGACTCTGACTTCCTGGCCATTTCTTTACAATGTCCTTCACTTTTATGATAACTATAGAATGCTCCGGCCTGCGCAAACATGGCTAGCTCCCCCCTTTTGGTCTCGTTCTACCTTCTCGTCCGGTCCTGACCGAACCTCAAGTAATCTCACCAACCCAATATGCTTTCTCCTTCCCTTCTGCACCGCGTTTCTCGCATATTGTCGTCTTTCTGTTGCCCGGGTTGGCAATGCCAGACGGGACGTTAGCTGGAGTCTACGTTCAGTTGCCAGAGGCTGACCCATCCTTTCGTTTTCTTGGGGCTATTGGCACAGAAAAGCAGAGCGCCATCTTCAGAGTCAAGGAAACTGGACCAGCTTTAGAAGACGCCACAACTGGGATGGCTGGCAATTCAGATATGCTTGGGCATCAAGCAGCGAGCAGCACAGTCACTGTTGGTATATCCATTGAACCAGCCACAAGTCTGAATCAGCAGCTACAAGAGCTCAAGGCTTCCCAAGCTTCTAAGACGCCTGGCAACCCGGCAAGGCTTTTCAATCCGCCAATTGTTCCGCCATTATCAACGAAAGTTCTTGCTCAGCGAATTATCAAGAACGCCTTTAATTTTTTAGCAAGTCTGGCAGGATCTGTTGGCCCCGGTGGTGTTGAAGTCGTCCCCTTGAAGAGCTTCCAAGACTGGTGGTCGAAGTTTGAGCGTAGGATCGAGCACGACCCTGGATTCTTGGAGAGGGAGGATGGCTGAGCGATTTGATCATTTGATCTCACATAGTCAATCATTGCCAGTCTTGCGAAGTTGAGCTCAAATATCACAAATCACCATCAATTGTTCGCCTAAGAACTGGTTAATTGGCTTCCGAAATCCCTCATCAAACGCCATGACCACTTGTACAGCAACCTTTACAGCAGGTAGAAACCTTGCTGCTGGCTTGACTCAGGCCATGAGGAGATCCTGGCTGGCGAGCTGTTGTCAAACATACATCACAACAGCTCACAGTGATGCTGACGAATAAGCTTGCCTTTTAGCCTGTCAAATGCTGTATGGGTGATTACTTTTCTTGAGAATGGGAACAACCTGAGCGGAGTTCCTATTCAAATTCATCGGCGCATACTGCGAAAAGCAATATTATGTCGTCGCTCAAGGTAGAGTAAACCTTAGCACCATGCGTGACTTCGAACAGGTAAGCTCGATGGCTAAGGCCGGACTTTGCATCGCTTGGGCCCTCCTGTAGCATTGGACAATCTGCCTTGATAGACTAGCAGCTCATGCGATGTGGAGCGGGAAAGATCTCGTGGCTTTCCAGGTCTTTTTCAACAGCGCCCTGGTGTAATAAGATAGTTGTGGAAGAAACATGTCTAGATACGGAGGGTCAGGGTTTGAATCAGATTGAAGCTCTGTCAAAGAGTTATCCAAACGCCTCTCACGAGCCTAGTATACATATACAAAGTGCAATGAGGCTCACAAAGAGTATGGCTCTGACCTTTCGAAGCGAAAGGGCAGGTCTCCCAGATGATGAATCAAGAAACAACCTGCAAAGGATTGTGATCATGGAAGTCTGTTTTCTAGCATGTTCTCCAGGCTATCGATTGACGTCTAGGGTGACTGGGAGACACTAGGATCTACAGCATTGGGTATGATTTTAGCAGCTCCAGATTCCAACCACGCCATCTTTCCTTCCCTCCACAAGGTATCCATCCCGCACCCGCACCCGCTCTACTATGCTTGCATTGGCTTCATTCTCAGCCGTGCTTTCACCGCAATCCCAGTGTCTACCATCAGTCTTGTCGTACACTTTTGCAACACTTTCGCCAGCTGCAGCAATAATGCGCCGGGCATCAAACATCATGCCAGTGACAGGGTTGTCGTAGGCGTAAGCATCACGAATAGAACCGGTTCGAAGGTCCCATATCTTCATGTGAGTCAGTAAATAGCGAGCTTTTGATACCAAGGGTAGCCATGAGAGTTTCAAGAGGAACTTGATAACATGCGAATGTGATGCTTACCCTTATACTTCGATCTGCACTTCCAGTAACTAACACCCGCTCGTCAAATTGTAAGCACGAAATAGCCCCCGTATGCCCAACCAGACTTCGATGCACCTGTCCGCTCCTGAGATCCCACAACCGGACCATCCCATCTGCTGTTCCACAAGCAAGCGCCGCATCAAAGCATTGCAGAGCACCAACAAAATCAGCCGATGAATCTGGGACGCGCGAGCCGGCGTTCTGCCATGAAGAAACAGGGCCCCCTCGCCCAGACGGGTCTGGGGATGATGAGGTGGTGTTGCCGATGGTGGCAGAGGCTTGAGCTGCTGCCCAGAGGACGTCGAGAGTTTGAACGCACCGCCCAGTCGCGAGATCCCACTGACGTAGCGTTTTATCCGCTGAGCCAGAGACGAGGGTGTCGCCTTTGAAGTGCAGAGCGGTAACTTCAGCAACGTGCGCGTTCAGGGTATGAACATGGCAATCTGCTGTGCTGCTGACCTGTGCAGCAGCGGGTACTTTTTCCTCAGTCCCATTATCTTCGTCATGGAATTTGGATTCGGATGCGCGGTTCTCTCTAGGCGCATATTCTGCCTGATCAAGATCCCATAACCTGATGGAGGCGTCCATGGAGCCTGTCGCGACAAAGTTTTCCTCTACTTGTAAGCAGCGCACTGACGCCTGATGGCCTTCAAGGAGGCCAATGCACCGACCCAGATTCAGGTCCCACACACGGACTGTATCGTCGAAGGCAGAGGAGACCATGGTACCAAACGGGGCGTCGAAGTCGAGCGAGGTGATCATGTCGTTGTGAGCTTGTATTTCTCTAATCGATGTGCCAGGATCAAAGTGCTCATGTCGTATCGCTGTGGATTTCCGTCGAGCAGGCTTGTGGCGCTTCGATTTTGGAGAGGGAAGCTTTTCGTAGATCGATTGGGACATGAACGAGGTTTCTTCCTCAGTGAGATCCGGCTCAACTTCAGCTTCTGTTGGTGGCGTAGCTGTAGGCGCCAAAGTAGCAACTTCTTCAGCCTCTTCAAGGAGATCTTCGAGTTTATCGTCAATGTCTCGGAGGTCTTGAGCCATTTGCACTTCTTCCTGCTCCAAGTCTTCGAGCCTGCCAAGTATGACCTTCCGCATGTTGTTGAGATTTGAGATCTTAGCATCGACTTCCCGAATTTCCGTTGAGCACATGTTCTTCCGCACTTCCATCATCTCCAAGTTGCGATGTACTCTGTGACGTTCTCTTTTAGTCAACGCGATAGGGGTGGCATCATCTTCACTATGCTCTAGAAGCAGTCGCCTTCTGGTGCCATGCCGTCGATGTTTCTTCCTGTGCTCACTCTCCTCTATTTCGGGTACCGTAGCCTGGAAGCCTTGGAAAAGAGAGTAGTCATTGTCGTCCTCAGGAATATCCTTGAGTACATCATCGGGCAAATACGATAAAGCCCGGTGCTTCATCTCATTGACGGAGAGCTTCGATCGCACAAGCTCTGTTGGCGAAGCTCGGGCTTGGGCAAATATGCTTGTTTGGAATGTAGGCCGCCGTAGCTCTCTTTGCAGTTGTGACATGGCATTCTGATAGTGCTCGCTATTTCTAGAGTCTGAGATGAGATGTGATGCTGTTGTTGTGACTTTACGCCCGAACGCCTCTATATGGCGCGTCTGTGATGATTCAGCCTCGCACGAGTGCATTCTAAAGGACATCTCACGCTCAACGCGTTTCCCAACATTGATGCTTCATCTGACGTATTTCTCGTTTGACGCGGCGAGCCATCCGCTTGGGCCATTGGCGGTGTTGATTGGGAAACTTGACACTAGGCTGGAAGATCCATGGCTGAGAAGCTATGAAAGTGCATATGCATCAACACAGTATCCTCCAGAGAGGCATGGTCAAACCGGTCTGGCATAGATTCGGGTCACGAGTGTTAGAGTCCCCTCTCCCTTCGTAGGGCTGAATGCACCTGGGCGAGCTTCGGAGCGCAATCGTAAAGTTCGGAGGCCAGGCGCCAGTCAGTAAACAGCATTTGCTGACTGACAATGTGGGATGTGGGATCAATGATCACGGATGAAAGTCTCTAAAGCAAGCCTGACTTCCTTTGCGTGACTCAATGAGCTACGGATATCACTATTCTGTCCATCGTCGTGGTGGTCAATCTATTGAGAAAGTATGGACTCGGCGATCGATTTGTCTGACGCATCGAAGGCCTTGGATCTATCTAACATTCGCTTTCAGCTAGTGTACGTTCTCGAGACAACGATGTAAAAGCTCAAGACTAAATCCTATTGTAGCCGGCTCGAAGACACTATTACATTCTTCCTCATAGAGCGAGTTCAATTTCCGCTGAACCAGACAATATACACTCCGGGGGGGTAAGACTCCCTGGAAGTGATTTGAGCCTCTTTGATTGGATCCTGCGAGAACAAGAGGCTTTACATTCGCTCGTGCGTCGCTATGAGTCGCCAGATGAATATCCTTTCTTCCCGGATGCATTGAACAAACCAATTCTTCAGCCACTGAATTATCCGAAGATCCTTCATCCCAACGATGTCAATGTTTCGGCTGCGATCAAGCGTAAGTACATTGAAGTCATCTTACCCCGTGCCTGTCCAGACTTTGGCCGCGAGGATCGAGGGGAGCAACAGGAGAATTATGGCTCGACGGCGACCATCGATGTGTCTTTGTTGCAAGCTTTGTCGAGACGAATCCATTTCGGGAAATTCGTTGCAGAATCGAAATTCCAAGCCGAGACTGAAAGGTTTGTGCAACTTGTCAAAGCAGAAGATCGGAAGGGTATTGATGAAGCCATCACGAATGCCAAAGTCGAGAAGAAGGTCCTAGAGCGCCTGCGGCTAAAAGCAAGAACGTATGGCAAGGACCCGAGTATTGAGGCAAATGATCATGGTAAGATAAATGTTGATGCCGTCGTGTCCATGTACGAGGTTGGTTTGCCAGGCGCTCACACATCGTTTGAAACTGAAAACTTTCAGGAAACTGTGATTCCGCTCACGAAGGAAGTCGAAGTCGAGTATCTTATGCAGCGCTTGATAGGCACAGAGTGGGAGTGAATGTCAAAATACGCAGTTTTGAAGCGCTTTTACTTTTGGTGGTCGTGGCGCAAATGTATAGTATTTCTGATTAAGTATGAGTATTTTTTGGCTTCAGCCAACGAAGTCCTGTACAGCTTGAAGAGCGGTCTCGAACTTTTCAGCCTCGATAAGAATCATATGGCCTTGAGGCTTGATACCAAGATCGTGGAAAGCGCGTTTAGAGTCTGATTGGCTCCCTTCGCTTTTGTAGTCAAAGCCACTGTAGGTAGCAGCATGCCTCTGGAAGGCCTCATCCTCGGGATGGAAAAAAAAAACCTCAGAGGAATGGGCTGAATCAACCCTTTTAAGCTTTTTGTTTTTGTGCTTGCCGTCAGTGTCATCTTCAAGTACAGATGTCATCTCACGATATGTTTTGGATAGGATGAGAAAATGAGTGAAATGATAAGGTTCCTTTTCCTCCAGTGCCCATGTGATCTCCTCAAGAAGCATCTTGTACATGGGTGGCACGACTTGTGCTGGTACGTTGATGAGCCTTTCTGTCAGTATCAGACCTACATGGGCATTCTCAGGAGCTTGCAGGAGCTCTCGTATCTTCAATGCTCTGTCGTCAAGAAGGCAGCGATCTTTTAAATAATTGATCAAGTTGGAGATGACGGGAAGTTTCTGCTTGAACATAAGCAGAGTATCCATTGAGGAGTCGACAGTACGTACCCTATGCTCGTGCAGATTAAGGACCGTCAATAATGCGTAGGGGTCAGACTCGTTGCCTTCCGTTTTTACTGTAGAGCCCAGGAGAGGTTGGCCTAAAATAAGATCCGCGAGTCCGCTCAGGTCAAATAGTTGTGAATCGACATCAAAAAGTTGCCTTAATAGCGTCTTGATACCCTGAAAGTCATGTTCGGGTTGCGGGTCAAACCATTCAAATTCAACATTGAGCAGATCAGTATCCTAACTACCGGTGAGTCTTAATAGTGGCCTTTTGAAATTGGGAGCAACTGACTTCGTCACTACTGCTCTCTTCAGAGTTGCTCTCCGAGTCTTGCGACTCAAAATCCAATTGCTCATCACTCCCTTGGCTAAGACTATGTTTCGCCATGATAAGTGCCAGAATGTGGTGGCTTAGGGGAAAAGGCAATAAAATTCCAATTTTATCTACGATGTGACAATCTTATCTATATCTTGATCAACACTCGCGTCGGACTACACTGAACAGCAACTTGTGAATTATTTCGATACTCTATTATTGTTTGAAATACCTACAGCTTGGTCCCTTGTCTTGAATTGACATTTCTGTGGCAATGTTGCTTAAAGCCAGTCGCATATACTTTTCTGCTATCCGAACCTGACTCTTCCAAATCTCTCAATCTCTTCTTTTACTCTGGCGAGGCAATGCCAGCCACATGAATAACATGGTCAAAAATAAACCAATGCAGATTGGATGTAGCACCCACGTCCCTGAAGACTGAGCCAGTAAACCTGTAAAAAATGGCGCCACCGCTCCACCACTGCTTCCCAGCGCCGACACAAAAGCAAGACTGCTCATTTGCAGTCTGCGCGGAATAAGTCTACTAAAAACAGCCGTGGCACATGGGTACACTGGTCCCAGCAACAAGCCAACAATTGACACTGCGACAGCTTCGCCGATCACGTTCGGAACAAGCCAGACAAGCAGCTGAAAGGCAGCAGCCCCCCCAATGAGAAAGAACGTCGAGGCTTTCTCCCCGATTTTGTGCGCCCAAGGTGAAAGAAGAAACCTTCCAAGGGTAATACCGCCCCAAAATCCAGATGTCACGTAACCGACCCGAGAAGGTGAAGAGTGACGATAGGAGATCAGGAATGAGATGACCCATCCAGAGATGCTGACCTCGGCCCCTTGATATGCAAAGATGAATAATGCACCTAAAATCGTGGTCCTATTGTGCACGGCTTGCCAGAGTAAGGCCGATTTGGACGTTGTACCTGTAGGGTTGCTTTGGGTAGGTTGTAGAGAATGGCTCACTGGTGAATCAATCTCGTATGTCCGAAATGAGAAGAAAGCTATAGCAAGGTTCATGAGGCCCACAGCAAGCATGATGTAGTAGAATGTGGACCACGACCTGCCGTGGGTCACTAGTCCTGTGGCCATGAGTGGACCTATGGTGCCGCCAATGCCGTATGAACCGTGCATGAACCCAAGGATGGTCGTTCCCTTGGCTAGGTTGGCACAAAAGACATTGCTCAAGGCCAAATTGATTGCCATACCTAGACCCAAGAAGAAGAAAGAGAGCACCACCACCGGAAATGGCGGATGGCAGACCAGCATGATGAAACCCGTAGAAAAGATGCTTAGAGAGATTGCATAGGTCTTTCCGCGCCCGATGCGGCTCTGCAGAGCGTGAGTCAATGGAGCAGCAGACAAAAAGCCGATCGCATTTGCAACGAAGATCAGCGAGACGATTGCGTAGCCGATATGGTAGTCCTTCTCCATGTAAGGAATCAGAGCTCCTGGTGCAGAGTCATTGAGACCGTTGCCAAAGTTCATGAGACAAGCAGCCAGTACACGATATTTATTTATGGGAGGCGAAGAAAGCGTCTGTAGTGCCTCAGTAGCTTCATCTTGGTCAGGCGAAAGAGGGCCGCTCTCCTCTAGTTCGCTCGGTGTTGAAGGCGTATATGCGCCGGTAGGCGTGGCTGGGATAGAAGTTCCATTGAGAAGCTGATGACTGTTGATCTCGTCGAGCTCGAATGCCGTTGGCAGGTCTGGAAGAGCGAAAGTATCTTTCGATAGTGCAACTGGTGGGTCAGTGATCGGTTTGCAGCGCTGGAAATCCACCAAGGCACCGATACTGGACGACATAATGGAAAGAATTCGATTGCACGAAGGAGGTCAATGAATAACGAAGCAACATGAAAGACAGTGGGACGAGCAAAGCCTTTCGGGAGCATAATTGCGGCTCTTATCAGAATGTGACAGGTCAGAAAGCAAAATTTAGCAGAGGATTTACCGATTTAGGGTCGTGCGCCAACATGCTAGAAGCACAGAGAAAGCGCCAATTCGAAGGGACGATCTCGATGCCTGACCAGACAGGGAGTAAATGGCATCACACACCATCACAATAGGCGTATATCATCATAATGAGTCGCAATCCAACTCCAAAGCACTAAGCCAAGTATAGTGTTAGGTCGTGATTTCCCGAAGATCAGCCGCGCACAAACTTTAGGATGACTTGGATCATTGATCATTAGCTCTAGCTTTTGCCACAGGCCGACGCCCAATCCGATTTCGGTCCTTTTTTTTTAATCTGTGGAGTACCATCCCACGCGCACGTGTGGAAAGTCCTGAGCATGGGCAAACCAAAGCGCACACTGCTTGCCACAGCGGAGGAAACACTGAAGCCTCCCGGAACGCTTGAGAAAGGGCACGTGATTGCCAAAATCGTCAATGGCGAGGGCAACAACCTTTGGTCGGTTCAATTGCCCAACCAATCAGAGCCATCACTTGTGGAGCTTCCCTCGCGTTTTCGGTCGACGATATGGCTGAAACGTGGTGGATACGTCGTTGTTGATACAACCGCATTCGGCGGACGCGAGAATAAGCTCGAGGGCGAGGTCGCCAACGTCGTAATGAATGAGAAAATCTGGAGGAAACAAGCGTACTGGTACGTCCTTGCTGTGGCTGATATAGCTCTGAGCTCAAGTGCACGTAGGCCAAAAGAGTTCCAGAAGACGACCGCATATCCCCGGGACTCCGACGAGATGGAGTCTAATGTGGGTCGTATGCCGTCTCCCGAGGATTCTGATCTTAGTAATTAAAGACCTGTCCCTTTTCAGTCGGTCAAAACTCAGTCACTACGATCATGCGCCGTCCCGCCGCGAGGAGCTGAAGCAGCTGTCGTGCGTTGATCTCTTGTTCCCCACCATGTTCCAAAGACCTGAAGAGCCAGACTTCCGACGACCGCCATCGAGCTGGCACTTGTACTTGGGAAAATGTTCCAAGCAACTTCTTGTACGGCCCAAGCGGCACATACTAGGTATGGAGGCATTCCTGATTTCCAAAGTAGGAATGGCGAAGACCAGGCTAGATAGGCGAAAAATTGGTAATGAAGCGTTCGACCGCAGAGTAGGCCAATCACCAAGGATGTAAGGATGGTCGTCATAAGGAAATTTGCACCCACACTGCGTGAGATTTGGTTTTGGGCCTTTGGCGGCAGAGGCTTGAATATGCTCCTGGTGAGTGCGCCTATGTCCTTTTCTGAGGGCTGTGTCCACCGAGTCAACACAAAAAGCGACAAGACCATCACGTTGGCTGTTAGCAATGTCAAAGCAAAAGCTCGGGAAAGAAACATTTCCTCGCCAATGAATCTCCAATTCACTGTCCATTTGTAACGAAATTGTCTCGAAAGTTCGAAGGCTCGACTAAGGTATGACGGAGCATTCACTGAAACAAATGGGATGGCTAAGAGCACTTGAACTTGCGCCATGAGCATTGCCATGTTGATTGCACGCTTAATTGGCAGTGCTTGTAAGAGCACCAAGCCAACGCCAGGTGCCGCCAAAAGAATACTCATCTTGATGCTGATAGCAGCTGAGAATGCGAGGCTGCCAAACATGAACATGCCTGTCTGATAGCAATATATAGCCGAAAAAAGGCCAAGCACTGCGAAACAGTCATTGAAGAGACGTAGAACGAAAATCGAATGAAGCCTTTTCGAAAGTACAAGGAGGACCAAAAGGTAAGGAGGAGCCTGAGCTTAGAAAATTAGCGTTTTCGTCCATCTTTACAATAGTACAGCGATGTTCGACGTGCATTGGCTTTCCTGTAGCAGGCAATGGCAACAACGAGAGCGGTCAAATACACAATCGCGAAGATACACTGAGCGCGGAAGATATTCGTTCCCTCGTTTGTCAGTTGATAAAGGGCATTGTATATCACGACATGTCCTGCTGGATATACAATGGGTCCGGTCTGCCCTTTAATATTGACATAATCTCTTTCTCCAGATCTGTAGATTGCAATTTGCTGCATGTATGCCACCCAATCAATCTCAGTATCTAGGTGGAGGATCAGCCAAGACGCCTGATCTAAGAAGCCCGCTCTATACTGACAAGGGATAAACTTGACTACTAAGCCGGTCAACAGGCCGTCGGCCGCTAGACAGACCGCAGAGATCCATCTCGAATGATTCGGATCAGTCGCAATGCGGTATGTGTGGAATACGAACTTCTTTATACGCTCCATGACAAGTGGCAGGCCTGAAGAGCGCGAGGATCTCCTTGACTGAGCGCGCCTGACTGCCGCAAGCGCCAAAGTATTGCCTTAATCAACCACCTCCTTCAGCGCCTTCAGTATACACGGGCGCAAAGCTCTACGACATGTCAAATTCCTCACAGCTTTACCTCCTAGCAGATCATATCAAGTTATCCCTCCTCGAAAGACAACGTGCGATCTCCCTGAACCTCGAGCCTAACTCTCAAGATGGCCACATATCGAGATCTTTGGATCAGATGCGAGAGGGGATTGAAGCCATAGAAAGAGAGCAGCAAGCCGCACAGGACAGTTCAAACGGGTATCTACGTCTCCATCGGTGCGATACACAGAAATAACACCTTCGCAGATCTAAAGCCGCTGACCTAGGAGATGCCTCAAAACGATTACGAACCCAGTACGACGACCTCACCTCCCAATTCCAAGGCTTCTCCACCCCATCGACGTCCATAATCAACCAGCCGAATATGACCTTACCCTTTCTTCTGACTTCGCGCACGCTAAAGACCCTCGCCCGCATCTCCCCACCGCATCCTCCTTCAGACGCACCCCCAATTCTAGCTCCCCCAACCCAAATAAGTCTGTCCGATTTCGAGATAACCCAGCGCCCGAAGATGATGCCAACCGCGCTGCCCTATTTCCATATCGTGACGACCCTGCTGAGGGTCAAAGAGAGGATGCTTCACAAATGGACAACAAGCAGATCCACCAGTACCATCAGACGGTGTTGAGGGAGCAGGATGATCAGCTAGATCGATTAGGAGAAAGCATCGGGAGGCAAAGAGACCTCAGTATACAGATCGGAGATGAGCTGGACGATCAGATACATATGCTGGATGATGTGGAGGGGCACGTGGATAGGCATCAGGGAAGACTGGATGGGGCGAGAACGCAGCTGGACAAGGTGTATAGGAAGGGAAGGGAGAATTGGGGATGTATGATTATATCGATATTGGTGATTATTCTAGTGATATTGATCATTGTACTGAAGAATTGAGAAGTGCTGAAAGAACAGAATGTGTTCACAAAATTGCATGAACAAAGTGCGAATAGCGAGATCGGTGCTAAGGCCATGCCTTTGCTTCGGGCTAGGTGGAGCATTCTGGGACGAACTTCGATTCGTCTGGAGGCCAACGTAATCGCAGATATGATGATATTGAGCCATCACTAATGAACCGCAACAGGCTCACTGCCCAAGAACTCGTCAGGTCGCGTTATTATGCATTATCTTTTTTATACCCCATTTTTAGTCCTCACTTCTTCCCGTGCTCGTGGTCTGCTTGGAGAGCCTCGCCTGTTTCCTTCTGCAATGCCGCAATATCGTCCTCAAGGTTCGTTGTTTCTGATTTGTCTGCAATGACCTACAGTCGAAGCTCCAGCAGTCAGCCTATTTAATTCAATTGGGCTATTCCTTCCGCGAATCTACGTATTACACACCGCGCTCTCCGAGCTAGTAGCCAGTTCGCGCTTCCAATGGCCTTTGCCTTCTTTCTGTTTTGCTAACTGGTCGTCTTTGTGTTCCTCTATTGTTTTTCGCTTGGCATCATCATCTGATACATGTCGTCAATGAGAATTCATTGAAGCATTGACAACTTGATCCCACGGAGCTTACCCATGCTATGGTCAGCCTCGCTCAGTGCAGAAAGGCGGAAGTTTTGTGAGAATTGCCGGACGGACGACGCATATCGGAGGGATACTGGTGAGAGACGTGTAGCTTTACTCCAGAGCACAGACATATTCAATACAATCTCTGATTCCTATCCTCGCACTTGATATTTCTCACTTTGAGAACATGATGGCACTACGTCATGCCGTGCAACGTAACCGGAAGGTTCCGCATTTGTTGCATCACACGACAGGCCTTTGGACGATGTAACTTCATTTTGCAGATTTGCTCAATATTGGGGACAGATACTTTGCCTCTTCGAAATCATAACCACATCTTAATCAACTCTTCACTAACAGCGCTGGGTGTCTGAACCCCAGTTTCCGTGATGATTGCCGTAATCAGCTCAGGGCTTGTGAAGTCGAAATTCGAGAGATCCTCTGCCGCTGCAGTGTGGTACGCAGCATGCTCGTCTGTCTGACTGTCTGATTTCTCAAAGTTGAGCACACTGCTTTTGAATTTGAGATCTTCTGGTCCCAAAGGAAATACGCGCACAAATTTATGGCTTTCTGCAACCACATACAGAGGTCTGCTAAAACAATTTGCCAGCAAACAAACCTGTTTTGTGCCCATTGAAGAGATCACTCCTCCGTTCTCCACCACGCTCTCTGCTCCAATCATTGCCAAATGAGCTTGAGAGATGCTACTGCCAAGTGCAGCAAAAGGAATGACAGCAACAGGTACCTGCTGCTTCCGCAGTTGTGTAAGTAATTGATGACCATCGCTTGTATTTGCTTGGACATAGATGACACGAAAAGCTATCTCATCATCTGCAGCTGCCATCAATACGTCTGCTACAACACGACTAGAACCACAAGTTAATATGGTGGTGTTGTCTTGTATGAAGCGCTTGGCAATGCGTGCGATACTTTTTCTTGCTCCTTTGGCACGTTGTACGAAAAGCTTGCTGTTAGCCAACAGATGTGCTCTGATTGCTCCGAAGTCTTTCGTCTCGCCAGATTGGAGAGTCGAGATTATGTAGCGCTGGAAAAGATCTGTTCCTGCTGACAATGCTGTAGGCTGAGGTATGGAGCTTTTGAGAGTAGAAGTGTACGATTGGATAAGTGCCAGCGTCTCGGATACAGTCGAAGGTGGGGAGGCATCAAGGAGTGCAATCAACGACTCTATTGCCGCGATGGGCTTAGTGATCTCCTGGTCATCTCGAAGTAGGCCGCGATAGTGCGAGGTGATACTGGAATCGTAATGAGCTGAGTCACACGGACTAGGAGTGGTTACAAACTCGAAATGTGGTGGTGCTATAATTGGAGCACTTTCTGGAGGCGGTGTTGGCATGTGTGGCGACGGAGTGCGCATGTTACCATGACACTATGTTGATCAGAGGATCCGTTCATAGAGACATGGAGGTTTTCAGATTGACTGAATTAAAGACTAGGTTTGCCGATTACATGCAGATGAGATTAGATTTCTATCCGCCCAGATTCACGTGGGAGCCACCCACGATCAAGACTCGACTCGTGCTGGTCGTGATGAGTCTACTATTGACACCGGACTCACAGCTGCAGTGCTCTCCAAAATTCATCATCAAGTGAGGATTCAGTAGATTCTCTGACGATCTGACATCGGTACAGATTTGAATCCACAAACAATGACAACACCAAACCATCTGCCTGCAGACGCAATCCAGCGAGTCCTTTTCGTCCATTCCAAAGTTCACGTCTATAATATTCCGCCATTGACCTCTAATAAAGGATACCTAGCCGCCAGCTGGACCGAGAATAATAACGCACGCCAGATCTTCACCGCCCGTGTTCGCATTCTCGAAACGGCTATCCCACCGTCCGCTACCAATCCTCACGCACCCGAGACGATCTCTGTTGATGTTTTGCTTGAGGATCCAAATACCGGTGACTTATTTGCTGGCGCCCCGTACGCAGACAAATTGGTCGTGGAAGCAGCGGTCGACAGCTCGCGATTCTTTGCGGTAAGGGTCGTAGGCGATGGCGGGCGGAAAGCGGTGCTGGGGCTTGGCTTTGAAGAAAGGAGTGAAGCGATAGATTTCGGGATCTGCTTGCAGGAGTGTAGAAAGACTTTAGGTTATGAAGGTGCCCCTCAAGTGGGCTCTAAAGCCCGTAAAACGCAGGATTCTGAATCAGCCAAGAAGGATTGGAGTTTGAAAGAGGGCGAAACCATCAAGATCGATATTGGGAATAGAGCAAAGCCAAACGATGGGCAAGTCGATAGCCTGAGGGGCAGTTCGGCCAAAGAAGAGGAGAAAGCATTGTTCTCGATAAAACCACCACCTTCCACGAGTAACAAGGGCATACCAGCATTGGCTCCACCTCAAGAAGCACAAGAAGGACTCTCGCGGAAGAGACGTAGCAGAGGTCCAGCCGCCGTCGGTGTAAAGGAGCTGGGCTTCGATGACGATTTTGGGGAATTCCAATGATTCAATACGATATCCCAAGATGTATTCGCTTTGGACAACTGCCATTCTAACCTAGATCTCATGAAGAATTGTCCATACCTAAGACGCCGGCTCGCGGGCCTTGATCTTCTTTGATTTGTAAACGCCGCGCTATGCGACAAAGGCCCTTTGCGATGCCCCTGAAAATTCGATTGGAGCATGGCGGCAGCGACCAATTTAGTCGGTCTGATCTTGCCAACCATCAGGCTTACCTAGGTCATTCATATCAAAAAATCTTTTGGTACCTGAAGAATTGCATTAGTCTGTATTCCGAAAGATTGGAATTGATAGAAATCTCACAAGAGTAACCCTTCCAATCAAAATTCTCCCCGGATTACAACTACATTTCAGGTCTAATCGCTTGCTCTCAGATGTCGGACAATGTGTGAAAGGAACATGCCAGTACCCGATATCGTCGAAGAATTGGATTTGATCACGATTCAGCATGAGACCTGCCGCAATGGAGTGAACGGGTGCATCGCCCCATCGCTCGTAGAAAAAACCACCGTCCTTGTCGAGAGTCTCAAAGAAGTCAAGGTAAGCTTGCGAACGAAGCCAGTTGAGGTTGCTGATTTCGAAGTTGGACCACTAAGTATCCTAGTCAGCAGCAAGCAAGCCCGTGTCGTCAAGCTCAAACTCACAAAATGACAATGGTTGTAACTCTCTCCTTCGTCGTCGCTCAACCACTTCATTGAGTTGTTGGGGGCGATATGCTCAGGAAACTTCTTCATGAATTTTTGTGTGCTTTCCCATATCGTCGGAATAGTTTCAACATATTCGTAGAGGCTTATCACGAAGCCATAGATTTTTTTGTTCTCGGCCATATATCGGAAAGGATCAAATCCGACGTCACAAAACACCTTGATACTCGGCTCAACCCTCCAATACCACTCATAGTCTGCTAATAAGGGGTGGCGAAAAAAGAAGCCAGATTCAAAGCGGCACATATGTCTGTAGCTCACGGAGTCCCCATAAATGATTTTCCTCTCGGCCATATCTTCTCGAACTTTCTTCGCTTTGTCTTGATCTATCCAATCCGGGAATGACCAATGCTCCTTGGGTATGATGCCATACTTCGTTGTTCCAGAGATCAAAGTAGTTGTGACCTTCTTGAACTCTTCGTTAAATTCTTTGTCATTCAGAAACACCCAATCATAATGATAGCGTCGGTTGAATCTATCCTCGATCTGTCGTATTGACTCCACGATGTCCCACAGGTCTGAATTTCGTGCTAACGTAACGAACGTAGCGTTCATCTTCCCCTCCTTTGGTACGGACGCTCCCACGGGACTGGTGGTGCTGTTCCCTGGCGGAGTCCGATTCGAGGAAGGGGCAACGATCAACTGCTCTTTACTGTCCTCTAGAGGGTCGTCCTCCACTTTTTTGAATACACCTTGATGTGCTTCTTTCCTTCCCTTCCATTTTGCCAGATCGCTACCACTGGGCAGGGGAGGTTTGGGTATTGACGATGAAGATATGAAATAAATTAGTACGATAGCCTGTCACTGAGAGTCAATCCGGAGTCTGGCGAAAGGAGCAGCGATACTTACGAACAATGTGAACAAGACGTAGCGTATTATCCGGACATTGCCTGCCGCCATCTCATCTGCTTTTCCGCCCGCAGGCGAAGGCTTCTGGACGTCAGCCTGCTGAAGCGGGCTTTTTTCGAAATTCTGCAATTGATTATGTCTTTGGCGAAGGGAAGGTGTGGGTGACGTTGCCTCGCTATTAAACAGCTTCAAGGACAAAGCAGAATTTTCGAGCCACGGAGACAGCTACGCCCGCGAGCGGCCAAGAACCAAGACTGTATTAAATAAGTATCGGCAAGGTCTTAAGATACGCGATCTTTTGAGGAAAAGTAGGAGGAGGAGATGCAAGGAATGTGTACATCAGGTCTGGGGGACACTTGAGGAGAGAATGCCTGCAAGGCCTGTTACCCCTGCGGCAACTCGAATCTCGAATCTCAAAAAGTCTCAGGGCAGCGGGCCGCGGGCATCTATCTAGGCCTAAGCGGCCCTAGGGCGGTGGCATCCAATTGCTTAGCCCATTAAGCCCCATGCTATCACACCTCAGTGCCAAACGTAATTCACTCCCACTCTCACTTCCTCTCTCACTCTCGTTCTCTCTGGATACAACTCATTACGAGCCTGATAGCGCACAATCGCATTTCATTCAGCTGTCTTGAATTCTTTCCTTCTCTTCCTTCCCGTCTCCTTGTCAATATCCAGCCCTGTAGGACTCGCACCTTCTCCAGCTTTCAGATTTGTCCCCAGGGCTCGAGTATATCTGGACTGCAGGACTTCAACTCCTTTGATCCGTCTGTCTATACTTTTGTCACCATTGGAATAAGTCATGTCTTTTATTAGCCCCCACACTGGTGGTCACCCTACCAAAGCTCCTGGGTTTGGGAATGCTCCAGACCCATTTGCCAGCATTTCTCAGAATCGAGGCATTGAGGATGAGGAAGACGCGTAGGGCATGACTAAGTTCTCTTGAGGCATTCACAGCTGACTGGAGTCGTCCTCTAGTATCGACTTTGAGGATACATACGATGGTCTGGGAGACCAGCTAGACGATGCTGACGATGATTTGAATGATGATACCTTTGGTGGTGGCAATTCTGGAAGCAAAGCTCCTGCAAGAGATTTCGATTTTTTTGGGAATACCAACAAAGTGAGCGATGCAATCAATGAGGAAGCGATCCGCTACCAGAGGCAATCCAAATACAGCGCGAGGCCCTTGGTTTCCGTCGAGCCTTCCAAACCAACCCCCAAGTCCTACAAGACGGGTTATGAAGCCTACAAGAAGCCTGGCTATGTCCCCGATCTTCAGGTTGATCCAAGTCTATGGGGGACGGCATCAATCTCAGCTGTTCCAAGTAATACAGGCCCAAATCTGTCCCAACAAGAACGGCCAAGTGTTCCACCTCAAAAGAAGATGATGAGTCTCGAGGAGGTTGAAGCCGCGATGCGCGCTCAGCCCAAGAAGCCGTCCTTGAGTTTTCGATCACAGCAGCCTGCTCGATCCCCACCAAAGCAAGCCCAAGCAACATTTCCGGCACAGCAAGCTTCACGCGGTGTAGAGTTGTCGTCGTCTCAGCGCTCTCAGGGTCCTCCAGTACAAATATTACAACACTCACAGCAATCGCACGCGCAGTCGCGCGATCACTTACCTCCTCAATCTAGAGCGAATCGAAGCCTCGAGCAGATACATGCGACTAACCTCCCAGAGCAACCATCCCAAGTCCAGGCCACGCAAATTCTTCAACGTCCTCAACCTAGAATGCCGCTTCCGCAAAGTACTGATGTTTCAAATCAGCCTCGCCAGATTTTGCAGAATCCAAACAGAAACTCTCTGCCTCCTGACCAGAGAAACATGGAGCCTCCGGAACCAATACTGCACCTTGGAGATCTTACAGCTGCCCAAAGTGGTACTCAAGTAGCACTACCTATCATTACACATCCGGCTCAGCTCGCAACGCTATCGCCTGAGCAGCGTGAAGCGTATGCTACAGAAGAGGCACGAAGAGCAAAGCGAAATCATAAAATTTTTCTCATGTCGAAGGGCAACGGCTTGATGACTCCGCAGGATAAGAATTTTATCACGCGGATTCAGTTGCAACAATTGATGACAGCAACTGGGAACGTGAATGACTCAAATCCAGACGTGTCTCTTGCAGAGGACTTCTACTATCAGGTCTATAACCAAATAGAAAATCGCCCTAGGCAACACCCTCATCAGCCTCTCAGCAATTTTGCCCAAACGTATCTGTTCCAGACGGGCGGTCGCCAGGGTGTATTGAATCGGAGGAACAACCGAGGTGACAATCACATGCACCGAATGCAGCAGCAAGTCCAGCGAGCTATAGAAGCTGCTAAGGCGAAACCTAAGAATAAGCAGCTCGTAATCGAAGGCAGTCTCGGAAAAATCTCTTTCAGTAATTCGAAAACGCCTAGACCCATGCTGAACATTAAGCGCAATGATAATTTACCCCAGGTCTCGCTCAACGCGACAGACCGGAAATCAATCCTGAAAAATATTGAAGCAGTCTATGCATCCCTAATGGAAATAGAAGACAACGATCGCCGTGCCCCTCCACAGCCATTAAACGGCGAGGATGCAACAACATCGGATCACTATCATCTGTGGCAGCAAACTTATGAAGAGCTGAATGAAAAGCTCTGGTCAGAGCTCCGAGTTAAGGAACCCATCATGCAGAATTCGCAGGCAATGCATCCATTTATTGCCTTCCTGTCTTACCCAAAGGGCAAGAGAGCTATTCCTCGAATATTCTCGCATATGAACGATCAGCAACGACTCACCATCGTTACGATCATCATGATTCAGCTTGATACCTTGGACGTTGTAAGGTCCGCTCAGCCTCAAGTCGCTGCAACGCAATCACGATCCGTCGTTAGCGAGCAAGTCGACCTTTTCCTTCAGGCAGTCATGCCAAGCTTGCTTTCTTATGTGAACGAAGCTCCACTAGACGTAATCATTGGTCTCCTCGGCTTAGTCCTTGGACGTGTCAATGCTACTGCTGTTTCAAAGAGTCGCGTTGGTCTAGAAATCCTTACGATGCTCCTTAGCCAGGCGGAGATTATTCGCAAAGCCGAAGCCACTAACGACCTGGAATGGTCTCAATGGCTGGCCACTTACAATCAGCTATTCGATACTGTTGAACCACTTCTGTCGATTATCTTCCCTGAATCTGTTAGTGCAGGTGGAGACGTGTATGTTTGGCAATTCCTCGCCACCGTTGGCACAGGCGCGAGTCCCGAACAGCAACAGAGACTTGTCCTTGCGGTGAAAGATAGGGTTATGGACACTGTACAGCAGTGCAAGACATTACCACCTGAAATGGCTGCCCAAAGAAAAGGTGATGTCAACCTTTTCATGCAAGCTATTGGCCTCGATGTGGATCTACTTGAAGGATGAAAATATTGTGTTGCGCTCTTTTCCAAGCCCTACGATAGATACTTCATACGGGAAGTTCAATGATTCAGACGGTGACCCCTTGTGATGTGGGCTGTTGGGAGGCATCGGGAAGAGAGGACATCATCTAGGCTAAGTGGAGAAGAAAGCGAGGCATCCGCTGCCCAAGAGGTTGAGATCGTGGACGAACAGCGAATCATGCGTAGTGTGTGTGAATAAATGGGTACACCATATGTATGACTATGAAACGGCCAAGAGAAAACGTCCTTTGGGGACGCAGTCTTGGGACAGGTATGACCTCTGGTACGCCCCAATCTTTTGGAGCATACAATGTAATTATGCCAGCACTGAGGTATCTTACCAGCATACATATCGTACAAACTAGCATTGATTGTATCTCATGATATTTGTCCAGCTGCTCATCACTCTTCCATCTCGTCTCCGCCTCCTCCGGGGATTCTGCCTTCATTCAATTCCTTCTCCAATCTCGTGATTTCCTGTAAGCTCTTCGCATTTCTGATCAGTTGCTCCACTCGTTTCCTCTCCTTATCCGTCAACTTTACTCTCGAGACTTTATTCGTGCTAGACGAGATACCGTTTGGTGCACCGGACGAGGGGAGGTCGAAAGTCCGGGACTTGATGCCCATGATCTAATATAGTCAGACCCCGACTGTCCATTGAGGGTAATGTATGAGGAGTGCCTTACCTTTGAGGCTAGTGCCGACGGCTCTTTGACGGTACCAAATAGTTTTGCTGCCGTCTCCCGTTCACTATTCTTCACTTTTTGGTAATCTAGGAAGCGGACAGTGGGACACCGCCATATTATCCAATGTCGATAATGCTGCACACGAAACTTGTTAGCCGGCCAATTCCAATTGAGCAACAACAATTCCAGACCGACCGACCTCTTTCCTCGTAACAGGATTCTCCAAAAGACTTAAATGCGTTAGCCGTTGAAAATTCCGTAGTGGATCTAGGTCAGCTAGCTCAGCGAAGCTGTTTGCTGTGAGTATGAGAGTCTCTAGGTTCGGCAACGAGTTATGTAGGCCGGCTTGTATGCTATTGGCTCTGTTGCGGGCGAGAAGGAGGACTCGTAATCGAGGGGAAAGAGGGAGGTTGGCGAGAGCGGCAATGTCATTGTCTGTGAAGTCAATGGAGTCGGATTGATCCTATTCCTCTTCAGCAGGCATAATCTCAGTAAATGAGGTAAAACCAAGTCGGACTTTAAGAATACGCAAGAGAAAGGACGAGTTTGGAGGAGCGACTCACTTTTGCAACACCAAGATTTTCGATCGCAGGGATTTTGTGGCCTGTGATTCACCCAAAAGTTGATATCAATACTGCTCGATTTTCAAAGTGTAGTATCTGCTCTTTTCAACGCACCTCTAAGGTCTAATTCGCGGTCATTGAGAGGGTTGAGGTACGAGAGTGAACTTTGAATCAAGTCTGCTGTGAGGCGCATTGTTTCCGGCTAGGGAGGCGATGAGGGAGGAGAAACGAGGAGAATGAACTCAAGTCGCCTTGATTATACTGTTGCAGGTAAGAGCAGTCGGGCTTTCATTTCGTCTTGTGGTCGAGTGACTGAAGCTGTTGCGTTAACATCTTTCATGAAAAGGCTACGGGAGCTAGAATACTGCGGCTAGCCGCATCAAGAAATATTCAAATCTCCTTGGTGCTCCCACCTCCAGCTTTCCTCGATCGTCAAATCACTGCTTTCGAGTCCCAGATTCTCAACAATAATGCCGGATTGTTGAGCCAATGCTGAGGCAGCCGAGCTTACGATCACTGAAGCGAGATGTTGAGCGAATCATTGGCTGCAAAGTACACAATGGTCGACGATTATGGGAAGCTTTCCAGGCACCAGGCCTCGCTCCTACCGCTGGGTTCCCATACATGCCTGATGGAAACAGGAAGCTCGCTTTGATTGGTGATGCGGCCTTGAAACTTGTTGTGGTCGAAGAGATGTACCAGAAGCAGGTGCCCAGAGGTTCGCTACTTCTACTACATCGGTTTCCAGCAAGAATCCAAGGCTAAGCGTATCAGAGAGGCTGAACATCATTGCTAGCCGTCTTATTTCAAATGACAACCTTGTCAGGGTCGGAACCAGACACGGACTCGATGCATTCGTCAATCGCAATCGCTCTTCCCCCGAAGTCAGCCCAGTAACGATGGCAGCTACCGTGGAAGCAATCATCGGCGCCGTCTACCTCGATGGCGGCATGACTTTGGTTTCCAAAGCTTGCCGGACATTAGGCTTGATGCCACATTTGGAGCGGTCAAGCGGCATGCCTAAGCCCAGCGATTTTCCCACTAAATTGAAAACCAAAGAAGAAGTTGATGCTGAATGGGCAAGCTAGAATGTATCGATTTGACCCTTGCTCACCTGGACGCAGGAGGTCAATATTCTTGGTCGCCTGCCCTTAGGAAAGGGGCCGTCAAAGTCTCTGTGGGCGAGCACATGTAGGAGAGAGGCTTACTAGTACCGCGAAATACCTTCATGCAAGCAGATTCCTTACGCCCTTGCCGTTGTGAACTGCTCTGAATCTGAGGCGGTATAGTACCTAGAACTCTGTAGATTATAGTACGCTCGAGTGGTAGGTACGGATCGAACTTCGGCCTGTCTGGCCGCGACCGGCGCTTTCGCTATGCTCATAATGGCCTGATTCCTGACGGGAAGACTTGAAAACAGAAACCTGTAAGATATAGGTCTTAATGCATCGTGCGATCAGAGACACATTGGTTGTCCCAGACAAGAAGGGCAGAGGGCGATGTTTCTTTCAAGATTCGACGTTTAGATCTTTCTTCTAAGTAGTAATCCGAAAGTTAGCCATACATACTGTGAAGATGACTATCATGGTACTTCGTCTATGGCCAAGAAGAGACCCGGCATTGGCTATCAAGAACGCAATTCGAAAACCCAAGCAAGAAGAATCCAAGAGACTGCTTGCCGTCTCAAACTTGAAACCGTGTATCTTATTGCACGTCTCCCCAGCTATCTGGCATGCAACATCAATATCATTGAAATATATAGATACAGCCCATACGATCAACACTAACAGTCATCCCAACAGGCAACTCTAATAAGCATACATCCGTGATTTCATCTAGATGGCTCCGCAACAAAGCCTGTTGCTGTGTACTGATCACAGTACTCCTTGGATGCTTGCTGCTAGATCTCCGCGCCTTGCTACCAGTATCGTCAATTATACGCTCCGTGTGTAATGTGAGTCCAGTGGTAGGATGTGACGTGAAGTATTTCGGCTGAGGCTCTTCTGCTCCAAGGCCACTTATGATTTTCGAGCTGCCTACAGAAGAGCAGTCCCAGACACGGAGCTTCTTGTCTGCCCCGCCTGTAAAGAAAAAGCCACTGTTGCTATCATGCTTAGCGCCGTCAGAGGCGTCGAGACCGATGGATAGCGTCCGTATCCCAATACCGTAATTTTCACTCTCACCCTTCAGGGGATCGATAGCAGTAGCAAAACGGCCTAGCATACCCTCTAGCCTTTCGTCGTCCACTCCCCACGCCTCGTAGGGTTTCAAGCTGTCTTTACCGCCACCCTTTGACATCCCGATCCGAAAGACTTCACAGCACTCTCCCTTCTCAATATCCCAAATGGTAATATCCTTTTGGCCTGTACCACCAGTCACGCAAATCTTGCGTTCAGTCGAATCGAACGGGAAAATCATAACTCTGTTTATAGCTACACCACCAGTAAGGCTCCAAGCTTTCAGACGAACATGAAAGCGAAGATCCCACAGATCTAGCACTCCATGTGATGTACCGAGAACAAGCCATCCTTGTTTGTGGTTCGCACAAAAGCATGTAGGTGCACCATGATGGACAGGATTGAAGAGGGTATATAATTCGACCATGTTCCTGAGATCCAAGGCGATGATTTTTGACATATTGGTAGCAATCAATAACAGAGACGACGTTTCTGTTTTAGTATGTTCGAGCCAGATAGCATATTCACCCTTGGGTAATTTGTGACTGCGTACAACCCGAGGCTTGCCGTATCTTGGGTTGTCTCCAATAATGTTGAACTCGATTTTGACGACCTTAATGCTTCCGTCTGTCGCTGCACTTACAAAAGTGTGCGTATTCTCTATGAAACACATGGCCTTCACCTGTGTATGCTCCGCGTGAGTGAAAGTATGCCTAGATCGATGTGCGATATTCCGTTCAAGTCTTAGCGTGTCCCAGATCTTGACGGTGCCATCGTCTGAGCAGGTTATGAAGAAAGCATGATCGGGAGAGGGAAGTACTCTATTGATGGGAGCAGCGTGCTCTCCGAAAGTGGCAGTGAGGGTACCTTGGGGTCTCCAAAGACGCTCGCTTCCTTGAAGATCAATCTTCTTCAAGGAACGGCGCTTGCTGACTGGCGTAACGAGGGGGCCAAACTCGATCACGTCCCTGGGATAATTGTCCAGCGCCAATGAGTCAAGAAGTCTAAGGATAGTTGGGTCATTGCCGGTGTACGAGTGTCCGACGTCAGTCTTTGGGGTGTTGCTGGAGGTTTCTTGTGGTTGAGACGGGCCCTCCATCATACCAGCCACATTTGCTGAATTGGTAGCAGTCTCCGCATTTGCTTTGAATGTATCTCGGCGATTAAGTAATTTTAACGCACTAGATTTGTGACGCAAATCATTTTTACCCAGAATGCTCCTGGCCTTTACCGAGTCAGTGGGCGTAATAGTACCCTCACTCTGAACCGCGTCTGCATGATCTTGGAAAACCCTATGAGTTTCATTCGTTTTGGGAGGTAAAAATCCTTTCGGTCCTGTCGTTGAAGGACTTCGTGAGATGGACTGCGGTGAGTCAAATTTGGAAAGTTCCTTTGCAACCTGGTTTCCTTCTGTCCTCCCTTTCCTAGTGTCTGCAATTGATAGTTTCCTTCGAACTCGAGGATCATCGATGTTGGTCGAGGCATCAAGTAGCGCATCGGCAATGGTATGAGTTGGCCCTTCTGATCTCTTCCTTAGGATCATTGGCCGACGTCCAAGATCTGAATGGCGTCGTGGCTTGCTTTTGGATTCTGTCTCAAAGAATACTGTTTGAGGTGTAACATGTAGATCCTTGAGCAGGACGAGCTTTTCCAGAACCGAAGGTTTGATGCTCTTTCCTGGTTGAATACGTTTCGGAGCAAGGCGCCATAGATATTCTTTAAGCGCTTGAATCTTGAATTCATCATCCGCGGTCATCCCAGCTTCTTGAAGTCGCTTCATCCATTGTTCGTCCTCATCATTCCTTTGAGCAGCGTTCAATATACTCTTGCCTGAGTCTTTGGCTGACTGTGCCGTAATATCAAGCCCAGATGTAGCAAGAAACGACGTGCGTTGTTGCTGTACAGGTTTCCAAAAAAGACTGTTCTTGGTTTTAGTCGCCCATAGCAGCGCCATCTCGAACACTGAGAGCGAGATGGGCTTCTTGATTGCGTCCAGTATGTCAAGCTCCGTAAACCTCGTCAGAGAGATCTTCAAAAAGGGTCGGATCAGAGGAATTATAATACATTGCCGATCTGCGATGGAGATATACCGAGTTGACGCAGCTACAAAGTGCACTGCCGCTTCCCGAACCCAAATGTTTGGATGTACCATGAATCTAGCACATATCTCAACCATTTGCCAGGTCTTCGCTTTCTGGAAAAGTCCCAGCTCAGCCATAGCCGCGAAAGACGTCAGCACTGTTTGGACAACAAATTCCTCTGGATCCGTCAAAGCCTGAAACATGAGTGGCATTATGTATTCTTCGAGGCTAGGTCCTCCTACGAATGTTGCTACCCCCACGATTGTTTGGAAGAAGGCACATTTCAAGATCCAGTCTTTATCGTTCAGATAGGTATTCAGATGGCTCAAAATAACATCATTTGCTCTTGAGCTGCCGAAAAAGACGCAGAGTCTAGCAACAGAACGAAGGAGCGCTCGGCGTACAGAAGCATTTTTATCAGTCAACAGCGCCTTCGTATGTGTTTCGAAGTATTCCAAAAGATCAATTTTCGCACTGTCAAATGAATTTTGATATGCCAAATCTGTGGCCAGGCCATCCTCAGTATCAGAGTCAATGGTAGGAATTGAACCGTCCGCATGAAGAGCCTGGACCATGTCAAGAATTCTTACCGACGATTCAGCTAGCGATGCTAAACAAGATGCATAAGTGGCTCGTGCTAAGTTGCTCGCTTTGAGACCGGGACCACCAATGAACTGCTGTAAACGGGGCCTTATATACTCTGTGAACGCATGAGCGTTGACAGGAGAGACCGTCGTGATGATTGAAAGCATCTGGGTCATCGTTCGGAGTGCTGCGATCTTTACACTGTCCGATCGGTCACCTAGAAGAACAACGAGGTATGGTAGGATACGATCAAGCTTAGCTTCATCGGTGACATGCTCCGCAAACGCGAGCATGAGCTCGCATGCACGGACTTTAGCGGAGGATCTAGCTGTGTGTCTTAATGACGACACGATGAGAGTGAGAAAAATCAATGAGCCATTGTTCACAGAAGGTTGGGCACGCCCTCCGGCTCGATGCCTGTTGTTTGGTAAATCGATCATAATAGGTACTATGTCATCTCCTGAACAAGACCCAACTATGTCATCTAACTTAGCTTCCGATTCATCTTCATAGCCGAGAAAGTAAGCAATCTTGTCGAATTCGTAGTATATCTTGTCGATCCTATCATCTGCTTCTCCGAAATTGGAGGACTCGGGATGCACAGCTGATCGACCAGAGGAAGGATCTGTGATTAGGCCCATATATTGATGCAGAAAGCTGTAAAAATATTCGGGAAAAGCTTTATGGCGCCAAAAATTCAAATATTCATCTGCAGAATATCTTGATTCAGGCTGCACCTGAATCATATGGGCTACCATTTCGCGGACGTCTTGATCTTGGATTTTGTCCAAGTATCCATAAGTCGGATTATATTCCTTGTTGCGATATTTGAAGAGCTGGCTCAAGCTGAATATGGGTGATTCTGTGAAAAGCTCGGCAATGACACAACCAGCGCTGAAGACGTCCATTGCCCAAGTGATTTTCCCGCCTCCGTCTTGGTCTGGAGTACTCAAAAAGCGTTCAGGAGCAAGGTAGCAAGTTCTCCTTCCAGATGTATCGAAGTAGTAAGAAAAATTTGCTGGATTATCCTCCGGAAGTGATGGTGGCTTGTAGGACGCAGAATAGTCCGTCAGGTACAGCCAGTTCCAAGATGTGACCAGAACGTTCTCAGTCTTAATGTCACCATGGTATAAGTCCCGAGCATGCGACTCTTTAAGGGCACAGAGCAACTGAAATGCCAGCCACTTCTTTTCAATTTCTTCCAGGAACGGTCGAGTGCTGAGAACGTCAGTGGGGCCTTTCTATACTTGAGGCTGTTTTCCTACCTTAATCGGTCGTAGAGCGAGCTGTAGTGGTATTGCCTTACGAGGTACCCATTTGTGCTGGTCTCGAACACCCTTTGATAGCCAAGGGCATTTGATATGTCCGCGAGGGCATCCCGTTCAGCTATGCGGATAAGCCTTGAGATCCAGTAAGAAGTCTTTACAGTCACGTACTCACACCTTATCTTTTTGACATATTCCGTGAGTTCGAATGTTGCTAAAGGCTTCATTACCAGCTTCACCACCACGAGGCCGTCTTGATGTCGGGCTCGGACGCATTTCATGAGTCGTGCTGTGCCCAGGGATTTCTCATATAGGATGTCCGAAAGTTCCGGTACGTCTATACCAGCAGAGCCACCAGGCTGCGCGGCAAGGGACAGAGACTGCCCCATGGCAGGCCTGGGGGCTGTCACCCAATATGGTGAAGTTCGTATGAATTGTTGCACATACTGGCGCTCTCTTTTCCATCCTCAGCTCGATGTCAAACGTCTGTACATGTGAGAAGGGGCTTCCATTCTGTAGCAACATACTAAAAATCGCCTTACAATATAGTACAAGGGTAAGAAAGTCGCGTGCCTGCACCCTCTAATGAAGCTATGCACATACGGCGATAAGGATCGGCGATAAGAAATGTTTTCTTATTGGGCTAATATCCCGTCACGTAAGACGTTCATAGCATTAACCAGGCTCTGGCTAGGTCCGATCGTTGCCAGATCATGATTTTCAATTTAGTGGGAACTAGTCTATTTATCTCCAGAGATACCCTTCAGGATATTGGTGAGCTAGTGTATAGGCCAATTATTGCTGCTTCGAGCCCCATGCTCCCTTCTTCTTCAGGATTTCTTCTTCCTCTGCCTGAAGCTCAGCGTCAATCTTCGCTCCTTTGGAAGGTTCGTTGCCATGATTTTTTGCCTAGAAGAAAGCGGAAGTTAACTCCTCTGTGGCATTTTGTTACAAGAAGGATGTGCTAACTGGCAAGGTCGGGTCTTTCTTGGACAGCTTTGCTTCCTCAGATTGTGGCTCTGGTTCGTCTTGACGCTGCGAGATTGTAAGCATTGAGCTAACATTTTGGGTACAAGTATGTTTACCTTGCTCTCACGTGCTAGCCTGTTGGCAATGCTTCTCTCATCCTCTAGACGAAGTGGTCAGCGATGACGAGCGAGATAAGACTTCAACCAATTTTTGATGTACTAGAATCGTCAGCCTTATGACTGTGCGCTTTGCCTTCGTGATATCGATCTGGCTCTGGAATCTCTGAATTCTTCATCGTCCTCTGGTCACCCGCCTCATACACTCCAGCCCCGCCGACATTTGATGTACCGCTCATACTGAAATGTAGATATCAAAGAATTCTTTACAGGGCGAGGTAGGGAAGTGTGCTGTGAAATCTCTCGTCTGATCTAAAGTCGCTCACGGACTGTAGACACAGGTGAGGGTGCCTTAATGACGTAGCAGCGTAATCTACGCGAGCCATCACGGCTGTAGCCGGGTAGCGTGGATCAGTGCCGAAGCACTTACGTAATCGATATCAACCTGAGGATTGGGTAACTCGGAAGATGAGCATGCCAGATTTTACGACATTCAAGAGTCAGTGTTAGGAATCTCTAAGAGATACAAGAAATCCTTCTGTCCATTTGGAGCGGCTTCGAGTGGCTGTAGCCGGGTAGGGTGGAGTTGTTTTGACTCCTTCAATCGATTCACGTACTGAGAAACTCCCTTAATCTCACAATCTGCTTTTACATTGCACCATCATACCTGATCATACGATTGTGCTCACCCCTTGACTCTTTGCTTTCAGCTCATCATGGATCCGAATGATGAATACCAAACGCCTTTCAATTCGCGTTACTGCACAAGTGCAATGAAGCAACTTTGGTCTCCAAGAACGAGATTTTCGACTTGGCGCCAACTATGGGTTTGGCTTGCTGAGAGCGAGAAGGAACTTGGTTTGACTCAAGTGACGGATAAGGCAATCTCCCAAATGAAGGAGCATGTCACCGTTCAAGATGATGAGTTCGAGGTCGTTGCTCAAGAGGAAAAGCGACGACGTCATGATGTTATGGCTCACTGCCACGGGTTTGGGTTGAAGGCGCCTGCTGCTGAGGGTATCATTCACTTAGGGTCAGTTCATTCAACGGTCTCTTTTGCTATCTCTTATATGGGCATCTCCTAGTGCAACATCCTGTTATGTTACCGACAACGGTATGCTTACAGTGACTCGGTCAAACCTGTCTTTCCTGCTAAGAAAGTAAACCAGCGGACTTGATCTTTCTCAAGAGAGGTCTAGATCTACTCCTCGACCAGCTTGCGAATGTCATAAAAAAGCTTGCGAAATTTGCGTTGGAATATAGAGATCTACCTTGTCTCGGCTTCACTCACTTGCAGCCGGCAATGCCCACAACGGTAAGAACTCTTCACTCATTGAATACAGCTGCTAAACTAGAGTCGGCAAAAAGGTCGGAAAACGAGCTTGCCTATGGATACAAGATTTCCTCATGGACCTTCGCAACATCGAAAGAGCCAGATCAGATCTCCGCTTTCGGGGCGTCAAAGGAGCAACAGGGACACAAGCCACATTCCTGAAGCTCTTCAAAGGCGATCATGGTAAGGTCGAAGCTTTGGACGAGTTGGTGACTAAGAAAGCTGGTTTTTCTTTCGTGTTCACAATCACTTCGCAGACATACTCCCGAAAAATTGACCTCGAGACTTTGGCCGCTCTAGGGTCCTTGGGAGCGACCTGTCTCAAGATAGGAAAGGATGTTCGATTGTTAGCATCCTTCAAAGAAATGGAAGAACCGGTTCGTTCTCTATGCAAATCTCCACTTAGCAACTATGACTTCGATTAGCCAGCAAAGTCTCAGGAGCCTCTTCATCTATAAGACTTATTACTAACTCTAAATCATGATATAGTTTGAAGCGGATCAGATCGGGAGCTCCGCAATGCCATTCAAACGCAACCCCATGAGATTCGAACGCCTCTGCTCCGTAAGTGGATTAATTAATGTAGATAGCTGCTGACTCTGTCTAATCAGTTGGCACGAAAATTGAAGAACCTACCGAATGACGCCGCTGACACATATTCTGATCAATGGCTAGAAAGAACCCTGGACGATTCAGCGATACGCCGCATATCAATTCCTGAAGCCTTCTTGGCTGCCGATGCATGTCTACTTATCCTTAACAACGTTTGTTCTGGCTTGGTGATCTATCCTGCCGTGATCAGAAAACGTTTAAATCTCGAGCTTCCCTTCATGGCCACTGAGAATATCATCATGGCACTTTCAGAGCGAGGAATTTCGAGAAATGTAGCACATGAAGAGGTCCGTAAGCTTTCCCAAGAAGCAGGGAGACTTGTGAAAGAGGAAGGTAAAGAGAACAACTTGATCGAGGAGGTAAGGAAAAATGAATTTTTCAAGCCGATCTGGGAGCAATTAGATGATTTGACAACCCCAAGCACGTTCATTGGAAGAGCGCCGCAGCAGGTGGAGAAGTTTTGTAGAGAAGAAGTCAATTCAGCACTCAAATCGTACTCTGAGGTGCTGAGTGGGAATGAAAAGGCGGAGCTGCATGTTTAGGCAAGCAGTACTCAAGAACACCTTAGGTGTGAGGGTTCGAGAAGCTCAAGTTGTAGTATTTGATCAAGTTCTGTGCATGTCTCGGGATCAGTACGAGAACCCTGTCGAACATATTGTACGAGTCATCCTTTGCATCACTGCCGTTGACTACGTCCAAATCATCTATCCACTTGTCCAGTTCAAGATCCTTGTACCTCTTTCTATACAAAGACCTACTCTTCTCCGCTTATCATATGTCGCTTCGAAGCGGCCATCACTGCTCTTACGAACGCAGGCTCCCAAATCTGGGCGAGTCTCGCACCATTTAGCTTCACTCTAGCGGTTCACAGGTATGGTCAAAGCAACTTCAGCATACTTTCTGTACCCGACGTGGCATGACCGATCTATCCGGTAGCCACTCCTAAGCTACCGCGATTTTCACAGAGGCCTCTGAGCTGCTGCCCCGTAATCGACCCGGCGGGGCCTCTAGACGTAGGGTGGTAATGTGTCCGTATTCAGTATATCATGTACGTCCCAAGTATGTTTATCATTCAATCATCGACGAGTTTCGACAACCTGGACGAGCTTGATCTAGTGGGACTTGCTTTCCTACTCCTTCGCCCTTCGCCCAGTCGCTCCCTGCTTCCTTCTATACCAATACCTAGGCCATGGCCGTTCCCAAGGCTTTCAAGGCCGGCTGATCCTCCGGTACTGGAAGGAAGAGTAGTCCTATTTCTGGTGGGGCTGGCCCATCCACTTGATTTGGCCCCTTTTTGCGTACTTCGACTACTAGAGTCAGAAGAGCCTTCCTCATCGACATAGCCTCCGAGCTCAAAGTCCTCTGGTGCCGTAAGACCGCTGCCATCTTCTAGGTCGACCCGTTGGTAACTACCTTGGCTCGAAGAGGACCAGAAAAGACTTGGTAATTTTTTCGCCAGGAAAGCTCGACGCCGAAAGCCGCGCATATGAGGGCTTTTAGGCAAGGAGACAGCAGGATGGTGTCGACTTCGTCGGTAGCGGCCTAGTAGAAGGTATATAGCAAAACAAAGGATAAGTAGGAAAAGTAATATGCCAGGTATACGACGCGATCTGCCACTACGAAGTATAGCACTAGGTCGGTAGGAGTTATCTTCGGGCGCTGGCTGATCTGGCATGTGAGTAGAATTTGTGGCAGAGGTTGAAGTGGGAATGCCTTGCTGCATGCTGGGAAACATGAAATCTGGGGGCACGCCTGCCTTATTGCTACCAAAGCCAACGGGAAGCGCATCTTTGCCTGTGGGTGGTACCTGACTCGAGGCATAGAGAACTACTTTACCCAGAGTCCAGCTGACCTCCACGTCCTCGATTTTGTTGATAGGCCTAAACGGCGGCGTAAAGCCTTTATCTTTGGCACTATCAATCAGCTTGGATGTGCCGTTGCGCGAAGCGTCCGGCGTATCCTCTACGCCTACTCTTGGAATGCCGATGCCCTCATGTAGAACGTTGATAAGCCAGCTGGCTTTGAAGCAGACTTCTACCACTGTCTTTTCATCCACCTTCTCGCCCCATTCGTGTTGCTTTATGCCTTCTTCGATCTTCTCCCATTCTTGATTGCAAAAATTGCTCACACGCTGTTGGTAAGAGTTGAAGTCGTACGACTTGTCCTTTTCACCAACTTGAAAGATTTCGTGTGTAATGTGCCAATACTCGCTCACACCTACGAAATGATTGACGTCAAAATCGATGGCGGGTACATGAACACCAGAAACTAGACAAGGATCGTCTTCACAGATATGGTCCTTTTCTAACAAAGGTTGAGTACTCTTCAAGCACTCGTCGAATTTCCCAACGCCTAGGAGGATGGGCGTCTTTCCATCAACGGTCTTCTCGTCGGGTAGAAATACATCACCCTTGGGCGTAATCTTCAGTCCCCGTGGAAGGCAAGGATCGAGAAGCTCTTTGGAATGCCTGAACTCATCACCCTTCCTTAACCCATCCACATACCGCACTCTTGCTTCATTGACACCAAATCTCAGCCAGGTGGTGGAAAATACTCGATATTCTGCAGGTGTTCCGTCGACAGTCCTCAGGCGCAACAATTTGAGGTCGTCTGCGTGACGCTCAGACTCCGTGGCGTTCGGAGCAAATGCGATCTGAGCAGAAGCACCGCCCATATCGAGGAACCCGAAGGTAGGATGGTCGTGTTCCCCATCGTGCATCTTGGGGTGATCGAAGCCTCCCAATAAGTAATTAGCTGCTATCCATCCGTACAATCCTTCCACCTCGCCAGGTATGATTCTAATGTGGATATCACAGTCTGGAACCGAGAACTTAGTCTTTGATCTGGCGTAGGCACACACTTCTGTCAATAGAACATCTTGCTGGTGTTTGGGAAGTAGGCGCATGCCAGCTGTAGCAAGCAGAAACAAGGGGGTTCTTTCGGCCTCATGTTCCGGAACAACTTTCCGGGCCTTCTCGAACAGCTCTTCCAAATGATCCGGCCCAACACGCGTAGGCTTCTCGCCAAAGGTCGATATGCCCGGTTTTGTTTTCTTCGCCCATTTTTTCTTCGTCTCGATGACTGGCAGAGACTCCAACTGGTCTGCGTTTGATGTTTCGCGAGCGTGAAGGTTGTCCAGCCACCGGTATACATGGAGACGCGTTCCCTAAAAGCCGTTAATTTCAACTGGATATTCCAGCGGTCTGAATCTGACTTACAGACGACCCAGCATCAAGGACGATACCGTAGCGCCCTAACAGAAGCGCGTTAGCTTCCTAGCAGACGCACACGGGATGGAAGCCCAACATTGTTCCGCTCTGGCCACCAGATCGACAGACATTAGTTTGGAAGCCTTTCAAGATGCATTCACCAAAAGAAGGCATGGAAAGTCGCAGAAAAAGGCGCAGCTTGTGGGAATTGAAGGGGTGAAGACGATGCAGAACTCTGAATAATACGGAGTCGGGTTATGCACGCTAGAAGGTGACACGCAGCGCGCTAGAACAAAGCGGGCCGATCCCGACTCAAGCACGAGCAACTGGAATCATAAGGCTATCATTTCGCCTCACTCTGTCACCTTCCTCCCACATCTGCTCTGACAGTCTCAAGTCTGGAACAGTTTTGGTGATGCTGTCTGAAGCATCTGCATCACAATGACTTTGGTGCCCTCAATCGCTGAGCTGCCAACAGAATTAGCGTACGTAATATTCAGTACCGATCATCAATGTGTTCTAGTAAATGCTAAATTCTATCAAGGAATCAAATTTGTGGCTCTCTCTCACAGAAAGAAAGATCGTCGCTGGCATTGACCAATAAATCTGTCTACCGGCTAGTCAGACCAATTCTATATTATCGTCCACGGATTGTCTCATTCTCTTCTCTCACTCTCTTCAACCGCACTCTGACCAAGGCAACGTACTTTGGCAAATTAGATCTGAGATGGTCCACGCGAGAATCCTTAAATCAGACTAAGTATCTGGATGTCATCCTCGATCCAACCAAAGACAGCTCAAAGAACGGTGGGCAGCCACCGCCAGCTATCCTTATTTCCAGGATACTTCTATCAATTGAGCGGAGATGGTAGGTGTATTCATGCATTTCGTTCTCGTCGCTTTTCAACGCGGTTTAATTCCTATGTACTGCCTGATGACAAGGCATCAGTCACGAGGTCATGCTAAGTCAATCTCTATCACTAGCCCCGAAATCGATATAAGCTTGCGTTTTGAGCATTGCAAATGCGATGCGACCCCAGTGTGCAACCTCTGGCAAGAAACATTTCCGCGCGTCAAGAGTCTTGTAATCTGTGTCGGTTCACACGACCCTGACGAAACCCATCCACGAACTTCAAGCAGATGCATCCCCAGCACAAAGTTTTTCAGCCCTTTTGTCGACGGTGTCGCTTTTCCCGATTGTAAAAGGCTTGAGATTCGGCACCACTGGGCCATTGCACCTAAGGAGAATGTGAGTCTGTTTCCACACGAGCGATCCAGAGGCCCCAACGGCCATGATTATTACCTACCACAACACTATCGTCCAACGCAGCATTCCTTTACAGCTTTGGATGGTCTTGAGAAACTTCAAAGCATCAAGTTGGAGTGCGTACCCGAACTCGACGAGTCTGTGATGGCGCAGCTTCTTGGTAGTTCAAAAATAGGCTCAAACCTTTCGTCTCTAGAGCTCAGATTCTGCATGCTGGCCGATGAGGCTATCACCCAACTGCTCTATCATGCGCCACCCAATTTGAAGCACCTAGTCATCCTTACCAAAGCGCGCCATCATTCTCAACATCATGATGAGGAGGGAAGCACAAGGGTTCAAAAGGAGACTCCACATCTATGTCCGCTATTTCGGAAATTAGGAAAAGGCTTAGCTTATCTGGAATATGGCGCGAATCGGATATGTCGAGAGCTTTTCTTTGATGACCTTGAGATAGAGAGCATTGCAAAGGACGGGATTTTGACTAATCTGGGCATGAGGGGGGTGGGACAATGAATGACGAGCACTTAGATGCACTTGCTATACGAAGCGCCGTGGAAAGATGTCGGGCTATCAAGAAAGTTGCAGATCAGGGAAATCGGGTGCAGAAATCTTCAAAAGAGTATCCAAAGAACTTGAATGAAAGTCCGCCAGAGGAATCCTTATTCGGGGCGTTTAGGGACGTTCCGTCCAATATACTGTCGATCAAGGGTGACGCTGAAAGAACGACGGATTCAGAAGAAGAGCACCGAAGGCGACTGATCATGGGTTCAAAGACGCCTTGGCTTCGTCGATATATGACCTGGGAAGGGATGTGCAAGTCCAGCCACGCTTTCCAAGAACTTCAAATTGCTGCTGACATTGAGGAGGAAGGCATCACGTGGGTGCTGGCCAGTAGGTGAACGAAAAGGCCGATATCAAGTCTGTACTGACCCTACTCAGACCGGAAGCTGGACGTTGCGAGCCAACATAGAAGTGGTAGGCTACCAAAGGATGTGAGCTTTAGAAGGGCAATGGAAGAAAAGTACCGGATCAAGGACTGATGAAAATGAAGCGGCTTCCAATGGGCTACAATGGAATAGGTATGTGGATAGCTGGTGGCGGTACATGATAACCACCTAAATTCCTTAGTATATGCACTAAGCGAAAGCAGTGAGGCGGTGTGGGAATACTTTCCGATTTCCGACCCCAAAGAGAATTGGTTCGACGCTAATGCAGGACCACCATCTGGCTTCTAATTCGACTCCCGTCACTTGACTGGGCTGTCGAAAGCAGGTGGCAAGAGATCATGGCTGGTTGGCTGTGCGAAGAACATTTTATTATTGGTGAAAGGAAGTCAATTGACGGAACAATGATGTACGCCATGGTCTGTATGATCTTACTGCTTGCGGCGCATACCTACTCAAAGGCTGTCCCCCGCACCGATGCTGGACCATGGGGGTGTAGTCAATGACAGGTGGACGCATATGTAGACGTCTGCACGATGCAGAATATGAAGCATGTTAATTCATATTAATATCATTCCATGGGCATTTTTCGATGCAACGGCTGACGGGGAGTGTGCATGGTCTTCGTGAAACACTGCGCTTCCAGCAGGACATCTCGTAGTGGCGGGCGGTGGTTGGTGGTTGGATGGCAGACGGAGCCAGCGACGGAAGAGGTCAAGATCAGCTTGGGTGTAGTGTCTGTAGTGTCTCGCTGTGCCCGAGAGAGTGGGGCCTTTACAAGCGCCGCTTTCTCTCCCCCAAGTCCCGATTTTACCTTCGCCTTCTCAGCCATCTAACAACAACTATCAACCATCAACTTCTTCCTCCCATTACTCTTCTCATCCACATCCATCATCCTGATACTTCGCTTTCTTGCCTGAGTATACTTCTCTTCATTTGCGCAACGTAAATTGGTATTTTAATCGCTCTTGCGGGTGCTTCGCTCATCCCTCTGCCATTCCCGGGGAGCCTACGCACACCACAGTCTCACTTGCGTTGGGGCACGGACGTCAACCTTGATCATCCCCCATCTCACCGTCACCATCGACTGCCATCCAAAGGACAATGGCCTCGTTCCCTTACAACCCACAGCAGCATTATAATCCTTCATCCAACTCTTCGCACTCCTCATCATCTTCGCATAACCATCATGGCGGAAGATCCCGGCGAGCACCGCGCATGTCGGCCTCGCACAATCCGCACAAGCAATTCAGAGGTGTACGAAGTCCAAGAGATATGATAGAAAGTCCCATGATTGTCAACAACATCAGAGCGAAATTCGAAGCGGGGAGATCGTTTGATTTGGACGATGACATGGAGTTCTGTCCCGGCTTGCTGACCGAAGACGATGTAAGACAGCACTCTCAATATGACGTCGCATGCGACACTTCATTCTCTGAGCATGAAAGCTGACGGCTAGGATACTGATAGATGCAATCTATCCATTCATCATCAACAGACGGCTCGCTTGCGTCTAATTCACCACAGTCGTCTCCTCTTCAACCTCAGATCCAACCATCCCAACAAGTGACCCCCAGCTTTTCCTTGTCTTCTGCGTCAACGAGTAATTACAATCCCACTACGGGCTTTCAATCGAGCAACAATCACCCGCAGCACCAGATGAAGATTCACCAACCGGCGGCTCTAAGGGCACGCAATCCTATCCCAATAGTCAACCCGACCACTGGCATGCGGTTGCCTAGTCCACCCTCATCTGTCTCGCCCGCTATGGTGCAACAGCACCAGCAGGCTTACCATCATTGGTAGAGAAACTGCAGAGCCTGGGACTCTGCGTTTCACTGCCACTGGTCGTTATCTGCAGCTTTATTGCTCATGGCGGGCTTACACTCTTTCGTAATGCTAATTGGATTCATCGTTATCCTCGACTTAACAGAACTTTTCAACGGATACCCCGGAGTAACGATGGTCTTGATCTATATGACGAAGATACCCCGTCTTTGAGTGTGAATGGTGTTTGGCAATAGAAATGACTCTGCAGCTGGCGGTCAATGTATGTGATAACGCGGCGTTTCTGTTTCTGACGATATCTACATCAGCATGGTTTTGAGGATTCAGCGATTTGGGTTTAGTTGCAATTGAAAAATATGGGAAGTGGGAATCTGTGATTGGGAAGACACCGTTAGATACCTTGGGCAAGGAGTCTTGTTGCAGCGGATGACGCGAGATTTACGAGACGGCAAGTAATCATGATGATTTGCAAATAAGCTACTGGGACATCTGGTTGGCTTTTCGGCTCAATGGCTTTTGTGAATAAACAGGAACCGCTACGTTGTACATTACTCCACATAAACAAGCTACGATTTTGATCCTCTTGATTCCTGAGCAATAGCAGCTCTGGCAGCTCCGATATTGAAATACTCTTAATTCTGACGCCAAAATAGCAGTGCTACCTCCGCAAGCAGAAGCCTCCCGTCCAAGATCCATATCCGCCGAGAAAGCACTAGCGTTGAACTAGTGTAATACAACTTTCCCCGTTCCTCTCTCGCCGTCGTTTTGCGCTCTCTCGACCGTCATTATTCATCACAGCCCTCACCATGCCTCCACTTCCTCCGTCGTCCCGTGGCTTCTTAAAGCTTCGTTCTCCCCATCACACTTCACGCCTTCTCACTCCAGCACCACAATGTCTCGCTCAAGCGGCCGCCCAACAACAGCGGCGAACGCGAGCAACAGCAGCAGAGGAACACTCCGGCGAGTACGACCGCACGCCCAAATTCGACTCGCCTTTCAAAAGCAAGGAAGCGAACCCAACAACCAACATTCCCAGCTTCAAAAACTACATGAGTAAAAGGCCGGAGACGAGTAACAAATTGTTCCAGTATTTCATGGTCGGAGGCATGGGCTTGCTGAGTGCTGCGGGGGCCAAGGCGACGGTGCAAGGTATCATTTCCCTCTCTGTCCCAACTCTGGGATCATGAGAAGGTAGAGGACTGAATTCAATTGGTTCAGATTTCTTGGTCAACATGTCCGCCTCTGCCGACGTTTTGGCGCAGGCCAAGGTCGAGATCGATCTGGGACAAATCCCAGAGGGCAAGAATGTCATTATCAAGTGGCGCGGAAAGCCAGTGTTCATTCGGCATCGAACGGCGGATGAGATCAAAGAGGCGGAGGGGGAGAAGTGGGAGCAGCTCCGGGATCCTCAGCCGGATAGTGAGAGGGTCAAGAAGCCGGAGTGGTTGATAATGCTAGGTGAGTTTCTGAAGAACCCTTGCGTCCTCCGCATATCTTCTGCGCTACGTGGCATTATGGTGTACGGGGTCAGGGCTAATTGGGGGTCCTATAGGCGTGTGTACGCATCTGGGATGTGTGCCAATAGGGGAAGCGGGCGATTTCGGTGGTTGGTTCTGCCCTTGCCACGGGAGCCATTATGATGTTAGCGGGCGGGTGAGGAAAGGTCCTGCACCATTGAACTTGGAGATACCGATGTACGATTTCCCAGAGGAGGAAAAGGTGATCATTGGTTGAGCGGGTGGCGGAGCTGAAGCGTAGCATAGAGACATGGTCTTTCGATCCGCGTGTTTATTGTTCAATACTCGAAAAAACCTCTGACCACAGATTCGCAGAATCATGTCATATTCCTGCAAAGTGAGATGCTTGAGCGCAATCAATCGACTGTAGCTCGTGCTGACAAAGAGCCCGTGACAGATACGCTAACATATGTACACCATGCCATCGCTTCAACGCATTAGAATCATCAAGCATGAATTTGTCCACCGGCAGGCTCATGGAGTCTTTCCAAGTGTGTCTCTGTCAATAAGCTTCGTACTCCATCATTGCCCCATCTCAATGTCACCTGCCTCGTCCCTTCTCAACGGCACCGGTCGTGGATTGCCATTTGGCTCATAATGCTCAAAGACATACTGCTGCGGGTTGTACTGTATGGATTGACTCGGATCCATGGGCGGGGCAACATTCAATTGCTGTCCTTCCATTTGGCCGATCGCCATGGGAGGATGCGGGTGTAGAAAAGATTCTTCTGGGTGTTGTAGAGGAATGAAAGCTTGTTCTGGTGGGGGTGGTCGCTGCGCGATTCGTCTCGAAGATCCGTCGAGGGTGGTCTGTCCGTTCTGGAGAGGTGGAGCGTTGGCTGGGGCTTTGGGTTGAGCTGCTCGAGATCTGTATTCTCTGAGTGTTGTAGTTCTTGGGACGATGTCTTCAAGGAAAGAGAGGTTGTCTATGCGGCTGACGGCGTTGGCTGGAGTCGAAAATTAGCCGGTCTGGTTGAACTTATGTGAACGGCTCTTGTACCAAGATCTCGGTATTGGATATTTCTCCGAGGCTTCTTCTCCGATTTCACAACGTTCATGGCTTGATCTGCGAAGTAGCGGATAAACATTTCCTGTCAAGATATTGAGTAACGTTCGAGAGCTTCATACCCGTTTTCTTACGGTTGCGATTGTGATGGCAAAAGAGGCATTGGCAGATACTGCACCAATCTCTTCGTCTACCGCAAGAATTTTCTTTACTCGGGCCACTGAGAGAGATATAAGAAGACTATCTTGCTACCACGCTTTGAATCACTAACGAGGGAGAGTGGCTGCGCCAGTGATTTCTTCGTTCGGAGCAATCGCGGAATTGTTGTAAGGCATTGCACCTGACAGAGGGGTCTTCGAGGGCTCTAGATGTCAAGAGCTTGGCAATGAAATGCAGATTCGAAGCAATTGAATGCGTGAAGAAGTCCGCTCGCGTAAGCCCTGGAGGTAGGTCAATATCTCAGATAACGCGATCGAAAAGTCTTGGCGTTGGCCGCGGGACTCCCCGTGCTTTCCGTCGGCCGAGCTGGAGAGTCTCTCATTGGTGAAAGGCATCTTCTGCTCTGCTTGAAAAATCGCGATTTCGTCGGTGGCACTGAGACCCTCCTCAAGATGACCTGATGGGATGAGTGCGCGCACCTCCTCGTTCTCCTCCCAACATCGGAGCAGACCGTCCTTGCCCGAACGACGACTTTCCCGCCGTCTCTCATTACTATCTAGCTCCGAGCAAGGCAGGAGCGAGGCTCCAGCAGACAACACCGAACATGAACTCACAGAGGAGATCGAGGAGATTAAGAGATATGAGGACTTCACAACGATAGATTGGGTGCAAGATGCGGCACGGGAGCAGCTAAGAAGAAGAGCTCGAAGGAAAGAGAATGCAGGCTTCTTTGAGAGAGATGGCTCTTTGGGCTGGCGGCGCAAATTGCGGGACACTTACGAGGCAGGTCAGGCTTGGATCGTTGTGACCTTGGTCGGCGCTGCGATTGGACTCAATGCCGGGTTCTTGAATATCGTTACAGAATGGCTATCAGACGTCAAGCTGGGATACTGCTCGACTGCTTTCTATCTGAACGAGGACTTCTGCTGCTGGGGCGCTGACACCTGTGACGAATGGCATACCTGGACACCACTATGGCCAATCAATTACCTTCTCTATTTGATATTTTCCATCATCTTTGCTCTTACATCGGCTAGCCTGGTCAAAGCTTACGCACCTTATGCTGCTGGATCAGGTATTTCGGAGATCAAATGTATCATCGCAGGATTCGTAATGAAAGGCTTCCTTGGGTTTTGGACCCTTTTGCTGAAATCGATTTGTCTGCCAATAGCGATTGCATCAGGGCTGTCCGTTGGCAAAGAAGGTCCGAGTGTGCATTATGCTGTTTGTACCGGAAACGTCATATCAAGATTCTTCGATAAATACAAGCGGAATGCTTCCAAAACACGCGAAATATTCACTGCCTCTGCAGCAGCCGGTGTCGCAGTGGCATTTGGCAGTCCCATCGGCGGTGTACTATTTTCGCTCGAGGTAAGCAATCTTTGCATCTCACGATAACGAAAAGCTAATCGGCAAGGAAATGTCGTCTTATTTTCCTCTGAAGACAATGTGGCGAAGCTATTTTTGTGCACTTGTAGCTACAGCTGTCCTCGCCGTGAGTTCCTGAGATATAGAAAATATGAAGTTTGACAGCTGAAAAAGCTTTCTAGGCCATGAATCCTTTCAGAACAGGCCAGCTAGTCATGTTCGAAGTGAAATACGACAAATCGTGGCACTTCTTCGAAATTCTCTTCTTTATCATATTAGGTATATTTGGCGGCCTTTACGGTGCTTTTGTGATGAAATGGAACCTTCGAGCGCAGGCGTTTAGGAAGAAGTATCTGGTCAAATACGCAATCTTAGAGGCCACTTTGTTGGCCGCTGGAACTGCTCTTGTCTGTTTCCCTAATATGTTTCTCAGAATTGACATGACCGAGGAGATGGAAAAACTGTTTCAGGAATGTGAAGGAGGACATGACTATGACGGTCTTTGCGAGTGAGTAAATTCCATATGGATCATAAGCAACGCTAATGTCAACATCAAGACCCAAAAATCGTACAACGATGGTCCTTTCTCTCCTCTTCGCGACGATCATGAGGACTTTCCTTGTGATCATTTCGTATGGCTGTAAAGTGCCCGCAGGCATATTTGTACCGTCAATGGCTATTGGGGCATCATTTGGCCGAATGGTCGGCATACTAGTTCAAGCCCTACATGAGGCCTTCCCTAACGCCAAATTCTTCTCTGCCTGTGAGCCAGATGTGGCATGCATCACCCCTGGCACTTACGCTTTCCTGGGAGCTGGTGCAGCTCTAAGTGGTATCATGCACATAACGGTGTCTGTAGTTGTCATTATGTTCGAGCTGACCGGTGCATTGACCTATATTCTACCAACGATGGTAAGTCGATGAACATCCAGAGGGTCATTCCACAAGGCTTATGTCCGTATCAGATAGTGGTGGGGGTCACCAAAGCTGTAAGTGAGCGCTTTGGTAAGGGTGGCATCGCAGACCGCATGATTTGGTTCAACGGCTTCCCGTTCCTGGACAACAAAGAAGAGCACACTTTTGGCGTACCAGTGTCTCAGGTCATGACCAGCAGTGTCACTTCTCTGCCATCGACCGGTTTGAATCTGCGTTCTCTTGAGCATCTGCTCACGGAGAATAAGTACCAGGGGTTTCCGGTCGTCGAAGATGCGACCTCAAAAACCCTCATTGGCTATATTGGTCGGACAGAGCTTCGCTATGCCATCGATCGAGCTAAAAAGGAGGCTTTCATCTCACCGAATGCAAAGTGCTACTTTACACAGCCAGACTCAACAGCCACACAGACGCCATCCGCCGCCGCCCCACCAGTCACTTTTGAAGCCATCGAATCTTCCTCAGGTCGGCAGACCGTCGAATTTTCCCGTTTCATTGATCCCACGCCTCTGGCAGTCCATCCGAGACTGCCCCTAGAGACCGTCATGGAGCTTTTCAAAAAGATGGGGCCTCGTGTAATTGTCATCGAGTATCGTGGGCGTGTTGCAGGTCTCGTGACCGTGAAAGACTGCCTTAAATTTCAATTCAAGGTCGAAGCTCAAGATACTGCTCACGAGAGTATTGCTCATCAAGAACGACAGGAGAAGCTTTGGGCTGTCATTAACACGACAGCTGATTGGGTTGCCGAGAAAGTCGCTCACTACTCTGGCGGCCGCGTTGAGCTCAAGGGTTCAAATCGACAACCAAGTTTATTGACATCAGACAACATTGATCCACGTGATCAATTTTCACCCATCGGACCACCTTCTCCCCATGCCATTTTGGATGGTACTGAGGACATTGATATTGGTGTAGAATTGAGAGACCGGTGATGTAGTCGAATACTACGGATTGTTTTCATCCATTGAACAGAATCTCAACTGGCCCTAATCACCCATGGCTGGTCAGGATCACAAAGGAGAATGTATGAGTGTGACACAAAGCTCTGAGACTGTTAGTCACCGGGCTTTGAACATGATTCTGTAATCACAATCGCTAACTTTGCTACAGCTTTGCTGTCCAAGCATACGTCAAAGGTCGCAGGAGCAGAAATCCGAATGGTTCCCTAAGTCTTGCACAATAAGAAGAGATAACGGTGGCTGCAGTATCATGACATAGTAGGAAGTGTCTGCAAAATGGTGCAAGAAAGAAAAAGAACGAGTCATGTAGCGTTAGACAAGATATTCCAAAACAGTGATTTTGTTTCTAGCAAAGGTCGCTTGGGTAGGGTTGCGTATCGCTTCCTCGAGCCTCTTGTCTGGGCAAGAGCAAGTCAGTCTACCTAGCAACAGTAGTGGCGCACAACATTGACCTCCGCCTGACCATCCACCATATTCTACGTCAAATTTATGTAAACCGGTGTTGCTGTGCGTCGTAAAGATTTACGAGGTATGAAATATATCAATGTGAAATTCCTTGTTCTAGATGTAGGACTAGCCGATATCTGAGTTTCCCCACTTCGACCCTTTGTCAAGGTTTTGCACCGATAGACCCTGCTTCAGCCCTCCAAACGGTTGTATTTCAACGCTTCCCAGAGGACCAGCGAGCCTGTGGCTTTCCAGGCGTCAGTGACAGCTGCACATTACTGGAGATACCCGAATAATGTGGCAACCGGGCTGAGTAAAAGAGGTGGTGGCGCCGTCAAAGCGCATTTCAAAATCTTCAGATTGATAAGACTCGACGTAGGACCCTCTTCCCAAAGCTGCGAGGCACTGGCCACGCGGCCACGCCAGAGCTACGGTTTCGTTCCGTCAGCTCGATTCATATTTCTCCTGTAGAACCTTGAAGCTTTGTGAATCAACCTGGGAGCCTCTCACTCGAATCCTCACAGCGTTGACATACGAGATCTTGCTCCTAGAAGGGGCGAAGACACCTTCAAAATGAATGACGATGAGAAAATCAACCAGGTGTACCGCAAGATCGAGCGGGAGAAGGTCCTCATCAATGCCGCGAATGCTATGCGCCAGAACTCCAATCCACAGGTCCAGGCTTCCCTGGACTCGCAGATCAGAGAGTCCAGACGGGGTATAGAGTATCTGGAAGAATCGATGAGAGAACTTCAGATGCGGAGAATGGAGAACATGGACGGCGGACAAGCTGGAGGCCCACAACCCCCCACTCATGGATCGCCTCAGCAGAGAAACTTGAGAAATGCGCAGAAGTCTAATCCTCCTACTCCGCCACCGAAGGACGGAAGATCTGGATATGTGGAGGAAGGAGATTACGGCGATCCTGCGAATGGTGGGTATATGAATAACATGAGTGGAGGCTCAGGCATGATGCCTCCTCGTGCTCCATTTGGTCCACCAGGTCCCGATTCTTCGATGCCGCGATCCCGGCCAAACTACACGAAGTTGGGTATGCATTATGATTTGCCAAACGGCTATCGCTCACTAATGATACGCTGCAGATCTCATAAAATATGACACATCCTATTTAGGACCTCGAATACAACTCATGCTTTCCCAATTAGAGTTTAAGCTCAGCGTTGAGAAACAATACAAAGATGGTGTAGAGAAAATGGTTCGATTGTATCAAGATGAAGGAGACAAGAAGAGCAGGGCGGACGCCGAAGGACGACGCATAGAGAGCAACCAGAAGATACAGCTCTTGAGACAAGCTTTGAAAAGATACGAAGACCTTCACGTCGATATGGAGAGTACGAATGATGCTCCGGATGGTAGGAAGGGCTTTTCCCCTCAAGATGGTCGCATGACAGTGCTAACGCGTGCCCTCCTGCTCCAGATGACAGCCTTGATTCACCAAATTTGCGAAAACCGCTCACAGGCAGCCTTTCCATGACAGTACATGCTGTCAAAGATGTGGATCATGCAGCCACCGGAAGATTCGCTCGTGGTCCAGAGACTTTCGTCATCATGAAGGTCGAAGACTCCTTGCAACTTCGAACCAAAGCGACAAGGATAGATAGATGGCACGATGAGCATCATACGGTGGACATCGAAAAGGCTAACGAAATCGAATTAACAGTCTATGATAAGGCTGGTAATCATGCTACTCCAATTGGGATGCTCTGGATCCGAATAGCAGACATAGCAGAGGAGATGAGGAGGAAGAAGATTGAGGCTGATCTCAAGGGCTCTCAATGGGTGACTGCAGATAAGATGGGATCTGGTGGAGCAGCGCATAGTCGTCATGACTCTGCTTACTCCTCATTGAATCAGGGCGCATTTCAAGGTGCAGGTCAGCGAGACTCAGGGGCTTCAGGCCAACAATTTGGTGGTCCGCAACAGCCCTCTGCACCAGGTGCGATCGATGCTTGGTTTTCCCTCGAGCCTGTTGGGAGAATTCAGCTGTCGATGAGCTTCAGTAAGGCCTATAACCATGACTATAGAATCCTTTACTCACATTCTGCAGCCAAACAAGTCAAAGATCGTAGACCTTTCGATATTGGTCTAAATCGAAAGGGAGCTATTCGGCAACGTAAAGAGGAAGTACACGAGCTGTATGGCCACAGATTTGTCTTGCAACAGTTCTACACAATTATGCGCTGTGCTCTCTGCGGTGACTATCTCAAATACTCTGCCGGAATGCAGTGTGAGGACTGCAAGTTCACCTGTCACCAGAAATGTTATTCCAAAGTCGTTACCAAATGTATCAGCAAATCAAATGCGGAAACGGATCCTGACGAGGAGAAGGTCAATCATCGTATACCTCATCGCTTCGAAAACTTTTCCAATATGGGTGCAAATTGGTGTTGTCATTGTGGCTACATCCTTCCTCTGGGCCGGAAGAATAAGAAATGCTCTGGTACACCTTGTTAACACCTCGAACACTTCTTAGCTGACGTTTCATTGCAGAATGCGGCTTGAGCTGTCATGCTACCTGCGCCCATCTGGTTCCAGACTTTTGCGGCATGCCAATGGCCGTAGCAAACGAGATGCTAGCGGTCGCGCGTGAAACAAAGGATAGGCAAGGTGCGCGACTACCATCAAAACCAACCAATCTAGCGGACCGAACATTAAGACAAGGCACGACACGACCAAGTCCTGTGCCACAAATGTCATTTGCACCACCGCCGACCGAGGAAAGACCAGGAGCCCCAATTACTGATCCTCGAAGGTCGCATGGCCAGGAAGAGCTCTATCCAGCACCTACCCCTCAACAACCTCAGGGCGGTCAAGGGGCCTTGAATGCTGCGCAATCAGCTAATCAAAGCACACCTCAGCAGAGGCGACCTGATCCCCAACGCACGGCGTCATCCCAGGCTCTAGCTGCTGCAGGCAAAGCTATGGACAATAATGGAAAGCGACCATCCGCCCAACGACCATCTACAACGACCGATATGAGTTCGCTTGCTGGCATGCCATTCGATCCGAATGAAGCTCGTACCCCGGTGCAACCACAACCGCAATCATCGTACAATCCGCAGAATTATGCCCCCTTCGACCGCCCACCACAGGTGCAACCTCCTGCCATCACGAAACCTCCAGTACAACAGCCTCCGTATCCTGAGCATGGAGTCTCTCAGTATCCGTCCAAAGGGATGAAACAAGCGGTTCCCTCTCAGCAAGGTACCGGTCGAAGAATTGGTCTCGAGCATTTCAATTTCCTTGCGGTCCTTGGAAAGGGCAATTTCGGTAAGGTCATGCTAGCAGAGACTAAGGCGACCAAGAAGTTATACGCTATCAAAGTTCTCAAAAAAGAATTTATCATTGAGAATGATGAGGTTGAGAGTACGAAATCAGAAAAGAGGGTCTTCCTGATTGCAAATAAAGAGCGTCATCCGTTCTTGTTGAATCTTCACGCCTGTTTCCAAACCGAGACAAGAGTTTACTTCGTCATGGAATATATCAGCGGTGGAGACCTCATGCTTCACATTCAGCGAGGTCAATTTGGTAGCAAACGAGCGCAATTTTATGCCGCCGAGGTCTGCCTAGCTTTGAAGTATTTCCACGAAAATGGTGTCATATACCGGGATCTCAAGCTGGATAATATTCTGTTGACTCTTGACGGCCATATCAAGATAGCGGATTATGGACTTTGCAAGGAAGATATGTGGTATGGCTCGAACACAAGCACGTTTTGTGGGACGCCGGAATTCATGGCTCCAGAGATCCTTCTGGATAAGAAGTATGGGAGGGCAGTCGACTGGTGGGCGTTTGGGGTGCTGATTTATCAAATGCTCCTTCAGCAATCCCCATTCAGAGGGGAAGACGAAGACGAGATTTACGATGCGATTCTTGCAGACGAACCTCTGTACCCCATTCACATGCCTCGTGACTCGGTATCCATCCTTCAGAAACTGCTTACCAGAGAGCCAGAATTGCGACTAGGCTCTGGGCCTACTGATGCACAGGAGGTAATGAGCCAACCATTCTTCAAGACGATTAGCTGGGAGGACGTCCGGGATAAGAGGATGCCGCCGCCATTCAGGCCTGAGATTAAGAATGCTACCGATACCAGCAATTTCGATTCGGAATTTACTAGTGTGACGCCGGTCTTGACTCCGGTACAATCAGGTCTGTTGGAATGTCTTCCTTTTCAAGGCCGCTTGTACTTACAAATCTACAGTTTTGACACAAGCGATGCAAGAAGAGTTCCGCGGTTTCTCTTACTCGGCAGATTTTGTTTGAGATATCCATTCTGAGTATCTCCCTATGATCAGACGCTATTGATGGGTATGATGAACGATAAAATGCCTATCAGCGTAATTCGTCGTCGGTGGCAAGCTCATGCATTGGGCCTTAAAGCGGTAGGGCACGGTTTGGAGTATACGCGGATAGTCAGACATTAACATCTAGCTCGGTATGTGAGGCTTGAAAGAGGTCCACGGAGATCCGATGGTAACCATCTTATACTGCCATATCTGTTACCTACCACCTTGTATCTGTTTTCTTTCTTATCGTCTCAACCAAAGCACTTCCACATCGCAGCAGAGAAACTACAATTTTGACGCTACGGGGCACACCCAGAATCGTTCGAGTCCTTCGCCCCGTCATTTATCTCTTGGGAAAAGGTGCAGATCAGTGAAACCCAGTGTACGTGCCGGCAAAGCTGGGCAGTGGACGCCTCCCTAAAAACTGCCTGACACAGCAACCTGCAACGTGTAAACCCACATTTCAGGTACACGAATCATTCTCTTAGACATTGACACAAACAGAAAGGACACCCAAATTCAGCGGCGAAAGGCTTCTTGTCGATCGTCTTTGATTTTGTTTCATTCTTGAATATGCAGAAGACCGTAAGGATACACTTGCCAACAACAACGTTCCGCCAAACATAGCTCGCCAAAAATAGCAAAATTACGATGACAGCAAGATTTCGGTCGATAGAGACGTTTGAAATGAGCCTTCAGTGGGCTTTTTCTCGGCCCCATCCCAAGAATTTGGAGCTTGCTGTCGCTCTTTGCGAGCCGAAGATGCAGGAAGCTCTGAATTATAGCATTACGACGACCCATATGTCCTCCACTTGGTCCAACAACGATGTTCTCAAGTTATCATTTCTAACTCCTGCCGGACAAAGCAGCTTGATTGTCAAATTACCTTGTGTGAGTGATGTTTTCAGAATCATGACTCAAGAGACGTGTCCCGAGACTCCTTCTCGCAGTCTAAAGAAGCATTGCTGACTCCGATTTGATGAAGGTCCCTTTCTCGCCACTCCACATGACGCAATGCAAGGAAGAAAGTGTGCGAGCAAGCTGGGCATCTAATCATGGCGTCGGCCCCAACATGCTCTCCACTGACGCGGACACTGGAGGGTTTGCCGTGGAGTGTATTAAGGGCAACATGCTTTTGAGGGAAACAGCTCGAGAGTACCTACCACAGATCATTAAGCTACTTCGAAGCATTCATAGCGCTAAAGCAGAGAGATGGATGGGAAAATTTGAGCCGGTCAACGAGGTAAAGTGGCATTTGCCATACGCCGCAAAATGCATGCCTCCGGAGGAAGTGCGCCGCGTGAAAACCGCCTTGCGCAACGCGGAGGTCTCAATCAAGAATCCCCCACTAGTACCTTGTCATAATAAATTCCACTGCCGAAATATTATGCTCGAAGATTCGATGCCTGGCAGCCATGACGGTGCGAGACTCCTGGCCATCGATTTCGAGAATTGTGATCTTGGCGATCCGATGTGGGATGTTGCTTCTTTGGCGGCGGATCTTGAACATAAGACACAATTCGCTTTGCTCAAAGTGCACGGTGCCACCGAGGAAGAGAAGCGGCGTCTTCGAATATATTTGCCGTTAGTGAAGGCACATGGTATGATCCAATCAGGCACGATAGCCGTTCTTGGAAGAAGTTCCTGATTGCAGCATCAGCAGGAAATGGTGGAGGGAGCGGGCAACTTGATGAAGCAGATTACTTTGCATAGATGTTAGTGGATTGGGAAATGGTTGGACTGTTCGAGAAATACTCAAAGGTGCAAGTTAAGTCTCGATTCCATGATCCTAAGCCCCCATTACTTTTTCAACGAAGACCCTCCTTCATAAGCGATCTCGACTGTGTCTCAAAGCACAAGGACTGTAAAGGCACTTCGAAGACCCATTCTCTACCGGAAGCAGACACGTAGATTGGCTTGAAGGTCTCTGAGATCTAGGTAGACTATTCTGAAAAGCACTCCTTCCCATCAGGAAGTTGCTGGAGCGAACATGTCATGTCCACTAGACTGTTTCAACTCTTCATCTACTCACAAACATACATGCTACCTACCCAGTGCAGTGAGGCGAAGTGACCAACAGGCTCCAAGCTTAATGGAACAATAAGCAACTTCCGTGTGCTGCCGAAATGCTGTATGATTTACATATGAAAAGCAACAGGTAGTTGATGATCAATACGGACGGAGATATCGGCGCTCGGCCCCATAGAATAGCCCTAGTTCTAGAAGTATTCATATGCAGCACTGCAGCCGTAGTTCAACGAGAAACGCTTACAATTGAAGGGGCAGATTTTGCCGATTACACTGGCACCACGGCTCCACACGGAGCCGCTCTGCCGGTCGTGCTGGTCACATTGTTGAGCTTGCCATATTCATGATGACTTCATGATCCCACAGCCGTGTGGGCCCGTTCCGGGCGATACCATCTTGCCATGGCCGAAGTCGAACGGCCATGCCATTCTCGGTCGCCTGTATATTGCCCGTCTTCCTCTATCTCACACCCGGTTTTGAGTTGTGCGCCGCCTGGAATTTCTTCCTCAATTTGGCATTCGAGCTATCATCCCTTGCACCATGCCTTCTAGACGAAGAGGGAGCGAAAAGAGCGAAGAGAGCAATTTGGACCACTTGAACCCGTCACGCAAAAGATCTCAAGCATCAACAGACCGCAATCATGAAAGCAGCAGTAGTGAGAGTGACCAAGTCGAGAAAGGCGACCCGTCGAATCCGTCCAAGTCCGTCGGCTTCTTCCACCCAGATCTAAAGGCAGTGAGGAGGGAAGCCTTTTGGCAGTGGTCGAAAATGGGTTGGACCCTCGACCAGATACGCTGAAAGAGGTACTGACTGTCTTGACAGTCCTAATTCTCTGCGTCTTCATCCTTTGCGTACTATCATTGTACTGGGCCGTGCTCTTCCACGTCGAGAGGAACACTTCGTCCCTCACCGTATATGTCGTTGATTTTGATGCAACACAACCACCATACACCGATACACAGCCTCTGATAGGGCCCATGGTGACCCAGACGACCAAATCCATGCTCGGATCGCCCATGCCTCATTTGGGCTACATCACCAAGCAGCCGTCCGATTTCGCTAATGACCCGATGAAAGTTCGGCAGGCCGTCTACGACTTTCACGTGTGGGCAGCCATCATTGTGAATGCCAACGCTACAGCTCTATTACGAGCAGCTGTGTCGGAAGGCAATCCGTCGTACGATCCCCTGGGCGCTTGCCAGGTGATCTATGTGCAAGCTCGCGATCAAGAGACCTACGCCTCATACATCCTTCCTCAACTCAATATGCTGCAGACAGAGATCACCTCAAAATTTGGTCAGATGTGGACGAGGCAGACACTCCAGGACACCTCAATTCCACTCTCAAATTTACAAGCGGCACCCCAAGCCCTCTCTCCTGCAATCGGCTTCTCAACCTTTAATTTGAGGCCTTTTGCTCCGGCAGCGGCCACTCCTGCCGTGACTATTGGTCTCATCTATCTGATCATTATCGCCTTCTTCAGCTTCTCATTCTTCCTTCCCATATACATGAAGTTCGCTAGTACGCCGGGCCATCCCTCGGTCACCTTTCCACAGCTCGTTCTCATACGCTGGCTAGGAGCAAATTCAGCATACTTTTTGATGTCATTAGCTTACTCACTCATATCTCTTGCATTTCAAATACCATTCTCAAATGGTTCAGCCCCTGCCACAGCGGTGGCTAATAACCCTAATGCCTATGGCAAAGCCTCTTTTGTGGTGTATTGGATGGTCAATTTCTTGGGAATGTCGGCTCTCGGACTTGCGTGCGAGAATATGGCGATGCTCATCGGCTTCCCGTGGACTTCAATGTGGTTGATCTTCTGGGTCATTACCAATGTCTCAACTAGCTTCTACTCCCTTGACCTGGCCCCAAAGTTTTACTATTGGGGATATGCATGGCCGTTGCAGAACATTGTCGAAGCTTCAAGACGCATACTTTTCGATTTGCACTCAAGACTTGGATTGAATTTTGGGATATTATTTGCTTGGGTCGCGATCAATACCATCTTGTTCCCACTCTGCTGCTGGGTTATGCGGTGGAAAACAATCAGGCAGAAAAAGAAAGTGGCTCAACATTAAGTGCCGTAACGCCTCACAAGACACGAATATGTCGGCTGTCTGAATTTGAATTAGCGAGCTCGAATCTCGTTGACTTAGCATCTACATCTGGCTTATATCAAAGCATCATGATTTACGATAATGTTTAGAATCGAAGCGACTACAGAAGCTTTTAAACCTTCCTGGACTTCTCCAACCTTGCTTTTTTACGCTCAGTCTCGACCAAATCTCTTTTCCGCTTTCGCTCCCGTCTCAAAAGGTTGCCCAATGTCTGTATCTTTCAAATTGGATTTTTTTTTACTGTATAATGGCAGTTCCTTGAATCAATGATGCCTAGCCAGCCTCCGCATATACTTTTATTATTGACTTGGTTGGTCTGAACATAAACATGTCTCGTTCGCGCACCATCCAACGGCATCTAAATCTCACCTGACTGTCGACTGATATACTGGCAATCGCTCGCACGGTGTACGAGAAATCGTCATGCCTCTGACCTCGCTATCAATACATCGTTCTTGTTGAACCGCATCTAGCCGAATATCAGAATGGTTTCGCGGCTGTCCCAAAACGGCAATTCCGCCACCGTCACCACCCCTCGACGGCGAGACTCTAGGACGCTTTACTCTTTTGAGATGTATGTCTACCGTTACACCTGCTACCTCTTGGCATAGGTCCAGAATTTCCTGTTTGGGTTGGTGTAACCTTACCTTGAAGTCCGCACGTAACCGTATGTCAAAGTCGCTTTCCAGCATCCCAAACCGGCAATATCTCCAGCACCATTTTCACCAAGAATTATGTCTGTCGTCTAGAGGATAGTGCTGCTATCTTTCTTTACCAAGAAGAAAAGCAAGATCGCACAGCGATGACGTATTTTGGATGCTGTCGAAATTGGGAAAACCCTATGAGCACGTATCGAATCTGCTTTGACACGAGGTTCATGTAGGTAAAAGAATCAATTGCTCACTGGGAAACGACAGCAGTATATTGCTAGTTCAATGGAGACCCTAGATGGAGCGAGAGGCGTTAGACAGAGGGGGCTTTGATGTAGAATTCATTTAGTCTTTCCACAGGCTTAAGGACAGAGTCGTAGAGTGAATTGTGATCGCCTTTTTCGTCCAATTCTCGGCGATCTCTTTGCTACGCGTAGATAAGTTTGTCGACGCTGCCACTCCCCCCCTGTTTGAGGACTGCCTCCAAGAAGATAGCTCTACAAAACTCGCAGCTCAAGCAAGACGCAAGTTCTGCATAAGTTCGGTGATGCTAGTCCCTAGTACTACTCTTAATTGTGCCCCTTTGAAGCTCATCGAAATCGATATTCTCACAGACATCACGCAGCATCTTTTGAAAAGCTAGATCCCGCCATGAAAAGCACCGTGAGTCGATTATAGACCTATTAGAACCCATTTTCGCAGAGGAATGTTAAAGCATCTGCTTCCGCCCAACTACAAACTACAAGAAGCACATGTGCCAGGCATTGTCGGAATGTCGAAGCTTTCCGATGTCCGCGTTCGAAGCTTGTGGCACGGCACGGATCTAAGTCTCGTTCCGTTGGAGAGTTGATGCCGAAGCGCGCAATGGGTAAGATGTATACAAAGAAAGGATCCCCTCCAACATATCTCAAGCTTCCTTGAATGCATCGCATCCGACCAGCAACTACATACATCAGCGGAATTCGTCCCCTGCAATCGCACCTATCGGGGTCTTGGTTCGCCACCTCTCACACAATGGCAAAAGCCTCCAGTGCTGCTTCAATCCCTGAGACGTGTGCACCAGATGCCGCTCCTGCCTCCAATGCCTCGAGCATGACAGCAGCAGAGAGACGGGTCTACAGTCGCATGGCAGACACGATGTCTTACTACCACAACCACTTCAAATCAACATGGAAGACGCTCTACACTGCTTGTGAGAAGAATAAACGCCCCGCTGGTATGAGTATCAAGCAGTATCTGAACACTGCCTGCGAATTCGTCCACCATCTGGAGATGCACCATTCGATTGAGGAGAGGCACATCTTCCCGCTTCTTGCCCAGCGCATGCCGGTTTTCCAACGGGAGATGGAATTGTTGGAGCAGCACAAGCGAATACACAAGGGCATCGACGCTTTAGAAAAGTATGTCAATGCTTGTAAAGCTGGCGAAAGGGAGCTGAGGCTGGAGGAGATGAAGGACGTGCTTGACGGCTTTCGGGAAGTGCTCTGGCAGCATCTTGATGAGGAGGTCAGAAACCTGGGTGCGGACAACATGAAGAAGTACTGGACTATCCAAGAGATGGAGAGAATGCCTATGTGAGGATTTGCTGGCCTCCTCGCCCCATGAGTTTAGAGGCGGCCTTTACTATCTAGGTTCATTGCCCTGTCGAGGTCAGAAAGAAAAGCAACATGAGTCGACCGCCCTTTCATCAAATGACCGCCAGGCGCCAAAGCTCGCGAAACCGATTTGCCATAAGGAGATGAGCACAGATGACCAAACGAATGAGAGAAACTCGGTGTTCGAGGCACAGAATGCTGAGATTCTTGTTATCTTACAGTAGAGCCTGAATAACATATGTTACAGAATGAGGCGAGTATATTTTGGTGAAGGGCGTCAATTACTACCTCATCCAAATACCTAAATGCTGATCATCCGTCGGTTCGAGAGGAGAAATATCTAGCTGTAAAGAACTTATTGGGTTTCACACAGGCCGAGAGCGAAAGGCGGAGTAAACTGTCTTCCTTGGTCTCAAAGACTGTAGACTAAAGACCAGCTCCGGCACTATGATTGTCATGCTCACCTCAGATCACTCAAGGGCGGCAAATGAAGGCTGGATGTGGCGGTAACCTCATGCGCTGCCGTTTAGGATCAGGAATCCTTAGGTAAAGAAGGATGCCCAACTGAGGTAAGCGAAAGTCTGGTCACTAAGCCTCGTGGACGGACCAGTACGAAGTCTTGCGAGTCCGTGATTGCGACGGAGAAAAGTGGCATTATATGTTGAAGTGATCAATCTTTTTGCACTGTCTAGTTGATGATCATCTGTACCTCGCCATCCAGGTCGTCTGCTGCTTATGAAACTCCTTCTGAAATTTGAGTCGATCTTGTCCAATGTTCCTCTTACCCCAGGAGTCCTCTGCGAAAATGCTTTTCAGGTAAGGAAAGTAAAAGCTGGGTCTAAATAGATCTGCGAGGAACAGTTCCTGCATGTTCTTCGTCATGACGTTTCCAGCGATAGTACAGGTTTCGAGGCTGGCAGGCATCAAATCTACAAAACGTTGCATCTTTCCCTTGTTGATCAACATATCGGCGTCCACGGTAACATGCTTGAGAGCGCTGAACTGCCGCAATGATCCCATGTAACGGGAGCTGCCTGAACCGGTGGAGAGCTCCAGCGTCTCCAGCGTTGAATGGGCGTTCTTCAGAAGGGCGCCTACGGCATGCAGACCCCAGTTGGCGCGGTGAAAAACGTAACGAAAGTGCTTCAGATTGCGTAACGCTTTCATCAAGGATTCGAGACCCTCGACAGACATGCCACAGGACTCAAGCGAGATATAAGTGATGCTGTTACTCGCTCCAGGATATGAAAGCCATCCGTCACGATAGCATTCGCGGTACATACCGGTGAGACTCTTTCGTCCTTCTTAGCTGTTGTCTCTAGGTGAACCTAGGGCCCCAGGTCTAACGTACCTTGCCATGCATTTTCTCTATTCCAGGTATAGCAGCGAAGAGCGGAAACATCTCTAGGTCACTGTTATTTGGCTGCGCCCGTTCCTCAACGCGTACTGTTCTGAGATTCGGAAGAGTCTGCCTAGAAGGCCATTCTCTCCTAATAGCTCGAACCATATCCTTCACTTGCTCCATCTTTTCCCCATCCATCTCTATTGTAAACCGCTCTAAGCTGGGTAATGTGGCTAGCAACAGAGCGAAGAGGTAGTCCTCATCTCCATAGTCTATAGCTCTGACCCAGACATGCATCTCTTGAGAAGGAATCAAACCCGTAGACTGGATAGTACTTTCCAATTGCTCCGTCGTCACAGTGTCCCTTGCGGCCTTGAACTCCTGTATGAGGTTGACATGCTTCTTTGTCTTTGCTCTATCCAAAGTCCTCAGATGCTTGCTTGTGACCACCTCCAGGCTGCGGGGGTACAACGCCACCCAAGGTCTTCTGCATATCTCGAAGAACACTTTCCCTGCCCCGGCGTTGTTGACATGGAGCTTGGTGAACTCTCTGAGGTGCTTGCGGTGCTCTTTGATGAGAGGCGTCGCCACCAGTCGGACGCGACGACACGCGCGGCCTATGTCCTCGATATCGTCGGGGGCTGACTGACTAATGATTTCCAAAATCTGGAAGAGGAGTTCGCTGGGCAAAGCAGCAAGAGACATGCTTGCAGCAAGGCTTGGCGAAAGATGTCTTGGAGAGGAGGGAGAAAGCTTGGGGAGACATGAAGAAGGCTTTGTCTTGATGATTTATCAGAAGCTTCCCCTTGGACTTTGCCCCCTCCTCCAGTCATCGTCGGTCTTCTCCCGAGGCGTCATGCAATGGTTGCATGCTAGACATCCAAGTGCGGGGCTCCTGCTTGGCACTCCTTTTCGCCCGCCGTTCGGTCCATTCCCCGGGGATGCAAGCCTAAGGTCCGCCTAAGACGGGCCCGACTTAGGGGCTCGACCCTGCAGGAGAGCAGGCCCCACAGATTTAGCAAAGAAAATCGCCTTTTTCAAAAAACATGAAGATTTATTTGCCCAAAGAAAGTATCCTTCATGTTTCCACGTAAAGCACCGTGAAAGACTTTCAGAACCCTGTGCGTTCACCATGCCGTACCCTCAAACTCTTGAGGCCAAGCCGAAGATCATCTTCTTCACCGACTTCGATGGAACGATAACGCTCAAGGATAGTGAGTAGGGGCCAAGTCTGGTTGACCCACAATCGCCGCTGATCTCTGAGCAAAGGCAATGACTGGCTCGTATTTCTGCAACCTTCCCAAAACAGAAACATGCCGCTCACTCTTTCGACAGACAGACAATCTGGGCTATGGGGAGAAGAAAGTGAAACCGCCCATTGCTGTGAGCGGAGGAATGATTAGAGCTTATGCGTTGTTAGAGAAAACAAGGCAATCAGGACACCTTACATGGCAAGATAACCTTTCGGTACAAACCCTCAATGGAATGGCAACATGTGCTTCGATTGGACAACTGATCGAAACGTAGAGATTCCTTCCAGGGAATGATGGACTCTGTGACCACGCCATTTCCCGAATGCATTCGCCTCCTATGTGAAAACATAAAATTGGATCCGCACTTCAGCCATTTCTACAAATGGTCACGAGAGGCAGGTGTGCCAGTCATTGTACTTAGCAGTGGTATGACACCCATCATCCGTGCTCTGCTCGTGCACCTCGTAGGCCCAGAGGCACATGATATCGAGATTGTGAGCAACGAATGTATCGACAGGCCCCCAAAGAAGACATCAGAGGAAGGAGGATGGCAGATAAAGTTCCATGATGATAGCGATTTCGGACATGACAAAAGTTTGACTATCCGACCGTACGCGAAGCATTTCGATGAGCATTCCGAAGAGCACAGGCCGGTGATGTTGTACGCAGGCGATGGTGAGTCTGCAAAAACCATTCGGAATCATTGCTATGGACTCAATGGCTGATAACACTATTTCAGGCGTATCTGATCTGTCAGCTGCAAGGGAAACCGACCTACTGTTCGCCAAGAAAGGCTATGACCTGGTCACCTATTGCGTGAGGGAAGGCATACCATTCACTGAGTTTGAAGATTGGAAATCGATCTTAGCCACGACTCAAGCCATCTATGAGGGTCAGACCACTGTCAAGGATGTAGCAGCAGAAAGCGCGGACAAAGTCAGGCAAGGCAAGAACTGAACAATACAGCATCGTTGGATAATAGACTTGTAGAGCCAGCGCGCGCTAGAAATTGAGATTCAGAGTAACGCTGTCCCTTCAAGCTTGTGTGAGAAGTTTTAGTCAACATCATCCAATTCTATTGAAAAAGTAAACAAAGATGTTATGACACTTGAAGAAAAGGCCCCCTTTCACAAGCGCGCCAAGCGCCCTCGCAAACGTGACGACTTCAGGTCATTACTTCGCCCTCCACTGCTCGCGGGGCCATCATTGATTCTCCTCATGGCCGCTCCAAGGATACCACAGGCCTTCCTCCCCTTCCTCGCCCCATCACTCTTCTTCCCCCGCTTAGCAACCATCGCCGCTCGCCACCACGTTCTCCACCCCTCCACCCGCCAGTCTCACAATCCCTTCTCTACCACCCCCTGCCCCCGCACAACTCTAAACCAAGTCCTTCGCTCGCCTCGTAAACCTCAACGTGCTCGTCAAAAGACCTCACCAGCCCTCTACAAACGCCCGCACATGAAAGGTGTATGCCTCCGGGTAACCGTCGTCAAGCCCAAAAAGCCGAATTCCGCCGAAAGAAAGGTGGCAAAGGTCAGGCTGTCAAGTGGGCGGCAGGTACAGGCCTACATACCGGGAGAGGGCCATAATGCGCAGCAGCATAGTGTGGTACTGGTGAGGGGGGTAGGAGTCAGGATTGCCCGGGTGTGAGGTATCATTTGGTTAGGGGGGCCATGGATTTGGTAGGTCTACTTTCCCTTTGATCGAGTGTTGTCGGCTAGTTTGACAAACGATTTGGTGCCTTTCTTTGGGATCTCGAGCTAATACATGCATTCGCATAGGGAGGCGTCCCTAGCAGGATTACGTCGAGGTCAAAATACGGGACGAAGAAACCGAAGACCGGCCAGTGATGGAATCAGTGCGGTGAAGAGGGAATGGTCTGACAGTGATCAAGTGCAGGGGGATAGGCTTGAACAACTGAGGTCTCTGAGGAATGTCGCGTAACATATATTGTGAACATGGTTGGTATTGGCAATAAGCTCCTAATTTATGCGCCACCTAGCCTGGTACTACATTGCCACAGGTATCTTGTACTCCCAAGGCGTGTCATCAAAGGCATACCTTACCTTCAGAGGTCATCTGGCTCCTATGTATATACATATTCCCATCGCATGCTTTCGTTATGTGCAATGTAATAAGCAACGTAAAATTCTACAAGCTCAAGCGCTAAAGGGGTATCATCTCTCAACCTTGCAGCTCCCTCCCTCTTTCCAGCTCTTGTATTTCCTTTTCTTTACTAATCAGAAGTTCTCTCATCTGATCAGCTTCTCTTTTCAAACGTGCCATCTTATCTGCATAATCTGGCCCTCGCGTCGGACTACCGAAGCCTTGACTCGATGAATCGTGTCTTTGAAGCTGTGCCTGATTTTGAGAGCCATTCGCTGGTTGCTGTGACGGTGGTGGGATAAGTGTCGGATGTCTATGTTGTTGAAGATGTGGTGGTAAGTGTGAGAGGTGCGGATCTATCGCATAATCCTCAACAGCACTGACGTGCTGAGGCGTATTAAGGATTTGTGATATCGAGGAGAGGCGTGGCCTGTTGGGATCATCCATTGATCCTGCGAGAGTGGACCCAGCAAGCGTAGAAGGAGATGACTGCTCCGTATTCGAGTGCGACCGTTTGCGAGATATTGTCATGGGGGAGAGACGAGAACCTACCTCGCTTTCTGCAGTGCGTGTCCATGGCTCGGGGTCCAGACTTGATACTGGAGGTAATTGCTGTTGTGACTTTTGAGGGAGGCTTGGAGAGGCCTTTTCCACACCTTTCTGGAGTTGATAGCCGGTAAAATCGACCCCGAGGTCCCTGGACCTCTGTTGCTGAGGGTTAGGGGTAAGAGTAGGGGGTGGGTATGGCATACGTTGGTCACTTCGTGCACTCGTATTTTCATAAAGGTGTGGGTGCGATCGGGGATCAAGGGGACTACCGTCCATGACTGATCCCATCCGGGATCTTATCTGGCCTTGTGTATCAAGGGGATGAGGCTGGGGGAGGGAGAGATAGCAAAGGAGTTCTGATGCATATGACCTGCATCAATTTCGTTGGCAGCGGGAACAACCCTTTTTCTTCTTTTTATAACCGATTTCTTCATCGCGACGGGACGATGGACGCCATGAAGCTTGTGATACAATCCTGATTCTCCAGTCAGACATGCAAACCATGTAGAAACTGTCGAGTGGACTTACCACACGCATTGCAAATTGTTCGACCTCCTTCATCGCGCCGCCACAGTGGTGTGATTGTAGTCCCACAGTTTTGGCAAGATAAGACCATGCTTGTAGTTCCATGGCCAACGACCGCAGGTTCTGAAATTGATGGCCTTGGGCTATTTCCTTCCTGAGGCGTATGCCAGCTGTAGACATCCTCACTGCGAAGGCTCTCGTGCTGAGGTGTTCCTCCGTGTACGTGAGGCATATGCATCTGGGCCTGTTTTGCGACTCGGTTATTGTATGCTGGACAGCCGTGGCATCCATCGGCACCGCCTGTTCCATTGCAATGACCACCACCAGGACATGTGCCCCGAGGGGCATGACTCGCTGCCACATAAGTAGACTTGTTTTGTGCGTCCGATGAGCGCGGTGAGTGACTTCGCCGACTCTGATCCTGTGCGTCGGCTTCTGACACAGAAGAAGAATGGGGCCGCTTGAGATTCGTGGGTCGAGACGTGTTCCGTGCCTTTAGATAGAGCCCACAAGCATTGCAGATTGTAGACCCATTGGGAGCTCGACGCCAGAGAGGCGTTTGATCAGTCCCGCAATTACTGTTGCGAAGCGGGATTAGCCAAGCGTCCAGACAAATCGACCTGAGGCCACTTGAGTACACTCACCTGCAGTGTTGCCCATTCGCTGGGGAATAATTTAGAGGACTGTACTGCTTCTCGTTGGGACGATCTTGCGAGGGAGAGCTTCTTCCATCCCGCCGGTTCGTCTCTTCATCGCGCCGATTGCCGTCATTGTAATCATTCCCTATATTCACTTCTATTGAAACAGAGGCCGATGGCTGGACCTGACCTTCTCTGTCGCCTTTGCCGGAGGATACGCTGCCCTTGGGTTGCTCTTCGCCGTCTCTGGCGGATGAGCTCCGCTTTCGATTTTCCGACATTGCCTGATCGCGAAGGGGCGGCGCAACTGTGGCGGGAGAGAAAGAAGGCCGCGGAGTATTTGTACTTTGCGTCAGTGACATCTTGGTCGGTTAGACGAAGCGTTTCCGGTTACTTGCGCATGTTGGAACGCACTGCGATTAGCGGCCGGGATGGGTTCTCTGCTGTCGACCAGTGTTTAAACGGGCCAATGCAGGCGATGACATTCGACAACGATATCAATAGGTGACTTTCAAGGTTTCAACAGGCTCGCGGGTAATGTTGAAGGAGGAACACCGTCTGCTTAGAGTGGTAGATTGTGTGTGCGTTGTATATGAGCTTTCTCCTTCGATAATTCCGGCCACGGGATGTAGAGACGGTCTTATTGATCAACACTACTGTGTTCTGCACTGGATCAGATAGCTTCGTCGGTAAATTTGTATGGACGACTTTGCCATATGGGCAACGGTCACCTAATGCGGGCTGCGATTAAGTTATCAATCAGTGGTAGTTCTAGTAATTCTAGGCTTGGGTCAAAATCCGCGCTAGTCCTAACCCTCGGCTTTGCGGGGGAAGGCACAGACTAGAGGCGAAAGAATAATAATGGTCCCGACTTCGTCTTCGTTGCTTGGGAAGTTAAATGAGGCAAGGGCTATATAAGAACAGATTTGTCATTCTTTCATTTGTGAAGAAATTTTCAATCTCGCAAGAAAAAGAGGAGTGACTTTGCAGCGATCTGGCAGAAAATGGATTTGCACTAAGATACCCCAGGACGAAGAGCCCCCTGGAGCTCGACTTGGACTAAAAACCCATGTTGTTACGCCTGATGCTTGAAAAATTCACCTCCGCCCCACCTTTCGCGTTGGTGTTTGAGTGCTCATGGTCCAATGGCGAGGATCCGGGGTTATCGCGTCCCTTCATAACAAATCGTCAGTTCCAGAGTCAATTAGCCTTCGCAGCCGCAACCTTCGAGGACGGCGTAGCACCTCACTACCAAGCAACTATGAGCTCTTGGGACCGCTTGGTCTGCTCCCCACAAAATTCAACGCAGTCCGTACATAGAGCCTCACTTGTCGCACGGCTTTTTACCTAGAATGTTTCGTGCTTGAGATGATGTACCGCCGCTCGGGAGGTTTTTGTTGAAAAAGGAAATTGGAAGGGAAGAGTGGTGTAGTGATAGTGATAAAACCCATGTTGAAAATGCGTACGCCAACTTCGTGCTTCAGACATCTTCGTACAGGACGTAAGGCTTATCATGCAACAGACACTTCATTCCTACGTTGGACCGTGGGGAATGTTCAAAGCCTGAAAATCTCTGCACTTGATGCCAACAAATAACACTCTGTCCAGCCACCTCCCCTGGGTTGCGTCAGCTGTAACAGCTTCGATTGAATGATTAGTCTTTCTTCAACGTCCCAGTTGCGGTGGATCTGCAGGCCCGTCTCACGTCTGTGCGCAGCACTAGCAAATCTAGTAAAGACGGTTGACTGCTACATGATATCACATATGTGTCTTCTACACTTGCTGGTGCCCATGTAGAAGGCTGAGAAAGACAGTGGTGAAGCCGTGGCTTATGTACCCCGGATCTTAACATATTGCTAGAGCCTCACCGAGGGTTCCGGACTTTCGTCTCAGAAATTTTCTGCCAATCATTCCAACGCCATTATATTTGCTCTGCGCCCCATTCACCACCTGCATCCCGCATATTCTGAGGAGGCTCGATCGAAGGGACGTATTCTAGTACCGCATAGCCTATACCAACTGCAGCGACCGCTACTCCAGCGACTATCCCAATAACAGGCTACCAAGTGAAACAAGTCAGTCTTCATTTCATCCCATTCAAGAACCACAAGGTCCAGACATACTTGGTGAAGTGTTATGCTGCCGGCGAACGTGTAAACTAAGCATCACCAATTAGACTATTGAATGAATTCATCTGGATTCGTAGTGACCCACAGATGCCACGGCCAAGAAAGCTGAAGAGGAAGGGTGCCCATCGAGACATGTACGAAGGTATCTGGAACTCAAGCAATATCGTGGCTTTGCACGATAGAGTCAGCTTGCGTAAGTTGAATCGAATGAGGAGCTGTGCTTCCGTACCAGCACCGAATATGACCAGATAGATGCCCAGGATGATCAATTGACTGTGGCCACGGTAAGAATGATTCTCTCTTGAGTAGAATGTACACCGCATAGAATGGGCGCATCGGATCGTCATACAAGGTAGCATTGAAAAATTGAGCTATACCGCCCAATATCAATAGGCCACCCACAGCCAGATTGACTAGTCGACTATCCAAAGGTAGAAAATTAGCAAAAGGCGCTGCGAAAGAGGTCGCAATCACGAGCGCAAGCGTAAACAGGCTGGAGGCGTACAAAATGTTTGAGTAGTCCATCGCGCGTTGAGCTCAGATGTCCAGTAGGCAGAGCAAATGTAGCGTGGTATTGCGAACGCTTTCTGATAAAGAGGACTATTCGGGTCCCTTGTTCTGGGATTGAATTGGTCGTGAACGCGTCGAGGAAATCGATGGAGGTTGAAGCCTTGCGCCTGGGCGGTTTCACCAGCTAGAATAGAAGAGATGCCTTAGGGACCGGACAAAACTAGCTGAAAGTCACCCTGCATTAATGCCAAGCCGAAATTAGGGGGCTGACTTGGGAAGTTGGGAGGATTCGGTTCGGCAAGTAGCATTTCCAAGTCCATTTAATATCTCGTATCTTGTGTCTATCTTCTGTTCTACTTCTGAGGTGTGACTTGTCTGTCACAACTCACAACCTGGCTCTCGTAGCTAACGCCTCCTCAACCAGCTTGAGCGTATGCATCGCGCATCCGTAGCTTGCCTGATAGCCCCAACCTCCGTGGCCATAGTTGTGCACAATCCAATATCCGTTCATTCTCTCCTTCTCCAGTCGTGCGCCCAGAGTCCTCACGGGCCTCAAGCCAACGCCTTGCCGTACGATATCCAGGGCCTCAATGCCTTTACCTTTGGTAAGAGAAGGACACACCTCGATCGCACGCTTCATGATGCGAATCGCTAAATTGGGATCTAATTGTGACTCCCAATTGCCTTTTTGGTAGCTACCACCGAGCAGGGTGCCTCCACCTAGAATGATCAATTTTAAGCAAGTATTGATCAGTCTGTGTTCATGCACTTACCGGCTGCCCTTTGCATGACATAGATCACTTCCTCGTCCCCAGTCTCAATCCCAAGAACATCAGCCATGACGCCTGGTTCGTTGCGGACCAAGACTGTCTGTCCCCGAGCTGGAATCATGTTTTCATCCCTGACTCCACCAAGATTCCTTGCAGAGAGGCCGGTGCAATTGACCACAACATCTGCGAACCCGCCCAAATGGTGGGCTTGTCTGGCATCTGCAATATGATTGAAGACTGCTCTATTGAATATCACACCATTTTTGAGGCATTGCGATGTCAACCATGGTAGGTACAGAGAGGTATTGATGCACCTGACGATAATCTATTACTTGGGTATCATGCAGCCCTCAGACACAAAAATCAATGAGAAAGGAGACCTCATGGCCAATAAATCGGGTTGCATAAGTTTAGAAATGAACCAGGGCTAGAGCAAAATACTGGGTCGATGCTTACACTGAAGTAAAGGCATTTCCTCTATCAATTCCGGGTGGAAGCTCTTCTTTCGAAAGGGTGCGATACTTTACTCTTCTAATCAGCATATTTGGAGATAGGATAGGAGACACCCTCACATTTGGTACAATGCACTTATACCATGACTCTCCCTGGAATTTGGCATCCGTTCTACTGTTCTTGCCGGCGACGACGCCTTCGGAACGAATGTAGCGAGCAGTGTCTGGTTTCATTGAGTCAAAATACTTTGGCCAGAAGATGTGTTGTCCTGACTTTGGAAGTGAACTCCGGACTCTGGATGGTCTCTGGCCAGCCTCATGAGCTCTGGCCATGTGTCTCTCTCCCAAGCCGCTGCGTCGGTGCCGTCGGTTCCAACGCTACATAGCTTCAACAACATCTGTGTTGTGAATCAGGCATTTCTTACGGTAAGTAGTTCGCTCCAGCCCATGGCGAAGCGTATTCGATGTCGTAATCTCCAGGCATATGTTTCGCGGCTACAGTAATCTTGTGATTGGCATGCTTGGAAAGTAGAAGAGCAGTGGTCAACCCGGCGACGCCAGCTCTGTCAGGCGTATAATCGTTAGCTTTGATCGGTCGAGAACCGATCATTGGCATACCCAACCACTACTATGTGGGATTCAGACATCTTTCTGTATAGAGTATGACTCTACCTGGGTGCCAACAAGAAAATACGAAAGCTGCTTCAAGTGGAATTAAAAAAAAACCGTGATCGCGAACGGAATGAGAAAAGTATCTGTCTCTCTACATCAATTAAAGACTGCAAAAGTTCTAGACATTGACGATTTATGAAATGAACCCGCTTAAGACCGGACCCTTTACCCTGTGCACTAGCAACGGCGAGCAACAATACCTCTTGCCTCAATCAGCCTTTCACAGGTTGATACAAGAAGCGCATAACTTTCGAATACGCGACAATTTGTCAGCTAGCCCCCATAGAGCCTGGATTGTTTACTTCGGAGACGCAATACTGCCGTCGAGTAGCAGTAAACCGACCAACAACCCCAAGGCCTTGGTAGCGGCTCGGTTCCGCGGGCGATCTTGGCAGGGCCGGTCGTCTTCTCGGATCATCTAAGTCGAAGGTTCCTAGGTTCGATGTCCTTGCCAGGCCTCCATGTTCCTACTCCGATTCAAGTGGAGATAGCCTCATCCATCCAAGACCTCAAAGAACGTTGCGAGTGGCGCTTCGAGGTCGATTATAATAGAAGCGTCCGAGTCAAGGCACGTATGATGGACCTACGATTTGTGTAACAAATCAGCTGACTGCAATACTTCTTCAGCTACTCTCGGGCACTGCAGAGATCTTTGGCACCGAATTGGCTATCCAACAAGTCTATTCTTTCACTGGCACCAAAGCAGCGATCTATACATGGCATGGCTGTCGAATCGAGGTTACAGGTGAATGTTCAGTCGAGTACATCGCGGAGGAGACGCCTGTCACGAGTTATGCCAATCTCCACTTTGCTCTTGAGTGTCTCCGGGATGAAGCCATATCGTCAAGGAAGGAAGGACCGCGAGTGCTCATTGTGGGACCTGATAATGCTGGAAAGACAAGCTTAGTGAAGCTGTTGACATCTTACGCTACTAGATCTGGACGACAGCCATTGGTAGTGAATCTCGATCCTAAAGAGGGCTTATTAACCATTCCTGGGACACTGTCTGCTACCACCTTCACCTCTGTCTTGGATGTCGAAGAAGGCTGGGGAAGCAGTCCCACTAATGGCCCCACTCCTGTTCCGGTCAAGCTACCGCTGGTGTATCTTCCCGGAATGGAAAATTTGGAAGACAATGCAGCTGTGACAAAACCAATCATCTCAAGACTGGCTCTTACTGTGATGAATAGGCTACAGGATGACTTTGAAGCGAGACAAGCCGGATGTATTATCGATACCGCGGGGGCACTAGGTGCTGGAAAGGAAAATTACGATGTTCTGCAGCACGTTGTCTCAGAATTTCAAAGTGAGCTTCATGCACCTGAAACATTAGTGTCAAAGCTGAAAACAGTGCCAGCCAACATCATTGTCGTACTTGGGTCCGAGAGGCTTTACAGCGATCTCCTCCGCCGTAACAACGGACAAAACACCAGTGGCGGAGATCCGACAGTAGTAATCAAGCTCGACAAATCTGGTGGTGCTGTTGATCGAGACGAGAGCTTTCGTCAACATTGGAGGCAAGCGCAGATTCGAGAATACTATTTCGGCGATGCAAAGAATACACTCAGCCCGCATACACTGCAAGTCGATTTCTCTCAATTAAGTATCTACAGATTGAAAGCTTCGGCAAACGATAACAATGACTCATTCCTACCTGGAGACTATGAAGCAGACGGATTTGACTCGACATTAATATTTGATAAAGTCACATCCCCGACCGCACAGATGCAAAACGCCATACTCGCCATCACCTACGCCGAACCAAATGAGAACCATGATGCAATCCGTGACGCTAGTGTCATTGGCTTTGTGTATGTTGCGGAGGTCGACGATATAAAGAAAAAAGTCAAGTTACTTACCCCTTTGAGTGGTAGGTTGCCGAATAAAGCTATAATATGGGCAGGATGGCCAGAGGGCAATGAAAGTCTTGTAGGATAATAAGGCTATCGTCTTTGGACTTACAAAGATACTCCTGCTAGTCATTTGACTAACTCGCAATGCTTGGCTTCTGACCGTTCCAGGTTGCTCCGGAGAGCTACAATCGCTTAAGGACGTGGGTTCCTTTGTTAAGGATCGAGAGCCGCCTATTCAAGACATCGTCGTCGCGTGGGGTCTTGCTATGCTATGACTCCTCATATCGGCAACCAGGTTAATTCAATGCTTTCTCTCAGTGAGGAATGCGCTAGCACACTGCTAGGCGAAACCGAAAGTTGCTTGAGCGAAAGGCAACCTTATGCGATGAAGTTTCCGTTCTTCGAGAGCTTTGCTATCCTGATCACTTGCTCACAAGAAGTCTAGCTAAAGGTGCTTGTACCAATCTCTGGTGGCATCAGAAAACGTCGTATACTTGACACCAGCTGCTGACAAGTGGTTCCAATCCACCCGAACAAATTTGGTTTTCTTTCACGACATGCTTCTAGTAACGTCGCCGCCATGGAAAAATGGCCCTTGTCCTTGTTGGCTGTTTGCAAAACATCGCGAATGGTTGAACGCAGAGGCTTGTTCTATTTGCTTCATTGCCTACGATTTCTTTGCCAAAGATTGCAAAGTGAAGCAGATTCCTTTCAAAAGTGCTTGGTTTGCTTGATGTGCTTTCTGAAAGCGGCTGCAAACAAAGGAAACATGTTTTTTGCCCTGCGATAAACTTGGCTCTTTTTCAAATCTTTGTGAAGCTCAGATTGACGAAAACGGCAGAGAGAACAAACAACTTCTTCGCAGTCTTCATAAGACCTCGCATTCTGGATATGGCTTCTCAGTGCGACAGGTTTTCCTCCATCATCTTCTTAGACTATCTTGCAAAATGGGTGCTAAGGATCGTCCGCGGCGAGCTGAACATAAAAGAGATTTCTTCCATGATCACGAGGAGTTCCGCCCGAGACCCAGAACGCGACCAACCCCCCCCGCAGACCACCACCACCACCACCTAATCCCGCCCCGCCTCGACCGCCACCAAGAGGTAGTGGTAGTGGTAGAGGTGGACCCAGAAAACCAAATAACAAGACAGCTGGTGGCAAGGTGACTAAGCCTGAGCCGAAACCGAGGCGAGGCCAAGCCCCAAAGCCAACGACAAAGAAGCCAGCCACAGGCCCCAGCAAAGGCAAGGGAAAACAACCAACAAAGAAGAAGACTAAGGATACGCAACCGCAGGATGACGAGGAAACCAATGATGAAGAGGAAGAGGAGAGCGACGAGGATGAAGATGAAGACGTAGAAGGTGAAGGCGAAGGTGAAGACGGCCATCACGATGATGAACACGAAGATGACGAAGACGACGGACAAGGAGGCCAAGGAGGCCAGGGAGGTTCCTCAGGTGGAGACCGTCAACCACGGCGCAGTAGTAGCTGGGGGGCAGGGGGTGGGCGAGCGGCGGGTCCAAGTCCAGAATCATCGCTAGAGCGAAAGAATGAGGAGACGCGTAAGAAGAATGAATCGAAAGCCGTGGCAGCGTCAAATTGACAAGGTAGCTCGGAGAACAGGGAAGGGGGGTACGGGTGTCATAGACGGTGATCTCTTGTCTTTTCTCGGGTCGGTAGTTCTTGTTTGGGTTTTCTTTACTTGTTTAGCTTTATGAATTTCGAGAGATTTCTGTTTATTGTCTCAATGATGGGGAGGAGACCCTCCGTTTGCTCACGCATGCGCTCGTTCAATTCACCTTTGAACAAGCCTTTCTTCTTCACCCTCATCACCGCTCTCACTTTCCGTTTCGTATTCATCTGCGCTCTCTTCTTCCGTCTCGGTCTCACCCTCGCTGCTTCCATCTTCTGTTTCACTCTCCTCGTTCAACCATTCATCTAGTGATTTATCCTTCGCCGCCGCCGCGGCGAGCTTCCCCAACCCCTTCTCTTTCACAGCCCGATCTAGCTCTGTGGCAGCAGGTATATCTCGCTGGCTGCTGAAGGTCGTCTTGCCAGTCCCTGCGTCTCCAGCCGGCTCCTCACGCAGCTGGGGGTCAGGCTCTTCTCCTTCTTTGACCCATTCTGGAAGGTCTTCGTATCCATTCATGTCGGTATTGCCAATGACGAGACTGCTAGAGCCGATTTGTAGGCCTGCGCGATTCTCAGAGGGCGATGGCTCGTAGGGTACAGGTTTAGGAGCCAGCAGGAGCAGTGTGGCCAACTGAGTGGACTCAGTATTGGCAAGGAGGGCCATATACATGCGTGCTCGGTCTCGCAGATCATAGGAGGTATCGTAGCGGGTGAGACGAACTATATAATGCCACAATTTCGGTATCGGATGATCATCCTGCTCTGCGGTTGACTGTGCTTCGTTTATCCATGCATTGGCCATATCATCTTTCGGCACGGACTCTTTGATAGGCGAAGAGTCCTCTGTTGATTCTTGTGCTGAGTCATTGGTGCGGTCAAACGTAGATCTGATTAAGTAGTGAAGATAGACTTTCGCAGCTAGCAGCACAATTTGCATTTTCGCATCCTCAGCTTCGTTTGCAAAGTCTTTGGCCAAAATGCGTAGAACGTCTGGAGCAATGTTCTCTTTTTCGGGGAGTCCTGCATTTTCGCCGACAAGCCAGATAATCGTTGCGCGGGCTCGTGGGTTCGTAATTATATCAAGGTTTTTTGCTAGGCGGATCACAGTCTTGACGTGAGCCTGAGGTTCTTGCTGAATAAGGTGGCGTATGACGTTCAGAGACTCGGCGACAAGATTACCGTCTCGACTCGAAAGCTGAAGTAGAAGCAAGTGTAGACATCGCGTTGAAGCTGCTTTATCATTTCGAGCACATCGACCGATGGCCCTGACGCTTTCTTGAACAACTTCAGCGTCACTTGACCTTGTAAAATGCTCAAACTCGCTCAATATAAGTTCCCTTGTTTGTCTTTCACATAGAGGAAAGATGAGCGTCAGGACCTCGAACTTCAATCGTACCAAGTCGAGTACGTCCGTCGTGTGTATCAAAAAGTGAGAAGCATAGCGGACGAAAGACTGGGCTCGAACAAGGCAAAAGGCTACAATGTTATACATTGCAACTAGCTGTATATCACGCGGACTTCGGAGCAAAGCAATTAGTGGTCCGATAGTGGCATCAAGATCCTCTGGTGTGCCTAGATAGAGTAGACATCTAGCGGCTGCCACGATGACAGCCGAGTTGCGACTGGATAGAAGCGGCTTGCATGCTTTGATCAATAGCTCCAAATCAGGATCAAGTACCCTGTATTCCTCCCACAAAGAAGTATCCTCGGCTTCTCCCTCAGCCTCGGCGTTGCCCTCATCTTCATAGAAACCCTGAGACTCCTTTGTTTTTCGTCGTCTTGTCTTTTTCGGAAAGCATCGTCGCGCGTAGGAAGTCAGCAAGCGTAGTGTCGCCAATTGGCCCCATTCATCCATGTCCACAAGCTTGTGCACGAGCGGCCGATAGTGCTTGTGAATCAAATCTATTCTTTCAGGGCAAAGCTCCAGGAAGGCGGTGACAGCAGGACCTACAACATAATATTGTCGATCACCAAGCAAGACAGAAAGATAGTCCAGAAGCTGTGGTAGTGTGCTTGGGTCTAACTTGTAGCATTTTGGGATGGCTAAGGCGGCCGCTTTGCGAACGTACGGACTCATATCGGCTATTCCGCGTTTGATAGCTAGCGACACAATCTGACTGATGACCGGTACTCTGATGCCAGAGATAACACGTAGGGCTAAAGAGCGCAACTGAGGGTTTTGGTCGGACAGAGACTTGTGAATGGTGTTGATAGACAGCAGTGCTAGATCAGGTTCCGATTCGGCGTGATGCAACAAGTAGATGTATACGAGCTTTTTGATCTCTAAGTTTGGACTCGCAACATTTTTAACAACAGCAGAGAAGAAAGGCAAGCAGGATCTCGAGCGGTACATCATCTAGGCTGATCAGAAACAGGCTTAGGAGATGCTGCAATACATCTTCAACCTACACTTATGACTGTTCTCAGACCTTCTAGGACTTCTCTGTCACTCCGGCTGCCCAGCAACTTGCTGACTTGAGCGGATGATAAGTCTCTCTGAGAGGGTCGCGAATTGATCGTTCTACCAGAGCCTATCGATGATGCTGCATCAACGGTCAAATCGCGAGCTAGGCAGGAAACGTCAATCCTAGATCCCTCATTAGGATAGCTATCTGGCACCTACTTGACTCGAGTAGCGCTGAAATTCGCGAGACCGACTCCATGGTTGCGAGGGAGTCTGCTAGGCGATCACTGTCTGGCACTCCATTGATATTCATTGAAGGGACAATCGCTATGTTTGATTGGCTAATTTGTTCACGTAATCAGCCTTGGCAGAGAAGACTACCTCAACGTACTTCTGGCTCATCCTGGAAAAGGAAGATTCAGAAACAATGAACGATTCTTGAAATTGAAGATAGCTTCTTTCTACTTGTACGCGATACTTCAAATAGGAGAGGTGGATGCGACAGAGACAATGTCGTAAACAGGATGTCAACCCTCCAGTCCAGGACCGCACTCCCACGCTGTTGAAACAAGCATGCAGAATGATTTCCCCCAATTCTCGCGCCAGTTGCTTTAAATCCACTGTCTAGTGCAGATTTCACATCCTTCTTGCTCCAACATGGATGCCCTCCGACTACATTCATCATCTGTTCAACGCGCGCAGATTTTCTCTCAAATTTACAAGCCTTGGTGGTCCGAGATCCATCTGTTAGTCTTAGCAATGATGGACAGATTGATGGAGGTGGTCCTTGTGAAGAAGGTGAAGACTCAACGCATCCACTTCTCGCGCCGACTATCCGTTTGATAGCTGCTGCACGCGCCATCAAAGTCGCCTTCGCACCAAGTCTACCACATCTCCGTGCGTACCTATCAGTGTACAGTCGGGAAATGCAGCTTTCAAGCTAGAGGATCTTCCAGTAGAGGAAGCTGAGGGAAAAGTGCCCATGCTTGCGATCTGGGGCCTAGCGTTGCTCCATCAATCAACGACGGAAGACTCAGCTCAAGGTCTTTCACGCACACTGGCTTCAGCTGTCGAGGCAGCGCATTTCGCCCGTCAAAGGCTGACGCTTGCAGAAAACCCCGTAGAGCTGGGCGCACATGATAATGAGAATTATGCGGAGTCTGGCAATGATCATTGGAGGCGCCAATTGCCGTTATTGAGTGGTAGCGTGAGAGTCGAAGGAGGTCACAGACTCCTTTCAGAGCATAGTATCGAGATTGGTGCCGTGATCGGTAAATGGTGTAGATTTGTGGAATTCTGAAGAGTAAGTACGACAGAAGTATCAAAATGCAGGATATGCACTACTGGATGACCCAGAGCTTGCTGAAGACCTAGTTGAGCCTGGGAGCGCATAGACATTGCAATTTTGGCGAAGAGCAGGGTGTATCTCACCAGCATCTTTTCATGGCGACCAGCTCCCGATCCTTTCAGGTAACAAGATTTCCAAGATTGGATAAACGCCCGGTACGACCACTTGTTCTTGAGATGTGATACCCATTATTTTCATCTAACTTTATTAATCATTGCTTTTCAGCTCCTCCAGTTGACATCTTCATTCGATTCTTGCGAGATCGTCTGCTTTTGTAAAAGATCAGCCTCTGCGAGCTTGCCCATGTCGACCAAGTGGTTAGTCAAGAGTAGCAAGGTGTTTTGAGTTGCCGGGTCGTCTAAACCCAGGACTTTCTTCCTCCCTTCATACGCTATCCGAGCTATGATCTCAGCCTCTTCGGACGTGTTGTCCTGATATTTGAGCACAGAAGCAAGGTTGTGCGTCGCCAACAATGTTATACTGTCATCTGCGCCGTGCAATTGTCTGTACATTTCTACACTCTTGCGGTAGTTTTGTTCAGATTCCACATACCGCTGTAATTGCTGCTGTACCCAAGAAAGCTGGACGAGGCTTTCTAAGATATTCTGCTGATTGGCCGAATCTTTCTCATACCTGATATTTGTCAACGTCTGAAACCAATCAGCGGCAGCCTCGAGATTTCTTGCATCCCTGTGACAAAGCGCCATGTTCCAAAGTGCCGACAAGGTAGACTCATCTCCAATGCCGAGAGTCTTGCGTCTATAGTCATATATTTGATGCCACAAGAGGGCGCCCTCATCATTTTTGCTCTGACTGGAAATGGTGTAAGCTAGATAACCAAGACACTCCATTGTTGCCCGATTTTCTAGACCAAATTCTGCTTTCCGCACTTCGAACTCCTTCCTTCGCCAGCTCTCTGCCTCCGCCCACTGCTTTTGGTCCGCAAACCCATATGCAAGACTAGCGAAAACCGCAGCTTTCTCCTTACCCGCATCTTCTCCAAGTTCGGTCGCTATCATGAGAGTTTCCACGTCTAATTGGTACGCTTCATCGTATTTGTTCTGCTTTCGGAGGGTTGTAGCAATGTTCCGACGAGTTTGAAGAGTCGAGGGATGGGAAGACCCAATAATAGTATTTTGCAGTTTCAAGATCTCTCGGAAGTCGTCTTCAGCTTCTGGGTGTCTTTCATCCTCTGAAAGTGAGCAAGCAAGATTGTGCCTACTATTGATAGTAGAAGGATGTAGATCACCATGCACTCGTCTCTCTAGCTCATATGAACGCTTGTAAAGTCGAGTCGACTCTGCTCTATCGCCCCTGAGGTTAGATAGATGGCCAAGGTTACTTAGCGTGATGAGTGTGTCTGGATGATCCTCGCCTAAAAGCTCCATTCGATCATGCAACAACGCCTTGTACATTTCTTCCGCTTCTCGTAACTTGCCGGCATCCCGGACCGTTGCAGCTAGCTCACCCCTGGTAATAAAAGTATCAGGGTGGATAAGGCCTATAGTATCTATTGATCTTGCAAGGGATTCCCGATACATCGTCTCCGCCTTCTCTAATTGATCTAGAGAATGTAGCACGCGAGCAACATTGTTAATTGCTATAAGTACGTCTTTGATAAGATCGACATCTTCAGGATCCTGATCTAATAGCTTTTGTTTCTCCGAAAGCTCCCTATTGTGGAGAAACGCCGCCTCTGTGTGACGTCCTAGATTTTGTAGAGTTGAGCCTACGGCGTTCAAACTCTCCAGAGTTTCGCGGTCGCTATATCCCAGAACCTTGATTCGGCCATCCAGCGCTTGCCTTTCGAGAGTTAAGGCCTCCTCCCAGCGACCATTCTTCTGGATTGTTAAGGCAAAATTACCTATACTCGCCAGGGTATATCGGTCATTATCGCCCGAGATCATCTTGAACAGCTCCATGCACTCCTTGGCTTTGGGCTCTGACGCAAGGGGTTGGCCTTGCCTCCGCAAGTAAGCTGATACATTGAGTAGCAATTCTGCTCGTGCAAACCTCGTCTCATGGTCGTCGTGCTCCACCTTCAAATTGAGGACCTTCTCGACATGGGGAAGGTATGAGCCACATACACCCCATGTTTCAAAGTAGCCTTGTGGGAATCTTTGCTGCAGGGTGAAAAGAGCCTTTCGCACAAAGATCTCATGTTTATTCTCAAACTCAGAAAGCCATGCATTTACTGCAACACACACAAGACTGTGGACATTGCAGGACTGGAGATCTGAATTCAACGTTACGAGTGAATATGAGTCGAGTAGGGCAAGGGCTTCCTCGAAATCAAAGTTTTGCTCGTCATCAGACATTAAAAGAGAATACGGAATTTTCTGCCGATCTAGAAAGCCCATAAGCGAGAGTAGCTCAGCCGCTCTCGGATTTTCCGACTTGATATGATTGAACGAAATCCACCAGGTAGTCACGATAGATTCGAGCTGCCGTGCTTCTCTACCATGACTGAATCTTTGACCAAGAAGTTTGATCTTCATCGACTCACTAGCATCGTACAATGTCAAGTATTCGGAAATGCGTTTCCGTCTCCTGATCATGAACGCCGTGGCATGGACGATGGCGAGTGGTAAATAGGCTAGCCTTGAGATCATATGCAATTGTTCTTCTCGGGTGCTCGTTGACTTGATTTTCGGACTGATCATCGCAAGAGCCTCCTCGACGTCCATTGATGGAATCATGATAGGATCTTGATGCAAAGATATATCCAAGGCCACGTCTCTGCTTCTAGTCGTGACAAGGTAGGAGCCTTGGGAGGTCTGAGGGAGATATTCACGCAGACTCTTACCAGCAGAAGTCAAATGCTCAAAGAATGTCGACCGATTGTCAACGTTATCAACAACCATGAGCCATTGCCGTTCGTAGTCAAACTGTAACCAATCGCACACAAGCTGCAACAGATCTACACCAGGTTCATTCCTTCGTGGGATTTTACATTCAGAAGCAATGCGTTTGTAGGATTCTAGAAATCGAGATTCGGTGCCGGCATGAACCCAGAAGATCGAGACTTCGGTCTCTTTGTAGCCCCAGACGTATTGCAGAGCGATTTGCGTTTTACTGACCAAAGGCTTGTGTCAGCTCTGATGGTTTGTCGCGAATCATTTTGTTCGGCGCTTTTTGGGTTACAAGCTGTTGGACTCACCCGACTCCTCCTAGTCCACATAAGACCGCAGTACGGGATGTCTCACTGAGTGCCAATCTCCCCTCGAGCTCGGCAATGAACGTCTCCCTTCCGACAAAATCTGGGTTACGTGCAAGTGGTACGACCCAGAGCGGCTTTTGGAAGGCACTGTAGTCTTCACTTACCTGCATTTTCAGCCGTGTCATCGTGTGTAGGTCTTCCAGGAGAGCTGTTTGTTCGCTTTGATTGGTCAATATCGCTTGCGTGTTGTTGTTTGTATGTTGTGAAGCTGTTCTGGTTTTGGCTCAGTCCCAAGAATACGTAAATGAACAGGAATTTGGTTGCTTCGCACCGTGTTTCTGCTTGCAGCTGAAGATTTAACACGCCAATTAGGCTGTCGAGTGATGCCTGGAGCTCGCGAAGTTGCTCCTCGCGCCTGAGTGAACGCCATGCTTTTCTAACTGTCTCCAATTTACCTTGACCTACACCGCTGATGGAGTCTAGCAGAGCCTCTATTTCCTCGGCTTTGTCTTGACAGCGCCGAAGACATTGGCCGTCAAACAACCCTCCGTCCAATCCGTTGAGAACCTCAAGCAACGCTGAAAGGCGATCAGCCTGGTGTGTGAGCCTATCTAGACCGCGTGTAGCCTTAGAGTACTCCCGTATACGGGCGCAAAGCTTCGCCCCAAACTCAACGAGCTGCAAAACGTTGCTTGCCAGACTCAGGGCCACTATACCCTCCAGACCAGACATTACTCTTGACCCTATATAACAGGGCGCTCACCTCATCAATGGTCTCAAACACATGTTGCGCGTAGAATGCGGTCGGTCATGCCTATGCCAACGAGGCGACCGAGCAAAGGGGCACCTCAAGGTAGCTGCCTTGGTTCTTGGCATGCTTGTCACCTTGGCGGGAAATGCCAAGGGGCTGCATACCTTATTCACCGGCAAGACCCGACGGACCGGAGAATTAAAGCTAAGCTAAACCTTTTCTAGCAGCTAGACTTCTTGGCATTGTTTACTCCTCGCAACACCGGCCACAATACTGGCGTTCTCCAACTAGTCTGCAAGATACCAGTTCCGATCACCTTCTTTCTGTACACATGGATTACAACGGCAGAATGAGTCAACAGTTTCGTTCGCAAAATCACAATGCTGGAAGAGGCAGGCAGCAGCAGCAGCAGCAACATCAACAAAATGATAGCGATGCCTTCATGCAGCTTGTGAGACGTTTGCGATCGCATAGTCGTATAAGCTAACACACAATGTAGCCAGACGCTGAAATAGCAGGATGCATCAGTGACATTGGCGTTCCTTTCACTCCTCAAGATCTGAAGAATCCGAACCCCCAACAGGTCCAGAAAGTATTCGAATGGTTTGCGGAGCTACTCATGAATGTTACGCGAGAGACAGTAGAGCCAGCTATGCGCGCTGCTGCTGAAGATGTATGTGGTGAACACTCGGAAGTCATCCCGGCAGACACCCGGAATTTGATGGGCTTCTATGTCTCATTAAGGAAGTTGATGGTAGAAGTGAGTGGATCAACAAATTGAGCATGGCTCGAATACTGACCTGATCAGTGTGGTATCTCAGACTTCTCCTTCTCCGACCTCCTGAAACCGACCTATTCTCGCTTGGTAAAGATCTTCTCGTACATCATCAATTTTGTCCGATTCCGGGAATCGCAGACTGCAGTCATTGACGAGCACTTCAATAAAGCTGAGAACACCAAAGCTCGTATAGATACCCTGTATGGAGAAAATCACGATATGGATGCTCAGCTATCAGAAATGAGGCGAGAACGCAAGACCATGGATCAGCAGGTAAAAGAAAAGACCAAGAGAAACGACGAGCTGAAACAGCGGCTGCTAGAACTCAAGAGAGGTCAAGAACGAATCGCTGAGCGTCTCGAGGGCTGCAAGGCAGAGCGTGGCCGCCTCACATCGACATTTGAGGATAGAACGCGCCGTTGTGTTGAAGTAAAGCAAGACTGCGAGAAGCTACGGCCATACGTAACTCAATCACCCGCCGCGCTAGAATCTCAACTTACAGAACTGTCCACAAACTTGGGCAGGGATCGCTCGCACATCGACACACTTGAAAAAAGGGCACGAGCACTTCAAACAAGCAACGATTCGTTCAGCGTTGTTACTAATGATGTGCATTCCTGTATTAAGGTTCTTGGGGAGGTGCAGGAAGAGCTGAAGAGAGAAGATGAAGATGGGCAGAAAGCAGCTAAGCGTCGGGATGCGCTTGGCGAACGTAGTAATAATGTCAGGGAAGTAGAACACACGGAGGCGTTGCTCCAGAAACAATTGAAAAGATGGACAGATCGAACAGAGGGCGTCAGGCAGACGAGCAAACAGAAGGCCCAGGCGGCAAAGGAGAAGATGGAGGAGCTTAGAGGCGTACACAAAACACTTACCGAAGAACGGACTGACCGGCAGAAAGAGATGGAAAGGAAGAGGGTAAAGGTTGAGCAGACGGAAAAGAAGGTACGCAGCCATCTTTTGTCATTTTCTCTGTATTGCTCAAACCCATAATACGAAAAGGGCTAACGTCGTTCCTAGATGGCTGACCTCAAGGAAAACATTGAGAATGAGGTCCATTCGGCACAGACCGAGTTTGACAAGATTGACTCTCACATAAGGCTGTATGTCACGAAGATGGAGCAGTCGATTTCTTGAAGGCCGGTCTTGCTTTATCGTTGATGTGGAGGAGTTTTTGAGGCAGCATGTCTTCTCAATTAGGGTCTGCTCTTTTCTATGTGGTGTATTGATTCACGACATGCAATTAATTACCAATATAAGGTGGCACCGGAAACTTTTGATGATGAAACGGAATCAATTCGTTGATAGTGCTAATGTTGAGGGGCCCGAACCCTGCGATATGTACTTACATTTCAGGAAACCGGCACTTTATTGATTCGGATTTGTTGCGTTGCATCAACCCTTTGACGTAAGCTTATTGTTCGGAATGACAGGAGTAAGTAAGCTTGACGACTGGTCGTCCTGACAGAACGAAAGCTCAAGACTCTTACTTAATGCATCATGCTTTGTACCATGTTTTCAGATTGAGTTGACGATGCAGAACATCGCTTTTTCCGTGGCAGCACATCCTCCGAGCCCTGGCATAAAGCACGAGAGCCCAGTGGACGCTCAGCCTGTGTCTTGAACAAAGCAGTACAATACTGCGGCTTGTCAAGAGCTAGGAACATGGCTGTCGGTTGCGCCTAGCAAGAAGACAAGATTTTATAAGCGGATTGAGTCGTGTGACGACGTCTACTGACCAACCTTTTGAACCAAGGGCCATACTTTTGCATGATGAAGGGGCTAAGAGAGTGTTTAAGTCAACGTATTACTCGTGCACTTCAAACATTGAGCAACTTCCCGTAAAGTCTTTCGAGTTGGGTCCAAATTTCAGCCCTCTGCCTTATTTTGAACCATGTTTTGGCCAGAAATGTCTCCTTCAATGAGAAGTAGCCTACGTATGATTGGAAAGTAATTGCTTTTCTAGGATGCCTACGATTTACGAGGACTTACTTTGAAGTCTGAGCTTTTTGAATACTCAAATGATGACTATGGGCGTTACGCAGATCTTCTCTACTGTTTTATACATCGTGTCGACAGTGGAACGTAGCTCGAAAAAAGTCTCAATGCAAGAGCATGCAGCTATTTCTGCAAACATCACTGATAGAAAGTACGATGATTACAAATCACATAATCTTGAATGAATCGTATCACATGTCTTTTGTGGGACAATGCCCGATAGAAAATAAATTTATCCTTGCCTTTTTCCGAAATGCGTTTCTCGCACCACAAGAGAGGACTCTTTATGAAAGACGCGGTATTACAAAGAGACTACCTCTAAATCATTCGAGAGATTTTCAAAATGGAACCAGACACCACGCTTCATGCTGCAGCTTGGAATGTCATACTTCAACGAGAGTCTGATAAAGGCGAGCAATAGATCGAAGTGGCGCGACTTACAGCGCTTACCAACGGCGGCTATAGCAAAGAGCATTAGATTGAAAGAACAGGCACCCGACAGACAGGCTTACCTGTAAGCTTCAGCAACTTTAGGTTGGCGTCTTTTGTGTTTTGGCATTACGTCGTCCTCTTGGCGTCTAGGAGAGTCATCATCATCCTCAGAAGATGAAGACTCTGCAGCTTGATCGTAAGTTCGTTTATGGGCGGAGGCTCCGTCTGAGCGATACTGTGTAGGAGAGCCTGATTGTGGGTGATTGCCGTATTGACAGTAAGCACTACCGTTAGTCACAAATCCATGGTGCTCGCCGCCTGAAGAGTTCGGGCTCTGCATTGGCCCGTTTTGCGGTAAATCGAGTGGAGCAGGTGGGGGCGGTGGTGGCACACGAGGGGACTGGTGGAACTGAGGCGCACGCCAGCTGGGACCGTTCGCTTGTAGCGCTGATGAGTCTGGGTTATGGATTTTGGAGCCATTTTCGCTAGACGGGCGTCTACCAGGTCGAAGGGCCATACTGACTGGCGATGATTGAATGTTGCGTGGATTTCCAATGGGAGGACTGGGCCCGCTTGTAAACGTTTTAGGGGTTGCTTCGCTTGGCGACCGCTGATCAGAATATCCAGGCATGGCAAGGTTAGATGGTGACTGCTGTTCGACCTTTGTGTCGGAATCTCCTATTTGTTCATCTACGGGTTGTCGATTTTCGCTATGTCGTCTGAGCTTTGCTTTCTGTCGGTTTCGTATCATTTCAGCTTGCTTAGCCTTTGCTTCGGCCAAGGCACGTTCCAGAGTCTCCAAACTTTCAGCCATTTCTGCAGCCTCTGCGGATCTCGGAGCAACGCTCCGAGATTCACTCCTAGACTTTCTGTGCACATCATCGTCAGTAAGAATTTTCTGGCTGCCTCTCACTTTGTTGAGACAATCATCAAGCAGAGTGATGTTGTCGTTGCTAAGTATTTCTTGAAATATCGTATCTCCTTGGCGGTCTTTCCAACAAGCTAGATTTCTCATCTCCTCTAACGAACGTGCTTCATTGAGGTCTTCGGAATACTTTGAGAAGCATCTGCCGTCAGCTTCCGGGGGCGGAGGTGCCATTGGATATATGGCATCAGCGACAATGAAATTTGCAGGTAAAGGTCTGCTAACGGGCTTTAAAATGGCTTGACCTGCTTTCTTGTTTAGAAAAGGCCCTGTCACATCAATCGAGGCTTACCAAAGAGTCTGATAGCTTGAGGGAGATCTGGAACGTCCAGAGAATTCAGGTCCTCTTCCTCATCATCGTCTGGAATTTCGATGCTAAGTTGAGTTTCTTCATTATTGAAAGCGTGAGATTCGGAGAGAGCGCATTGATCGTCCTGTGACAATGATAACGGGGGTGCTGACGCTGATCCTGAAGCATGCATTATAGGACCATATTGTGATGTTGTTGGTGACGCTTGCTGTTGCGTCGTTGGTCCATTATGAGGTCCGGCCCAAGGGGTGGGTGGGGCACTTTGAAGCTGGGACTGATACGGTATGTTTCGTTGCTGATATAGACTTTGTTGAGTCGCTTGATAAGACGGAGCAGGCGGGTGGGGTTGCGCATGCCACTGGAGAGCGCCTGGTGATTGTGCAGAATGGGGTGTTTGTGGGCTGTATGAGTGCGGAAATTGAGTGTAAGCTTGCTGCACACCCATGGGACGCTGATGGGCTTGTAGTGCTTGCATATTAGTACTTCCCTGGCCATTATCCATGGATTGATACTGCTGGTTGTAGTTAGGCTTCCGTCGCTTCAATGAGCCACTACAGCTCAAGAAATTAATATTTCTTAGTAAAAGTGAATTGTTTTGTGAACCTACACTGGGACAGGGCGGCGAGGTTCAGGGCAGTTCTGCGCAATATGATCAGAAACCCCACAATTATAGCATGTTTCGGGCTCATGCTGTGCTGAGTTTCCAACTAGCTGCTGAAAATATTGGTGTGACTGCGGATGATATTGATGATGCTGCTGTTGGGGGTATTGCTGTACGTATTGGTGGCCATACTGCTGCCATGGTTGTTGAGAATGTTGATGGGGGTATTGTTGGCTGGCATTGTAATTTTGTTGAAGGTAATTTTGGTGATTTGAAGCTTGGCCATACATGTATGAATCTTGGTACTGTTGATACTGCTGTGGATACTGATGCTGTTGAGAATACTGGTGTTGATATTGTTGGCCTGGCTGAGCCATTTTGGGAAATTCCTTCGTCTGTGCAGGACTTTTACAAGGCTTTACAATCGTTTTCAAGGTCCAGTCTCATCATCATTAAGAATTTGACATAGGCTGGTGTGAAAACAGATCATTGACTTCACAAAAAGAAAGATATCATGTGCTAGGATACTATATTTCGCGGAACGATAACAAGACGCAATGTCTCATCAACAGATTTGCTTCGATTCTCTCTTGTCAGGGTGGAGAATGCACGTTAGCTGCGACTCCTGAAAGCATTATTACTTCGTGATACTTCGTGAAGGGGAGCATAAAGTGGTGTGGAAACGGCGGAAGCAAATTTGCTTGACACGATTGCGTCGCGATAGCATTGCACTAGCCAAAACGGGAAATAAATGTCTTCATTCTCACAAGTTCACCTCGCGTTATACCCAAATCCATGGGGCTTGTGCCAAGTACATGACTCTGCGATGGATCATGCTTCATGAAGTGCTTTCAAAATGTGCGCAAAACCTACGTGGGATTCTGCCGGCTTTAGAGCTCTGGTGATACGTCCGCCATCGACAAAATTTCCTAGTGGCAAGAAAGGCAAAAGATGCCGGGCTTACCTGGTATGGCAGTTTTCTTGAGGGATGAGACTCTGCTGATGTGCCTTCAAAGCTAGTGTCGACTTGGATGAGTGTATAGAGCGCCTCTATAAGAAGGAGCTGCTGGCAGACTCTGTCATTGAAGCAATCTGCGCGAAAACAAAAGAACTGCTCATGAAAGAAAGTAACGTCATACATATCTCGGCACCAGTCACAGTTGTTGGAGACATCCATGGACAATTTTTTGATCTGAAAGAGATTTTTAGGATTGGCGGCTTCTGTCCTGATACAAATTACCTATTTCTGGGAGACTATGTTGACAGAGGATTGTTTTCAATTGAAACAATCTCTCTGCTGGTGTGTTTGAAGCTTCGGCATCCTTCTCGGGTGCATCTCATACGAGGAAATCATGAATCAAGAGGTGTGACGCAATCGTATGGCTTTTATACAGAATGCAACAGAAAATACGGCAACGCAAACGTTTGGCACTACTTCACAGACATGTTCGACTTCCTCACCTTAAGCGTTGTCATCAACAACGACATCTTTTGTGTTCACGGAGGTCTGAGCCCAAGCATTCATAGCATAGATCAGATCAAGATCATTGATCGCTTTCGGGAGATTCCACACGAGGGACCAATGGCGGATTTGGTATGGAGTGACCCGGATCCAGAAAGAGACGAGTTCAGCCTCAGTCCTAGAGGGGCAGGTTACACCTTTGGTGCACAGGTGGTGAAGAAATTCCTAGATGTTAACTCCATGACACATATATTGAGAGCACATCAGCTCTGTCAAGAAGGGTATCAAATACTTTACGACGATAGGCTCAGCACTGTTTGGAGCGCACCTAATTACTGCTATCGCTGCGGCAATATGGCGAGTGTTCTAGAAGTCAGCGATTCGGGCGAGAGATTCTTCAATGTGTTTGAGGCATCACCTGAAAACGATGAGGCAAGAGGAGAACAGCAAAGTACCAACAACCAGGGCCAAAACGGACAAGGCGTCGTTGTAGAGTATTTCTTGTGACATAATTCGACGATACCAATGCATCAAGCACGGCGTTGGGGATCAAAGAGAGTCAATCTTCATATGCGGAGGTAAATGCATTTTGAGCAGAAATTGTCTTTGACTGGTATTTGTGCACTGCCTTTGCTAGTGATTTGCAAGGTGTAAGACAAAATCTGTTCGCCTACTAAATACCTACACATTGTAGAACCTTCTCATTTCCAGTCCTTAGAGATGTCAAAGGACCAGTCGAACTTTAGATATTCCTTATTGTCGTCATCAACAAACCTAGACGCAGCATCGTAATGACCTCTTGCTAACATCCCCGAGGGCGCCTCGTCCTCGGCAACTAGGCAGGCTCAGCGATACTTTCAATCCAGTTGGAAACAATAGAATTACTCACACTTCTTCTCGTAGATTTGCCTGTCCTCTGTGTTCGGTGCATAAGAGCCCTGAAATGAGTATCAGGTATCAGGATACACATTGAATTGCTATGACACCCACAAGCATCTCTTCAGACTTGTCCATTCTGATACCCTTTCTTTTGATGACTTGCACATACTTCAGCCCGCTCAACACATCATGTTGTACAACGAAGTTGGCTTTCATGCGAAATTTCGCTCCTTCCCTGATGCTAAACGGTTTACCCTTGAGAGATTCGAGGCTTCCTGGGGCGGTCAAATCTATGGTGATATCATGCCGACCTTCTACTTCTAGAGCAAGAGATTTAATGACACAGCGTCGTTGATCGTTCGGATCAACTGGGATTGGCTTTGCGTCCGAGATTCCTAGCGATGCTTTCCAACGATTGAGTGATTCATCATTCTGGTCTTCGGCATGTTAGATCGACGTCGAGAGAACTCTGCCGATATTGTGGAGGATGGAAAAGGAACCTCATCGACGCAGGCTTGAGTACTGGACGTGTAACTTACCAAGTTTTGCATATTCTGCTACGGTCTTTTTTTCACTGATTTTATAACCTTCAGTCTTCGAAGCTTGAAGATCATCATCCTGGCTCGCCATATCTTTGTATTTTAGAAGGCTGGCGCAGGCTGTTGGTGGGAAGAGCAGTTATTTGATGTGGGATTTGGTTTCGCTTACAAGCCCGCGATAATACATTACCATTGGGTAATCGATAGTGAAGCAATATCCTTACAATCCTTCACGATACAAAGTTCATTTCTTCCATGCACGGTATTTGATTCACGTTCGAGTAAGTCGGGCCAGGTCTTGAAATGACGTTGTGACAGAGAGCGGAACCACCAGCCCCCTGCCTTAATTATTGGTTCTAAAAATCGTTATAAGCCGCTTCGCTGGCATCATCCATTTGGGGCACATCTTTTCGAGGGCGTCGCATACTTCAACTCCACAGCCAAGCTTTGCACGCGCAAGCATATTGGAGTGACTGAAGTAAAGCGAGAAAGGACGCGACGAGTGCCTCTATTAAAAGTACAACAACGCGCCTCGCCGTCGCATTGCTCGCTGAAGCCGCCCACTGCCCCAGTCGTCGATTCTACCACTCTGCCGAAATTGTTTTTCTTACAGCATAGTTCAGGATGGTCTCTAAGCAAGTTGACGCGGATGTTACACGGCATTTACCGAAAAAACTGAATCCTCTGCTCGCGCCCGACAAGACGCCAGAGCGTACGTACTCAAATTTGCTGTCAAATGCGCGCACTACTGACGAGCTTCGTGATCAGATGCGGAGCTTACCAACATGCGACGACTAGGACAGACAGATCTATCTGTTCGACCTGGCCAGGTGGGTGGAAACAATGCCACCAAGCCGGAGTACTTAGGTCGGTTCGACTACGCCCACCTACGAGCTCCTCTACCAGAGGACCTAAAGGGATCTGGGATATTCGCGCCCCAACAGCATCAGCCCCCGCCTTCCTCGTACTTTCTTATGGTATGTATTGAGCGGATATAGAAAAGAGCTGCGCTTACGGTGACCCCAGAGGAGAAGTAGCGACGGGTTCATCAGCGCGACGGGCATGTTTAAAGCTGCATTTCCCTGGGCGAAGCATTCGGAAGAGCTTTCAGAAAAAGAATACGTAAAGGGTCTGTCGTCTACCGCGCAGGACGAAATCGCGGGTAATGTATGGATATCTGAGCATCTTGGTAAGTGCTGCTACAACGAAAGCGCGCATCATACGACAATACCACTGCTAACAAAGGACTTAGCGCTAAAAATTGCCGCTGATTACTCCATCGTAGGCTTGTTCAAGTGTCAATGCACTTTTGCTTTCTAGGCTAATGGTGTGAATCTAGGTGCCATGGGTAAGCGCTTTGTTAGACTCAACATCAATTCAACCCGCGTCGGATGACCCAATGGCAAAATCTATCTCTCCGCCGCCTCCATTCAAAGTTACCGCAGGAGACAAGGCGCATCTCCCTCCTCCGAACGGCACGCCAGCTCGAGGTGTTCGCGCCACAACCCCCAAGACTAGAGGGAGGCCAAGGGCAGGCTCGCCTGAAAAGAAGGCAGGCAGTCCACAAAAAAGTGCCAAGCGTTCAAGACCTACCAAGGCAATGAAAGAGGCGAACGCTGCGACAGCGCGGGAGGCCAGCGCATCATTGCAGTCGGCATTGAACGATGCAGCATCGGTTGCGGATGGCGAGTCTGTGACTGAGGATAAGGTGAAGGTAGACATTGATACCACGGTCGAAAAGAAAGGGGATATTGAAACGACGACTACTAACGTCAAGATTGAGATGCCTAAAGGCGAACCAGACCTACCTTTACCAGAAAGACCCGAGGAGATGATTGCGAAGGCAAAGGAGATGGTTATCGAGGCGCAAAAGATGAACAAGGAAGGAACAGCTTCAAGCTCAAAGCGGAAAGCAGAGGAACTCGAGGAGAGTTCAGATCTCGAGGGCGATGGCGAATCTCATCCCGCGAAGAGAGCCCGAGTGCTCGAGCAGCAGATACGGAAGGAAAAGATCCGCAACAGGTCTCTAATTGGGGTTGTAGCAGCGGCAGCTATTGGGTAAGTGTGCCCATTTGCCGAGTGCTGTACTGTTGCTGACAGGCTTCTAGAGTCAGTGTCCCGTACTTCTTTGGATAGGCTGGCATGTGTGTTTCGCTACCAAGTCCCGACGCACTATCTCCGGTCTATTGAAAGTTCAAGTCAGACGGGACCGATATTTCTTCACAACCAATATGCTCACCAGTCAATCGTTCCAAGCACGTGATTCCCCCTCGGTTTGGATGAAGGCGTTTTGGAGGGTTGCGAAAGGAGGGGTTGCAGCCTCATGTGGATGTACAGCATTACTAGACTAGGTAATTTCATCTGAACAATGGTAGCTATCATTCCGTTGTCTGTACTCATCCAAAAAGCCTGTACCGTAAGGTACAGATGATGGTCTTGGCAGGGCATAGTCTTCTGGCGGGCCGCGCCAAATTGGTAGGGGGCCTGGGGGGATTTGGGTACGACTGTTGTTATAAACATGCAAGGATGATATAGAAGTTGAAATCCCGCCCCTTTCTATCGCAGATGAACTCCTGCAATCCAATCCTGCCGGGTGTGACCGGCTCCTGCCCCAGGTTGGACTGAGCAAGATGGCAACGTCTCCTTCCTATAGGGCCTTGAACCCGCCGATATAACCGAGCGCGGGCAGACGACGGATCGTGGGGATAGAGTAAAAGCCAAAAATTACTCCACCTATTTGGAGAAATCTCCAACTTTCGTGCTCTGCATGCTACTGTCTCCTCCTCCAACCTTCCCCCTCCCATGTTGCAAGGACCATCGCCCTTCGCCATGAGGTCCTCAGTATCGTCCCGCTTGTCGAGCCTCGCAAAGACCCCTACCCTTCCGAACACCTTATCATCACCTCAAAAACGTTCCTTCGCTTCAACCTCCAAGCATCTTGCGACGTATGGCTTCATAGGGCTGGGAAGAATGGGTGAGCAGTCGCAAGCTTTCATCTTGCGCGTGCACGTTTCCCTCACTACTCATGTCTTCAAATATGTTCGGAAAACCAAACTCTCTGTCTTCGTGGCACCGTCGGCGTAGAAGCTCTTACTTGGACATAATGAGGCAATGCTTACAATTCGGGCCATGCCCTATTCAGGGTACCCAATGGCTCAGAACTTTCGTGCGAAAATGGCACCAAGCGACGTTCTCCTCGTGCATGATAGAAATACATCAGCAACGTCAAGCTTTATACAGCAAGAGGCTGCGGCGTCCAGTGGAGCAGCAGGGGGAGAAAAAGCAATGAATGTGGAAGTAGCGTCGTCAGCAAGGGAAGTGGCAGAAAAGTCGGTAAGTCTGAGCTACGTTCTTTGCCCAAAGTCTGGTGAATCCGCCTCCGACAAAATTTCTGAATGATGAAACCGATTTCCATTTCCTATGATCTAAGCTGGGAGCCAGCCTTTCAGCTGCTCTTCTGTGATTACAACAAATCAAAGCCAATCCTCTGATCCGACTCGACATGTCACAATTGTGTTGCTTTCACAACAACCATGTCCATTAGTGACTCGGTTTTGCTAATGCAGTTAGTTAGGAAGTCATTATTTCGGCTCTGCCGGATGCCTCCCACGTTTCCCACGTTTTCCACTCGCTCCTTCATCCAAAGCTACCGCCTCTACAATCTCCGGATCCAAACGTGACCGAGCGACTTTTCATCGATTGCTCAACAATTAATCCAGCCACCTCGCGGGAAATTGCCAACGCTGTTCACTCCACCCAGCAAGGCCGCTTCGTCGACGCTCCAATGTCCGGAGGAGTCGTAGGTGCACAAGCAGGCACTCTGACCTTTATGCTTGGTGCGCATAGTAAACACGGCGGATTAATTAAATTCCGGATACGGCCGCTGCTGGAGAGAATGGGCACCAAAGTACTTCACCTAGGAGGCCAAGGCGCTGGCCTCGCCGGAAAATTGACGAACAACTACCTCCTTGCCGTGTCCAATATTGCCACTGCGGAAGCCATGAATCTCGGGCAGCGCTGCGGTTTAGACCCGAAGACCCTTGCAGAACTCATCAACGGTGCAAGTGGACGGTGTTGGAGCAGCGAAATCAACAATCCCGTAGCGGGTATAAGTCCTGGGGCCCCTGCTGAAAAGGGATATGATGGTGGCTTTGCGATTGAGCTCATGAAGAAAGACTTAGGCTTGGCGATCGAGGAGTCTAACAGGGTCAAGGCTAGGACACAGCTGGGTACGCCGAGCATGGGCGTATATGACCAAGTTGCTGCCATGGAACCAGGGAAGGATTTCAGCGTTGTTTACAAGTGGTTGGACAGTCAAAGTCCTTGAGCGACGCCTTTCATCAATAACCGTGCTTGATGCGTTCAGTGGCAGCCTATCAATCACTTGGAATTGGCGGCCGAACGGCGATTTTGGGATAATACGAAGACGGCGGAATTTACCAACCCGAGAATCACGGTCTGGATATAGCAGCAATTATCTCGGGATTCCCGGTGGTCATTTGGTAGGAATGGTACAACAGGCCCCAACCATTTCAGGTGGAAAGATGATGTCCGTAATTTCATGTGCATATGTTTCAGGCGGCGTAAAAGGACGGTTGTAAGAAAGGAGGATTGATATTTCTTTAATCTCTACCAGTACCCTTAGGCAACTCAACACCCTCCCATCTTCCACCACTTACTCCAATCCCTCGTCTCTAGCCCAGCCTTCCCAGTCCCTCTCCCAACCCCTCGGCCTTGGAGTAAGCGACCACTGCCACTCATGTTTGATCCCTTCTTCACCCATTCCCGCCTTCTGCATCGCCACTATCCTCCGCCTGAGGAACATGTCTTTCCTTTCCCTCCCCTCCTTCTGCTCCACACTCTCCTTTCTCTCCACGCGTCCCACATTCGGCCTTACTCTCTCCATCAACCTAATTCCCATCGCGACCGCAAATGGCCACTTGCCAGGCCACCACGAGGTTTTGCCCCGGCTAATAGCCCTCTCCCTCCTCAACGCCTCGTAGAAATCGGGTAGATATGGCACACTGACATCCGGCGCCTCGACATCCCAGTACTCGTCATGCAAACTACACGCACATCCTGCACCTCTTCCTCCATCGCGCCCATACTCCCCACCAGGGGCACTATTCCACCATCCTACCTTTCCGTCAGCCCCACCACCGCGAACACTGCCACTACCAGCTCCCTCTTCTCCCCAAATCTTAGACTTTCTCGAAGCCTTCAAGCGCCCAGGATCCGCGAACCCGAAATCAAAGACCTTCACCATCGTCTTCGTGGCAGAGACGGGGCCCCAAGCATAGAGTTCATACGAAAGCCGGTTCCAGCGTTCGGACTTTGAAGGCCGGGAGGGGAATCGTAGCCCCCCGGCACTTTTCGCGTACGAGAGAGTGCGGTTGCGAAGCTTGATATCCAGAGGGAGAGGGTTGTATGGTGGATAGGGATTCGGCAGGGGCTGGATGGTTGAAGAAGGGTGGATGCCGCCGAGGGTAACGGGGAGAGAGTGGATGCGTATTCCATAAATGAGCGTGGGGTATGGAGGACTGGGGGAGGAGGATGAAGGTGCGTGGGCAAAGAGAGAGGTAGGAACTTCGTAGAGGTAGAGCTCGGAGCGGGATGCTAAGGTCAAGGGAGTATGCTGCCAGAGGACCGCGATACGGATGACAGGTTTGATTTTGATGTCGACCACAGAGTAAGGGGAGATGGCGACATTACGGAAGATGCTGTTACTGATCGGGTTGATTAGTTGCGCAAGAGTAATCACTGTACCGCTGCTGCCTGCGGCTGCTATGCTTTCATGTTGGTTTGAATGTTCGTAGGGTGCAGATACAACGTATAGCTCCTCGGCCGCGCTCCTGGCGACCATGTAGGAAAGATCGGCCTCCAAAAGATGTCTCCTCAGGTTGCCCTCGCTGGGTCGCGACTCGGAGTCACCACTGCTGCTATTACCAATTGGAGAGAACAAGGGTGTACTGGAAACGACGTCGTCATCAACTGCTTTTTCGTTGGAAGGTATGCGGGATAATAATTGCCAATCACTCGGAAGGAGAGCGTTTCCCTCTATCTTGGTAGGCTTTCTCTGGACTGCAACGCAAAAGAAATCCTTTGGATGATGGGTTGGATCAGTCACATCCCTCAGGATATACGGGCTTTCACCATTGGACCAGCCGTTACGTCTGGTAATGGCATATTTCTGTACGTGTGAGTCGACCTCGATCTCAACGGTCCAGCCTGATTGACGCTCGATCTCTGCAACAGTCGATATGATAAGCGGCCCATTGACTTTCAGGTGGCTGGCATAGCCGATGTAGACCGGTGTATTATCCACCTCGAATCGGTAGAAAAGCAGGGTACTTGATTCCCGGAAGGAGTTCATGAGTCGGGTTTGGTGAACTACAGGGATACGCATGACAAGGAAATTTCCTTCTCCTGACAACTGCACTGCATCCAGGTTGGAGCGAGAGTGTTCATGCTCCATTCGAGGTAGCCGTACAGAGATATCGTGTATCCGGAACCGGGAGCGCCAAGAGTCAGGATGCTGATATACTTGCGTCAAGCTGGCTGATTCTTCGAAAGCTATCGCAAGGTCGCGAAGGTGCACTCGACTATTTCGCCCAAGTGCGGATGCCACAACTGTGGGACTGCTCATGATTCTCCTCCACCATGCGAAAGAGGTGAGACGTGCTGCGTCTAGTGCGGGGATGGAGAGGTAGGTCAGTATCTCATCGACCAACTCTACAGGCAGGGATGCAAAGCGACCGAGGTTCTCATGGCTCAGCTCATCAAGCGAAGGCGTGGTTACGTTGGAATGGCCACAACATTGACACGCTCTGGGTCTTTCATGTCGAGCTTGCATGTCACCAGCATCCGTCACGCTTCTGTAAAAGGGCGATAGAACGTCCTCCAGAGATCTCGGAAATGGCGGGTGGAAGATGGCACACTGGTAGTCCATAGACGTTCTTTTGAATGAATCAATAAACGAACGAACGAACGAACGAACGAACGGATTTTTGACTGCAAGCAATTGCGATTATGCGGATGGTCTTGCAGAATAAGGAGGAACAGTATAAGACTCATTCTCCTACAGTTCAGCCCAGGGTTCACTCATAATAAGACATCGCACAGGCAGCAATCTCATGATCGGCACCATCTTCATCAAGACGTGGCCACATTGATCCCGTTCCGATACCTACCTGGAGTCTTTTGGTGGAGGCCTTGAAAGCGGCAGAATCAAGAACGTTGCCACGCCAAGCATCAAACAGCCCCGTTACATTAGCAGGAATGATGTTGTATACGTGGTTTGAGTTTGGAGGGCAGATTGGCCGCACCTTGATTCTGGAATTGACTTTTTGGCACAACTTTCGCGTCTTTCGATCCATGGGGGAAATAAGAAACGGCTCCGGCCCTTGAGCGGCATCTTTCCCCGAAATGATGAAGATGCCAGGAATAGGTCGGCGGGCGCAGCGGGCAATTAGCGAAGCTAGACTGCTAGAATAGGCCCTCGGGCGGACGTGGGGTGGCTTGCGGTGACAATAACAAGAACGGCGGAAGGTATAGCAGAGCATCCCCAACCAACAGCGGATGCTGATCTTGGCCTTAAAAGGCACTGGGTGAGGCGCTTCTTTATCTGTTACCATCAAGGTTGAGCTTCGGCGAAGATCCCAGAAAGCCGTTCGGTTTTAGTTGCTGCCTCCACTATTCGCACGTAAAAGTTGTTCTTGGTCTTCAGGACAGGTGTTCCCTGCAAAGACTGTTTAACAAGGCCATTCTTTGTGGATGTTTCGTGTGTCGGAGTTGACGAGAAGCCGAAAGACTTGACGCATAGTGACGAAAGCGGATCCGACGATGCTTAGGATAGTCTCTGTCGAGAAGCCATCGGTTCCTCGGTTCTGCTGAGAACTCGTTGATTCGCTCGGCCAGCAAGCGATATGTGAATGAGAGAGAGGCGTACTCGAGAGTCTGCGGTCTCGCGCTGGCCTGTGTGATCTCTGCGGGAGATCGACGAATGCATTTGCAGCAAGGAGGACCTCGAAGCAGAGGAAAATATTGATTGTTTCTTCTTATCAAGTCGGACAGTCGAATCCCGCACTCTGCTCCTATGCACTCACCCGTGCGCGCAAGTTCGGACTGGTAGTTGCGCACCAGCTACTTGTGAGGGAACGGACTCAGCCATGTATGCCGTTCAAGACCCAAGAGCAAGTTCCTTGGACGAATCAAGAGTACTTACGACATTGGTTCACGAGCGATGCCCTTGGTGCTTCCTTGGTGCGAACTAAGAGGGGAAACTAAAGTCGTAGTGCTTTCTAAGATTCACTCCGGACTATAGCGCTCTCATTTTCCAACCCTTGTCTCCAACCTCCAACCTTTACGTTTCTCTCCCCACTCGTCTGTCTACCTCACCTCCTCCAATGCTGCCAACGATCTAGGCATTGAATTCTCATTGAAGGCAGCTTCTTTTCGTTGCCATCGAACTAGATATCGTCTCGTGCAGTGGAATCAGTACGATTCGCCGCACTTTTGTGCAACCCCGCACGCGCAGACCACAAGTCATCCAACCCAACAGCCTGGACCATCTTTCTATCGAGTCGAACTCAAGTGTCCCGATTTCGAAAGTAATTATTTATTGCCTCGATAATCAATCAATCTCTGAGTCGTCTTCTCCCGCAGGAACTACCAGCGTTCTTAGCCGCTACAGAACACATTATCAATTGCGCGACTGTCGCAATTAGAACGGACTCCACTGCACAACCTCAATCGGTATCTGAGCGGATACTCCTCTATTATTCAAGATGTCTGGTCGTGAACCGACTTCCAATGTGACTGCCGAAGGCAAACCAAAGACTATGCAGAAGTTCAAACGCAGAATCAGCAAGATCTTAGGCAAGGATGATGTGAAGCAAGCAAATGCCGCTGCCGCTGCCACGAGCTCTGCAGCTGCTGCCAGGTATGTCAAAAAGCATTGTTGCCACTTTCAGACTAATAACTCCTACAGCGAACCTACCACCATCCAGGGACCTGTTAAGAGCGAAACTTCTGCTGAGGGACCAGCCAAAACAGCCTCGAAAGCCACCACCCCAGCCAAGACCGATGAGGGTATGAAACCAGCTGCAGTGTCTCTGAGGCCAAAATCAGCCATGACAGCTCTTGAGAACGCAAAGATTCAAGAGGAGAAGGTCCGCGCAATGTTCGCAAAATACAACATGAGCTTGGACGCCGGTGATTGGAAGCCTACTTTCAAGCAAGATACCCCAAGGGTAGAAAAGAAGGTGCGCATGAGGGTGCACCGCACGTGCCACCGTTGCCAGACCCAATTCGGCGTCGACAAGATCTGCAATAATTGCAATCATGCAAGGTGCAAGAAGTGCCCACGGTACCCTTTAGCGAAGAAAGAGAAAGAGCTCAGGACCAAAGACGGGAGTACTGCCGTCGCCAGCGATACAGGATACGTCAAAAAGCCAGTTACCCAGCGCTCGCGCAGGATTTGTCACAAGTGTCAGACCCCTTTCAAGAGTAAGACTTCGGCATGCGAGAAGTGTCAGCATGAACGTTGTGAAGAGTGTCGACGAGCAACGTTAGTATACCGCTAGGAAGTCAGCCTGATCAATTGTCCAACTGACTTTGTCCATAGTGCAAAATCAGATACAGCTTCTGGCACCTTCACAAAATGGACCTGCCATGAATGTCGAAACGTTCACCGCGACCCAGAAAACCCATGTCTGAAATGCGGCCATAGCAAATGCGACTCCTGTTCGAAGGAACTCGTCAAAAAAGCCGACCCTGCGAAAGCTGCGATGGCGAAAACAAAAGACGCTGGGGATGTTAAAGAGATACAGCGGCGCATGGATCAGATGGGGGTTGGAACTTCTCAGGCCTCGGCAGCTTGACGCAAGCTGCATGCATGTTTGATGGCTGGATGATACGAACACTGGGATTCCCCTGACTATGCGCGATGACGAACTTTCCTTCCTCCTGGCAGCTTCCTTTATTCCTTAACGATGGTATCTTATTCCTTGTCTTATGAACCAAAGCCTGTGATGAGAACAGAGATGGCGGCTTCTTTCGCTTCAGCCACTACTTCACAGGGCAATATATGTAGCTAAGTGGTCACTTGCCCACACAATCCTTCTTATGACTCAGCTCAAAACCTCCAATTTTATTAATTCCGTTTGATATTTACCTAATACATAGCTCCTACTTTTCTAGCCGAATTTGCATACCCTGGTTGCTCACTGCCCACCATCTCCATCTCATAGAATCCGAAGCAGCACTAGCAGTATCAGAGCAAACGAAAAGAATAAACCGAAAGCGCCAATTCACTAATCACCATTCCACACAAACACGCAATGACCCTCAGATTTTTCAGCATAGCAGAGCGGTCAAGTAGAAGAGCTCAGCTGCGAATATTTTCTTTAGCATTCCTTGCAGTAATTCAAGGCTCAACTCGTCAACTAGTGAAAACTGGAATCAGAGCAGATTAGATTTGGAGAATCAAGAAATAGGCTATGAAATGTCTCATCAAGTCTAGTGAAATGGATTCGGCTTGTTCTCACAAGTTTCTAGAGGTCTTTATACTACGGTGAGCATGGTCTTCTTGGTCTCCTATATAGACTGAGTAGACTGTGTTCAGGACTTCCAGGTCCATTACTGTGACTTGCTCTACAGCCCCGACTTTGATAGAATTGAAATGTTGATGAAGCCGGCATGTGGAAGAGCTTGTCAGGCCATGGACGGTTCTTGGCAGCGTGTGACCTCCGAGTCGCCATGCTCTATCTCTAACTCGAAGGAAAGTCCAAATTCTTTTCACTATGTCCGAGAATAACTGGCGTCGTAACCTCATCGCTGGCTCTAGTGAAATTGTTAGACCTAGTATCCGAGTGCTGCATCAAACCCCCAACGACCGGAAGAGCTTCTTGATACACGGACAGCGACAAGGTACAATAGTACGAAGGCAGCATCCTAAGGAACGCCTGTACACCTTCAATGGCACGAATAATTTTTTCATTGGTAGTCGACCGATCAAAATGCCCAAATGGGTAGAAGCTGACAGAGACGTCTTTGGAGGTTCCCCACATGTGATCCACGAATGGTTGGTCCAGAGCTCGAAGAGCAATGAGTCGCTGTCTGATGGAAACAATGGCGATAGAGACATCGACAGCTTCAAGCGAGTCGTGCGGGGAAAACGGGCTGATCACTACTGCTAAGTCTGTGCCTGCGATGCTAAATCTTTGCACGCGTTGGCCAGGCCTGGTCGTCAATCTGATGGTTGCAGTGTGTAAAGAGTCCGTAGGCAAAGACCTCTTGACAACTACAACAGATTCGCTGACTGGTTTCTGAATAGACCCAATCGCAACTTCATCCTTTTGGTTGGCAAGTATAACAAAATCTAAGGCAGCGTGGATCCCCGCATCAGACACTAGGCAACGTATTGCACGTATCACCAAAGCAGCTTGACCATATCTGAGCGGTGACGTGTGACCCGTTTTGTACGGGGTTATGCTCGACATTGCTAGCGAGTGCTTTTCGACTTGTGGCAGTGTTATTGCTGTCGTCGGCTTGAACGAGGCGAGATATGTCTCGAAGTCCACGAGACAAAGCCCGATGGCAAGATTTGGAATGTCCGTGTAGTCACTCGTGACTCTAAGCCGCACCATCAGTTTCGTGCCCGGCACATCGATTTCAAGGATTTCTGAATTGGCGGTAAAATTATCCCTTTGTCTTGGTGAAGGACATTGAAGCACTTCCATCTTTGTCCATGAAGCGTTGGGTGGCTGTTGCGATACAAGAGAGGCATTGAAGGCCGAATACCGACGACGGGCATCGATCTTCGCAGCTCTGCGAGGCTGAGATTCACTGTCACGTCTCCCTATTGTCTGAGAGCCTCCCTCTGTCGAACCTCCAAATGCAGGAATTGCTGGGTCGTAACTCATGCCCTTTGACATAAGAGCAACCTCGTCAGAGGACGCTGTAGAAGCGATCGCGGAAGTCTGGCGGTCGATGGGGCGACATCTCTGACCTAGTAGCCCCAAAGGGACCGCGCATACAATCAATAGATTCAGGTAGACCCATTGAAGATGTTGAGGACGCATGGCATACTTCACTCATTCTCACGCCGACAGTATTTCAACACCTCCCTCAGTTTGATAAAGTGACCGACTGAATCGGATGTAGTAAGCACAAGTGTCCACATTGCTACAGCCGCTAGACAGCGAACAGAAAAATAGATCTGTCCACGCGACGACGCCTTAGACTCCTGACATCCCGTCAAGATTTTCCAGATATTAGAGCCATAGCTGCAAGAAGCCACTATGTGCATCAACGCGAGCTTTAGCAGTTGCGTTTTTGCTAAGACCATTAAACCAAGCGAACAGCGTAACACGAAAGAGCATTTGATTATTAGTGGACTCAAAGGGTAGTGAACATGTATCCGCAACGAGACCCACTGTATCAATTGTGCCTTTGTCAGTCGATTTGGTAATCTCATATCGAAGAGATTGAGGACGTCAGCTACACTTATCAGTCTTCATCAATGCTGTTCTCATAACATGAGAACTCGACCACATATCCTCTTCAAGGCGCAGTTGAAAGATTGATCTCGCACAAGATAGGCAGGTTTAATTCGACATATGAAACCTCGAATGATGCTACCTGAGCAGCTTCTAGCCTAGACTTCCAAATATCAATCTCTTCAAGAAGCCGGCCACTCCTAATTTTCCAGGCGATGAAACATGAGATGGTCGACATAGGACAAAGCTCGTCGGTTTTTAATGCTCGCTCGAATCTCAGAGGTTACTGTGCCCTTTCTCCAAATTTTCGCTGCTTTCCCAGTCCGGGTATCTCTAGTATCATTGGTTCCTCAGATTATTGTCCCACAGTCTTTGCTCTTTAAAATGCGGGGGGAAACGTCTTCAATTCTTCACATTACTACACATCGCGAACAACACCCTCCCCCTCCACGAGATGACTTCTCGTTTGGTGTTTTGACTCCCATGCGATCCATTGGACCTCCGGCGCTATGTGATGACATTTCCTTGTTGTATCTTCTAATCTCTCGTACTATATTGTAGAACGCATTATCGACGTTGATTCTCGACTTGGCTGATGTCTCGATGAAAGCACAGCCGAATTGTCGTGCAAGGTCCTCCCCTTCTACACAGGTGACTCGTTAGTAACGTCCTCGAAAGCTCTAAATCGCTTGGTAACATCAAGCTTTTCTTCTGGTGTACGAACCTTGCCTTGAAACCTGCCGCTCGCCCTCTAGATCACACTTGTTGCCCACCATTATGATTGGAAAGTAGTCTTTGTCTTTGACGCGTAATATCTGTTGTTGGAAGGTCAAGATTTCCTCAAAGCTTTGCCGTGATGTTATTGAGTAGACAAGTAGGAAACCTTCTCCGGTCCGCATGTATTGCTCTCTCATCGCGGAATACTCTTCCTGTCCGGCGGTATCTAAGACGTCCAATAAGGCTACCTCGTCATCAATAACGCACTGCTTGCGGTAGGAATCTGCGTTGAATATTAGTCTGAGCCGCAGCGACATTGCATCCAACTGAAGCTGACCTTCTATTGTCGGATCGTACTCATCCACGAAATGACTTTGTATCAATTGAATAGTCAGACACGACTTTCCCACACCGCCTCCTCCGACGACCACAAGCTTGTATTCGCGTAGAAACTGTGTCGAAGAGTGCCCGTTAGCAAACATGGTCAAACGGTCTTTGGGTCAAGAGTGAATTTCGGCTTGCAGCCCAGTAAGGGTATGACTGCACATACTTTTGAAGCCATCGCGGCGGGAGAGGGCCGTGGGAGCTTTGACCAGGGTTCAGGAAGTGTAGCAGAGCGCGCGATTTGTTGGACCTCGTAGACCCAATGATGGTTGGTATTGTGCTAGAAGGATTCCTCTCTTGCGTAGTGCACTGCGAGCTTCAAGGGTTTGCTGGTCGAACGGGGATGCTATCCGCACGTCTCAAAGTTGAGCCAGTAGGGTATGTGATGAAGTTGGGACTTTTGAAAGCTGGTTGGTAGGCAAGAGGTCTTTGCGCTTGCGACGAGATTTTGTTGCGTAGGACCGGGATAGGAATTCCGCAGATCCCAAAGAGGGCAAGAGGGTCCTCGGCACTTTCTGGTATATAACGACAGAGTTGTAGCCTGTATACGCTTGAACGACGGTGGATGGCTTTGACAGGACGAAGTGAAGATGCGGTCTGTAGAAAGATGAGGTACGTTAGCTTCACTGTAGAGCTTGCAGTATTTTAGTAGGGATAATATGCAGCTGGGGCGGCGACAGGGGGGTATATCGGCAATGGCTAGGCTGTCTTCGTCTTTAGCGCACACCCCAGCCATTCCGACGAGCGTGATACCCTTGACTTACCTTAATAGACTATTGCCGGATAAGCCTGTTGCAGGAGCTGCATGGCCCGGATTCTCCAGGATTAGCTTCGGTGTGAGATAAAGACAACGGGATGGAGATCTGAATAATGTGATAGGCAGACCGTACCTAGAGGACCTTCCCTCGTGTCCTTCAACCGCACGCGAAGTGGTGGCAGTTCACGGACTTCTTCACTCGCCACGCCCCTGACACTGTGGTTGTACCTCCAGTAACGCTGAAGCAGGTCATCTAACGATGATATAACAAATGGGCCGTGGCTAAAGGTGGCTTCCACCCGCAGCGAGAGGGTTTATCTTACTGCTATTACGACAGCGATTTGACACCGTGGGGTGGGGTCTAGTATGCTACCGTTCACAAGTTATAAGATTTGCCAGCAGTGGACTCGTCTCCAGCCTAATGGGTTCAAAGCAGGTCTGAGACATACATGCAAGCATGATGATGACAGCCAGATCGAGGCTTTATGGACGCTTGGGAATCCATCTCGTCACGTCAGTTCGTACCCCTGAATGCACCACGACAATCCGCCATGCAGGTCCACGTGCTCTTGAGGATGGGTTGGTGGCGGGGAGTGCTACCGCAGTATCCCACCTGCCCGAAAGCCTGATGATGCTCCGAAACGGTATGACGTGCATCTGCACGACCGTTGTTCATTTCTCAATTGGGAATGCATCGACAGAAATTCAATGAGCTGAAGAGGGTGAGGCAAAACGTGACACTGCTACAGGAATGATAATTCAAGTCTCTGGCTCGTCGTCGCTTTTATCGGCGTCAGCTTCATCCTCAACTCGTATTCCTTGAACATTCTTCTCGACCTCAGGAATCAAGCTGTGCGAGTGGTCAGTCGGACCTGGTCAAAATATCGCGCACGAGAACAAACCTTTCCATAAGCTCCTTATCCCTGCCTACAAGCGTGACGGAATTCCTCTTCTTTCCCCATCTTGGATATGAGCCGACTTTGATTCCTTTCGGTTCAACCTTTGCAGCCAGCTCTGTCAAATATGGCGCCACTGCACTTTCAGCCATTGGTGTTGAGACGATCATTCGATATACGCCTTTGCCCTCTGGATCTGTCAATCTGGGGACCAAGAATGGCTTTAGGCCGTCTAGCAGCTGTGTGAACAGCCTTGGAACACCTGGCAGAATGTGAACATTGCCATTTACTACGCTGATTGGTACCCATAATTCATCGTCGACGAAATGCACTTGACCCTCTTCGCTTCTTGTAGTATCGATTGGTAGTCTGACCATCCGCTTCTTTGCTTCCAATGCAGGAGATGGTTCGTCCCACGAAAAGTTCGGCTGCGATCGATGCGGCTTTGATAGCCTTCTCATTCGTTCCAGAGTATCTTGATGCTCAGTGAGCTTCAGACCGTAGGCATTGGCAATTGACTGGTAGGTTATATCGTCGTGTCTGGTGATATATCAGATGTGGCTCCCCTCTGGAAGAATGTAGTTTGGCGTACTGACGTTGGGCCTATTCCACCACTCGTGACGACGAAATCATAGTGATCACTCATCCGTCTCGTTGCTTCTATTATTTCTTGCTCATCATCCCCGATCACCTCTATCCTTTTCAAGTTCATGCCTAGGCTGAAACAATATTTGGCAAAGTATGAAGAGTTTGTGTCTGTAGTCTTTCCACCTAGAACCTCATCTCCAATGATAATGCATCCTGCGGTATGTATCATCCTTTTGCTCTTTGCTTCAGGCGACGTCATGATCCCAAACGCGGTAGGGGAAGCGAGGGTTGATGTGGGCGATTGCGCAAGACTTGGAAGCGGACGAGATATCTGACGACTTATTTGACTCAATCGTGACAGCATGGATGCTCGAAGCTGTTCTCGGATGGGGTCGAGAGGCAATTGGTTCATCACATTGTAGACTCATCAATTGGCGGGATGTTGTCAGATGCGCCGCGGCCCATGTCGGTGGGGCACCGGTCTTGCTGTTCATCCTTCACAATTCCTCCCCAGCGCAGAATAATTATTTGTCATGGTATAATACTAGGTCTTTCTTATCCATGGATGTTTCGCTAATCGCACAAGGCTTCGGAATCTCGGCTTTATACATTCTCGGAGGAGACACGAGAGAGATTGAAGAAATTCAGGCTGGGAACATCAAGAGCAAAGGACCCTCAAGCGGTGATATGTATGTGACAGGCCGCTACGTTCCTGTATGGCCATTCTTATAGTTATCATTGGAGGATGGCGACTGATAAGACTATGCGCCAGACCAGATCAACAAAAACACGTTCGAGATCTCGCAAGCAGACGATGAAGTCTACAATGACATGCCAACCCTGGCAGAGGAGCTCCCCGATCATTCCCCAAGATATGTCCTTCTTAGCTATCCACTAACTTTAGTATGTATATTAGAAATCAACCGTGCCTAAAAACTCATGTGGTTCCAGGCTTCTGGCCGACTCTCGGTCCCTTACGTCCTGATATATTACCTTCCCGCCACATGCAACGCAGAATTGAGAATGCTGTACGCTGGAGCGAAGGAATTGATGAGAAGCACGGCTGAGGTAGGTAGGGCCATAGAATTACAAGATCTTGAAGATCTTGAGTCGATTGAGGAGAAGCTGGGCGCTGAGCAATGACGCGCGCTGAGAGAGCCTGTGCTCTTAAATGCAGTCAATTTCAGGCGTTGATAGCACGGGTGATCCAATAGTCACGATTTCTTATGCATGACAGTGGCAGCAGCCTACGCCACTCAGATTAGTGTCTTCTTTTAGCTGCAGCAGATAGTAATACCTGGTGGTTTGGGAAGATCAATGAGTCTGCAATGACCACATTTTCTCTTCTCCCAGCATTGAACACGACTACCTCGGCGATATCCTTTGGCGTCAATGGCTCACATCCCTTGTACACAGCGTCTGCTTTGGCTTCGTCCCCGTAAAAGCGGACAAGAGAGAACTCCTGTCTTCATAAGCTCTTTGAATCTCGAAAACGGCTAGCTACCTTACAGTCTTCACTTGACCCGGAGCGACTTCCATCACTCTTATTCTTGTATTGATCAACTCTCTCCTCATTGCATCTGTAAAACTCGACACGGCCGCCTTCGTAGCGCAATATATTGAGCCATTTGGGTAAGGATCTCTCCCAGCAATCGACCCAATATTGATTATGTCACCCCTGCCTCCTTCCGAGCGCTTCTTGAAGATCGGTAGGATGGCTTGCGTCATATTGATCAAGCCAGTAACGTTTGTAGAGAACATGGTCTCGATATCTTCATCTTTGATATTTGGTGCTTGATCCACCCCCTTCACCAGGCCCCTGCATCGGTCAATTGAGTACTACAGTCAGATCTACTCCGAGAGTTTCACGAACGCATTGTTCACAAGTACATCAATCTGTTTGAATTCCTCTGGCAGGTTTCCCACAAAATGCTTCACGTCGCTGGACTTGCTGACGTCCATCTGCACTGGCAGTATCTTAACTCCAGGGCCAGCTTCTTCCATGATCTTTTTAGCCAATTCTTCTAACATATCAACTCTCCTAGCGGTCAATATCAATTTCAAATTCGTAGGTGAAGTTCGAGCGAATTCCAATGCTGAATCGCATCAGCGACCTGCTGCTCAATTGACTAGAGCCGACAAGACCTGTGCTTTTCCCAATGCCTGATGAAGCACCTGTAATGACAATTGTCTTTCCCTCGAGTCGTTTCTGCATTGCGGTTGCCATTGCTCTTCGTGTGAATTTGGAAAGTGACTGGACGCTCAACCAAAGCTTAGGCTTTAAGAGCCTCGTTACAATCCTCTGACGAGCGAAACAGTGACCTAGTCGCTGATTTATTTGCATAGAGGGGTGGAGGGAGATATGTGATGATGACGCACGTTTAAGGAAACAATCTTCGAGGGTTGACCCCTCTGGTGCCCCTACCGGCCACAAACCGGCCAATCTGTACGCTGCTCGAAAGTGATCAAAAATGCGCATGTCTAAGCTGCGTATATCTGCTCATAAACGCATATCATTGGGACTGGCCGGTTGGAGGGTGTGGCGGGTATCTGGGTATCAGAATCTGCACCTCAACTGCTACTGCTTTGATATTGAATAATTGGGATGACATGATCAGTGCCACGGGATTGAGAGTCCATTCTTCTGATGGCAAACAATGATTTCCAATTGTCAATACCGGACGTGATGGACTGCAAACCGAGATAACCAAGGGCTACAATGATGTCCAATGGGGCATTTGGATACGCGATGAGATCGGATTGACCTTAGGGTGATCACAATCGCCACAGGCCATTCACTGAGGCAGCAAGATCCAAAGCATGGATGTAACTGGTTTAACAGCAAGTCAAAGACTTCCACCGTGAGACTCCTTTGCCGCATAATCTGGATAAAGGGGAAACATCATATTCCGGCTACGAGCAGCTGGGCGCCACTGCACAAAATACTGAGGTCAATTGACTTCTCAAGGCCGACTCCCGTGGCTTTTTGGCCTCGATTACCTCGATTGCTTGCTTGCTGATACTTATCAAGTGTACTAGAATGTTCAACCTGAGAAGGTGTAAGACCTCTAGATCGCTTCAATTCTTGATGTAGGTATTGTTCACAGTTCACTGAATCCACAATGCGAGCCACTTTCAGTCCTGCAATAAAGATGCAAAAGACACTAAAGCCAAGTGATTTTCGTATTGTTGATCTCGATTGCTGTGAAACAATATTTGAAGTGCCCAAATCCGAGCTAGCGATTAAGCAACGGGCCATCATACCGAGTAAGGAATCATGCGGTCAGCCAAGCAGCAGCCTGACGTAGCAATATATTAAAAATTGGTCTCCCGACCTTGATAAGAAGATCATTCTGGAGGCCAGAACAAGACGGACTCACGGCATTAGCAGCCATTACTGCTGATAGGAGTTGAGTAGTAAAGAAATTGTCAATTGCCTCCTTTTCTTAACCCTTACTGGCCGTCAATCTGTTTTCGCTACTACGATTTCATCTTATGCACATAAATCACTTGTTTGCCACTCGATTTCCAAATTGGTAAACAAAGCCTGAATAAAGGACAAGAAAGCCAGTCATGTTTTCGTTTGCATTAACATAGTGAACCATGTCTCTTCATTGCAACCAGAAGACGCCGCTGCAAGGGACGCTTTCTAAATTAAACAACGTGGAACCGAACTGCATCAATTTCGCATGGGTAGCGACTCGTGGGGTGGCTTTGAACTCACGGTCATCCGATTTCCGTGTGTTGTGTACGTGTCAAGCCTATGGAGACAAAGATTGTCATGGAGATGACGACGTTCTCACGCAAATGCGTGTTGAGCGCCGTGTATGTACTCCATGAATGTGTGATTAAATTTGCCATATAACCATTTCCCAACGCGGTGAGTGTGTAATATTGTTCTCCCAGGCCCATAAGGTCTTGCTCACAGGCTTACTGTGGACTATTCTTTCCATCAATGAAGCTTTACAGATCTATTTTCGAAACAGTCGAGGTCCAACAGACATTTTAGACTCATCTCGCGATAGGATTCGACTGTTTCGCGCACTCCGAAGACCGCCAACAGTAACCTTATTAAACTATTTTCCCTCCAAAGTGTTCACCCAGATGTCTTCATTTCCCGACACCATATATTCGAACTCGTGGCAATCTGTCATCGAGAGTATGGTTCATACAAAGGCATGTCGAAGATCCTTGATGACTGCCATCCACTGACACAACAAGGTAGGCACGACATTGTGGAAACCACAACTTGATATCATATCAGTGTACCATCAAAGATGGTCCTGAGGTAAGGGCTTGTCCGTCTCGCGTCGGAAGTAGCTGATCCTCAATAGATCTTTCTATCTAGCACACGGAACAACACAGCAGGCCCTTGGCTACTAGAAGTCGCTGTTGCAAATCAGAGCGGCTGCTTGGGTACTTATAGCTACCTTGTACTTTATCTCATTCCAGTTGCTGGAATTTACGACTGTCATGTGGAGCACACAACAGAGCAAGGCCTACATGTTGTGGAACTCCAATGTGCGTGCTCGAATGACTTGAGTCAGCAAACTCGAGGCAATGTTGTCAACAAATCGACCATATTGTCTCCGTCCAGCTCCACAGACACGGTGTTTGACGATCAATATAAGTCAGCATCATTTTTTCCAAGAAACCCGCCCGAATCCTTTAAACCGACGTCCCCCGTGGAGTCACAATATGAGTCCCGAGCTATCACAGAACTAGACCCAGCCGTTGCCTATTGTCGTTCCAAGCCATCTATTCAGGCGGAGCCATCACCCGATGAAGTCGACCCAGCCATAGTAACATGCGGACCTCGGCATAGAGCCCAAAAATTGCCATTTATCATGGAAGTTGACCCGTCTATCATCTTTTGTGATTTTGGACGAGTCACTTACTTCGAGGTGGATGCCGATCCAGAGGCAATAAAGGTTACTTCAGTAGATGAGAGTGGGTCAGTAATTCAATGCCAGGCAGGGGTCGCAGAGCTCTTGCGGCCCGCCGAATTAGCAAAGGATCCAGTTGTAGTTGGATTCGCCCTTTCGCAGAAGCCACGAAGTCTCCGAACGACGAATAAAGCAGATGAGGACTTCTCACAGAGTTTGCCGGGCGTTTGTGAGCAAGCATTGACTGAGCCTTCTCATGACTGGGAAATGAGCTGGGTCGAAGATAAGTACGGTCTTGATGGTAGTGTCACGTTCAAAAGGGACATCTGGACTCCGGTATGTCCACTTGATGGACTTGATCTTGCCGCGTCGGCGAATCAAATGATCAGAATACTGGGCGACGTCAATGCAAATGGTGTCATATATGAAGAGGCTATTGGAAAGGTTGTGGCCCCTGAGATGATGAAACAATCAGCATCCGGCTTGTCCTCCGTCGGTGAAGCGCCTTTGATTCACGGCAACGCTTTTGTGTGCCTAGAAGTGCCTTCAGGCCCTGCAACATCAGTTGACATCGTGGAGGACACGATCATATCCTCTTCTAAGCTAGAACAAGATCAAGACATGTTTGCTTCGACCTTGAACCGTGAACAACATAGCCCTATCCCAGAGACTTCCGAAGCTACCGTGCAGGATGAATATTCGATGCAAGAGCTATTAATGCCTTCTCAGGCACCTGAGCTCAACTTTCCAAATTTATCTGAGGACTTGCTTAGCAATTTCTGGTGCAAGTTCAGCGACCTGTGCCAAGAGGGTTTTGATAGCGAGACGCCATGGGTTTACGGTAGAGACGAAGCTCATGTGCGGCAGATGGCGCTCGAAAGCATGAATAATGCCCACAGCCATACTTGTGGTGAGTTTATGGAGACTCTCGACCAGCTGTTTCCGCTCTATCTCTCCCTCTGGCAAAGGTCTCCAGATGACGCACAAGCTCATACACAGGCAGCTCACATGCAAGCGAAGAGCATTTTAGCTTGGGGGAATGTTATTCACCGATGGAACACCCTCGGGAACGAAGCACTAAAACACGATTATTCTCGTTTTGAATTGAAAAGTCAGAAGCCTGAGCAGGATGCGCCTCCCAGACCTCATCCCATTGTTTTCCGTGATGAGCTCACACATCATCATCACAATTTCAACGGAGATAAGGTTGCCCTCCGCTCAATGACTGACCCGGCGGACTCATGTTGGGCTGCTAAGACTACCACGCTCCCAAAATTGAAAGTCAACGACTTTCGTGAGGACGTCTCGATTCGACGAGTGCTAGCTGCTCAGGCTTTCAAATTCGTGGATCCTGTTCGATCTAGTGGATTTGAACAAATCGAAGACCTGCAAGGCTCTATGTTTCGTGATGCTGTCGTTGGATCCGTCAAAGTTCTATACCAACCTGGTGGTACTTGGGCGGAAGATATGGATGTGAATACTCTCAATCGCCCTCTGGAGGCAACAGAGTCCGACGGCTGCATTTATGCATGTGGCGCACAAATATGTCTGCACCGTCCGATATATCTTGCCTCCAGGGAGAATTGGAATCCTCCTCGTCAAGAAGTTCGGCCGTTGACCAATCTTAAAAAGGGTCTCCCCTTAAGATTGATGTGACCAAGATGTGGGCAGCGGAAGAGGTCATGCAGACGGCCCAACAAGAGGATGCGTTGGATACTCCAGAACTAACTTCTGGGGAGTCCAGCGAGGCGGAAACAGACTCTGAGGCTGACGAGGCTTATCATACCCGAGCCCCCGAGCTTAAATTTCTTCCACTTTCGAAACCCTGGGATGAATATGACGAGGATATGGAGGATCTCTTCGAGTGGAGGGATGGAGTCATGGCTTCCAACAAGATCGATGGGCCGGAGTCTCCAGATGCCGTCATGAACAGGGTATACGCCATGGTTCTGGAGGTATCTACGGAGCTTGATGCTTCCATGCGCCTTTCTCTAGACCGCTGAAAACTATTCCTGACTGTTGAGCGAACCATCACCAGCGGTTTTGAGCCACGCGGGCAATTCATTCCTGACATGACTCATTTAATTCAATCTTTCACTTGACCATCGATCGTCTACTTCCGCTTGCGCATTCAACGGTCTTCAGGAGAACACTAGTCACCCAAAGAATCCAGCGCCCAAATGAAGGCTGATTCTCTTGACAGTAAATACATATATGAGATGCGTCTGGCGAGGCCAAAGGGGACATGGAGTCCGACCCAGCTAACCATACACAAGCCATCGAGCCTCAGGTTCCGCCCCTTGTCCTCCTTTGATCGAACCCCCTTTTAGCTCAATAGTAGCCTTGAGATGAGGAAGACGGGAACATGGACGATATGTTGGTTCGGACAAGGAACATAACCGTGGCCGATACCTACAAGGTCAATCCAGAGCTTCTAGACAGTCCTGTAATGAATGGCGCAGGTACTATGCTCCTGGAGAAAGATGCGGAGTTTGACAGCAAGGCGTCAGACGTTCTATAAAGATATTGCGGTAGAAGCCTGGCACATGATGTTCGGCAATGAATCTCGTCAAAGGAGAACAATGCGTGCCAGCAAACAAGGGGCAGAGTGGATGACATGATGGATAGGAAATCGGCACGGAAGGAAAGTGCGGCCGCATAATTTGATGACTGCGAAGCTGGGTGGTCGCTATCACGTCTGCTATGCATCCTAATAAAACATGAATACTCACATTAGAAACGTTAGCCTTTCCCAGCCTCCCTTAAGGATCTTAATTCTTACAAAGCCTGCCTTTTTCGGCTATTGATACCACCAAAATGACGCTTGCACTGTAGGATTTATTCATGCCAAAGAGATGGATGATGCTTGCCTAAATCCTTGAATCGTCCAAGCCTTCATACAAAGGCACGTCCCAGCCCTTGCTGGGATTATTGAATCTCGTCAAATACTTTTTGCCAACGGCAGCAATCAGTTGTAGGTCAACTTTCTGCAGATTGCACCTTCTCGATTCCCAGTTCTCGACGATCCTCTCTGCGTGCTGACTCTTGGGAATCACACTTGTTTCGCGCGCCATGCCCCAGGCCAGAGCTACCTGCGCATTCGTGCACCCTCTTCTTTCTGCAATTGTCGTTATTTCCTCGTTGTCGAATAGAGAAGGCGGCCCACCAAGTCGATGGCCGTAAGTCGGGTTGGCGCTTGCCAGGGGAGAATATGCCGTTACACTGATGCCCAAAGCCTGGTGCCAGTCCACGTAATCCGATTGCTGGAGGTAGGGATGCAATTCAAATTGGTGCACGGCAGGCTTGATGGTTGCATTGATTTGTAAGGTGGAGACCTGGTATGCATCGAAGTTGGAAATACCGATGAATCGGACCTTGCCGCTGCGGACGAGGTTCTCCATTGCTGCCCATGTCTGAAATAAGTGTCATTTGAGACTATCGTCCGAGAGTGAACCCGATTGGCTTACATCGAGATATTCGATACCATTGACTCCATTCACATTCGCTACAGGCCAATGCATGAGGTACAGATCGAGGTATCCCAATCCAAGACGGGACAGCGTCGCTTCAAGCGCCGCGGCCACATTTTGTACTCCATGGCTGTAATCGCGAACTGTCAGTGATTCGCATCAGGATCAAGGGAGGTAGCAAACTCGGTATTCCAAAGCTTCGACGTTATCCAGACGTCTTCGCGCCTTATATCGGCCTTCACGAGGCCGTCAACGATTCCCTGACCAACTTCAACCTCGTTGTTGTATACAGCAGCACAGTCAATGTGTCTGTAGCCAGTCTGAATTGCGGCCGAGACAGCATCGGAGGTGTTGCCTCGCAGGTTCCTGCTTTTCCGTTAAATTATATTCCTTCTACTTTGCATGATTGGGAAACAACCAGGTTCCAAAGCCAAGTAGAGGGATGCTGGCAGGCTGCTCATAAGTGATTGATTGCTGTGATCGCGCCCAGCTGAGAGTGATCAGGGGCAGGACGAGGAAAGCCTGAAGATGCATCTTGCGCGCGCGTGGGGAATTCAAGGTGTGTTCTCGCCCAGTAATTGCGGTTCCATGCGGGTTCTGCCTCTGGAGAGATGCGACGGAGTGGGTGATGACGTCAGGCCTCGGATGGCCATGACTGGCGATTTCCTCAGCGTACAAATGTTAATTTTACGGGATTCAGTTCGCATGGCTATCAACGCGATGTACAGCCTGAGGCAAAGCCAAAAATACTCTTCTCCATCGCTCTGGTGTCCATCTTGCTTGCCGCGCACTATTGACAATGCCCGTTACGGACATCAAGAATGATCAGACACAATAGTAAGAGGGAAGGTTATGGACCGCGAGCAACATCGCAAGGCGGCCGCCAGGTTCATTCCACCGCCCCACATGTTTGCTTTGTAATAAAATCATGTGCAAGGCTGAGATCTCACTTTGGTCGAATTCTGGCCTGTTCTCGCCTGTGTGAGAGAATCGCGTGGACGGTTCAAGGGAGTTGGAGGCCAAATCGAGATGATTACCGGCGCAAGCGGATGGGAAAAGGTTCGCGGTCGAAACATGTGGAGAAATGAAGATGCATGTCCGTGTGTTTGTATTCCAAATACTCCGTAGCTGTAGGGTGGGACAGGTTATTGCGTTATCACACCAAATGTAGCCTGATGCGTCATCTTTCACTGCCCCTCAACTCTCAAACTTCCTTTCTAATCACTTCAGCTTTCTCATCCATCTCCATTCCAAATAACCTTCCCTACTCGAACGTTCCATCTACTCTCCTATAAAGCTCATTGCGTCTGTCCCTTGTCATCTTCAACCTGGCATCAAACGTCCGCTTCACCTCGAACACTATCAGACGCCTTTCATCAACAACCAAAGCATTGCCGCTGCGAATTGCTCAACCTACGCATTCAGCGAGACAAGCCTCAGCCATCAACATATCTAGCATTCGCAGATCTTTCCACACCACCCCGATCCCAAAAATGGCCACAGGCACAGAGAAAGGCGTGCACAACATTATGTCGTATGTCTATCTTTCTTCTTACAATTTATATTCCCAAATAAACCGCAGGTCGATGCTAATATACATGACTTCTTTAGCAAATCCGACTGGACGACCGCCCTCAAAGATCCCTCAGTATTGGTTCTAGACTGCATGGCGACTTGGTGCGGTCCTTGCAAAGTCGTTGCGCCACGAATTGTCAAGCTGTCACAACAATACGAGAATGTCCGATTCTACAAGATGGACGTCGATGAGCTTCCTGACCGTAAGTCTGCTGACAAGGTCTCTCTCGTTTGTTTTCTGCATGCTAACGCGGCCCATCCATAGTCGCTCAAGAACTCGGTGTACGCGCAATGCCAACCTTCCTAGTGTACAAAGACGGCAACAAGGTTGAAGAGATCGTCGGCGCTGATGATAGGCGCGTTGAGGCGGCATTCAAACCCCTGCTGTAGATAGGACAATTTGCTGCTTGAATTGGCTATACATTGGCCCGCAAGCGAGAGGAATAAGTTAGGACATGGAGTCGGCGGGCAACGATTAAGCGGAGCCTTTTGAAAATCATCAAATCATGGGAGGAGGCATGAAGCTCTATAGGCCGTCTGATAATTCATGTATCAATGAGAATCTAGCCACTTCACATAACCCCAAGATCATTGCCCTGGTTTTGTTCCACTGTCGTTGGGAATCGAATGTTCCTGGATTCCCATGTTCCTTCGATGATGGCACGATGACTACTGCCTGATAGCTCTTTCGGTCACTCCGTCTGATAATGGCTGGACCGAGGGGACATGCTTAGGGTGCGGAGCGGGCACCAGCGGGCATCAGGGGTTGTGTCATCAGCCCTACCTAACGAGTGTTGACTTACCTTACAAAGGAAGCAGCACAATACGATGAAGGTCCGACAATAGGGAAACACCAGCCCCCTTATTGGTTCCACCACTCTGGTAGCTTCTGATTTTTGGTACTTGCTTCCTGGCATATAAGCCACACACCTAATTCCCATTGAACTCACACCAAGTCATTCGCTGCTGCAGATGACAATGATGCACGTGGCATAGCTTCCTCAACGTTTGCCCTCTTCAGAAGACTTGAACAGTGCCAACACCCTCGGACCTCTCTGCACCTCCTTCAGTGGTAAAGTCACTACAACATGGCACGCAACAAGGCACGCAAGAAGCGAGGCACCGAGGAGATCCTACAATTGAAGGCTATGGGCCTCACTTGCGTCAAGACGACAGGCAACGGTGAGCTCCTACTTGAGAAATGAACCACATATTACCACCTGCAATCTCATGACTGATTATATGCATAGGTAATTGCTTGTTCCACGCACTTTCAGACCAGATGTATGGCGACCAAAGCCGTCATGCCCAGCTTCGGGCGGATACCGTGCAATACATGAGAGACCACCCTGGAGAGTTCAAAGCATTCGTCATAGCAAACCCTGGAGGAGGTATTCGACGCAATCCAAAGAGGAAGAACCCTGGAGCACTTCGCGACACTTTCGATCCTACGCCTCCAAGTGAGGCGGACATCGACACAGCTTTCACCCTGAGCCTTGATGTCATGGCCAAGGGAGGCACATATGGTGACAATGCAGAGATTATAGCATTTTCTAACAAGTTCCACGTCGATATTCGCATTTGGTCTGCTGCAATTGGGGCCTTTTTGAGCGTGGACTGTGATGCCGCTCCTACTGAAGATGTGCAAACACTCTATATCGTGCATCATGTATGTGTATATGAATACCAAACCTGTACTACTCAGCTGACATCTTAGACCTATGAACATTTCTCATCTATCCGCAACATCGATGGTCCTGCCACAGGACTGCCCCATATAAGCGTCAAAGCAATATCACCTGAGGCTCGCAAACAAATACAAAGGGATCTGGCAGCGAATCCGCCAATTGAGGAATGGATGGTCAACCTAGCTATGGAGTCATTGCCTTACGATGCTAACAGAAATATGGTCGAGCAGACGCTGAAACAGTGTCGGGGAAACATCAACCTTGCGGTCGACCTATTGCTCCCAGAAACCTCTCCGGAGACCAGTGAAAGAAGCTCTAGCATCGAGCGGGATCCAGATAGTGACGATGAGAAGGATCAAAAGCCAACCAAAAAACAGGATCGTCGTCAGAGTCGTCCACACCCTCTTAGCCAGAATCTTGCTGTCCGTTCTAAGGATGGTGACCTAGCTTCTCCCGATCCTCACGACCTCTCCTTGGCCTTGAAAAAAGTAGGAGACACCAAGGAATTTGATCCAGACGAGACGGAGGAAGAAGATTGGAAAGAAGACGGGCCATATCATGACTCCGAATCAGCTTCCGTTTCAACTTCGGCCTCAGACTACTCCAATCCGGACCAATCGCAACAGTCTACCTCGGGTGTTACTCGCTTTCGACTCTCACAACCTAAAAAACCACAAGCTTCGACGTCGCCAAGCACAAGCAGCGACAAGCCCAAAATTGAATACGAATTGACAAGCATCAAGCCGAGACGAGTGATCGCGAAGCCACGGAGACGTCGGTTAGTCAACGGTAACGACCGCGCAGCTGATCTCGCCAAAAAATCGGCTCGCAATCAGCATATGGCCAATCATGCGACGGCCAACAGCCAACAAGAGAATGCACCGGTGCAGGGCATCAAGGCTATCAAGATATAGATTTCCCGACCTCATGAGGCATAGATAGACATGGTGATCCGGGGAAAGGTGGAGGGTGAAGGGAGAAGAAAGCATCATTTTGAGCGTAAAGAGCGGCATTTCGTCCCGGAGTTTCTGTTTTGAAGAGTACAGGTCGAGGTTGGTGAGGAAGTGCTCCGTTGACACCAATCATGGATCGCCTGTTGGAAGCATAGAGCAACGGCGTCCGATGGAAGCCTTACGAATTTTCTTACTGACATGATGGGAAGGAAGGAGATGGGCGAGGGGTTCTGAGATATAAGCTTGTTGGATAGATGTGTAGAACGGCAGAGGTGTATATGGTGAAGGCACATTGATGACGGGGAGAGAGAGGACATAGCATGATAGTGACATATGGGTAGTATACATTACCGCATCTACGACATTGACGACAGAATTCTAGGAATGCACAGATTACTGGACGGACGTCTTCTTGGGGATATTAGTGTACCTGCTTTACGCATCCTTGTCGTCCTGGCTTTGAGTTTCGCCCGTGACATGTGAGCTTCGACCAATGAGCTCCGGTAGGCGATCGAAGTGGGACCAGAGCAGCTGCTGGCATGGATTCGACGGAGATGCGAGATGAGATGCATGATAAGATGATGTTGCATTTGCCATTGCGACCCGGTGAGGCCGTTTGTCACGCGGTAGGGCACGACATCATTTGCCAGGTTCTATATCGAGCTGGCGGAGATGGTGGAGAAGTGCATAATTACCGTTTTGAGCGCAATGCTGTCATGGTTGAATATTGGTTGATCCTGATCCTGATCGTTTGTGCCTCAACCTTGTGGCGCACAGACGCCCTGACAATCTTATTGGCTCGGCCACTAGCCCTCAGCCACAGAAAGTCAAGTTGCTCTAGTTCTATTTCGCGGAATCGCTGCTGCTGCTCTCGCCCCTAACCAGTAACCACGCCCATGTTCCAAGTCTGTCAAAACCTCCCATCAGTGATCACACGCCCATGCGTGGCATTCAGCCTAGTCTACCCTTCATCATCAGTGCCACACGTCTGATACAGCCACATTCCTTTCATCTTTGGCCAGCCTATCTCGTTCTGCTCACACGCCGCTTGTCACGCTGTACCCCACACACCATCTTCCACCCGTCGCATCACTTCGTCACCGTTGAACCGGGAGACCTCTTCGTCTCATCATAATCGCGTGAGATGTGACCGATACAAGTAGAAGTTCCCTCAATGCGACCCAAGTCGCCCCCAACGGCAGAATCTCAGCCAAGCTGTCGGCCTTTTTGTGTTGGCGTCGCCAGCGCCGGCGGCGGCCGAGTGGGGGAGAAAAGCTCCTGAAAAAGGGGTCTGAAGACGAAATGGCAATTTGGCCGTTTGGCCGCAAGTCTAAAAAGCGCTCACCCTCGACCGACGACTCAGCCATGCCGGCCACAAAGCAGCCCCCACCAGAACCATCAAGAACAGAACCCAATTCGCGATCAAGTGATCGGAGTGAACCTACATTAGGGCGGAGACCGAGTCGAAAAGAGAGTCAGAAGAGTCAGAAACGACCACGAAGTTCATCGAGAAAGCTCAGCAAATCCAATGCTCCGAGCATCCGAAATGCCGAAAAGAATGAAGACATTCCGCCCATGCCAGCGCTTCCAGAGCAACGAAGAAACGAACTAAATGAGCTGGCTGGCCTCAATCGGATGAACATCCAAGCCACGCAACCTCCGACGAACCGCGACGACATACCCTCATACTATTTCCAAAATCCCATGTCCCAATCCAGCTTGCAGCCGGAAAAGTTCTCAGTCATTCGCGAACCGCCAACACTGCAGGCAAAGCGATCCGCGCATGATCAAGGCATTTTGAGGAGGAAGTCGAGCAAAAAGAAGAGAGATGATCATGCACGCGAACAAGAGATTAAAGCAATGAGCGCGCCAATACCCATTCCCAAGCGACCGAAATCTTACCAAACCGATATGCTGGCTCGTGACAGCAAACGCATCCCAGGCGATTTGAACCGCAGCCTTGACCGGCCGCTTTCGAATGTCTCATTGCCACTTGCAGAGTCACTCCATTCGCAAATGTCTACATCTTTTGATGCACATGCATTTCAAGTTGGCTCATTAGGTGCACTCGTACCACGACCAACAATCCGATATTCTGGGACTCAAGCTTCACCATCAGGAAGTCTCCGCCCCTCAAGAACATCGACACGAAAGGACAAGCAACCTATGATTTTCGAGGCAGACGAACCTCTAGAAAATCCAAGAAGAAGAATCGACGACTTAGCTGATGATATGGATGCGGGAAGCCTAAGGGAATTGATGGATCGGGATCGACGAAGGCTAGAGAAACGGAGGAAATCGGAAAATGAGAGACTACAGCGAAGGCTGCAGAAGAAGAGCGAACACCAAAGACAGCAAGAAGAGGCTGTGAAGTGGGTTGCAAGTCAAGAGGGCGAGCAGCAGCCCCACGCTGGGCTTGGGACAAAAGAGCCACCTACGGATCCAGATACGGATGCAGTGGCGACACCAAAGAAGGGAGACGGAACGCGCACTCCAGAGTCATGGCTCAAAGATCCCTCGAGAGAACGGCTGGTACCTGAAGATCCATTCCATGACCCCTTCGTTGGAGCGTCGACATCTCATTTAGAGGAAGCTACTCCGATCGAAGAACGCGAGGAGCCAGTCCTTGCGACTGCGAAGGCGATCAGACTCTCTTCAGCTAGCATGACGCCTCCTACCTCTCCATCTCGGCAGATTCATGATCCTAGACATTTAAAGGAACCCTCAAGCTTATCGCAATTTTCTGAGTTGGCACCAAGCAGTACACCTGACATTCCCGAGAAGCCAGAACCAGAACAGAAAACGGATTCGGACACTGGTGGCAAGCTATCATCGAGCTGGAAATCTATTTTTCGACGGAGCGATACTCGTGTAAAGAGAGGCTCTGCAGATCGTGGACGAGCTGATAGAGCGGCTACGGGGCGAGGCACCCCTTCAGAGTTTTCTAACACATCGCGAGAGTCTTTTTCACGTCAAATGCAATCGTCGAGCTTTCCCCGAGTCCCACGAGTGAGATCTGGGACACCCATACGCACGCAGTCAATATTCAAAGAAGATCTTCCAGAATTACCTATCTCGCCGCCAGACTCTCGAATGCAGTCACCGGAGACAGCAGGCCAGGCTCCATTGCCTGGTATACCTGGATCCCGTGGCAATGATGCTGCTGGAGCGGGCGAAGAGCCTCCGCTGTCGGACATTCATCCTGCTTATAGGGCAGAGGTTGCTCTTAGTAGAAATGCTTCCCTTCGTGCAAAGTCGCCTGAGGAGCCTCAGAGCGCGACCATATCAGAATCTCTAGCTTCAGTCGACGCAGAAGGTTCGTGGCTAACGGGAAAGCCTGTCAAGCGGACCTCTACACCTCAGCCCTTGCGGGAAAGCTTTCGTTTAGAGCATCCAGAGGACTCTGATGAAGACAGTTCGCCTGGGACTCCACCAGCTGAGAAGTACATGGGCTCACTTACCCCTGTTCGCAGCAAAAGTAAGCGATCAGTCGACGAAGCACTTGTTGTCCCTCAGCGGATACGCCCTCGCATAGATCCCGGCAGCAGCACGGGGGACGACCACACCAACGACAACAGCGCTTTGCACTCGGCTCCCTATCCTGGCGTCCAAGAAGAAGGCACGACCTGGCACAGTGCGGTCGGTAAACACCCCACCATCGTTCGTCCAGGCGTCGGTAACCGCGCTCGATCGCGGGAAGGCCTCCTGAACGACTTTCAAGGAGCAGAATCAGGAAATATCGAGGAAAGCCGAGACTCATCACAATCCCCCTCAGAGCATTCCCCTAGTAGCCCCGAAGGCCCACCTCCCATTCAACGTGCCGTCAGCGTCGATCTCGGCAAAGGACATGCACGACATATCAGTGCTGGCAGCGCGAAGTTACTGAACCTGCCCCCAAGAAGTTCAATGGAGATCAAGCGATTGAGCTCTGGCAGTGCTCATAGCGGCGGAGAGAAGAGCCCACTTTCACAGTCGCCGAGGGTACCTGAGGAAACCAAGGCTGACGACGTCGATTGATATTGGTCTCGAACACTTGATATACTAACCTCCCTCCATTTGGCCTGCTTGGTTTGCAAAATGATTTCATTCGATTAATGGGAGATGGCATCGCTCGTTTAGACCAAATATACCCCCCTACAGTTTTATCAGTCAGTTTTCTATTCCTATCACTGCACGAGATGGGCTGCAGCTGGCGTCAAGTAAGAGCCTCCATTGATGGGAGGTATCTACACTAACTACCTTTCCTTGTGTATTGTTCATAAGTTTGTTGTATCTATGTATCTATCACTGAGGACTTTGGAGGCCTGAAGGACACAGTGGGATGGTTAGATGAATCAGTATCTATCTCGTGAACGGAGAAGGCAAAGGAAGGAAGAGGGGCGAGGTGAGAGAGTAGTGGAAGAGAAGAGGAAGGAGGAAAGGGATGCTGTAATGCCAACATTGAGTCAAGAGGCAATGATAGTGGACGATATGTAGTGGCAAGGCATGTCCACTCAAACGAGACTCGATCAGAACAATTTCCTTTTTGCGAAGCATTTGAAGTCGATGTCTTCTTCGAGCATTCCTTTCTTTCACAACGTCATTAACACGAAGTTACGTTTGGATTCTCAGCTTCCATCTGTTCTGTTCTCTGGCACAAAATATGGTATTCTATCTAAACGGGCAACAGCCTGCTCCCTTGGCTTTTACTTCAACGACAAGAGATCAGCGTTTGGATTGCTTTCGTGACAGACCAGAGCTTTTATTTCCAGTAATAGGCCACCTCCAAGGCCAAGGCCAAGCAGGCAAAAGACATGACATATCCATCTCCCACCTGCACTCAATCTATCCCAAACAACGTCTCCATTGTGTTTGTAAGCTTTCCTTCTGGTAAGCTGTTATGAATGATAAAATTGAATGACTTTTGTTCGTCGTGTCTCTTACTAGCTTGTGAATCCATCCAAGATCGAAGACCTGAGATTTTTTTCTTCGGTGATATAATTAGTCACTGATTAAAAGCCTCTCTAGTGTGTCCAACACCACGAGTGTTCTTCGACCTAGTGTAGATAAACACTGTCACCCTCCAACAATACGTATTGATATGATCGTGCCCCCGATCAATACCTCAAACGTCCCGCCTCATTTCCTGCCCCTGCTCCTCGCCCGTTCCGCCATCAAATTCTGGCCCAATTCCATCGCCCCTCCTGTTTCGCTCTAACCGCCATCGGTAGTATGGATGAAATGAGTCTGTGGGGTCTAAGAAACCGAATCGCTGGGCTTGCTGACCCGTCATCCGTTCGAGATATTGTCGCTCTATAATACCCTCTAGATGTGAAGGAGACATGGAGATGAGCCGACATATCTTTTCAATATCTTGCTCGACAGTGCCTGGGGGTTGTGAGGTCTTAGGGAATAGGCTCTCATAGATATGCCCCGAAGAAGAAACGTCAGACTCAGTGTCGGAAGAGAAGATGTCTTCGTTCGGTTCTTCCGGAGGTCGAGAAGTAGAGTCGGTGGTACTGGTAGTAGGGATAGGCTGGGTGCTATTGTCAAGCAGCTGAGCTACTTGTTTGCCTTGCGTCATTGCGTCGATACGAGGACAGCTTATGGCGTCTAGATATTGCGAGTCAGTCATTTCTGATATTAGGTGCGGGCCAGCGAGAGAATTTTGATAGGCCATGTTCTCATCGCGAATTTCAATCGATTCATCGTTGTCGAAATTGTTCCAGGACAGTCGCTGCCATGGCTCATCGCGCATGGCCCGGAGAAGTGTGGCAGTCGCACTCATCCCACCGTACAGCTGGACGCTATCGTTGTCGGCTGTGTCTTTGACGGTCATGTTCACGTCCTCAGCTAGTTCTTCCTTTGGCTTTTCTCCGCGCTCTCGGCGAGCACTTGCCTTGTTCAGCTCGTCCATTGCGTCTAGGTGGGCAAATTGCGGACGTAGTTGGACTATGGCGTCGACTTTCGTCCATGTACATATGGCTTGATATCATGTCAAAGAAATAACATATTCTTGAATATCCGAGACTTACTGCCTTCATACATCGCAGTCATGTAGATGGGATCACCGTCTTGAAAAGGCACAATGCGACCACCTAAAGTGAATCTGTTCATCACTGGTTTGATCTTTTCATCATTCTCTGAGTCGTCCGGTGATCCATTTCCCCTTGTGCCACCCATTACTACGTCCTCGTTGTCCCTGAATGACCGCTTTGCGCTAATACCAAGTCCTCCTGCTAGACCGTAGGAGACGCTTCTTTGCGGGTCTTTGGCCTTACTCAAGGCTTCCGCAAAGATGGCGCCTTTTTCCATATCATAGCCCGCGTTCATAGCAACAGGCAGATCGATTTCTATCACACCAGATTTTGGTTTCATCCTGACCTCTACCGGTTGCTTCATCCTACGCTCACGACGGAGAAAGTCTGGACCATAGCAAGGATACTGAAGTAACAACACTCTTTTGGACGATTGGTTTGTGCACAGGCTATATTTTTCTCTCGCCTTACCAAAATCACGTTGCTTCTTGGCTGGGACTTCAGGGGCTGGAACGGACTTGGGTCTATGATGACGCGGACCGTTCTCATAGAGGCCCAAATCATTCCAGAAGCTTACATTTGCTTCACGTTTGTGCTTTATTTCATCCGCACTTAATGACTTTTTGGAGCTTGGGGGGCTCATTTGATCTTCAAGCACAGTAGCGTCGGTCTGTTGCACGCCATGACCTCTAGAAGGGTTTGCTTGGCTTTCCTTATCCTTACGGGGGTTTGCTCTTCTCATACGAGCCATCTTCAACGATCATAAAAGGACTCAGGCTGTAGAGCTTTCTTGCATACCACCAGGCTAGGAGAGGGCGGGTGGGGGTCATTGTACTGATATATGCGCAGACCAGTACTCAGTATACAGTACCGCCACAAACCAATGACGCGTGTTGTCTTCCTGCGACTTTGGCCCACCGCCCTGGTGCCATCGTTCACAATCCCATTTACAGAACACTTGACTGTTTTCAAAAACCTATACCAGAGTTAAAAGCCTGATGTGTCTAGGCTTCGAAAGATCTTTGGATACATTCCCTCTTCCCTCTTGGTTGCGATTGGTTACCCCTTTGGTGCCATTTTATTCAATAAACCCAAACCACTCGAGCTGCAACTTTTATTGCCGTTTCGACCTAGTAAAGAATCCTCCTCTAGCTGTCGGACTACCGATGCTACTTTTGACTCAACAATGACTTAATGATCTCACTATCGATTCAATCATGTGATTGCTGACGGTCCACCGTTCGGTGCCGATTTCATTCAACAATCTCACTTTCTACGATTGCCTACGATCCAAATGTCGATTTAACCGAACAATCTCGCCCTGACTAACGGTCACCCTCTGGTGCCGATTCTACTAACAGCCTCATATTCATAAACCTTGTCCTGCACTCCCGTAACAATACATATTCCTACTTTTCTATATTCACGTGTATCGAACCAAGGACACAACCTAAGAAAACTTCATTGCAATCAACAATAAACTCAATCGATCGCCTAAAAACCAACAACAGTCCTAAAGATGGCTTACTTAGCCCCAATCCATAGACCAACGAGCGTCAAATATGCTTTGAAGCTCAATCTATTAGATCCAGATGAACAGTGCCTTATCCTTGCGTAAGTTGACATCAACTGCTCGACCGTTGTGATCTGATTGTGCTTAGCAAATCAAATCGCCTAGAGATCTACAGCCAAACCGACGATGGTTTAGTACTCTATCATACGCGGACCATCTATGGCAAGATAGCCATGCTTGAAAAACTCAAGCCGGCCTCCTCCGCCTGTGACCATCTGTTTATTGGGACTGATAGGAATGTTTATTTTACAATATTTTGGGACGCCCAGTCGAAGCAACTGCAAACACACAAATCACTTGTAGACCAAGCTGATAAGTCCTCGAGAGACTCACAAACGCTTGATCGGTGTCAGATCGATCCTTCTAAGCATTTTATGGCCTTACTGCTGTATGATGGTATTGTCACTATTCTTCCCCTGTCGTCCAAAGGCAAAAAGAAAAGTGGCAGTATGGACGAGCTCGGTGAGCCTGTTCAGACTCGCATATCTGATCTTTTCGTGAGGTCTTGCGTTTGGCTCCATTCTCGAGAAGACGACAAAGAGCAATTCAAGCTTGCTTTCTTGTTTGAAGATTCTCATCAGAAAGTCTGTTTGAGTGTGCGTGCACTTGACTATACAGCTGGTGGGAGTGCAGATCCAGGCAGCGCCGAACTAGAGAATGTCCTTTTCTATGATAACGAGATAGAACGAGGAGCAAGTCACTTGATTCCCGTTCCTGGACCAGTCCACGGTGCATTAATCCTTGCAGAGACTATGATATACTATTTTTCTTTTGCTGATGACGATGAAGAGCCGCTGAGTGAGCCCCTGGATGCTGCAGCTCAATTTGTCGCGTGGACAGCAGTGGATGATTATCGCTGGCTGCTTGCAGATGATTATGGAAAATTGTATCTTTTGATGCTGCTTCTCGAAGACGCCGAAGTAAATGGATGGAAATTGGATGCAATCGGAGAGACTTCAAGGGCTTCTGTTCTTGTTTACCTCGACGGAGGATTGGTCTTCGTAGGATCTCATCAAGGTGATTCCCAAGTAGTGCGGATTTTGCCGAATGGCGGAATCGAGCTCATTCAAACAATCTCCAACATTGGTCCTGTTTTGGACTTTTCCATCATGGACATGGGAAGTCGGTCGGCTGAAGGGCAAACCAATGAGTATTCGTCTGGACAAGCCCGTATAGTAACCGGGTCCGGGGTTTTCAAGGACGGCAGCCTTAGAAGTGTCCGCAGCGGTGTAGGCTTGGAAGAGCAAGGCGTACTCGGCGAGATGGACCACGTCATAGAGCTCTTCGCGTTACGATCCTCACCCACTAAAGCCTACGATGACATCCTGGTTGCATCATTTGTCAATGAAACCAGGATATTCCGATTTAGTGCCGAAGGAGAAATCGAAGAGCAAGCAGTTTTCAACAGTCTCAAACTGTCAGAAAGCACGTTGTTGGCGACTATGCTCCCCAATGGGTCTACCCTACAGGTCACTCCATCTTCGGCTCGCTTGATAGACAATGAGAATGGAATGGTGCTGAGTGAGTGGTCGGACACGAGAGGGCAACCAATCACGGCAGCATCAGCAAGTCAAGATCGATTAATCCTTTCTGTCGGCGGCACAGAGGTGGTGACCTTCAGTCTCACCGATGACCTGGTGTGTCATACAAGAAGGGTATTTTCCGAGGGCCAAATTGCTTGTGTCCATGTATCCGATTTCAAGTCTGACATTGGGTTCGTGGGCTTCTGGCAAGGTGCTGAAATTGCGCTTGTAAACATCATTGACCTGCAAACTCAGCAAAAAATGAGAATAAGCGATGAGGGTACCTATGTGCCTCGATCTTTGCTTCTGCAGCGCCTCATAGATTCTGCACCTCCTCAAACATTTACTTTTCTAATCTCAGCTGCTAGTGGTGAAGTCATTACATTCTCTTTTGATTCGAACTCTTTGGAGATATCGCAACGGAAAGTTACGGTTCTAGGTACACAGCAAGCAAACTTGAAGGCAATACCAAAAACAGGATTTGCACAAAGTCTTTCTAATGTATTTGCGATGTGTGAACATCCAAGCTTGATTTATGGCTCAGAGGGACGTATTGTGTATTCAGCTGTTACCGCAGAAAAAGCCACCTCGATATGTCCGTTCAATTCAGAGCTATACCCTGGAGCCATCGCTATTGCCACGCCACAGGATATAAGGATTGCCTTAGTGGATACCGAACGGACAACGCATGTTCAGACTTTACATATTGGGGAGCTTGTTCGAAGAATAGCCTATTCGCCTTCACTCAAAGCTTTTGGGATTGGCTCAATCCATAGATATCTAGAAGGCACACAAGAGATCGTGCAAAGTCGATTTAAGCTTGCTGATGAAGTTCAATTCAAACAACTTGATACATTTGATCTCAACAAGGAGGAGTTAGTGGAAAGTGTCATCCGGGCGGAGATAGTCGAAGACGGCGATGATCCAGTCGAGCGCTTTATTGTTGGCACAACATACATGGACGAAGAGCAGGGCGATGCTATAAGAGGCAGGATCCTGGTCTTCGCTGTAACCACGGAACGTGTCTTGAGACTGATTACAGAACTTCCGGTGAAAGGCGCCTGCAGAGCTCTCGGATGTATAGATGGTAAAATTGTGGCGGCACTAGTAAAGACGGTTAGTCCTGTGATACCCAGAGCTTCTGCTTCATGTGAGATGATATATTTCCGCTGACGAGACCTACAGGTTGTTGTCTATACTCTTAGATCATCCCGATTGCAAAAGCTGTGCACCTATCGAACAGCGACTGCGCCAATTGATCTCGCTATTCACGCTCCGACGAAACAAATCGCGGTGGCTGATCTTATGAAATCTATATCGATCATTACCTACCAGCCGCCCTCCAATTCCAAATCTGGTGACATAAGCCCCAAGCTCACAGAGACAGCGCGCCACTTTCAAACAGCATGGAGTACCGCTGTAACCCATGTTGGAAAGGACACTTGGCTAGAGAGTGATGCTGAAGGCAACCTGATGGTACTTCATCAAGATCGAAACGCACTCTCAGCAGACGACAAACGCCGCCTTCGAGTCAACAGCGACATACGATTAGGTGAAATGGTCAATAGAATTCGGCCTGTCAACGTCAATACACCACCGACGGCGCCCGTCATTCCAAAAGCCTTCATGGCTACAGTGGAGGGCGGCGTATACCTGTTTGGTCTCATCGGATCCGCTTACTTAGACTTGCTCATATCGTTGCAAGAGGAACTTGCCGAGCTTGTCGAGAGCCTTGGGGGTGTTCCATTCAACAGCTACAGAGGCTTCAAAAACCAAGTTATGGAAAAAGACTCCCCTTATCGATTTGTGGACGGGGAATTGGTTGAGGCTTTTCTAGACCTCTCGGCACCCCAACAGCAACAAGTTGCCGATAAGCTTGGGGACACCGCAGAGTCCAGAGGTGGAGTAGAGGGGCTAAGAGAGCTAGTCGAGACATTGCGGCGACTACACTAAGAAAGTTGGATGTAAATAGGTTCGTCTGGATGAGATATGAAAACATTGTGCAATGAGGTATATTTTTTATGCTACGCCAAGCTTCCTTCCGCCGTGCCACCCATTTATCAATAGGCACCAGGCATCATATAATCCAATCTTAGCTCCATTTTCCTCTTCCCAAGTTCTTGAACCCTACTCACAACCTCAACATGTGCTCTGGAGATATATTCCTCGCGATCCTAGCGGTCTTTTTCCCACCCATTGCCGGTAAGACAGCGTCTATTACACCCTTTTTCATCTGCATCCTCAAACCCTCACGTCTCCGAACCCCCTCTCCCCCTTCCTACATCTCTTTTCCTTTGCTCCACTGAATCAAATTAATCACCTCTCCACAGTCTGGATCAAATCAGGCATCTGCACCGCCGACTCCGTCATCAACCTCCTCCTTTGTACCCTCGGCTACATTCCCGGCCTCCTTCACGCCTGGTACATCATCTCCCTCTACCCCGAGTCTGAATATGAATACGAAAGAATTCCCGTGAACGATACAGAGGCGCAACAAGGCGGTGTCGTCCGTCCCAATGCTCATGTGACGTACTATTACGTGGATCATCGGCCGGGTGCGGAGGGGCTGAGGCAAGAGGCGCAAGGGGGGGAGGGTGGTCAAAGACAGTATGGGACAGTGCCACAGCAGCTGGACCCTGCGCCTATGAGATATCCATCTGGGAGTCAGGGACCGAGTAATGCAGAGGGACAGGAGGGCGTGCCGCCAAGTTATGAGCAAGCTGTTAAGGGGGATAATAAGGTGCAGACATGACAGCTTTGATTCTTGCTCGTACGATTTTAGTGCTTTGACAAGGCCATGCACTGAGTGAACAGACTTCGCCCTCTCAACGGTCTCTGTGAAGGGGCCCATTTGTGATGCAGGACCTGGGGCTTCTCGTACCGGAGATGAGGAATGGCAGTGACGATGAATGCAAATGATCATATAGCTTCTAATGCTCCGGCGTTCACAGGGCTGGCGCTCTTCTCCAAAGTCACGATGAAAATGGAAACGTGCTTGATTACATGACTACGATCAAGTACATCACAAGAAGTGTAACGCAATAAATTTCCCGCCTCCCTTTCAGCTCCAAATATTGGGGTTGATATGCATCCTGAGTTCCTGCGTTTCCTTCAACTCTCGAAGACCCCTTATTCCCAGGTTGGACGTGGAATTGGTCGGTTTAGGCCGCGGTGACATTTAAAGCGTGCTGTCCCTTTGGCCCTTCGCCTAGATCGAATTCTACCTTTTGTCCTTCAACTAGTGTCCTAAACCCGTTGCAATGGATCGTGGTGTAATGCACAAAAATCTGAAGGATGGTTAGGGCAATGGAAAGGGGGCTGGGTGTGATTTGGTAGGGGTTTGGAGTTCGTACGTCTTTGTCACCATTATCAGGAGTTATAAAGCCGAAACCCTTGCTTTCATTGAACCACTTCACTTGTCCCTTTTCTTTTGCCATCGATCAACAGCAAGCACACGTGAAACTAAGGCTCGCCGACGATAGATTTCAATTGAAGGGGGATATTCGACAGAATCGTTTGCTTTTGGGAACTGGGAGGCTGTGGAAAAGCGTGAGCTTTATTGCGAATTAGGTGGCTGCTCTCGATAGCTCGAACTCTCACAGAATCAACGCCAAAGTAGGAAAGCCACCAGCAACAGAAAGGAGAATGAAAGAAAAGCTCAGACCAGATACAGTTGGGAGCGAGTCATGTTTATGCATATGTACGCTGGCAGGTGTCCCAACAAGATGATAGCCGCGCTTAAACAGAGTTACAGCAGATGACAGGTGTGGGGTGAGGCCCGTGATCGCGCTTGTATTTAAGGTGTAGATGTAGCAACAGGTCTCTGAAGAGCCTTAGCGAGTGGTCCATGATCCATGATCTTTACCGTCGCCTGTGTAGCTGGCATAGTGTAATTGAGGATATGGTCGTGGCAGGCGGTCCGGTGACGCCGGCCCACTCGCGACGTTTCTTTCTTACCAAAATCGGTACCCGGGATGCGGATTGAGTTACCCAGAAATGAAAATTATCTTGCACGCATAGACTCTCTCGGGAGGTAAAATTAGACAGTCCTGTTTTGACTTTTGCTTTTGGCGGAGGAGCGATCCTCATGTAAGATGATGATGCCGTGGCACATGCGTTCAGGGGTGCAGTAAAGTAGGAGAGAGCAGAGTCTACCCAACCAGATCTTGCAGCTTCTGAGCGACGTTTCGTATACCAAATAAGACGTTCTCGTCCGAGCCTTTGCCGGGGGCCCATCGCGCATGAGCAAAGTCAATCAGTTTCACGTTGTCAATTGCAGGAAATGCGGGTCTCTCATCTTCAATGGAACCCTCGTCGTCTGCTTCCGCGGGCGCCTCGACGGTTGCGGAAGCGGCTGAAGGGACGAGTTTAGCGTTGCCGACTTGGTGGTGCTTCTGCACGTCACGATTCGCAATCAGACTGGCTTCCTCTGTAAAAGCGCTGCGCAAAGCATGGGCATCGCCCTCATACACAAATAGAAGGCTAGCGGAATACATTCGGCTCTCTTCGGCCTCGAGAACGCCGACCATGCCCGTCAGGTCCCTGATGAAACGCCTGATTACTTTCCTTATAGGCGCAATTGGTCTCGTGCCTTCTTGGGTAAGGAAGAAATCTTCAAAGGCTCGGTGGACCGTGACAGCGTCGAATTCGCGTCCGTAGTGCTTGTCGAAAACCTTATAGCCCTCTGCAGCAATTGGCTTGTTTTCCGTAGTCTCATTTCCTTGAAAGGTTTTCATGCCGGCAATGCGAAAACCAAGTGATTTACTAGTCGTCTCCTCGGCAACCTTGTCTAGTTTCACGCGTTTCTCCTCAGGGGCGTCATCGTCCCACAGACGGGCGCCAAGCTTGATATCTAGAATATTTGGTTTCTTGAAGCCTGCTGCTATATTGTCGAGCACTAGAGCCAAGTCGGTCTGTATCTTCCCACCGCCCGAGGGCTTCCACGCATGATTCACGACAGGCAGTGTCGCTGTGTCTTCTTTTGCAGGCTCATCTATGGAAGTCTCGCCTGGAAGAGCGAAGGCGCCAGCGGCCTGCGCTGTGTCTCCTAAGGACAGCCGGCCTTTGTAACCAGCAATATAGGGCAGAATCTCCTCGTGCGCTGAGGTAGATTCGTAGAAGTCGATCTCGGATTGCTTGCACGGTTTGATGATTATGGAGCCGGCAGGATCAGATAAGACGCCGTCGCTGCAACATTGCATTAGAGCGACCAATCCAGGACTTCTGACTCATATGTACATACTGGCCGGCAGCGGCGTTGTCGAAGGCGATCAACTGGGACTTTCGATAGGATTTACTCGCCATTTTCAACCCTTGTGTATTGATTGCTCACTTCAGGCTTGTGCTCTCGAGGTTTACGGACGAACTGGTGGCCATAGGTGGTACCCAGACCGAGCTGGGCGTGGAGTCAAGTAGTCAGACATTATAGGCAAACAAGGGGGGTTGCATCTGAGGCGAAACAATGTGGGTACAGCAACGCCCTTCAGCTCAACTGAATTTAGGATGTGGCTGAGATGGGGAAGGGGGGGTTTGCCTAAATTGCCTGACCTGTAGTGCTAAGCGGTAAGCCCTACGTCCGTGACTGAGCCCTAAATGAGCCCTAACACCCTGACAGGCGATCCCTTAGGGTCTGCACTAGTGGTAGTAAGGTACACAAGTGTGCCTAATAAGGTCTTTAGTTGACGGAAGGGAGCGGTAACTCGCTGTAGAAGATGACGTATTTTCTATCATGATATTCATTGTCGACACGTTCGAACGGCTATTTCATGGTGCGTGAACGGAGGCCCGTGACACTACCAAAACTCTGTGCGATAATTGAGATGTCACTCTTGTCTCATCGCACCTAAGATGAAAGGCAGTCACGCCAGTGTTGTGCGATGGGAGCGGTAGCACCTTCCAAGTTTGCCTCTTATGTATGTTAACACACATCATTCACTTTCGGTTTAAAAAGACCGCTGCCTGTCTTAAGACTACCGCTAGCTGCCTCCATCCCTTCTCTTAGTCTTTTGTGCTGCCATCTGAAGCTTATCACTTTTCATCACTTAACTACCTTTACCGCCTCTACCTGTCTTTGCAGACACTATTAAAGGATGGCCATATCAAAACAGTCTGATCAGCAATCAGTGGACGAGCTAATTAAGACGGGTGTAGCTGATCATATTGCACTGCAGGCACAGAATCATCCAAAAGCCATTAGTGACGCCCTAAATGACGAGAACGCTCTTGAAACTGATGGTCAAATGAAGCATTCCAGTACATTTATATTGGCAGATAGCGAAGATGAGCCCAAGCTCGATCAAGATCAGCTCACTGCACGCCCAGAGCTGGGGTCTAATCTGGAGACTCCAGACAATGCGACTGCCCCACGCATCGAAATCACTGAGGCTGATAGTGAGATACTCGACGAAACAGCGAATGGAGCCGGGGCAGCAGAGCCAAAAAAGAAGAAGAAGAAGAGGAAACCCAAGAGTCAGCGAGGCTTGGTGAGTCAACCGATATGATTGTTCCTAACTCATGGATTGAGACTCCGGCTAGAACGCCGCGACAGGGTTTGAGGCAGGGTTCTGTGATGCTCCCCTGACACCAGGACAATCTGAAGAGAATAAGAAGTTATACGACCAGTATGTCTAGATCGATCAGACTTTGCATAGCTTTCGTGCTGACAAGTACGTAGACAATATCCTTTTGCAGAGTATGATTATTTCCATTTTAGCCATATCGAGCAGATGCTAAACCGAAGCCAGACGAATTGAGACTGCCATTCAACGCTTCACATAGAAGCGCAGACTCGATCCCAATCGAAAGAACTTGTTTGACAAATACCTTTCCTTTGGTGGTATCGATACCGGGCCAAAGCCCTTCTCAGGCGGGCTTGATAGGAGCACCATTGAAAGTAGTAACGCTGCTGAGATCGCCGCCTTAACGGCCACCCACTATGTTCCCTTTGATATGTCAGATCCTAGAAATGAAAAATATGAGGTTGACTTTGAAGGCTGCTTGAAAGGTTTTCTGTGAGTGATTTGATCGTCGGTTGAAAACCGAAACTGACCACAGCAGATCCACGCGATACACGTCCGCGTTTGACATCACTAGTGAAGCTCAGATAGTGTATTACCTCGATATCATTCGGAGCTTCTTCAGGTATCTCCTCTACCACGATGTTTGTCCTGAACACCGCGATCAAATTGAAATCTCACGTCGATTGTGTGACCAAGGACAGTACGAGCTGTGGCAAATCGCTCAATTGAAACCAATTCTTCCTGGATCTTTCAATGAAGCGTGCTCTTCAATTTTTGGCGGCATGATCAAAGACTGGCACCTTCCCACTACCGATGCTTGGATGAACGAAACGGATAAGCGAATGATTTCAGTCGGAATGACGGCTTCTCATTGCCGGAAGATACTTAGAACTGGTTTGCTCTCTTACGGCAGTAAAGCGCAGCTCCAGTGCTACGACGACGCCTTGATAGGGAAGGTCGTTGCATTCAGCCGTCAAGAGAAAATTGGTTTAGAAGTTACCAAAATCACTTTGGGAAGGTCCTCATCTGATGTCAGAAAGCTTTACGCAGCCAATAATCAGAGAGGTCTGCCAATCTTAGGCCAATTGTACGCAAGACCATGGAAAATATCTGACGACTTGGCGGAAGACCTTACCGAAGACGAGGCACACTCAGTAGAAAATCTTAGCTCGACTGACAGGTACGAATTCTGGATCGAAGACAAGATTCTCGAAAAAGCCTTCGTAGGTCTGAAGTTCCAGGTTGCTTTGAAACAGCTTACAACGGGGATTTACTATTTCGATGAAGTCTACGAATTGCTGCCCTCCTTCTTCGCTCTTTTACCCAACGAGCAGATGATAGGATGGAGGGAAATCGAGGCGGAGTGGCTAGAACCTCGGCCAGACTCCGACGTTAACGAGCAGGATGCTGAAGATGATGCCTAGGTAGCTGCGAAGGACAGTACGGACTGAAAAACATGGGGTGATGAGTTTCGAATTGAAGAAGATGGAAAGCTGAAGGTAAACCCTTGATATCTACAGATTATGGTACCATCAGCAGTTTTCCCATAGTCTTTCTGCTCTCAAGATCCTGCACAGGGCATTAGTAAAGAGCGTGGTAGATTTCTAATGCAACTCACACGGTGTGCTTGAGCAACTTCGGCCAGAGGATATTTTTGGTGAATCCGGACGGTAAATTTTTCTTTCGTCATCAATCTCCAGAGCTCATCAAGATATTGCTCAAATTCTTCTCTAGTATAGATGTAATTGAAAAGCGTTGGCCTCGTCACCTTCACGTTTTTGGCAGCAAGCCTCCTAGAATCACACCTCAGTTCCTCTGTTCACATCATTCGACGGGAAATATTCACGATATACTGAAAGGCTCTACGGCACCTGATGAGTTTCCGTAGCTCACCAGAGTCCCTTTCCGAGCCACACATTCCAAACTTCGATCAAATGTGATTTTCCCGATACTATCGAATACAGCAACGACACCTCGCCCTCCAGTCTTTTCTTGCACAACCTGCTTGACGCCTTCATCACCAACCTCTTGCTCCACTACCACTTTCTCTGCACCAAGCTTTCGGGCATCATTGACCTTCGCCTGACTGCCCACCGTGGCGATGGTATGCGCTCCCCTAGCACGAAGCAACTGGCAGAGCCATCCGCCTACCCCTCCTGAGGCTGCAGTCACCAGCACCCAATCTCCGGCGTTGACTTTATGAGCCTCGTCAATCAAGCTCAAGGCCGTCAAGCCTTGGAGTACAGCAGCACATGCGTCTTCTTCCGAAATCTCCTTCGGAATTTTTGCCGTTCTCTCCGCAGGCGCAACAGTATATTCTGCGTACCCTCCAGTATGCATCCACACCACTGGATCATTCTCCACAAACCCAGTGACACCAGGCCCTAAAGACGCTATCTTTCCGGCGCCGTCCTTCCCAAGGATTTCAGGTTTGGGGGCTTTGTAGAGCCCTGTGCGGAAGTAGGTGTCTATGTAATTTATGCCAATGACGGAATTCTTGACAAGCACCTCACATTCTTTTGGGGAAGGGACTGGAAGATCAGTGCGGTACTCAAGCACTTCCGGGCCGCCTTCCTTGCAGACTAGAACGCCTTTCATTGTGTTGGGGAGGGATGACATGTTGCGAGTCAGGTAGGATCTCGCAGGTGAGACTCGAGAGAGGAGAGACAGCCGGCTTGTCGTGGGAGGGCCGATACGACTGGATCTACAGCTACGAGAGGCGAACATGTATTAGAAATCATTTGCAAAGAGATCTCCCAGACTCCCAGTAAGAAAATGCGAGAGATCGATGACGAAAAGCGGGTAGCAACGGGCGTCACGGCATGCGCTGAATTGAGTTCAGCTAAAACTACCTTAGCTCCTCATTAGTTCTAGCGCGACCACTCGGCAAGTGTCAGGTAATTGAGCCGAAATCAAACAGTTCATGCAGGGGGAGTGATAGCTCTCCCAAGAAGCTCGTAAACTCAACATCCACCTACCTAGCTTGTCAGCCTATTCCGTTGCAACAAATCATAGACTCAGAAGCGTCAAGATGCCTGTGGGCTCCGTGCTTGTTACTGGGTAAGTCTATAGGCCGTGACTGGGTTGCGTATGGCTAACCTCGCGTAGGGGGACAGGCTACATTGGGTCTTTCACGGCTTTGGCATTGCTCGAAGCCGACTACAAAGTCATCATTGCGGACAATCTCTACAATTCCTCGGAGGAAACACTCAATCGCATCGAGCTACTCTGTGGAAAAAGACCAATCTTCCACAACGTGGATGTTAGGAAACAAGAGGACTTTGACGATGTCTTTAAGGCACATCCAGATATTGACAGCGTAATACACTTCGCTGCTTTGAAGGTAAGCCAATGCGCAGAACAGGTGAATTCATTATGGCAACCAAGGACTGACCTTTGATTAAAAGGCAGTGGGCGAGTCAACGGAAATTCCTCTCGAATATTACCGCACGAATGTCTATGGCTCCATGAACCTGATCGCTTCGATGACGGAGCACAACGTGACAAATATTGTCTTCTCATCCTCCGCTACTGTTTACGGAGACGCTACGCGCTTTCCAGATATGATCCCTATCCCTGAACACTGCCCGATCGGTCCTACAAACCCGTACGGCGCTACGAAAGCAACCGTCGAATCCCTGATAACTTACCACGTCGAGGCTCAGCGTAACAAGCTCAAAAAAGAAGGAAAGCCGTATGAGCATTGGAACGGAGCCATCCTCCGTTATTTCAACCCAGCTGGTTCCCACCCTTCAGGTATAATGGGGGAAGATCCACAGGGAGTCCCATACAATCTTCTCCCTTTGCTCGCCCAGGTCGCCGTTGGTAAACGGGACAAGTTGCTCGTCTTTGGTGACGGTACCCAAGCCACTTCATTTTCTGCCCCTTATGGCCCCTATGCAGAACGCTTGCTCACAAGACTTTGCGCAGACTATAACTCGGATGATGGCACTGCCATTCGTGACTACATTCACATCCTCGATCTTGCAAGAGGACATCTCGTGGCTCTGAATCATCTCCGCGATCAGCATCCTGGGGTTGGCGCGTGGAATCTGGGTACCGGAAAGGGTAGCACTGTTCTCCAGATGATCAAGGCGTTCAGTGCTGCTGTTGGAAAAGAGCTGAAGTACGAAGTCGCTGGAAGGAGACCTGGAGATGTGCTGGATCTCACTTCAAACCCAACGAAAGCGAACGTAGAGCTGGGCTGGAAGACCGAGAGGACTTTGGAGCAGGCTTGTGAAGATTTGTGGAGATGGACCAAGAACAACCCTCAAGGATACAGACAACAGCCGCCTAAGGAGCTGCTAGATAAGCTGGCTGAGGACAAGAAGAAAGGGGCTCCAATGGCCTGAAATAATGTTAGCAGGGAGGCAAGCGACAGGCGTTTGACAACCAACCCTCAAAAGAAGGCATAGAGAACAAAAGTAGGATCTTTGCACAGAGCAAAAGACTCATGAATAGACACCTTAGAATTTTCATTCATCAATTAGGCAGTTTCAATTTCTCACTCTTCTGATATGGTTGATCAAACAAATACAAGCCGATTGTCTCTAATAATTCAAGAGGCAGTTGTTTCCCAAGAGCAACCTTCGCAGCGGTGCTGACGAACGTCATTCGGGCCTCGAACAGTCTCTCTTCCCAGGATTATAGCACAGCTTCTTCATCCCGGAGACTCTGCAAGCGGCCGCCATAGTATCTGTGATTTTTCCGAGCATCGTACGATTCGAGAAAGGTCTTGCTTATGTCAATGACTTGGTAGAGGTTGGCCACGGCCGTAGATGCGGTGCGGATAAATAAGAGATTCTGCTCAAGCTCGCGGCTTTGTCCATTCATAGTATGGTATCTTGCACTTCCCTTTGCACAAGGCCCCCTGCTGGTAGATCGCAGATGGAGTTGAGGTTCAAATGTCGCAAGCCCAGCCGGATCTGCAATTCCCTTGGCGAAACCCAAAATTGCGTCTGAGGGTCGACGCGGTCCGACATTGACGCGAAAACATCAACAAAGGCAAATCTCTAGATGACGGCAGACCGCATGCGGAGTGTTACCCTGTGGAAGTATCCAATGCGACAACGCTCCTTCTGACGATCAAACCATCTCAATGCCTCCACACAAAGGGCCATGGTTCTTCGCCTATGAAGAAAGATATCTCCACCCCCCTCCAGCTTTACAACAAAGGTCACAATTGCCTGCTTGTGCGCAGAGTCATTTGGTGGGCAAACCGGTCGTGACGCATATCGCTGTGCGAGGAACTTGTAGGCACTTGGTGCCGCGGCATCGGAGAAGTGTTGGGGGTTCTACTATTATCACCACTAGCATCACCATCACTCCACGGTGACGACGAGTATCTGTACTAGCAGGACAATAGGAGACCAGCCACCTTTTTTTGCCCTCCAGCCCTGTCTGGACATAAAGTTCCCAGTCAGTCTCACGATCTCTTTTCCTTCCAGATCACAACGCTTTATATTCTTAGCTTCTGGAAAGCAACTCCTTGTCGTACTTCTCAATTACGTGCTGCTGGCAAGCTCGCTGGCCTTTCTATCTCACATCTCAGACGTTACAATTGTACTTGCGAGAGTTGTCCTTTTACATAATATCTGCAAGGCTCATTCACATATCGTTCTAGGCTGCTGGCAAGCCTTCTCATACATATCAAAGCCCGACAACCCAAGACCAAGAGGCTTTCAGATTCAACTACACCATCACTTGACAAATTGCCGAGCACTAAACAATCCTGACTGTTCACACCACTACTTAGCAGCTCTCAACAAATACTCTGTATAGCTTATAGGCCCTTACCTGGACATCAACATACTAGAAATCGCTTTCGCAAACTCAATAGTCTCTATCACAATGTCGTTTCTTAACGAGAACGTTCTAGGACCGAGCCGTCGTCGAACCTCGCGCGCAAGTTCTCGAGCTAGCAGTCGAGCAGGATCGGAGGAGATTGATGGAGAGTTTGGCGCGACTCCCCGTCGTTCTGGTCGTCTTGCGGCTCAGGGCACCAAAGTCGGCAACAAGGAGTCGGCTGCCTATGGAGCTAAAGCGAAGCCCCTCTCAAATCCAGAATTATCAGCAAATGCTCAACAGGATGCTACTGCCAGCATTACTGCGGCTGTAGCAGGAGCGACAGCAACTCTACCACCAACTGGAGGAGAAGCGGGACAGTTGCCAGTCATCAACGAGGAGCCGGAATCCAGCTCAGCTGCGGCTAATCGCCCACGTGAGCGTAACATTGACGATGAGAATCCAGGAGGTCAGGGTGGACCGATCTTGGAGACCACGAACCAAGGTCGTCGTCACCACGAAACAATCTGTTCGAAGCTTCGTGGCCTGATTGGATGGGCCCCTGGTCAACAGCGTAATCCAGAAAACGACCCGGTAAATGCATCCGAGGTACCTACGGGCAGCACGGGAATCGTCAACACATCGGTTTCTAAGCCTTTACTTTGGATTCTGGGGATTGCTATGCTTCTATTGATCGCCATGGCCGTGCTTCAGGTTGATCTCTATACAGGTCCTAGACTCAAGCCCAACATCAACTTACTCGCGAAACATTTCGCCAACGTGCCAGTGGGTACTACCATCGTGCATGACCCTCGCCTTAGCACTATGGAGAAGCTGATATATGGTCTTACATCGAAATCAAAGACCCCTGAGATCGCTCCCTCTCAACACCAAATTGATTGGTTTGCTCATGCCAACCGCGCTGCTATTGACCCATATCTTACCTCACCGACTTTCGACCCTGAAAACTGTTCCCTTGGTTTAAGAAACTGGTCTCACTATATCAAAAGCTTCTTTGTGGGCACACGGGGATATTGGGAAAGTATCGCACCCGCCTCCGCTTTGCGTCCATGGTCTGAGCCTGACGATCGTTGGTGTGCACCACCCAGCTATGGTCAACTTCAGCTTGCAATCATCACTAGTCGTATGATAAGTCCCACTGAGCTTATCATTGAACACCTACCTAGAGGTGCGGCGATTTACATTGGGACCGCACCAAGGCAAATTGAACTCTGGATGGAGATAAGCGACCGTGAATCTTACACCAAGCTCTACGACGTGACAAAAGCGACTTATCCAGAGCTGCTCGCACGATCCTCACCACAAAGTCTTCGCGACTTGGACGACGACCAAGCACTTCCCGGGGGCTATATTCGCATTGGAAGATGGACTTACGATATTCGGAATCCACAATACAAACAAACCTTTACGGTCCCATTTGCGCTAAAGGAACTTGAGGTGAAGTCTAACCATTTTGCTTTACGTGTCCTCGACAATTGGGGTGATAATGTGGAGACGTGCATCTACCGCACGCGATTGCATGGTCACGATATGCAAGGTCCTGTGGAGGTATTGCATGACTGAAGGCAAGGCACACCAAACACACAAATCGAGGTCAGAATCGAATGGAGGCAAATCATGGGCCTCTCGAGAAAATTGGAATTAAGCAATATGTAATTACTACCACGTCATAGCAGTCTATAAAATTATATCTCACATGCGATTTTCCGCTAATAGATTTACTAGATCTATTACTTAAGGACCATGAATTGTTGTATTTAAACCAGTTTCTGGAGCGAGGCCTCAAGTTCGAGACAAGGTCTTCAGGTAGACATCAAGACTACTCGGCTCACAATCCACGCAGGTCAAAAAGTTCAAAAGTCGTATAAATTGTTGTATGTCGACTGCCTCTATTCGGTCATTCAGCATCTATTGTGGCCAAGCAATCGTAGCGAAGTGAGCAATCACTTCTTCATAGACGGGGCTACGACGTTTTTTTGCAACCTCTTCTGAGTTTTTTTAGAATAGACGTCGGATGAATACGAAACCATGGACGCGTTTAAATCAAGCGAAAAATGTTCTCTCTGACGCCGCGCTTCATCGCCACAGGCTGTCCGTTCTCAAGCTCAAGCCCAGCTTCACCTCCTCCGCCAGACATGGCTTCGAGCTTCTGTTTGAGCTCTGCATCGGCCTCTGACTGCGTCTTAGGCTTTTCTGATCGAGATTTCGAGGGCGTCTCTCCCGAGGTTTCAGTAGGCTTCGCTACCTTTTGATTGTTTGACGCAGCTGTGGAGACCTGCGAGGGTTTTGTGCATGCAATTTGGGATACTCCAGTACTAGACTGCATTCTGCGAGCCAGTAACCGTTGGTTGGCAATTCTCAGCATGCTCGTGACAATCCGTCCGTTTTGTTGCGTAGAGAGCGTACAGCCGATATGAAGTCATTGACAAGATATTAATTGCTTAGTCAACGAAGCCTTGGCGGCCTCTCATTCGTTAAGGTAGAATTACTTCCTGTACTACAACAACCTTTCTGTCTCCTGCGTTCACCTTTCGCAGCGTCTCTGCCGCAACGTATAGGCCTACAATCTCTCAAAATCGCCCTCTATGCCTGTGGTCAAAGGAGGCGTCTGGACTAACATCGAAGATGAGATTCTCAAAGCCTCCGTCTCCAAGTACGGTTTGAATCAATGGGCTCGCGTCTCCTCGCTACTTGCACGAAAGACACCTAAGCAATGCAAAGCACGGTGGTCAGAATGGCTAGACCCAGGTATTCGAAAGATAGAGTGGTCAAAGGAGGAGGATGAAAAGCTGCTACATCTTGCAAAGTTGATGCCCACGCAATGGAGAACAATCGCGCCTATTGTTGGGAGAACCGCCACACAATGCCTCGAGAGGTATCAGAAGCTGTTAGATGAAGCAGAAGCAAAGGAGAATGATGAGCTCGGCCTTGGAGGTCCCGCGGGAGGAGAGACTCAGGCGCCGAGTGCAGATGATGTGAGAAGGTTGAGGCCTGGAGAATTAGACCCCGATCCTGAGTCAAAGCCGGCGAAGCCGGACACGATCGATTTGGACGAAGACGAGAAAGAGATGCTCAGTGAGGCACGAGCTCGCCTTGCAAATACACAGGGGAAGAAAGCCAAAAGGAAAGCCAGAGAGCGGCAGTTGGAAGATTCAAGGAGGATGGCGTTACTGCAGAAACGTAGGGAGTTGAAGAATGCAGGCATAAATATCAAGATTACGAATCGAAAACCAGGCCAAATGGACTACAATGCAGATATACCGTTTGAAAAGAGTGCAGCGCCAGGTTTCTACGATACCCAGGAAGAAATCGAGCAAAACGAGAAACAAACGGAAGCATTTGATCCCAGGAAACAGCAGCTAGCGAACAAGCGGAAAATAGATCAGCAACAGGATGATACAGGCTCAAAACGCCAGAAAGGCGAGAAAGATAAGCCGCCGGCAAGCTTCGCAGCAGCAGCTAAGGCTGGTCAAATGCAGAGAATCAGGGAAGCTGAACAGAGTAATAAGAGAAGGACATTGAATTTGCCTGCGCCTCAAGTCGGTGAAGCAGAACTTGAGGATATTGTGAAGATGGGCATGGCTGGAGATCAAGCGAATCGAACTGCCGGAGAAACCGACAACGAAGCTACGAAAGGCTTGGTAAGCAACTACAATGGCATTACTGCAAATACACCCATGCGAACCCCACGGGCACCCCCACAAGAAGACCACATCGCGAATGAGATACGGAACATCAGGGCTTTGACGGAGACACAATCTTCACTACTTGGGGGAGAAAACACCCCTCTACATGAAGGGTCAGCTTCTACTGGCTTTGACGGAGTGGCTCCGAGAAAACATGTGGTACAAACCCCAAACCCAATGACTACACCAATGCGACAAGGAGGAACAAATGGTGTGGCCGCCACTCCCGGAGGAGCTCCTAAGGGACCTGGAGCTACCCCTTTGCGAACACCTAGAGATAACTTCACGTTGAATCAGACCGGATCAATGCAGCTAGCCAGCGCTACTCCCAGAGATTTTAAAAGAGCAGAGGACTTCAAAAGATCACAACTAAAGTCTCAATTCGCCGCTTTGCCAAAGCCGAAAGAGCTCGATTTCGAGCTAGAGTTGCCTGAGGAGAAGGTGGAATCTCATGGCAATTTGGAGTCAACGGAGGAGGATGCGGCAGAAAGGGATCAAAGGAACCAGGCTCTACAAGAAGCAGCGCAGAGAGCAGAGCTCAAAAGAAGAACTCAAGTGATGCAGCGCAACCTACCTCGACCATCTGTTGTCGATGCAGATGTTCTACTTAAGGCAGCTTCGGATTTATCTGATCCTGTCGAAGCGATGATAGCAGAGGAAAAGGCCCGGCTCATTGTGAATGATAGCCTCAAGTTTCCACTCCCTGGCTTTAAAGTGCAAGGCTCATCTGTACCATTGGCGACTATTGACGATGATCTTCTTGCATTTGCGCGCTTGGAGCTTGCCAAAGAAGTGTCATTGATGAAGGAGACCTATCCGAGCTACAATTTTGAAGCATTGTATGCCTCCCTTCATCCGGACGACTCTGGTCTTCCAGGCCTCTTGAGCTACGAGGAAGATGGAATCGACAAGGACAAGGTCATCAACCAGGCCTTCGATAAAGTTCAGTCTCGCATCTTGCGCGATGCCGAGCGTGGAAATGCTCTTGAGTCGAAACTGTCCTTGCATCTAGGAGGATATCAGAAACGGGCCAAGACCCTGAGGCAGAAAGTCGCCGAAGCTGCGGAGGCTTTAGAGGAAGAGAACCGAAAGCTAGAGAGCTTCAGAAATCTGCAGATTGGTGAAGAAGCTGCGCTTATGCGGAGGGTAGAGGCGCTGAGGGAAGAAGTCGCGGTCGTTCAGAAGCGGGAAAGGGAGGGCCAGGAAAGATATAGGCAAGCTAAGGAGGCAATGGATCTTGCGAATGGCCCGAGGTTGGTAAATGGTGTTCATCATGAGGAGTAGTGGAAGGAAGTCCCTAGTTCCACGTAAGTCATATTCAAGCGCTAAGATACCAAGCGGTGACCGACAGAGTATGGTCCTATGTACATCTCGCCACCCCCTATTCCCCAGATTTTGCAATGCCATGCCCGCGACTTGCAAGTACAGAGGTCTCTCAAACACCCAAGATAGCCTTCACTCTTTCATAGGTATAAAAGCTTACAGCAACCATTGGCACGACCTTAGTATAGCCAATTCCTAGCCCCACAAAAAAGCCCCTCCATCCACGTTCCAACCACACCATCCGCGCCGTCTCAGCCATCCCTAAACGATGACCATCCCCCACTGCTCCTCCCACCTGCATTCTCCTCCTAATCACCTCCAGGGGATACGATGCCGTCTGCGATACTAATCCCGCTAGTCCACCAGCCGTAAGCTCAGCCCAATATTTCAAAACCAGTGGCCGATCTGGCTCCATATTACCTGAAAGGGTTGTGGTAGTATAAGGCGCGAGCTCCGGCCACCGCAGAACATCTGTCACCACGTCATGCGTAAGGAATGACATGCCCGCATAAGGCAGCATGCCCACCATCGTAGGCGAGAAGCCCCGATAGAAGTTAATGAGGCCAGATCGCGGCGCAGGCATGTTCGCGACAGAGGAGGTCTGCGGATTCAATGGTGGACGCTCATGATAGATCTGCGCACATATCCTCTTCAGACTCGCACTTCCATCTTTCTTGGTCTCGAATGCCAGTCGCACTCTGATTACTTCGAGAGGATAGGTTGTGAATACACTCGACACCCCCGCCAAGCTCCCAGACAATAATCTCCGCAACGCCGTCTCTTGGTCTGGCGTTCGTATCAATAGGAATCTCACCTGTTCGTAGACAAGGAACTTGATGGCGGCATAAGGAAATATGCGTAGCAGTGTGGCAGAATGCCCGCGAAAAAGTCCGCGTACGCCGTCTTGACGATTTATATCCCGTAGCGCGGTGACTACGCCAGACCAACTGCCTGTGTACTTGGCAAATTGGGGGTTTGAGGACTGGAAGAGAATTTTCACACGATCGAGGGGGCCAACTACTGTTTTCGCCTAGAGAAAGTAGGTATCAGAGAGGGAGCATGTGCGGCGAAAGAAGCGAGTGATTCTTACAGCACACCCAGCCAAACCTCCTGCGACTCCGCTTCGCCATACGTAGTTGAAGTTCTGCTTATCACGGTGGCGTTGGGCACCCGCCCCCTCAAGTGCTACCGAAGTAGCATTTGTAGATGATTGTGTCTTCTGTCTTGCTCCAGCATCCATAGATTGAGACTGTATTGAGGTCGCCGCATGACCGTTGAGGCCTTCGGGCATACCAAACGTGAAGGCCTACCTGATGTTACATGTGGGTAGAGATTTGAAAGCGCGAAGATTGGGCTGTGGTTTTGGGAAAGGCATTCCAACGTTCGTAGATGGTCGTGTGACGTAGGAAGTGGAAACTTTCCATAAAGAAAACCACTGAGCCGATGCTTGCCGTATCCTAGCCTATACGTCTCGAGCCAAATTCTACCAATCCATTGGCCATGGGGACCTCCAAGCCATGCGAAACCCGTGTCATGGCGTACGAGCTTACACCACGGCTGTGTTGTCGTCGTCCCCGTCGCCGATAGTGCGCTTCAATAGGGCAACGTTCTACAGACAGTATCCATCTACCGCTCAGGACGAAGCATCCACGAATCCGCCCATCTTCCCAGCATTGAGCTTTGAGTTACCTTCGAAGACGTCTGAACAGCAGCATTGGGCCATCATAGGCCCTTCCAACACCGGCAAGACCACGCTCTTTGAATTGCTTCGCGGACAGCACATCTGCATCCCTCCAACTGCGCGCTCTTTCCCATTTCTTTCCTCGAATGGCATAGATCAGCATCACAGAAATCCGGCTAGAGCCATACAATATGTTGGCTTCGCCGGAGAGAGAGGCGGAGTGGGAAACCTGGGCACACGAGGCGCCTATTTGAGCGCGCGATATGAAAGCAGGCGAGAAGAGACCGATTTCTCCGTGCTCGACTTCCTGAGAGGCAAAATCGAACTGAATCCAGCGGAAGATCTAGATGGACACAATCCACATCAAGCCTTTGGAAAGGTCGTCAAAGACCTCAACCTGGAGGCGTTGCTTGCGATGCCAATGGGCAACCTCAGCAACGGACAAATTAGGAGGGCACGGATTGCGCGAGCCTTGTTGGGACGACCTTTACTTTTGCTCTTGGATGAGCCGTTTATGGGTCTAGATCCACCAACGGTGACCCACTTGTCACACCTTTTGCAGACGATAGCAGAAGCAAATGCACCTCGTGTGATGTTGTCAATTCGACCTCAAGATCCCCTACCAATCTGGATTACGCACATCCTGCGACTTGGACCAGCGTTGCGAGTCGGACATACAGGTAAACCGCTGACTACGAGTGCCAAAGAATTTAATGGAGCTAACAGAAATGAATCTTTGAATGGGGAAGGCTCTGTATCTCTCTCCGCGGGCGAAAGACTTGACATCAAGCTAGATCCAAGGGAACGTCTCGTAGCTATGAATGGCGTGCAGGTCGCCTACGGTGGTAGAACAATACTAGGCGATTGGCAGCAGCAGCATCCAGAAACTTTGCCTACTAGCACCCCACGCGGTCTCTGGTGGAACGTTCGTCGAGGCGATCGTTGGGGAATATTCGGTCCCAACGGATCCGGCAAGACTACTCTAATCTCCTTGATCTGTTCAGATCACCCTCAAGCCTACTCACAGCCAATTGAGATTTTTGGCAGAAGTCGTTTGCCCTGTCTAGGTGCACCTGGTATCTCCCTGTTTGACGTCCAAGCAAGGATTGGCCAGTCCTCGCCAGAGATCCACGCATTCTTCCCGAAGAGTTTGACCATCCGAAAAACGCTAGAGAATGCTTGGGCTGACACTTTTCTTGGTACAGCAAAGATATCTAGCCTTGAACGTGAAAGGGTGACTGCCTGCTTACGTTGGTTTGAGAAGGAGCTGAACCTTACCCCAATCTCGTTGTCGACCAACTCATTACCTGATGAAAAAGAGCTCCCCCAGTCTTCGAGATCACGCGACGGCGAGCCATACTGGGCTGACCAAACCACGTTTGGACAACTTCCTTTCTCTGCCCAGAGGGTTGCACTATTTCTGCGCGCCGTTGTTAAGAAGCCAGATCTGGTGGTTTTGGACGAGGCTTTTAGTGGGATGGACGAGTCCATCCGAGACAAATGTATGCTATTCTTGACATGGGGGACGACTCGCGAATTCAGACCCACGAATTCTAAGCATTCGAATAGAAATGTGGCCGTCAAGGCGGATGACCAAACGAATGCTCAGTCAATATCTGGGCTCAGTCACAAACAAGCTTTGATATGTGTAAGCCATGTGAAGGAAGAAGTTCCTGAAATTGTAAGTCAATGGTTGAGGCTTCCCGAACCATCATCTGGGGAGCCTCCTCGGTTTGGCCAGGTGGCGAAGTCCTTGAGAAATGACGAAAGGCTTTGGACGACAATATGGGAAGGATGAATCTACTGAGAAGATTGAGGCCTGTCAGATTTGAATGCTACCTTTCACCAAATGTATGCCACGACTTCCTTGTTTCCCATGTACGTACCCGTATTTGGCACTTCGCCATTGCTTACAATGGTGGTGGCCCACCAGGCGAAGCGTACTTTCAATCATACATGCGTGCTATGAGGACTGGCTTCAAGGCTATCTTATCTTAGCGTCAATGGCCACAATCGATTTTCAGATTTATGTTTGGGATCAGTTTCAAGGTTCCACTAAATTCGCACGGAATCGACGGATATGGCACCCCGCCATTTCAGGCCTACCATGCCAGTGAGCACGACGCCCCATCCGAAATCTCTGAAGAGGAAAAGGGCAGAAGATCTAGGAGCACTGGACAAGCGAGTGAACGAGATCGACTTGAAAGAGGATCTGGATGCTTTCGCACAACTTCCCCTATCACAGCCAACAGCTGCAGGCTTGGATAGTTCGCATTTTAAGATACTTACCGAGATTCAAAGACAAGCTATTCCTCGTGGGCTGCAAGGCTTCGACATTCTTGGGGCTGCAAAGACTGGCAGTGGAAAGACTCTTGCGTTCCTTGTCCCAGTACTAGAGATTCTCTACAGAAAAGCATGGACCGAACATGATGGCTTGGGAGCCCTCATATTATCACCAACACGGGAATTGGCAATCCAGATTTTTGAAGTCTTGCGAAAGATTGGTCGATACCACACGTTTTCGGCCGGCCTTGTAATTGGCGGAAAGAGTCTTCAAGAGGAGCGCGAGCGACTTGGAAGAATGAACATTCTAGTATGCACGCCTGGAAGAATATTGCAGCATATGGATCAGACTTCTACGTTTGAGATTGATAACCTCCAAACGTTGGTGCTTGACGAAGCGGACAGGATAATGGACATGGGCTTCCAGAGCACGGTTGATGCAATTGTTGAGCACCTACCGAAAAAAAGACAGACGCTTCTGTATTCTGCTACGCAGACGAAGAAGGTATCTGACCTTGCTAGACTAAGTCTAAAAGACCCAGAGTATATATCTGTTCATGAGACAGCTGGTAGTGCTACGCCTTCTACGCTTCAGCAGAATTACATCGTTACACCTCTTCCAGAAAAGTTAGACACATTATGGAGCTTTCTGAGATCAAATCTTAAGTCCAAAATTCTAGTGTTCTTCTCTTCAGGCAAACAAGTCCGATTCGTGTATGAATCTTTCCGACATATGCAGCCCGGTATCTCTTTGATGCATTTGCATGGCCGTCAAAAGCAAGGTGCCAGGCTTGACATTACTTCTAAATTTGCAACCTCCAAATACTCTTGTCTTTTTGCGACTGACGTTATCGCGCGAGGCCTGGATTTCCCAGCCGTTGACTGGGTGATACAGCTTGATTGTCCAGAAGACGCTGATACATATATCCATCGAGTAGGCAGGACTGCTCGCTACGAACGGGACGGGAAAGCTGTGCTATTTCTTGAGCCCACCGAGGAAGAAGGGATGATCAAGCGGCTGGAACAAAAGAAAGTAACATTAGAAAAGATCCATGTCAGGCAGAAGAAGCAGCAGAGTATTCAAAGCCAGCTTCAAAACATGTGTTTCAAAGATCCTGAATTGAAGTACTTAGGTCAGAAAGCTTTCATTTCCTACGTTCGCTCTGTGCATATTCAGAAAGACAAGGACGTCTTCAAATTGAACGATTTACCACTTGAAAAGTTCTCGGACAGTCTAGGCTTACCAGGCGCACCAAGAATCAAATTTGGGAAGGGCGACACCATGAAAGCGCTGAAAAACGCTCCGAGAGGCGTCGCTCCATCATCTGCTTCCGAGGCTGATGAGCCGGACAGTCAGCCTAAGGAAACTAACAACGCCAGAGAGAAAGGCACACGAACAAAGTACGATCGAATGTTCGAGCGCAAAAATCAAGACATTCTTACAGACCACTACAGCAAACTCATCTCTCACAAAGCACCCCAGCAATCGGCATCAAGTGCCAACGACTCAAGCGACGAAGAAGAACTCGGGTTTATGAAAGTGAAGCGCCGCTTAAGCAACACAGCCGTCTCCGCCTCAACAAGCGACGACCACACCAGAATAACGGCACCAACACGTAGAGATGCGCCTGCTCACACTACTAGCGGGATAGGCAAGAACAACATCTCAGCACGCGCCACCAACGGCTTACTCACGGACCAGGCTCTAGTAATCGACTCCAAGCGGCGCGAGAAGCTGTTGAAGTCGAAAAAGAAACTCCTCAAGTACCAGGAGAAAGGGAAGAAGTTGGTGTATGATAGCGACGGCAATGCGCATGAGATCTATGAGCTTGAAGATGAAGAGAAGTTTAGAGCGCAGGGTTTGGCGGATGCGCAAAAGGCTGGTTTCGTGAGTAGGGAGAAGGAGAGGCTGAAGGCTGCGGATTTGGTAGATAAGGAATCTGTCAAAGCCAAGAGGAGAGAGAGACGTGAGAAGAAGAGGGCAAAGATGAGAGAGGGTGGTGATGGAGGTGAGGAGGAAGAAGGATACGGAGGAGGTGTACAACTTGTGCCCTTCGAGGAAGGTGATGGGGACTTTGGTGGCCTGAGCGACGTTGAAGAAACTGATGAGATTTGTCAGGCGAAGAAGAAAAGGGAGAGGCAGCGGAAAGCCAATTTTGAGGATGGAGAGGATGGGCTTGAAGGGTCGGAAAGACTTGAAGATCTTGAGGCTGTAGTATCTGGTTTACTCAATGAATGAAAACCTGCCCCATCTCAATATCGGTACTCCTCGTACGAGGCTGATCGCTCATTTTCAATCTCGCCTTGGTGTTGTGACGTTCTGGGATCAAATAAGTGGTTGAGTTTGTCACATAGAGGAAAGGGAAATTACTTTCATGCTCGATCAATTGATGGACAAAGACTCTCAATTGCCCATTGCTATTCACAGATCCATAAACATGCTAGCATTTCGTCGGAGTGCAATACTGGAGCAAATGCACTGACGCCAGAATTGCCGAATTTACTTGAACATGTACCGGTAGCCTGCCTGTCGGCACAAATTCCTAGTAATGGTTTCAAAAGGCGGTGAGTCCTGCATGTGCATAGGCGATAGATGGGGCTGTGTGAGACGCTCTAGCTATATTTCTGAGTGTCAGTGCCATGAATTCCCTGTCGACTACATCCTGACTATTCCCAAAGCTGGTGAGAGGAATTGCGATTGTAGAGGCAGATGCACAATATAGTGAGGCTGTGTGGAACAACAATGTCTCATCTAAATCTGGCAAGCACTGCAATATTATATACTAGACACCATACAATAAAACATGTCCGCGTTCAAGATGACCGTTCTACACCTTTCCATTATTTCAGCCGAAGCATATCTGCGAGCTCAATTCCTCCTTCATGCATGAAACTTTTAGTACGCCAAACACCTCTAAAACACCCACCAAGTATTTTGGGCAGAGCCCCTTTGAAGCCTTCGAAGGCACATCGAGCGCTTCCGACCTTGACGTCTGACCCCCAGAATAGGGGATAAGCAGGGAAAGGAGGGACCTCAGTGCAACACGTCCCCAATCTCCAGCCTTCTCCTCTTCTTTCTCTTACTATTGTGGGGACTGCTCCTTGCTGGGCTTGGCGTGGTCGTACCATGTCGGCGTCTTTGGTCTCGTGGTGTCTGTGGCTCTGACGTCGGGGTTGGGGCTGTTCGGATGGGCGGGAGCTGCAGATGCTTCAGATTATCGCGTGGCATAGGATGATGGGAACTAGTCGGCGAGCTTCGGGGGATCTCGGAGCCTGAGGCCGACGCAGAGCTTGAAGAATTAGTCCGAGGCGTTGAGTAAGGAACCTGCACAGATCGAGGAGGGGACGCCGCTTGGTAGTTCGCAGTGCTCTGAGTCGGGTGCATTGGCATCAAGGCATCCTCGAAACCAGAGCCTGCTGGAGAGCTAAGGTATGGGATACTGATGTCCGTCGAGCTGTTACGCTGATGACGATCTTGTGACGGGTTGCTCTGGTACAGGGAGTTTGGCGGAGACGGCATTCCGCCTAGAGAGGTCGCTGAGAGCAGCATTGGCTGTTGCAGGAGTTGTGGAGATTGCAGAGGGTTCGCGCTTTGGATTAAAGTCAGGATGACAAAGAACCCGCCGTCTCTAGCAAGAGATATCGAGATCGGGTAGCCGCGCGACTGCTCTCTGGGCAAGCGGAATGTCCAATATTCAGATCTGGTCTCGAAGCCTGCTGTCGCGCGCATGATATCCAGCTGATCTATCGAAGGCATTGTGTCGATGGTGTTAAGGTCTCCATGCTTCCGAGCCGCATGGACTGAATTATGGTACTCGGCTCGCATTGCAGCCTGCAGCCTACGGATCTTTTCCCTTTCTGCAGGAATAACAAGATTGACGAGAGTCTGACCTCTCGCAGTGATTTGCAGCGAAAGTGCATCAGTGAACGCACGATTGTGCTGTGCAACAACAAAATCAGGGCTCAGGAGAACGGTCGGGATTTGGCTAGATTGGTACGATGTCGCAGGTATCGAAGAACCATAGCTAAGAAGATCTCGGGGATACTGAGTCTGGTTGAAGGCAGGGTCGGAAGTCCTCGGCCGCTGATCGACGTATGCAGTTTCGGGCTGGGAGCGGAGTTCTCGGTACGTCTTGGATCTGTGACGACCAGGCTGAGCGGCAGCCAAAACACCCGCCTGCGTTTGATACACATCTCCGTAAGATGAGCCGGTCCCTAGGGTCATTTCTCGAAAGCTGTCGTCTTCTCGAAGTCTTGGACGCCCTCGTTTCCTGTTCAGAGGTTCGAAAGTCAGCTTCATCAGGTTCTAGAGACAAGTGAGGAGAGTCATAGAGGCGTCAGTCGACGCAAAAGCAGTCCAGAAAAGGGTAGAACCGATAAGGATTCTCAACGATTCAACACGGCTTGAAAAGCTCACCTATGAACAGTGTCGACACAGCTTGCCTATAGAACAGTGAGCTCCTGCACCAACGGATGAATGTACAGCCTTAAGACCTACCTCCTTCCCGTTGTGCACACATCTTGTGCAGGGACGTTTAGTTTCGCATGCCAGATGCTTCTTCTTACAATTGACACAGGCGGAAGGCACATGCGCTTTTGCCCTGCGAGCAATACCAGGAGGCCCAGGAACAAGCTGTGCTTCGGATGCGTCATGCGTAGTAGATGGGACATCGCCTCCCCAGTCAGAGGAACTTTTCGTCCTTGCACTACCAGGAGGGTTGGAAGCGACAGAGGTGTCAGTACTGCTTGGGGTACTCAATTCACTCCTTCCGTCTTTCGCAATGGCCTTGTTAGCATAAACAGCTGCCGCCGGTGGGGCTCGCTTGATTGATGATGCATGGTGAGAAGTTTTCGGCGCATGATGGTTGTTGTAATGACTCGAGATACGGTCATCAAACTTCGGCTGGCTGTAGGAGGCTGACATAGGAGGTGTCATGTAGTTGCTTTGGTAAGTCTCATTCAGCGGTGGAAGGTGCATCGACAGGCCGTTGCAGTTCAACGAACATCTCGGAGAGGTAACAAGCATTTGGTGATCGGATCTTACTGGGACTTGATGGCGATTCATAGGGTCTTGAACGGGGTGAATAATAAACCTTTTGGGTAAACAAGTGGCCAGCTATCCAACCAATACGAGTCTAAAGCCTGCAGCTTTAGTTGAGACACGAAAAGGTGATTCTTCAAATAGAACGATGGCGGTCTTCAGTAGTAGAATTGGTGGTCCAACGTTCAGTGAGGCTAGTGACCACGCAAATCGCCAATATCAAAAGGTTAGTGTTGTCTCTGAGGCTTAAGAAGATACAACAAACATGAGTGAGGAGGTGCAGAAGCTCGAGGTACTCATGGGCAGCTCGTCGCTTTTACGTGATCTCCAAGGAGGGGTTTTATCGTAATGGGAAAATTGTCAAGGGCTGTTGAGGCTGAACGCCATCTAAATTGATCGGCGTCAAAGCTGCACCTGATGAGACCGGAGGGTTGTGCTCGAATCGATTGGCAAAGGCTACAGAAACACAACAGCGTAGGGTGCCGATTCAGAGGACTTTTCGGATCCATGCGCGCGGAGGTCTAGAAATAAACCCAAGTCTGTCTTTCTTCTAACGCGAACGCAACAGTGTAATGTCCAACCCTCAAACGCGTGACGACGAAAATAATAGCGGGCCAAGATTACGTCGTGAGAGGTCCCTCAGGCCGTTTGAAGTCTAAGGTCGGGATGTTTCACTGGGGTCTCCAGTTTGTATTATCCGCAACTCCGGGAAATTTCCTCTGATGACTGCGGCAATTAAGCCCCAAGTGAGCGCTTTTTTGGAAAGCGCAAACCTTCAGACCCTTCGAGGCGAATTACCATCGTGTGAAACTCTGACCGTCCTCAGTACAACAATCGCGGCGCCAGAGGCAAGCCAGGAGAGCAGGAGGGGACTTTAATTAGACGTCACAGGTCTCATCGCCCTTCAAGGCTCCCGACCATGTGCTCCCCGTCCGGTGCGTGCGTACTGCGTAAGTATTGCCCGATTCGGCGGCGGCCATGCCGTTGTCAAAGTAGCATCTAATCTTATCGTAGATGCTAGTGCAGCCACAGGGCCCCATGGAAATGAATCTCCGAATTGGTCCCTATCAAGCTCAGAGTTGCACAATCTGCATTCCAGTGCGCCGAGTCATGCTCTGCCTGTCTCACTCGAATTGCTCTCCTGCCCTGGCAATAACCGCACACGAGATCAGCCAGGTTGAGGCTCCCTCCTATCCAGGATGATCGCCAATACCGTAACTAATGACCAAAAACAGAGAGGGTTGGGTGTGCAATCGGATGTGGTCACACCCTACTGTCTCTATTCATAGGCTTCAATCGGCGCCACATCCATGCTGAAGATACCTCTGCGGAGTATCTGAGGGTTTAATGCCATCGAGCCCGGAGGACAGCGGAATTGCTTGGACAGTTGGCTTGTTTGATCCACCGCGTGCAGAAGCGCGCTACATAATTAATCCTGAAACTGTTGTTGCGCCGGCCTGAGCGTGGTGCGGATGCAGGCTCACGCGACGAACTGCCAATCCGATGCAAAGCATGAGGCTGCCCATGGTCGAAGCTTCTGCGCTAAATCCCGAGCCTCAAATGGGCGGGCAAATGTCAGCCTCTCACCAGCTTTCTGCATCTCCGGTCAGCGTCAAGCCCATCGGATGTGTGTCGGGCTGCCGCATGCGGATCTCGCTGGCCAAAGAAACATCATGCGACTGCAATCCTGAAGGTGGCCTCCTACCAAAGTGGATAGCTCCCCACTTCTGCGCCACAATCTGTGGCATTCCGTTGTAGGTACTCCTGCAAGATTGAGGTACCTTAAGCCATGCACAGCGGTTCAGGCCGAAGGATCGACCTTAGTTCTGATATCAGAACACTCGAGGTCCAAAAAGGGGGCAGAAAGCACGTGCCAGTGCACCTCTCAAGGATTTCTCTGCACGGACGTCGTCGCAACAATCCTATCGAGATGCTATACCATCATTTTGGTCCACTTTTCCATTGAGAGCTTGTTCATGAAACATTTATGCGATCGCTGGAGAATATTTCCTTGATTGCTGCCACGACGTGATTGCTACCTTTCGGTTGGAGCTGTTCCTACTTGAATGAAACTCAGCAGAACGTAACCTCGTCAATGAAAACCCCTGCTATTGAATCCTCTTGACTATTGAGTCGTGAAAGACCTAGAGAGTTGATAAGTACGACACTCTTGCGCAAACCGTCATCGCCTAGAAATGCGCCGACAACGTCTGCAGTCAACTTAGGCTCCTTGGCTCGATACATCCGGCGCAAAAAGAAGTACGAGGACGTGCGGCGACGGACGGTCGCAGCAACGACCATGATGCCATCATCTTGAAGGCGCCCGAAGAGCATAAGAGCAGAGTGCACTAGAATATCTGGAGGCTCAAAAGGGACGACTGCGATCCCTCTCGGGGCATATGAGCCAATGACAAGCTGTGTACAGCTGGCGCCTAACTGCAAAGACCGCGCTCGTCTGTAAAGCCAAATTGGGAATTGAACGCGTCTTAGATATGAATGGAAAAAGCCCTCCGTTGTGTAGGTCAGAATCTGTTTGACGCCCGAGCCTTTTCCCCATGGTCTCAGTCAAGGTTCCGATATTGGCATGCGGTAGACTTTTGTTTCGAGCAATCGAGCATGCACCGCTTAATGTTATTTTGAAGAGCTTCGCGTCCCTGGTCTAGAAGCACCGTTTATCGAAGATCTGATCGAGATCCTCGGACCTAAAAGCGAGGTGTCTCATTGACGGGCCCAAGCATTGCATCTTGTGCGCTTTCACGAGAGTTTCCTACTTTAGTAGCGACACTAAGGATGCCACTCTCGAAGTCTCTCAATACCGCAGCGAGTTCTCGGACTTGATCCTCAGCGCTCTTCTCGCCGCCATTGTGGGTTCGAGTCAGAGCGAGTTGCTGAATTTGCTGAAGCGCGTTGGATTCTACGCTATTGAGGTAGGTTTCCACTTCCGTCACGTTTCGCTCATAGGCCGTAATACCTTTAGACAATTCTTCGGCCTGAGTTGAGAAATAGTCGACTAGAGTGCGGTTTGCTCTCTCTTCAGATGCATCATCCGAGAAAGATGGTGTGGTGCGCTGCGGCACTGAAACGGTATTCCATAAAGTAGCATGATGAAATTGCTGAGGAAGTTTCAGGTTGTTGATGACCTTGAAGCTTAGCTTTGCGTCTGCGGCGTCGGTATGAACCACAGTCTTGACAGAGGCTATAGACTGCGCGTCATATTCAAGTGCCCTCTGTACAGTATCAAGGCTTTCACTGCAGTAGGCCACATCAGGCGCTAAGGACTGACACATTCGTTCCAAGCTATCGCTGGCACTTTCACAGTCTTGCTGGAGTCTGATCTTGCTCAAGACAAATGCATCAACATACTCTATTGTTTTCTGAAGCTCCTCATGCAGGTCATTGAACCTCGTTGTTGGTCGGAGCTCATTGACGCTGATTCTCACTCCAGGCACTGTTTGATGTGCTTGACTTTGTTGACCTATGCTTGCCGAAAATATGCTGGGGGGTTGCTGGAGGTTCGACGACTGATTTTGCGTGGCGCTCTGCGTTGACCCGAAAATCGAGCCGTTGCTCATTTTACTGCCAAAAAGACCGGATCCGGTCTGGTTTTGAGGTTGACCAAACATAGAACCTGATGGCTGTTGAGTGGTGCTAGATCCAAATATATTGGTTGTCGGTTGTTGATTTTGCTGGGATCCAAATAACCCACCTGTCTGCTGCGTAGACCCAGTAGCTGTTTTCGGAGCGGAGAAGAAATTAGACATCGGCTGCGGCTGAGAAGTACTCAAGCTTCCCAAGAGCGATTTATTCGCCTGTATGTTTCCGCTCGGAGGTGGAGCACTGGACTGGGTGCTTCTTGAAGTTAGTGCCAAAGGTGGGCTTCGCCTCGCGATGACCTACCCTAGAGCATTCGCTGTTGTAGTTGATATGCTAAGACTGGGTCCCGAGCTGGATCGGAACATTATGAATTCTTTCAATACGGCGAGGAATGGGAAATGCAAGAGTGGAGCGCGTTGTTTGGCTCTGGCAAACGGGCGGGAGATTTCCGCCTTCCGCATCCACTAGAACTAGTGCAAAAGTGTTTTGAGGAGGCTTGTAGAACGCCCCAATCATTCTACCGTGGCGATGGAAGACGACGAGGACGATGACATCTACGCTCCAGATGAAGGTGAACCATCGCAAAACCATGCTAGTGGGGGCAAAATAGTACAGCCGGATCAGCTTGAACACACGAGCAATGGAAATGTCCCCCAAGACGAAGAGTCTGGGGAGGAGATTGAGGACGAAAGCGACTCGGTATGGAGAAGCATTCACGTCTTCTCATTTTCGTACTGACAGCAGATAGGACATAGACATCATCACTGAACGGAAAGAGGAGCCAAAGAAGGACATCCTGTAGGGTCCAGTACACAATATTCAAAAGAAGGAGCTGAAAGCTGTAGTCAAGGAACCCATGTCAACGCCTCGAACAGATCAGCCCTTCCACTTTTGACCCCGATCGAACCAGGACTAGTAAGGTCAGGCTCAGCAGCTGTAAGGGTAGGAACACCCGCAAAAGAGACTCACTTGAAAGCCGGCACAGCATATCCTGCTGTGAGAACATCGAGCGTAGATGTTGAGGCGAAACCTATACATGAGCCTAGCGGTAGGCCTATCACAGAAGTCGACATGGATGCAGGTACGTCTTGTATGCTCTTTAGAGATGTAAACAAGACACTTACAATATTCGTTAGATTTACCAGGAGAGGAGAAGGCGTGGCGACGACCAGGCTCAGACATGACAGACTACTTCAATTATGGTTTCGATGAGTTTACGTGGGCCAGTTACTGTTTAAAGCAGCAAGCCGTGCGAAAAGAGGTGTCCGACTCAAAGAAGCAGATGGACAATATGCAGAGCTTATTAAGCAATGGTATCCCAAGTATGCCCGGTATGCAGGGAATCCCGGGAGCGCCTGGCGGTGGAATGCCCCAAATGCCTGGCATGCCGGATATACCGCCCGAAATGCAACAGATGTTTTCACAGATGATGGCTCAAGGGATGGACCCTTCACAGATGGATCCTGGCGCTTTCGCGCAGATGATGTCGGGTGGACAGGGAGGTCAAGGCGGCGATCAAGGCTATGGGAACCAAGGCTATGGACAGCAACATAATTCTCAGATGGGATATGGGTATGGGAGCGTCAACCAGGGCACAGGGCGCGGTCGAGGGCGCAGATGGTAGCAAAACCTAGTCATTTCAATCTTTACTCTGATTGATGTGACGCACTGTGATGTGTCGGACTATATACCATCCTCATACTTACGCTCAACTCGCATGGAGCTACTAGTTCTATATCCGAAAGTGTACTAGTTCTAGGGTTTGTCACAATTCAGAACATCACTTCATTAAGGGATGATTCTCAGGCATCATTCTCACAAAGTCGAACCAGTCTTATCACACTGACCATTCGATTCTTGAGATCTCATGTCGTCTATCGTGGCCATGTTCTTGCCTCAAATGAAGCTCATACATTGGCTCCAGGCCTCCTAATTTCGCGCGGCTTCCGTCAAACAAACCTACCTGGAAGGTGGGATATCCAGCATTCTTTGAGAATGTTCATTTTCTTCGGTGAGAATACACGCACTCCGTTCTGCGGCGGGGTGTAAGAATGCATCGGACACCTCAATCACTTCCTCGCAAAATCCGAGTATAGTTACCACAAGTAGAATACCTAACAAAGTAGGGTGCAACATGAAGTGGCGTCCACACTGCTTAAGCTTCTATAAGCTTATTTGAAACTGAGTTCCCGCAGATGTCTCACCTTGAGAGGTCATAGGATCAGTGAAGTCGGCCTCTGTGATGTGTTTCAATAAGGAGTAAGTGAATTATACCCCCCAGGCACAATCGCCCGAAACGGGTAGTACAACACTGGCAAATCACAGTCCACGCTTTACATTGATCCCTTTGACCGGGTATGCGGTGTGAAGAGGAATTGGTTGTGTTCGAGCTGTCGGTGCCAAGGATGTTTGTTAATTTGAGAACATGTTCCCATTCACGCCACTGTTATTGAATGTTCCTATTGTCAGAAACGAATCACTGCGTAGCGACAGACTATTGTTCTGTGCCCACTCGAGCCAGGTAGGCTTTTAAGAAGCCTGTCATCCCACCAGCCAGTCCAAACACTACACATTAGCTTTCTATGACAATTTCGTGGAAAGCCGAAGTCAAAGGTAAGGTACTCCCCCGTTCATGGCATGTGACTCCTTGCACGTGTATGTTTTATGCGATGACAAATCGAGGCAGAAAGTCCACTGCGACAGGTGGTGATCTCTGACAACGAGGGGTAGGTGGCGCTACTTTCCACGTGAGTCGTAGCTCTTTCTTACGAGAGGCGACACCGTGGAGCGCATCCACATGCCTCTTCCAATATCCTTCCTATCATCGTCTTGAACTCTATATCGAGGTCCATTGGCATCCATGGTCGATCCTCTTGACCGCCTTTTCGTTTGGATCGCCATGTGCCAATGGACTTCTGAGTTCGGTTCTCCTGGTCGCCTTTCTGAAGTGGACAGCGCCTTCTGATTGCCACGAATGATGCTTTGCTTGCAGCTTGCAAAATGCTTCTGACCTCTTGAAATATAGATAGCCACCCGCAACTTCGTCAATCCTTCCCCCTTTGATCGGACTCGTCTCTAGCACCAATTGGCAGCGGAATTTCTTGAGGCTCGTCATGGGCAAATGACATTGCTAAGCCTTCGATTGCTCGGTCTTCGCTCTTAAATTGCGTTCTTGCGACCAGAAGCAAAGAAAAACCTCAGATCAGTCACGTTGTCTTTGACATACGTCGTACAAGCACTCGACTGACAACAAGCTCTTCTTTCTGCGATTGGCAAGAATCCTTCACACCAGCCATTGTCTCACTCATTATTTCTACTCTCTGACACGCAACAATTTGATCTCATCAGCCTGATTCTTTCAGTCTTCTTCTCAAAGATCATGAATCAATTTGTAGCGGAGGCCGCGATGTCCGGTAACTTACCCGACTCTTCACTTGAACATTTACCTTTCAATCTCGACCTCTTGACTGATTTTCAAATACACATAGCAAACACCACTCCAAGCCATACTCCCCATCTATATGTTGTATCGGAGCCTCATACACCAGAAGCACTGCCAAAGGAGACCTACTGCGAGTCACCCGCCTCGAGCAGTTACGAATCGTCCAGTCTACTGAATGGTGGCTTCACCCCATTGAATCAATCTCCGGTCACACCGATCACGCCAGGAAGCTATGGAGAGTTCAGTAATCTCAATTCACCTATGACAGATCGCCATGGGTCATTGCCAGCTCATGGTCCTTTTCATCGGCGACAAACGTCCATGAATAAGGTACATACTTACGAGCCTGAGTCTGATACAGACACAAAGAATGAAGCATCCGAAGACGGTCAGGAGCTGGCATTAGTTGCCGCCCCTCAACATACCGTGCATGCCAATCAAGCCCAGAACTTGTCGAACAGCTATGGCGCGCTCATGCCCAAACGAGCATCAGCACACATGGGGTTTGAGCAACTACCCAATTTGAATCAGACTTTCATGTTCCAAGAGCCTCGCCATAGCCATAACCACCCATTGCTATCAAATCGAGATTTAAGAAACATTAATGGCCTGCCCTTGAGTTGCACAGGGCCGCCGATGCCCCCACCTGGTATTAATACCATGCATCAGGATCGTTGGAGCCTTCCTCACTTCAACAGTGTCAACCCCCAAACTCAGCCCATATCTTACATGCGCTCTACAGCTATGCAGCCTATGCATCATGCTCCCACCAATTTGGTACCGTCACCTTTTGTGACCCCAGATACCTTGTTCCGTGGCACTGATCCTCGGAATCGACCCTCTGACGTCGGTCTCTATCAAAATCGTGCGCCTCCGGATAACACGCATCGTGCGTTGCAGAACGCAATCCAGGTTGCCCCATCTCAGGGACGAAATTTACCGACGCTTCAGCCAGTAACAGAGGCCGAGGACCCTCTTGTGCAAAAGCTCTACAAGGCGATGATGAACATGGGCTATACCGAGGATAACAAAGGCATCTTAAAAACCTGGCGAAAGCTGGGGGAAACAAAGACTGATCACATTCTTCAAGTTTGTCGGGACATGCTTGTATGGAAAACTTCCAGAATTCTGAATTTACTTGGCTGATGAATACGTAGGACTTATCAAAGCGGCGCCAGGAGACTGGCCAGCCGCTCTGTGAGACGAGGCACATGGGAACAGCTTACAGTACCTTGGAGAAGCGTCTCGATGCGCTCTGTGAGACGCTAGAAGTAACTCAGTCATTATCTGCACTCCATGATTTATACTGACTACTATGACAGGCTCAAAAAACTGTGTGTAAGCATCTGCTGGAAGATCCCTACATTAATCGTGTTGTTGAGGACCCATCGAAGGCTACAAAAGTGGGTTGACTCAGACTGTTGACGTTGAATGCCGCTGAATTCTCGTAGTTGGTTAAGAACAATCGACGAGTGAATGCTCAGAAAAAGGAAGCTATTGATGCGGGCCGGGATCATAAAGGAGTACGGGGCCGTGGGAAGGGCAACCGTCTTGAGCATGTGAGGACTGTGACCGGAGGACGCACTGGGTCTCATACCAATCGAGTCGCATTAACTAGGCCTAAACGTAAAGGCCCTCGTCAGCATTACGAAGAAGAGGGCAGCGACTATGAAGATGATCGCAGTGGCACCGTCTCGCCTCCGGCTAAGAAGTGCAGACGCAGCAAGAGATCATCCGCTGCGACAAATGCTAGATTTGTGGGGAACAGTACGAACGCATCCGAAGGCAGCTCATCGCCTCACGAAGAGGAACATGTCTATCAATTAGCAAAGAGCAATCTAGCAATGACGCCAGGTGTTGGCCTCGGGCCAAGGAGCCAGCTGACCCAAGGGCTACCGAATCATCAGCACGTCGATACACCTTACGTAGGGACTGATTGCGAAGCTCTTGGTCCTATGAGGCCGATGGAGCCGCCCACTTACAAGGACACTTTCCCCTACGGTACCCATGAACCCTATGCACCCACTGCTAGGTTTGGGAATGGATCCATCAATGACAGCGGGTAGTCATTTTCAAGTCTTCATCTAGGGATGCCCTACTTTCAACCTGCATCATAGATTTACAGCCTGCAAAGCCTTTCCAGCTTGGATACTTAACTCACGGCTTTTTCTCTTGTTAATGACGTGCATAACACAGATCTCAGAGCTCAAACTTTTCACACCACACAACAAGACCTCGCAAGATTCATGCCATACGTAACACCAATGAATCAAATTCGTTAACGGCATTCGCATTTACAGCATTTCTAGCAAGATCAACTCGTCATGTACACTTAGCAAGCGGGCATTCAGGCAAGGAAAGAGGGACCGCCTCCATGTGAGATGGAAAGACCGAGCTGCGACCTGGCGGTACCAAACATACAACGAGATTAAGAATCCAATTTGATCGTCGGCAGAATGTATTCTGTTGATGTACATTGCAGCCAGCTTGTATCGACCATGATGGGCTGAGGACATATGACATGACAGGAAGAAATGTTGATATTTACATGCGTGACACTCCGTGTAGTCTGCAAATGAATGAATATATAGCAATACAAATCATCATGGGTCTCGAGGGTTTTCAATCAAAATGCAAACTTGCTGCATTTCTGTCTATCTCTTAATCGGTGTAGCCACTCTGTCTAATCTATGTAGGATACAATATCATTATTCGCAAGCCGAAAGCACCAAGCTCATCCCGCAATCCATTGAGCACGGAGTAAAGCCTCAAAGCTCGATGCCATACTTCCTGTAATTGAACCCCTCAAGCGTTGGCATCATCTCTGCCCAACCATCTCCAATCATGCCAACCGTACCCTCCGGCACCCTCGGTTTCGCCTCCTCCATCAGGCCCTCAACCTCATCATCGCCTTCAATCATACTCGCAATACCGGCCAAGACCTCATCCTCACGTCCGGTATATTCCTGCAAGAGCATTGGATGCGGACACCAAACCACCCTCATTCCTGCCCTCCTTCCTGCCTCCACACCCAGCACACTATCCTCAAACACCAAACACTCCTCTGGACTCACCTCGGGCTCTCCCTTCGCTCGAAGGCCCTTATTAATACATTCCAATGCAAGCAAATAGATGTCCGGACACGGCTTTCCTCTCCCCTTACCAATGCGGGGATCGTCCCCGAGAACTCTCTTCTCAGGTTCAAAAGCCTTGAAGAGGGATTCTTGGTGAGAAGTCTTGAGTTTGAAGTTCACAGTATGCGAGGAGCTGGCTAGCGCAAGGTCGACCTTCGAATGGCGGAGAGTTTTGAGGAGCAAGGGAACACCGGGCAAGGGGCGCGTGGTGGGGAAAAAACGGGTCTGAAGGGCGCGCTGTTTCTCAAGAAAGAGGGGGCGAGCAATTGGGAGGCGAGCCCAAGCGTGGAAGATCTCTGCTGCCTAAGGCATGGGGCGTCAATTCAGGCAGGGTGGAGCAAGTGGTACAAGATGGAGCTGACGTACTTCGGGAGCTGGACGACCTTGAAGCAAGGCCTTTATCTTCCAGGGCAGATTGGGGCATCCATATTCCTGGAGAATGACGTTGTTGCATCCTGTGTAGATGTCTTCGGAATCGATCAGGAGACCGTCCATGTCGAACAGACAGGCGCGAATGGGGGAAACCTATGACGGACGTCAGATGCGCGCAAGTTGATAGAACGACGCATACTCTATGGTTTTTGCTATCATCTTGACGGTTGTGATATGATAAGGAGTTTGTTCAAAAGAAAGAAACCCTACGGAGGGACGAGTTGCGTGGTGATAAAAGAGGATGTGTGGTGGAAAGGGAAGGAGTGAAAGAAGAAATAGTGAGGGATGGGCAACAAGAGGGAAAGGAAAGTGAAGTGGAGCAAGGGCGAACAAGCCAATTTTGATAAGGCAGACAAGGAACGTTTAGAATTGATCCGCAAGTGAGAGTGACAGCTCCAGGCCATGTGCCAGCACGTGGCCAGATCTCACGAGGAAGGCGCGAGTGTCGCAAGACCTCAGGGCAATCTGGAGTTGATAGTGGCAAGCAGCGAGATCAAAGGAGGTCTATGCTTTTCAATGCTGCCAATGAATCAGGGCCAGTCTATCGCGACGAGAACTGCCGTCCACAAGTGCCAGGACAGCTCTGTGTAAAGGGCACGTGTAAAGCAAGCAGAAAGTACTCAGTACAACATGATCTATTATGATTGAGTTTGCTGCCGAAAGGCGCCAGGAGATATTCAAGGAGTCCCACGGTCCACGGTTCCTGCTCTTGCGAGGAAAGAGGAAAAAGCAAAAGCAAAAGCAAATAAAATGGTGAAGATTCCCGTTTTATTTCCATTCTGGGACGCGGCTGTCGCTTGAGCCTCATCCAACAGACACCAACCACACCCAACGATCGAATTACGGAACAAGCCTGAGATCTTCCGACCAGCCCGTGCCACTGGAATCGCAGCATTCTTACCACGAAAAGCTCGAGCCCGCCAAGGGCCTGCAAGTCGGTGAGGGTGTGCGTGCGAGTCAGCTTCGATATCAAAACAAGAACCTGGTACATTCTGCACCAGAGCCGCGCTAGAACTAGTTTGAGCGCCTTGAGCACCTCAACTCCCCCGTTCCTGAAGATCACAGTCACTAGTGCTGGGAGCTTTGATCAACTTACCGTTTCTGATCCGACAACGCTAGGATCTCAATCCCACATGCCCTATTATAGCCCATGAAGCCCGATCTCAAGCGGCCATCATGCCAACTGTAAATCCCATCTTGGATCCTACTCAAGATCCAGCAGCTTCCACCACTAGGTCCTCAACTCCCGACTCATCCACCTACCATGACGCACGCTCAGACCGCTCTCCTTCCCCCTCCTCCCCACCATCGCCTCCCTCACTGACTGCTCCCAACTCCCCACCTCACGACGAACCCCCACCCCGCTTCCCTCCCGAAGAAGAAGCCCAGCACCTCGCCTCCTCCACCGCCCTCAAACAGACCGCCAACGCAATCTTCTCATCCGGCGACTACTCCCAGGCAATTTCCCAATACGACCAAGCACTTGCCGCCTGCCCCACCTACCTCGACTACGAGGTCTCCGTCCTGCAATCCAACATAGCAGCCTGCCACCTCAAGCTCTCGGACTGGAAAGCCGCCGTCGCGAGCGCCACCGCCGCGCTCGACGGGCTAGAAAGAGTTTTGCCGACGCCGGGTTTGAAGAGAAAGGGCCAGCAAGGAAAACCTGGCGACGCAGCAACAACGCCAGGAAAAGAAGAGGCACGAGACGAAGACGGCAAGAATGATGCCGTAGTCGAACTTGACGACAACGAAGCCTCCGCCGCGCTTCAATTACAACAACTCCAACTTTCCGACCAGCGCCGCGCGGATATTGTCCGCATCCGGTCGAAATCCCTCCTGCGGCGCGCACGGGGAAAGACTGAGCTCAATACATGGGGAGACTTGCAGGGCGCACTGGATGATTACAAGGTTTTAGGTGGTCAGGTGAATGCATTGCCGCCAGGAGATAGGAGGGTGGTGCAAGCAGCGCTCAGGGAGCTACCGGCGCGTGTGAAGGAGGCGCAGGAGAGGGAGGTGGGGGAGATGATGGGGAAGCTGAAGGAGTTGGGGAATGGGATATTGAAGCCGTTTGGGCTGAGTACGGATATGTTTAAGATGCAGAAGGATGAGAAGACTGGGGGCTATAGCATGAGTGTCAATACTGGAGGAGGATAACGTGGTGTTATCCGAAAGCGCAATAAGATATTTTGAATTGAGACGCATAGCGTGGGTAACAAGCTCAGTGTGAGTGGAAGATTGTATAGATCTACTGAGAGAAAAGGCTAGCCCATGCGGGAGCACATACTGACGATGTGAAATACACAGTTAAGAGTCTCAATTTACAGCGTCGCTCCCGGCATCGTCGACCGAAAACGGTATTATTATAAGTAACATTAGCTGAGACACCAGCGAGGCTCGAGGGCCTAGCTGATTAGCCATTCGTGTGTCGACGGCAGCAAAGATCATCAAGCCCAATCTTCTCCTTCATCCTGATATTTGCTCGTAGCGGAAAGCTTAGCGACAGGAATGGCCATAGCTTCTCTTACCGCAAGTGGTCAGAAGTACGTGTTGCTACCATGATAGGCTTGCTGTCCATATTGGGACGAAAATGGCCGCTCGTTCTCACGACCTTGCGCCGACTGATTCATGCTAGCCAAACGCGAATCTTCAGGCTATCAGTACAGTGAACATTTTGAGACATGGCTCTTGAGGAAATACTTTGCTGGCGGCCCACTTTCAGGCCTGCACTCATCCCGTAGCCGTTCAACGCAGCTCTATTTGGACTGATGCTGTTCAGCGGCTGACGATGCATCGGAGATATCTGCGATGAGACTTGGATGGAAGGTACATTCCTTTGTCCTGGAGCACCGATGTGATTATTTGTCTGCCCGAACGGCCCAAGCTGAGTGCGATGGCGTGAGGGCGTGGGAACATTGCCGACTAGGTTTTCATTAGCTCTCGTCCAAGAAGACATATGAATTTGTCCTTGATTTATGATTACCATGGATACCAGATCGTTGTGGAATTGGCGGTGGCATCATGCCTGGAATCTCATGTTCGCGATTGCTGCTCTCGTCACGACTCTGGGTGGGGTTAGCCTCATGGTGCGGTGAGTAATGCTGCATGGTTGGTTGATGAAGGGGTCGACCATTGTATGGCCGACGACCTGAAGAGTCACTTCCGTAAGTCTCCTCCACAGACTCAAACGCCGCATTCTTTGCGGCATGTTGCGTCGCCGTCGTCATCTGCTTCCGCTTTAGGCGGTCATAGAGCTCTTGTGTTTGCTGGTGTTTGCGAGTCCGCTCTCTGAGATTTGTAATCAGGGTCTGGTTGTCAGTCTTCAGTCTTTCTTCGTCAATAGCCATATCTGCCTCAAAGTCAGCGAAGTGGAAGAGATACGGGTGACGTGCGACTACTCTGGATTTTATTATTAAGCCCATCAATCTCAGCATTGGCATGACTGACTACCTGATCGATTTCATGCTTCATGATGTGGTGTTTATCAGTTAGAGTCTTTGCCAAATACTCCTGGTAGACGCTTTTGGCATTTAATGTACGGTCTATCAATAAGTCTACACTAGACCTACATCTCTTGGGTTGATTGGTAGCTCCAGAACGACAGCCCGCGTCCCGCACATTCCATGATGGTGCTGGGCGGAAGACCGCTGAGTACGCTGGTCTTGTAGTCCTCTGTTGGGTTGAGTGATGTTGCAACAGCATCGTCAGGGTTTGGCAACCCCATTTTGCATGCTGGACAAACCCGATTGCCGTCTTGTGGTGCAGTCAAACCCAGGCTCGCAGAGCATCCATTGCAGAAGATGTGACTAGAATGGGAGTCAGCAAAGGATGTGTTTGAATCTTCAAAGGAATCAATGTACCTGCAAGTGGTCACTACCGCTCGATCGGTCAATTGAGTACGGCATTTGAGCGAATTGCATCGCAAGACGTAGTCCATTACAGTAATTTTCGATTTCTGATCGACCGAATTTCGATGTGGTGTGAGTTCAGCAGCAGAGGGAGTTGGATGAAATCTATGAACGGGGAAAGGAAAACTTTTTTTGGAAACGGAAAGAGCGTTGTGAAGCAAAAGCTGGCAACTGCGAAGGTCTTGAACGGGTGGGTGGTTGGATTGGCGGGACTTTTCTACATGATCACATAGTATGACAACCATACAGTCACATCATCCAAGATGCAGGTCTATTCTCTGCAAAGTGCTTCAAGATAGAACCCAATGCGAAAGCAGTCCGTGGGCCTTACACTGCCGGAGCGACGCTTCAAACTAACGCTTCTGTATTTTCTGCAAGCACATAGATTTTGTTGACTCTGGGATTTCCAAGGTTTGATGCAAGGGAAACAAACCCTCGCCCAGCAAAAACAAGTGATTATAAAGATTCAAATCGTCAGCCCTACGGTCAGGGGGAAGAGTAACGCACTTCTGATCATGCTATAGTAGTTCCAAGTCTGGCCCACAGGAGGGTTGCATCAGTCTGCAGACGCATTTTTGCGTCTTTCTTGCCATTGCACCACAGAGTTTCCTGGCATGGACCTATCAACTCCATCCTCTAGCGATCCATCTAGAGTACCGACCCCGAATAGGTTCACAGCTCAAGCTGCCACTGCTGAGGACGTACTCAAGACTCAGACTGTAGGTCTTGTCCAGCTTTCCGACTTTCGGAAAAGACGCGCGGAAGCACTCGAGCAGAGAGAACGAGAGGCTGCATCGAATCATGGAGGCCGTTTCACTCCTGCAAGTGCGAGCTCAAGAGCTGCAACGCCTCTCAGTGACGGGTAAGTCTGAAGACACCCAGGGTTTTGCATCTGAGACTGATAGCACAAGCGCAGGGTGAACACGCCTGATGGACGACAACCGAAGAAGAGGAAAACTGCTGTAGCGCGGGGCAAATTGAGCTTTGGCGTTGATGACGAAGAGTCTCAACAGCCCAAAGACGTAGCTGTTGATGTCCAGTCAGGGCGATTTTCACTATCCAAAAACAGCTCTTCTCGAAATTCCCCTAACCCGCCGGATACAAGTTCTTCAGCCCACAAGAAAAGGGTCGGCCCCAACGCCACCATTTCTGTTGCCCCAAAAGCTGTGACCAAGTCTGCGCTACTGAAAGAAGCTTCGACCAGGGAACAGCTTCGCAAAGAGTTTCTGCTTATGCAAGAAGCAGTCAAAGCCATAGAGGTTGTGATACCTTTCGTGTTTTACGATGGCACCAATATACCGGGTGGAGCGTGCAAAATCAAAAAGGGTGAACCTGCCTGGCTCTTTCTTGACCGAAGCCGGAAAGTTGGCGCTGAACTTGGTGTTGGTGGTGAAAGGGGGAGTAGTAGGAGAGAGTGGGCAAGAGTGGGCGTCGATGACCTCATGCTGGTGAGAGGAGACGTTATCATACCGCATCACTACGAAATATACTATTTCGTCATCAACAAGACGACGGGTGCTAACGGGCGGCGATTGTTTGATTATGCATCCACAACCGACCTGACATCCATCCAACCCTTAGAATCGGCAGAAAACAAGGATCACAGCCTGCTCAGTCGTCCAAGTAAGACCGCAGCAAAAGCAAACGGTCAAATCGACGAAGCTGATAAGGATCTGGAAGGAGCGAACGATGACCCTAACCTCACGAAGGTGGTGGACAGGAGATGGTATGAGAGAAACAAACACATATTTCCTGCGAGCGTGTGGGAAGAGTACGACCCTGGCAAGAATTATGCCAACTCTGTCAGGAAGGACGCGGAAGGCAATGCCTTTTTCTTTTCATGAAACGTTTCACGAGGGCGAATTGAGCAGAGGAACTCAGCTGGAACCTAGTGTCAATTGAAGCCAACATTACTACTTCCCAAGTTCATCCCAAGAAGTACAACAAGTCTTACCCCAATCACATTGATGTCACGCTCAACCAACGAGTCAGTAACTAATAAAGTTTGACCACAGCATTGCAACAAGACTGATTGAGTCAGGATGGTATTCTGATGTACACACAATCAACGGTACTGACACACGCAATGCCAGAGTCCTGGCCAAGGCGCCAGCCATCATCTTGCATTGAGATATTATCGCCCAGCATGCACGATCTTTATCTCGGTCCGATCGGAGCGGTTAAGAGATAAAGCTGCAAGTCTTCGCACGTCCAAGGTATGCATGTTCACCATGGCGCATCATGCTCGCCTTTTCGCATCAATGAGAACTTCCGACCGCCGAGGACTCTTAAACGGCCCTGGCAGACGTCAAAGTGCAGGATATCTCCACCAAAGGACGGATTCCGAAGAAGCCAAATGACGTAGGTCTCAGGCTCTGTTGATTTTCAGACCTAAATCGCATGAGAGGCGACAGCACATAGATTGACCTGCATGGTCTTCTTGAAGATACCACCTGTTCAGTGCTTGGGGGTGTAGCAGTTCGTCCATTTGTCCTACGATTCAGACAGGGGAAAGCACAGAATGCTACAATGCCTTGACCACGTGAAAGACTCGAGTCAATTGTGCGATGCATGAATGCCATGTACTGCTCCCACCTCTACTAACCGTTGCACGCATGAAACAGAGCGGCCGTAGCCGCCATCCCATCGACCTGCCGCCACCCACAAAGCACCAGAAATGATGATTATGGTCACTCTTGTTGCGTAAGCACACAGTTGTAGTAGGAGCACGATAGTCAAGTGGTGTGATCTAAGCCTCCAGATCTGGGCCAGCAGTGCCTCCGGGTGCCGGGGATGAAACAGTTCGCAGACCCTTGAAACAGCTCTTCCTTCAGCAGTTGGCGCGTATGAAATGGCAGCCGGCCGGCTATGCACTGCAGTAGCCACCGTCCGTAAGTTGCAGGAAGGGTTATGTAGTATGTAGTGGTATGTGGTATGTAGGTGGCTGCGGAATCCGAACGCAAACGCAAAGAAGGCAGCTGACGTGCCCCCTACCCCAACGTCAGGATCACAAGACCGCTGCCCCCCAAAAGCCTCCCATTATTGCGCTAGAGAACTGTAGCATCTCGAGGGAAACAAGAGTTAGTTCTACTCGAGTACGTTGCGTCAATGCGGCGCCTGTATGTCAGTCAGCCTGCTCGGAGGATTCTGTTGGTTGGGCTGAGGAGGGTTAGGGGGTCCTGCTGCTTCATGGGCTTCGCAACGCTGTTACCGATGACGTTTTGCCCTCGTCCTTGCAGTGAGACGAAACCCTTTCTTTCCCACTTCTTGACCCCTACCCGACAGCCCAGCCAGCCCAGCCAGCCCAACCTGTGTTGCTGCCAAGCTTGGGGGGACGTGAGACTGCCCTCTTGCACCACGTTCCGTCCGTTTGTTGCTGGATGGGCTAAGCTCGGTGGCTGGCTATCCGTCCATTCGGGGGGAAGGGCGTCTAATAATAATAAGGAGCGAGAATGGGGGTGGTGCTGCTGCTCAGCTTGGTGGGAAAGGGTCTGGCATCAGGTATATAGGGGTCCGTCTTCCCGATTGTCACTGCTCGAAGTCCGAAGTATATCGAACACTGTTATATGTACCATGCGATTACAAGTCTTATATCATTACTCCATCACAAATCTCTCCACCTCACAGAAGAAACTTCAATCTACCGTGTTCAGATAACACGAGCTTAACTTGACATTCATCACACCCCCACCGCCACCACCTCCTCCTATTCTTCCTAACAAAAAGCAATCCATGGCTTCTTCATCGTCGTCATCCTCATCCAGCTCCCACCACGCCCGCTCCTCCTCCAACGCTTCTCTCTCCTCAGATACATCATCTTCAAGCGGCCTCTCCTCTCGCCGCCGCTCCTCTCGAAGCGGCAGCTACAAGCGTCCGTGGCAAGTCCTCGCCATCATCACAGACCGCGACGACAAGCCGTGTTCTTCGGGTGCAAGACGCGGAACGAGAAGCCCCTATCCAGTGGGCCGGAAGAATCTCGACCGAGTGTGACCGCCACCGTCGCCGTGTTCCCGAGTGGGGGACACAACGGTGGTTCATATTGTATGAAAAGCGAGAGCTAAAGGCGTTTTCGAGGCTGGGTTATTCTTGGGGTCTGACACGACGTTACGACGCGGTTTCTTCTTGTTCGAGCTTGCGTGTTCATAGGGGCGGTGTCATGGAATGCGGTTTCAGGCCGAGACCAAAGCGGGTCATGTCCCCGCCTTTTTGGTGTGAATGGGATTTAGGTGACCATTGAGAGCGGGAGAGCGGAAAACTTCTTCAACAGAGAATAGCGTTGAGATTCTTGAATTACAGTGGTCAAAATTCTCTCTCCTGCATTTTCGGCTTCTCAACCAATTACATGATTCTTTCGTCAATAGCTTCCTGATCCTGCTTACTTTGCATGCGGTTCATTGTCGGCCCCAATTTGAGGTGTCCTATCATTGCTGACAGGTCCTAATCGTGGGTCACGCCCTGTCCGCCAGAATTCGATCCATCGAGCAGGTGAGTATGGGGACTGCTCAATGGCCTCATCGACCGTCGTAGGTCGTGTGCTCCGCTGCGGAGTGTCTTCGCTGTTTGTTTGAATCCAGCTGAAGCCACGCTGAACGCTCCTTCTTATATCATTCGTCACGGTGGAGGATTGACTCCTGAGACCACTGGAGGCCGTAGAAGACTCAGCGCGGTCCAGACCAGTCGCTCTGCTGTTTCGTGGGACTTTGCTGTAGGATTGTGGTGTGCCATGGTAGGAGACGGTATTGTTAGCGGAAGGTGTGCCTGGAGTGGTGGAGCGACCCATAGATGACACCGTGGTCTGTCGAGAGTGCCTCGGTGCGAAGCCGGCTCGCTCATCTATATTCATCAAGCTGTAGTTGGACCTCATCGACCGTACTGTCCCTCCATGACTTTGACTAGAAACAGATTCGCTCTCTGCGGAAACATACCAAGCCGCTCTTCGTGCGATGGTCTCTAGGGAAGATACCTCGTCTTGTGCATCTGGCGAGACAGGACTCACTATCCGGAATGGGTCTGAAGGAGCTTTACTATTCCCTTCGTCACTTGGACTACTCACCGCGGCCGATTTCCCTGTATCCTGGCGAAATAATCTGTGATCGTTCGATCTAAAGGCAGAAAGCTCCGACCTTGACGAAGTGGCTGATGCGGGAGAGAGTTCTGGTATAGGCTGTTCTTTATTACCGGGTTGGTAATTACTAGAGCGATATGGTAGTTCGACCGGCATCGAAGGATCATGTCCAATTGCGTTGACCACGATAGGAGGAGGCTTTTCATCGGCTAGGTCTCGCTCGTAGAAACCGCGTATTGTATGGTTGCTTCCATCTAGCTCACTATTTGTGGAGCTGATTTCCTCGCCGCCTTGGAGCTCAGGGACATCGTGTTGACTCTCTCGTTCGAACTCCTGCGACTTACGTGGCAAGCGAAGAAAATGTTGAACGAAGCGGTGTCTGCTGCCTGACGACTCCCGCGTTAGTTCGCCCTTGTCCTTTTCATACCCTCCGTTGGTAGGATCCCGCCGCATTTTAACTATAAGAGCGACAAGACCTATCAGGAGACAAAGCCCGAAGATAGCCGCTACGATAATACCAGCTATACCTCCTTTGCTTAGAATGGGCGCAACCTGCTTGACGGCAAACGTGCTATTCTTCGGCCTAGTAATATCGACGAGATGCGCCTGACTCAGTGCATCTGGAGCAAAATTCACGGAATGTACTGAAAAATTATTACGCTCATAATCAACAATGAGATACGCCTCCTGAAGGAATGCTCTGCCAACAGTGTATTGTGTGCTATTGGCAGCTTTTCGAAGTGGAAAATATGGCACAGACGGGTCTGTCGCTGTGATATTTAGTCCTGGATATGGATACGACAATTGGAGATCAAAGGCGTCATAAGGCAAGTCTAACGAGACGACCTTGGTCGAGCCCGGTAGATCGGCTATCGTAAATTGAAAGGTTATATTCCAGTCCTGTAGTTGCTGATGTTGACTTTGGTTTTGGGCAAAGGTGTAAAGTTCGAGACCATCATCATACGTCAATCCAAGCGCTTTCTCGAACTGCTGGCAGACGGACTCCGGAAGCCACAAGTAAGGCGTGGAGGAATCGATTGCGAAAATGTCAGCTTGAGTCGGTTGAAGAAGATCAATCGAGTTGTCCTTCCAGCCAATGCTTGTGTTTGAAGTTGAGAGCGGAGCGGCAGTCGCTTTGATACTATTGATTGCAACTACTGGAGTCAAATCAGGATCTAAGTTAAAGCTTACGTCGTGAGGAATGAAGCGGTTGGCATCATATCCACCTAGCGTAAGTGAGCCCGTAACACCTTTCAGGCGGTGGTGTGCCCCGGCTGTGTACCCATAGCTGTGGGTTGGTATCAAGCCTTGATCTTCGACCATGCTGCTGAGAAAAGTCTTCTGATCATTCGATGTCAAATTTGTTGGTCTCACTCCAAGTCCAAAAAATCCAAGCCAGTAATTGGTTGAATTGATAACTCCAACGAGCTGCGAAGAGACGTTTACCCGGTTTACTGTCTCCATGGCAATGCTATCAAACCCATATATGCCCTTCCCACTAAAGCCAAGCTGGGGATCCAGGCCTAAGAAATATGATCCTTGAGCCACCCAGCTGCTGGAGGTGTTCGATGCAAAGACTCCGCCCCGCGCATCGAGGCACATCTCTGACCCATCGCAGCCTGACGTTCCAACCACCCATGTTTCCTGGCTCGCTGTACTAATGAAGACGTCGACGCCTTGAGGTGGAGTGCCAACACGTATCGATAGAGGACTCCAAAAACCATCATATCCTTTCCAATAGGCTCTGACAGGTGCGGAGATTGCGGAAGGATTCGCTGCATTCGAAGAATTCGCTAGGAGAAGATAGGTCGAAGACCATGCAATGGCAAATGAGACTGAGCAACCAGGGCATCTCATGATTAGAGGGTTGCAACTTCACACCAGGGTTCTCCAATCAGGAGGGAAACAGTTGCCTGCAACATTAGATCCGCTCCTCAACGTCGCGTGTGAGTGGATAGCAGACCCATCCGAAAGAACAAGAACTGTAAACAGGAGGTGAAAGAGTAGCGCTATGTAATGAACGTATAGAGTCAAGTCAATGTGAGCAAAGGAGCAGTGAAAGATGATGGACCCTCACCAGTCGTAAGTCAGACGTCCGGGGAAAAGATGAAGCACTAAAAGTCATGCAGGCATCTACTAGGCGAGAAGGAGACTCCATGCACGGGTACAGCTTTGCATCGTACACGTACAGTGACAGAACAAGCAGTTGTGCTGGCGTGCCAATAGATTCAGATGGGCCACTTTGTGTCTTGCCCTGAAACCAGGAGGCCTGCGCGTATAGGGAGCTCCTTGACCTGAAGCCGCATTTCACAGGCTTTCATCTCAACGACGCGTGGACTTTATCCATCAGAGCAAAGGAAGACTAGTGTGACTAGATTCGAGACATCCAACCATCAGCGATAGAGAGCAGTTGCTCTGTGATCAATAATATGATGATGACCTTCTTTTGCTTTGTCGAGAACTCCAAACCGCGAAGTAGTTCTGCCGAGAGCCGCCGCTAAGCCGTTAGGGGGAACGCTCCCTCTAATTATAGGGGATGCAGGGCCTCCCGCCGCCAACTCCCGCCAAATTTCCCTCCCCTCGTTCTTCAACCCTAAAAGTCACTCGAATCATGTACGCCTGCGGACTACATTCGCTACTCCGTGTAAGCGCACGGCTTGTTGCTGAGGCCAACTCGTTCTCCTTGCCATCAGTGACCAGCTGTGAATCTGGCTTCCTTTTCGCGACTGCTCTAAATCGCTCCCTTCAACATTCCCGGAAATATGTTGACAAATCAGAACGTCGCAGACTCTGCCAGCCACGCTTTTGAAACGCATCCGTCGTCGTCGTGGCCGCCGTTCTTGTTACTGTCTCTCGCGGAGCCACCGCCTTTGCCTGTGTATCCGAAGTAACAAGGGTCGTGCTTGACGTGATCATCTTCAAGTCTCGCTGCCGCGACAGGAAAGTGTGCCCTCGGCCAGGCTCACGGTAACATGCTGGATTCCAAGCTCGATGTAGCCCCCAGTTCAAATGACCTCTAGCTGCTCGCTCAGTATGAAACGGTCAGGTCAGCAATCTGAAGCCTACCTTCCTTGAGATCGGAAACTTCCCAATTTGCGGGTATACCAATGCACGCGGGAAATCCGAGACAGCAACGCACCGCCATTTTCTCTATATGACCAGACCGTCTCGCTCACATCGAATTCTTGCCTCTTCTTGGCGCTCATTCGTTCCACCCCGTCACTCCTTTGGCTCTACCAAACCATCTCTACTCTTTGTTTCCTTGGCCCATGAGATTCTTTTTGGAAGGCCCTTCCAAAACACGCACTTTGTGAAGTTCGAGCCGAGTCGATGGGATGATTGAGTTGCGTCGCTCTCGTTCCTGTTTGCCTTATTATGGCCTGGAGCCATAGTCTTGGTTTCCTATGCATTGTCTGGCTCCATTTGATCCATCCACAGGCTGTAGCGCAACAGTCTGATCATTGTAATGCGAGTACGTGAAGGCCCGATATGCTGAAAAGCCTTACTGATGCTGCCAGATATCGTCCCAGCTCTCGCCGTCCGTGATGGCGTCTTGCCTCGTTTCACTTCATCGTACGGGTCATGCAGCTCAAGTGCCGTAGCGACTATTCATCCCTCAAGTTCTAGCCCATCTGGACTTGCAAGGGTGAAGTCGGCTTCCCCTACTCTGACTAGTGTATCGACCTTTCCTTCCACTCATAGCGCCACGACTTTACCCTTTATATCGCTCATTGACACGTCATGGCCTTCACAGACAGCCACATCGGCCTCGGACGTTACGTCCAGGGCCACGACAAAGTTGTCTGCGACAAGTATGTCCGCCACACTCAGCTCATCGGAGGGAAGCAACGGTCTGAAGGACAACAAATTAGCTAGACCATCCACATCGTCTTACCCTGGTCAGGGCAATGAGATCTCTGGTGTATCAGGATCCACAAGATCGAGTGGCTCCTCAACCTTTGCTTCATTCCCACAAAGCAGTGTCATCAACACAGATTCTGTTGGGGCAGGTGATTCGGCTTTGAGTGTTAGTGATACAGGCGGTGTGGCAACGCAGACAACCGAGAGACCTTCCACGAATAACAGATTGTCGCAAACTTCCCAAGCTCGTTCCCCGGTCCCATCCACAAGTGGGAGCTCATCACCAAATGTGAACTCCAGATCGATGAGCGTCTCAAATTTCAATAAAACTGCAAACGCACCTACCGCAATTTCCAACACCGCAGGACTTTCGGCAGCCGTCACAGTGACCACTCCTTCATCTTGGAGTTTCACTTCCAATCTTTCAAAGTCGACAGCTGCAGGCGAGGGAGTCTTCGAAGAAGCCTCTGGGCAACTTTGCCAAAATGATACCCGGCAAGCGATACATAGGGGATCAAGATTATCACAATTGGATCCACTGCCCTCTGACTGTAAACCCAGAAACAAGACCACTGGCTCGAATACACTTGCTGGACACGCAATGATATCTAATCATACACAAAACAGCAATGCGACATCAGGACCCTCACGAGGCAGCCAAGAGTCGGGTACACAAAATCTCACTATTACGCCAATAAGTGCTGAAGTGTTGGCGCAAAATTCGATACTGGGCGGTACATTGCCCACGAATTCCACGAGGGGTTTGAACGCGACCAATGGCGGTGATTGCGGTAATGGCAAGCCTAAATGCATCTGGGGACTGAGGCCACATTCTATGCTTTCTAATGCTTTTGGAGGCCGTGATCAACAGGTAGCCGCTTGTTCCGGTGTCGTGAATCTACCAACTCAATTCCGGCGACTAGTCTTTGTCATAATGACCGTCACAGCCAGCGAATTCATCAGCATGGGCGCCATGACGAGTCCCACGCCCTCTCTTATTCCTCCTGCTATCCCGTGCGTTTTCAATTCCGGAGGTAATGGCACAAAAGGGAATGTGTTTCATGAGGCTTACCTGGACACGACTAGTACTTTACTTGCGACGATCAAGCAACCCGTAGCTGCAAACGATGATGGAATGAGAGGCTCGTACGGCAGCTTAGGACAGCAGGATAGCATTCCACATCAAACAAATGTCCCCGTGGGAGGCGGAGCGCAAAAATTGAAAGCACCCGTCGAATTTTTGTCGGCTGATCCCAAAAAGCCTGCAAATGGTGATCCTGATCCGGGGTTTAGTGGATCTGCAGCTCCAGATGCCACAGATGGCACGACATCTGGGGATCAATCCAGTAATAACACCTCCAACGAAGTAGGAAGCAACGTCCTGGCTCAGCAACAGCCTGCGCAACAAGCGCAACCCTCCGAGTCACCATCTCAGCAATCTACAGAGAGTAGCCAGGGTGCCCAGCAGTTCACTAATCAGTATTTCAATAATGCCGCTACGGGAGCGCAATCTGATGGTCAAGGCGGCTCTACCCAGCAAGATGCCTCGAGTCAAAAGCCAACGTCAGGGCAGCAGCCAGCGTCAGGGCAGCAGCCAGCGTCAGGGCAACAGCCAGCGTCTGGACAACAAGCACAACCAGTGCAACAGACCCCTGGACAAGCTACTACAGACAATCAGTCTTCAGAGCAACAACCAGCTCAACAAGGAGCCACTGGGCAACAGCCGCCCGGGCCGCAATCCTCGGGTGGTACTTCGTCTGATCAGCAATTCACAAATACTTTCTTTGGCCAACCCGCTGCACCAAACAATCCCACTCAAAGTAGCACTGGGCAGCAGCCTGCGAGTCAAGGCTCCGCAGCACAGCAAGCTTCAGGGCAAAGACCTGCCGCAGGGCAAGGTTCCTCTGAAAGTCCGTCATCTGGTGAAACTCCTTCAGGTCAAACTTTCTCCAACCAATACTTTGGCAACCCCGCCACTCAAGACAATCATGATCAAGCAGGAAACTCTGCGCACTCGTCACCTGCTACTGTGCAGAATCCATCCGAGCATTCAGTCGATCAGCAGCCTTCGGATCAGCAATCTTCTGCAAATTCAGCTGGTGGACAAGGCAGCTCGGCTGGGCAGACGAACAACGAGCAATTTGCTAATCAATTTTTTGGGCAGTCCTCATCTAATGCAAATTCGGGCGAGAGACCTGACACAAAATCTGCAGGGCAGCAATCGCCCGAACAGCATACTACTGGGAGCGGGCCTACTGGTGGCTCGTCACAAGGTTTCTTTGGAGCCTCTCCGTCTAATGCGGATATTGGTGAACACAATAGTGCGAGCTCTCCGGCTGGGGGAGCGTCCCAGCAGCAGCAATCTCAGAGTAACGGAGCTTCGGGGGGCTCATCGCAAGGCCAGCAATTTGCACATGATTTCCTCGGTCAATCTGCGTCTTACAATTCGAATGGAGGCCGACCCGATGGTGAAACTGGGAATGGTAACTCGGGGAACCAAGGATCTACGTTGAATTCGCCGAATCAGCAGTTCAATGGTGATAGCCTAAAGCCCCAGAAGGCCCCGACAGTCTCAACGAATATTGATAATATACCGATTCAGTTGAGTCCCGACAACGTGAAGATAGGCGACCAAGTTTTTGAGCACGGTAACTCGCCCTCATCTGCTGTTGTTAATGGTCAAACCTTTAGCTGGAACTCTGATACCTTTAGTGGCCCTTCAATATCTATTCCCATCCCGTCAGCTAACGCTAAAGCGCCTGCTGTGGTCATTGGTGGCAAAAGTTTCAACGTGAACCCTTCGAACGTAGAGATTGACGGTGCGACAATACGAAGGCCACCCAGCTCGAAACCATCGTCTTTTGACATTGACGGCCAGAAGTTCACCCTTAATCCTTCTCAGATAATAGCACCTGACGAAAATATTTCACTTCCTCCTACAAACAGGGCATCACCATTTGTATATAAAGGCCAGACTTTGTCGGCAGATGGATCGTACTTGTACGCTGGATCGACAAGTATACCTCTTTCTCCCTCCGGTGTCGTAACATACGACGGTCAGAAGCTGACTGTCAAGCCCTCCGAAATCATCGCTCCAGACACCAAAATCGCTCTCTCGCAGACACCAGGGTCAGACACCCTCAACTCACCAAAGGCCCTGACGACTGGTGGTCACACTTTTGCGATCGGTCCAGGTGCAGCGGTTGTCGGCTCTCATACACATTCTTTTCTTCCCGGCAATGCTCCTGAGACCTATGAGGACCACGGCGAGAAGATCACGGTTGGGCCCCAAGGTGTCAATTTTGGCACTATTAGCATTCCAATCCCTACAAACACCCCTGATTACGAAGTGGAGAGTTACAACGGTGTGACTTTCTCGGTGGCTCCATCAGAAGCCGTTGTTGGTGGTCTTCATGTGCAAAATCTCCAATCTGGAATGTCGCCTCTCACGACCATCGTCAATGGCCAAACGATAAAGATCGGTCCCCAAGGTATCGGGTTTGGAAGCACAACCTTACCGTTACCATCCCCTACTCCAAGCTACTCTATAACGATAGAGGGTAGCTTGACATTATCCTTGGCTCCAACGGAAGCCGTCATTAATGGACACACATATCATGTCCCTCCCGGAACCCCATCGACGACTGAGGTCATTGATGGGAGAACTGTTGGTATTGGTCCCTCAGGTATCCACGTTCAGGGTACAACCGTTGACCTCCCATCGGTGGCGGCTGGCACAGCAAATGGTATTAGTTACTCCGTTGGTGCTACTGAAGCTGTCCTTGGAGGGACAGGCTATCCTATTGGCTCTAATGCGCCAGAAAAGACAATCGTAGTGGGCTCCGAGACGATCAAACTTGGTACTGAGGGAGTCGTCCTACCAGATAACACTCTTGGTAATGGCCAAGTGATACCGGGCACGACGATCAGGCCCGGTCAATTGCCGACCTTGTCGTCTACGTTCCAGAGCATCACCACTTCAGCTGTGGAGACTCCTCAAGCGGGACCTGCTCCGACAACGACTTCTGCAGGTGGAGATAACGGTAGCGGAGCCACAGCAGTATCCAAGCCGCCATGGGTCGCTCTGATGACTGCTCACTTGGTGGTGTTCTGTACAGCACTTTTAATCCTTTAAGAGGTGACCTGGAAGAACCGCCTGTCTACGGCGAGAAAACTTGACGTGTAAATTACAATAGACCTACTACGCACATAATGCCTAATTCAATGCCCATCAATTAAATGCCATCTCACATCAGTACATGCACAGTTGCGATGAAGCCTTCGAAAGGAGGCCCCTGAACGTAGTGGCCCCTGCACGTAGTGGCCCCTTAGGCTGAATGGCCTTGCCTGTTCCGCATTTGCCAAGCAATCTTGACTTTAGCCGTCATTTCTTTTTAAATCCTTAGAAAGTTCACTTCTGAAGCATCACAAGGCTACGCTCTCGACGACTACAGACCACGCCGTTTTGACTGAGCGAGGAATCAGCTCGGTCCAGCGATCATTCCATATCTCGAGCCTACAGTTTTATGCAATCTGAGCCCAACGAAACTTCCCAGAAAGATTCGTTAGACTTGACCCGGCCAAATACATCAAGCCAGATTCATCATGGAATCGATCATGCTCATTATGATTCTGCCCGCCAGCGTCATGCTGGAGAAGGAAGTGTTTCATCTCGACCGTCCTCCCATCGGGCGACATCAGACACCTCGAGTGAGGGCTATACTGGAACAACGGACCGAGCAATACGGAGACTGAACGTCGCGCGCCAAAAGTCTGGATCGCCGGTTGACAAGATATATGAACACGAAAAAGCTCGTCCTCGTTCCTCGAAGAGAACTGGTCAAGAGCCTGCCTTTACAATAGTTGCAAGGAATCGTGCTTTAGGGTCACCTCTTGTTGGGGTCGTTGATTTACCCAATGGTCTGCTATGTCGCAAATGCTGGAAAGCAAACGCTGACATGGATTTGCAGAGGTCCTGACTCACATACTATCTCATCTTCCACCATCCTCCCTCGCAAATGTATCGTTGGTTTCGAAACGCTTTCATCAACTTGTGACTACGCCACACGCGTGGAGATCAGCATTTTCGCGTTTCTTTCCCGGCTCTGATTCTTTGAACAGCCTTGACTCGGGCTCTGAACATACCGCTGGGAGTGATGCTTTGGCTTCAGAGAAACGCGTCTTCACTCGGCTTACACCCACAGCTACTTGGCGGAGCGAATACATTTTACGGACGCGCTTGCTTAGATCGTTGGGCAGGGGCAAGCCAGCTGAAGGAACCACTTCCCGTGGGCCCGGAAGCTCTTCCTCCGCAGGAAGCAATAATCTGAATGCGCAAGTCACTTACAGCTCAAACCTTGTCTGCCCTGTCAACCACCTGCATGGAGTCTTCGACCTGGGTCTGAACAAGAATTATCCACGTTTCATTCATGGCGCAGATGAGCTCGGAATTGCATCTAGAAGTGAAGCATTTACAACGAAAGTTGATAGTTGGGGCTTTCAGGATAACTCGGCTTTTCGACAATTCTCTGATATCTTCCCTGGTGACGCGGAGTTTGGCCTTGGTCCTGGAGATGTCGTGGGCAATCCTAATGTTATGGACGTTAGCCAGCCGTATGGTATGATATACGGAGAAGGTCATGGACACGAAAGCGTTCTCTGGTTCAGACACGCTGATGAGAAGCGTGGGCGTCCTTTGCTTTGGTCAACGTCGTTGCGCCAGCCGGAGAAAGGTATTCCCCAACTTGCAACCCATCATGATGCATACTGCTCAGTGTGGATAGCCAATTCCCCGAATGTGCCAGATGTTTCTGAAGGTTTAGTGGGAATGCTAGCTGGCTCATCTACAGGCGTGCTTACCGCCTACTCACTTGGGACTAATGCCGCTAGAGATGTGAGGTTTGAGCGAGGAGAGATTACTGCTCGGTGGATCCTCAGTCCTGGCGTGCCCATCGTCGGGATTGCCGTCGATGAACAATATAGTACTAAGCGAATGTCCTCTCGAAAAGTGTGGGCAGTAGCCCTAAACGCGCTGGGCGAGGCGTTCTATCTCACGGAGTTGCCTCTGCAGCCTTACGATTGTCATCTTTCCATCGCCAACCGCGCCTCATCTAGAGCGCAGCAAGCACTGGAAGGTTTGGCGTGGGCTACAGGGCGATCCGTACAATGGAACATGGTTGAATCCACGCGACGTACTGCAAAGATTGATCCTTATGCAAGATCAGATGCTGACGGTAGCTACTCTCCTCGTTCCTCATCTAACGAAACATGTCTAAGCCTGGAGCAAATTGTAGCTGAGACAAGCGAGATCGAAGGCTTTCTGCAGAGGAAGCCGAAAGACTTCCGAAAAGCCTGCTATGGCTGGGATATGCGTCGCCGACTGGAAGTCGACTTCGCAAGTAGTGAACAACATGACGCTGGCGAATCAATTGTGACTATCTGCTGTGGGCTGGATGAAGATATGCCTGCACAAATCAAAAGATACACCCGTTGTAAAGTTAAGGATGCTCCAGCGAAACCCCTAGGGCTCAGGGCATCGACAGCCTCGACTGTTGTCATCGATCAAAATCTGCAAAGCGAATCAATCTTTGGTAGTTGTGAGCGGCCTTCGGAAACTCAAAGAACAAAAGAAGAAACATTTTTCGAAGAATGGCGAGCCTCGGAACTTTCTTTTGGGGGCCTTCGAACGCCTCAAATCACGGCCACTACGATAGACAGCTCCGCTCATGCGCGCATTACAACATTAGAAGACCCCCTTCTCTCGGATAGCTCGCCTTCGGCAAAATCATTTGAGCGCGACCACACAGCATACTCCGCCGCAACCGATGTTCCAGGTTGCCGAGCTCGAATGATGGCAATAGGAACCAAAACTGGCACAGTCCTCGTCTACAATTTGCGAGATGTGGTGGCGAGCAATACAGTTGTGGAGAATACCCTCAAGCCCGTTCGCATTATCTACACAGACTCGCCCCAAGTATCGTGCCTTGCTCTCTCCGCGCTTTACCTCGTGCATGGTGGCAATGATGGGCTTGTTCAAGCTTGGGATCCGCTTGCATCATCAACGGATCCAATACGAACTTTGAACTCAAGGTTCTCCTCGAGGGCTCGCCGCCGGCTCATCCAAGCTGAAGCATCCAGTGCTGGAGTAGGCTTGAACCTGTTCGCTGCAAGCGCGGTGTGTCTCGACCCGGACCCGACAATCCTACGAGGCATGGTCTCCCTCGGCTCACATCTACGCTATTGGAGTTACAAATCAGACAGCACAGATCAGTATAAGGGTAATAAGCGTCGAGCACGTCGATCTGAACGGGGTAGCAATCATGGTCCAGATCGCTTTTCTGGGGTAGGCCGTGGTGCCCTAAAGGATTACATTGCCAACGAAAAATTAGAGCTCGAACATGAGAAGCGAAGCAAGATTAAAGAAGAAGAGAAGCTTTCGGGACGATTTGGTGTTGATTTGCTTGGACCTGGTGCTAGCGAGGACGAGATCATGGCATATGCTACCATGCTGAGTGAAGAAGCAGCGCAAGCCGATGAAGTCCGACGTAAAAGCACAAGCGAGAGCAGTGAGGCTGTATCTGAACCCGAGCCCCCGTCAGCCCATCCTCTTCACAATAATGAGGACATAGCCCAAGCCATTCGACTAAGCTTGCAGGATCCAATGGCAATGTCCAGTGCAGGCTCTTCGGATGTATCAGTCAAATACAGCAAATTAAGGCCTGTCACATCTCGGCCAACTGTCAAGCCATCTTCCAGTGATGCTGAAATTGACGATGACCTCCAGTATGCACTTCAACTCAGCCTAGCCGAGAAGGAAAGTAAAAGCCAGACTGGCAAAGGCAAAGATCGAGAGTCGTGACACTCGTGTACTCCACTCGATGTCCGATATTGGAGACCAGAAGGGTTTTTTCTTTTTCATTGATAAACACTCTCTTCATGTTTCATTTGTATCAACCACTCATTTGAACCTTCTGTTTTCTTTGATCTTAAGATTCTTTAATGGATCTCGAAAGCTGTTGTCGAGAAGGGAAACGTTTCATGCATAAATATAGATCTCGTAAGCTCCTAATATAATCACTTGGTTGATTTGTTCTCTATCCAGTGACACTGTGCCTTGTCCAATTTTCCTTTAATAAACAGCTTCGACAAATAAGATGATCTAAGTCTGACTAACTTGCGTCATCACATTCCCGTTCGAGCCCACACCTCTGACCACAACGCTACCGTCAGCCATGCCGAAATACGCAGCAATTGGTTTCTGGCCCCCAGTCCCATCACCAACGCGAGCAGCCTGTAGCCCATTTAAACCGCTAAAAATTCCGACTGATAGGACTCCCTCTAATGCTTTTACTGAGAGCGCCAATCGTACGACTTCCCATACGCCGCCTTCGCCTTCGCCCCTTTGTACTTCTCCTTCCGCCTCTGCTCTTATAATATCAGAATGCAGAAGTAAGGTAGGAAACGGCGCATCGATAATGAAATTATCCTGATCAGTCTTCAGAGGTCCCGCCTTTGCCATCTGCCCCTCCCTCAACTTCGGGCTGTGGGATCCTAATGTCCTCAATTTTGAAAGCACTCTATTAACAGCCAAAGGTTCGACCTCAATTGGCACGTAGGCCCATTGACTCAGCAATCTTGGCTGCAGCTTTCTATGATCCGCGACACAAACGAACTTCTTTGCCTGCGTAGCCACCAATTTCTCCTGATACAAGCATGCTCCTCCCCCTTAATACAGTTCAGGTCCTCGTCGACTTCGTCTGCCCCATCGAAGGCAACATCTATGAGCGCCCCCGAGGGGAGGCTGTCAAACTTTATGTCCCGGAGACCGGATTCATGGATCAATTTCCTGGACTGGTAACCAGTGGGCACGAAGGCAATTTGATTGATGTTTGGAAGATTGAGGGCTAGAATTGCTTTGACGACGTATTCGATTGTGGTGCCGGAACCAATGCCCACGTAGGAGGCAGAAGCTGGGAAGTGCTCGCGGACAGCGGCGTTGGCGGCGTTACGTTTGCAGTCTTCGATTCCGAGGTTGACGACTGGGGGAGCATCGGGAGTATTGGCAGGATCGTTTGTGGAGGTCATTCTTCGTTTGAAGTAGGCAGGGTGAAAGATTGTAGAGCCGGAGGATGACAGAGTGGTGGTTGTGGATCTAGAGATAGGATTGTCAATCTTAGATCTAGCTTTGAGAGCGGTGGTACGACTTGAAACTGCATACTTCGAGAAATTATGACATATTGGCCTGAAGATTCCAGAGGGGGTCAGCTGGTCTGGGTGCAAGCGCGCAACAGCTACATGAGCGCCTTACTTGAGCGAGCTGGTTGCATAGGACGTGCGCATTGAACGTAGACTGATTCGTGACCCACGGTATTGGAGGGAGAGAACCTATCATAGCAGCTACGCTGGGTATATGGGACCCAAAAACGAATTGAGGGCAATCTACCAATGCTGTTCGACGTTGCGGAGGAGGGCGGAAAGCGGGGGCGGAAGGGAGCGGAGTTTCTAAAAGAAGCTTAGACCTAGGGCAATGATGCCCTAGAGATTTCTCTCAATAACGGCAGAAGCTCACGATCCATTGCCTTTTCAAGACTGCATAGACAACGGATATGTCCGCTGATCCCACGCCACCCGCTCTAAAGGCACTTTCTGCAGCTCCTTCGGCAAAAGAAAAGAAGTACGACAGACAACTACGTCTCTGGGCTGCTAAAGGACAAGAGGCTCTAGAGCAAGCTCAAATCCTTCTCCTCAATAACGGTCCTGGTGTTGTTGGCGTCGAAACTCTCAAAAATCTCATTCTCCCTGGTGTAGGTAGCTTCACTATCATTGACCCGTCGATAGTCCAAGAAGAGGACCTGGGGGTCAATTTCTTTCTCGCAGAGGAGAGCTTAGGCAAATCAAGGGCAAAAGAATGCGCAAGATATCTTAGGGAGCTGAACCCTGATGCTAAAGGAGAAGGCTTTGATCGTGTGAGTCTCCATGCCCTCAATCTAAAGCTAGTAGTACTAAATATTCAAGCCATTCGACCCTGACTCAGACCTTGTGGGACCTTCCTTGGTTCTTGTCACTGCACCGTCCAAAGATCTCGATTTCATTTCAAGTTGCTGCACTGATAGAAATATACCACTACTTTATGTACAATCTCTCGGCTTTTATTCTCAGTTCTCTATCCAGCTGCCTACATCCTTTCCTATTGTCGATACCCATCCAGATTCCGCTTCTACACAGGATCTTCGACTCCTAACACCGTGGCCAGAGCTCGCCGAATATGCCGAGAAAAAGACCAGTCAGTTAGCAAAAACATCAGATCATGATCACGGCCACATCCCTTGGTTGTTGCTCCTGCTGCACTACCTCGATAAATGGAGGGAGTCCCACGATGGAGAACCTCCCAAGAACTACGACGAAAAGAAGGATTTTAAAACCCTAGTCGAAAGTGGAGCGAGAAGAAATAATCCAGAAGGTGGTGAGGAGAACTTTGAAGAGGCATCCGCGGCAGTGCTTAAGTCACTCAATCCGCCTAAAATATCCAGTGGTCTCCAAGAAGTGCTCAATGGAGCCCAAGGTCAAGGAAAGACTCGAACCACTGAATCAGACTTCTGGATTATTGCCGAAGCTATCGGAATCTTTCATTCCAAGCATGACGTTCTTCCAGTACCCGGTGCTATACCAGACATGAAATCCCAATCCGCAGATTACATCGATCTTCAAAATATCTACAAGCGAAAAGCTCGGCAAGACGTCACAGAGGTGACTGGGTTTGTGCGAGAGATAGAGCGGAAGCTGCAGCGTGTTCAGTGGATAGATGAAAAGGAAATAGAGGCATTTTGCAAAGGTGCCAATTTCGTCAAGCTCATGGAAGGTCGGACACTTCGATTTTCCGAATATAAGCGTTCTCTTATGGACAAAAAACAAGTACAGTACAACAACGATTGGACAGTAAGCGCAGGTAATCTTTCACTTGAGTTCTTAATGCAAGAAGAATCTCTGTTACCACTATATCTCGCTTTTCTGATTTACGACCGCCATCATTCCGAATTTGTCCCTATCGACTATACCAAAGTAATGGAGGAGACCAAAGAAGTCATCTCAAGCGTAGTGGCAGCAGCTGGAGGTAACGAAGCCTCAATCCTTCGAGCGAAGGCAGAGGATGCAGTGAAAGAACTTGAGCGTGCCGACGGGGCGGAGTTGCATAATATTTCGGCTTTGACGGGAGGGATGGTGGCACAGGAGATTATTAAGATAATTACGAAACAGTATGTGCCTGTCGATAACGTATGTGTTTTTGACGGGATCACGAGTAAGACCGCTGTGTTCCGCATATGAAAGGGTCAACAAGCATATCGAGCTTACATGACCAGCATCAAGATCGGCTTGACTCTTGACTGAAGGAGTCCCAGGTCTATGGAGTGAAACGAATACCTTTATGATAGATGAGCTATATGACCGATGATGCAGAACGATGTGGAGTTGATAGGAATCTGTGAGATGAGCCAGCTTGTAGCTGCAAGGGAAGTGAGACGATTTTGCACGCAAGTTGAGGAGCATGGCATGCTCTTAAATAACGCCAGTTCAGAGGTCTTAATAAAAGCAGGCTAGCCATCCCAATCAGGCATTTTCCTTATTTCTCATCGTTCTCTCATCGAATGTACTAGGTATAGAAAAAGACAGGAGCCACCACCGCCATGTCAATGTCCTAACCTCTATGTAAGCATGAATCCTGACATGCCCAACATACTCAACCCGCTACTTCACACCCTTCACGGTACGAACAGTCGACTGAACCCCACAACCTCCTGCCTGCAACAGACGCACGTCCCAAAATTGTTCATGGCGAGACTGACCCTGCAGTCTTCACACAGACTTAAGCACCGGCACGGCCACGCAAGCACAGTCCTCGGCGAGCTTTGACAGACTACACATTGTGGTCCTCCAGAGCCCAAGCCAGGCCCGCCTGCACGCCACGAGGTGCAGTTCCCCCTCTCATCACGAGCAGAAGAAGCTTGCGAGCGGCGGGAGATAATCAGGTGTTCGAGCAACTGTGCCTCCTCGGCCGCGGATAGTTTACCTGTAGAGGGAATGCCAGCACTATCTGGTCGATAGCGAGTGGATGTCAGGAGTTTCGAGTGTGCGAATTTTTGAGCGTAGCGGAATTGGGAGCGTGTTACGACGGTGGGAGAGGTGAGGCGTTGAGCGAGCATTTTTGCTTCCTGGCGAGAAGCAAGGTCTTGAGGATCGAGAAGCGAGGCGAGGTGGGCAGGATCTATAGCGGAGTCTAGTGTGGGAGAAGAGCTGCGTGATCGGTCAGTGTAAGGACGTAGGTTGGTGGGTGTTGTTTGGCCGCTATTAGAGCTGCTTGCGTTGAGATCCTCCCATTCATCGCAGGTTGTGCTTGTTATTATGCTAGTTGCATCATCGTCGTCCTGTATAGATGGAGCGTAGCTACCGGAAATGTCCTTCTCACCCCACCAGCCTCCGTGTTTCCACCACTCGTAAAGGTTGACACTGAGCTGTTCTTCGGTGGGAGGCTGACGGCTCTCGTTACTTTCAGCTAGCCGGCGCTTTGTCTCTTCTTCTACATCAACATTGAGATCGGTAGGGAGAGAAAGCACGCCTTCATTAGAGAGCATCCAGAAATCCATGGATCGAGCCTTAGGGGGCTCACCAACCTTAGCCTGTGCGTGTTCGGTCTGCTTAAGTCTCGCCGTTTCCAACCAGCGAGGTCGACGTGTGATACCAACCTTTTCCAGCAGAACAGATGCTAGAACTCTATACAAATCTATTAGTAGCCAGAAGACTCCACCCATAAAAGAAGAGGCTCTGCCGAAGCGTTGAAGTCGGCGTAGAAACCCCACTGCATCCATCTCAGCTCCTTTCGATACGTCAGCTGTCAGAGATGCTGCTCCTAATGGACTCTTCTGTCTTGCATAACCACTTCCAGCAGAAACTTCTTCACCAAGGTGAGATGTAAAGCCGGACCGAGATGTTTCAGACATGGCATTGTCCGATAGCTCGAGCTCATTCATTCGCTCTTCTTCTATCCACGTCCACTTGGCAACTTGGACTTTTTGCCGCTCGTTCAAGTAAACAGCCTCACTTGCGGCCGTCATAGCAGTAAACCCCGTTTGCAGAAGTGCGCTATAGAAGTCTTGTCGTCTGTCGAATTGAAGACTTGATATTTGAGCGTTAGCTTGCATGTTCTCGTGTGCCCATTTCAGTCGGTCGAGAAGAGGTCGAGAAGCTACATCGGGTGGAGGACAGCAAAAACATAATGCTAATGCTAGAGCGTATATCACGGTACACATAAGTATTCCCATGAGAATTAGAAGGTGTGGTATGAAGCCTACGATGCAGACGGTAGGAAAGCGAAGCAAAAAATTGTCCCGAGATGATCCAGAGACTAGACCATATAATCCCCAAGTGAAGGATGCCATGAAACACAGCCCCCAAAAGCCTGTATTGATCAAACGATATTTTGCCTGTTTGTCAAAGACCCCTAGTATCTGACTACTCAGGCTATTCAGAGTTGATATGAGGGCCATGAGGAGGTTTTCCGGTGGAGTATTGAGACGTTGGAATAGAAGTCGCCTGCTCAAGTACGTATCACGTTCAGTCTCTGCTTTCCCTCTGGAGAAGCTGAAAGGTGAGAATCCTAGCGCCGAGCTTAACATCCCTTCTGCTTCTGCAAATGCCAATGAGTGCTCAAATACAGTCATTCCTGTTTCGGTTGATAGAGGTCGTCCTTGAATTGCACATGAGATTACTTCGGCAAATTGGGCCAGGCAGAGTGTCTGGAAGAGAGGCCATAGTAGAGATAGGGAGCCTTTTGTATCCCCATCTCCAATCATGCCCACCATAAGACAAGACTCTTGATCAGTCTCGAGAGGCAGCATCTTCGAGCTCATGTAGTATAAGAAGCCTCCATCTCCGGAGAAATCTAGAGTTCTCGAAGGGCTGGTGGTATCAGTCCGCCGTTGAGAGTAGAAAGGGCTAGTCTGGCATCTCAGCGCTTGAAGTAATCTTAATGTGTGTCTCAAGAACATGACTATAGGTACCAAACGAATAGCTAGGCGTAGCGGCAGTGATAACCTTACATGACGCCGTGTGGATGCAAAAACCTGCGTGCGATGAAGCACAAAAACCTGATAGTGTCAGCCGCTCGTTCCTTTCCGTTCTACAAACAAAGGGCTTTCTGCGCTCTACCAGGACGAGACATAACAAGGCCCATTTGCTTGTTGCATACGCAAAAACACCACCGAAGCTCCTGATATGCTGGAAGGCTATTGAGCTGAAGTTCTTAAGCCCACCTTCCCCCATCACTTCTGAATATTCGCCCGCGCTTGCAGCGATGGTACTGCTCGTTTTGGCTGCCGGGGAGCCACCAGATAGTGCTACTGACACCAGATGCTTGCTCGTGTTTCCTGTCGCTTCAGCAATCACGCTACTACCTCCATGTATTATGTTGTCGATTCTCTCGGGAACGCGGATGAAGGCGAAGGAGGCTGCATTGGCAAGGAAGTTGGGAATCGAGAAGGCGAGTTCGGGCGGAAATGACGTGAAGGCAAATGTGTTGTTCGGAAATGAAGATATGAGACTCCACGAGGATGGTGAGGGGCCATCTGGTGCTGCGGCCATCGCGGAGGGATGTCCAGTCGTTCACCGAAGCGTGATATCGATGTGAGGAGTGTCATTGAGGAAATGGCGACGAATGAAAGTCATCGAGCACGACTCACATCCAATTGGACGGTCACAATATGGAAATGAATGGGCTCAAAGAGATTTCTTTGAGGTGGAAGCGTAAACTAACCATCCAAGCCATCTTGACATGACGCACCATGAGGCTTGGCGGCTGACTATTTTTGGATTCAAAGTAACATCTCGAGAGTAACACCATAGCTTCCACGTCCCCATAGTGTCTTGCCACCCTTCTCCTGCGCCTGAGTCATTTTTTTTCTTTCAGGATGACTATAAAAGAAGAACTCGCAAATGACATCAAATCTTCGGGCGGCGGCAAGGATGAGCTCGAAGCTCTTGACGCTCTCGAACGGGAGGCTTCCGAATTCAACAAGGATAAGGAGATTGATAGAATCTTACATGCCTTCCGCCTGGATGCATACGCCGTCCTAGACCTACAACCTGGCGTTCCAGACTCTGATATCAAGGTCTGCTACCGTAAGAAATCTCTGCTCATCCATCCTGACAAGACGTCCAACCCTTCAGCGCCGGAAGCGTTTGATCGGCTCAAGAAAGCCCAAAATAGTTTGATGGATGAAAAGGAACGAGCGAAACTAGATGAAGCCATAGCAGACGCCCGGATGCTGCTCATGCGGGATCGCAAACTCAACAAAGATTCGCCGGAGGTGAAAGAACCAGATGAGGAATTCCGGGCGGCATGGAGGAAAAAGACTGTTGACGTGCTGATCGATAATGAGGCAAGACGGAGAAAGCAAATGAAGGCGCAAATGCAGGAAGAGGGTCGGGAGCAGAAGAAACAGGACGATGAGGTGGCAGAGAGGAAGCGGCGGAGAGAGCATGAGGTTGATTGGGAGAAGACAAGGGATGGGAGAATTGGAAGCTGGAGAGACTTTCAGCAGGGAAAGGGGAAAGCTCCTAATGCGGAGCAACCGAAAAAGAAGAAGCCAAAGATGAAAGTTTTGGGATGACGATGAAGTTCCAAGGTCGTGATTTTCAGCAGGGTGTTATTGGGGTTCTAAGACTCTTGATCTTGCGCATGTGCGCTCAACTTAATGTCCCTGGTGTCTGGGATGACAGCCCAGTCGTGAAAACCAACTCTATCCTGGTGATCTTGACATGATGGTAGTAATGTATTGCCTGCCTGCGCAGATCTAAAGTGGAGGCAGAGATGTTGGTTGGTGACTAACTGTGCTCAGGTCAGGCCACGGATAAAGCAAGCCCTGAACATGAAATATCCTGTGCTTTATTACCCTCACGTTGTCATCAGCCCCGTAAATTCTCTCAATATGGATCCTGCTCAACGTCAGCTGTGCACCACATGAGGAATTAGCGGATTCGCTCGGTGAGGTCCCAGACGTTGATCGGAGAAACATACAGTATGTCTAGCCATTGCTAAGTTATCCGTGTCCGTTCTATGCTGCCTGAGATATAGCCAAAACAAAAATTCAAAGTCGATCATTCAGTACGCCAAGAATCAATATGTAATCCGCAGCGCAAAAGCGTAGACACTTGAGGATCATTTCAGATCTTCCTGTCTTACTAAGTATCCGTATCTCGTTTTTGCAATTTGTCTATTACTTTAATCTATTGGCATGCCCGCCCTATCTTTTCCCTCTATAAGAACGTGATACAGCCCATCTCCCTTTCTAGTAGAGGTACTATGTCCGCATCTTTATGATGCCTAGCATCGACGCCTTGCATTAATACAGATTAAGCTGTGATATGAGTTCAAGAGAAAAACACACATAAGCATTCGCACGTTTGTCAAATCTTGTGCATGCTCTCCTGAGGATAACTTTTACCACCACAGCTAATCGTCGTCAAGGGCTGTGCTGCAGCAATGTCTGGTCCTTAATTCTTAGCAAGTCTTTTGGAAGTATCCTCCCATGGCACCGAGGCCCAGGTATTGGGCGATGCAGGCTCCACCGGTGCTAACGCTTGACCTGCTTGCACACCTTGCGCTTGGAAAGCAATGGTAGCGTGATCAACGGCCGTGGCGACGATGCCCGGCTCACTGATGAATGCGGTGTGGCTAGCATTAAGGTCCTGGACATCCCACTCGACCCCGCTTGCAGATATGAAGCTCGTTTGAGCCTCAGGAGGAAGAGCTTGGTCAAGTAATGTACGTAGATACACGCGGCGCTTATGATAAGCTCGGTTTTCCCACGTGGCCTCTGGATTAGGTGTGTTGAAGGCGGAATCCGATTCGCGGCCGAACAATTCAGCCCAGCAGCTTGCAACCTCTTCGGGCATGTCGTTCATGAAAATCTTGTTGGGGTCCGAGACAGCACTTTGATGAGTATCAGGCTGAAGCATTGTCAATAAGACTGCAATGGAGTCACTGCGCAATGCGAAGGGCACCCACGAAAGACACAAGCCATGGAAGTGGCCCACTCAGGGTAGCGAGCGTCACCCCTTGCTTAGGTACGAATGCGGCCATAAATATCAGACCAATGACACCACCTGACTGTCCTGCGGCTTGACGTTCCGTCTTAGCCAGCCCGCTTGCTGCTGCCGGACCAGGAAATCCTGCGTATGAATGCACGACAATGACGACATCTTTGCCAGCATTGATCTCTGGTAGGAGAGCACTGTTGCGTATGTATTCCGCATCAGTGGAGACGGTGTCGGCTTCGGGATTGTTGGAGTTGAAACTTGGTAGAGTTCGCGAGATGACTTCGTATCCTTTGGCGCCTAGAGCTGCAGCTAGTGGTTGCATGTGGATATCTTGAATCCAGGCACCTGGAATGAGGACGATGCTAGGCTTCGAGCAATCGATTGTCGCCAGAGTCGGATTGCCAGTAGACATCACAATTGCTGCAAGGAAGAGGAACCAGCGTACAATGACCTCCATTTCAGCAACGGTTCGACGAGTGTACGCTTTACAAATGGGCAATTTGTGAGCCGACGTGTAGGCTTGGTCGACAACTTTGAAAAATGAGTGCCTTCTTTTCCAGCAAAGCACGATGAAGAAAAAGATCAGTCACGTAAACACAACTCTGATAGAATATCATCTGAAAGTGGCAAGTGTTGGCCTATCGGGAACGGCACCTCCGTACGCCCGGCATCACCGGTGAAGGCATGATGATGCATAGCGGGAAACACTTTGAACCCAGTAAGAATTGCATTGTCCAGTTCGATACTTTACTTTGGAACAGATCACTTCTTGCATTCACGCAGCGACCGGTCGTACACGAAAAGAGACGCCTCTGATGACTTAGTCATTGGCAAGACAGCTCAATCTTAACATAAAGAGATTGTAGTGTGACGACCTCGGAAATGGCAGATTGAAAGCTCGGGCCTTTGAGCTACAAAGGGCAGGTGATTGCTTGCGCCATCGTCTCATGCTTCTTCAAAACCATCATTATGGATTTAGTCGTGACTCTCAGAAACCTGAAGCTTGTTTCCACATAGAAGAAAATCTCGAAATTGAACGAGTGTGGAGGTTGTCAATCTCAAGTATCCTAAGCAGACGTGTGCCAACGAAAATGCCAAACAGACGGCCCCGGCCTTTCAATGTGCCATATTTCGCAATCTAGATGCGGATATGTGACCATGAGGTCTTAACTCCACGAGAGTAGGTAGGAAGCAATTGAATGTTGGAAAAATGGGGTCGGCAAGTGTCTACCTCAGTCTGATTGACGATGAGAAGGATCATGAGAGCCTTGAGGGAAACCGTGGGCATACCCCGCCATATGTAGGCAAACTGCACGGTTATTCGAGGATCCCGAGTAGGTGCACCCCTGTTCATTCAATCAGGCAGTTATCGAAAGATCATTTTAGGCTCGCGAGGCTCTTTGCTGCTGTTATAAGATATCGCAAACTTCTTTGCTCGTTGTCGCATGGTCTCGATAGTCGTCTCTGGTCCCGCACATTTGATGAGCTCGTAGAAGCGTCTATGCAAATGCTAACACTTGTTTGAGCATTCTTGAAATTCAAAACCTGCCATTATTCACCTGGAGAAACGAAATGGCCGCGGAAGCAGCCGAGTCTTGTTTTGGCCTGGAAAACCGTTGGGTTTTGCAAAATTGCTCGAGAAATCTTTAGCGATGAAATTGAAGATGAGATTATGCTGAAATTGAGATACGACGTTACTGTCTACCAGCTGGAGGAATGCGGTGAATGGTATAACATTGAACGGTAGGGTTGATCAACTGCCTCATTCTTACATTGTACCGAAGGCAGCAGCCCATCAGCAAGTCCTTCCCGGACTTATACATCGATGTCGAGGATAGTAGAAATCAAGCGTATGACCAAGAAAGCTAAAACAAAGATCTGTTGGATCCTGAAAGCTCGGGATGAAGTCACAAAGCTGATGACTGATATTGAATGGATCAGGCAAAACTTGACGGCGCTGTTTCTCGCCACTACCATCGATCCGACGCATCGGTTGCTTGAATATGCCCAAATGACACAGATGATTAATGGGCTTGGACACGGAGCGGCATGACACCAATTTAGTGACTCCACTGATAATTCAAGCAATGATATACCGGAAAATGACATTGATGCTGAGATGATGACAACTATCGTGAGCTTGAACTTGCATCCATTCCATATTTAAATGGGGCAGAAACTTGCGGGAAAAGCCCGCAACGAGCACGTGGGTTCATGAATTGTAGACGGCTTTTCCAAGTGGTGGAGAGACGGACAATCATCTTTTCTTTACTTTACTTCAAGACTGCTTTCGAGCCTGGCAATGATCTCTCGTCGCTAGTGAGAGCCGCGGCGTATACTGTTGCTCCTGTGACGAAGATAATATACTTCTTCGACGTTAGATCCTCAATAAAGCCAACCGAGAGGTTTTTGGACTTAATACAAACCCTACGGCGACCACCTGCTACACGATCGGACATCATGCAACGTGCGGAGGATGAACGAGTATTCATTACCAGCGGAGACTTTGCATCTTTAAATCAAGCTTCCGAAAATTGGATCCACTTACTCAAAAACGCGCGGCCCTCTGACCATCGAATACTTGTTATTATCGATCGAATCGATTACATCAACAGTTCAAGTCATGGTGACGAATTCGACAATCATTCGAAACGCTCCTACGTCTCCTCCGAAATCTTTGTGACGAGCGCCCTCGCACCTATTCACTAATTAAAGTGTTGATTGGGGCGAAGGGCAATTCCAGGTTCCTCTCTGATCACGTAAAGCTACGGGGACAGCTGGACGTTACGAGTCGAGCGGTGCGGTCTAGGATTATTGTTCCAAAATTGAAAGTCGATGATGGAACTAAAGAGCGCGAATCTACTTCCTGGGATGAATGAGAGGCCCACCCAGTTTTTCTATACATCAGGTTGAAAATGACACGGCACGACTGTGGGATTTAGTATTCAAGTATTGCCCGAAATTGAATTTCTGCTAACTGTGACTGCCTGCTCTGCTATTCCTGTCCGTCTCGAGAGTCCCTCCATCCAGCTGATCAAGATATTGGCTGAATCTATTCTGCCGGGTCAAACCCGTATTGAAATGACAAATCGTGACCTTCGTTAGCGCGGGTTTCGCGTGTGTATCAAGCTTGTTGAGTCAGATACCCCGTTGTCGCAGTGGTTACTCAGATGCTACCCTAGCAAGCAAAACCGCACCGTGGATCACTGCAGAAGCCCTGTTAGCAATTCAGGGAATTTTATCGACAAGAGAACCTACAATCTTGGATCTGACGCCCAAAGATCGTCGTCTTGTCGTTAAGCAGGTGTTACTTAACCCATTCATCGAACACAACCTCGTTCGTTTTCTCGTACATCCGAAAGACGTTTTTCCAAATCTTACCGCGAGCTTCATGCCCGAGCTCTTTCTATTCGACCGGGGTTGATATGCGTGAAATGAATAAATCATCAATCTGGCCGGCTCGGTTTGTGGTCTTGGGAAGTAAAAAAAGGGGCTTAAGGGGCTCCAAGGGGAGCAAACGGTTTACCAAAAGAGGATTTCTCTGTAATATTCCATAGTCTTCAAGAAGCCTACCTACCATTGAATGAATGTTCACCATAAATTTCGATGGTTAGTACCCACCAGTGACAGTCTGGTTGCGCCAAATACCCCCGCTCTAGAGTTTCTCAATGAAACCATCGGCTTTGTCTATATGAAGGATGGACCCTGGAACAATTTCTGGGAATCAGTATATCTCTTGTCAATTGCCTGGAAGTTCGCTGACGCCATTTTGCCGCTGGAGTAAACCAGCGGTGGAGTGTCGTCTCAATTGAAAACCGGGCTTGTCAATTGACCTGCACAGCGTACCAACAGTTAGAGTCTTTCCAGTACCAGGCGGACCTATCAGAGTATTTGTTGGATTCGATAGAGTGAACCCGAAAAGCACCAACCCTAGAGCCGGAGAACTTTCCCCTCTCCTTTTCCTGGAATGGAGTCAGACTGCGTGGACTTTTGCTTGAGAAAAAAATTGACAGAACGTCAAGGTCTGCTTCTTGGTTCATCAAGACTAGATTTTCTTTCAGCTGGTCTGCTGGCTCCCACACCGGCGTCTCGCTAATTCCGCCAAGATGAAAAGTATCCTTGCGCAATAGGTCAGTGGCAATCGACGTGTGGAGAAAGAGGTCTCACCCCATTTCTTTGTCTTCAGATGAAGACCACCGATCGCTTTGGGGAATAAGAACATATGATGATCGGTTAGCGAGGGTTTGACGTTGCCGCTATTCACCTCGATGCGATGGTAGTTGCGAAACCTACGAAATCCTCCTCCATCTCGCGGCTCGCTTGGAGATTCTTCAACGGCATCCCTCGCTTTACGTTGCGTGTGGCGAAGCGCCAAATCGCCAAGATCGGCTTCGTCGTCCTCGGATTTGGCTGAGCTCCGAAACTGTGGTCGTTAATAGTCTGAGTGAAGTTTTCTGTTCTTAAATGCAGACACATCGAAGATAATGTGCCCGTTATAGGAAGACTCTTCGATAGAACAAGATCGGAGAGCGAACGGTTTTACGATTAGATCTGTATGTTTTCTCCTACGCCTAGTGAACTAGTCGCTATTCTTGATACCGTGCACTGCATCTTCCAGTGACCTGGGAAAGACTGGCAAGTCAAAGACGGACCTCTCGCCCTCAAAGCGGTCGATTGCGATGATGGAACTCCGCCGCTTGATGCGAAGTCCATTGAATACTAATCTCCAGACCTCGATGAGCGTCCTGTCCGTGCGATCGATGTGCTTTTCTGCCCCGGGTCTCACTCTGATTGAACTTACTGAGACTACAACATGTCCAAGGAAATCAGCTTCAGCGCTGACAAAGACATCTGAGCCGGGCCAGAAGACGAGCCAAAGGTCGTCGTAATAAACGACGGGCTTTGAACTTGCAAGCTTTTGAAACTTCGGGGCGATTTCGTGCTTGAAAGCTGGGGCAAAAACTTTGAGAAATTGAGCGACTTCTGACGCTGTCTCTAAATCACAGTAATGTGAAGATTCATAGCCACCGTCAAAGACAGAATCAAAGGGTACTAGCTCCTCGTCGCCAGCATCTCCGATATCCTCCACCTCTTCCCTTGAGACGTCATTATTAGGCACCTCCGCTGCGCCTAAGGTGCTCAGGTAGCCCTTGTGGTAAGCCTTAAGGTTTCTGTAAAGTAGCTTCAAAGTGGGGCAACATCGATGATCTTTTGCGGGATAAAACTTGAAGCCTTTGATCGCTAATTCAGGATAGTGATCTATAATATCACTGAACACGGAAAGCAAAGCTGGCGAATGTAGCTCGATGGCAGGCCAGCGTCGAGCTAGCAAAGGTGCATCCTCTCCTCTCCGAAATGTCCATTGGTACACTACGCTAATCATTGATAGAGTTACCAATCTTATTAGTTCCGTCTTTCACGTCGGCATCAATCATATATAGGAGTGGAGGTAGAGCACCACTCCTTAGTCCCGATCCTGCACCTTGGGTGTCAAGACCTTTAATAAAGCTCGTCTGATAGAAGTATCGATCGTCTCGTTCACCCTCTCTTGCTCTAAGCCTGTAAAGAACGAATTTTCTTTCATTCGGTGTCTCCTGCACTTCATGAACGGTATGATCGGACATGATTCCACTAGATGGCATTGCTGCCGAGAGACTACTTTCTCCTTCCAGGAAGGAAAGAAGCGGTATCTGCGTGTCTGCGTACGAAGACGTGCTTTCGAAATCGATATCCCATATTGGTGATCCATTGTAGTCATAGTCGATGGGTCGCTTCCGTTTGGCAGCGCTGGGCATCTTTTTGAGCGGTCGGTCTCATACGATCAATAGATTTCTTTCAAGCTAGCATTAAGACGCACATATCTGCAATAATGCTGAGCACAGACAGGTAAACCTCTTCTTTTTAGATCTGGTGTTCGACTGGCATAGATCAGCTCCATCAGGTTCTCCGATGATATGTAAGGAGTACACACGCCAGGGCAATCTATAATCCAGAATGGATGATACGAATAACGTTACGCTCTTCTAAACATGCTCTTCTCTGGCCCGGGCAACATCGGATGAAGTTACGGCAGTCATAAGGAAAAAGATGCTTGTTGAGATGGGTGTGAGATCAGGTTCATGACGAGCGTTAGGCAGCAACACGATAATTGAAAGCTACAGCGAATCATCGACTATGCTTTATCAGAGTGGCGAGGAGCACATTGAGACTGTAATTCTGGGCTCTCAATTCAGGCAAGGAATGGCATGTGAGATGCCGAAAGTCATCCGTGGAAATCTGTAAAACGAGAACTAGACATGCATGGCAATAGATGCCTTGCTCGAGAAAAGCCGTATAGCCTTCTAGGCTATTGACGGCAATCTATTGTATGCCATATTTGGTCGTGCTCGGAACTCCCGCAGTCACCCCATTGGAATCGTATTATCTGCGTCAAACTTGTTTGATTATTATTACCAAGCAGTCCTACCTTCATCCGGGCAGTCTCCTGTGAATCTGTGGTCTTCCCACTTCTCCCAATCTGATGAATCGACGCAAAGAGCTAATCAGATACCAAGCAAACTCTAGTGGCTCCTTTCAATTTGGGCTACCTTCATTTTGGCTGCACGTTAGATGCGACCGCGAAGCCGGAAGCTGACAACGTCTCCAAATGTACCTGTTGTGGTCACGATCTTATCTTGCTCTCTTTCTGGTTTGCGTCAGATAGACACAAATCCGAGTCCCTTGAATGAGTAGACCCTACCACATTTCCTCTCAGGATTCGTGGTTCGAATCGAGTATTCTGATGTCAAGTGCAGACTGGCGAAAAATGTGCGCTTTTCGCTCAAAAAATGGCAGCACAAACAAATTGAGAAGCCTTCCAGTCGTTGGTTCATATTGCGACCTGCTTTGGCAAATTTGCTCCCAACGCCTTTAAGCTCAGAGATCTCCTTGCACGGTTACGTACGAATCTCGCCACGGATCAGGAACAGAAAACTGGGCCCGCAGAGCTGGATGCACTGGCATACTTTCGTCGTTGATGGGGCTGTAAACCTCATCGTCCCTTTTCCGACCTTCATAGCACTCGTTAATCCTCGCATCTTCAGGGGATTGCAACAATGGTTCTGATCCTAATGTTGCAAGTCTCGTGTGGTAGTTTCCGTAATTCTTAGCGTTCATATTAATGCCCGACCCCGGGCTGGATGACTTCATCCTTGATATATCGCCATCTACTTCCTCAATGACAAGAGGCAGGAGGTTGACGTCCCATGACTTTTGCTCCTCTAGCGCCACCCTCCCAAACTCCGCAACAATGAGCTGCATTCCGTAACGATTGTGCTTGTCTCCTCGGTGTCCACTCACATGCTCCATGAAAGCCTTTTCACCCCTCTTAACAACGGGCTCCATCCCTTGCGCAGAGCATAAGACGCACTGATAATCATAAATACGATTGTTTACCCTCTCCGTGGGTGCCACATGTGACTTGGCCAGGAATTTCCAACGATAGCGTACGCCATATGCTTCGCGGACTGATTCATCAAACGACCAACCTTTGCTGCTTTTGATTGCCCCGCCTTCAAAAGCGCATTTAGAGCAAGCCCAGTAATGACCTTGTCCGGTCATGGCTACGGACTGGTTACACAAATTCATGCCTCCATTTCCAGTTCGCATGATACATGCGCCCTTGCAGAAGCCACCATAGTCTTGTTTACCTGTGGTAGAGGCAGAAAGCGACCATCTCTTGGTCTTCGGCAATCTTTTCTCGGTACGATTACCAGCTCCTTCATGTGCTGATTGCCTAGACCTCGGACTCGTAGGTTCATTATGCCAGGGATTTGCCGTTGCCATTGTACTAAGACTATTGGACTCCAGAGATCCATTCACAAAAGTTGATTGAGGCGATCCTTTTAGAGTGCTTACCGGTGTGCTTTGCCGGTCGAAGTGAGTATCTGCAGAGTCTCCAAAGCTATCTTGCTGCCGTCGATGGTCAGCTTGGATATAGGAGGCATTTCGTGACCAATTCGATAGCTTCTGGCGCAAGCCAATTTTGAAAGTTGGACTAGAAGGATTGGAAGGGCTGCGCGGACTCGAATTTGAAGAGACCCTCCTATTGGCTGATAAAGAATTAGTGGCTCTTGACTCCACGGAACTCAAGCTCCTATAGTAGTCTCTGTCACTATCTGTCCAGGTCTGTATGCTCTGGACAGGAGCTTGCTGGGCTATCCGCATGAGAAGCTCATTCAGGACCATCACGCTACGGATTCTCCCGAAGTCAGACACCTCAATCATAGCACTGAAATCGTGTTCTGAGTTGTCATCTTCATCAGCTGTAAGCAGGTGCTTTACAATGCTCTCGTAAAGCTCATTCCGAATGTGGATAAGGGCAGTGCTGGCAACTCCATCCCCGCGCTCGAAAGCCTTCCCCAAATGTGTTGTACAATCTCTTTTCGCTTGTTCTGTTGCAGATGACCCAATCGCCAACGAATTTTCTAGTTCTGCAGGTCGAAGAGCTGCCTGATGATTCAATCTGCGCTTTTCTCGGATTTTCTTCACGAGTTTCTCGCCTTGCTCGAAGGCCGTCACGACACCGGCCACACAGGCAAGGACGGCCACAAATTCCATGCCAGACATTTTGAGCTGGTAAGCTTTCGCAGCGTTGTTGAACGACGGTGAGTTGCAATTGCAGCGCAGGAAGAAAGGCAGACAAAGCTTGGAAAGACTCAAAGATCAAATTGTAGAATGTGGCAGTGGATAGAACGGAAAGCTTGAGAATTGGCCCCGAAGGCTTGTGCTACGCTGCCTGGGGATCACATTCATGTTTGATAGGCCATGAGAAGTAGTGCCCGTGGTGGCTGCATGAGGGATCTGCCTTGGATAAGGCTAGCACACAGGCTGGCGGGGTAATATCATCTTGTCCCAGAGGCGCGAACACGCAAATCGGCGTAGAGAAAGTACTCTTTGTGCTGCGAAGGCGGTTGGCTGGAGGGAACTGCTGTATAAGCAAAGCAAATTCATTCTCACGAAGGACTCAACCGAACATTGAGGACAGTGAAACCTCAGGGCCGCTGCTTCGCTTCTGATATCGCTATCAAACACCTGAGACAGTCCAAACCCCACATCTTTGTTATTATCATTGATTGATGAAACAATCCTAATGCTAGAGGGGAGTTCGCAGTCCTGTCCGTATGAGGGTTGGTTCCGCGGCTTACATAATCTCAGCCTATTTTCACATTGTCAGCTTTTTGAAAGGATGCTTAAAACAGGCAACACTTTATAGACGATGAGTGCGGGCCAAGAGTCTAGTCTTCGATACCTCTTTGCCGAAGCTAAGTCGAAGAGTGATGCGCTTGGGTCCTTCACATCCGCGAGTGATTCTGCGTATCAGGAAAATGTCCTCGCCGCGATAGAGAGCCTCGAGCAATGCAGGAAGCTTGCGCGTCAAATTTCCCTCTTCAGTCCGAATGAGGAGTTCGAGGATATCGCATCCACTGACCTGCCGTAAAGATCAACTCCCCGGTTGAGGGACGAGGTTAGCTAACGCTGGTATAGATATCTCATGATAGATTACCGTCTAGGGGACCTCATTCTAAAAGAGAACAACCAAAGTCGGAAGGGCACTCTAGAAAGAGCCCAGGAAGCTTTCGCGAGATTCTTGCGCCTGTTGGACACATATCGAATACTCTCGAAGACCGACAGCGAGCTCTTCGAAAGATACCTTGAGAATCAGAATGGCTTTGCAGTAATACGGAGCAATGACCCCTCGACAAGGAGAGACTCGAAAATAAAGAGGTACAAGGAGGAAAAGAGCTTGAAAGTCAAATTGGATGTACGTAGGGAAATTCCGGTCGCAGAAAAGGTATATTGATACCCAGGTAGCATTTGGCACAAATTTCAACAGCCTCGGAGCAGGATGATAGTTCAATTCGAGATCTCTACCACGCTGAGGCCGAAATCAGTACGTACAAAGCATTTGAGAGTCTTGATACCATCGCACAAGAGCTCAAGATTCTGGCCTTGATGCCACAATCTCCACCGCCTGGACTAGGGAAGAGCGAGCTCGATTACCGGGAACGAAACGGCCTGCACAAGGATGGTTATTCCGATCGCCTTGACCCCTCTCTATCTGAAATGTATAGGAAAGGCAAGGCAGGACCCATTCTGAACAAAGACGGAAAACCACTCCAGCCGTTCACATTGCTAGATAGCAGACAGAGGCTACAAAATGGTGTTTTCGGACCTGATCATTCCCTTCCAACAATGACTATTGATGAATACCTAGCCGAGGAGAGGAGAAGGGGCGGTATCATTGATGGGGGAGCAGAAAACTCCGTCACTGCCGCTCAGCTCGATGAGGATGACGTGGATAAAGCTGAGGCCGAAACGATGAAGGCCCGAGAGTGGGACGAATTCGTTGAAGCAAATCCAAAAGGTAGTGGAAATACTATAAATCGTGGCTAGGCCTTCTACTAGCTCTGAAAGCCGTCTCACATGCTCTTTGCCGTTCTAATCTTCATCGCGTCGTCAACTCGTTTTCGACAAACATTTCTCACAAATTACTTTCTTCCGAGCCTCTCCTCACCATCCTCCTCAAGGACCCACGCAGGGTGATACCTCTCTTTCCCGACGTCATCCGCATACTTCAGCCTAGGGTTGGGATAAGTATCCTGCATTCCTCCTAGGCTCGTAAATCCTTCATCATAGAGCGGGCACCACTCAACACCGAGGTATCTCAAGAAAGCCCACACCTCTACATACTTCCACTCCAAAACCGGATGGACCCGCATGAAACTCGGCCATCCGCGATCTGTCATATCGAATGCCGTGAGGTTGTCGCCATGTGGATCCGTCCGTCGCGTTCCCACGAAGACCGCTTTGATGCCCTCGCCAGGGGGAGAGCTGAGGTAGGATGCGAAGGCTTCTCTCATGCTGGTATTTCCGGCATTTTGGCGGGTCAGCGCAAGGTTGTAGTGAGCTGAAGATGAAATTACAAAAGAGTCGACCTCGAGGAAGGGATGGGACGGAGCAATATAGACGGCGGGGAGCGAGGGCGGGAGATGTGGGTGATGCGAGAGGCGAGAAAGGTACAGGAGGAGGAGGACTAGGCAATCTTTGCCGCCATTGTAAGACAACGAGAGTGTTTCCAGCCTGTGGTAAAGCGGCACGTGAGCAATTGGCAAGCTGAGAAATGACTTTTGCTATGCTTACGGAAAGCGATCAAGAGCCTCTTGTATTATGGCAAGGGAATGTCGACATTGTGACTGTGCGGCCCGGAGGATCTCCTCCTGGACGTCTTTCTGTAGGAACGAGTCGATTTTAGTGCGGAGCTCGGCGCAAAGTGACCGCAAGTGGTGGCCATCACCATTCGTTATATTGAGCTGGGAATTATTGCCATCCGAGCTTTCTAGGAGTCCATCCTGGATCATGGCGAAATTGCAATTTGGGCGTGAGATCCATGATTGAGGCCGACGATAATTTGTCTCACCGAGAAGACAAAGATTGGCTCGGTCTTTCGTTTTTCCATCCCCGATGTTTTGCTGTTGGTCTAACATCCCTCTAGCTCCCTACCCCCTTCACGAATCAACACTTCTAGTGAACACTTCACAACATTTGGGGCTTTCGACTACTGTGAGTCGTGTGTAGATGCTGAGCCTGACCGTGTGATACACCATGTCTCTAACGAGGTGTGATTGACTGGTGGTTTCTTACCACACGTTTGTTCTTTTGTGAACGTCACTTATTGCATGATTTCTCTCTACTGCATTTTGCTTGGCGAGATTTCTTTTCATCTTCGTTCTTCGTCCACCAAGCTTGTCGCAGAAAGACACCCCGCCCAGCCTCCAACATGGCGCAACCAGCCGTAATGCAGATGAGCGCCCCTGATCTCCTCGGGCCTATCGAGTCGAATCGTGATATTAAACCTTTACTCGTCGCTTCCCAAGTATCAGCAAAGCATAGAGAAGACTCAAGTTCAAGCAGTAATGAAAGTGATTCGGATAATGATCAAAACGAAACAGCTGACCACAGTACATCGGCTCGGCGAAAGGTGCAGAATGTCATCTTCGCGAACTAGTAGAGATCCTATCCTCTAGCTATCAAAGGTACGAGTACTGATCGGTTCGTTTTAGTGTTTCGAGTCGAGCAGCTGAGGTGACGAAAGATGAAGTGGAAGCCGCTAAAAAGACCGAGCAAGACGATGAGCTCTCTATTCGTGCCTTGATGTCAAATCAAGAGTCTCGCAAAATTATCGATGACCCTCGGGATTATCAGCTCGAATTGTTTGAAAAAGCGAAGCAGCAAAATGTGATCGCTGTTCTCGACACAGGTATGCCAGTCTTCGGTACAGCAAACGTGGCTGCTGATCTTTGCTAGGTTCCGGCAAGACTCTGATTGCTGTCCTTTTGCTCAAATATGTCCTTGATCTAGAGCTTGAGTCTCGTGCGCAAGGTAAAAAGCCTCGCATCGCCTTTTTTCTGGTACGCCTCATGTAGTATCCAGGCCTAGATTAGACTGACAATCTTTAGGTTGATTCTGTGGCTTTAGTCTTTCAGCAATTCGCGGTGCTCGAATGTAACCTTGATCAGCCCATTGACCGCTATTGCGGTGAAATGAATTGCGACCTTTGGACTCCAGAAAAGTGGCGAGAGAACTTCGATCAGAACAAGGTCATTGTCTGCACCGCAGAAATCCTGTATCAGTGCCTAATGCATTCATTCATATCCATGGATGAGATCAACATGATTATCTTTGACGAGGCCCACCACGCCAAGAAGAATCATCCCTACGCTCGGATTATGAGAGATCATTATTTTCGCCAGTCAGCTGCAACCCGACCAAAACTCTTGTACGTAGTCATTCATTCTTTACAGTCCTGACAATTGGCATGACGCTTGTCCAATCATCACTCTACGTCCTCTTTTAGACATTTGAATACTGACAAATATGCCTTAGCTCAATGACAGCATCTCCATTAGACTCCCTTGAAGATCCCGTCCGGGCAGCAAAGCAATTAGAAACGATCCTAGATTCCAGAATACTAACAGCTTCCGATATGTCTCTACTTCAAACTGTCACAAAACGACCTGAAGAGCAGTTGTTGGTTTATGACCGACTGGACTATCCTTATGACACCGATCTTAGTCAGTATATGCAATGCAAATACTCCCATGTCGGAGAGTTTCGCAGAATATCGGAAAAGGCTCGAGAAATAAGTTCGGAACTAGGTACATGGTGTGCAGATGTGCTCTGGGGCATGGCGCTTGCAGACGAGGAAGCGCGTAAACTTGAGAAAAGAATCGAATATCAGATGAACAAGGAGGATAGACCAATACAGATTCTGGACCACCAGATCCAACAGATCAGGGAAGCTGAGCAATACGTTGCAAGCCTGCCCTCTTCGCCACTTACACTGGAAAAGCCTTGCGTGAGTTCAAAAGTCTTGGTGCTATGCCAATACCTGAAATTGAGGTATGAGAAGCCTACGGACCATAAGTGTATTGTGTTCGTGGAGCGAAGATACATGGCTAGAGTATTACTCGAGTTCTTGAAACGAGTGAACATCGGACACATCCATCTCGGCTTGATCATGGGAAAGAGGGCTGGAGAGGCTGGTGACAAGAAGTTAAGCGTTAAGCAGCAACTTCTGACGCTGACACGGTTCAGAAAAGGTGAACTCAATTGTTTGTTTGCCACATCTGTTGCAGAAGAAGGTCTGGACATCCCGGACTGCAATCTCATCATCAGGTTTTCGCTCTATACGACTTTGATTCAGTATATCCAAAGCCGCGGTCGTGCGAGGAGCCTGCACTCTAAGTATGTGCACATGATTGAGAAAGACAATCGAAGACACCTCCAATCTATAAGGATGGTCCAAGAGGGTGAACAGAAGCTCAAACGATTCTGCGAAGCCCTGCCCCAAGACCGGTTGCTGCAAGGGGATGAGGCTGACTTTGAAACCATTGCACAAGAACACGCCTCTAAAAGATTTACTGATCCTGAGTCGGGCGCAGTACTGACGTACCATTCAAGCCTTACAGTACTAGGTCATTTTGTCGCATGTCTGCCCCATGGCCCCGACATGATCTTGCAGGCAACATACCACGTGTTCGCAGAGAACAAGCGATTCGTCTGTGAAGTTACACTCCCTGAAATTTCTCCCTTGCGGTTTTCGATCGGGTGTGCTGCGGCTCGGAAATGCGTTGCAAAGCAAGCCGCTGCTTTTGAAGCCTGCTGCCATCTCCGCAAAATGGGCCATATTGACAGGAACTTACTACCGACCTACCACAAACAACTTCCAAAGATGAGAAACGCCCATTTAGCGATCGACAGTAAGACAAAAGCGGTATACAATATGAAGATCAAACCGACCGTATGGGGAGAAGGACGCGGAACGTCTCCTGAAAATCTTTACATTACGATCATGGAGCTTGAGCAGCCGGAGAAGCTAGGCCGTGCTTGTCAGCCGATGGCACTTTTGACAAGGAAGCCAATGCCTCAATTTCCCTCGTTCTTGCTGCATCTTCAACCAGCAAAAGCATCGAACGCAATCTGTACATCCATACCAACGAGTTTTCACGTGAGTGATTCGGATCTACATTCTTTGAATGAATTTTCGCTTCGTATCTACATGGACATCTTCAACAAAACCTTCGAATCGAATATACCTCAGATGTCGTACTGGCTAGCGCCGATTAGGCCAAATTGGAAAATGTTGCATCACTTGCAAAGTCCAAAGCAGCTGATCGAGTGGTCCATCGTAAAATATGTTTCTGACACCCCTGAGATACCATGGAACATGGAGACCCCGCACTCTCAGCTGCTTGACAAGTACCTCGTAGATCGATGGGATGGTGGACGCCGATTCTTTTCGATTGCTGTTGACCCTATCTTGAAGCCAGAGTCTCCTGTGCCTGATGGGGTTGCCCCTCACAAATCAATGGACAATATTCTCAATTACACAATTTCTCTATTCAAAAAATCGAGAGAAAGATCCTCGTGGAGTCCAAATCAGCCTGTGATACAGGCTGAGCGCATATTGCATCGCATCAACTGGCTAGATGAGTACACTGACAAGGAACGTCACGTAAGAACTAAGAGCTTCGTCTGCCCAGAACCTCTAAAATTTTCGGCTCTACCGCTCAGTACTGTGACGATGGGATATATCTTTCCAGCAATATTGACCCGTTTAGAGTCATATCTCGTTTCACTTGAGGCCTTCTCTTCTCTTGGCTTGGTTGTTCATCCAAGCCTCGCCCTGGAGGCAATGACCAAAGATTCTGATAACACCGAGGAACACCGGTCAGAACAAATCCATGTGCAGCGAGGCATGGGCAAGAATTACGAACGACTGGAGTTCATTGGAGACTGCTTTCTTAAGATGGCAACGTCAATATCCTTGTTCATAAAGAGTCCAGATGACAATGAGTTCGAGTATCATGTCAAGCGAATGCTTATGATCTGCAATCAAAACCTTTTTAGAACCGCGAAGGAGCGCAAAATCTACGAACACATTCGATCGCAGGGTTTCTCAAGGCGAACCTGGTAAGACAGCCCGGCCCTATGGAGATGATAATGTGAGTGAAGACTAATTAGCGCACTCTTTGCTAGGTATCCAGAAGGTATCAAATTGCTCGTAGGTAAAGGCCACAACAAGACTACCGCGGAAACACTGAAGCACCATCTTGGTGACAAATCCATTGCCGACGTTTGTGAGGCCATGATTGGAGCTTCGCTTCTCTCATATCAGGAAACAGGAGATGTAGACATGGCGGTCAAGGCAGTCACTATACTCGTCTCTAGTGACGATCACAACATCACGAAATGGGCCCACTATTATGCTTCGTACGAGCCACCAAAGTACCAGTTTGCTCCTGCCACTGCATCCCAGTGCGATCTCGTGAAGCAAATAGAGCACAAGTTGGGCTACCATTTCGAATCGCCGCGGCTGCTCAGATCCGCTTTCATTCATCCTTCCTATTCTTTCGCCATCGAGAAGATTCCTTGCTATCAGCGCTTAGAATTCCTTGGAGATTCATTGCTCGACATGGCCTGTGTCAACTTTTTATACTATCGATACCCTGACAAGGATCCTCAATGGCTGACTGAGCATAAGATGGCAATGGTTTCCAACAAGTTTCAGGCGGCATTGTCAGTGAAACTTGGCTTTCACAAGCATCTTCGCTCAAATGGTACAGTCATTGAGGCGGCAAATAGAGAATACGTGACGGAAACCATGGACGCAGAGTACGAAGCAAGTGGAGCTCCCGACTATTGGACCACCACGAAGCAGCCTCCTAAGGTAAGGATAAGCGCTCACAGAGTTAGAATTTCAAGCCCTTGCTGATTCATTGTTCAGGCACTTTCTGACGTCGTCGAATCGTACGTCGGCGCTCTGTTTGTCGATTCGCAATTCGATTTTGGCCAAGTGGAGAAATTTTTTGAGAAACACATTCGCCCGTTCTTCGAAGACATGACAATCTATGATACATTCGCTAACAACCATCCCACGGTAAATATTCCAACGTTGGTTATCCGGCTTAGTTAGCTAATGACGCTTTCGCAGACTTACCTCCACAATCTTCTCTCCCAGAATTTTAGCTGCCACAACTATCGGCTCATGTCTTGCGAGTTACCTTCGTGTATCCCAGGTGCTCCATCGAAGACTATTGCAGTGCTCATGGTCCATGATCAAGTTGTAGCAGAAGGAACAGCAAGCAGTGGGAAGAACGCAAAGGTCAAAGCCAGCGCTCGTGCAACAGAGGAGCTGAAAGGTCTCGTACTTTACGAATACCAGAACCGATTTAGATGTGATTGCTCCATGGAAACGAAGGGAGCGGCGTTGGTGACAGCCCAGTATGCACCTCGAGCTGAAAATGCTAATGTGGACTCGGCGATATAATGATGACTCAAGGACGACCTTCGTCCGATTCGAGATACACAAGAGAAAACAGAGCATTGAGCTTCTTGCGCTACGCATGTGAGCTAGATTTAAGCAAGCAGAGCGGATTGCTTTTGTTTCTCCGACTATGTAGCATTCGAGCGAGGAACTCTATCTAATGAGCATTGCATGCACAAATAATCACTTTTTGAGTTGCCTCTGTCTATATGTAGTCCTCTTTCCAAGCGCATATACTCATAGTCCCCAGACAATTCTTGCAGTCTAAGGAGCCAGCACCAAAGCCAACAAAGCCATTCTGCAGTATAAGCCATACCGCATCTATAAAGCTGATGTCAGCATACGTCCAACACAGAGCATCGAAATCATCACTCACCTGTCTGAAATATGCTGCCCTCTGATCAAAATCAACCTCCTCCCCGACTTCCTCATTTCTCGGCAACGGATGCATAACAATCATATGCGGTTTTGCATGCTTGAGAGTCGCATTATCCACCACCAGTCCACCCCTCAACCGCTCATACTCGCCGGGATCTTCAAACCTCTCTTTTTGCAGCCGAGTACAGTACAGCACGTCGCTCCTCGCCGCAGCCTCCTTCGTGAGCTCACTCGCTTCCAGAATCAGCTGCCCCGTACCAATTAATTGCTGCCGAACTTCTGCTGGGAGAGCTAGGGAAGGAGGCGAGATCAGCTGTACGCGCACATCGTAGTGCTGGAGTAGCTTTATGAGAGAGTGTACAGTGCGGCCGTAGCGGAGGTCGCCAGTAAATGTTATGGTGAGACCGTTCACAGTGCCAAGTTCCTCTCTTATGGTGAAGAGATCGAGGAAGGCTTGAGTAGGATGCTCAACGCTGCCGTTGCCGCCGTTGATAATGGGAACGGGAGAGAACTTTGCTGCTGTGGCTGCGCTGGAAGGGTCTGGGTGGCGTAGGACAATAGCATCGCCGTAGCAGGCTAAGGTACGAATTGTATCTTGGAGTGTTTCGCCCTTCTGGGTTGACGATTGAGACGTGGCTATTGCGACTGTGCGGCCGCCTAGTCGCTGCATTGCGGCGTCAAAAGAGGCACTTGTCCTAGTGGAGGGTTCGTAGAAAAGTGTGCATAGAACTTGGCCTTTTAGGACGTCGATCACACCCTGGCGTTTAACTGCTCTATCCATTTCAGCGGCTACGGTGAAAAGATGGTGGAGCTCTTGACGGCTAAATTGTGTGACCGAGAGGATATGCCGTCTCCTGAAGGGAGAGCGTGAGAGAAGACTGGTAAGTTCATGTGATGATTGAGGCATTGGTGGTGGTAGTGGGGGTATATGGCTCTCCATCATTGTCGTTGTAGCAATTGGAGACATCGCAGACTGAACACCTAGTTGTCGTACCCGTGGTGTGCTCTTTGAAAATATAAGCGATTGACGGCGACTCAACGGGCTCTCAGGACGTATTGCTGGTGATGAAAATTGGGAAGTTTTAGGCAAGGTGTGAGCCGAAACATCCTTACCAAAGCCCGGGTCTCGTATGAGCTCGCCGTCAAGACAAGTCAGTTGATCCTGGAAGATTACACGTTGTACAGATCCCGTTAAAGTCCTTGAAACGAATGGAGACCAGACTGCCGAAGCCTGCATGACATATGGCCGGTCTATCTCTACTTCGACGGCCGTACCTGGCTGATCATGCAGCTCAAATATGCGTTTTGGATTGTCGTATAGCTTTGTTGTAATATCCTCAACCTTGAGTCTTCCCTCCGAGACGGCCGTAAGCAGTAATGGTAGAGTATCTAAGATGCCTATATCTGGCGATGCATCCGCGTTGGCCGCGACTGCGACCTCGTACGGCAGGCTCCCTACTGAGAAGACGTCTATTCTGTCCATGTTCTTCCAGAGTGCTAACTGATCACCAGAAGTTGGGAGGTTTCTGCACTGAGGATACTCGGACTGCGAAAGAAAGAGCGAATATACAGAAACATCGCATGTCACCTTAAGCCCTTTTGACTTGCTCAAAGCGATGAGATTGATGTCCTCCTCCGTGGTGACACTGGTGACGTGTAGCTTTCGGTCATGCAGACTCGCAAGTAAAAGTACTGAGGCAAGATCGGTTGTTCTTGCATCTGTAATGAGCGATTTGCCAGTTGGCCAAGAAGCAAAGTGTGAAGTTATCGCAGCTACTTTGTTGATATTGCCGGCTACATGATTGAATGGGATGAAAAGACATCCGACTTCGTCCACTACCTGAGCTATCTGCTCATCGTTCGAGGAAGTTGCTGCCACAGAGAAGTTATAATCGCAAAATGCTGAGGACCGGCTGCTTTTTTGCGCCATTTTAAGAGAGCGCGCATCATCAAGTGCACCTTTTAAGCCTATTGGTAGCACTCTGATCATTGTAAAACCTGCTGCAATGGATGAACTTGTGACTAACTTGAAATCTCGACTCGTTGCAGAAGCTATCCCGGGAATGAAGGCGCTGACATTAATTAGGCCAGGGAGAACTAGTGTGCGGTGGCCAGTTTTGTAATCGATGTTCTGTATTTCGAAGTCGTAATGTCTTGCAATAGCTTCAACGAGTATCTTTGCATTCTTCACATTGGTGACGAGGGGCGTTTGAAAATCTACTGCCATACGTCGAGTCCTGTAACCTTGGCTCATATAGTTCGCTGGTCGACGAAACCTGTTGCTGGATGGTAAATTTATGTATAAGTCGATAAGATTGTTCGCCAAATGCTGCGTCAATGAGAATTCAGACTTTTGATTCTGCGATTCATTGCTTAGAATTTCTAGGTATTGGACAGGGACCGCGTGCTCCTGTAGGTAGTCCGCAGTCCCAGCCGTAGCAAAGAGCTTGTAACCTAATTGGTGTAGCTTTCTGATTGAGGGCAACAATTCAGCCTTGTCCTTGAAAGAGCCAATCGAAAGCAGGATGTTCTGTTTGGGTAGTCGAAAGCCAGTAGAGACTAGTGCTTTTATATACGCCTCATATTTATCACGACCAAAGCAAGCGACCTCTCCAGTAGATGCCATCTCCACACCCAACACTGGATCCGCTCCAGATAATCGAGAAAAGGAGAATTGCGGCACCTTGACTCCCACATATTCATTCGGTATCTCCACGGGAGGGTATTCAGCAACTTCAACGCCCATGATAGCTTTGGTTGCCATCTCGATAAGATCTATGCCCATGACCTTTGAGACGAACGGAAAAGATCGAGATGCTCTTACGTTACACTCGATGACCTTGATCTCATTGTCCTTCGCGATGAATTGAATATTGAATGGTCCAGTCACTGTCAATGCATCGCCTATCTTTCTGGTGGCATCCTCTATGCGTCGAACAGTCTCAGGGTCAAGATCTTGCGGGGGCAAAATAAGCGTAGCATCTCCAGAGTGGACACCAGCGTTCTCTACGTGCTCGGAGATGAAATGGCCAAGCATTTTTCCATCACGAGCGACAGCATCCATCTCGATCTCTTTCGCGTTTTCAATATACTTTGTGATGACGACTGGGTGTTCCTTCGAAACCTCAGCAGCCTGGTTCAGGTAATTTGCAAGATCATCTTGAGAGTACACTGTGTTCATTGCAGCTCCGGATAAAACATATGACGGTCGCACTAAAACGGGATATGAGACTTTTTCGCAGAATGAAGCTGCATCTTCGAAGCTTGTCAATTCCTTCCAAGCGGGCTGGTCAACAAAGATTCTATCAAGCATGCGAGAGAATTTAAATCGGTTCTCGGCCATGTCAATCATGTCCGGTGACGTGCCCAATACTTTGACATTCAATCTAGACAATGGCAAAGCGATATTATTAGGTGTCTGTCCTCCCATGGATATAATGATGCCACTAGAGGTCTCCAATTGGTAGATGTCAAGAACTGTTTCCAGGTTGATGGTCTCGAAGTAAAGCCTGTCTGCTTCATCGTAGTCTGTACTGACGGTCTCAGGGTTGTAGTTGACCATCACAGTCTTGAAGCCCTGTTCTCTGATGGTTCGTATGGCTCGCACCGAGCACCAATCAAATTCCACAGACGAGCCTATCCGGTATACGCCAGAGCCCACTACCATGACTCCGTGGTCATTGAAAGGAACATCATGTTCATCTCTTTTGCCATTGTAAGTGAGGTACAGATAATTGGTGAAGGCTGGAAATTCGGCGGCAACAGTATCGATCTGTTTGACAAGGGGGGTGATACCTGCCTCTACGCGAGCACGCCGAACAGCGAGCTCGTTAGAGCCCCAAAACCCTGCCAGCTGGCGATCTGAGAAGCCCAATTGTTTGGCTTGCCTGAACAGGGACCTTGGTACTGATGTAGTATCGTATGAAGTCATGAGCTTTCCAAAATCGCTCAGCCCTTTTAGCTTGCGTAAAAACCATTTGTCAATCTGGGTCATTTCCCAGATCTTATCGACGGTGTAGCCAGAATGCATGGCGTTAGCAATAGCGAAGAGTCTCTGATCAGAAGGTGTCTGTAACTCATTATCAATTGACATGAGGGCTTTAGTTTCGTTGAAGCCAATGTTGTGGAAGTCAATAGATCGAATTGCCTTTTGTATAGCTTCTTCAAAAGACCTGCCGATGCTCATGACTTCACCCACGCTCTTCATTGACGAGCTCAAGTGGGTAGAGACTCTGGTAAATTTCTTCAGATCCCATCTTGGTATTTTGACTACCACATAATCGAGCGACGGCTCAAAGCAAGCGCAAGTGACCTTCGTCACACTGTTAGAGATCTCATTTAGAGGTATGCCCAGGCCTAATTTGGCTGCGATAAATGCCAACGGATATCCAGTCGCTTTGGAAGCTAGAGCTGAAGACCTCGAAAGACGAGCATTGACTTCAATAATGCAGTATTCTTTGGAGAAAGGGTTCAGGGCATATTGAATGTTGCATTCACCGATGACGCCAAGATGCCGAATAACATTCACAGCTGTTGTTCGGAGCATGTTGTAGTCCTCATCAGACAAAGTTTGCGAAGGAGCCACAACAATAGAGTCTCCGGTGTGTATGCCTAAGGGATCAAAATTTTCCATGTTGCACACTGTGATGCAATTGTTCTTCGCGTCACGAACCACTTCGTACTCAATCTCTTTCCAGCCTTTCATGCTCCTCTCAATGAGGACTTGAGGACTTGCTGAAAACGCTTTCTCACAAAGTTCGAGCAATTGCTGCTCATTCTCGGCGAATCCGCTTCCTAGGCCTCCTAATGCATAGGCGGCACGTACAATGACCGGATAGCCAATCGACTTCACAGCTTGCGCAGCTTCTTGGACGGAGTTCGCAGAAGCTGACTGGGCACACTTCTCGCCTATTGATTCCATGCTGCGTGCAAAAAGCTCGCGGTCTTCCGTGGTTATGATGGTATCGATCGGCGTGCCCAGAACTTGAACACCCAGGCCCGCCAATTCATCTCGTAGTTGTATGCCCACTTGAAGCGCTGTCTGACCTCCAAATGTGACGTAGATTGCATCCGGACGTTCGTGCTTTATTATTTTACGGACAGAATCCGCTGTGACTGGCAGAAAGTAGACTTTGTCGGCAAGTCCTTTGGATGTCTGTATCGTTGCAATGTTGGGATTGATCAAAATCGTGTAGATCCCTTCCTGCTTCAGGGCTTTGATAGCTTGGCTTCCAGAATAATCAAACTCGCCGGCTTGACCAATGCTAAGGCCTCCACTACCTAGCACTAATACTTTCTTGGGAATCGTCCTTGGGTACGACTCCTGGCCACCATCTGCAGATTCTCCAGGAAGCTTGATAGGGTACATCATTGCCTTCGTCGAAGAGGCATTGTCGTTTATAGCATTGACAAAAATATCGAAAAGAAATTCCGTATCCCGAGGTCCCGGTGTACTTTCCGGGTGAAATTGAACGCTGAAATATGGACGTGACCTATGTCTAATACCTTCATTGCTCTCATCGTTGGCATTGACGAAGAGCTCCTCCCAGTCTGGCGGCAGGCTCAGAGGATCCACCGCGTATCCATGGTTCTGAGACGTGATATAACACCTCCCTGACGTTTTATGCGTGCATGGGATGTTATGACCTCTATTGCCAAATGCCATCTTCAACGTTCGTGCACCGGCTGCCCGAGCGAGTAGTTGATGGCCTAAGCATATCGCGAAGATCGGAGTACGGGCTTCTTCCAAAGCCACAGACAAGTGTCTCACTGTACTAGAAAGCGTTGCGGGATCTCCAGGCCCGTTGGAAATGAAAAGGCCATCGTAGTCATTTCCGCCTAATTTGGGAAAGTCATAGTCCCACGGGACAACAAGTACCTCTAAACCGCGTGACAGGAGGCACCGCAATTGATTTAATTTCAAACCTACATCAACACAGAGTACCCGCAGCGCACGTCCACATGGATGACGGACAAGATTAGCTCGAGAAGGTTGGTACAGGTGAGGCTCCTTGGTAGAGACTGGCACCACCGTCAGAGCTCAGCCAATAGCGGTTTCAACTAATAGGACGCTCTCACCATCAGCAACAAGATTTTTCGCATTAGGATCTAACCAATCAATTTCATCATAGATGGCTGTGGCACTTTCGGTATCATTGGCATGAATGAATCTACCCCTTTCGATCGCCTCTTCCAAACGCATTCTTCCTAGCATGCTGCCCTTTGTCCTGATATTCTTGGTCAAGGCTCTAGTATCGACCCCATACATCGCTGGGACACCCTGCTCTTTCAGCCATGTACCGAGCGAAGAGGTTGCTAAGTGATGAGAGTAGTCCTCTCCCGAATACGAAGCCACGACGAGGCCAGCTATATGTATCCGTGGGGATTCGAAATGGGCTGGCAAGTTTCCTAGCATTTCGTCTCGTGTTGAACGGGAAGGGACCCCATAATTACCAACCAAAGGGTACGTGATGACAAGTATTTGGCCATGATAAGAAGGATCTGTAATGGACTCTGGGTATCCGACCATGCCTGTTTGGAACACGAGTTCTCCGGCCGCGCTCTTTTGTGAACCGAAGCTGATCCCATGCCATTCAGTCCCATCTTTCAATTCTAGGAACATTCTGGAGGCACTCTGACTCTCCACAAGCTCCAATTGAGCGCAATCAGCGGACGGGCCATTTGGAACGCTGTTTGAATCATTGACATGTGATTCATCAGCATAAATTGACTGTATTGGAATGCCCACAGAAGCCGCCCGGTGTGGGCTCTGTGGTGCTATCTCATTTTGTAGGGCATCGGTCCCCATGGTACCTTTTGCTAAGGAAATGACATGGGGAAGGACGCGTGTAACGGTCGCGATTTATATCTTTACCATGCTAACACACTCACGAACACGTAATTTGATGGATTTTCGTTCTCAGAAGTCAACCTTATTTTCGACCATGTGGGGCGCGCTTGTCGCGCTTGAGGGAAACGAGCTGCCTCAATGCCTCCTGCATCATTGCATGGCATTCTTGAAAATGCCATCGACCATGGGTAATCAAGCTTACCGCCTTTATCTCAACCAAGGAAACCTTGATAGTCTGGAATATATGACACTTGGCGAACACACAAAGCACTAAATGAGATGGCCAATAAGTTGCAAGACCAGAGAAATGACTTTCTCGAAAAAGCAGCTCGATATTACTCCCATGAGTCGCCTCCGACAGCTGCGTATTTGATGCTACAACAAAATTCACAGCAAGATGAGCCACATACACGTCAATCCTCGGCTTGTTGTCAGGCTTGCGGATCAATTTTAATCCCTGGAGTAAATTCCCGAGCTTCGATCACATCTCCAATATCATGTACAAGAAGACAGGACGCATCCTTCAGGTCCAAGTCCCAGAAGATTGGTTCAGAGTCCGAAAGGCGTCTCAAAGTAGAATGCATGATTTGTCACAGATATACCACTAGAAATCTTAGCAGACGCTCGGCGCCGAAACGAAATCGTCTAGAAGCGGGTCAGGCGGACATTAACGACAAGATGCCCTACCAGGAATCGACAGCTCTGCATAAACGACCATTGGTAGGCTTTAATAAGGGGAGCAAGCAGCGAGCTAAGGCTAGGAGGCATGGAAGCTTGCAGGCAAAGCTTGAGGCTTCAAGACAGGAGCCGGGGAGTGTTACTGGACTGGGACTCAGCCTAATGGATCTTATGGAAGAGGCATGAAAGGACGCAATCTTGCGTTAGCTGGCATCTATATCCACTGCCGCGTCTGATACCGTCTCTGCTTCCTTGATCCGCAGCCGTATGTCTGTTTCCCACATTTCGTAGTCTCGCAAACGCTCGTCACTCAGATAGTCAACGCTTCTTTGCATCATCGTTCCGAGACCGGGTTGCAAAAACTCTACCCCTGGCTGTTGGTTTTTGGTGCTTGCCTTTGGCCTCCCGGGAAATTCTTGGCGTTCATTTCTTTCCACCCTGAGCGCTCCTCCTTGCGAGTTTCGTTCATCAGGCAAAGGTATGCCGACACCGGATCCAAGTTCTATGTTGTAGAACCAGTCCATGTCAGTCCACCTATGCTCCGCTATCTGCCGCATATGAAGCTGAACGTCGCTCTCACTGATCTGGGTTACTTCAAACCCTTCATGAAAAAGCTCATTGATTACACTAAGACCGATATTCGTTTTCTGTCTCCATTCGTCCGATTTGATTTCGACACCGGCTAAACGGGAAGAGACAAAGAAGTATATTGCAATGCTGAGCGCTGAGAACTGGAGACTCTCTTGGGAATCTTCTAATGCCTTGGCCTCGTTCCAGGATTTCATTACTGATGCAACTCCAACATAAATGTGATGGGGAGCTGCAGGTGCTTCGAGCTTCTGACACAGCCTGCGAATGACCAGCATAGCCGAAGGAGGAAGTTGGTCATTGTCATCGCTCTCGAGGTTCTTGCTTCTTGAAGTTACGAAACGCGACGCTATTTCCTTCTTGGCCTGACGACTTGCCGTGGATTTGGCCTTCTTGACGGATGTTGTGGAGTTTAGGGCATCAGTATCAGATCTTGCACGCCCGCTTGTCTTTTCGGGGGAGGTCCTCAGTACGCTATTCAAATGGGCATGGAGTTTCTGATAGGTCTTCGGACGGCATGGCGGGTTTGTTGAGATTCTTGGAAGTGAGAGGCGCTGCTTTAATCTGCCCCTCTACATTCAGTATAAGTAGGGGTTTCGCACAAGATGGAATAGCATTGAATACCTTTCGCAAGCAATGTGTGCACAAGCATAGGATCTAGCGATTTCTTCCTCCCCATGCAGGCTGCTAGCCGCAGATCGAGACTGAGCAAGCAGAGATCTCGCAAGCTCTACCAAATCCGATGGGAGTGGACCAGAGACTGCTGGTATCAGCCCGTGAAGGGACTGAACAATTGACTGGTCCATCACTTCACACGATGATTGAGAGCCTGTAAATGTAAAAGAAAAGTAGTTCAGACTCGTGTACAGCCACTTTTGGTGCCCGGCCTTGAGTGTGGCGCTTGCCAAGACGCAAACTCTTTATCTTCAATATGCCTCGTCCGAGGGTCGGTGTGTCGGAACATGGCCACGCCAAATTAAGCCTGGCGCCAATGTTAGGGGGCTGGTCCTTGGGAAAGCCCGTATAAGGCTTATGCTCTAGGGGGACCCTTCCCTAATTCTGCCCCTATAATTTTGGCGTGGCCATGTTCCGACACACCGACCCTCGGTCCCTGACAAGATTGCGCATGCCTTTGCTCCTAGTTCGTACATTAGGCACACTTGCACTTTTGACTTCCCCATGAGTGATGCCTGATTGATAAACGGGAAGGCCATTCTAGGTAAGTTTGCTTCCTTACGCCAGACCATTCTTGCAACTCGAAAATGACGAGACATTCTTGTGGCCACGCCGTTAAGTCTTTGTTTGCGATGGGCTTGTTTCACAGTATCTGGCAATGTTGTCATATATATCGCGCCGTTTTCTTTACTTCCAGCGACGATTCCATAAGCAAAGCGCCACGGACGCTTTATATCTCGTAATATTCTCCTACCTCATTATCTTTAGTATCTTGGAAACCATATACGCCGATTCTGGTGCGCATCAAGAAGTCTTACAGCCTTATACATACGATATCGAAAAAGTTGTTGTCAATGACGTGCAATGTTCATTTCCGATCAGCAGCCAGTATCAGAAAACCCCCAGGTGCATCTGTTATCTTCTTATGGTCTTCACGATCATCATTCGCAACCATGAATGGCTCGCAGCAGGCGCTACAGTCTCTGTGCTCACTTATTCCGGAGTAGCCGCGGTCCATTCGCTCATTCTCTTTGCAGCAAATAACAGATTGGATCAACAGCAGGCGAAGACCCGTTGTGAATTGATACCGATTCCAGGCTCCAATAATCAATTCTTTGCATGCGCTGGTAGCAACGACCCCGATGTCAGTGTGATTGTGCACGTAGTGACTGCCGTCATGCTGGGAGCTTTGCCTATGGCAGCTTGGTCGACTACATTCAGAAAATCAGCAAGCAAATCGATACTCATATTTTGGATTCTGCTCCTAGCCGTGGGTCACACATTCTACCCTTTGACCCTCACCAATCAGAATTTTCACTTTCAAATATGCCCGATGGATCATGTCGAACCCCTCCCCAGAGCCAACTTTCGTGCTCTTGTTTTAGATGAAGCCTGGTCTAAGTCCTTTCGTACACTCGTCGAGGCATCACAACAAGCATCTCCAGCCTTTGAGAATGGCACTGTTCCCGCCTGCCTCTACTCCTGCTTTGCTACAACAGCTTACATTGGACGTGGCAGTCAGGATGTCATGGTCTCTCCCACAATCAAACGGAATCCTTTCCTAAAGAGCAGTATAGAGGAAAGGCTTTCTATTGTCATATTCTGGTGGGCCTACACCTTCCTCGCCCTCCTCACTCTCTTCACCACCGAGAAGCAGAGCGTTGTTCCCGGGTGGGCTCGCAAGCGAGTCTGCTCTGTTGGGTTTGGCCAACGATCATGGATATTACTATGGAAATGGGAGAAACAAAACAAGGAAGCTAGCAAACCACTCAATATGGGCGGAGCTGGAGGCGATGATACTATTACAGCTCACTCCTTGACAGCGGCTAGACCTCATCCTGCGAGACTTTTTCAGATCACACTCCTACATTTGATTCAATTCTTAACTCAACTTATCAGCGTAATCGCATTCGGGGGCACCATCTTGTATAACGAGATAACAGAGTCTCGACAAGGCATGTGGATAGAGGTAGAACAATTTACAGCTGTCGGTCAATGGAATTATGTCGCGGTTGTATTACTAGTGCTCTTTGCGGCAGTCGTGAGCCGAAAATGGACCGCCGCTGGAAAGGCTACGAGCTTAGAGAAGGGAGATGAGTGGCATAGCGAGGAGCGGATTGGTATGGAAGATTGGGATTGTAGAGTTGGATATGCCTCGTGACATATTTCTAGCAATCGGCTGCGAAGGGTTTTCTAAGATTTAAGTATGTAGAAGGTATAAAACCTCTCGAAAACTAAAAATGTCTCAACTAGTCTTTAGATCATCCACACCTCTCCTAGTCTATGAATGCAAAATCCGTACTACCAATTGCAGAGCATGAGCACTCCGTGACCATGTGAAGCAGAGGCCTGGAAACGTGCCGCAAAACCTCGACTCGCTCTAAAACCTTGATTGTACTGGCACCTGAGATGCTTAACGCTGCGGACAAGATGCTGCTCTGTATTCAATCTCAAAGACTGAAGCCAATGGGAGACGGAACGCTGCGACGAATGGACACTCTATGAGCTCCAAATTCGTCTTCCTTCACGTTCTCAATTCTTGATACATACATGCAGTATCTGGACCTTTAGTGACACCGGCCTGCCACCTTACATTTGCCTTAACCAAAGCAATACATCAGCAATATGCGGGTCGCAATAGAAGGCTGCGTAGGTCTTTTGAAAACCATTATGAACCTAAAGCTGATGAGCATAGGGTCATGGAACCCTTCATGCCATTTATGCCTCTATACAGGAATCCTGCAGAATCAACAACTGGGATAGGCTAGACCTTCTGATTATCGGTGGCGACTTTCAGGTTAGACAAAAGGAGACGGTCAAATTGCAGAGCTGAAGATCCTAGGCAGTTCGGAATGCAATTGACCTGAACACAATGGAAGTTCCTCTCAAGTATCGAGCTTTAGGTGACTTTCACGAGTATTACAGTGGCAAACGCATTGCACCATACCTCACATTGTTCGTTGGCGGAAATCATGAAGCCAGCTCGCATCTGCACGAGCTGTACTACGGCGGCTGGGTCGCACCGAACATCTACTACCTTGGTGCAGCAAATGTGATACGATGTGGTGACTTGAGGATCGCAAGCATGAGTGGCATCTGGAAGGGCTACAGCTACAAGAAGCCTCACTCCGAGAGGGTGCCATACACACCTAGTGAGCTCCGGAGTATCTACCATGTTCGAGAAATCAATGTGAGAAAGCTTTTGCTCCTTCAAGAACAGGTGGATATTGGTATAAGTCATGATTGGCCGCGCGCAATTGAGTGGAGCGGAAACCACAAACAGCTCTTCAACTTCAAACCTCATTTCGAGCAGGACTCTAGAGATGAAAGGCTTGGAAGTGCCGCCGCCAAATATGTCATGGATAGGCTTCGACCGCCCTACTGGTTTTCAGCCCATATGCACGCCAAGTTCTCTGCCATCGTGAAATATGGCAAGGCATCAAACGACTCCGACCTCGGTAAACATTCGTTTTCAGAAACTTTGAATGGCACAACACCTGACGATGTTCTCAACAAGGACGAAATCAACCTCGATTCGGATGGTGATGGAGATACACCAGCACCTATGTCTCAAGCCTCTATTACTGTGAAGAATAGCGACGAGATTGACCTAGATCTGGACGACGAAAGTGGCAACGAAGTGTCTCCCACACTCGAGCCTGCAGCATCCAGTACGGAACCTTCTTTGACGAATGTCACCTCGTCGAAACGCAATCTTCCCGAATCCTCCACAGTCTCCGATGACCTCCGTGCCCAACTCCCCGCCTCATTTACCCGCCCCACTACACAATACACACCCACCCGCACCGCCCCTCACAACGCCCCTCTTCCCCCACCACCGACTATCACCAACACAACGACCTCCTTTCTCGCCCTCGACAAATGTCTCCCGAACCGCAAATTCCTTCAGCTCCTCACCGTCTCCCCTCTCCATCCCTCCTCTCCTCCCCTTCCACCAAGACTCTCCTACGACCCAGACTGGCTCTCGATCCTCCGCGTCTTCGGGCCTCACAACCCGCACCTCTCCTCTCCCCCAAACCTAGGCGAAAGCGCCTACCTCCCTCTCATCGCCGCGGAACGCGAATGGGTCGACGCCAACCTCGTCGTCCAAAACAAGTTGCAAATTCCAGAGAACTTCGAGCTTACGGCGCCGGTGTATGAAGGGGAGGAGATGGGAGCGGTGGGAGTGGAGCAGCCCAAGGAGTTTTCGAATCCTCAGACGATGAGGTTTTGTGAGTTGGTGGGGATACGGAATTGGTTTCATGAGGATGATAAGGAGAAGGAGAGGTGGAGGGAGAGGAAGATGGCGGTTGTGGAGGCGGAAGTGCGGGCGGAACGGGAGAGTGGTCGTGGAGGGAGGGGTAGGGGAAGAGGTGGTGGAAGAGGAGGGGGTGGCCGTGGAGGTGGGGGAAGAAGTGGGCGAGGAGGAAGAGGGAGGGGACGCTGGTAAGATAAACGAGGTGGGATATGGTTCAACGGCCAAGATACGCTGTTTGCTATCCTGCTAGCATTGGATTTGTAGCATAACGCATACAGCGGTCAAATAAACTATTCCTCAGAACAAAGGACCCTGTAATCCGACTCCTCCGGGATGCGCTAGTATACAAGCCCTGGTGCTATTGTTCAGTCCCCGAGATGATCAATAAATGCAGCTCCTCTGGCGTTGGTCCTTCAAATGCTCCTCCTGTAATCACAAGACTGCACATCACCGCCGAGATGCTTTTCCTGCATGTCCCCTCGGTCGGTATATGCTTCCACAACGCCAACGCTGTCATGCGAAATATTCGAAATCTAGGTTTTCAATAGATCCTATAGATCCATAATCAAAAGCTATGTCGTCTCCGGTATGAATTCAATCGTCAATTGTGATAGCTCCGTCCCCATCGTCATTGATGACGACTGATTGATCGTTGGCAATAGCTTTTCCCTTCTTCAAGATCGGCTGGACGCCGTCTGCTACACTTTCTGCTTCGTCTGGACTGCGCTTTCGTTTCGAAGCTGAAGATGGTAGCACGCCATTGGTGTTGCCGTTTGTGAGGGATGAAGCAGCCTCGGTTTTGGGCTTACGGGCTACCTGGAGGTCTGAGGGTAGTGAAATGGGGGGCGAATCAGCAGGAAGTGACCTTTGGATGATGGGTTAGCACCAATATTCATTGCAGGCATGGAAGAGCTTACTTTTCAGCGATCGAGAGTGACAGGGTGACACGCGGGTTGTCGTCCTCATCATCAATGATCGTGATGAAATCGTCCGCTTTAACACTTAGGTCCGCAAAACTCTTGGGGAGGTTGTCGTCCAAGTCTGGGTCGTAAATGGTCCCAGCTTGGCTATTGACGGTCAGTTCTTCACCATAGCCCAACTGCTTCTTCAGGACATCATCAACCAGATTGCCCAACGTTGCTCGTTCTGGATCGATTGTAAGTCGAGAGGAGGTTACGCCACAGACAGCGCATTGTGGATTCGGAGGCTTAAGCGTGTCGCTATTGATTACCCTTGCGCCAGATCGCTCAAGAAAGACCATTCTCGCTTTGTGAAGGTCGTCTCGCAAGACCTTGAAGGCTTGCAAAACGCACAGACCCGCAGTCATCGCATTTGTAGTTGCAATGGCCGGTATTATGTTACCTGCCATTTGTTTGATGTCAAATTTCGACTTTGATTCAATGCCAAATATGTTGGACCGGAGATTGGCACTAGCAACCACGAAGTCAAGCGTATCATCGTCATCTTTGTCAAATGATAGCACGTGCGGCGCAGAATTTCCGTTGACAGCTGTTGACTGCGCATGCTGAAGACGCTTGCTCAGGCGATCAACACTGTCACAGAAGACCTCGAGATTTTCGGTCTGCGACCAAGTTGCCTGATCTGAAATTGTTGTTTTTGATGTTGTGCCATTAGTAACGCTCGAGAGCGCATCAAAGTCCAAAGGATTAGGAGGCTTTCTTGACTTCCACATATCTTCCATGCTTCTCAGTCGATGAATGTCTTCCTTGAACACTTTATCGAAGATTTTGCGGGGAAAGTCCTCGCTACCCATGGATTGCCTTATATTGTTCAAGGCTTGAGACTCGGTTTTCAAATTTTCAATTTCTGACGCTAGTGTGGCCGTCAGTAGCTTTAGATAATCAACCAAGGAAGTATGCATACCATTATCCGAGTCCTCAGAGTGATCAAAGACTGGTATCTCATCTTCACTGGTCCCAAATATCTCGCTGTAATGTGTCAGCGCTTGAAAATGCGTCTTTTCCCTTTTTGTTCAATCTTACGTGAAGAGATAGCTTTTCGCCCATACTATGCAATGTATCGGTTGACTCGGAGTGCTTCGAATCGTGCAGACTGGGAATGTCTTGGGAACTTCCTTGGTGTTGCAATCATAACATTCCGTCTTGCCCTGTAACACTTAGTCTTGCACCACATTCCAGTAATCATTCGTACCTTCACAATGACCTGTACCTGTCCATTGAACCCCGTAGTACCGCTTTCAATCAAGGGTATCTGCGCCGCCAGACACATTTGGTTCACATGCCGCCGCGCATCGAGATTGTCTAGTGCGTTGAAGACAAGATTGAAACTCTGAAACCAATCGATGTTGAAGTGGGAATCTTTGATATTGGCATGATGCGCCTCAAGTTTTACCCGGGGGTTGAATTTTGAGGCGCTTTCTTTCGCAACCTGGAATAAGCAGGAAAATCAGCTTCCACATGTTTTTGATGTATTGACCCCATACCAATGCTTTTGATTTTTTGATGTGTTCGTGTCTGAAGAGGAATTGGCGGTTGAGATTGCTCAAATCAATCGTGTCGAGATCCACAATATGTATTTGCCCGAAGCCCGTCAGGACAAGGTTTTTGAGAAGTTCACATCCGATACCACCAGCTCCGACAAGGAGTATCTTCGCCTAGGAGCTTCATCAGTCATATTACTTATTTATGAAGGTCACATGCCCCACCTCCTTGATCTTGGTATGTAAGGGAGTTCCGAGCGATTGCTTCACGAACCGCTCTCGCGGCATCTTGTGTAGGTGTAGCAGATGCTGGACAAGAGCAGAGAATGAAGGTAAGATTTCGAAAAGAAAGTCGAAGATTGGGTAAATGAAGGTGGAAGGTGATGGAAAGTGAGGACTTGAAGTGCTAAGTTCGATTATCATCAGTCTTGGCGTCGCTGTGTTACGGGTCACGGACAGGGCGCTAAGTCTAATGGGGCGCGGGAGAGCTGCAAGGCAAACCCCGGCAAGTTCCGTCCCAGATTGCCGATTGCTAGCCGACGCGCCCTGATCTAGTCCCACACCCACTAATCATGACTTGCATTGCCTATTCTTTTTCTCTTTTTCTCTTTTCCTCCTCTACTATGTAAACTCCTCGCTTCTTTATATTGACCTTTCCTTTACCATGATGTTCAGTATCACTTTCTTAGGACTAGTGTCAGCATTGCACCTGTAGGATCGAGCAACTACTATAACCTCCGAGTTATGATGCCTCGACTCAACTGAAAGTCTAAGCTAAGTGAGGTAAGATGTCAGATGACGACGCCGACCCAGAGCTCCTCGAGCTCCTGCGAAAATCATTAGGTCTCGGTGCAGACAGCTCGCCAGTAGCCCCAAAGATCAAAGTCCTCGAACATGCCGAGTTCGTGTACGACAACTCCCTTGATGTTGCAATTGACATGCGCGGCACGAAAGCTGCCGCGTCTAAGATATACAGCCTGATGCAAGAAAAGAGCTACAGTAGCCAGACTTGGCGATCCCATGAACTTCATCCCAAATCGAAGGACTCGAAAACTGTTGAGTTCATTTTTTTGATGGATCTTTTGAATTTCAGTTTCTGGTCGGTAAAGGATGATCCGAGCGAATGCTTTGCTGTAGCATATCGCGGGCAATGCTGGACGGGATATTGGAGTCTCGTTGCTGCTCTTCAGCGAGCATTGGATGAGGGATTTCCAATCACCGACCCAAAGTTCTGGACGGATGAAACGTCTGCTAGTGACGATGTCTGGAGAAAGATCTTTCGATCCGCGACTGAGGAAGAAATGCCAATGCTGGAAGAGAGGATTCAATGTGTGCGGGACGCTGGCCGTATCTTGCAGGATGTTGGTTCTGTGACATCTGACGCCGAGCTGAGCTGACAGAGGTCAGCAATACGATGGTAGCTTCCTCACCACACTCGAGGAAGCCAATGGATCTGCTGCAGCTCTAGTAACTACCCTCGCTCGCGACTTTCCTTGCTTTGATGACAGCACCCGGTTTGAGGGACAAAGAGTCTCGTTCTATAAACGAGCTCAGATACTGGTCGCGGATCTTTGGGCGTGCTTCGAAGGCGAAGGGTATGGCAATTTCTCTGATATCGATCAGGTCACGATGTTCGCAGGTACAAAAAGCTTGTCCCAATCCCTAGGCCTTTAGTGACCATATTTGCAGATTATCGTATTCCACAAATGCTATACACTTTTGGCTCTATTTCATATAGCCCATCACTTGCAACGCATATTAAACAACGCAAGATCATAGACAGCGGTCATTCTTGGGAGGTTCAGCTAAGAGGTTGTAGCATATGGTGTGTTGAGTTAATCAGACGCGAAATCGCTCGGAATCATCCAGGTACACAGATCAACGCAATACTCATAGACTTTTTTTTGTACGATTCTGTGAAAGAGATAGAATCACGTACCGAAGACATCGTTTCACATCATCGGACGAGAAGTATATGGTATTGAAATAGAATCGTTAGGGCATAGCAGCAATGTCAGACTGGACAAACATACTGCATAGAATGACGTCGTCTCAGCAATGGGAAAGGACGAAGCTGTCTTGAAAGGTTTGTCAGGTTTTTCTTGCAACGTCGAGGATTTGCAGCCTTTCTTCATTGACAAGCGTTGACCAATCTCCCAGACAGAGCCTAGCTGGGCCTTATTGCTTGTCAACATTTGCGAGTTGCCAGTTCTATCACAGAGAAGAAAGCTTGAGTAGCGCTTTTCATTTGATGAAAGCCTAGGTGAAGCTAAAGCCGCTGCTCACTCGAACAAGGCCCTGAATACAGCATTTCATGTAGTGGAACTTTGCTCCCAGCGACAGGTAAAGCGAGGCCGTTCGTGAACCCAACACTCGAGTACTTTGTAGAGTGGCCTAAGATGCTGGTGTCCTTTGTATCCATTGGCACCGCCGCTGACCCGAGCAATTTCTGAGGAGTTCGGAAAAGAGAAGACTGCCTCACCTCCTGCCAAGAAAATATATCTATCCAAAATCAGCGTTAGCCTTGCGATTTCAAGGAACAAAGCGCAAACGGTACGCTCGTCTGCAACTCAGATACATGATCGGGTGCTAGATTCGTTCTGATCGATTGGATAGAAGGAGGGCCTTACTGGACATAAGGTGCATTATGCAGTCCCCCGTCGAGTCCTCATGGTATGACAAAGTAGTCTGGAGGGTCAAGTGCTCCCAAAGAGCCAAGATCTGAGCCTGAGATAACGGGAATGGTGGCCATCGTGAAGTTGAGCACCTGCCAGCACTCAAAGACTGAACGCTTTTGTGCATTGGCAGTAATGGTTGTAACATCGAGTGGGCCTGGGAGTGTTTGTGATTCCGGGAAACACGAACAGAATAAGGCCACAAAGAAGGCGAGCTGAGGCAGGCGTTTGTACAGAGACATGCTTTCTTTGGCGCAAAATCGGCACTCGCGATTGTAGAGCTGGTTATGAAAGAGAATCTCTATTAATTTTGAGGACATTCATCAACATTGCGTCATGTATGCGCACAGATCACTAGCCGTTCTTGATCCGGCCATGGTCGGTATTCGTCTTTCTCCTATTCAGAGAAGCCTTTTGCGCCCAACTTGAATTATGCCTTGAGCCCACCAGAGATGCGCCAGTGGTTTCTATTGGTTGCGCGAACGAGAAACCTCTTCGGACTGCTGCCAATTGTCCATTCAAAAGAAAATTCCAGCCAAATTCAGAGTACGAAGGCGCAAATACTTCATCGGGGCAGAGACTCTTCTGTAGTCAAACCAGAGCCCTCATTCATCGACCTTGCGTCACAATCTTTCGTCCATTCCATAGTCAAGACCTTCTCCAATCGAAATTGTCTGGATGAATCTCGGAGTCCCCTTCTCCATTCTATCCTCACGTCAGGCTGAGGAATATCTCGTAATCTCATCAATGGTTTGAACCATGCAGCAGTCGGGTTCAGTGCCTGTTGTTCGCCCCAAAATTCAAGCCGAAAGCGGAGACTTACCAACCTCATTTGGCTTAGAATGTGCCAGGAGCGAGCCCATGGATCATCAGGGTCTGTTGGATCATGCTCTTCGGTTGTAGCGTGCGAGAAATACATCCACTGTAGCCGTAGATGGCGTATTAGAGCAAAATGCTGAGGTATTAGCGTGCGGTCATTGAGGAATAGTAGACCCAATGGCGATGCAAGCGAGAAGATATTGGCAGAATAGACGATATGAGAAGCCTCGTTGCAGCAAGCGTGGCATGTTTGCAAAAGGTCGAGGGGGAACCTTGGAAATTGTCCATCATATGGAATACGGTCTCGCTCTGATCTCCATCTTACTGCTGGTAGTACGTCTGCGGCGGAAGAATATGAATGACGCTTCGAAGAGACTGTATGATGTACGTTGACCAAGCGGTGAGCGATTTTGATGAGGTGAATGACATGGCCCCCAAGGACATACTCATAAATGTATTGGCGAAGCTCTGGTGGCAATCTTACGAAAAACAGGGAGTCAGGCTGAGGATAAGACTTCGGCGAAGCCATGGAAACACTCTTGCGTGCTAAACTGTAGGCAGAGGACAATTGTTCTGGCTGATCAGTCCCTCGGGCCACCCTGCCGTCATCGAGGCTTTGTGGCTTACGACGTTCTGATCTTGTAAATATGAGGTAGGTTTTCTGAAGACCCGGCTGACAGAACTGACAACCCATATCCTGTGTTCCGGCTAGTATGTGGAGTTAAGGTGCCGTGCTCCCCATGATGTCCAAGCGCGCAAAATACAAATCAAGTACCTCAGCAGTCCAAGCAAATCACGGTCCAATCGCCCCTTTGATTGGGGCTGCTGTCTGATCATTGCGTGGACATGCAGTGAAAACGAGCTTGATCTTTTGAGACTTTCTGAACAGATGTCCTAAACCTCTGTCTAAAGTCCCTATTCAACGCTAGAAACATCAGATTCCCCGGACAAGTTAGTGGCGGAAAACTTTGACCAATTATAAAGGGGAGCTACCACCCCTTTTCCTGGTCACGCCCTTCAACTGTCACTGCAACGATCGGACGCAAGACTCCAAAAAGACACCAGAATAGGCTTGGCCGCAGCATGCAACCAATGTTTCAACGGGCAGACTTTATACATATATACTAAAGGCCATTCCATAGGAGAAATACGCTAGACATTGACCATTCGCTCTAGAAGCAATATGATCTGACGACATTAAACCCCTCCTTAATGAACAATCTTCATCGGTTGTGCCCACAAAAAATGCCAGCATTGCCAGCATTCATACAAAAGGTTGATATCATGTAGTCGAAGGAGACCTTGTGCTAAGCCAGGAGACAACACGTCCAAAAATGCCGTATACGAGTCGGAAGTCCAATGTAAAGTGCCTGTTTTGAGCGTCTCCCACCGCATCTCGGGGCAAGTTATTCAAATCTCTAATCTCATTGTTGCATTCGATCATCAGCGCAATTCATCTTTGTTCCACCCCTTCTTGTACAGCCAGACCCAGCCTCCCCGATCCATCTCGCCCCAAACAGCAATGATGCCGAAAGGAGTCAGAAGTCCATGCCAAACCCACCGAAAATGCTATTGCGTATAAAGCTTTTCCATCCACAAGTTCCCGCTTGCTTTATCAAGGGTACCAGTGAGCGAAAAAGGGCCTACAGAGTCGCGCCCTCCTTGGCCGATGAGGTCAAGTATCCGATCACCACGAGCGTCGCTGATCGAGAAGCGAATGCCGCTCATTGGCGGTGCAATCCTGGATCTAGACTCGAAGTAAGATTCGGTGTAGTAGCCAAACCATTCGCCAGCCTCCCAAAAGGAGGTACAGGTCATGTGTGGCAAATGGCAAGTCGCCAGATCGATATCACTAGACGCTGTAAAGGGCAAGGGAAGGCTCATTACCTCATCAAGTGGAATATTGTCAGACGTCGGCATTGATTGTAGCGCCCCAAGGTCCCTACTATTTAGATACTGTAGGGTGATGACGACAAGGTTAGCCTGATCAAAAGCAAGTAGAAGACCATCGGAAGCCTCATTTGTCCTTGTCTTGATGCGATTTACAAAACTTGCTCGAGCGCTCGACATTCGATAGGCCCTGGAGGACCAATTCGAACGATCTGCAGTTGCCAACTCTGGCGACATGAAATTCAAAGCTTTACAAAAAGAAGTGGCAACATTGAGTTCGCCTACTTCATCCCACTCTTCGTAGAATGTATCTCTATCCATCGCGAGCAGATTGAGGGAATCAACCAATGGATCTAATTCTCGTCAGCACTTGTCCCTATATGGAATCGACACGCCCTGCATACGCTTGCAAGCCATTATATGAGGCGCCCACCTATAGAAGGTTTCGTAAATATTATGACGAGTCTCCTCGTCAGTGTCCCCAAAAGCGAACTTGCGTGCTTTTAGGTCTGCGAGTGCCCATCGGGACATTTCGTCTCGAGAGGACAGCAATGTCAAGCGTGGATGATGCCAGGAAGGCCCCTTAAATCCATTGCGACGGTCTATGATGTCTTTGATCACGCGAGTACTGATGCACGCATCATGTAGGGCCCTGCTCACGCATGATAGACACAATAATGCATCGAAAGATCCATATGAGACTATCTGCTCACGGATTTCGAGAGGCAATGAGTCAAGTCGTGCAATCTGTTGGCTCATCATGAGTGCAATGTAGCGTACTATTTGTTGCCTTTGCAGTATGATAATGTACAAGTAAGAGTCGAAACTGTTAGGCTGCAGCGTAAGATGCGGGGCTCCCAATAATCAATTAATCGGCAAGTGGCCGCGCCAAACCTCTATGGTAGTTTATAAGCGGCTGTTGCATTCCTGCGTTATATGTATACAAGCCTGCCTCCAAGTAAGGGCTTTTATAAATATGTCTAGAGCTGGATGAGTCGCATTTGGTATAACCACTTTTATAATTAGCAGTCCCTCGTAAAGGACGCGACAGCCTCGCTGGACTTGCACATTGTTATTAATTCATGGCCGCCAAAATCCAGATGGGTCAGGAAGTCAAAATCAGGAGAATGCAGATTCATTCTGCATCAATTTCCACGTGATTACGGCAGCGCCAGCCAGAGCTGTACTGATGATGCCGGCACCTAAAGCATAGTCGGTAGCTTTATTCGTAGTGCCACTGATTTGAGGCTTGAGCCCTTCACGGATAACGAAAGCGATCGTACCTATGACGGTCAAATACAGCACCAATGCTGTCGCGACATCGCCGAGCTCTGTTGCCTGCGGGTGAGGACCTTTCATAGTCGCATCCAGCTCCTCTTCAAAGTGACGGGCCATCCGGTCTTCAGAGAACTCTGTTTCTACTCGCCTTTTTCCATTCTTACCCAGTTGAGCCAGGTTCTGGTCGCGTTCCGGCGACAGCACATCTCTCAGGACTTCTTCCCACGCACTCACGTTATCTTTAGGTCGTAGCCAGCCTGTCTCGACGTCGACCACAGTCTCCAAAGGACCACCAGAATTCGCTGCAAGGACTGGCACTCCGGCTAACATGGCCTCTAAAGGCACAATGCCAAAATGTTCGTTTGACGGAGTGTAGATCAGGATTTTGGCTACCCTGAGCAATGATGTTTTCAATTGATCGGGTACTGACAGGAGGAAAAGGACCTCGATGTCATTGGGAATCGCTTGGGCAGAGACTATATTCTTTGCAGTAGCAGATTTGAGTGTCAGGGCGTCCGATAGGGACTCGAGCTCCTTGTGATATGCAACATTCTCTTGCACTCGCAGATCATACCCGCCAGCGATCACAAGTCGAGCACTTTCCCTCTCTTTTGCGGTTAGACCACCAAAAGCTTTGATGGCCAAAGCGACATCTTTCTTCCTCTCAAAGCGATTGATGCTTAGTAGAACCTTCTTTCCCTTCCACATCTCTTGGCTTCCTTTCTCCTCTGGCGCATTCCCATTGGCCTTCGACATGGATTCCGTGTTGACGCATGGGTAAACGACACCAATGCCGCTTTCACCCCCTAGCCCGGGCCAGATTTGCTCCACTACACCTTTCGTGAAGGCGCTATTCACGATGACCCTGTCTGCCCCTCGTATGCTCCAACTCTCAAGCCAGTCAAAGCCAACCCGCCAAATCCGCCTATGCCAAGCGGTCCTGTTTTGTACCAGGAGTAGATCTGGAAAGTGGCAATAGAATAGGATCCGTACATCTTCCCAGTACCAGCGAAGAAAGGGTATGCCGGCAGACAGCTGATCCAGGAAGAACACACTCGGGCTCAACGTCGCCAGTTCGCCGGTCCACGTGATGGTGGTGAGGAGATGTAGCTGGCGAAGAATGGAGCAAAGGATCTTGAAGCGCCCCAAGATGGTGGCTGGGAAGACATTGTTGCCCCTGACGCGGACATCGAGAGTACCGTCTCGAGCTTCGTCAAAGCAGTGACCAGGATCGCGGTAGGAGGTAAAGATGGTGACTTTGTGTCCCAGATTTTGAAGCCCGAACGCTGCGTCTACGACCAGTCGTTCAGCTCCGCCGATACCGAGGTCAGGATGAAAGAAGACAATGCTCTTCTTTCTTGTCTCCGGGGAAGCCTCTGAGGCTGCTTCTTTCTTCGAAGGTCGCTCCATACCATGCAAGAACAAAGTGCACCAATAGAGGTGCGGCGGATGTAGGTGAATGAAGAGTGCAATGCATGAATGCATGTTCTACGGATACTGGCAGGGGTGTCTTGGGTTCTGCCCGAGTCTTCCAGGGCCTGGCCGGCGCTAAGTCGGCCACTGAAGGGCCCTAGCACCCCCCTAGCCCCCTGAAAGTTCACTCCGCTCGACTCCACCTCCTATCATTAATATTAGTGACTCCTATCCAGTTACTCGCTGTGCCTGAATTCCCCATGAACATCTGTCTTGACGCCGCATATTAAGATTGACGGGAAATGCACGGTAAGCAGAAACAAAACACTGATTAAGGTACCCAGAAATGTAATCTCCGCTGTCTTCCCCTCCCACTTGGTTTCCTTTCTGTCCTACTCTTTACTTTTTCACCCCACCAATTTCTTCCTTTTCTTCTTTTCTCTGTCCACTCCTGGCCATCTCTTCGATTCTCGACTCTCATTCAGTAATTTCATTCCTTTCTTCAAAGGCTTCTTGCCGTGCAAGAAGCGTCCACTCTTTTCAATCACCTTAGCGCTTCACTGTTTCAACCCCGGACACTGAAACAATCACGTCTCTACCACCCGAACCTGTACAAGAACAACCCAAAAACCACCCCCGACAGCGATGATCCTCACTCTCCCCCTCTTACTCCTTTCGACAGTCCTCACGACCATGGCCTCTATCCACCACTACCCCCACCACTCCCTCCACCACCGCCGCAAACCGACCCAGCATACCGACCCCCTCGTTTTCGCCCACTACATGATATGTTTCCAGCCCCCAAACGGCGACTACAAGCCGGACATCCTCCTCGCGCAAGCCGCGGGCATCGACGCCTTCGCCATCAACTACGGCGCTCCCGGCATCCCCTGGCCAGACCTCGAAGCCTTCCTCGACAAATTCTACCATGACGCCGCCAGCCTGCATTTCAAAGTCTTCATGTCCTACGACTTGGAAGTGCTCTCCGACCCCACCATCATGGTCAACACGAGCAACACCTACCTGCACCACCCAGCCCAACTCTGGGTCGACAACAAAATCTTCCTCTCCTCCTTCGCCACGGGCCCGCCCCCGTTCAGCTGGCAGCACGACGTCCTCGACAAGATCGCCGCGCCCGTGATGTTCATGCCTGGCACGATCGGCGAATCCGCGCGCGCCACGGCAGCCCAGTTCACAGGCTCGGGGCCCTTCACGTGGATTCATCCCGCCAGCAGCGTCCAGCAGGAAGCCGCCATCGACAACGACTACTCCGCCCAGCGTGAGGTGGCTGGCGTGCCCTGGATGGCCGGTGTAGCGCCCTGGTTCTTCAAGCGCATGCCTGGTATGGGGAACTGGATGCATGCGCAGGATGACGGGATTTGGTATGATCGCTGGATGCACCTGCTGGATGTGAAGCCGAATTTCATTGAGTTGGTCACGTGGAATGATTTTGGGGAGAGTAGTTATGTGGGGCCCGTGGGTGCGTGGACTGGGAATAAGCAGGCGCAGAGTGATTGCTTCTACGGCGGGTTGAATCATACCGCGTTCCTATCGATGACGAAGTTCTTTACCAGGGCGTTCAAGAGTGGAGGGGGTAATTCGAGCTTCAGTATTTCGCCCGCGGAGGAAGATGTGTATTTCTTCTACCGTCTGCAGCCCGCTGCATCCTTGGGTGGGTATGGGGGTATGCCATTGCCAAAGAACGCGAAGGATTGCAAGGATACCGTCACAGTGCTTTCGTTCCTTGCTGAGGAGGCAACGGTGACGCTGGCGTCCGGAGGAGCGAACCATACGATCAATTTTCCCAAGGGAGTCAACAAGCAGTCGATTCCTTTCAACTTTGGGGACCAGAGCTTGAGTATGGATAGGCCACTGGGTGGAGGCAGAGTGTTGAATAAGAAGGGCCCGCCAATTGTGCAATATAGGGATGCGTACACCGGGAACGTAAATGCGATCTGAGGGTCTCGAGATTCAGAGGAGGGGGGGTTTAGGAATGACCGGAGTAGCTTCGAGCTTGCGGGAGCGTGCTACACTGGTATGTGCGTTGACAGGCTCATATTTCGATTCTACCCACAAAATTTTTGCGATGGAGGGTATCAAAATTCGAGATATCAGCGTCTAGAAGACGAGTCTGAATCTCAACAAGCCTTGGATAGGTGATGGCACTGACATAGTCAGTAAGCTTAAGCAAAAAGCGAACAATAAAAAAATGCTCTAACATTCTCTCTCACAGTCCGCAAGTTATGCATTTTCCGTTTATTCTGGTCTCCAGGAAGAGCGAAACTGATCCTGATGGAAATTATCTTGGAGATATTTTCTTACCTATCATGCTAGCTTTATGTCCATTTCAAAGCCACGCCGGAGGTTTGCGTGCCCGGTCTCCACGATTATTTTTCCCTTTGCATAAGGAGGAGATAGTTTTTATTAGTAGGGCGTAGGTCAAGTCTGAAGGTATCGTCCATTTTCCTCTAAATGATACAAATATCTGAGCTTATTCTGCCTTAAAAGCACGAAACAGACACAACCCTTCTAGAGTCAAAGCCAAGCGATATCACTTAGAACTTTTGAAAAGCGTCTTGAGAGTAGTCTCCTTGATACAATTGTCGAGAAAGACATCCCAAACCATCTGTTCTCCCAAGCGACCCCGTTTAATCCGCAGGGTTGCAAACTCGCCGATCCGCGCCTCAAGCCCCTCAATACGATCTCCTTTCAGAGCCCACAGGCCAGAATGCTGCCTCAAATCGGACGCCACCCCATTCCGCACTTCGCTCCAACCCAACGGATCCAGTGGGCTTCTCTGGTAAATCCCAGGAAATTGTGCATGTTCTTCAGGCGTCCATTGCGCCTGTTCAGCATCAGACCCATAGTTGAGTCCACCAAGTCTATTGAGGACGCGGGTTTTCTCCTCAACCCCACCATCTCCCGCAATGAAACAAGTGGGGTTGAAGTCGAAATCAAAGCCCAGGCTGATGACTTTGATTTTTCGCTTCTGTGGGCTTATGTCCAAGTAACCGGCCAAGAGGGCCTCTCCGGGCTTCATTAACATAAGTTTCTGTTCGCCGTCCCATTGTGCTGCCCCTTTGACTAAGAAAAGATCTTTACCTTTCGAGCTTTCGAGGATTTCCGGAGTTGCTATTCGAAAGCCGTGGATGCGATCATGATAGTCACTGTGGTAAGAACTGACATCTTGGCGTACGTTGATTTCAAGCTGCTGAACAACCCGTGATTTCCGCCCGGACGCCCAGGCGCCAATGTTGTATCGTGGATCGACGATCTGATTTGTCCAGTAAGAGGCATTGCGCTGCGTGAAAGTTTCGCCGTTATATTTCACACGAGCAAATTGGTCGTCTTCATAGAGTCTCCGCAGGAAAATACCAAGACGTGGTTCGTTAGGTTGCGAGTTGCTTACTGGCAACATTCCATTAGCACACTCTAGACGCACAAGGTAAGTATCAACCGTCAATTGAGCCGCCAATAATTTGATCGAAAGGCCTCGGTTTGACAGAGAGTACGGAGAGCGACCTTTCCGAGACCGCAAAGCTTTGGTATCTTGACAATTTGAAAATGCTTTGGGCTCGTCAGCAAGGAGCCCGGGTTGATCCTCACGATGGATGTGCCAGGAGAAGATTGTGTGATCATCTGACTGCTTGATAATCTCTTCCTGAAGGCGAAGAAAGGCCTTTTTACGTCCTTCGCCGTAGAGAAGAGGCATGTTCACATTGAAGATTCCTAGCAAGCAGTAGGCAATATCCTCGCCATACTTTGTGACCCTCTTCGAGGCCCAAGACATCCGCTGTGCGATCGAAGAGGTATCGTAGGAGCCTCCATGGAGTATTCTCTCCTCAATCCCGGTTTCTAGATGCAGTATAGGACTCAAGGTTTGCTTCGTGCCCAAGAATGTCCAGTGTCGATCGTAAAAACGGACGTTCTTGGGAGCTATTAATTCCTGTAAAGTCCAACCGCGGGTGAACCATTTGCTACCTCGGATGCTCGTCGCTTCCACCTCAATATCCTTGGCTTCAATGTCTCCAAGAAAGACATAGCAAACCTTTGAGTCTTGATACCAAGCATACATCGAGTTAATCGCTTGGCTCAATTCTGCGCTACTATCCTTGTTGATGCAACATGTATCCACCCACACATAATCGTAGCTATCCCTTGCAGCAAGCTCACAAAACCTTTCAATCTTTCGAAACCCTTGCATCTGCGAGGCCTGTGCTAGGTCTTGAAAGCGCGCGTAGGTGACTTCCTCTGCACCCCATCTGTGGGATAGGATAGCGTATTTCTTGTCTAGCTCACCCTTCTCATTTTCAGCATCCTCTAGCTTGAAGCTATGAGTATTGATCAGACGCATGAGTCCTGTTGGTCAATCAAAAATTAAATGCTTGACTGTGAACAAATTCATGTTGCTTATTGAACCGAACCCCTGAGAGGAAAAAGACCAGTATTATTGACAAATTTGAGACCAATCCCTATCTACAAGGTGTTGCAAGAGAGTCTCTTCGCATCAAAAGTCTGCACATTCTCATAGAGAAGTCAGAGTCCATGGACACGCTTAAAGATGAGGCGCCAGGAAGGATTCTAACGCTAAAGATTCCTGGCATGCAACACCAGAACGTCATAGCTGAGATCCTGAAACAAGCCGGCAACTGTATTCGATGTCACTTGATCGAAGCGCCAGTACGCTAGAGGGTCGAGATCCATCCTGTAGACGACATGGTGGCTTTTATATACGTAGAAGAACCATCGTGAGACTTGGCATGATCGTCCAGGAGATGGATGTCAGCCTGCACACATACTGCCCAGGTTTCGGCCTGGGAGACGGCCATCAGGCGACCTCAAGCTTGTTGTAAAATTCTCAAGCCTCTACACGACAATTCAACAGGGTGTGAACGGCATTGTGAGCCATATGCCAGGAACATCTCTGCGTTCAATGATATAGCTAGGTACAGCGATGACTTCCGCTACACTCGCTCCCAAAATGTCCCTGAAATAAGATACCCTGCGCCATCGCTGCTACCCCAGTCATTCAGTCAGAGCATTAAGCATTACTTTCGTACAATTCTTAGCAAAGGCTCTATCCTGGCCCTTTTACTGAGCCCGACACGGTACACCTTCTGGTCGGTATTGATTGGGCTATGCTTGTCTGGTCCCTGTGGAGACACCCGAGAAGCTTTTGCTGGGGTTTCTGGTGGAGACGTCTTTGTTAATGGCTTTGTGTTTTCGCTAGGTGATTTCTCGACAGAATGAGGCGTAGGAGAATGGTGGGAAGTTTCTTCAGGAGCTGTCTCGTTTGGGCGTGGCTTCTCGGCATGGACTTGCTCGGCTTTCTCAGGTTCTGCTACCTTGTCTACTGTAGCTTTTGATTTCTTGCTCGGTCTCCCACGTTTGGTCGGTTTCTCAGCCTGCTCCACTTGCGTTACGGCTTCTGCTGTCTTCTCAAGAACTATGCTGTTCGGCGGCTCGTGTTCAATCGCAATGCAATCAGGTGCTTTCTTCGGCCTTCCTCGCTTTTTGTTGGCCTTTGGTCCCTGACGTGAGGTCTTTGAACTATCAGTAAATGCTGTTGCGTCAGTATCATCTGGGCCTTCCAGAACATCCAAATGATCATTTTCTTGATCGAAGGCAGGGACCTCGACGTTTGGGTCCCGTGGAGCAGATTCTTCATCTTTGTCCTCGTCCGGGTCCTTAGGGATCAGCTCAGTGGAAACAGCGCTTTTACTTCGTCTACTTTTACTTTTAGATTTGGCACTTGCTTCTGGCCTTTTTGAGAAGTCCGTCGGAATCATGAGCTCTTCATTCTCCTGGCCTCCCCGCGAACGACTCGGACGAGGCTGATATTGTTCTTTAGGGAAGCCAACGTGAACATCATCAGAGCCTAGTTCGTCAGCATCGTTCACGAGTTCGCGCTTTCGCTTCCTTTCCTTTGAAGACTTTCGTTGTTCTTTGAACTTGAGTTCTGAAGATAGGCAGTGTTGCTCATTCTCGGGTGCACTCTGGCTACCTTCGTTCGGAAACTTTACCGGCACTTTGGTGTACTCTCCGGTTTGCAAAGCAAGAAAGGATGGATTGTCCGTTCTGATACTGGCGCCATCATTCTCGTGTGGACTTTCAATAGCCAAACCGTTGCTCTTGACATTGCGCGGAGGGGCCACTGAAGCGGCAGAGCCGAGCTCTTCAATTGTGTCATTATGTTGAGGCCTGTCGCCCACGCTACCGAAGGATTCATGCTCATTGACTTTGCAATTACTTCGCGTACTAGTCAAAGTACCTTCTGTACCGCGGCTGTGCGATGACATTGTAGGAGTCGGCATTCTGCCATCAGTATCTACGGACTGATGAGTTGAAGCTTGAGTCCACGCCACATTACTTGGCGTCATCTTTGAAGGTGTAGCATTGGCGTCCGGTGACGAAGTATCTACAATTGTAGGTATAGTAGCTGTCTCACTGAGCTGAGATTGGTTCCGTAGAAGGCCCTTAGAATTTGGAGGTAGCATTTTAGGCTGCTGAGAGTGTTGCCCCCGCTCACAGTTGGTGCTGGCTTGTTTCTCATCTGTACACCTCCGATCTTTGAGTTGTACGGCGTCGATTTCAACGTCACTACTTCCATGAAAATCAAAAACATCCCCATTGTCGCGAGACTCGCTGCCATCTCTTGAATTGCTTCCTCTGAAGCGATTCCTTAACTTCAGTTCATCCATTGAAGTCTGTGCCTGTTGACTCTTTATAGAAGTACCTGAGAACGCATCCCTAACGTAGGCTTGTGACATACCCTGTGGCATTCCGGTGACTATAGGCTTGACGGGTGTAGGTTCTACCAGGCGTCTATGCGCCGCCTCGATCTCCTTGCTTAGAATATCTGTAGACATATCAGACTCTTGAGGTCATAATTGTGTCAGGTTTCCTCTATGTACCTGTGGATGATGCACTGGAGAGCGACGTATCTGCGATTCTCGCTGGCGGTGACGACTCGAGGATAACCTTGGCGTCTCCCTTGTGGTGCTTGATTTCGGGCTCATCGTGTTCACCCTCCTCCTCATCGTCGGAGTCGACAATTATTTTTCGCTTGACCATTCTCAGTGAGGATCATTGCTCATAGAGAGGATATGTAAGTATCGCATTTGACTCCCGCCGAGCATTGGGTGCGGCGAGAGGACAATTGACGCGCAATTGACGCGCTAAGAGCGAGATCACGTGCAAGAGAGGAGAGACTACATGGACGAGGGAGCTGTAGGATGCTATCATTTAGATTGCAACTAATATGATCTTTCAATAACTGGGTATATCTTGCGTAAGGATCATTCAAGGGCCGGCGCAGTCATCACGCCTCGTCCAAAGAATTCGCTGATTGTCCCAAATTTATCCTTACTCCGTTTCAAGGCGTCTTGGAACATGTCGTGCCTATCTGCAGACTCTATCTGCGCATTTCTGAATGCCCTAATGTTATTGTTCGCACCAGCACAACTTGGGCATTCGGCTTCCTGCCCGTCTACCTCATTTAAGCAATTCTGATGAAACGAATGCTTGCAAAGGAAGTGTACCGTTGGCAGATCGAGACTTCGGCCACATGCTGCGCATCGTCGTGATTGGAAGACTGCTGGCTTGTTGCCAAGATCATCCAGTTCTTTGCGCTTCGATTCTGTCTCAGTACGGTAGCTTTCTATGAGCCGCCGGTTGTTGGAAATTTCTCTCCTTTCCTTGTCAATCGTGACGCTTAAGTATTGCTTGACGAGGCCCATCGTAGCAACAGCGTTGGTGCTGAGCGTCTGTATGACTTGCAAAGGCGCCATCAATCCATCATCGTCGATTTTCTTCAATACGGCCTGTAGCTCATCACCAGCTTCCTGTAATGCCTCAGAGCTCGACGTAAAGTATGCCAATGCGGCAGGATAAAGCTGCGGCTCCTTTGCTCCATACTTCCTGAGTGCCTTGATCGCCCCTGCAGTATCATTCGCTGACGTATAAGAGCGGAAAACGTCAAAGAGAAGTCCTTGTTGTTCCTTGACCATAGTTGTGCCATCCTTGAAAGCCGATAGGTGGGAAAGCAGCAAAACATTGGAAGCATTAATAGGGACACCTTTCTCTTCAATCAAACGTTTCGCTTTCTGCTCCCATATTCCTTTCTCATCTCCCTTCTTGGAGCTTGCAATCTCTAGATATAATTCGAACAACGTGGTGTAAAGGTCGGTCTTGTCACTCTCTCGCAGGTGTTCTTGCTCTAGGCATGCCTCGAGAAACGTGATGAAATGTTCAGGATGATCAACAAAAGATGAAAACGCTGTCCGCGGTCTTGGCGTTTCGTAAGCTTTGGATGGCTCTGTGCTCTTGGTAGCACCCAGATCAGTTTCTGATAGTGAAGCTTGACCTGCTGATGCAGGCGTACCGGCGGAATTGGGGGGTTGCCTATACGGTAAGGGTATAAATGAAGCAAGGTTGGAGACCGCACCTGGGTTGTTGACTACGATGGTGGGCGTATCGACCGGAGGGAGTTCTTTCTTGGGCAGATAGTTGCCTGTATAATAGTCAATGAAAAGTTGAGTAGCCTTTTCTGAGCAATGCTCGATAAGCACCCGGGCGTATCTCATCATATTCGGGTAAGCATGCTCGGGATCTAGACTCCATATATAGTCAATCGCCTCGTCATACTGCTTTGAATTTTCAATGAGTACATCAATCACAAGCTCGTGCTCCTGATTCTTCTTTGCCAAAAAGACAGCTTGATTGTAGTAACCACCTTGTCGGCACATGCTAATAGCAGTCTCAAGATCGAAATTTGTTCCAGACTCGATAAATGCCTCGAGCTTATCAGTATCCTTCAGCTTAGCATAGCAATTCAAGAGAAGAGTAGTATGGTCTATTGTAGCTTTGTCATGTTCATGTAATTCTTCCAAGTACTCGATCAGGTTGTTTATTCTCTGAGAGTCTAGAAATTTTCGAATGACTTGTGACGGCTCCGTGTTATCGATAGCCTTTAGGTACTGTTGCATAGCCGTATCGTAATCGCCCTTTTTGTGGAGATAGTCACCATATTTGCGGAGAATGATATTACGCTGAGCAGTAGCGACACCTGCCTTTTGCGCGAAATTGATTGCGAGGATGTAAAGATCACGTTGGTAGAAAATTTCAAGCTTTTGTTGCAAAGTCTTCTCGTGATATCGAAAAAGCTTCCCATCCATAGTCAGAATGAAAAGATCACCCCACTCGCTAAAAATGTTCCGAATTTGTGCAGTTATCGTCTGGGTATGCGCCATGTACTTGAGATCGGTGTCAAGCAGAGCGAATGCTGAGGTGGTGTAGACATCGTTCACTGGTCCACCGCCAAATCTTCGTAGGTCACTCGTTTTCGTCGATCTTGGGGATGAGACTATTGCTATGTAGTCCTTATACATCTTAACCATCTGTTTCGGCCCTTCATAAGCATAAGATGGCCCACGGCCTCCGACCCCATAGTAACGTATCGCATCATCTCGCACAACAATAATCTCACCATTATTCTCATCGAGCGTCATGCAACCGACGCCGCATCCAGCATCTTCCAAGACTTTTGCTGGCTGGCCCTGCCCCCTACCAGTGATTGTTAGGGTCAATATTCGGCCGGTCGTCGCTAGATAAAGCGTCGTGCTCGGGCCTTCCCGAAATTCGACTCCAGTGATCGGCTCTTCAGATTCGAAAACAGTCCTTTGCTTCGCTCCCCGATCATTGATTAAGTCACCTCGAATAACAGTGACAGCCCCGTTAGCAAACCCGACCGCCAGTTGGGAGAGGTTATCGAGGGTCGCAAAGGCTGAAATCTGTCTTTATCAGTCACTCTTCTCTGCACGAACATAGAATTTGTGTACTGGAAATTGTTTCCGCCCATTCTGTATGGTCAATGTGGACAGGCACTTGGGGCCCCCGAATTTTTCTCAATCTGGTCCAAAGCCCATACTTTGAGTACCGGTTCATTTGAGAGATCTTCTGAGATCGATACGATCAATGCGGTATCCTCCAGCTGCTTCAACTGGGTTATTGATCCTGAGTCGTGCGCTTTCCATGACCGTAGAAGCTTGAAAGCTGAGGAGAGTATGCGAATGTACCCATCACCGCTGCCAATGAACAAGTTGTCTGACCCAGAACATATTGAGCTTAATTCATTACTCTTGCCATGTTAATTTGCGCCCAACAGTGTCCTATGCTATGCTCACCTCGAAGATTGTAGAGCTCCCTCCGCTGTCGGGCGGTTTCACCTGCGAGACGTCGAAGAAGTTGAAGACTTTCCACTGTAGTAACTTCAGCATTTTGAGAGTTTCCTGACATATTCAATTTCACCCACCGACGTCAAAGCCATCCGTAGGATCCATGAGCTGACTACTGAGAGCTTTAGTGATAGTCAGAGCTGCCTGTAAAGGACAATATTGCGAACGCTGGGTAGCTGATGTGCAGTATTAATCCCCTACGCGGTTCAAAGTGCTGGTTTCAACAATGTTTACATACTCCCAACCAATTTTAGTACGGTGCCCTTTTCTTCTACAGGCATAAAAGATTTCAAAATGCCTGTTGCCGAGCCCGCCTCTCATGTTACCCTCATTTCTAGCGATGGTTTCGAATTCATCATATCTCGGGAAGCTGCATGCGTTGCGGGCACAATCAGGAAAATGCTGGATCCTCAAAGTTAGCGTTCTTCCTCTCTCCCCTCTTTCTTTCCCATCTTTGTCTCGAAACTACTTGTAAATCTATCCTTGCATGTATACTGATGCACTGTGATCACAGGTAATTTTGCAGAAGCGGTCTCTGGGAGATGTAGACTATCGACAATAAAGTACGTTTTCCCCCGCTCCCTGTTCACAAAAGCAAAACATAAGAAAGAAGACTCTGGCTGACTTGGGTTTGACAGTGGCGTTATACTTGAGAAAGTCTGCGAGTACCTCTACTACAATATGAAAAACAAGGACGTAAAAGATGTGCCTGATATGCCGATACCACCGGAATTATGCTTAGAATTGCTGATGGCGGCTGACTATCTGAATGTGTGAAGACTGAGGGTATAAAATTATGGAAAGACATGAGAAATGAGTTCGCATTTCATGATTCAAGACGGTGTTATGATGGGACCAAAATGAGGAACATCGTCTTTGAGGCATACGGTTATTGATGTGACAAGGACTGACGCTGAGGTGAAATTTCATTGACTAAGATTTGCTGATTAGACATCTTTCATGGAACAGCAATATGTTCAACCATACGATTTGGACGTGAAAGACTACCTGCTCCTACTTTCGAGCGCCCTTTATCTTCCCCAGCAAACCATCCAAGCATATGCGTTCAGCCTCATCTCTACCATAGGCCGGACGTCTACGAAGCGATGGAAGATCAAACCTGCAGCAACTTCAAAATCCATGGCTTCTTGAAACCCCCACGAAAGCTGAATGATGATTGCTGGAGACAGAATCACTGCCAATCTAGAATCTGGTGATAACGAGAATGTGGCCTCCATGTTGCTGAGAGCTGTGTCCATTGAAGTACTTACAGTGGAATTGAAAGCTTTTGCATTATGATCGTCAAACTTTGTTATTCTGCATGTATCTAAATTTCGAACTTCTTGTTCACCGACCTCTGCCGCGTCCTCGCCCGCGCCCTCTTGCGCCTCCTCGTGCACCACCAGCTTTACCGCCCCGTCCATGTCTCTTGGGCTCCCACACTGGCTCCTGACTAAAGCCTGCATCTCCGATACGTACATAGCTGACAATACCTTGATCCACGACCGCCAGAATGACGCTTCGATGTCCGTGCTTCAACCGCTGGTAGATCTTATGACCTCCGCCCTTCATATGTGATGGTGGAGGGTCGTATGGCATGCAGCGCATCAGATCGTCGAGCTGCTCTAGAGTGGGGAATGAGTCATCTCGTGCGTTTAGAACGCAGATCTGATAGTCAGGAGGCGGTGGTGCAGTCTTGCGGAAATGGGTGCTGGGTTTCCAGACGTTGTAGGTGGGGCGGATAGGTTCGCGGTGCTTCAGAGGCGGGAAGCCGGGGCTGAGGGGGGCATAAGGATCGTGACGGGGTATGAGAACAAGCTGTCCGTAGATGGGGGCATAAGAGCGGTACAAGCCCGGCTGAATGAGGGGCCCCCTGGGTAGGTGGGGCTCTGGGTCCGATCGTGCGTCAAACAGGAAAGCGTACAGGCGGCTGAACAGCGTCGCGCGAGATGGAGGTAGTTTTGTTGGAGGCTGAGACGTAGAGCCCTTGTTATAGTCCTTTAGATACCAAGTTGGAGTGCGCTGGAGAATGTAGCCACTTCGTTTCAAACTTGTGTAGACAATGTAACGCTCCAGCGTCAACCCTTGACTTCCAATCAAGTATGCATATGCAGCTTGTAAGCTGAGTGGTATGTCGGCCAAGTCCTCAGATTGCCATTGTAGATTCAAGCTGCCTCTTTCGACAAGGTAGAGGCATTCTTCTGGAAGGAGGTGCAGGTGCCCTCTTGAATCAGCAGTCCCAATCGTCGCAAGCATGCTTCCTCTAGGCTGTTTGATCATGCACGAGTCTTTCTCTGAATCAATATATCCAGTCAAGCAAGTTGACTTATGAAGGCGCGTATGTGAGAGAGCATCATCCATTGCTTGACGAGAGGCATCAAGGGCATTTTCTTGTGAACGTGTGCCATGTTGTTCGAAATCCTTTTCACCACGCTTTGGTATGGGAGTAGCATCACCTACCCTATCACACTATGTCAGTATCCAATTTCTACGTTCTGAGTCACGACGTACTGAGAAAGTGCGGATAGAAAGCGAAAGTCCTGTGTTTCGTCCGACTCATCTACATTGTCTAGATCAAAGTTGGTAGCATTGAGGGCGCCTTCGTCAGGCTCAGCCATAGTCTGGCTGGTACAGTACACTGTAATAGGGGATGCTACTACCACTGAACATGGCGATCTATGGTGCAGTGTGTGCGAAGTGAATCATCAATTTGGAAGACGTTCATTTGCCCTAGCCCCAAGCCCTAGAACTAGTCCTTGGCCCTTGGACTAAGCTGTTCCAGGATCAGGGTTGAAATGGATCTCCAATCCTCCAGTTGCAACGAGCAAAGAACTGGGTCTGGCTAATGCAACAGATCCCAAAATACGAATGGCCAGGCCAGAGAGAGCACCGCTTAATCAATCATGCAAGTCATAACCTATAGGCGGCATTATTCCACTCTGCTGATCTCTTTACGATTGACTCATGGGGAGAGGGGAGTACTAGAGGCGCCAGAAAAGGTAGGCTCGAGTTATGGCTGCGTCGCTTGCCTTACGAAAATTGCAGAAGCCCAGACGTATCGAGATGTGTAGCAGCGTCATGTCTGAAGAGCTGCTGGTGGCTTACATACGCAGAGCGAGTTGGAGGTCGGGAATTTCTTATATTGGAGAGCTTATGTCCAAGCTTCAGCTTAACGTGGGGCATTGCCCGCATATATTCCAATTGCGTCAGGGTGAGACATTCTTGCGGCGGAGATGGTCGATGAGCTGTGCAATAAAGGTCGCTGCAATGCATTTGGCACCGCTGGATTGGGGAGTTGGTGGTGCTTGGTGATTGTCCTACGATGCTCGGATAGCCAGAACAAGAATGACTGCACCCCTTTTTTCGCAGCGATTCCCGCTTCGGCTTTCAGTGAGATGACAGAGTTTCTAGAAAGCTGCTAAGAGGGCTAAGAGGGCAGCTAAGCTGGTACGGACAAGCCTTCCCGGCAGAGGGCCGTTTCATCTTCTCTGTGGCATTCTGGGCTTGCAATCCGATTAGTCAATTTGAATAGACAACCAGAAATGATCCAGGTATAACTCCCCCTCCCTTGCGGACAAGATGTTGGCCAGAAAAAGCTGCAAGAGCAAGCAACCCAGATCAGTCGATGATCTATGCATGCGAGAGCCACCATGTAGTTCGTATGCAGAAGAAGCAGAGTATCTGCAGTGCTGTGTATTTGTGATTGCCGGCAGATGCATCGATGCTCGATAGGTGATCAGCCTCCGCCCGAAGGCTAACGCCCAAGCTCCTCTCTCTCTTTTCTACCGCAGTCCCGCGTTCCTGAAGGTAAAAGGTGAAATAACGTGGGCCAACCCCTGCACATGCAAGCTTGGTCCAGTATCACACCGTCTTAGTCTCTTGATCGACTTGGATCCAGTCCTCTTCCACTACTGCTTCCACCCTTGGGGTTAGCCTGGTGATGGAGTTTGCATTCTTGCCCTCATCTGGTTGGAATTTGATTGGCTAATTGGCCCCAAAATGCCTGTCATTTGCAAGTCTACCGGTACCCATGCTTGAATCTTCGTCGCTCTCCCACTCATAGGCCCGAAGCTTCTTGCACGCTTTCCCTTCGCTGCTTGTTTTTCCTTTGCCTTCTCTTCCTCCCTTCTACCCTTTCCTTCGCTATCGACCACTCCTTGCTGCACATCCTCACCCTCACCTACTGCACTTTGCTTGCAGGTCTCAGCGCCATAGGGCGTAGAAATTGAGACCATTTGTGCGGCTGCTTAATACCTCACATCCTGTGCCTCTCCAGCATAGCTTTGCTCAGAAGCATTGGAACGCCTAGACATTTGCTCACTCCTGCGCCAACGATTAGGCACAGTTTAAGCTGTTTATAACAATTGCAGCTCCCTCCTTTGCGGCCACAATATACACCAGATGGCTCCTTCATTACGGGACTACAACTCCTGGCACAACAGACCCTCCACCCGCGACAAAGAGCGACCATCGTCAACTCGCGAACATGGCGATCACTCACTCATGATACCCAGCCGAACTTCCTCCCTCCATTCAAGGATTACGCAGCCCATCCCTTCAACCTTCAGCATCAAGCCAAATCAGAGGACGCCGAAGACCCTCACACATGCCTACATGGTATGCGGTGTACACAGGGAACCATCGCAATGGGTGAAGGCACCTGCGCCTGCTCAAGGAAAGATTGGACACATGAAGGGAGCTGTCGGCCAATTCTGGCTGCCGGAAATCTTAGGCAGCAGTCCACGAATGGAGCAAGATAACGACATTGCGCGATCGCTATATGCAGCCATGAGGGTGAGTCGCTTCGTTGCCAGCTTGCTACTCCAATATTGATATCCTTTAGGCATGCTTCCCTCACGATATCGAGATCGTTGTGGGACGAAATGCGCCTCACTGCGTTCACCACTCATTCGTCCTTCAGCAAGACTCCTCTCACACGTTGTACGGTATCGCATTGAAGGTGTGGTCAAAAGCAGATGAACGGCGTGCCGAGACTATCCGCGACCTACGAAGGCGGACAGAATCAGATTACTACGAGGGCACTGATGAAGCCTATTGGATACCTTATTGCTTGAGCTTCCTTTCACGATACCCACTTTACGACCTACTTGGAGATTACCTACGAGGCATGTGGATTCATTGGAACAAAGCTACCAATCTGTTTCATGCGGAGGAGGTGTCTCGCATCCTAAGCTTCCCAGCGCCCAGACTAAATGATCTGGTGAGAATCGACATGAAGGACTATGCTTTGTGTTATCAATTTCCTTCTTCGCCTACTGGCTTTCAGAACTTCTCAATGTGGCCACTGTTCACCTGCTTGTCAATACCCAACATCGTTGGCGTCATTGAAGCCGCTGTCTCCGCAACGAGGAGGATTATCTTCGTCAGTCATTATCCCGCGATGCTAACCATCGCGACCGAAAGTGTAAGGCAATGCATCCGGGTTTACGAGTGGAGCGGTCTTTATGTGCCCGTGGTGCACGCTCGTCATGTGAAGGAGCTCGTACAAGAGCCTGGCCCTTATATGCTCGGAATCACTGCGGAGTGTCGCACACTCTTTACAGCGCCTTCGGACGCTCTTGTGATCGACCTTGACCGCAACTACGTCATGACTTCTGCTCCTCCGACTGTCCTGACTTCTGGTCAACGTGCTAAGATGATTTCCCGTCTCACAAATGCTTTGAGCGGAGACGTTGCCCCAGCCGGGGTACCTCATCACTTACGATCTGCTTACGCGGGCGGCAAACTCATACCCGCTGGGCAGATTATTGTTATGCGTGGAGAAGTCGAAACTGTTGAGAACCCTCCGTGGTGGAATCAAGACTCAATCATGACCGTGATGGATCATGTGTGTGAAAAATTGGTGAGTATCTGAAGGAAACCTTAGGAAGCAGCGCTGATGACATTAGGGTCGCAACACGGGCGTTAAAGCGATATTCGGTAGCTCTGTGAAGAAGCCTTTGATGACTAAGGTCTCGATGCGACACCTCAACGAAATCGTCCGCGAGCGCAACCAATACTCAAGAGATGCGGTCGAGGCCTGGCAAGACTTCATCAACCTGAAGAGTAGAATGGACGGCGAACTCTCCAAAGTCACGAAACGTAATAACTTCCTCAACGACGAGTTGGAAAGCTGGAAGCAGCAATTCCTCAAATTTCAAGCTTTCGCCGAGCAGCTTACCAAGGAGACTCAAGATCTTAAAGTCAAGATTGAAAATCACAAGCGAGAGCATCGTCGTCTTTCGACGCTCATCGAACAACAAAAGGATGACTCTACCAAACTCAGCACCAAATTGTCAGGCACTGAGAAACAACGAGACGATGCTTTGGAAGCTCTCGTGCTTCAGCAAGACATCGCTGAAGAGCTAGAGAGGGAGCGCAAGCGAAACAAGAAGGAGCTTGGCACGCTGCAGCACACTAACACAATGCTCATGCGTCAACGCGACGAATCACAACGGGTGGTATTCCATCTTCGCAGTCTGATTGATGGTCAATCCCATCACATGGAGCACATCATTCGTGGCTTGAACAAACCGTCAGACTCCAATGAGATCGCCACCGAAGACTTTGCAGATGCTCCTGAGGAGCAGGAAGAAACTGGCGCTTCCGCCACTTCTGCAGGTGCAAAAAGAAGTGAATCTCGCCAGTCACTTAGCCGCGCCAGCATGCGAAGCGACAAGAACACCTCGGAGATGGAGTCTCGCTTCTTCTCCAGCATCGTCGGCGCTAAGGCTGGGTCTCGTCTCAGCATTGCTGATATCGCTGACAGGCATTTGCGTGACAAGACTGATGCAATTGCGAATATTATTCGCAATATAAGTGAGCAGTGCGCTCAGGCCGTTGAGGGCATTCAACTCGCACATGACGCCGACGCCGACGATCATGAGCAAATTGACCCTGCGCTTCTTGACAAGTCGGGTCATAGACATAAAGACTCTGAGAGCAACGCTTCAGATCATACAGATGCCTCACAGCTGGCAGCACGGCATGATAATACTGACGCCGACTCCGGTGTCGGCGGCTCTACTGGTCACCTAACGCCGAACGGGGAGCGAGACAGGCGCCAATCCGGCTCCTCTACTTTCCCACCAACCCCTGACCTCATTGGCGGGCGGTCTAATACCAGCATGAGCGGCTATAGTGTCAGCACGGCGAATACACGAGACAGGGACAGCCACCAGTGGCAGGCTCAACACACAAAAGACAGCGTAAAGGTTGTCGGTGATGACGAGCCGCATGATAGCGGTATTGAAAATGGTGTTAGCGAGGTCGTCGACCACAAGGCGAACAGCATCGCGAGACCCGTGAACACTAGGGTCATTGGTTAATTTATGTCTTTTAATATCCCAACCGCGCGTTCTTAAATGTGGAGTCCGGAGAAGCAATGAGTGACGTTGCTTGATCAATCTATCGGGTTGATTAGGCCACCTAATTCGCCGCGAAGCTGCGGGTCAGCGATGGGTGGTAAAAGCTGAATCTAATTGATGGTCTCATGATCATTTCATTACGCTGTACATAGCTGTAATTCATCTTCCAATACGCTTGCAAAATCATTTACAAGCTTCTGAGAACGGTTCTCGCCTTCAAGCAGCATGATTCTCGCGACCCTCAAGATTCACTGGAACGCAATGATGCATGTCAGCTCGTATATTGATCCAAGACACCAGAAAGGTGCCTTCATAAAGGTGGTTACTCCACCCTGCTGTGACCTCACAATAGTTGTGTCGCTGCGGAAGGGTATATATAGCACCTGAGGGTCTGACAGCTGCATTAGCCTACGATATTACTTTCCGCCCCCCGAGATCACCTAATCTCGACCTCAGCCTGGTACAATCAACTCCTACCATTCCTTACCAACTTGCTTTCCTGACGATTGAGAAGTATCGTGTATGTGTTGCACACATGCATGTCACGCGACTACAATCATTACACCAGCATCAACGGTACGTGTCCGAGGAGAACTTCAAGGCGGGACATGGAAAGGCCCTTCCCCCAGAAGTCGGTCGCTTAACCGGTCCAATTATCACTTGGACGCTTATTGAGCGTGTAGCTTTACCATTATTACACCCAGCGGCCCAGGACGCCAACAACATTCTAGCTCTTTTCTAGTGTAATATCTGAGTCCTCCAAGACCCTCTGCCGGACATAATTGCTAAGTTTCACAGCTTTCATTTTCAGATTTCCCGAGCCGTTTTAGACCTCGAATTGTGGAAGGGCCACCAATGATTACGTACGAAATATCTGGAAGGCTCTGAACAAAGATGAAAGTATTCATGAAGACGAAGAGGACAGAGATGCCATCGTACATGAGTAAGGCTTCCCAATGGATGCAGGTCGTGCATGCAGAAGCTTCCAGGCCTCTTCAACGCCGGACGATAATTATAGCCGTAAGTGAGGGTCTGTTCATGCATATGCCTTTGCTCAAGTCCAAACGGCAATATTTCCTATGTTAAACATCGCTTCCGGTACGATTGCAACCTCAGAAAGCCAAGATTCTTCCCATCATTCCACATGCTGTTAACCCTGTTTGTACATCTAATCAGATGCCCACGCCTGCGCGAGAGCTGTACTTTGTCCTCGTATCCTTCTACTCCGCTACTTTACTAAAGCCTTTTACTCCCGTGCCAACAATTCTCCGCTATCTCTCTTTCTCGTTGAACCAGTTCTCCTTGCTTGTGTTTTCCAATTTCCTCTTGCACAGATTATACTCATCATGGCGGTGCTGGCGAGCGCCCTCTGTGCGGTAATGTGTATGTTAGCCAGAGCGATGGGCCAAAACAATCAAGATTCGGACAGTTCGAAGGTACACGTGATCACCGTGGGAAAGGTACGAATGGCACTGCTGAAGATTCTACCTCACTATTGGATGTGCAGCTAATCAATGGAACGCACAGTCGCTCGACGCATTTGTCCCTGACAATATAGAAGCCAGCGTCGGCGATACTATTACTTTTCAATTCTTCCCCGCAAATCATTCTGTCGTCAGGTCAGAGTATCATCAACCATGTATACCATACGAGTACACAGGAGAAAACAAAGAGGGTTTCTTTTCAGGTTTCTTTCCAGTCCAGAAGGTTCTGCAGAATGTGAGCCCGTTTTCACTCCATGTTGTCACCCTCTGAGCTTCAAGAAGCATTCATGCCTTGGAAGAAAGCTGATATTCCTATCAAACATAGCCGCCATCGTGGAACCTCACGATCAATGATACCATGCCGGTCTTTTTTTACTGCTCAGCTCCAGGCTCATGCCAAAACCACACAATGGTCGGCGTCATCAACGCCAATTCTTCTGTCAACTTTCCGGCGCATCAAGCAGATGCTCGCCAGTCTAAGTTCTCCCTCTCACCGGGTGACCCCTTCCCAGCTGAAGGCGAGGTGCCGTCCGGAGACAATGGACCTGTTGGCTCTACCTCGTCAACCACGGCCACCTCATCCCCAGCAACAACATCCACGGTGGCTCCACATTCTACTGGCGGGTCACCGATCTCAACCGGCGCCATTGCTGGCATCGTGATTGCCTGTCTCTTCGTGGTCGCTTTACTCGCGGCCCTTTTCTTCCTTCTGGGCCGACAACGGTCAATGCTTCAATTCTTGATGTCCAGAAATCGGTCCAAAGAGGATCACGAGGACGGCCTGCCCAAGCATGGAAGGCCTGAGATGGGCTTCGCAGCGGGCCATCCAATACCAAATCGTTACCATTACTATGGCATCCAGCCAGATGTGAAGTACAAAGATGGCAGCTTTGCAACGGCCCCTCCACAATATCCGCATCCTGCCCAGGCAGTCTCACCAACGAGCCCGCCAGTGCGGAATCGAAGTCTTTCGATTGCTTTTGGTAGGGACGATGTAAGCAATGCCGGCGCCGGTGGCCCGTGGGAGCTACCGAGTCGTGATAGAGACGAAGAAAAAGACACGGGGGAATCTTATGGAAACGGCAGTGCTAGAGATGGCGCAGGAAGCAGAAGTAGTTGGCGCGAAGTACAGCGAGGGGCTAATCGCATAGCAACTCAACAACAAGAGCGACCAACTATGAGGTCATACTCAAGGCAAGAGAGTCATCCAGCCGTGCACGCCGTTGTGGTTGGGAATAGTAGCCCGGACATCAGTGATCTTGCGCCAAGTCCAAGCTCGAGTCCAAAGCCGCAAAGCCCAGGTCCGTGGCCAGAAAGAAAAGCTAGCTCAAAGACTGCGTGAGTCTCTTCCTTTCCTTGACTAAGACTCATTTCCACTCCTTTTGCTTCTATCCCCAGCCATAACAGCTCTTTCAAAGTGGAGCATTGGTGGAGAAGAGAGATGAAGACCTTAACGTGCTTCTATTCACGCGTCCTGATCTCATATTTGCACAGGCAAAGCAGTTGGTACGAAGAATGATCTAACGTGTTAGTGCGCTGCAGAATGAATCCCATTATCAATGAAATCGATACCCCACCCGAAAGCCCAACGCTTGGAAGAAACAACTCGTGGTCAAGGCAGAGGGGCCGGTGACAGTGGGTACGAATCGGCTGAATTATGATGATACGTAATGTATATAGGACAGATGGCTACGGTATGCGAGACGACTATGGACGAAAAGGCACCTTGACGCCAAGAACTCCATCACCATGAGGTGATCGACCTTGCGAGAGCTGGTACGAGTATAGTTGTACCTTCTTTTGATAGTCCATGTATGATGAATAGGGGGGCTATGCCTTGTTATACTCATGAGGCGAGATAGCATCCGACGATAATCAAGAAGGTCTTTATCAAGCGTTATTGAGCACGCTCGATCTGGACCACACAAACGAGAGGAGAAGAGCCCCTGAAATTTGGGTGGAGGGCTAAGCTTCAGACTATCAACGGCCGGAAGTGACGGTAAAAGCCAGAGATGGGTGATCAGCACACTTTGGGACGAATCACATCACAGCGCTTGCATAACGGCTGTGAACCAAACTTCGAATTGTTCTTTGCGGCCTTCCTTTCCTGGGCTGGCACCTCGCGTGGCCGCATGTTATGGAGGGGGTTGATCAAACGGGCTGTTCCCTCCAACGGAGTACGCCTGGAGCCTTTGTATCTCTGTACCTTCCTCTCCAAACCACAATTCAATCCGGCGCAATTCCCCTGGCCTATGTTGATCCTCGCGTGGCACAAGGATTAAGGACAACGTGGACTAGGGTTCCACCATCTTTGGTGCGAACTCTGAGGTTAACGTCTGCATGCTCTGAGAGATCCGTGGTGCTGGAACGAGCTGGTGTTCCTCTCGCGAGAAGTATCAAGTATCCAAATACAATAATGATTACCGGGACGTATCCCTGGACTGTCCATTCACGGGTCTGTACATGATCAAACAACGACGGGTCATGTTTGTCACACTCTCTGCAGCAGCAATGTCTGCAGCAGTTTCGGCTGTTGGACGCGGATGCGAGTAATCGTAATGATTGTGCAGGGAGTCGGGAGAGCCACTTCTGCGCGCGCGACAGTGGCGCAGAGGAGCGAGAGCATTCTCCAAGAGTTTGAGAACGTCATGCATAGCTCTGTCACCTTCTGTAGATTTAATCAAGGGAAGAGATAATGTGACGAATGGATAGGAGTCTGGAAAAGGGGCGGCGATGATTGGGAGACTCTGGGAAATGGAAATACCGACCACGCCTGTTCCTGCCACTTTTCGGGTCACCTTAGCGTAGCCGATCCCTTTTCAGTCCAAAACCTCTGCAGACACCCTTCTCCCTATCCCCTCCACCACAAACATCCCACCACGCTTGCTCGTGATATATCTATCGTTACGGCTCGGCATCTATTCAACAGCTACGGCGTATTCCTAATCTACGCGACACGCCCGCTTACACGCCGCCTTGCGAACAGTATCACCGGGAAGCCGAAGCGACTCTCGCAACGTATCTATTCGACCTTACACTTTCACCACCCACGCATCATGCGAAACCCGTTAGATCTCGATTATCGCCAAATCCGATAGAACAGACTTGAGGTGCATTAAATGCCGGGAAGGGACGAGGCGGCCATGGCCAGCCCGCCGTCTTCGCCGCCTCCGGTACGGCCAATGAGTGGCATATTTCAGATGAATAGGAGCTCGAGTCGCATGAGCGTCAACAGCAAACAGGGCGGGGGTAGCAGGGCGTCTGATGAAGAAAGCAAGACCTCTGTCAAAGTCGGTACGTGTGGAATGCGCACGTCAAAACAATGAATACAGAGCCTAACCCGGGTAAACGCAGCTGTGAGAGTGCGCCCGCCATTACAACCGTCAGATCCTGCCTTCGAACTGATCCCTCAACGCTACCACCGATCAATGGTTCACACTCAGACAGAAACCGGCCTCACAATTGAATCGCCTCAAGGCCGAAAGTTCTTCATTTTCGACCGAGTATTCGGAGAGAACACGAGACAAGAAGGTGTCTGGGAATACGTCAAAGACAGTGTTGACTCGTTCATACAAGGGTATAACGTCTCGATATTAGCTTACGGGCAATCCGGTTCTGGAAAATCATATACCATGGGTACCTCTGCTGGGGGAGAGCAGTATCATCCTCAACAAATGGGTACGTCATCATGAGCTAGAATCGTAACGTAAATTTCATCGTTCCGAGTGAGAGTGCTGATTCTTTGGCTTGCCAGGCATAATTACCCGCGCTGCTGGTACTCTTTTCCGCAAGCTTCAGGGAGCTCCTGGCCTTATGCGTGGGTCTTCTGGGCTCAGGACGCCGACACGATACTCTATGCATGGGACACAGGGACTAGTAGATGCAGCCAAGCAGCAAGCAGATCGCAATTGGCAGATGAAAGTGACCTATGTCGAAGTAGGCCCAATCCCCCATGAATGGGGATCAGTGTTGACATGCTTAGATCTACAACGAACACCTACGAGACCTCCTTCTACCAGATGATGTTCCGCTTGCTGAACGACCGGCCGTCACCATCCGTGAAGACAACAAAGGCAGGATCCTGCTCCAAGGACTCCGCACAATTACTATCGACTCCGTTGATGACCTCCTCAAAGCATTGAATTTTGGATCTGCGATCAGACAAACCGACTCTACTGCAATTAATGCCAAGTCTTCTCGCTCGCACGCTGTCTTCAGTATCAATCTGATCCAGAAAAAAAACCGCGCACAGCCAGTACAAGTGAACAAGAGATTTTCAACGCCTGTTGAATCACTCACTGGTACGGACGACTGGGTCACAACTGACAGCAAGCTTCATTTCGTCGATCTTGCTGGTAGCGAACGGCTCAAGAACACCGGCGCCTCAGGAGAGCGAGCGAAGGAAGGCATCTCGATCAATGCTGGTCTTGCCAGCCTAGGAAAAGTGATCTCACAACTCTCTTCCCGGCATGCTGGCGCACACATTTCCTACCGTGACTCGAAGCTTACCCGGCTATTGCAAGATTCCTTGGGTGGCAATGCGATCACGTATATGGTTGCTTGTGTAACGCCAGCAGAATTTCATCTCAGTGAAACACTGAATACCGTACAGTATGCGCAGCGAGCCCGAGCGATTCAAAGTAAGCCTCAGCTCCAAGAAGTCTCAGATGATGGCGATAAGCAAGCTGTGATCGAGCGCCTCAAAGCAGAAGTTTCCTTTCTCCGCCAGCAAATCAGGAGCTCGGAGAATGGATCACATCCTGCGCAAGATCGCTCAGAGCGACAGAATGAGCGCGAGGTAGAGCTTCATAATCACTTATTAGATGCCCAGGAGAATTACAATGCCCTGAGTCAGAGACATGCGAAGCTCATATCCGAAATCACGAAAGCAAGAGATAACAGTGAATCTGCAGAAACGCCTACGCTCACGGAAGCGATTGGCGACTCTGCTGTGGAAAGACTCAAGCGCTCAAACTCTTTCGCTGAAGCTGTCGAACAAGTTGTATTGGAATATGAAAAGACTATCCAGAGTCTCGAAACTCAGCTTTCAAGTACAAGGTCGGCCCTCTCTGGGCAGGAAAGTACCCTTTTGGAGAAAGAGAACAGATGTGCTTACGTTGAAACGCTAAATCAACAACTTCAAAGCCGTATTCAGAAGTTAATAGATCGTGAGGCAACGAACGAGCAATACCTACACAACCTTGAATCTAAGCTTGACGGCCATTCGTCGGGTGATGCCAAGAGTACCTCGGTGGTTTCCGAGCTACGCAAAGAAATAGCTCGGATTCGAGAGAATGAAGCTCAATGTGAAGACTATATATCCACGCTTGAGGAGCGCCTCGCTGAAGCCGACCAAGATCTTGAGCTGAAGCAACGTGAGCTCGATAGACTTGAGCATGTGATCGAACGACAACGTAGTATTGGAAAGCTGGACAATCTCCTCTACGAATTTGATCACTTGCCGCAAAATTCCCAGACGACTCACTTCGCTTCGGATAAGCCTCTGACAAACGGAATATCGAAATCTGTGAAACTTGACCATAAACGGAAACTGTCAACTTTAGAGGAAGCTGCAAACACCGCAATACCAGAGTCGGACGAGGAGGCTGAGAAATACCTTCCAAATGGTGTTGGTCATCACCATGACGATGAAGAATTTTCAAGAGACGTGGACACGCCCCGTGCCAAAGCCAGGCCATTGCCGCGAGAAGCAGAACATCGAGAAAGTCCAGCGCAGGCCCGCATAGTAGCGGAAAAACTCGAAAGTGTTACTCAAGAGCTGTTTGACCTTCGCGTAGAACATGAGTCAACCACAAACGAGTACGATATGTTGTCCGCCAAGTATGAGGAGGCTTTGCGAGCATTAGCGGAGATGCAAGACATCGAGGAGATCCGGAGACATCATGGTGATCGCAATTCGACAGTTTCACCACCATCCACTCGGCCTACCTCTTTTTTAGAGGATGCGAGGGTGACAGAATCAAAAGACAGAGGACAAGTGCCATCCTCGCGGTCCTTATCATCGGAATTGTCCTTAGCTGGGGATTCCAGTACTTCGCTGGAGCCATCCGTGGATGAGGGACCTTACAAAGCTAGACATCGTGGTTCGCAGCGCGAGGAAGCTTTATTCTCGGAGCTTGGGCAAATCAAAAGAATACAAGCTGAAAAGGATGATGCTTATGCAGCTCTTAAGAATAACTACAATGAGCTGCAGGAGCTCCACGTCGAGACGTTAGACATTGTTGAAGAGCTCAAGACCGAGATCACGAAGACCAAGCACAATAGCCCACCGACGCCCACCTCGCCGGTCATCCGAAGAAAATCCAGTCAAAATGTCATGACGATCGATCGGGCACATCGCTCGTTGGCGTCGCTGAGGAATATTGCCTCAGACAATTTTGAAAAAGATCCGGATACAATGCAGAATTTCGAGCTTCAGCTCAATACAGTCATGCACGAATTGCATCAGAGGTCAGAACGGGTCCAAGTCCTGGAAGGGGAGATCACAATGTCGAAGAAAGAAATGGAAAACAAGAACTCGATGATCTCAGGCCTTACGCGTGAACGATCAAGTATCAAAACATCGTCACCCGGACTCGATATGAACGCGATGACAATGATGAACGACCAGATTGTGCAGCGAGAGCAGCAAATGAGAGAACTCACAGAAAAGCACACCTTGAAGGAACAAGAGCTTTCGGGCGAACTAGAGACGCTCAAGCAAGCTCTTGAGCGTGCAGAAGCCACAAGGTCTAGCATACCGGGCTTCTTTCCAGAAACACCGGCTACATCAAACGAGGCAAACAAGCAACTCGGAGATGGATTGGCATCGTCTGAGGAGTCCGCGCGGTTGCAGCAGGAGGTTGTAGAATGGCGGAATAAATATCAAGCAGCGATAGACTCGATGCAGGCATCCGAAAGCCGACTTCACTCAACCATGTCCGAGCTCCATGAGTCTCTCCTGACAACCGAGAGGTCGAAGACCGAAGCCGAAGAGAGAGCTCGCGACTTGGAGAGCAGGTCAACGCCAACTGAAGGTGTGAGCGAGGAGCGGAAACGTGACAAAGCAACGATTGAGAGATTGCGAGACGAACTAGATCAACAAAAAACTACGAGCGCGATGCACCAGAGCAAGATCTCGCGACTAGCACAGCTTCAAGAGAGTGCCCGAGCACAAGCAGAGGAAGCCACACGCTTCAGAGAATCGAGTGAGATGGACATCGAAAGTCATCGAACACAGATCTCGGACCTTGAGCGGCAACTAGAAGAGCAGCAAGCTGCCGTAGAATTTCATAAGCACGGTCTCAAGTCACTGCACGATTCACATGCTCACGAGATTGGGGACTTGAATGCAACAATTCAAGATCATAATGGCGCTAGAATTGATATGGAGAGAAACCTAAAAGAAATGGACGATGCGCATCACAGCCATGTGGAGCGCCTTGAAACCGATGTCGCCAACCTTAAGACCCAGATTGATCAGTCACGCGGTGGACTGGCTGACGAACTAGAGCAGGCTAGAGCTACTTGCAACCATCTTGAGCGGCAGCGTGACGAGCTTCAACGACAAGCCCAATCCTTGAAATCTGAAGTAAACGAGGTTAACAGGCAAAACAAGATCAGAGCCGAGGAAATGGAGAAGCTGCGGGCTGAAAAGGAGAGGGCAGCAAATCTTGTAGACGATTTAGAGGAGCAATTATCAAACTCCTACGATCAACAGCAGGCAAGCTCTAGCCGGCTATCGCAGCTCAACAATACACATGACAGCCAGCAGAAGGCAATGAATGAGGCTAATGCCATCGTTGCGGCCATGCAAAAGCAACTAGAGTCCTCACAGAGTCAGGTGGAACAACTCCAGGTGAGCCAACTCAACCTAATTGTTACCACAAAGGCTAATAAAGCGCAGTCACAGCTGCGTGATAACCACCATCGTGACTCTTCTACTGTACGCAAGTCTGGGAGCGTCACATCGCTTCCGTCACCTCCCCCTGCTATTCCCCTTCCACCTTTGCCTGCCGGTGCAGTTGCTTCTCCCACGTCAGGAAGCTTCCCGTCTTCGGTTCAACAAGCGTCCATTCCCCATGCAGATATATCTTCTCTTCAACAAACCTTGTCTGAGAAAGATTCCCACGTCAAGCAAATGGAGAAGCACCTCTTTGCAGAGAAACAATTGACGGCTACGTTAGAAGAAGCGCTTGTCGATCTTGAAAACCAGAACAAGAGAACCAAATCTGACATGGATTCTTACAAGAAGAAATGCTACGCCCTTGAAGACGACCTCAATGCACAACGACGTGAGGGGAAAAGGGTTCGTGACTCGGTGCAAGCAGTCGAAGAAGAAAAAGGAAAGAGGCTGGAGGCCGAAAGGGCGAGGGAGAAGCTAGAAGAGAGAATGAGGGCGCTTGATCAGGGGAGCAAGAAAAAGAAGAAGGGAGGTTTCAATTGTTTCTGACGCTGCAACAATCTTTTCTCTGGCTTATGTTTCTTTTGGAGGCAAAATCTCTGCGATGGCTTACGGGAAATGGCTCTGCGGATATGCGGCATGCAGCGAGGGAGTTTGTTCTTTTCTTTACACACAGCCTTGGCCTTCGACCTTCTTTCGCAAACGGTTTGAGGATTTTTAACAAAGGACGCACGAACGCAATAACGGAACGTTAATATACAGGGGGGGAAATCTGTCGTTCGCTTCTCTCGTTGAAGTGGGCTTATACTCTGTCTGCCTGCCTCTGGTGACGAGAGCCAAGCACGCATTGCATGCAGGGTCGGTGAAATGGGAGGAGGATATATGATCGCATTTTTTGAGGATCTAGAAAGAAAGAAATAGGCCGCGGGACTGTACGCTTGACTTTGGCTTGTTGCGCGAGGATACCCAGGGTTTCGTTTCGGAGGGACGTATGTTTGTACATAGCTGCTATTGAGGCAAAAGAAGTTTTCAACGTATCCACCTGCTGAATCCTAAACAAAAGCTCATCCAACACGAAGGCTGACCACAATATAGTACGTCACGGTGCAGGGTAAAGGGTGACCCGATTCAACACTTGAGTGACAGTCTCTATTACTCGCAACAAATTTGTCTCACGTCAAAATCGATAGCCGCAGAACAATCATGACTGGCTTCATCTTTGGCTTCAGTCCATGCCAAGTTCTAAGCTCGGGGCCTTGTTCCATCAGGCTGCCAGCTGTGTAGGAATGGAACTCCTTCAGCACCCGCTACCAATTCTTTCAAGTCTCGGCTTTGGAAACACAGACTGAGAGACTTTGAAGTGTGGAGATTTCTTTTAAACACCGTATCCTCCCGTCTGGGCTGACTTGTGAGTATGTCTAGATGGATGGCAAATGAACTCAATCAATAACTCGTCTCTAGCCTTACATGCAGTCTCGGAAGGTAACAAGAAGGCTGGAAACGCATGGCTTACAAGTCGATATCTGAACAAGCGTTGGTCTTGTGCTCTGCGGGATGTCTTGCATCAACGTTTCAGCAATATGGCAGTGTTCTAAAGGTCTAACGAAAATAGGTCCCGTGTCGCGTCTACGAACGCTACGAACCGATGTAAGGCTTTCAGCTTTCCAGATTGAACATGTGCTACTGGTTATGTTCAAGACAATAAGTCATCCTCTTGACAGCTAATCTATCTATGGTCTGAAATCCTGAAAACGGTACAGAATTATCCGCGGTACATACTCAGCCTCGTACCTTGATGTGGAAACAGAGTGATGACCAGTACCACCCGTTCTCCAGATCTACTCGCATGTATCAAGCTCAAACAGCACTGAGTTCGAGAACTAAATAAAAAGAATATAAGGAATGCTTTGCGTATTCCCTAAATCCTTTTGCCTTCCTCTCCACGGCAACTTGTTGGGACAGCCTCTTGCTCTTACATTCCTGCTCCACATTAAGCCTCCACAATGAAAGGTCTTCTGTGGCACGGATGGCCACTCACTCTGTTTTTTCTTACTATTACTGCCGACGTTGCCAACTTCCAGGGGGTAGGTATCAAGGGGCCTATTACAGCTCGCGACCCTGCCAGTCGCAACGCGGCATTGAATTCTGCCAGGTTCCCCCCGATAGCTGGCTAGGCTATGGCCTTGATATGAGGAGAACTGGTGGTATTGACATCTTTAATTGGGATTCGGTTCGTACATCGCGTTCAGAGCCTAACAAAAACGACGATCTACGAAAGACAGGGCTAAAAGCGTGTCAATAGATAGAAAACTCTATCTCGAGGTTTGCTCGAGTCGTCAAGTTGAGCGACGAACGCGAAACCCAACAGCTGCGATATCTTACTTGGGATGTGCCTAAAGGTGTCGATATTATACCAGATACTGGCCACGCTGATGGTTCGTCTAAGGCTTGTTCGCGTGTAATTGACGCTTCACAGGATACTGACGTTGCAGCTAGGGGAAAGTGTGACTTGGATAAATGGTATCGAAGCTCGGACAAATCTAGCAGCTGGAGGTTCCGCTTCTGCAAGCTATAAGATTGTATCTGGCGACGCATCTCTAGACGTCGGCCTCGACACAAAATTAGAGCAAGACTTCCAATACTCATTCGCTGCATATACAGCGAAGGAGCTGGGTGCTTCACTTTCCGATTATAAGCAAGACGTTCAAACGGATATGATCAAGAAGGATCTGGCACAGTTTCCCGAGATAGATGGGACTGATAAGGAAAACCTTCGGCGATGGGATGCATTTTTCTCTGCGTATGGATCTCATGTCATCAAGAACACCGATTATGGCTACCGTTTTCAGTTTGTATGACTCCCATAGCGATTCTCGTGAGATATACATCTACTGTGACTGTCTGACAGTTTAAATAGAAAGTTGCCGCGTCTAACACCAATACGGAAGTTGATAAGAGGTTTGCTGCTGACGTGGGAGTCACTTTCAGCGGCCTTCCGGTGGCTGGCAAGGGCGACGTGAAAGCTGCAGGCGAGACGCAGTATAGCACCTTCTTGTCAGAAGAGGTGCTAACTCTCAATCTCCGCGGTGGGGACACGACCGTTGGGAATACGATCACCGCTGATCCTACCAGTAAAGACACCGCTGCGAATTTTGCTAAGTGGGGAGAAGGAGGGGCGGCCTTTCCCGACATTATAGGTCTTGGAATGGTGGAGCTGTGGAAGCTACTCAGGGAAGTCTTCCTGTTCGACGAGGCCAACAAAGTGCAGAATGCATGGAATTACTTCGCCTCTCACCGCGCCGATCATTTTACCAGTAAGTCAGGTTCTTGGAGTCCCACAATTCTTGTAGGGACATCAATTTGAGCCTAAAAACACATCATCGGGAGTCAAGGCTCGACGAATGTCTTTAAAGCTCTGTATCCGGCCTTATGAAGTATCACTGACGCAGCTCTTACTTAGAATGTACCCTCATTGTCAACTCGGACTGGGGAGAATTCGGCTTGCTCACGCCAGGATACGTTCAGGATGTGGTAGGAAATGAAGGCACCACATTCTCCACTAGCAAGATACACTGGCAACTACCAGCAGGGCAAGTAAAGGGACGGGATGTCGGCAATATACAGTAAGTTCCAACTGAAGGCGAGGACTCGCGGTAGCTAATCCCGTATGTCACAGATTCACTATCAAGAATGACGGCTCACCGATCACAATCTACACCAACCGGGGCGATGAAAGCGAAATAGACTTCGAGATCCCAGACCAACAGGTATGCTCCTCCTTTACCCTCCTGCACTCAGAACCTATTTTTTCTATATCCACTCTAAATACCCCGTCTCCACAATAGGTCACACTTGTGAATAAAGGCGATCCTGACAAAACTTTCGCCAATTATAAACAATGGTTTAACATCCCACCCAACAACCAAGGCGTCAATGAAATCGTCATCCCGGTCGAGCAAACCCCAGGCTACGAGCCTCCGATTGCTGCCCAATCGAGTAATTCAAGCGCCATTCCTGGCCGTAGTGGCGCTGCGAATTTGCCGATGAGTAGTGCTGTCAATCCCGCACTTCAAGGTGAGACTGTAGGTCCAAGTTTGACGCCCGCCAATACTGGAAAGAGGTGGACTGCCTAAGCGAAGGCGAAAGGTCCGTATGGATTCTGAAGTCTTCTGAGAACAATTTAGGGAGCATTGAACATGGACATTCTGCTTCCTTGTGCTTTGCCTTGGTGTTGAATTGCTCTTGCTTGCGCTATTGGCTTCGTGTCTCTTCATGCAAGCTCCGCGCGTGAGAATTTGAAGGGCAGGCCAAGTAGTGAATAATATCCAGCTAGAGAAGATCTTCTCCTTAGCTCCACTAAGTCAACCCATATTGACACGTTGAAAGATTAGCGCATATCTTTCATATCATTTCTCACGATCCATTTCCCCATCATTCGAGCCGTCGACACAGCCAGGTAGCTCCCAGAGCTGCAACGCCTCCAGCCCTTAATATCCAACCAGTGCCATCAGCAATGCCAAAGGCCTTCGTGAGCGCGTAGATTGTGCTACAAGCGAGTGCAGCCAGGATTTGAGGGAGTGATATAGCTGTATTGTGGAGTCCCATTATCGCGCCAGTATTACTATTTGTATATGCTGTGCCACCAGTACTATCGAAATTTGGTTCAGCCGTTTGTAAAGCTTGTTGTGCGGCCAGTTCGGTGCTTATGATAGCGAAAGGCGCGAAAAGGGTGAGCGCCCAGGAGAAACCGGCGAAAGCAACGATTGCGACCGCTGCTGCAAGGCGGTTGACGATGAAGGTCATGAACATGAGGATTGCGAAGAAGCCTTGGGAGTATTTCCAGGCCTTTACGATCTTGCTCTGTGTAGTCTTGTGCTGAAGGCTGCGAGATCGAGATCCTTTACGGTTGACTAGACAAGGGAGAATTAGGTTGAACCCGAAAGTGACCAATGCAAAGAGAAAGCTTGCGAAGGTACCGTAGCGGACTGCTTCTTGAGATATCCTGGATTGCTTGCCTGGGACGAAGAGTGCGTCGCTGGCTGCTTGAGGATCAACGGATGCATCTTCGGAGGATAGGACTTTGGCGGCGTAGAATTCCCCAATGTAGGTTGTCGAGTAGTATAGGAATGGAAACCATCCCATCCAGGAGAGAAACTGTACATGGCATACTTTTCGAACGGTACTGGGCATTCCACTGTAAGTTTGGGCCAGGCTCCGAAGTATTGTGAGAAGGCCTTTGGTCTTCTGCCCAGGTCTTGTTGAGGATGATCCAGGCTTTTCTGAAATCGATATGCAGGTGACTCCAACAGTGAAGGATAACAGAACCGACGCGAATAAGCACAATATCTGGAAATGGGACATCAAGTCCACTTTGCTCGTGGGCAAGATGCCGAATCCGAAAAGATACCCTACAATGTTTCCGAGCCCCGTCATCACACTGACATACGTACTTGCCTGAGACTGTTGATGAAGGGGGCAGTTCTCGACGATCAGGGATCGTATCCCTGCCTGCACTGGCTGGATAGCAGTGTTGAGTAAATAGATCCAGAACGTCGCAAAGATGATTACGGGGGTGTTCGCTGATCTACTCTCCGCGCTTTCGGCACTGGATAGGGCTCTTGATTGCACAATTTCTTTGGCACAGGAAAGGAAAGCCATGGAAACGACAATTCCGATTGCACCACCAAGAATGAAAGGACGTCGTCTCCCTAGCCGACTTGAGCTTTGGTCACTCCAGCTACCCACGAGCGGCTGAACGACAGAACCGCACAGAGGGGCGGCGATCCAGACCAATGCAGTGAGAGACTTCGATAGACCCAAGGATACGAGATATGGCTTGAGGCATCGATAAGTACATACTTTTGACACCTGAAACGCTCAATGAAGGACTTACCGAGCCGTTGGACAGAATGACAGACCACACAACCTGCAGACTGTCTCGTCATAAGTATTCGTGCCCGGATCAGCTATTCACGAATCAGGACTTACCCTCCTAGCCCACAAGTCAGACAGATCAGCCTCAAAGGTCCAATTGACTGCTCTGGATGGTCCTCTTGGATCAGAAAGGCCTCAAGCTCGCCGACTGGAATTTCCTCATCCTCCACCGCAACTTCGGCGGCCGTTGCGGCGGACATCTTCTTCTCGTCATGCATTGAGACTGCTGTTGCAAGGCCTCAAATCGACAATACAAGTGCTGAGCCGCAACTTAAACATCACAACAAGGTATACGCATTCAGCGACGACGTGATGCAAGGACAGATGTTGATATGATCATATGGGTCAGGAGTCAGGAGTCAGCGCCTCGTATACCGATCCGGTGAATCTGATCGCTATTACCCGATTGGGTAACACTAGGCGAACAACCGCGAACTTTTGCGCTACAGCTGCAGCTACGGGGATCTAGACCAACTGATCTGCCGTTTGTGCGAATTGGCTTGAATAAGTGAGGATAGTATCATGTCTCATACAAATAATAAATACCGCTCCATCTGCGTGTCCATGGGCCGAAGTTCATTTCAATGTGCTGCATCCTGCATTGCTACTTACACATCATCGGACGTCTCGTCAGTCCCCATGAAGACTTTGTACAGCCTCTTGCTGAGGGCGGGCCCAATGTTTCCGTCCACTTCATTCTTGTCAATGGCTCGCTTCTACCAAATTCATTAGCCTACAGATTTGGAAGCTCGACGAATGGCGGAGGTGGAATGCTTACCGGTAAGCCTTCAAGCACGTATTGACCACCGTCTCGAAAGCCCTGCATCAAAGCAATGACACTTGCATATTTATATGCGATCCCTCGGGCTATTGGTGGTGTGACTCGCACCACTTCCTGCAGCATCTTGTGGAAGGTGTCTTCTTTGTCAGTGCCGCATTTGACTTGATCGTTTTCCATGCAGAAGCCTGTCGCAAGATTCATCTTTTGCTGCCTTGTGAGTCATCAGCCACTTTTTTAATCAACTCCAGATTCAATTAATCTTACTTGTACGGGATCAAGGAGATGTGCTGGGTGAAGTTCATGATCCACTCCGCAGATTCCTTTGCGATAGGCGTGTGGTGAATCAGACATTCATGGAGGACTTGCAAGCGCATCAGAGCATCTTCTATCCTAGATTCGTCCAGGACTTCCGTTTCGGCCTGCTTGCGTTTTCTGCCTTTGGAGCTGGAATCTTCGATCACTATACCAGCTTGCCGATGAACCTGTGCTTGCCACGCACGTTGTTGTGCATTCTTACTTTTCGATATCGTGCTACTTAGACCTTCTATCAAATAGATGGGCATGGAGCCAGGATGTGCGCTTTTCATTTTAGCAACATGTGTCTCAAGGTCATCGTCACCAGCCTCAGTTGCTGCTAGTGATACAAACTCTTTGCCTGTCATGTGGCAAAGGATATGTTTCTCATCCTGAATCACAGTCTGAGCAAGTGGCTGAAAGTACCCAAGTTCATCATTCCATTTCCTCGTGACTTTCCGTCGCCACTTTATAACATTCGGTGTAGCGCCCTGATACAACGCAACATCAGCTCCAACATTCTTGAGCAATTCTCTGACTTGAGTATTTAGCGAAGAGCCATCGAGAGAAGCGGGAAGATCGACGATCATTTGGGGCGTTGTGTCTTTCTTGTCAACCTTCACCCGATTGGCTTCAGCAACATCGGTCTCCCTTTGCTTTTCCTTCGCCTTCTCAAGTTTCTCTAATCGCTTGTGTTCTTTTTCCTTTTCTTTATCCTCTGACCTCTGCGCTTTAACAGACTCTCGCTCACGCGCCCTAGCCTCTTTGAGCGTTGCCTTTTCTTTCTCTCTGGCCTGCCGCTCAGCCTCCGTGAGTTTCAAAGGCTTCGATTTCGGTGCACCTTCTGAATCGACGTTGTTGGATCCAGTCCGCTTTGACTCTACGCCTCTCTTCATCCCGCTATCTTTTGATCGGTGAACGCCGCTCTTTTTGTTTATCCGAGAGCCCATCTGAGCACTATCTCTCGATAAAGAACCAAGAAGTGATGCAGTACGTTTGGATAGCTGAGGCAATCTTTTGGCGGCGTCGAATATGTCGTTGGGCAACTCGTCATCCGAGGCATCACTTCCCGAAGATCTTGTTGCAGATTTCTGAGAAAGGAGAAGACCAGCCCCGCTACCATGTATAGACGAGGTGAATACAATTGGATCATCCTCAGCAATGTCGCCGGTGAATTTTGTGCGGTTTACGATGTCCACACTTGACTTGACTTTGGCAAGAGCGTTGACATGGGGTGCAGTAACTTTGGAGGCGTAAGACACCGCTGTGTGGTCGGTCAATGGACTCAATCTGCGTCTCTTTGCTGGCGCCGCTTCCCATTTGTCGTCAACCTCAATCGTAGTATCGAAGTCGTCTTGAAGAAAAAGCGATTCTTTTGGCGAGTTGGGATACTTAGAATTCGTGACCAGACCTTTATTACCCTGTGCTAAAACGTCAGTCACCGCCTCATCCTCGGAACTGCTGATCTCAATGAGATCCGCAAGAGGCATTGGCATAGCTGAGTCGTACCCAGGAACCTGGGAGAGCGGAGGTTGGTCCTCTGGCGGGAGGACGCGTTCAAAAATTAGTGTGGTGCGCAAGCACGTGTTCTACGGCTGACCACTTTAAGAAGACCTCCAAAACCTCCTGAATATTGAATGAATAGAATGCTTCACACTCATGACCGCTTTGTCCACGATCGTAGCGCTCAAATGTCTCTTTCGATCTTCATACACTTCTGCCTGCTTTTCCTGGTTCCGGTGAACGCCCTCTTTGGCCATGAACAAGCGCCGCTCTCCAGTGATGAGGCAGATTGGGCTACGCTGCACATGGCAGAAGAACACCACATAGCGAACCTCGATCCCGCCTCATTCTTCACTCTACATGATTACGACAGTAACGGTCTCTGGTCAAAAGAAGAAGTGCGCAGGACGTACGGACTAGATGACGAAAGCACGAAGGAGGTGACGAAGGAAAAGAAGGACGAAGTTGTGAAAACCGTGATTGATATTTTTGATAAAGATGGAGATGGCGTCGTGAGTAGGGATGAATGGATGAAGGGATGGCGGGATGAGGGAAAGCGGTTACCGGACTTCGGGGTGAGTAGCGGTCTACTACGACAACACAATGCTTTTGCTAATAGAATTCTGGGTAGACGGGACCTGGGCATCATGGCGATGATGAATACGAATATGAGATACATCATTTTGAGAAATATCACGACGAGAGTAGGTTCTCCCCTGCAAAAGTAACACAGTAGCTAAAGAAACCAGATACCAAGGAGGAAGATCTTACGCATCCTGAAGACATCGAACATTTCAGAAAACATGATGAGATGGACGCGGCCGCTGAGCGGCAGGCCATGCTAGATCGCATGCAGATTGTAGAGCAAAATATACCCCAGAAATTCAGAAGGTACTGAAGCCCTGCTTGATACAGAGTGCTTGCAACGATCATCCAAGACATGCAGTGTAAAACACTAGAATTACTCCATTTTAGCGCTATATTGGCACGATTGCTATGTCGAAAACGCAATGTATAACACCTGGTGCATATGATTTCACGCGCTGAAGGTGCTCGCACACTACCCGGCTATTCACTAGCTTTCTCTGACTTCTTGACTCTGCAACTAGTCCTTCGAAGATAGAGACGATTTGTGCTTTTCGCTTTCCAATGTCATCCTTTGCAACATTCTCGTGAGCGTGAATCCAGCCAATCTGTTTTTTGTCGAGAACTTCGATTGCTGTCTTCCAGCTTGATTGTGAGCTAGGAAGGTAGCCACAATTGACGTGTCTGACAGGCGCAATTCTCTGTCTGATCGAATCAAGTCTTTCTGAAGCGTTTTCATTGCTCTCTTCAAACACTATCATTTTGCTCGACTCTATTGCCGAAAAGTCAATGCTTTCACCATGTCGGAGAGATAGCAAGGGCCAACTATTTGCCCTAAAGCCCCGTCGCAATCCCTCGACACTCCAAGGATTGATTTCCCAACAGAGTACAGTAGAAACACCTGCCTTCACATAACTGAAAGCAAAGTAACCGATCCCAGCGTACAAGTCTACAGCGCTTGTATGTCCGATTGCACACCCTAGTCTTTCTGGTTTTAGTGACTCAAGCTCTGTTACTCGGCTTTTCTCAGAGATGTTGCCACGAGCAAACATCGTGTACCGTGGCGCCCAAGTTTGAATGATACCATTCTGTCGTACCGAACACCAAAATGCCTGTGCAAAGTCGTCCTGGCTTGGGCGTTGAGTGAGCAGTAACAAAGGCCCAAAATCGCCGTAGAGTGGTGTAAATGATACGGGTGATCTTCGAACATTTACCAACACGCAGTTTGACACTGCTGTATTTGAACACTTTCCGGCGTGGGAAATCATCGGTGAAATTTCGCCTCGAAGGCCGATGTGGGTGACTTTAAATGTTTCGCAGAGTAACTCGTATAGTTTCGTGCCACGTTCGGACCGGAGAATGTCCACCAGATTTCTTGGCCAGTCTTTAAAGCAATTGTTGGCTAGTAGCATCAATGGAGGATAGATAGTGTAGGACCGTAGGCTTTTCTCAAGCGTTTGTAAATCCTCGTGCACGCCCTCCTTAGTCCTCAAATTGATCTCTGTCATCAGACCTGAATGAAACCAATCTCTGAGAACTTTGGTAAACGGACTCTCGACTGTTGAGCCATCACGGTAGTGTGGAATAGCGCTCATTTGTTCATGCTCATTGAGTGCATCGTACGTCAACACTCGAACCTCCGTAGCGAATTCCGCTAAACCGCACAAGTCCAACACGTCCAGATCTTCTGGAATGGCACATCCATTCTCTTGCCTTGCTTGTGAGTACTCGAAGCGAAACTTGAAAGAAACGACACGAAATTTGATGTCATCTGATGTGGATATCTTGGGCTTGGTAAACTTTTCACTGTTGCTTTCCAATTGAGTCTTGACGATTTTGACCAAGCCACAAGGCACAAACAATTTCACAGGCCTCATGACACATGGATTTCGTGCCCACCCTGCTCCTTCAGACATTACAGAACGTAATGGCAGATGAAAAGTCGTCCATCCTGATAGCTTGAGAAGTAATCTTTATTTGCGCAAACGTCAAACAATCACGAGATCTGACAGCAAGAGATATCTTCCCATCTCAGAGCTTAAGTAAGGCTCGGGCACAAGCAATGACTCGAATGCCTACCTCCTCAAAGGATCCTGAGCAGTGAAAGGCTTCATAAATGTTGAGGCTGCGGGTTGTTCAGCTGGTTTGCTGGCGGCACACGGCATCAGGGATCGTTTCAAGCTATATACAGACTTACACCAAGATTGAAGTCAGTAATGGAAAGATGGCCGAGTGGTTAAGGCGCTACGTTTAGGCAATCATAAGAAATTGCATGATCTACCGTAGTGGGAAACCGCGTGGGTTCGAATCCCACTCTTTTCAATACGTTTTTGCCGTGCGAATCGTTGTGCTGAGCAAGTCTAAACAGGATCCAGAGTCCAAAATTTTTTAGTATCAGATCCAATTTGTGGCACGTTATAACTGAGATTAAAGGGGCTGAGACTATACACTAGCGCTGAACGGGAAGTGCGTCATCTTCCGCCGCATGAAATTGTTAGCGTCCGTCACTTCCTAATGTGGTTGTGACTCAACAATGGCTTGAGTGGTTGACTCAAAAGAGCACTACAAATAGAGGCTGCAGGCAGCTTTACGATCTTTCTAGTTGGGTTCTTCGCTTGATCAACATGGCCGACCACGCAACAAATGAATACACAAGCTCAACTCGAGCACAAAATGACGAAAACGACCTCTTTGCCGCGATCGGAAAGCAGGTCATGGGTCTTCAGATAGACGATGAAGATACTGATATCGCTGAAGATGATAGAGTCAAGGTCGTAGATGAAATCGAGAGTCTATGCATGAATTGCGAGGAAAACGTACTGACAACCTTGCGAGCGTGAAAGCCTTGCCCTAATGTGCTTTAGGGAATGACCAGATTGCTTCTAACTAAAATACCATTTTTCCGCGAGGTCATCCTCATGAGTTTCTTTTGTGATCATTGCTCTTTTCGAAACAATGAAATTCAACCGGCTGGACAGATCCAGGAGCTGGGTTCCAAATATATATTCAAAGTAACTCATGAGGACGACTTACAACGGCAACTCGTTAAGAGTGACACTGCGACACTGAACATCCGCGAATTGGAACTCGAAATTCCTGCCAAGAACGGCCGGCTAACCACCATCGAGGGTGTACTTACTGAAGTCCTCGTAGGTTTAGAGGCTGGACAGAAAGATCGCAAGAAGGTAGATCCGGCAAACTATGAGAAGATTAGTGCAGTCGTCCAGTCACTAATCAGAATGTCAAATGGCGGTAATCTACCATTTACAATCTCAATCGACGATCCTGCTGGAAATTCTTCAATTGAACCATCACTGCACGATTCGGCTGTAAAAGGCAAGTACGTCAATGAGCGATATTCAAGAAGTCCTGAACAAAACATAGCTCTGGGCTTAGGTGGTGATCAGGAATCTGTTGCGGGTAAGGAGGAACTTGTACCGCAGGTAGGGCCGGATACTGGAGAGGGCCTAGAGGACGTCGATATTCTTGAAGGCCAAGTTTACGACCTCCCCATCCAATGCCCTGGCTGCAACATGGACGCTCATATGCTTCTGCAAATGGTAAATATCCCTCACTTCAAGCAAGTGGTAATTTCTACGACTCGGTGTGAATTTTGCAACTATCGAAGCTCGGATGTCAAAACTGGAGGCGACGTTCCGGAAAAGGGTCAGCGAATCTTCCTTGATGTGAAAGGGCCTGAGGATTTGTCACGAGATATATTGAAATCCGAATCGTGCATTCTCAAAGTTCCAGAATGTCAGCTTGTGGTCGAACCTGGCACGATGGGCGGTCGCTTCACTACCGTGGAAGGATTGATCACTCAAGTCAGAGATGACCTGAAGAGAGACATATACGACACGGATGCCGAAAAGTACGCGCTCGACTCCATGCCAGAAGAGAAGAAGACCACGTGGGAGAACTTCTTTTCACAACTGGACAATGCCATCGAAGGTAAAGTACAATTCACGATACAGATGGAGGATCCACTGGCTGCTAGCTATTGCAAAGAATTTGGCGATCCCGGGAAAGATCCAAATGTCCGTATTGAAGAATATGAAAGGACCGAGGAAGAAAACGATGCCCTGGGTTTGAGTGACATGAGGACCCATTTGAACGAAGAAGGCGAGTACGTCGGAGAGCCTGTAGGTATCAAAGCCAAAGAAAGCGAAGGGGAGTTGCAATCTAGACGCCAAGATCATCAAAAACATGAAGACCAAGAGGAGGAGGAGGAGGAGGAACTCTGACAGAACGAAGCTAAAAAACGCAGCAAGATCGTCTTCGGGAACCGCATAGAGTGGGATAGATTTGATACACAGGTGACTCACGATACCCAGAGGTGTTTTGATGTCTCGATGTTAATGAAAGGAGCCCTTACAAAAGTTTAAATTCAAGTCGGGGCTACAAGCCTGTAATGCTCGACCAAGCTGGCTAGATCACCTGTCGTTTGGCCAAACCTATCCTGCAAGAGGATTTGCATGGATTTTGATGTCCTCAATGTTGACCAACTCTTTCATCCTTCCCTTTTTATCAACTTCCCTTTCCTCTAGCTCAGCAAGCACTCGCATAGACTCATCCCCGAGTATGTGCCCAAACACAGTGTTCTTCCCATCCAAATGCGGTGCCGCCGCATACAGAATGAAGAATTGGCTGCCATTTGTGCTTGGTCCCTTATTTGCCATGCTGACGATACCACGCGCGTTGTGCCGTAGTGAGGGTCGAATTTCATCATCGAAGTTGCTGCCCCAGATGGAGGTGCTAATTTTGGGGCCGCCAGCTGCAGGAGAGCCCATTTGAATCATGAATCCTTTGATTGAACGGTGGAGTTGTGAGCCATCGTAGGCGTTCGAAGCACACAGAGCGAGGAAATTCTACAAGGTCATGAGTAGCTACACAGGAAGAGCGACGAAAGCTGAGGAACCTACCTCAGCAGTTTTTGGGACAGCCTCGCAAAATACCTCAATCTTGATATCACCGATCGTGGTCCGAAGATTTACTGACATGGCTGAGTCGGTACAGCATCATCACCATTTGTTCAATAGCTACACCATAAGGAAGACTGCTTGAGTCTGGAAAGAAGTTATTGGCTCGGACTAATGTTGTAGTGTATTTGCGGCAGCTGCGGCCAAGATGCGACCCAACGGGAGGAACTTGGGACCATCAATATCGTGGCGGCGCAACCTTAAGCCACTCACTCCTCCGCAACGCACCTTCACGCTCCTACGACAGAACAATCTGCATCTCGCTGCGATCCATTGACGTTCATCTGCTGTTGACCAGTGGCCCCGCTTGCGCCTACTAGGCGGGCTGTCAGCTCTATCAAAGTCTGGACTAGGCAGGGGTTGTCTGACTGGAAACGTCGACAAAGAGGCGGTCTCGAACAACATCTGATGAACAAGGAGCAACAGATGGGCAATCAGACCCTATGCTGAAGCTATTGTATAGCTACCAAAATGCTATGGGCGGGTTAGAAAGGTTGATAATCAGCAATGACAGCCTTCGTCCGCGTCTGCGGTCCTCCCAACAGTAATTATTTGGTTGGCTACCCAGGCATATCCGCAACGCTGGTAAGCAAGCGATATGTGCCATGATTTTCAATAAGAGCAATCCAGACTGACTCTACCCTCCGCCAGCCACGTATAGAAGGCAAGGTAGAGATACGTCCACTACAGGGAGTCGATGCTCCTGTCGCCATATCACTCGTCACAATATGTCTCCAGCGACGCGAAACCATCCATCCTTCTGCAGATTCAGTCACCAAAAAGCATTTGGCTGCACCACGAAAAGATATTGTGGATATAGTAGGCAAGGAAATGCTCCTGTTCCGGTGTCCTGCCGGCAAAGAATACGAGAAAGTCTATTCTATGGACCTACCATTTGTCATATTCATCCCCTATGGAAGAGGCGGCGAAGAGCAATCACGGCGCATTCCTCCGGCGAGTCTCCAATTGACGAGTCGAACTGCAGAAACATACTATGAAATGGTGGTCTTGGTTCAGCAAGGGCATTCGGAGCAGAAGAAGTATGCACAACCCGTACCCCTCCAAAGATACGACAATTTGTCCACCTTCGGCATGTTCAATCGCCCTGAATCGGCAGAAACGGTCACGGATCACCTGGTCACACTTGGCATATCCCTTCCTCGGTGGTCGTACGGACCTTCGGACCCAGTAAGCGTATACCTCAAACTGTCGCCCAACCCTGACTGGCTCAACAAAGCCAAGAAAGTCACCATTCAAAAAATTACGATCGGAATAGAGGAAGAAATCACATACAATCATGAAGGAGATGTGCCGCAAACAAAAGTCAGGCAATTGGCAAAGCAGACGCAGACAGTAGGTGTCAAGATGCCAGAATCGGGCTACTTCACGAACCTAGGGTTGGTATTTCCGGCGAAAGACGTCAGGGATAGCGACGGGATTATACCACGGGGAAAGCAGGCTTTTCCCATGTACAGCGTTAGTGGGTTTACAACTGCAGCAAGTCTGTACAAGATTGAGTACTTTTTGACAGTCAAGGTGAAATCTGCCCGATCCTCCATTTGAAACTATGAATGCTAATGTCAGTGGAAGGCGCACATGACTTCAGCCAAAGACATCACACTCCGTCAACGCATCGTTGTTTGCCCCCATGACCACACAGATTGCAAGGCCGAGATGGAGACAATCGAGCTTTCGGCGCGAGATGCTGCGAAATTGAGACCCGACAACCCAATGCTACCGGCTCCGACAATCGTGAGACCCGCGGATTACAATTCGCTGCACTGCTTAGGACTGACCATGGTCGGACATGCGAGAAAACCATTGATCGAGTGAAGGAAATCAAAGACTGATACATCGTTACATTCCGAGCATTAGAAAAGGAGGATGAGGGCTGGCATCGACGTACGCTCATGAGATAGAGACGATGGTCAACGGCCAGACAAACACAGATACAGGAATCATGATACCAGGCGTTCAAGGGGCCAAAATAATGACGAAGTCACGACCGACGGACCTCGTATTTCCAGGATGACATATGGAGGCAAGCTTGATTTTGTGAGGGTCGATATTCCTGGAGCCATTACGGGATCTGGGATAGTTTTCAGCATGTGTGTGCTTGTGAGATGGATACTAGGCGGATGAGCATAGTGGAGGAGCAAACAGTTACGCATTCTTCATCTGACGTTTACATACTTTACTCTAGCTAGCTGCTGTAGGGGAAGCAAATCAAGACCTAGGTTCTGGTGTCTGATGTGCTGCTTTCATGTCCTGCTTGGGATTGTCCTTACTTTGCGAGTGCGGGTTTGTTGAGGCGCTGTCGTCGTCTGGCTCATACATCTTCTCGTTGTCCAACAAAAAGAGCTGCGCTTTCTCCCCACAAGCTTTTACTTGAGCGCTGTTTGACCCGTACGTTTTGTGTGCATTCTCGAGTTCGGCGAGGGCAGCTACAAATTCGGGCTTGAGCTTGGGAGCGAGATTGTGCTGATGATGAGGTTGACCTTCTGCCATCCTGTGCTAAGAATAATGAAATAACCATCAGAGTGATTGAGATGTATCAAAACTTAACGGTAGCCATGCCAAGCCTGTCAATCGTCATGATGAAATGTGATTGGACAATCTGGAAAGCTAGTCGTTAGCGCGGACTTGTGCTTGGAAATCAATTCCACCCGAGGGAACGCAACATTTCTGACCAAGATAAATCTTAATTCAACGACGATTCATGATCTGGCGAATTGTCACCGCTGAACGATGCTCGCTCTGGAATACAGCTCTACATGCAAGCCGCAGGATGCCTAAGAGGCCTCTCTTCTAGAAATCAACCCGCCCCTTTCCCTTCACGAAAGTTGCTAGCCATGGCCCCTGTCCCTCGCTCTCCGCCAATTGCGAATACACCTCCCCATGCGCGTCTCCGTCGATAGCAAACGCGGGAGCTCCATCCGCCTTCCGCTCGTCTGCGTAATAAAACCTGATACTGTCAATTCTCTCTCCCGCTGTGGGTATGACAAGGTTCTGCTTACTTGAAACCCTTTTCCTTGTAGGCTTCGGAAGCCGAGTGTATGAGATGAGCAGTGGCTGATTTACCGATGCCCAAGCTGAGAAGGGGCGCGATTGGCGCTATATTCAGCCTGTTACCTGTGTAGATGAATGTTTTGGATGCGGTGGCGGGTAGCTGAGAGAAATCCGTGACGGCTTCATGGGCGGCTGCTAAGACGCTTGTGGTGTTGATTGACAGAGTGTGCTCGAGATCCTTCACAGAGAGGGCAAGCGGGTCTTTTGGCTCGTTTGCTGTCAATGCAGCGGCTGGACATTCATCAGTGCTGAGATCGAGGGCTTGAATTGAGAGTGGTCTGACCATTATACACCACTACAGATGGGCGGCCAAGAGTTTCCCTGACCTTTTGAAATATGGTGGGAACAGAGTTCGGGTCAGAGAGGTCGCCTTGGACATGAAAGGTGTTTTCGTCTTTCCCTTTTTCGGATCTTGAGGTTGTCGCTATTTTGTAACCTTTGGCTGCGAAGGCTTTGACTACGCCGGCTCCGACATTTGAGCCTGCGCCGAGGACGAGAAGAATGGGGGTTACAGATGCCATCAATATCGTTCTGATGTTCGAGGTCCTATTTTCTTGACAAAGGATAACGAGTAGAAATTTAGTACTGACTTAGAGGTGTGGAGTGAGGAACAGGATGTTCGCAGGTACGAGCATTGAATAAGCCCCATGGCGAACGGTAAATATGTATATCTTGCCCATTCCACCATTCGTGATGTTTGTAAGTTGCTTGTGTAAGCAGATACAATCGGCTTTCCATTAGTGCCGCCTTATGTGATACCGAAAGCTAGTGGCTTTAGGCGTGCTAGCTCCAAAATCAAGAATTCAATCACGAATCAGAGACTCGCCATATCTTTCTTCTTTTCCGTTTGAACATTGCGCGCCGTGCACATCAGTGACATCTGGCCATCAAAGTGAAGACCCTGTGTCATCAACAAGCACACATGATTGCGATTGCTCTCTGGATGACCGTACCAATCATTGAACGAACATCGCAGTGGAACCGCTTTCTAAAAAGCTCGATGAAGAATATCTTAAGTCTCCAGCTCAGTGACTACAGAACAAGATCCGTATACCATCATCATCTTACCCATAACCACGAAGGCTCCGATAGCTACCGGAAGATAGATAATATAGCCAATCACAGAGATTACACTGAACATGAACTTGTATGCATCTTTTGGATCGAGAAAGCGCAAGTTTAGACGTCCTTCAAGTAGAGGCCCAATCGTTACACCGCTCACGAGCCATATCATTATCCAAAGCCGTTGAGCTTGAGTGCTCCGGCCAGGGTCGTAATGCGTCAGTATACCGATGATTATGAATGGAATACCACCGATGATGTGCGCAACAATAGGAGTCACGATGCTTTGCCTCCGAATGCTCCAGCGCTCGCGTCCATTCTTTTCAAAAGGCGGGAATGAAGCGTCTCGGAGCTGGGCTAGAGGTGTTATATACGCAACTTCACGGTATTGTGCACTTAGTCCTCTATAGTTTAACCCTTCTTCATGTACCAGAGGCTTTTCAGGTGTCGATTTGGAACCAACATCATCTGGTACAAACAAGTTAGGAGAGCTCCCACCAGATTGCTGGCGTTCATGATCATCTTGAGATACTCGACCAATAGCTCCATCAATTTGGCCTCCTAACGCAAGGGCTTCATCCGACTCCAAAGATCGTACGATGTAGAGTGTCGGGTAGTCTGGCACTAAGATATTGACGCACAAGTTCACGATCGACATGAATGTGTACGGAATTACCGTCAGACCGAATGCCACATATCCATAGCGCTGAATTTGATCACCACGAGCTCGGTAAAGTGTAATAGAGCCATAGACTGTTTGGACCATTGCAATTATTGCTTTGGGAATGTTGTAGGAAGAGCAAATCGTCACGTCTCTGCTGTTACCACTGACTGCACTAACAACCTTCGCGTTACTCGGTAGCCATGCGAGACTGTAGCCTTTCGGTAGCCGGCAGACACCATGTATCCGGCGGTAGCTACGCGAACCCCGCTCAACGATCCATTTGATCCCACTAAGACTGGTCAATAGGATTTGAGAAACGGAAGAGACAGGCTTACAGGAAGGAATTATGTCTCGGTTTCGGACAATTACTGTCTTCCATGAGGGGCTGAAATTGCCTTACATCATTGGAGAAGACCACTTTGTCGAAAGAGTTTCGGCGTTGAGGATTGTACCGACCATGATTGTTAGTAGTCGTATCAACGTAGGTTTCAGCCTGAGGCTGAAGATACTCGAGGGCTATGTCCTCGGACACGTGACGCTCCGAAGTATTATCGTGGAAGTAGAAGCTGCTTTGAACATACTCATCGGCATGTTGGGCTACACGACGCCTTTCTTGGTCTCGAATGATTGGTCCAATCTCTTTTAGGGTCTTCGCAATAGCCTTTCGTACCAGAGGAGTTTCCTGCCAATCTTGGTCCCTTGCAACAACACAAAAAGCACCAGCACGAGCAGCCTTTATGAGGTTTTTTTCGCTGGGCCAGGATCCTCGCGAGAGAGTCTCAATTGCCCTTAAGACCCCTGAGAAAGGGAACGCGAGAGCAAGCAGAAAATCGCGAATGGTATGATGATAATGCTGCCCGGGTCTAGACTTGACCGTCGCAGCATGCGCAACATAATTGACGGCAAAGAACGTCAGGATTTGGTACCAATGTGTCGGAACGCAGAATAAATCCTCCTTGCCGTGGTTCGAAAATCCTTCCGGTACTGCAATAGTCACATTCCTGTTAGGCAAAGCACCTGCTAAGCTGACGAAGGTAAGTAATGCTATAGCTCCAGGCAATCTCATCATGACGCAGATATACTGTTTGCAGGCCGCAAAGCGCCAGAAGACATCTGCGACGTAGGAAACGAATGGGCGACGGCTTTGTATGAACGTCGCGACGAGGAAATCAAACAGAGAAAAATCACGAACGACGTACGTACTTACCAAAGCCAAATATCGATAGCTAGCATGTTGGCCTGTCCCTTTTCTTAGCTCGTGGCGTGATCTAGAATAAGTCTGAACGATAGGCTAAAGATGGCGGCGGAGCCTTGGTGGCTTTCACCATTTCTACGCTTGGCCGACCAAAACCCTACCATTGGCAGAAAGAGGTTTATTGTGCTCAGTTTCCTTCAAGGTCAGTACCATACAGACATGTGCGATTCAGTAAGACAGCACGCTGCGAGTTAACAGCCATGAGGTACTTCAGGCATCCAAGGCATTCCACTCCATAGGGTTCGCGGGAGCCACTGGGATGTTGACAACCTTAAGAATTAAAATTGATGAGCCGCAGAGCCCTACTTAGTACACTTCATTCAAGATAGGATCTGGCCTATTGCGCAACTGACAGCGGCGCGGAAAGCGATAGGAGACGCCATGCCGTCCATTTAGGAATGAGTCATCCCTCTACCACATTTGAAATCTATAGGATACTGCTATTTCATACAGGCCAACCAAATGCCCGGAGAAAGAAGCGGAGGACGATATCTGTTGCCTTACGCTGTCAGCAGGCACACCGCTCGAGGTGTGATGCAGATTCGACGAAGTAGCCGCACAAGAAATAAATCAGCTCGCCCACCCTCTCCGAATTTCCAGACGGGCTCCTCGTCCTCTGCTGTAAGACGGTAAAGTCGATACCCCTACAAGCTAATACTTTCGGTACGATGCATCTAGACCGAATCACAAGCTCGATACTTTGGCGATGGAAGAGACTAGAGAGATGCCGACAGGGCTGACCTATGAGACCCTTGATTGTCTCTGTCATCCAGCTGATGGTGAGCGGCGCATGTCGATCTTGATCTTTTGCCGCTTTTCGGGTGTTAGTGCAAAGTAACTACAGCCCTATTGATAATTGCGCGGTCTCTGTGCCTCTCTTGCCTCTGCAACCTTGTTGCTTCTTTGCGCTCTGGAAAAGTGATCATGCACTTGACGACACGCCATATCTTTGCAATACAAATTTGAGAAAACCGACTGACAGACGAGAATATATTTTCACCGTATTCGCGAAACTTGAATTCCATTTATTGCCTCTCGTCCTGGATGATCTGATTCTTCAGACTAATCTTCCCTGGAGGTCTATACACGAATCGTTGGTGTCGAACTTTGTCAAGTCACTCTGTGGTGACGTTCTTGCCGTCCTTGCCTGGAGAGATGGTTGTATATGAGCTTGTCTTACTTCTTCTGCCCATTTCTCCGTGGAAGGGAAGCATAATACCCACTGACGATGAAAACTCCTCGAGGAACACCTACAACCTTCAAGAAGCTATCAATGTTGCCGATCACTATGAGTACAGCAATTCAACTACTTTTGCAAATTATATGTTTTATGATGATTGTACACCTAATGGTTCGCACGCTATGGATTGCTCTTCCGTCTGCGAGAAGGACGCCTTTCGAGACATCGAAACGTTGCACAACTGTGCAAGCGTCGCATTTTTGGCTGACAATCTGACCACGTCAGATAGTGATGATGAGCCTAGTTATAAACTCTCCAATCCTGATCAGGTACCAATACTACCGGACGTTGAAAACTTTTCAGATATGCATCTGGCAACCCCCGATCGAAACGCCACCGCCAATGCCACGGCAGCGAAAATATACTCCTGTCTTCGCTCGAAATGCGACCAGAGCCCGAATTGCAAATCTGAGATTGAGTCCGATGAAGAAGGCAGTGACTGGCAGTCGCATGCTACCCCGTGGTCGCAGAGGCTGTTTTCGTATGGTCAAGATCTAGTCTACTATGTCTGTACCAATCTAGGAGACGACATCAAGCTTGACAATGATATTGGGGGTATTGGGGTGAGCGGCCGGCCAAGACCTCGAAGCTTTTCAGACTAACAGACAAAAGGTATACATCTCTTACTGGGTCCATGTTGGTCTTGCTCTCCTCCTCTTCGTGACGTCCTTAACCTTGAAATACATTGCGCCGTCTGTCATTAAGTTAGTGTACAGCCGATCGAAAGATCGGACGAACAGGATCGAAAGCGCTGAATTGACCTTGGCTACAAAATATATTCCTAGCATTGTCGCAGCCGTAGTCGACTTTCACAAAACTCAATGCATCTTTATGGCCGCGATCAACGTGGCAGCTATCAAGATCGTGAAGCGAGGGGGCCTCGAACCCAAAAATCTACAGCAAATTTACCTCAACTATGGATTTCTTAAATTGATTGCTGTCGGTGGTTATCTGCCAGTCACCTTCACCCTTTTCAATCTACATCTTGTGCATGACATTTACTGGTATCCTACGTTCCTCGCTTTTGCATCGATAGTCGTTGCGACTGGCTCGTTGAGCGTGCTGGGTCAATTTTCAATCAACGATCGAGATAAGGCGGCTCTTGACGTTCTATACAACAAAGATGGCACACCTGACTGTGATGGCAAGCAACCTTGGATATACTGCTTCACATCTATTGGCTCTGGCTTTTCTACCTCTGCAAATGATTATACTAACAAGGGCAACATAGATACAATGGTGTGGATGCTGTACAAGTTCAGCGTAGTAGTTTTCGTCCTCATCTTGTGTTACAAAACCTGCCGGTCACTATGGCATAATGAGAACTCAATGCGAGCTCTGCAGCGATGCTGGGAAAAGTTGAGAAGCATGCGAAAGATGCCCGAGACGGTCCGACGTCAATGGTCTTCGCTGCAAGAGCAACGTGAAACGCGGGCAATGGAAGGCCAAGAGCCGCTCTCAATGTTCAGCACGAGGCAGAACACTGGCGCTATGAGCGTTCACCACGACAATATGAAAGACGTGACAAGTCCATGGCCTTATGTGCAAGCCTCGCTCCAGCAAAAAAGGTATCAAATCTTCACTGTTCAGCTCATTAGACTTTTGACTTATTGGACTTTCACGGGGCTCTACGGGTGGTTCTTTGGCTTGTTCATGAAGAATTTGAAATGGTTTGCGGACAACCATATTTACAGCACAGTATGGAACTTTGGCCAGGTAGTAGCCGTCGCTGTATGGGTACCACCCATTTGTGAGCTCATCAATAATTTGCTAGGTAAGTCCGCTCTTTTGGGAGGAGGATCGAAAACATGTTTGACACTGACCGCAATGATTAGACCCAGGCGGCCTCGAAGGTGCTTACGAGCACAAGACTCCGAAACCTTACTTCGTGACCATGAATTCTTCAACTCAGTCGATAGCGGGAAATCGACCAAAGAGATCAGAATGGGCAAATGATGACGTCAATCAAGAGTCAACGTCCTATTCAGGCGCTACCCCTTTACAGCCTTTGAATCGCAGCGCACGACGAACGGAAACCTCTTCAATAGAACAAAGGCCTGTGCACTTACAAGACTTGCCTCAGCCGAGATTCTCGTATGAGCGCGTCCCCTCCTTCGGACCAGATGAGAGATGATTGACGAAGATATTCTAATGGCACCTGCGCAACAAGATCTTTGCGAACTAGCCGGAACTGCACAGCTGATGACATACTCATCTGATGATGATCCACAACTTGCCGCTCCTGCCTGGCACCAGGAAAAAGAAGATATCGACGGGAGAGAATGGAACTCCATTGGCTATGGATAGACGCCCCCGCAAGAGGATCTCGAGCAGTCGGCTAAGTGAATCCAATAATGGAGTCAAGTGGTGGCTACTTTGTTGCAAATAGCTCCTGGAAGTACGGCATTGGCAACAATCAAGATGTACTAGACTGTGGCATAGAGCTCTAGAGCACTAAGAGTTGATCAATGTATAGATGAAAAAGGATCGCAATCCACACATGGAGTCGAGTGCCAGAAGCGTCCCTTATGACTCTGCTTTATGACTCCGTGCAGCATTTTCGATGTTGCTCACATTTTCTTATCATTGCATCAAAGATTGGCATCCTATACTGAGCACATAAAAGTACCAAGTGATACTCAATGCATCAAAGAGCACCGCATCCCGAAATTTTTTGGTCTACAAGTACATAATGAAAGATGGAGAGCTTTTGCACAGCGCGCTAAACCCTAATGCCGGGCACCGAATGTGCACAGTATGCCGCTCGCCTCACCTCATCGCGTCTCCCCTTCCCCTTCCCCTTCTCACCAACACCATCACAATATGTCATCACGGAACGCTCCCTCCTCTCCCAAGGCCCTTTCCGCGGGCTCATCTTCCTTCTACACCCAACGCGCTGCCCTCATAAATGACATTTCCCTTGCCATGGAACATGTCCTGCAAAACATCAACAAATTGAATCGGAGTCTCGAGGGCGTGATCACGGTGGGCAACGAGTTTGGTGCCGTGGAGGCCTTGTGGTCGCAATTTGAGGGAGTGATGGCGAAAGATGAGACTGCGGAAGCGGAGAAGGAGGAGGGAAGTGAAGGGGAAGAGGAGGAAAGGGGGGAGGATAGTGGCGAGGAAGGAGGAGGGGCGGATGGTGGTGAGGTGAGGCAGGCGAAGACGGGGAGGAATAGATCGGGCTCTCGTGGAAGATGATGAGAATTCAGGTGGGGAAAATGGTTAGGCGATGGACCTGAGAGTTGTCATTGCAATGAAAGCCGTAAAGACGAAGCCGATATGTCTGTGAAAGCCAATGCAGGAGAATTGTGGTATATGCAAGTTGGTCAGTGACCTTTGTATGTTCATTACCGGTGCTCGTGACGCATGAGTCTAAGTATGTGGCTTCCCTATCAGCATAACATTGAAAGCCAAAACGCTAATCAGAGAATAAAGCAGAACTCTGGCTATGCAACCATTTCCCACACCATCAACGCAACCTCTCGCTCAACGAACATCATAGTATTGGGCATCCTCTCTTTTTGATCTTCCTCCCTCGTCCGCCAGTATCACCGCCACTAGCAGCCCATCGTTCTCGCTCCTCCTTCATCTTGACCTCCCTCCCGACTGCCATTTCTATCGCAAGCTCAAAGACCTCATGGACGCCGTTCATCTCCCTGCTTGAGCATTCGACGTACGTCGCGCCCATCTGCTTAGCCACGCCCTGGCCTTGCTCTGGCGTGACTGGTGTCAAACCCTGGGTCTTGAGAAGCTCTATGCAACGTTTTTGTTGGCGGAGATCGGACTTGAGACCAACGAGAATCAATGGGGTGGTGGGGCAGAAGTGGAGGACCTCTGGGAACCACTAGTGGGTCATGTCAGAATATGCATAGTCGAGCATCGAATAACGAGGAAAAATGAGGGAAAGGAAACAATTACCTTGTCCATCACATTCTCAAGTGAGTTTGGGCAATCAATGGCAAAGCAGACGAACAGGAGATCTGTCTCTGGGTATGAGAGAGGACGGAGTCGGTCATACTCTTCCTGGCCTGCAGTGTCCCAAAGAGCAAGTTCGACTGTCTTTCCCGTTGACTTCTGATCGGTATTGGTGATGTAGTTCTCGAAGACGGTAGGTACATATTTCTGATTGTATCGTCAGCTGCAATCCTTTTTATTGAGAATATTGATTACCAACCTCTGGGAAGTAGCCCTGGCTATAGCTGATCAACAGACATGTCTTGCCACATCCGCCATCTCCTACGACCACGAATTTCTTCGAGTACTGGGGAGGTTGTGTGATGTTGGTTCCAGAGGTGTTCGCGCTGCCACTCGCTATGGTCCCATCGCTATAACGTGTGCTTTGTGTTCTTGCGATTGGTTTGCGACGCGGTGAGATTGAGCCAGATTGAGAGTGAATGGTTCCTGTCCTGCGAGAGCCACGGCGTAGGAAGTCATAATTGTCATAATTCGTTGTGGGAGTAGACATTGTAGGGAAAGGGCAACGTGAGCCGGCGAGAGCGACCCCTCAAGCTGCTGTGATGTACGAAAAGTATACTGCTGATGGAATGTCTCGGATGAGATACTCTGTGGAAAGCAGGGTTGAATTATGGTATGCTTGCAAAATTCATGAAGACTGCATGGTGGAGCTGCTCTTGGCGTTTGTTGATTTGGATCCATGGTCGACCAAGCGACCGGCCAAATTCTTATTTCCGTAATCTCCGATCTTGTAATTTGGATTTTGACTCGCGATGCTCATTAGATTGCATCATGTCATGAAACGAAATGAGAGCGCGTTAGTAGTCACAGTCCTGATGGCGTGACGAACGGGCGTATTCTTGTCGGAATGGCTCATCCTGAAAAGCTCTTGGAGCCCCTCCCTTCACTTCCATTCGTCGCAGGCGTCGAGAAACAAGACGCTGGATTGAGGAGTCTGGATCATTGTGAGCTTTTGCAATCTATGTTTCGGGGTCTCTCGCTCATAACCGAATAGACAGAACCAAGCTACCAACATGGCGATACATCCCTCGTCAGAGACTGATCCCTCTGATCCGATGGGAAACACCCTATCTCGCCCGAATTCAGAACAGCGTACGCTCTCCCGCCTTAGACACATACTTCTCGATTACAGCCAATCTTGGAACACATACGTTCTTCATGATCTTCTTGCCCCTCCTCTTCTGGTGCGGATATACAAGCGTAGCAAGGGCCATGGTCCAGGTGCTTGCCTCAGGGGTGTTTGTTAGCGGATTTGTCAAGGATATGTGGTGCCTCCCCAGGCCTCTGTCGCCCCCGCTTCACAGGATCACTATGTCTCATTCAGTAGCTCTCGAGTACGGCTTCCCGTCAACGCACTCGACTAATGCTGTCTCCGTGGCTGTCTACGCGCTCTTTGTACTGTCCTCGTTCGACACAACGTCACAACCATACTTGAAACCTACACTACAGGTAATATTTTGCTGCTACGCAACATCAATAATTCTTGGACGGCTCTATTGTGGTATGCACGGCTTTCTGGATGTTGTCGTTGGTGGTGTGCTTGGGGCTGGTCTGTCGGCACTGCAATTTCGCTTTGGTGAAGCGTTTGACTTTCTCTTATACACTGGCTCCTTTACCTCGCTGATCAATCTTGTACTGTTGATACTTCTCCTTGTCCGAATTCATCCAGAGCCGGCCGATGACTGCCCATGTTTTGACGACAGCGTGGCTTTTGCAGGCGTCGTCATCGGTGTGTTTTGTGGAAGCTGGCATTTTGCACGGAACGAGCTCGCTTGGCAGACGCAAGGTCCCGCGACCGTACCATTTGAGCTTGAAAATCTTGGATGGCCCAAGGTGATCGCGCGTGTTATATTTGGCATACTAATGGTCTTTGCTTGGAGAGAAACCATGAAACCCACACTACACTTGGTCTTGCCGCCACTATTCCGAATGATAGAGAAATTAGGCCTCAATCATGCTAGAAGATTTTTCGTGCAAGCTTCGTATGGCCAACGTCACCGGTAGAAAATGGCCGAGACTGACATGCTGAATAGAGAATATACAACGGTACCGGAACAGCTCAAGACGGACGAAGTATTACCTGCAGTATCTGAAATTCCCTCTTTGCTCACGTTGTTGCGGCACCCCAGAAGAAGTCGATCCGTGTCAATAGGTCCACAGTCCCAGGCGGATGCGTACGAAGCTTTAGCTTCTCGAGAGAAGCAAAGAAGGGCAAGTAAACGCGAGCAGAAAGCGCAGGACAGAGGCGAAAAGTCGGAATACTTTAGCCTTCCGGCGTCGAACAGCACTGCAAGACGCCTGACGCCGGTCATGCTGCCGACTCCTGCTTCGTCGAGTTCGAATTTGTACGAGTCAATGTTAAGCGCAGAGTCAGCACTATACACACCATCAGAGCATGGATCGAACAGCGCCGTTCCTAGTCGGCAACCAAGCCAAGAACGACGACGTCATGAGAAGGAAGATAGAGAGATGTTCTCAAAGCTTGAGAAGCCTCGTGTCCGCTATGATGTCGAAGTGGTGACGAAACTGATTGTCTACGCTGGTATAACATTCAATATTCTTGTATATGGGGGTAAATGCTAACACTGTATCAGGGATTGCGTGGATAGCAGTGGAAGGAGGCCCCATTATATTCGAAATGATTGGACTGGGTGTCAGCGACTATCATGGGTGAATGACATCATGCAATACATCCTTGATCAAGTTTAAATTACTGAGCCTAACTTGATAACGTTTTGACGGCCCTTATATTGCGACATTGCTGACGTTTGATCACAATCATGCTGCTGCGGTAGCGTCCGGAAAATTGCACTATGTTCAAAAGAGCAAACCAAACCTTCGCTCCGGGTTCAAAGCTAGACATTCTGCCCGCGAGGGGAAAAGCGTCAATAAGTATTGCCATCATTGCGTGGTGATGGTGACAAGATTACCTATCTAGGACGCTGGCAAATAGTCTCTGATATGAGGCTAAAGACGGCCCGCGCGGTCAAATATTGTTCACGTTCTGGTGGCGAAAAGGAGCAGAATGAAGTGACAGTCGGGGTTTGGGGCACAGCAGATGTTGCTTACGAGCCTTGCGACTTGCTGGTCCTCCCAATGAGCTGAAGGCGGGCAAGTGCTCGTTCGATATTGCTAGGGTGACGTGTCAAATGCTCAGCAAAATGAGAAGCACTCAAGAGACAGGGCAGCTGCTAATCAGAGTTATTTATGAGGTCGAACGAACGACAGCAGCGAGTGTGACTGTGGGACATACCATATCTTGATTTAAGTAAAAAGAGCGTTCCTGCCCTAAAGTGAGATGAGGCCAGGACAGAGCTCCACTTTGAGGAGATCAAAGGCCGGCAGGATAGCCTTTTTTAACATATTTCTGATTGACGCCAGGTCATGATCTGCATCTATCAATCACTCTGTGTTTCTGGATGTATCTACAATTCTCTGTGACAATGCAGGCAATCCTCAACTGCAGGCATCGCTATCAGATTTAGCTACTTGGTATGATCGTCACGGATCCTGTTTTTTAGACCTTTGGTTGCGTGCAGGAATACTACTGTCAATTTATGTAGTCGGTTCAGGAGTACACTTTAGTCCTTGGAGAAGACTAGCTTAGCTCGACTGAAGAGGCTAGATGCAGGCGAAGCAAGCAGAAAGCTTACGTTACTAGAATCCGGTCTTGATCACATATCATTACCTGATCAATTTGCTTCATTTAGTAGTAGCCATTGGAACCGTGCTGCCAAGGGCATACGTCTCTCCCAGCGTCCATCGCGCTCATGGCAGCCAGAGACTCCTATTGATCCGGGCATCGAAATATGTAGCGTCTATAAAAGCGAGACGTTGCTACTGCCATCTGATGCATCAAGACAAACTTTTGCGTACAAGGCCTTCACCCAGCTGTCATCCGGCGGCTACCGGGCGGCAGTGCCGACCCCTAAATTCAGCCTTTCCGGGGCTGAGTGCCCGGAGTAATGAAATTCACTTCTTCAGCTGATGTCGACTCTCTATACGGCTTACTGCAGCATCGATGCACGTTTGCGCGTACTTCAGTATAGATTTACTCATAAGGGAGGATTAAGCGACCTTGACTGTGCCAAGTCTTGCTGAGGGTCTCTTTTTACACGCAGAAACGGTGATGAATTCTGGAAGGTGCAATGCCAGCGATAGACAAGCCTAAGGCAGAAGAGCTGCTCGCGCAGCTTCAGCAACATCAAGCGAATCAAGCCCAATGTCTTAGAAACTTACTAGGCCTACCATCAGAGAATGCGGCCGAAGAAAAGCGCGAGGCCGCCGGAAAAGTAATGGGTGCGTATTCATATATCACTTATGTCATAAATCTCGTCCATTTCTACACCTGCATTTGGCTAATGATCATCATTTCCCATCAAAGGGGGCGAAAAATCCCCAGGAATGAGCTCAGAGACTGCAGGGACTGTTCCTAAGATTTCCCGCGACGAAAAGACCGAGATGCCTGCCGACTGGGCCTTGCCTTGGAGCAACGCTCTTTTGCGAAAACGTATCGATGAGAGGAGAGACGAGCCAGGCTGCGCAGGTGGTTTGCGAAGATGTAACTTGTACCTCCAGACGACTTAGGAGCTGTATCTCATCGTCTGCATCTAGATCTTTCAGACGTTGATGCCGCCGATCCTGCGGTGAGGTTCATCACAGCAAATGCGCTCACGGATCTGACACGCTTCACATTCGAAAGGGACTTTCAGTTCCTTCAAGACCCTAGCGACTTTGATCAAGCATTTTCAGTGACAGATTTTGACGAGAAACGACAAATTACCTTAGACACTAGGACCAATCTTAAATTGATGAAAGACAAAGAAAATGAACTTCAGCGTGTTCTATTCAGTCAGGTATCCTCTCTTAATGTCTCCGAACTGTCGTATCTCTCACTAGACTAAAATCTTTCGTTTCCATAGAGAACACTCGAGAAATCTGTGAAGAGACGTATGTATGTTTGACGTTCCTAAAACTTGGTGTGATCTAGAAGCACTGCTTATTATGACGAGTATCATCAATGCCTTCACACCTAGTGCTCTGAGTACTGTCTTACTTTGTGCCTCAAAGGACAGAGATCATGACTTTACAACCGTATACGCTGCGCTTCGAAGACATTTAAGCACGAACCATGTCGATAGGCATTACAACGAGGGCCACGGCTTTGAGCGGGGCAAGCATGTCAGTGGAATGACAATGAAGAGCCAAGTAAGGTACTTTGCTAACGCTATGCCTAATGAAGATTGTTGCTTTCACGATTCCGTACTTCACTTTAACGGACCATATTCCAGCCGAGGACTGTGCTCCGTTGTCTCACAGTGGTATCTTTGGCATTGGTGCGACTGGCACAAAACACATTCGAGAAGAGAAATTTAGTATGACATGGGTCGGTGGTATGTCGGTCGATGAGCCTTCTTTAATGATAGTTTTGAGTCCCTTGGACCCGAACGATGACGTTCAGGGACGGAGAATGCCTGTAGTGAGCTGGATTCGCAACAATATTTTTATGATCGCACACATGTGGGGAGAAGTCTTGGACTCGCTCGACGAACAAACGACGCTTCCAGTAGGCTCAGCCGAGATCTGAATGTTTCCTTACTGCTCCTGTATGCTGAACAGTCTCTAGAGCTCCGTGACCTTCGATGACAAATTAAGACAAGGCATCCTTTTCGAGGATCGGAATTTTACAAACTCCAAGACGTACTTTTGGGCCCTGCAATCTCTCCGCCTGTTCGCAGAACATATAGATGGAACTCTACGCTCTCTACCGAACATTTTTATCTCAACGAACCTTGCAGACGACAGACTTTCAGATTATGATGAGGTGAGAAAAGATATTGACCACTATAAAGAAAAATTTACCGAATTACGAGATCGCATCGAGCGCAAAAGGCAAGAAATACAAAGCCTGAGCGACAGTGTAAGTCATTGTAACAATTTTGGTAACCCCTATCATAGCGCAATTTGACATGAACTTCCTAGCTTTTCTCTGCTTCATCAGTGGCGGAAGGTCGACTTGCTGCGGAGCAAAACGGCAATATTCGCCTATTGACGTTGGTGACAATCTTTTACCTTCCACTGACGCTCGCTACCGTACGTTTTATTTAGCTTCGACGGATGAACATCTGCTGACGGTAGCCAGTCTATCTACGGCATGAACGCTCTGCCGAAGAAGGCAGGCCTGGTATCCTTTTTCATTGTAACGATCATCATAGCATCTACTACGTATGTCATGGTGTTCAATCTCCGCCATATAAAGGACGTCGCAAACAAAGGACGCCTTAGTATGCACAGAAAGCTACGCCATTGGCAAAAGGGCGATTTGAAGCCTAGGAGAACGGACTCTGGGTGGAGCAAATCGGCTGCATGAATAGATGCTTTGTTGTCTTTTCAAATCTACGGCATTGCGAGCACCGAGAGATGATCCGATAGTTTCTTAGAGCAAGAGTATCCCATAGTCTGGTGGAAATGGTGTCCAGGTTTCAGGATACTTGATCCTCCAGCCTTACTAGGCATAAGAATATAAATTCAAACACCACACAAGACTATTGGAAAGAGATATCACAAGCAGGTCCTGTGGAGAGGAAGGGGGAAAGTGGCGAGAACGTGGCTTAGATAGGTTGACTGCTCTAACATTGTTGTAGCTTTTGCTGAAAGGTTACGAACGATTGCTTTGTCCCTGTACATTACAATGATGTTGATCTAAGATTATAGAAAAAATGATTGACGTCCCAACATCTATCAAGAAGTGAATGATGTGGATGTACATTTGATTAGCTATTAGAGAAAGAAAACTAGACCAAGAGTTGACGGCGAGCCGTCTTCATAAATGTTTGTGAACCCATCCAGTCGTTAAATTCATTACACACTCAGCTCCACAGATCCATTGTGGCGTTCATATCATTTACATTAATATAATTGGTTTTCACGACGTGGTCTTTTTCTTCTTAGACCGGGGCCTCAATATGTTGACAAGTTTTCTGAGCCCTTTCCTTTGTTTTCCACCTGTAGGTTTAGTCTTGTGCGGAGATGGAGCTTTATTCGGAAGTGTCGGTTGATGGTCTTTCACGACCAGCTGGGGGTGCGAGTTTCCTTTGGATCTACTGTTGTTCCTTGGTTCGAAGGGAGCTTTAGGGCTGATAGCCTCTTTCAGCAGCTCTGTCATGACATCTCTATGACCTGCCGCGGCTGCTAAGTTGAGCGCGATTCTCCCTTGGAATTGAGTATCGACCATTGCACCTTTTTGTATCAGTATTCGTACGACATTGAGATTCCCATTCCACGCTGCAGCTCCAAGTGCGGTGCCAAAGACCCCTGTCACTTTTGCAGGCTTTGCATCAGCTTCTAGAAGAATTCTGACCATGTCTTCCTCGCCAGCTATCGATGCCTCATGAAGTGCTGTTCCGTACCAGTGATCAGTGACGTTCGGATCGGCGCCAGCATCAAGTAATGCCTGCACTAATTCCCTGTGGCCCATACTCAAGGCAATTTGAAGTGGAGAGCCTCCAAAATCTCCGCAGGCGCTTGCATCAGCGCCACGCGCGAGTAAGACTTTCACAACGTGCATGTGCCCGTTGTATGATGCGGCGCGAAGCGGTGTCTCAAAGATTCCACCTTGCACATTGCAATTGACTCCCGAGTCCAACAACATCTCTACCATCACCACATTTCCCACAAAACATGCAGCGTGCAAGGCAGTTCCACAGATACCACCAACAGCAGTCTTTCTCGAGCTTAGGTCGAACATCTGCCTAAATTGTACAAGGTCATTGTTCATCGCTGCAATGCGTAATTTGTAGTCAGGGCTATGTACTGTGTTAGTATTCTCCACCGAGAAAGCACTGCCATCAAAAAGCTGGAGCTCTCCTTGGTTCTTCCGAAAGGGTTTCCTGAAGAAATTGTCTAATCTGCGAGCTGGCTCCTCCGTAGCAATCTCGCAAGAAGAATCTTGGTGTAAGTCTTGCTTAGCTTCACGCACATGTCTGAGCGCTTCCTTCGTCCAAATCTCATCTGGATGATCATCATTGCCATAGATTGTTTCTTGTTGATCTATGACCCGTTGAAGCATGATTTCGGAGTCACGCAAGCGCATTTCCAAAGCGTAGGTTGCCGCAAGACCACATTTCGTGGAAACAGTATCAGGATGAGCAGGACCAAGGTGCAGGTCCTGCGCCTTTAGCGTACGCTCAAACATTTCAATAGCACTATCGAATTGTCCCAGAAATCTTGAAGTGTTGGCAAGGCGCGTGGCCGCTTTCATAGATTGTGGGTGATCTGCTCCATAAGCTTTTGCGAAGCCGTCGAGAGCACGACGTGCAACTTCTTCTGCGAAGTGATGTTGACCCTTTTCAATGAGAATTTGTGAAAATTCCGAAATCAATTCCAGCGTGAAAGGATCGTCTAGACCGTTTCGCATGACAGAGATACTCAAAGCCTTTCTCGTCAAGAACAAGGATAGGTCATAATAGCCGAGTTTCTTCAAAATGGCGGCAAGGATAGTGACCAGGCGAACATGCAATGCATCTTGATATGGGCTACATGCCTCGCTCTCCAACGTGTCACGAATCTTGTTGTAGGCCTTCTCAAAATTCCCTTGATCTCTGAGGATTAAAGCCAGGTCACCAGCAGTCTGCAACGTCAGGATTGAAGTCGGTCCCGTAAATTGAACCTTCAGGTCTAGGACCCGCCTACATTGATCTTCAGCCTGCGCATAAAGTCCTCGACCTCGTAGAATGCAGGAAACTCTTCCTTCACAGAATAATTGAACCTCATCTCCAGGTCTCTGAATCTGTTTTCTCTTTTCGATGACCTGTTCGTATGCCTCTTCAGCACGCACCGGATGTCCTTCGTCTTCGAGCGCTAAAGCTAGCCTGGTAATTCTTCCTACAACATCCTTTCTATCAAAGGCTTTAAGAACAATCTCTCGACTGTCTTGACTTTCTGAACGCTTTATTCCCGGGACTTCTGGATAATCATTGGACGTGCCAGACATCTCCCTCAACTTCGCACAAATAGATTGATAGTGAGAATCCCATGGACCATCAACTTTGGAGAGACCGAGATGATCTAGAGGAAGGGGTGAGCTTTGATTAATATCGATCACTGCTGATTCCTGGGGTACAATCTGTGACACAGTCAGAAATGAACAGGCGAGATTAGCCCGAGTCTTCAGCTTAACATACTGTTCCCATGCGATACATTGGCAATCTCTCGTAAAACGACCAAACGGAGAGTTCTTTTGCCGCTGGTGTTTTCGCCCAAGACGCAAAATGGCTGCTTATTTGACCAAATTGGCTGAGCTTCACAGTGTCGAGTTCTTGAGTGGCTTTCGTCAGCTTCGCAATGGCATTTCCGAATTTCGTCCATTCGGATTCATGCTTGAAGAAGGGACATCCCAGTAGAATCAAACCTCTAGTCCACTTTAATGTTCGGGATTTCTCGAGCTTTGCCTCGCTCAAAAGTGCATCCTGGACGATCAACCCCCGGCACTATGCGCTATGAAAATCACGGGGTTGCAAGTCTGTAAGGAGCATCAGCCACGGATCACACAAAGTCTGGATACACATACGGCATCGTTTCCGAGCAGTAGATTGAGGGCATTGCGCAATTGTGTGGCAAGAGATCCTACATGAGCGCCTTTACTGTTCATGACATCGTAGCCATAAACGTAGATTCGAGCGCGGGAAAAGTCCCTGGGTAGAATATCTTGGGGCCATGGTCTGTCATGGCGTCGCGTAGCCCAAGTGGACTCTGGACTCCCACCGAGACCATGCACAAATACTATGCTAGTCGGGCGATCAGCTCATGGTGCTGTCGATGGAGTGGTATTCTTCACTTGGTCTCGGCCTGGTCTTGCAAAGGTCCTGCAAGAAGTCGAAGGGATCCCTTCTGGCTCTCCATAAGCGGAATTGCGTGTGCAAAGGTTGGGGCCACGAACACGATAAGTTGGAAGAGGCGGCATGGCACCACAGCAGGAATGCGGGACGCGTTCTTAAGACTGAGGAAAGGAGGAGGGCAGCCAAGGCTATCGGCTGATCATATTGGATCAGGCTACTGGTCTGGATCCCATCTTGCAGAGTGAAGTTCCCGAGACGACTGAAACAAGGCCAATCACGATGGCTAAGGATGACTGGTGGATACGTTACGCTGACAACGGTGCATGATTACCGCGAATGACGCAAAATAGTCTTGATGGCAAGGCAGACTGGCGTTTCGAATATCCAGGACGGTGGCAAGGATCGCACCTAGAAGGCTATAACCACCTCACCTTTCGCTCTGTGCTGCTGGGCACAACCTTAAGCAACGTTCTCGACAGTCAGTATTTCGGTAGCCTTTGAACTGAACACGTCTTGTTGGAGTCATTCATTGCGGTGGCGACGCCTGAATCACTGGCCACCTGGAATCTGCCTGGGGAGGCGCACGCTCATACTTCAGACAAGGCTGAGGCCGACGGTGCCTTCAGGAGCCCTAATCTTAAATTGGACGAAAGCAGATGAACCACTAAGCTGTATATAGTAGGCGTATACTGATCCTGGTGATCAGGGGCCAAAAAAGGGAAGCGCACTCGCCTATAGCTGCGCCATGTACACTCTTGTACATATTTTCGTCAATCCCTCCAGTCGTCGGCCGCACGGGCGCAGGAGATTTGCGCCTTTCGTAGATCATTGGATGTGGTCCATCGTGAGGGTGCGACAGCCACAGCGGAAGATTACAAGTAGCTACTTCCGCCCCCGTTCCCCCTCTCCCCCCTCTCAATGGAATAAGGCTGAGCTGCTCCTCGCGGGGACCCTAAGATCTTACAGCGAGAGCGCGCCCATATCAATGACCATTTATAATCCGATGGCGCAAGGCGGCTTCTCCCTTTCAAAATGTGAAAGGAGCTTCTTTCTTCGTCGCCCTTTCTTTCGTGCCGAATGGAACATCTGGGTAAGGATGTTATCAATCCCAATTTGGGCATACACCGAGTCCGATTGTATGCTGATTACCCAATGCCAACGAACACCAGCTTTCATGACTTTCACAAAGGCGACAACGGCTATACCCTTGGAGAGGACAACGCTCGCCCTCAGCGGACCGCGATAGCTCCTGTCGGAAACCCCACAACTCGAACGCAATTTACTAAATTTGTCCAACGCTGGCTATATTTTGAAGTCTTAAGAGCCGTTTTAGGACATCTCCACCAATTCGATCTGCTTCATTTCATCCGTCGAGACACTGAGCAGAATTCGTATATAACTACCGAAAGGCTGCCCCGATACCTGGAGGATTGGCTGGACTTTGAGTCGTCAAATCCGGCTGAGTCTGTGGCACGTCTTTTACAAGCTCAATTGGTGCTCGACAGGGCGCGGCGTTATGTCTTCGAGTATTGCTCTGTGTCTGACGTGCACAGTCGACCTATCTGGCCGATAGACGACCACGTGGCGCTTTCCATTATGATCCTCGGCGAGACTCTGACCAGCGCATTGATCAAGATTCGGCGACAAAAGCACATGAATATTCATGGGTGGTCTGACAATGATTATAGTAGCCAAGGTTGGGGCTACAGCCGGTTGGTTCTGCAAAAAATGAGGGCGGAGCGCTGGTGCTTGAAGACCATCACGATGTTGCAAGGTGTACTGAGGAACAATACTATCGGGCTTTTGTACGCATTGCAGATACCTCCACAAGAGAAAGCTGAAATATCGCATTTGCAATGTACAGAAACCGAATGCAAACCCGTTGCTATCCCAAGCACACCAGGGTCGAACATCGATCTTCAGAATCCCGAGCCTTTTCATTGCAAGGAATGTGATCGCCGTACATGTAAAGAGGTGCAAGTGAACTCGCGGGAGCTAAATCGAATCATCAAGCAAGGCAAGATCCCTCTCTTGCGGTATCGACATGAAGCTGGCAAGATCGACCTTGTTGAGATGAATGCCTCTTGTAACAAAGAGTATGTCATATTTTCTCATGTTTGGGCTGATGGATATGGAAACAAGAATGCCAATGCTATGAATAAGTGCGTCCTGGACATGTTTCGCAACCTATTCAATGACATCAAGAGCGAGAATGTAATCCAGCAGAGTCATGGCAGGATGGAAACACCTGAAAATTTCTGGATTGATACACTAGCCATCCCCGTCGAGACCGAGTTCGACGACCAGCGGAAGAAGGCGATCAGGAAGATGCATGACATATATACGAACGCTAAATATACCATAGTGCTAGATGCTGGCTTAATGAGCGTTGATAAAGGCGAAGGGTACATCAAGCCAGCAATGAGCATCACACTCAGCAAATGGATGACCAGATTGTGGACTTTGCAGGAGGCAGTGTTAAGCAAAAGCTTGTACTTCAACTTTTCCGACCAAGTTTACTCCATGGATAAGCTCGAGAAACTATTCCAACAGGAAGACGCACCACTGCACTCTTGTCTTGCATTTGTGTCTCGTGCATACTATCATGGTATTCTAGAGAAGGAAAGCCGCAGAATGCATGGACCTGATTCAACGCCGGAGGACCGTATAACAAAGCCGGCTTTCGTTGCCAATGTCTGGAAAGCTGTACAATGGAGGAGGACAGAGCACCGTCAACATGAGACCCTGGCCCTCGCAACTCTCCTGAACGTCGATACCGACAGTTTTGCCGACTCCAGCTATATCAAGAAGAAGAAAATGATATATGATGGACCAGAACTCCAGAGGCGAATGCAAAAGCTTGTCGATTTACTCGCTGCTCGAAGCCCTTGCGCGATTCCCGCAGGTATTATTTTTGTGCCAGGCCCAAGACTCGAGGAGAAAGGATACGGGTGGGCCCCAAGGACCTGGCTGTCCAGTAAAGAGGTGGAACCACCGGATCCTTTGGCACTTCAGGTCAAGAAAGCCAGGCTCAACGTACCCCATGGCCTTGAAGTTTGGTTTCCTGGGTTTCGTCTACACAATTTGAGAAACAAGCAAGACTTACTGAATGATCTTTCGGAGTTTCACTTTCCCGCCGATCGCTGGCTCTCGCAATGGTATCGCGTCATACCTGCAGATGAAAAAGAGCCGCTGCCTCATAGATCACGAGACAGGTCCCGAGAACTCGCTATTGTAGCACCCCAACTGCTGGCTTCCAATCCGAAAGAAATTGGCTTACTAGTCGCAATTGCAAGAGAGCAAGATGGCATCTTGTTCGTTGAAATTCTCCATCGAATATACATCAGCGTAGAAGGCGATGCTGAGAAGATCCGGGTATGGCGGAACGATTTCTTAGCAGAAGATTTTGGCTCGCTATCATGTGGAGAGAGACTGTCTACAGAGCAGCATTGGTGTATCGATGGTCAACAGGACAACCAGCCTCTGAAATCATTCATAACGAACGGCAATGGTGAACTTATAAAACCCCTGTCGAACAAGAATCGAAGCTTTACCGAATCCTTTGGCCTGCGGGTTAGCAACACATTCCATTCAATAACAAAACGGTAATTGCGAAGTTTAGTTAGCTTTGTGTAGGATACTAAGGGCGACAAGCATACTTATAGAGTATTCCACGATAATCTAGAATTCAGCAAAAAGCAGTGCATGTCTAGTGGCATATACGGGTGATAGTAACGACCAGTGAATGGCCATCCTCTAGCCCGGTAATATGGCCGGCATCGATGAAAATGCCTTATGGTATGGACCTGCGACCATACTACTTGAAGGCTGCAGTTTCCGACCTCCTTGCCGTTCGCAGCCTGTGTCATATCCTGCACGCAGGAAATGGCCCCAATCGAAGGTCCGTAACCTCAAGACAATTCGACTGCTCAAGAATCAAGGCTGCAGTGGGCAAACCCCACGGACATACTCACATTGTTACTTCTCCTTGGTGGCGACGTCATCTAGTAGGCCCTCGCACAGCAAACAGGAGATAGGTTGCTAGCACCAGTGGTATTCTCCTTCCGCTGGGTTGGCTATACTTTCACCACACTACTTTCAGCTATAGGCAACGACAGACTAACGCCCCTGGCTCCACCCAACTCATCCATCATCACATGCACCAAAGCAGGCTACTATCGCCACAACGACTCATGGATCCTCCACCGCATGCTACGAGATTACGAAAAGCTCTGAATGCCACGAGAGGTTGCCGCCAATCTCCGCAGCATCCTGTGCACGACCAAACTTTCCAAGACCGGTCTCTGCATCTCTGTCTCCGAAGCCTCCAAAGATAAGAGGGCCGGAGTTCCCGAAAGGAACCTCTACTGGTTTTCTGGCTACGCAGCGGCATTCCTGCAGCTCGCCATCGCCGCCAACCCGTGGGTCACTAAAGGCGGATGGGGTGACATCGTCCTCACAGCCGCAGGCACCTTTCTAGCCTTCAGTACAGGAAGTCCTCCGCAATGGCGAAGAGAACGCTAGGATGGCCGAAGGAATTCGGATAAGTTATTCATTCTCTCCCGTGGTAATGGCTCACAGCACGCTCTCGTCATCCGAGGCGCAGGCCGGGGCTTTGATCTCGAAGACATCGACGGGTCAGGGAAGACATCGAAATCGACACATGCCACAAAGGCCGTCTGCGGGGTGTTCTCGGTATTTTGGGGAGCATTACTCATTACGGTGAGCGGGATGAGGCGTGAGACCTGGTACCTAGTTGCTATTGCGTCGGTGGCGATGCTACATACCGTCATCGTCGCTGGTGCACCGAGACGGTCCGGCTGGTTTGGGATTCATTTGGATTATCAGGGGTGTTACCTACGCTGCAGGCTGTCAAGGTAGCGCTGCCGGGGTAAGAGAGATCTATGTTACCGACCTCTTTTCCGGGGAAGATGATGGAGGACGAGGAAGCTTGGTGGAAGGAAAGAAGGAGACCTGATCCGCAGACTAGGAGGTCGAGTCACTGAGGAATGTGCTTGTCGCCAAAATTTGATAGAAAGTGCCTCGTCCATTTTCCAATTCATAAATCTCACCATCCCCTCACAACGGCGCGCATCGAGATCCTTCCAAGAGTCTTTCATCCCTCATAAGCGTCATAATGGCCCTCTGCACAAACTGCACTTCATCTATCCCCTGCAGCTCCCCCTCAGCATCAGCAATTGAATCAAAGGTCACGCAAGTTTGCACGATATCCGTCATCGAGGACCCCGCTATTTTGTCAATCTGGTCCATGCCCTTCACGGCTTGCTCTCGTGGTTCTACTGTGGTACTCTCCTGCCCAGTCCTCTCGTCTAGAATGCGGCCCGTACAGATTTGAAATAGAATCAGTCCGAATTCAAGCATTGATGCCTTCCGTTGATTGGATACGCCGCTGCCGCCGCCGAGTTTGCGCTTGGATGATCGAGTGCCGAAGCCGTGGCATAGCCAGGGTTTGAGGATCAGAGGGTCTTCGTGGTTCCACTCTTCGGGGTCGTCGGTCGGGTCGCAAAAATACTGGTATTGTGATATGTTGGGTAGAGTTTCGAGGAGATTTGTGACAGAACTCAATTGGAGACGAGAGATAAGGAGAAGTTTTACTAGTTGGGTGATTTGCTGTGGCTTGATGTTTTCAAGGTAAGAAGGGTGAGATAGCATGTCGGTAAGATTACATAGGTTTTTCCATTGGCCTACTCTGTCGTGGTGTATGATATGGGATGAGTCGTGAGAGTGAATATAGCCCCAGGTTTCCACGTTCTGGTCCAGCTCGGTCTCAGCTAGCTCGTTCGGCCTTGACAAGCAGCTCATCCGTTTCAACGGGAGTGGCAAATTTAGCGTAGGCTCTGCATCAGTGCTTGCTTCGTCTTGCAAATGAAGAAGGGTGTCCACCAAAAGCAAGCGAGATTCAGACGTGGAGTTGCTGGAGGTCTTTTGCTGAAAGTTGAAGATCGTAGAATTCGTCCTGAGACGCACGTAGGGTTCATTCTCTAGGTCGGAACGATTGGCAGTAGAGTCTTCACGTAATTGAAAGCCTAGTAAATGTGGATCACGATGCTCTTGACTGCTTCGAACCTGCATCAGACTTTTATGCAATCTGAAAAGCGACTCTTGCACATCCTCACAGCTTTGGAAGAACGGATTTGTCTCCGGTGTCTGCTGTAATAGAAAGGACGCCTTTGAGTCGACACGGGTTTGGAAGAGTCCTTCAAGCTCGGTGATCACGGTGCGCAATTCTTCCACGATCTTGCGCAGCTTTGCACGGTCAGTCTTCGCCCACTGGATCCGTCGAAATATTGTAGTTGATTTCTGGACGGAAAGGGCCTTTTGAGACTGCCTCTCGCTCTCATTGGCCACCGAAGCGTTGTTCAGAATGCTGGTCGATTGTCCCTGGGTATTTTGGGACTCAACAAGGTCATTGCTACTGGTTTGCGTCTCTTCCTGAGGGGTTTTCTTCTTCTTCCACACGCTGACAGCCAACTTCTTGCGAAAGGGGATTTTAGAAGCCTGAATAATGCCGACACGTTAGAGCTGTACGTTCTTCGATTAATAGAAAACGGTTGAAACGATCAAGAATCAAAGGCTGCGTTTAATGCATCATGTTGGCCTATCAAAAGATTTTGTGACCTTCACCCACACCAATTGCGGTATGAAAGCTAGGAAGACCTACCTTATCAGGCTTTGGTGAAGTTTTCGAGACACTAGAATTTGGCGCAGGGCCATTCATGGCTTTACTCGCACTTTGCTCACGCAGAGATGGTGAATCAGGGCCTGGCGCTCATTCAGATACGATGCAAAATCAAATTGGTGCAAGCTTTTTAATGCCCACCTTTGTCGCTGTAGATCTTGAGCAGTCGACCACACTCTTCAAAGTGATGCCTGATCACGCCTAGACAGCGCAACGCCATCTGCAATGTTGGATTGCTCTCATCATTGAAGTCGATCGACCTGGCGTCATACAACTCTCCAAGTCTCCTTTTAGCGACTTGTTCTAGTCGAATGCGCTGTGCCTCAAGCTGTACACCGATGATACCAAGATCCTCACCAAAGGATTTGGTCTTTTTGTAGCCTGCATGAAGGCGATTGCAAGAATCCAAGGCCGGGAGGAAGAGTGCCAACGAAGCCAGAGAGAGTTCAGCCATCAATTGCAATAGGTTTAACGCTTTTTAAACGCGTATATGCACATGTATATGAACAATCGAGGGTTGGTTAGTTGAATCACGGCGACGCCCGATTCAAGCTACCACCTTAGCTCCAGAGTCCAAATCTCTGATTTCCCACGCAGCAATTCGACATGGCCATGTCCTACCTGAGCGGCCCTCGATTGCATCGAAACGCTCCCAACGAGTGGCTTCCATCATACGATTTCTAGCTGGATGGCAGGAGATCTAATATGGCCCCAACAACTCCCCTGCAAGCTTGTTGCAACCTTCCTCTGGAGGGAGGCAGGCTGAGCTAGCTCTCTGTAGCGTGGGTAAGCTACTGAGGGGCTCGGCGAGCCCGGCATCGATGAAGCAGCCCTTGCTTCGGCCGCTGTACACTTCATCGTTCCAAGCGTCCTGATACGGGGTCTCCTTGAAGCAGGTATATTCTCTTCACAGGGGGTCGTCCTAGCCTTCAAGTAGCTATTCCGCGCCGTAGTGAGGTTTGACCTGAAATTGCGAGAAAATTCGAGTGGGATTTGATACGGTAAGGACACCAATTGGGAGATACGGGACGAGGGAGAGAGGTCTTAGCTGTCCTCACCGTATGAGAGTCTGGCCTCGTCTTTGATAAACGATGTTTTCTTCTGTGCTTTACCTCGAGGATGCTCCGATATTTATAATCTATACTAGTCTGCCCTTACTCTATCATCGGTTGGTAAACTTATTTTGCCTTCTCAAATGAGGACTGGCCTTCTTATGTCTACAACGGGCTTCAGATGGAGATCACAAGACGAGGTCACACGTGCACTTTGAGCTCTCCTCTCCTCTATGATAATATTGCAATTCCATATGACTAGGATTGATCTTGAATCGTTTTACAACATTTTCAAATACAGGTTAAGATGTCTGGCTCGCTCTCGAATGCGAATGGTAGACGCCTACTTCATGTCATGTATATGATTCTCATGTCTGGGTTTGAGAACACAGCATTGTGTCAGAAGGCTCCGAAGATTGATCATTTCAAAGAACGTTTACAGCTGTGGGGAGCAGGGCTCTTTGTCGAACCAATACCTATAGATGATGCACTCGGCAGCGACAAAGCTCGTTTCGAGACTTTGCATGTGTGCACCTTGCACATCATGCTAAATATACTGTGTTGGCAGGGTAAATCAAACCGCAGGAGTTGACCTCGAAATCCATTCGGCTAATCCATTGGCAGAAGTGACATTGGAGGCCTTAGAATCCTATCAAGTAGAGTCTGTTGATGCACGGGAAGACAAATGGCGTCACTCTGTGGCTACCGTCATTGGAGACTTCAATTTGTCAACCTTGCACACGATATGGTAAGTCTGCCATAATTCTAAACCTGGCGACCTCTGCATACACAATTGAAGGATCAGCCGCTAACACTTTCCCCTCAGTCATAACGAACTTGAAAAGCTTGAGGATGAGACCACTCAGGAGGATGACATAGCCGCAATCGATGAATTGTCCTTGCTTGTAGACACACTGTTTGACCTTCAACCTGCACTGAGGTCATGCCGACGTGTTCTCTGCTCAGAACGAGCTGCGCTGGGAGAGAAGCCTCACGGAGTACAAGAGACTTTACAAGACACATCTAAAGTGTCAGGGTCATTGAGTGATGATAGATCAGAAGATCGTGGATATGCTTCCAAGAGAGCTAATCAAGGCAGTGACAGTCCGAAGAGTAGTCCCAACACTCCGCAATCCCCTAGCGACTCATTGGCACGGGGCACAAAATCTTTGCCCTCAGTACCGCGTGAATCTGGCCTATATGACGGGAATCATGAGCACATCGCATGTACGTACTACCTCTCTATAGTGCATTTGGCGTCTACGAAATACTCACCTTCAACAAGCCTCTCGCGAGACAAGTCCCAGCGGGTCTCCCACGAACTTCAAAGGCAATGCAGACAGCTCAGTGACTCGGGAAATGATTGAGTATAGCGTCAAGACAAAGAAATCCGATGGCCACTATTTGCATGAAAGCCTGGAAGTTATACTTAATTCCAGATCAATCATTAAACTACCGCCTGATCGTAGCCAGCTAGACTCTCAGATTGCAAGCGCGTATCTCAGTATCTCGTTGTCAGGACGTTCCCCTTACGAAGCCACTTCAGCCACTTGGCTGAACGATTTGACGTTATTGGGCCTTGATCTTCCTTCGCTTGGCCTAGCGGAGACAACGAAAGTATCAAACAAGGAGCTTGAAGGAGGAGATCCATCAAAAATGGATAGACCTCGCGATGAACCTTCTTTTCGTCGGCATTTCGAGAACCTCTGCCTGCAATCATGTGCAAATGATGCAAACGAGCTCCTGGGCAGGCTTCTCTTGTCGTACCAAAACGCCTCCGAGTTAGCCAACATGCTCGATGAAATAACGCCCAACGATAAAAATGAGACAGCGAGGGCGACGTTAGGAGCCTCCCTGTGGCAGATCTCTTTTGGAACCATCGAGGTAGCATTAACAAAGTATTCATCAGCCATGATTTTGGCTTACAGATTTTAGGCATTCTATCTCGCGGGCGCAAAGCTTCATTCTATTGTTGAAGCCATTTCTCAGTTGAACGGTACAATGCCAAGCATGAGATCCATCCTTAGCAGTCACACTGTTCCTCAATCATTACTCCAGGAGATGTATAGCGTGTTTATCGACTCAAATCTGGCTATAATGGGCAAGGTGTCTCACGGTATTCTTGGTATGAATTGAGTGACAAGCAATTTTGCCCACTTATTGAGACTGACTATCGTAGCTTGCAGCGCTGATCTTTCGAATGACGTCTGGGTTCGTGATCACATTGCCCGCTTGAGAATCAGTCTGGCAGAAGTCCGGTCAAGATACGCCCAGACCGACGTTGAGCAGCGTTCGTTGCATTCTAGAGGACCGAGTGAGAATCAACTGGCTACTTATGTTGATCCGCCCTCGCTATACCAGGCTGAAGCAAGTAGAAAACTACCCGAGAAGCTTTCACCAAGCTCGAGCCACAAGGGATTGCTGGCTCTTGATAATGAATCCAATCCAAAAAGTCTGGATGAAGAGATGTCGACCTTTGGATTTGTGGTTGTCAAGAGATTGGGCAAAGGCATTTCCGGAGAAGTGAATGAGGTACGTGAAATGTCAACGGGTCAATCATTTGCCTGTAAACACGTACACACCGGCACATTAGAACCTCGAATCGCAAGATCTCGCGAACGTTTGTTCATGAATGAGGTCTCAATAATGCAAAAACTTTCACACCTGCATATTGCGCGGGTTCTTCTCAGGTTTAAGAATAAGGACAGGATTTCCATGATTATGCTACCCGTCGCCGATTGTGATCTGCTGCAGTATATGCACCTATGCAGCGAGCAAATGTATCCCATACGGTCCATCGGACAAATCTATCCATGGTTCGGCTGTTTACTCGATGCTCTGGCATACGCGCATCGATTGGAAATAACCCACAGCGATATCAAACCTTCAAACGTTTTGATCAAGAATGAGCAGCCATATTTGGCAGATTTTGGGCTTGCGCGTGATTGGGTAGTTGAGAAGTTCGATCACTCGTTGCGCGGCACCCCAGCATACTGGGCGCCGGAGATCAGCTCTCACGGAACAGGAGGCAAAAAAGCAGACGTTTTTGCCCTTGGCTGCGTTTACTCCGAGATGCTGACCATAATAAACAGACAATCGCTAGAGACATATCAAATTGCACGACGAGAGAAATCAGACTCTGTAGCATTCAAGGACTCCCTAGATCTCGTTTGCCGATGGTTAGAGACCTTTGAAGGCCCGAAATTTTGGGATAAGAAGCACAACCTCCTGGTTGATACGGTATACACCATGCTTGACGTGCACCCCGAACGACGGCCTTCCGCTAAGGTGGCTCTGGGACGAGTGAAAATGTATCCAGAGCTGTGCTGTATTGAATGATCATCGATTTCGGCTTTCTCTATTAACTACTGAAATGGTCAACTTGTTGGATGAATGACTCTCCGGCATTAGAACCAAAAGACATGACAATTCTGAATATTGTGGAAAGGCGGCTTTACGCGCACTTTTCGGAGCCTGTGTCTACGACAATTTCTGCAAAGATCCTACCAATATGAAACTCATCTATCTCAGGCACCCGGGACTGCGAGCTTGATGAGGCGCAACCTTATGAACAAAAGTATATGGCTTTTGTTATGTCCCACAGTCTGGGAGCCCAAGGATACGAAAGTGCTCTCGATTCGCAGGCAAGACAACGTATACTTTGCCTCTACTCGAGACGCTGCTGGCTGATGTCGCAGCTTCCCAGGACGTCTATTACCAGCCAATTCTTATCACATTGCAACGAAACAGACTCGCTCACGCATGACGCACGCAAGGCAATGGTGGCTTTGGCACTCGTCCAATTAAAGGGATGGGAAGGCGCTTTTGCATGCCTGACAAAACAGAGACTGCAAGAATGTAGGCTTGGAAGACAACAAGGGTCTGAGAATATAATGAGGCCCATGCCTAGCAAGTGTGGGTACAATGAGTCAACTACCAGAGTTGAAGGTAACCCCCTTATACCAATCGACTTCTCTCTCGGGCACATTTCATCCTATCTTTAGCGTGCAAGTGCTCCAATGAGTGATCCGCAATCTCAGCGTGGGCATGGATCGCTCCCTATTGTAGCACGCCGGCTGTCAGACCGCACCGTCTTCTTCGGCTTTCTCTTCGGGTTCTTCGGCTCACACACATGTTTTACATGACCGATGGCATTCCAAGACTGCTGGCTTTGTGTCTCCGAGGTCCAACGGGATAGCGGACCTTCATTAGCACGAAATGTGTCTGATGCTGTGGGCGTGATTTGATCTGAGTGCTTTTCTTTCTGTCGGCGAGCGACTGGAACGAATTGGCCGGATGAAGGCTTGCTAGATTGTTCCGGGGGAGGGCAGGTGTTTGAGGAACATCCGAGAGTCTGTGGGTAGCCTTGATGCGTTGTGTTGGATTTCATTTGGGTCATTTGGGTGGGGATTCGCACATGAAGGTCGAGTTCGGACTGTACATCTCGCTTCGGCATGGTGGAAATCAATATCACGACTGAAGAAGTGGCAAGAACGAGCTTATGTTAGGAAATGGAAGGCAAGGAAGATAGTAATAGACGATCATAATGGCAGAAGCAAGGACAAGGAAGCTTATATGGGTTGAAAACAGGGGCAAAAGGTGAAGAAAGACGCGTAAGTGGAAGTGTACGGAACAGAGCATGTCCACACAAATAAGAGTCAGACGAAGCCAACTACTGACCGTGGCCAGAGTCACACTTGAGCAGATCGGTCCAAAAGGGCAAGCAGGAGGATACCCATACCTGCAATGGCCACGCCAGGTCGCAGTTTTGGGAAGTCGAGGGTTTGGTGGTGGACTAATTGATGAAGGATTCCGCCCAAAATAATACAATGCATACATGGCAGCAATGGAAAAGTATTCTCAGCCTCGTGTTTAGAATTGACGTCTTACAGGAGTCTTCTGAGCTTCTCTCCAAATGGCTCTTGCTCGATGTCAGCAGGCTATCAGGTTCTGCAGGAGATCAAACACTCGTAAGGCTCGTAGGGGTGCAGATGGCAGGAGCTACCGACGGCGGCTTCCGCCCTAAGAAAAGCCAATTCTGACAGGCAGGTACATGCAGCACATGATTGGCTAGATAAAGCATTGATATAAACACGTCCCTTTAACTGTAGCCACCGCTTTTGTCTCTGTCTCCTTCGAAACAATAGGGATCTCCAGAGAATGATAAGAGCCTAGACATTCAGCTGCAGCCGTAGTGAAGGTCATACACTGTGGGCTCTTCTGGTACACAATGTGCAATAATGTATTTGTGTTTGTGATGACTGCTGTTGTTCTATGTTTAGTATCTGTCGTTCCTTCGTAAGTCTGAAACGTCACCGTCTGGCGTCGCTTCTTCTGCGCGGCCAGACACACCGACTTGACGCACACATTGCCTTGTGGTATCATCATGGTTTCATCTGATCTACCATGGCCACGAGGCACGCCCAGCCTGCAGATGCAGCCATTGCTCTGTCGCTCTACAGCCTTCCGATCCTGTTCCCTGATCTCTCTTCTTCCCTGGACTATGTGGCATTCGCCAGAAGATTACCTTCTCGCAAGGCATGGATCCCTCCACTCGAGCCACAGTCACACCACTGCGGGACCGAGCGACCATCCAGTCCTCCCGGTGGTGGACTACTACACAAGAGCAAGCTATCGCAGCACTATACCCTCTCAGTGACCTAGACATTTTCGCTCCTCTCGCCTCCTTACGCTCTGTTGCTTCACAACTCACTGATCCGCAGCTGGCAGCGCTGATTTGCCTCCGATCAGCATCTGACCATGACATAAAGACATGGCTCGACTGCAGTCGTCGCATATCGAGTAAGGTGACCAATGCCATTGAGAACAACTTGGCAATTGACAGGCGAATTAGATAGCATCCAAAGCGAGCGCTCCTCTTTGACAAGCAGCTTCAGCGATCCTCGTTTCTCCTCTGCCTCTTGGTCCACCAACAACACCTCATCCTCCGCTTCGTCATTCATTGCTCCCCCGGAGTCTAACCTACAAACCGAAGTAAGGACCGCTCTACATCTGAACAAACCTCTTCCACATGATGCCTCCCAGGGCATGCTCGCTCCGCAAGAGCCTCTGGCCACACAAAGAGGAACCCAACACCAGCGGTGGTGCACAACACGCGAACATAGAAATGTGTTCAGGACGTTTGCTGGCTTTGCCAAACACGAGAAAGAGCATGATGACTTTTACCAGTTTTTACCCCAAGGCCCCGTCGAGAAGACGTCGTCGGGACGACAATGCGCCCTTTGTACCACGAAAGACCCAAGCGAGGCACACCTTCAGGATCACAATATTCTGAGGTACGAAGGAAGATTGAGGGGCGCCATCACACGTTCACGGAAAGTCAACTTTGAGCACCTTCTCAAGAGGCACAACACCCCTGAGGAATACATCAAAGTCCTGGTTGACAGATGGCGAAAGCCCGCGGGGAAAAAGACTTACTCGTGCGGCTTTTGCGTCGCCATATTCCCGACTCTACCGGACAGATCCAGTCATATTGATCGTGAGCATTTTGCGAAGGGACAGCATATAGATGACTGGGACGATTTCAAAGTGATCAAAGGACTCCTCCTTCAACCAGAAGTGAGGCAGGAGTGCCAGAGGCTCTTCAATCCAGTAGACCCTTCTCGTCCAGAAACTAAGATCAGCTGGCCACCCTCTAAAATTGACGCTCTCAGGCTCCGGCTCGAGATCGGATCAGACCCTGCTTCGGAACTAGCGAGAGATGCTTTTCGTGAAGCCAGAATCGACAGGTTAAGGCCTTCAACGCCCAACATGCGTCTCTTATCTGATGACAGAGGCCATACCCATATGCCTCCCTCAAATCAAATACACTTTGCATTCGGAAGAGAAATTCCCACAACCAGCCCTCATCACGATCAGCTCGGCCTACCTCGAGACACGTCGAGCGTACAAACAGCAGCTAAATCTGATGAAACTGCTGCTCTTGACATCTCACTCATGTCAGTCCCCTCGCCGCCTGAGGATCTGCCACCAATGGTGACCAGCCATGGGTATCCCACTCGATCCAGTAGCCTAGCTACAAGGGCCGCTTGCGACAGCGACTTTGAATTTTCAGGATCTGCAAATCCTTTTGAAGCGCAACATCTCTCCTCGGTATCTCAGATGATGCATAACGACTTACCGCAACAAGACGCGAGCGATGGGGCGTTAAGTCAGGCTGAGAAACCTTTTCTCAGCCCTTCGATCTCAAATTATAGCTTTCACCAACACTCTCCTTACGTCTTGTCGACAGCTGGAACGCCGTCCCACATAGCCTTTCAAATAAATTCTCTTGAGAAGGAGACCTTCAACACTTCGCTTGAGGAGTCAGCAGTCCCAATTCCGCTTCCTAAGCGAAAGCTCTCGGACAAGAGCGCAAACGATGCAAACCTAAAGGCTCAAACACAAGCCCCTTCATCGACATTCAATCAGGACTATTCAACCGAGTACGGTGACTTGGCTTACGCGAATACCAATGTTTTTGAGCATTGGGACTCGAGCTACCGAATGTGATTGATCTCGCATTATATTAAAAGTAAAGAGCATTGCCGCTGGCGGCTATATGTCTTTCATCCTCAAATTGCATGTAAAAAGACTGGAGCAGTCTCCCTACTTGCTACAAAAAGGCGCAGCAGTACTGTGACTAGGTAATCCATTGGTATGGGAATGGCTAGCACTGGTGACATTGACTAACCTCGTCATCTGTAAAATCTCGGCTTGGAATCCTCCTTTTTTAACAACTTCCAGGAGGGGCTTTCCTATTTCATGTGACTTTGTATGATTAGGCTGCAGATGCTATATCAAACCCGAGGACGCTAGTCGCCCTGTCAGTTCTTTTCATATATATACACGTATCTAAAGCAGAGCAGTGCTCTTGCACCATAATTCACGAATTGAAAAAAAAACTTTCTTTCCACCTTCACATTTTCTCCTCTATACTTACTTTCTCAAGCCTCACGGAAGTTTCCATAATACAAAAGCTAGGTCTTTTTTTCGATGCAGACGCCGATAAGCAGGAGGGTTTGCTGTGCTCCCAAAGTCGATCAACGGAGGGTTGCTGCATCAGTCCAATTCACCCCAATATAACATGGACGCACACACACTGACCTTTCTCCAGAGTCTAAAGGGGAGGACTGCCGTGCGGTCGCGCAATCATACATTTGAACCTGCAATTTACCATGCAAAGACATGCAAGGCTAAGATCCGGCATATTAGCTCATTTGACCCGTGCTATCATATCAAGTAAAAACAAAACCGTAGAATCTAGCGTGCCTCCAACAGGATCAGTAAACACGAGAGGTGATAAACGAGAAATGGATGAGCACATGGCCAAATGCGCACTCATTCATTACATTGAACCAGGCAAGGGCTACGCATGCGTATGTTTCGCTGCCCCATGTCTCGTGCATATAGTAGATTGACGCACTATCCCAATCCCCATCTCGTCTTCAAAAAAGGGCGAGGGGTAAAACTGTGGCGGAGCCGATAACGATGGGGAAGTAACGGCTAGAGTCGCATGTCGAGTCGGTAGGCGACCGACAGATCCACTCGTCTGTGTCGTCCATTTCCCAGACAGCGGGTTGGGAAAGAGTGAGGAACTGTCTTGAAGAGGTGGATGGGGAGGGGCTGTGGAGGGGGTTTGTGGAGGTTAGAGGGGTGGTGAAGGAGCGGAGTACGGGGAGTGTTTGTGGGTTGGAGACGAAGACGGGGAGGGTTGTTCCGGGGACGTGAGGTTGATGAATCCGTGCATGTTCTTATGTGTTACGGGAGATTGCGGGCGTGGTGAGAATTGAAATCGACACCGCAATCAACATGGAAGCTCAATTTGGTCGGGAAATGAATAGAGTGGTCGCCAATTCCTTTAATTATACTCGTGACTTGGGCAGCGAGACGAGCGCTTCCAAAAAGACGGGTGACGGGGAATTTTGAGAGCCAAAAGATGTTATATTAGCTATATCAAGTAGCTACTGTTTGCGCTGAAAGGACTGACATCATGCCTTCGCTAAATCCAAATCCAACAACCAAAATTCGCTAATGAGGGTATCATGATGCAACATGTGTTTTCCAAATCTCGTTTTGCGGGACATTACTTTTCCTTTCGTTAAGAGATATAGCGCTCTCTACATTTTTGCTTAAAGAATTCCGAGTATTCCAAGCCCAAGGGACAGACTCAAGAGCGACCACAATGGCTCACGCCCATCCCGGCTTGCAGCCCCGGGGAATGTCGAGGGGGAAGATATAGTAGGAGCGGTAGCCCTTGACTCACCAGCTGGGGTTGTCGACGGATTTGGCGTGACCGCGGGAGGCGACGGTGAAGTCTCTAGCGTCGTTGCGGGAGAAGGCGGAACACTAGTGGTGACGACTGGAGGAGGTGGTGAGGTTTCTATCGATACTGGTGGCGGTGGCGATACTGGAGAGGCGACAGGTGTAGAAGCAGGTTGAAGGGCTGAGAACAGCTCAGAGAGCTGGGATGGCGATTCGTCGCCGGGGTTGAATGAGGGTGCTGATGGGGAAGGTGGTGGAGGTGGTGGAGGTGGGGGGCTTGAAGATGGTGGTGGTGGTGGTGGAGCGACCGATGTCGGAGAGGGTTCTGGAGCCTGTGTATCTGGTTGGGGAGGTGTTGGTGAGGGTGGAGGGACCGTGGCACATTCTGGTGCGGCTGTGTTCAAGCATCCTGAGACGTAGGTCGTTGAGGTTGCGGTGTCTGTTATGGCGGGCGCGAGCGTTGGAGTAGGAACTAAGTTTGCGGTTCGCCTGCCTGGGTCGATGGAAGGGCCACCTGGGAGACAGGTGGAGAGTCCTGGATACTGGCTCAGGTAGTCGGATTGCTGAGCTAGGAATTTGATGAAGAAGGGGTCAACCCAACCGTAATCTGACTCTGATGTATCGAGGCTACCTGAAGTAGCGGCCCTTAATCCATTGAATCCATTTTGTGTGAAACCGCCCGTGGAGGGAATGGCATTTGCGGGTAAATTTGTGGCAATTGCTGGGGTGGGGAGCTTATCGAGGTATGGGGTCGAAAGCGATAAGTCTGTTGCAACACTTGCAGCGGGTGCGTTGGTTGCTGTAGCACCGTTGAAGTATGCTTCGGCGTACGGGTTGACGCCTGGGAAAAGCACAGAGCTTGGAGTGGCGCCGAATGTGGATGGAAAGAAGGTTGAAACGGTGGTGCACACAAGTTGACCATTCGAATCTGTGATGGCAGGAACACGAATAATTCTAGCTGTGCGGTAGACAAAGAAGTTTGTGGGAGAGGCACTGCGGCTATCATCAGCTCCACCATATCATATTGCCAGATTGGGGAGCATACACAGTCTGTGCATACACTACGGTTGTCGCTCCACTCAGTTCGGACTGTGTTGGTCCAGGTCCACCTGGGATGCCGTTGCTGGGTAATCGGGCAGCTAAGTCGATCGTCACCAGGATAGAGCTTGTAAAGTCTGTGACTGAAGTCGAAGCATCAGTCACGACAGTATCGGAATATTGCGTGATGTGGTTGACGACATGGGTGGATGGAACAGTGTAAGAGATCGTCGATATTGAAGTATCTAGAATCGAATCAGCAAGGAAGCGCATTTTGGATCTCAAAATCGAACACACCTCCCCAATACCTGTAGTCGATGGTGTCTTGAACAACAAAACAGCAGTCGGTGGCGGTGCTTGTGGTAGTAGTTGGTATTGGGTTGGTGACGGGTGGCGGATAAAGTGGTGTAGTAGGAGGTGAGTGATCGGGAGATGAAGGTAGGGAAGGAACAATCGAAGAAGGTGTATTTGACGGAGGTGGAAGCGTAGAGGGAAGGGGCGTCGAAGGAGGTGACGAGGGTGGCGGAGGTGACAGCGGTGATGAAGAAGGTGGAGGTAAGGAAGCCGTCGAGGGAGGGGGAGATGAAGGAGGAGTCGAAAATGGTGGGGGTGATATCGGAGACGAAGGAGTTGAATAGGTTAGAGGTGATGATGGTGGAGGTGAGAAGGGCGGAGGTGATGATGAAGGAGGTAGAAAGGAAGAAGTCGTCGATGTAAAAGGCGGAGGCGATGACGGTGGAGGCGATGACGGTGGAGGCGATGACGGTGGAGGCGATGATGACAGCGGCGAGGAAGGAGAAGTTGATGAGGTAGAAGTTGAAGAAGAAGGAGGTAAAGATGGTGGCGGCGAGGAAGGTGGCGAGGAAGACGGCGAGGAAGGAGAAGTTGAGGAGACAGAGGTAAAAAGGTGGGAGGTGAGGACGGAGGAGGTGACGATAGTAGCGGCGAGGAAGGCGTCGAAGAGGGAGGGGGCGATTGCGTAGTGGATGATGGCGTACTGCTTGAAGTGCTTGATGAGTTACTAACAATGCTGGTATATGTCGTCGAACTGATCGAGAAGCTGCTGATCGTGGTTGTATAGAAGGAAGAAGTAGAGACTGTGCTACTACTACTACTACTTTTCGAAGTCGTCGAAAATCTGCTAGATGTAGTTGACGAGTTGCTTGAAAAGCTGTGGGTAGTACTGGAGATGGTTGATCTAGTGGAGGGAGTACTCGACGGACTGACAGAGGTGCTCGTTGAGCTCTTAGATGTGGTATGAGAGGGGATTGTAAATCTCAATGGGCTCGTTAATGTAGTCGTGTGATTTTGGGTCAATGTTGTTGAAGTGTAGATACTCGTAGGGTGACTGTGAGTCTTGAAGCTCGATTTGCTTGTGGTTCCAGTTCCGAAAGAAGACGAGGTGGAATTGCGAGACGTTTTTAAGCTGCTCGTAGAGCTAGGCGTCGTCACGACTGACGTGTACGTGGTTGTGGTAGTTGTAGAGACAATGCTGGAGCTGTACGATGTCCCATGGCTTGGCTTATGCTTGCTTGTTATCGAGCTCGATGTATTCGTTTTTGGATGTGAAGAATGATGGCTTGCTGAGCCTTTCGGAGAAGTGGTGTATGTGGAAAACGAGGACGACCGAGTGAATGGGCGACTAGAGTACGGCGTAGATTGGCGCGGTCTGGTGTGGGACGACGACGTAGTGGTGTTGCATGGGACTTCAGTTGTTTCAGTAATGACGACCGTTGAAGTATTTGCGTATGGACCGCCTCAAGCCATAGTCAGCTCGTTTGTGACAGACGCTGTTAAGCCCAGATTACCATCAGACAGCCAAGCTGTTACGTGCCCAATTTTCCATATCGAGAGAACGACCGCATAAATTGGAAATATCTGCATTGTAATTCAAGCTGGGAAAAACGAATGTGTGTCTGGGGGAACAGCTCGGACAATCCATGCTTTTGCATAGCTATAGCTCTCAGCCTCGTCGGGCAGAGCTTACCACCCAGACCCCACCATGACATTGCCTAAATACGAGCGATTGTGGGAGCTCTAGCAAGCCCGCATAGTTGCCTTCTTCGTGCATACCGTTTATTGGGCGTCTCGGCGACTAGCCACGAAGTCTGCATGAATCCTGGGAGCTAAGGCACTAGAAGGACATCCTTCCATCCCGAAGGAGCAAAGTCCCCACGTAAAAGCCACGAGAAACAAAGCGGGCCGAAAGGCTGGAGGGGAGATCTGCAAAACGTAAGCCGGGACTTTTCAGCTCGATCGTCCTATCCTGCCAGAAGGAACGAATCATTAGTCTCCCAGCTCTATGTGCATCTCCTTGCAATGGAGGGAGGGGTAAATGCACGCCTTGTGTTCGATCATCGTTGGCTCCACGAAAATCCATCAAAACCCGTTGAATCCTCAGTCTCGGTTCTAGAATCGCCCCCAATGGTATTGTCTATCGAAATGTCTTTACTCAAGCCTTCTGCCCACAGCCTGCTTTTCGTCCAAGATGAGTGAATCCTCGTTGAAGTCTCCGAGAAATTCGTGGTAAGTGCCGAAGTCTAGGCGGATTGTTTGCACCTCATCATCTTCTTCCCTGGGCAGAACAAGTATGCTAGGTCATCAACTGGACAAGCGTGCTTCTACGGCGATACCAGCTCCCATCTCTGTGGCTCCAAGTCAGAAATTTGAGGGTTTCGACGGGCCATGGTCAACTTTTCCAATCCAGATCGGCACTCCCCCACAATCCATAAACATCTTGATCTCGACAGCTAGCACGCAGACATGGGCTATTGACCCTCAGGGCTGCGTGCAGTCCGACCTTTCCAATTGTTCGACATCACGCGGCGGCTTTTTCAACTCAAATAAATCCAGCACCTGGAGTCAAAATGTTGACGCTTCGAATGGCCTATTTCCCATTGATCTGGAGGCAAATCTAAACGTGACTGCCGTTGGGGCTTATGGAGATGACACAGTAACCCTTGGAGGACAGGGCAGTGACGGCCCAGAGCTCCAGAAACAAGTCGTTGCCACAATTGCAAACAAAGCATTTTACCTAGGATCATTCGGCCTGAATCCCCAATCAGTATCTTTACCTCAAAGTCCAGCTCTGCTGTCAAGCTTCTTATCTAACTTGAATGCCAGTAATTCGATCCCGTCGTTGAGTTGGAGCTACACTGCAGGAAATCAGTATCGACCAGGCCCGGTGTTTGGCAGTCTGACTCTGGGTGGGTACGACACATCCCGCTTTGAGCCAAATGGTGTTACCTTTCCATTCAATGACTCAGACGTATCTCGAAGTCTAACGGTCAACATCGGAGCGATGTTCTTGCACACTAATGACTTTGATACGATATTGGAGAACAGCAACCAAAGTCTCTTGGCCGCAATAGATTCGACGACACCGTACGTCATTCTTCCACTGGAGCTTTGTCAGCAATTTGAGGAGGCATTTGGGCTTGTCTGGAGACCAGATGTCCAGGCATACCTTGTCAATGAGACGCTACATAGCACCTTACAGACGCAAAATACATCGGTAACATTGACCCTTGGTAACTCTTCAACAATACCAGGGGAGGGTTTCAACATATCGCTTCCATACGGTGCATTTGACCTCATTGCTGAAGCTCCTCGTTTGACCAATTCATCTCGCTATTTTCCCTTGATGCGAGCTGCAGATGAAAGTCAAGTTACGCTGGGACGGACTTTTCTTCAAGAAGCGTAAGCCAGCCAAGCCCAAGAAAGTGGAATGATAAGAAGTTGGTGATTGCTAAAGTGTTAAAGGTATCTTATTGCTGATTATGAGCGTAAAAATTTCACTGTGTCCCAGTGCAAGTGGGATCAAGGCGCACAAAGTCATATCGTTGCAATCAGACGCTTTGGAGACGATAAACCTTCCACCTCTCAAGGGCTCTCTTCAGGGGCAATAGCTGGAATAGCCATTGGCGCTGTTGTCGCTGCGATTATAGTCGCGGTGTTGGGCGTCTCAATGTGGAGAAAACACCGTCGCGGTCCAAAAGATTCGAAGCCGAAGCATATAGATGTCGTAGTACCTGAGCTTGATTCTTCAGGAAATGATCCGTACAAGCTCTTGGGTGGAGACATGAGCCCAGGGTTGCCTCACAGCCCTGAGTTGGAAGGAAACGAACATAAAGGACATGAGCTGGAAGCTAGCCCGAAGCCGGACCAACAGGACGAAGGCGAGCCTCCGCCAGAGCCACTGTACGAGTTGGATGCAAACACTAGACGGAGTCAAGCCATGACATCTCCAATTTCGTTTATGAGCGACAGATCAGACGCGACCAGGCTACATCAACGCCAGCAATCCGATCCTGTATCATTATCAAGTGCGGTGTCCGGGCCTCCTGAGGGTCCTGAGGGCCCTGAAAAGAAACTCTCGGAGCCAATCTCCCCAATGCGAGCAAGATCGGATGCCATAAGAAAGCTTCAACGTGAGAAGTCGGACGCTGCGCCAGCGACAGAGTAAGACTTTTGCTAAGGGGAATCTGACGGGACTGCCAATCAGGGGCGTGGCCGTCAGCCGAGTTTTAGTGGGGTTAGAGCGCCAAGCTTTTCACCGGGCTTAATTCCGGACGCGATTGTTTACCCTCGATTGTGTGAAATGTGACGTCTCAACGCACCCATTAGCACTAAGAAGCAACGCCAAACGATAAGTCACGGCGCAGGATGATGTGTATATCTTTTCGATTGCATGATACTCTGGAAAACCTGCCAAGACCTGGATAGTTGCCTTTGGCTAGGCTTTGGTCCTTTAAAGGAAAGCAATGGAGCAATGGTTGGACTCACTTTCGGAAGACTGGGTTTCGCAACCTCGATCTCAGCATTCGAGCTCAATATTTAAAGACTCACACTCCACTGATAGCAAGGGTTCGCGCAGTCGCATCCCTCGACCCACCTCACTGGGCTCGCTGAATGCCGCCAACAAGGACCAAGTTGACCTAATGCGATCAACCTCGCAAAAGCCGACTGGAAGCCAGAGCAACGTCTTGAAAGTACGGACACCTTCACAGTTGAATGCCTCTCGAACACATACACCCGATCGATCGACCAAGTTCTCAGCATCGAGGCTTGGGACAACGGCCAGCAATGCCTCCAGGGCTGCTTCCGTCACGAAGCGTTCTACACCTCAAGGCACCGTGCAATTGAAGATATCTCCTACAAAGAGTCAAAAATCAAATGCTACTCCAGAGTGGAGACGAAGGTTGGTCAACGGAAAAGATGGATCAAATGAAGGGTCAGACTTGCTCAGCCCAAAACCCGTTGGGCTACAAGGCGTCTTCAAACCACCTACAATGAAGGGAAAGGCGCAGCATAGTGCTATAAGCAAAAGGAAGAGTGCAAAAGACCTAAAAGAGCAAGGTTCGCAGCAAAAGCACCCTACAGGACTGAGGCAACCCCGAAGGAAAGAGGAGGCGGTCGAAAGCAGGGCAAACCCTACATATGAAGCTTCCTTGCCGATGACTACTGTACAAATGAGGCAAGACATTTCGATTGCGGAACAAGATGTTAAGCAAAAGGGACAGGAACCAAGCCTCAATGATGCTAGTCTTAGCAAAAGTAACGACTTCAGTCCAGTACTTATCTCAAAGCAAAACACAGCAGACGGGGGAATTAATTATGAAGCAATCGATGACTCAATGCATCGCTTGAGGTCGAACATGGAGCAATTTCGATTGGAACATCAGAAGCGCTCAAGCACCCCAGTAAGCGAACCCGAGCGTCCTCGTTCATCAATGTCATCTACTGGCCGATTAAATAACGGTCCTACGAGCTGTGAGGTAACCACTCAATCGTTACCTGATAACTTATCGGTTGGGACCGATGCTTTCACTGTTAACGGAGGCTTTGTGACTACTCGCCGAGGAGGTTACTCGCAGGATGACTCTTTTCACCAAAAACCCCTAAGCCCAGGTTCATCATCTATAATGGCCAATGTACACAACCCGCAGGGCAGATCTCCAGGAGCCCAGCCAGCTGAAACCACCTATACAGACACCGTGGCAAGAAAAGAGCCTTCTTCGCCACGGACACCTGCACGAAGAGAGCAGACCACACAAAGCAGTCCCGAGCGACCTCGGTCGTCAGGCAGCCCTTTGAAAATTTTCGGCAAATTTGACACCTTTACTAACGAGCGATTGCTTCGCCGAATGAGCAAATTTGAGGAGGCATTAATCGAAGATAAAGATGCTGATAGTAATATGGACAATCACGAAACTTCAGATGCAGCAGCTCGCAAGGCTGACGTGGATATTCTTCCTCAACGAGATGGATCAAATTACCGCAATGCATCTAGAGTCAGTAGTTTTGGAGATGGTGAGCTCGATGAATTCGTCTTCTCTGATGCTCAACAATTAGAGCCATGCCTCCCTGAATGGCCAAGTCCTCCTCGCCAAGAAGAGCGCCTGGTTTCCTATTCGAGGCGAATGCCTACAAAAGGAAAAGATCACTCGATCGTGAATCGAGCACTCGAACCAGGCTGTGAAACCCAAAAGTCTCTTTCGCTTACCAACCACAGGACAAACGCAGATCAAATGAGTACATCTGAGGACAAAGGAGAGGCCTCTCAAAAATCTGAGGTTTCCTACTCTATCAATGGGAAGCGACTGCCACAGTCTCCTGCCAAGGATCCAATACCAAAACGCCGTCGGACAATACATAGTTCGGAAGAAAGACGCATGGCACCCGAAGGCCCGATTGAACATTCCGGCCAATCCTCAAAGCCAGTGGTAGGGCGAAAGCGGAAAGACGCACTTTATGACAGCGAGCAACAAGCTGCCGATCCAAAGTTGCTCGCAGCCAGGCAGATTCGTCGTCCCAGAAATCCTACGCCAAATCAAGCTTCATCATCTGTAATGGAATCACCATCTCGGAAAAACAAAGAGTTTTCAAACCTTCAACCTTACCATGGTGCCAACGGAGCGAGTACAGGCGTTGATCCACCTACTCAGATAGTTGCGGGTGCTCTTGCCACTGTCGCTCTCAATACTGCCCAGGACATGACCCATGGTTCTCGTAAAGCGTCTATAGCTACCGCCGACTTTTTCAATGAAGCCCAGCAAATAATGCGATTAATAAGGGCAGACAAGCGTCCTCAGAGCAGTCATGACTCAGCAGACACCCCAGATATAGGTCAACAGACGATCTACGAAGAATCAGTCTTTCCCGAATCAACAAGGGACAACTTTTCGCGCCCTCCAAGTCGTGAGGGGAGGTTGAATCCAAACCATACAGACCCACCAAAATCAGACGCAAGGATAGCTAGTCAGCTACGCAAGTTTGAAGATGAAGACGATCTTGGTCTAGCGCTCTCCTCATCGCTCAAGTTATTGAACGTAGGTCGCTCCAGGGTGGCGTCAGATGCCTCTGTTGTACACAATCACATAGCATTCGGCGAAGAATACGAGAATGATCCGCCCAATGCCAGGATCATTGACTCCCTAGGCTATGTTCAACCAAATGACCGTGAACTAAGCAGCAACAGCCAGAGAGAGTCTCAACGATCGAATGGATCAACAAAGCATTCGTTTCCCACGGGATCATCTGGAAGCTCGCGCAACCGTATGGTCATAGCTCCTGAAAATGTTGCTCACTTACTCTCAGACCAGATCGCTGGCATGATCTTCGACCGCAAGCGTCAGATGTGGGTCAAACGCAAGGGTTCTGGGAGCTCTGAGGAGACTCACCAGGATGAGGTCTCTCCTGATCAGAGCGAGGAAGACTTATTCGGTGACATCCCAGATCTCAGTGTTGATGAGATGGAAGAACTGCGAAGGGTGCAAAATGGCATGTCTACGAGTCATGACACTGACCCTGCTGTGAATGCAATTGAACAACAGGACTATGCGCCACGAACCTTAGCACCCTTTAATTCGAAGAATGAAAGCAACACTATCGAAGAGGCTCGACCTAAGACTGCGGATGGAAAATCAATACCATCAATGGAAGACAGTTCAGCGCGCTCGAGATACTCACATCTTGCATCAAGTGGTCCTATGCCAAGCACTCGTGCAACTTCTTGGGGAGATGACTACTGGCCATCGAAAACTCAAGCCTTCCAACCTCCGGATCTATCCGACGTAGAAGAGAGTGTTGGCCAAGCAAACGAAGAGGAGGTAGAGCACGAGATCAGTATACTTGAGGGACGGGTGACTAAGGCACCAAATCAACAGGCAGATAGAAAGCGTCAAGCACGAGTGGTCACTGTCGCCTTTTCATCACCTCTCGTAGATCAGATGCATTCACCGGACTTGCGCGAGAGTTGGGATTCTGCGAGCCAGTCGTACTTGGGCGGGCTGTTAAGCGACCAACAACAATATTGTCCAAGCTCCAAGACCAAAAGGACATCCATGGGCCTTCTTCAAAGACCCTCTAAACACACCCGTGCTCGGAAAGGGTCTGTGGCTGAGCATGCTAGGCCAATGTCCCGGGTTGAAGAAGGAGACGAAAAGTCCCTAGTTAGATTTTCGGAAAGAGATATCCGTCCCCTTGACCTTGCCATCTCGACTCCGTTGCCCCTTGGAAGAAGCCTCTTGGTACCTCCGGCAACAGGTTCGTCAAGCTTAGGCTTTCAGCTCAGTTCTTTACCTGACTTCACGGTCCACCAAATAGACAGGCCCGTCGATGCGCGACTTGACGCCGTTGCTGAAAGCATCGATTCAAGATCGCTTGCCGTGACCACAAATCATCTTTCCCTTACTGCACGAGACCTCGTCAAGCATTTGACGGACATCGAGCCTTACGAGCCGTATTGGGAATTCGTGCGCAGCATTGACCTTCCGAATCGGGCGTTAACATCCCTCCACATGCTTGATGAATTCTGTGAAAACATCGGGGAGCTGAATGTCGCAAACAATCAGATAGAGGACTTGAATGGCATCCCCTCTGGTGTTCGTCTACTTGACATTACTCACAACCACCTAACGGATTTCTCGGCTTGGCATTTGCTGCAGAACCTGCAGTATCTAGACGCGTCTGGCAACAATCTATCATCGCTTCAAGGCCTCTTTCGTTCATTGCATCTGCGCGTCTTGAAAGCTGACAACAACGCCATCGATTCTCTCTCTGGGCTTGAAGACTTGGACAGCCTCTTGAGTGTGAGACTCCGCGGTAACAAGTTGACTAATGTCGGCTTTGATGACTATGATCTGTAAGATGACCCCATTGGTGAACGTTATATCCAGCACTGATGATTTATCAGGAGACGGCTTATAGACCTCAATTTGAGCTGCAACAACATATTCGAAATACACGGTGTCAACAAGCTAGCTTCCATCAAGACGCTGAATCTCAGTATGTAGAAAGCTCTTTTCCCTCGGGCATATTGACTAAGTTGTTTTTAGGTGAGAACAAGCTTGAGGACTTCACAAGCTCAAGCGAGCTGCCTTACCTAGAAGGCCTAAATCTCGCGGATAACAGACTCTCCTCCATTGACATTGCCCAGGCTCCAAAGCTCAACAGACTCGTTCTTGATCGCAATGCCATCCAATGCATTGACGGCACTAAAGTAGCTCCGCACCTACACCACCTTTCGTGGCGCGAGCAACAATTACCAGCCCACACAACAATCAACTACCAATGCCTTCAGGAAACTCACCACCTTTACCTCTCGGGCAATACAATCTCGTCCTTCGCCCCCACAAACTCTTTCCTCAATCTTCGCACTCTTGAACTAGCCTCTTGCGGTCTCCAAACTCTGTCCTCCGACTTTGGTCAGAAATGCCCAAACTTGCGCTGCGTAAACATGAACTTCAACGCCCTGCGCGACTTAGAGCCATTCCTCGGCATCACGAAGCTGCAAAAGCTGTACCTTGTTGGCAACCGGATAACGCGGCTTAGACGCAACGTAGCTATATTGAGCCGGCTGGGCGCTGAAGTAAGCGAACTAGATTTGAGAAACAACCCACTGACAGTGGGCTTCTACACCCCCGCACCCAACCACAGCTCGAAAGACGAAGGTGCAACCAACGACCAAGGCGAGAGACGACTTGTGCTGCAGAACCATCATCACGCCCACAAATCATTCGAAGCAGACAGCAAATCTTGGGAGGGTGAGATTGCTGAGGGCGGGACGAAGTATTACCTCCTTTCCCTCGACGCTGCGGAAGACACGCGGTTCAGAGAGCGACTAGATGAGGATACGAAGATTAGAAGGAGGGTGTATGAGATGATGCTCGTACGGGCCTCTAAGGGGTTGGAGCGATTGGATGGACTGGAGGTGGATCGGGAGCGCGTGGCGGAAAGGGATGGGATTGCGGAACGATTGAGGGAATTATGTGTTTTAGGAATGAGAAGAGAGAGGGGAGAAGGGGGGTTCGTGGTAAGAAGTGATGTTTCGTTGAGCAAGCGTGACTACCGAGACTTTTGGCGCTCCATGATGGGCCGCAATGTGGATGTGCCTTCGGGGTTTTTGGGCAACTTCTAGACAATGAGCGGATGCGTGTGAAGAGTGATGATTTGGTCTGCTGGCTTAAAAGTCCAAGGAAGGATGCATAGCAGCGTTGTCGGTTGTTGGTTTGGCTACGCGAACTATGCTCTAACGAATCCGTATCTCTGGTCCTTGACTTGCAATCGATCATCGTGTCTCGTAATGGTGATGTTGCTCTTGTATCGAGAATTCTGTCTTCGAAGTCTTCGAACCCTATCTTTTACCTGTTAGAAACAGATAGCTGCCTGAAGGGTCTGAAATTGTTGAATAACTTGTTGAAATGGACGACCGTGACCGGATTGTCAAGTCACGTATATATTAGTTCCTGCTTCATGAAAACGTGCTATTGCCTCTCTGTAGGTTCAATTTTGTTTATCTAGGGGGCTCCAGGGTAGTACGCACGATGCGAATTCAGCCTAAGTTTTGTGCTACCAGGCCATTATTCCCCGACTCTAAATCGGAAATTACCCTCGTACATCATCGAATCGTAAATTCGTATCGGTCATAGACAGTGAAACACTTGGCTCGCTGGCCGTATGGCTGAGACTGTGCTATATAGTCTGTCATCGCCGGAGTAATATGGTACCTCGAGCAGAATATCTGCCGATTGATTTCTTTCAGCTACTCAAGGTCTATGGAAAGAATAACAAAAACAGGGAGGAGGGAGAGAGGGGGAAAAAGGGGGGTCCCTCACCTTCATTAGGGTTGTACCACCGCAAAGTGATGCTTTGGCCTGACCTTTGCTCCTTACCTCTTGCCTTCATGATTGCAACTCTGATGCGTTCGGTAAAAGGGTTCAATTGCGCGGGGATGCAAATTTCCAAAGCCTCATAATTATGAAGTCGGCGAGTCTTCTCCTTGATAGCTTTCTGCGCTAATCTCAGAGACTTATCTAGAAGTATCGACTGCTGATCGTTGGCTTCCCTCCCAGGGAAGTTTTTCAGTGATACGCTCTGAATTGAAGCCGGCAGTAGCTCGCCAACTATCCTACCTAGCGTGATCAGCGATATTTCTCCCTTTGTGAAGTCTAGGTGGAGAATTTTCAGGTTCCTGAAAGAGTGCAAGAAGTGTGTGACGAACGACTGAAAGCGACCTCGTAGGGAGAGAGTCTGCAGAGTGACTCTAGTAGGCGGGCCAAGAATGTCCTGTAAGCGACTCTTGCAGAGGTCCTCTTCTCCCGAATCGTAGACACATTCGCGGACATCTTTGATGCGATCTAGAAATGGTAAGCGATTGAATCCCTTCGCCCCACGAGCGCAATCGTCTGTATAATGAAGTTTCCCAATTGACCAGCGCCGCCCAGTCCCATGTTTGGGCGCTATGGACCGCACGTCTGTCCACAGATCATAGATGAGGGGTTCCGTGGCTGTTAGGTCGAAAGCCTCATTTGAATAGATGTCGCCCACGCTTTGGAGCTCAATGGTCCAATAGTCTCCATCCCAGTCGGGATTTCTGACCCTCAGTCTAACATGTTTGAGGCGTGGAAAAGGAGTCATAACTTGTGTTGTTCCTATCTCTAGCATTTTTTCAAAGGTTGGGAAGCGCCGCGTCTCAAAATTGAGAGACACACGATTTAGATTCAGAAGATGGGGAGCAAGTAAAGGAAACCAAACATTTTCGAAACTCGTAGGATGATTCTGGAGACGGGTCAAATATTCTCTTGTTTTGTAATGGGAAGCGACCCATGGGTTTGCAAGCAACGCAGAATGACATCGTTCGACACTTTCTTCATTGAAGATTCGGTCCCGTCGGCCAAAAGTAACTTTGTCGAGGTCCAGACTGCGAATATAATGCCCGATATGTGGATTGTTCAGTGCCTTGACCACCATGTACGGGACAAGTAACCAGCGACCTCCGTCACCGTATCTTTTATGACGACGAATGAGCTTACGATGATGTGGTAGTAAAGGGCTCGTTATCCTGTATAGCCTCCTCGACGTTGATGCAAAAGATTCGAGATCAGCCGGCAGCACGAAGAAGGCAACAAGGGCGAGGACCTCTTCTGGGAGCGAAGAGAAAGAGGTCATGGCATTCAGTCAGTATCAAAATGACCTCGCACAGAGCTTCGTGAGGATATCGCCTTTTGGGCTTTGAGCGCTGTTAAGGGCGAGTTCAGGGCGAGTTATAGGGGGTCACCCCCGAAGCCTCCCCTAAACAGCCCGGGCAGAATTTGATTGGTTGAGAATTGAGAAGGTCCGCTTCTTGGTGGTATGACATACCGTGCATTTTTAGTGATTCAAGGACACACGCGCTGTTTGAAATTCCACGAAAATCTGGTCTCAAACGTCAGCAATCCTTCGCTCTCCTACTTCAACGGGATTCCAGCCTTTGAACTGCTCCACTCATGTCGGCGCCAGTGGCCCTCAAGTCGATGCTATCGTGTCAGGATTCCAAGAATGCTGCGTCGTGATAATACGTGTCGTATGACCTCATAACTTTGCTGACCCAGAGAAGGCCATCACGCAGAATGATCTCAGAGGGCTTACTTGCTTGGATCGCTTCGTCAAGCATTAGATCACCGCCAATATGACAGGTTCGCGCGATGATGAGAGGCTTGAGCGTTCAGCTTCTCAGCTGTCGACCGCTTCGCGCAGGTCTGGGACCGTTCGCGCTCCGTCCAGAAAACAGTCACTCGTCACCCCAGCTTCGGCCAAAACCTTAGAGTCATTTCCCTCACTTTCTCCAGAAGTTTCGCCCGCCGCCAAGCGCGCATCCTTGCCCCCAGATCCCTCGGCATCTGTCAATGACCCTCCAAAGGAATCGCCAGGACTGCCTTCTCGAAAAGACCTGTCGATGGTGGCAAACTTGGTCCATAGAACGAGCTCGATGCAAGGCAGGACAGCTCTCTTTGAAGAGAGCCGCAGCATCGAGGCAAAAGGGGTGCCTGGAACATTACATCACGCGAGCGATGAGCATATACAAAGACTTGTGAAAAAGACTGGCGCTGTGGCTCTTGTGAGACAGCTTGCGGCGGACGTGGCACATCGGGATGCTGAATTAACACTCCTCCGAAGGCACGCCGAGGAGAGAGAGCGCGAGCTCAAGAAGATGCTTAGAGAGGTCGAGGTTTCGAACTTAGATATAGAGAAGAGGCTGCATCGAATCGACCACAAAGAGGAGGGTATTGCTCCGGGCTCTCACACCGAGGGTTCTGCAAAGAACAAACCTCCGGTAGCAAAGGGCAATGGCAAACCGACAGAAGGCGCTAGAGGCATTGACGAGATGATGGGCGAAGCAATGGATGACGATGTTAGACGACTTGAAATAGACGAGGGCTATCTGGACTCAGTCACGGACAATGACAAGCAAGCTACAGTAAAAGCAAAAGGTGGTCCCTCAAGAGAGTCCGACGGACAGTCTGTGGCCTCCAGCATAGACTCGCAAGGACAACCTCGGGGAACTCTCAGGGGGTGGAAAGGTTATCTGTGGGGCGGAACAGGAAGAAGTCGGAAAACGAGCAAAGCGAGCAGCGTGGTCAGCGAGCAAGAGCAGAATCGCGAGGCTGGTGGGAGAACGCGAGGTTCAAGTGGCAACAGTACGCGCAGAAAAGGATTGAATGAAGATACTTTTCAGCCGCTCACTAAGGCTTCAACTGTAGACAATGGGGCGCCACAGGATCAATCAAGAAAATCGTCAGTCTCTGTTACCTCGTGGACGACGAAACTTTTCGCCGGAAATCCTGCTGGCTCAAAGGAAGCAGAGAACCAGGGTACTGTGCGGAACCGATCAAATACGACTGGGAGTGAGAATGCAAGAGGTTCAAGATCAGGTTCGACAGCATCTGGCCCCCCGCCGCGATCCGCAAAGGCTGCGTTGATGAGAGTCAGCAGCATGGAGAATGGCCGTCTCTCAAAGAAGTCTGTGTCAAACCTACAACTTGGTCAGAAAGGAAATCCGAAAACCCAGATTCCGCCTGTCCCTCCACTGCCGAGCAGTCCAGCAAGAGCTGAAGCATCAACGAACCTTGGTCCCGTAGAGATGGATACGATTCACCCATACGATTCAAAGCCGCCGACACTTGTTCAAAATGGGGACAAAACTTCAGATGATCTGCTTACGGATCGATTTGGTTTCATCTACGATCAACGGCGTAGGAAGAAAGAGGCCGAAGCCTCCATCAGCCATAAACGTGGAAAGTCGACAGCGAGTGCTAACGTTGAGATGATCAACAGTTCTCGAGCATCTATGAAATCGCCGGGACCTGAACAGAGGTCCCAGCTCTCTGTACCTGATCCATTGCAACGATCGATGTCACCGAATTCCAATGATGAGGCGAGTGAAGAACGGCCAGCGAAGAGATGGCAAGACTACCTCAAAGTTTCAACAACGCCTACCGAGTTGCTCATACACACACCATCTGCTAAGCCAGGCATAAATGTCATCAATGCTGATACATCTACGTCACCTATCAAGCGGCTACCCACTCAAAGCGATCTACGGAAGTCCGGACCACCAGTCAGCACGAATGCGGAGCCAGAGATGTCGCCAGTGACGGCCGGAAAGGCCGAGATCACAAGACAAACTTCTAGCAAAAACCCAGGACACGTAGCGAGTGCCGTCGTAGAGGAGGAGCCCGTAAAGCTCCTTTTAGCTCAATTGACTGAGCTTCATGACGCCTTGCAACGTGAGAAGACTGTGAGGTGGAACGAGTTCCTTCGCAAGGTACGTGCTGAGCGTAAGAAAGAGGGCGAGTTGGCTGCAGCAACCGACGGCCGATCGCAGCAAGCTGCCATGCCTGAGATGATGCTTACTGATGGGGAGGTCATCGGAATGTCTGGTCTTGGCAATAAAGGCAAGGTGGGAAGAGCGAAATGGAAGGAGTTCAAGCAGCTTGTACTTGGTGGAGTTCCTGTGTCATATCGCGCAAAAACCTGGGCCGAATGCAGTGGAGCGGCGGCGCTACGAGTTCCAGGCTATTACGACGAGCTTATACGGACTGGAATCGATGACCCTGCCGTCATATCGCAGATTCAAATGGACATTCGTCGGACTTTGACCGACAATGTCTTCTTCCGAAAAGGGCCTGGCGTGGCAAAATTGAATGAGGTGCTCGTTGCATACTCGCGCCGGAACCCAGATGTCGGGTATTGCCAGGGTATGAATCTAATTGCGGCCTCTCTCTTGCTGGTCATGCCTACTGCCGAGGACGCTTTTTGGGTTCTCACAAGCTTGATCGAGAATATCTTACCACAGCACTATTACGACCCTTCGCTCCTGGCCTCACGTGCGGACCAACAAGTTCTAAGGGCATACGTGTCTGAGCTACTGCCAAGATTGTCCAGTCATTTAGATGACCTAGGCATTGAACTTGACGCCCTGACATTCCAATGGTTTCTCTCAGTTTTCACAGATTGCCTCTCGGCAGAAGCTCTCTTCCGTGTCTGGGATGTAATATTCTGCTTCAATGATGGGAGCACCTTTCTCTTCCAAGTAGCTGTTGCTCTACTGAAGCTCAATGAAAGCCAGCTGCTTGAATGTGACTCAGCAGCCAGGGTCTATGGCTACATTGGTAACGAGATGACCGATCATGCTATCAGTATCGATGGCCTAGTCAGTGCCAGTGACGCACTGAGGAATGTCATCACGAGAAGGGAAGTCGAGGAGCGGAGGTGGAAAGCAGTAGAGGAAGCTCGAGGACGAGAGAAAAGTGGCAGGGCAAGCAGGAGTGGTAGTAGTGCTACCAGCGCAGCGGAATTGAGCATGCAAGAGCCGCGACCATTTGAGGATAATGGCAACGTCAATATTGGCGGAAAAGCGTGAAAGTGCATGATACTTCTGTTGGTTTTAGTATGATACCCCATGATGAGGTCTACACGACCAGCGTCAAGACGAACGTCCTGAGGACCTCGCCGTAGAAGATAAACAGTCATTGAATGTGCATCAACCTCTTCTACTACATTCTACTTTTCGTATGTCTGCTATAAACATTACTCTATCTCACTATTGTTCAACACTACTTCTCGTCCGCGGAGACCAGACGCCCAAGCTTGGCTTGGACTTCTGCTAGGACAGGATGATACTGAAAGAAGCTTACTTCAATCACAATACTATAAGAAGGCCTGACCTTACCTTTAGTCTGCCTTACTATTTCTTTGGTGCAGATGATACGGAAGTAATGCTCCAAAGAGGATGTACCATTAGGAGTCCACCTTCCCAGCTCCGTGGCCAATCAGAACACATGTCCATCGCTGTTGGCTTGCTAGACATCTCCGCCACGCTCCATGATAATTTCCATCGTCAACTTCTCGTATGGGCCCCACCTTGGGGCGGCGTGGCGCATTCTCGCGTTTTCCCTGCGCCATCTTGGCTTGAACAAGTTCATTCCGTAACCAGGCGCGGTGGAGCCTGCCAGCATGGATGATTCTTTGCATCCATTTCCTGCGAGGATGACATTAAGTCATCAAAATTATCTCCTAATTGAGTAGCATGGGGAAAAAACACAAAGTCTTCCAGGGACTTTCTCTTGGCTTAGCGATGCCAAAGCTTTCTGTCTCTTCGACTGCTCTCAAGTAACTAACAGCGTCAAAACAGAACGGGTCAGGGTTGAGAGACCCTTAAGAAAGCTTATGCTTGAGGGGCGCCATCTTGCAGAGTGTCGGTTACCGTTACCATGTCGGGAATTGTGTTGAAACATCACGCTCCCCGCGCGGAGCTCACCACGTCGGTGGAGACAAAAAATGCCAGCTTTGACATACAGTCGGTACTCGACTAGGTGGCCTCGGAATTCCTGTGGTTGGTGTGGCTATATACCACGACTGCCTAGCACAGCGCCGGTAAGCCCCCTTGTCCCTGAATGTCCCGCAGCAGAATCGTCATACGATTGGCCCTACTCCGATGGACAAGGGGCCAGGCAGCCCGGAGAGGATCTGGAAGGAGAGGCGGATGACTCTAAGCCTGCTATACCAGAGCAATGCCATCGTGAACGACCGTCAACATTGCGGGACCCCTGACATAAGCGCGTTGATATTCAGGTCGAGGATAAGCGAGACTAGGCCAGAATTAGCTAGACCCGGGACCCTATGCCAATCAGGACGGGTAGCCTTGGCGGACGGTTTATGGAATTCGATCCATCAACACGTGGACCTGCGAAGTTCGCCAACTGAGGCCCACCACTGCACTGCACATGCACCCACTGCCTCGTCCCAAGCTGACGGTGAGGAAATCTTCCGTGCTACCGATGCTAAATGCTTGGTGGGGCTCGGTGTGCGGGATGGAGGAGCCCAACATGCAGGAAGAGAGCAAGCTCGACAGGAGCCAGATCTATTCCATACGCATGCCTCCAATCATCTGACGGGAGACACCGTTTCTGAGGTTGCAATGAGCCATGGAGACACGGTGCATGTGGCGTAGCTGACCGCAGAAACCTCGATTAAACACTGTCAGCTCGTTCTTGGGTGGGTTGTTATTAGACAAGGGGCTAAACCCTTGCATTTGGGTCTTTCTGAGGCCAGAATCATGCTATACTCATGTGAATATGCAAATACCCGCTTATAGTGGGGGTATAAGTACAAGGTGGGGCCCAGATAGCTCTTCGTTCCTTCATGCAACAGCCTGACCAATAGTTGTAAGGCAGCCACTGTACCATGAATCACACATCACTGACAGCCAGCAGTCAACAACAATGTCAAGTTGGCCAGCAGTAATGGATGAAACCAATCTGCGGCTCAGAGCGTCATGCAACGCCTGCAACGAGTCCAAAGTACGGTGCAGCCAGCAAAAGCCCACTTGCGCCAGGTGTGAGCGTAATGGAGCCGATTGCGTCTACGGTCTTTCACGAAGGACACACAAAGACGCCCCGCCCATCTCGAGCACACCATCGCAGCGGGGAGGAAGGCAGCCGCGGCCAGGAAGGCCACCGCGACAGCAGCCCAACGGGGACTCTCGAACCAACTCCAGTGCCAGTTCCAACACCAATTCTAGTGCCAGTGCCAGTACCAACAGCAGTACCAGTAGCGGTACCAATAGCCACAGTAGAAGTAATACAACGCCTCGATTCGACGGATTTGCCATGCCCGACGAACCGGCCGATATCCCCAATAACAATGCAGATTTCCTCCCTGATTACATGTTTTCGATGGCCCCTGAACCCGACTCTATGCTCGCCGCCCAGCTCCTGGATTTCAGCAGCCTAGTCACCGACAGCACTAGCAGTACCAATATGCCGCCCGGGCCATTCTCAACACCAGGGTTCGACTATGCCAACCCCAAACCCTGGGGACTGGGCTCCCTGTTCGGTGCAAACCATAATATCGACCCCATCGACATGGGCGCGAGCTGGACCCTGAATGGCGAGGGCGAGTGTACTTGCCACGCGGGCGTTACAGAACTGCTGGCGTCAATGCGCCGCGGCGGCAGTAACCACGATCAGCGGCTCTCGCTCGACGCGCAGCTCGTCAAGATGAAGCAATGCATCCTGGCGTCGGAGACATCCATGGGATGTGCGCACGGTCGGGAGGACTCCGAGCCCATCCACATCATGGCTGTCGCCATGCTCATCGGTTACGTCATTGACGACTTCAAGACACTCGCCATCGAGTCCTCGCCGCGCAACTCAGCGGCGTCGTCAATGACGTCGTCGTCGGCCGCAGTGGCCGATATGGCGACCATGGGAGTTTCTGAGAGGGGGAAGAAGTCATCAATGTCAAGCAGGGTTCCCACTCCTATCAGTACTAACATGTCAATGGGAGGCTTTCTGGAGCCCCGCCTGTCGTGGGGCGTGCTAGAGCTAGAAGAGGACGACGAGATGGATCTCCGGCAACGACTGTATCTGCTGTCTTTTCGCAAACTGGAGAGGCTGCTGTCGCAGCTGACACTGTATCTAAGGGATCTGCACAATGCGTGGGCTGGCCTTCCTGACCCGTCGCGGCATACGGCTTTTGTGATTGCGTGCGGTTACACGCGTCTTTGGCTTGAGAAGAAGGCCGGGGATGTGAAGAGGCTGTTCTCCGTTCCTGCGAGAGATGATGCTATGGATTCAGCGCTTGGATAAGCACTGAGTTCCTTTCAGCTGAGACGTGCGATTCGGGATCATTGAATGTACGATGACGAAGGATGAATTAGCTGCTTATATACCCAAATTACCTCGGTTCAATGATGATCAAGACGATTCATAGCTATAAGATTGAGTTGTGAAGAGGCATGATAGCCGCAAACTGCGGAACTCGCCACCCAAAGACCTACCAACAGTCAATTTCGAGGTGAAGTATCTTATGCCTGTATTTGAACAACCTCTCCCGTTCATTGACTTATTGGCCAAGTCACGAACCTGATACTCTCCCATTGACGTAGGGGCAAATTTTGTGACTGAGAAGGCACCTTGATAGGATCTGAAAAGAATTTAGAGATTGGTGGACCGACGAAAACCATGTACTGATCGAAGGTGCAGCGTTCAGTGCGTAAATAATATAGTATCGGAATGAAACCCGACTTCATGAAAGTTCGTAGGGGCCAAAGATGATTGATTCGATTTGAATTTGTAGCAATAAAGTTAGAAAGGAATACTCAAACATGAGAGTTCAGTTGATTTTAAGCTTGGCAACTGTACCAGGCTTGATAATTTGAATAAGATGCGTGAAGATGGAGACATTCATCTCTTCAGGCTTTTCCTGCCCGTCGTCTGTGGAACTCCAGCCTGAGGTGGGGGAACTCTGTAGGTACTTTAAAGGAGATTCTTCCCATATGAACCAAATTAGAAAGAGCTTTATTTAGTGTATAAATCACATCAAGCTTCTCAAATTCAACCGGCATTTGGTTATACCATAAGCAGCCCGGTTTCAGCTCTCGTAGATCTCATGTCTTCTCTACTATGCGCACTTAGACTCAAGGGTAACTATGGCAGTTTTATGATATCGAAGATAGCGGTGAATAAGTCATTGATGTCGATTCAGTGGCGTTGTCGAAGGTGTTGAATACTTCGCGAGCCTCGATACGCCAGATATTTTCTCTAGGGGCCACGTATGAAGTGGATGTATACTTATTTTTATGGAAGTTGTAGCTGATTGATGTCTGTTTTTGAACATGGATCTTAATTTCTTAGTGAGATTTAGACTTTTTCACTATGATGTACAAATACTTTGCTGCTGCGAGAGGTAGTCATCGGTTAGATATCGCTTAGAAGACTCCGACAATAGAAGGGAGAGAAAGATTTTAGTAGATTCGCATTTACCAAAGCATCTGCTTTATTGATCTGAAGTTGAAAGAGACACGATGAAGAGAGCTTCTCTCTCAAGTAGCTAGCTCTACATAATGGACGCCACAAAAGCTGTATGTTATAAGTATATCTACCTCCTCTAGGGGCATCATATAGTTTGAGTTTCCAAGAAGGTTCAATGCATACGAGGCGCCAAAAAATCTACCATTTCATCCCATGACTCACGACCGTCTTCTGGTATATAAAAGCCTACCTTTCCTACTTGAAAGAAATGGCTTAAGACATGCTCTTCACCCTGACGGTCACTAATAAGTACAATTCTTCATATCTGCCTGTCATTGCGAATATATCAGGAGAAAGAGCTACAAAATACGGTCATACAACGTTACAATGAATCCATTCCTTTCAATTCCAGAAATGTATGAGGAAGAGATGCGAGAACTTATCAGGGAAAGAGAAGGTCTAGACGACAAAACAGGCCCAAGGAAGGCACCAAGAGTTAATACAGTCACGTTGTTGTTCCCTGAACACGGCAGCGAGGAAAAAACAGGGGCGCTCAAACCAGAAGAGACATTAGAACAGTACCACAATGAACGGCTCCAACAAGGGTTAAAATATGTCACCACAGAAGCAAAAACAGATATCATACCGCGAACGCGAGTATTCCTCGAAATTGCCCAGTGCGCTTATCAAGTCGCTCTACAAACGAAGACCAGAAGTGCTTGTGCAGTTGTACAGGCAATGGATAGCGCCTATTATTACCGGCCTTGTTTCTTCAAAGCTGCCTCGCCACAAGATAACGAATGTTTAAGTCTGGAGTTGAAATTACGACGCTTAGAATTGTCCGTCAATTATCTCGATTATTCGAATCAAGATGATAGTCCTCGTGCAATCCTAAAGGAAGCAGCAATCGATACAAGGGCGGAGACTTTTTGACTCGCTCATGCCAACATAGACGATCTCAAAAATCGTCTTTACATCAATTGCGATATCTTGGGCATCGACCCAAACCACATGCGAGAGCTCATCAACGAATATAACAAGAGAAATGTAAATCTTGGTAGTCAAACGGCTGAACACATCACGAATTGTTACTGGACCGATCTCGCGATACAACTTAGCCGGGATCTCAACGAGCTGCTTAATGTGTGCTCGGACCGGGCTACTGCTGAGAAATACGAAGAGATCATACTTGGCATCCAAGCGGAGTATTTTGAGGATATTAGGGGGTTTCCTGATCCGCGACACTGGTGGCCGAATGGTAAGGCAAGAATGTTGACGACAGAAAGATACGGAATAGAAGGGCAAAATGACAATCAATAGGGTAGGAACGACACTTGATTCTTCCGGTAAGCGAGGAGGCAAACATCTTGATCGACAGGTGATGCTACTAATCTTGCCAATAGCCATGGAACATAGAAGTAAGATTGTAGGACATCTTCCTCCTTTAATGCGTCACAAACAGTTTCAGTAGCCCTTTCGATAGGCTGATCCACTGCTCAAGAGTCACTGTTAGTGGCAAAATTCACAAATTGATATTCAACTTTCAATTCAAATTAGACTAGATATTCAGCATCCTGAATCGTCTGAAATGCTAGCACTATGTCAAAACCACCCAAAAAGTTGGCACTTGAAATATAAAATCTCACTGAAAAGTTGATTGAACCCCAAATTGTACTACTAGCAGATGTTTTGACCCTTAGAAATGGCACAACTATCAAGGATGTTGATTGGCCGATCTGTCTTGAATACTACCCTTTCACCAGGAAGGCTACTAGACGTGAGAAGCCGGCGAGATATCGATTAGAGTCTCAGTAGCTAAGAATGATTAAATGCAGGATGATGACTTTGAGGCCTATGTCCACGGTTCTGGGAAAGAATCTCTCGCACAAGTTGCAAGTCTTTCCTATCAAATCATGTCTGCTACCTCTTCATCCCTTGGAACCTGCTTAAGAAAAGACCTACGAGTATCTCAGGAACAGGGGAGCGCTTTAACATCGTATTTTCAAAGACCACTCATGTATAGTATATTGGCCTTTGCAATTTCGTGATGCGAATGCATTCTTCTTGCATAACTGCCGGTGGTACACGGCGGTGGCTATGCTCGGCTATACCTGCTGAAGCGTGTACTTGAATCCAAGTTTCATAACAGAGTGATGAAATTTCGATCAAAATTGCATTGTGGTCAAGAGCGACTTCCCCATAGAGTAGGATTTTGCTGTTGCCATCGACGTTACTGTGGACCGTGTACGGCTTCGCGCTTGAACAATCAAGATGTCTCTACATCAAAGCCCCATATGTAAACCTTTCTTTATTTAATGCACCTGTATCACCGGGGAAATTTTCGAAGTTGCTTCTGTTGAAATCTAAAAACTGGAAAGAATGAATAGCGTAGCTCTATAACTCTAATAAAATTACACATCTCGACCAACTTCGCCACCAGAAGCTCACGCTTGACCGCTAATTTTCATATACTCCATTAAAACGAAATCCCAATTTTTTCCACATCACGAGGGCACCAAAGCCTTGGGTAAGACCGTGCTTTTAGCTGCCAATTTCGCTGCGAAGATCGATATTGGCACACCAGCCAACACGTCGAACACCGTAACAGTAGTCTTGAACTCTTTCAGCGCCCAGTTCATTAGCTCAATCGCCACCAAACTGTCGATACCATAACTGTGCAAGAAGCGCTCGGTATCAATCTCTTCAACAGGCATCTGCAGCATCTTAGCAACTTGCTTGACGAGTGCATTGGTGACAGCGGTAGCTGCCTCCTCGAGAGATTCCGCTGCTGCGATGAGAGTATGTGTTGGTGCTGAGGTAGAATCGGAGGCAGCCCCGCCAGCGCTCTGGTTGCGCATGCCGGTGAGAGCCATGACGCTGAAGCGCTTGCTGTCGAGGTAGAAAGGAGGGTCGATTCCTGCGGCGACGGCACTGCCACCTGTGGCGAGACCAGTCATGACTTGCGGCCCACCTGTACCTTGGATATCGCCCTCGATGGCGCGTTCCATGAGAGCGTGGAACTCGGGCTCTCGAATACCGTAGGGCTTTTCCCAGTCTCTCAAGGTCTCTGTGATGCCGGTCTCTGCTAACACACCAATATCGCGCATGATGCCGAGATCGACTGTTGTGGCGCGCAGTCCTTGAGCACGACGGTGATGAGCTAGCGCGTCTTCGTAGGCTCCCGCGGCACCATAGTTGGTCTGCCCACGGTTGCCGTAGACGGCGGCGAAAGAGCTAAGGGAGACGAAGAAGTCAACGTTGGGAAGACGTTTGGATAGGTTCCAGCTGCCTTGGACTTTTGGACGTGTGGCCTCAAGCCATTGCTGGTGCGACATGTTGACAAAAAGGGTGTCACGGAGGACCATAGCGCCTAAAAACGGAATTAGTCAATGATTAAGTCTCAGTGCTTTATGGTCCTTACATTGGAAGACACCACGAATAGTGCCAAGTTCTTTTGTGCATTTGGCGATCGATGCGGCGACTGCGCTGTCGTTGGCGACGTCGCACACAAGCGCTTGTACCTGGACATTGAGGTGCTCGAGGTCGTGGACCAATTCCTTTGCGCCGGCGGATTTGGCGCCAGATCGGGACAAGAAGCAGATTTTTCGGGCGCCGAGCTCAACCAATTTCATTGAGAGACTCCTTCCAAGTCCTCCGAGGCCACCAGAGAGCACATAAACCCCTTCAGGGTCGAGCTGAAGGGTACTCCTGGGGGGTTGGACAACCGGTACGACATCGTCGTCGCCCCAGGTAAAGACCTGCTTACCCAGATACTTGCCCGCCTGCATCTGACGCAAGGCACTCTCAACTTCGGAAATAGGGTGGCTGACAAGCGGTTCAATCGGCTTTGATATTCCGCGGCGGAAATAATCGAAGGCGCCCTCGACGATAGTGGCAAGGGTCTCTGGCGTGCTCTCCTCAAGATGATTGAGATTGAAGAAAGAGAACGTTGCATCTTGCTTGAACGGATACATGTCTAGGCCCGTGTTGGCAAGGATATCTCGTAGACCGATCTCGATAAAGTAGCCAAACGGAGCGATGCAGTGCCACGTTTGGCGAAGAGCTTCACCTGCGAGTGAATTGAGGACAACGTCGACACCACGCCCTTCTGTCATGCGTTTGATACCCTTTCCGAAATCGAGGCCTCGTGAGTTAAAGATGTGGTCGTCGGGGATCCCATACGTGCTACGAAGTAACTCCCTCTTGGTATCAGATGAGACAGTTGCGAAGATTTCCATTTCGAAGTGTCTCGCAATCTGAATAGCTGCTTGACCGACTCCACCAGCAGCAGCATGAATGAGGACTGACTGTCCTTTTTGAACTTTAGCCAGCCGCACAAGCGCGTTCCACGCTGTACCATGGACTGCTGGGACAGAGGCAGCTTGCTCAAAGGTCATTCCCTCGGGTATCAAGGCGCAAAGCTCTTCTCGAGTACGATGAATAGTTCTGTGCGAGCCGTGACCGTATACTGCCACTCTATCACCGACCTTGAAGTTCGTTACATCACTGCCAATCCGACGGACTATGCCAGCTGCGTCAAGACCGAGTTTCGAATCGGGGAGCTGGCCCATCGCAGCCATAACGTCACGGAAACTAGGGTAGTGTTAGCTTGCTAATATATATGTTTTCTTCTTTACGTGAATGATTACTTACTTGATTGATGAAGCCTTCACCTGGATCTCAACGTATTCAGGCTCAAGCACTGTTCCAGCAGATTCATCCAATACCATACAAATTGAATCGAGCATGCCTGGGGTCTGAATGCTCATTTTCACACCGAACTGTAAGTCTTTCAGGGGCATATCAGTGATATTACGGGCTGTGCCGGGAAGCAGGTCATTGATCTGATCGTTCAAAGCAACGTTTTCTTCGATACGGCTAACGTGCAAGAGGTCATCCTTGACTGAATACTCGTCCTCTTCAGACTCCGAATTGAATGCAATGCTAATCAACTTAGCCAGGCGAGGGGTGGAGGAGAGAGAAGCCCCGCCGGCATGGAATGTGCGAAGAGATAGACCTGGTGTCTCGTTGCGTACGACTCGTGTCAGGCCATCAATCATACTCGAGCTCGGGTCGTCAAAAGCAGTGACCCAGAAAACGCCTGCCGAATTTAGGAGAGTTTCCTTGATGTTCTCGAAGTCACTCTCGCCGAGGTCCTGAAGGATAGATTCCTGTAACTCGAGTAGGGAGATACATGTCTTGCCTGCAAGTGTGGATACGTCAGAGCCCCAAGAAAATGTATCGATCTCGTAACCATCATCCTGGAGAGTTGTGCTAACATCAGACGCCACTGCTCGAGCCCTATTGCTTAATTTGGCGGGCTGGATGAGTGTGATGCGATCCGGGTCAGCATGCCCGCTTGTACCATTGCTGCTGTCGCTGGGCAAGCTCTTCTGTCCTATGACATAACTGTGTTCTGCTGAGTGGAAAACTTTCGTGCGTATTTCCTTAGCATATGATCTTGACTGGACCTTAGCGACAGCATTTTTATCCGCATCAAAGCACACCTTGCCGCCGGGCTTCAGAACCTTCGCAATGTTTGAGAGTATAGTCTCTGTGTGTGAATCGAATGAGCTGAGATCTGATAAAATGACCACATCGTAATTTCGTTCTTTGAGCGACTCTGATGAAAGTTCCTCAGTGAAATCTAGGGACTCAATGATGGCATCCGGGGCGCTCTCATCTAGCTTGGTCTTCAACTCAGCATCTCTCCATGTGATAGTGACCTCCCCGGTACTAAGTATGTTAGACAGGTCACCGCTAGCAAGCAGGGAGGAATCGTTTGCGATCTCTAATACTGAGAGGGCTGGATTTGAATGGTGAAGGAGCTTGACATATTCGGCCACCTTTTGCGTCCCTTTATAGGGAGCAAGAGCCCGCTGAAGTTCATCAGCCGGCAATAGGTCAATGGCAGGCCTCCACACTAGCTCGCTGGTGATGGATTTAGGTAAAGCCTGTGTGTTGCCTGCTGAGCCGCCGGCGACCTCGGCGCATAAAAAGCCCCGAATATTGACAGCCGGAAGATGTTCATTGTCATCTAGCATGGTGATATCAGATTTGAGCTCACGGAAGCCATGCTTCGCCGACGTTGCAAACCCGGGGAGCTTGACTCCTGGGGCCCAGGGAATGTAGGCAGAGACGATGACCTCGTCAATCGACTTAGGTACCATGGCCGTGAGCGGGTCGTCACCCATAATGGCAGCAAATGCAAGGTGAAAAATAGCATCTAGAGTGCCTGGATGAATGAGGTGAGGTCTGTCGCAACCTTCGGGTATCGAAGCGGGCACGTCTGGAATCTCCACCACTCCATAACTCTTTCCGTTGCCATTGCGGACTTCGCGGACATTAGCAAAAGTGGGGCCGTACTGCAAACCAATTGTGTCCAGATCATTGTAAAACTCTTCGGAGTCAATCTGGCTGGTGCAGGAGGCTTTTGCTTCAACGTAGTGATCCGTCAGCGATCGTAGCTTCAGCGCCTTCTCCTGACCGGCCTCGGAGCCTGGGGCAGGCTCATGCTCGACGATCAGCAGACCAGAGCAATTCTTAACAAGCGTCTTGCCATCAGGCGAGCTGGTGACGGTAAATTCGGTCCATGTGGATGACGAATCACGCGTACTGGCCAAATGAGGCCGAAGTTGAACAATGCACTCCACGTCGGCATCGGCGGAGATTATAGCAGCTGCGGTCAATTGGATGTCACGTAGTCGGAAATATGATATCTGCTTAGATGTGTCGGCGATTTGTGTAATGGCCTCGAGGGCCATAGCAAGATATCCAGCCGCGGGATAGAGGACAGTGCCTTGAATCTGGTGATCGCCAATCCATGGCTCTTCTGCCAGGCGAATAAAACCCCGCCAGATATATTCACCCTCGCCCATGGCGGGGGCAGGTGCACCAATGAGGCTCTGTTTGGGACGGGGTCGATGCAAAAACTCGTTTTCAACGCGGCTGTCATTATAATAGCGCTGGGCGTGCTTCCATGGGTAGGTAGGAAGGTCGAACAGTGGCGCAGCGAATTGATTGCTGGCGTCTCCGTTGACCTGCTTTATGTCCACTTCGTAGCCTTGGGCCCATAGCGCGCCAGCCAGGTTCAGGGCCGTTCCTACCGCGTTTTGATTTCGAGAAACAACTGACTGGTACGGAATGTTGGTGATATTGCGTGCCTTGAGCGTCTGCGTCGTCGGACCTTGGAGCGCGGAATGCGGTCCAAGCTCAACCAGCAGGTCGACAGCGTTCTCGTCTGCGCGTTTGCCGTCCCTCACTGGTCGTAACATATCGTACATTGCGTCGGCAAATTGAACAGGCGAGACGAGATTACGCACCCAGTTCAGCGCCCCCAACTGCTCGGGCTCAATGATAGAGCCCTCGACGCTAGAGTGCATTGTACAGTCTCCAGTTGGATCCAAGGGAACAAGGTCCGCAAGAAGCCTATAGTAGTCTGACGCCACCGTCTGCATATGGGGGGAGTGGTATGCAGTGTCAACCTGAAGTTTCCGTGCGAATATATCTTCTTTCTGAAGCATCTCAAGCAGTTGTTCAATGCCAGTGGTATCTCCAGAGATTGTCACGGTAGTAGGCGAGTTCACACAGGCCACCACCAGCTCACCCTCTGTCACCTTAGCGATCCATTCCGCGGCCTTCTCAGGAGAGAGACTAGCCGCCATCATAGAACCTTTCAGGTGGGGAGATTTAGTCTTCATCTTTGTAGAAAGAATACCACGGTAATAGGCCACCCGCCATGCATCTTCTTTGCTTAAGGCACCCATAGCGTAGGCCGCCCCGATCTCACCGCTAGAATGGCCAGCAACCGCTGTAGGGACAATTCCCCACGTTCGGAGGAGGTCAACCAAAGCAACTTGCAATACAGTGCACAGCGTCTGACTGAACTCAGCCAAATGTAGCTGCGAGCTCGATTTGCCCTTCTCCAACTCTTCTACCGCGGAACGAGGCCATTCACACACCTCCTGCAGATAGCGATCGGCCTCATGTACACGATCTCGGAAGACGGGGTAGGCCATAAGCTCCATACCCATTCTGGGCCATTGTGCTCCTTGGCCAGTGAAGACAAAGCCGATCCGAGGCTGTCGAGAGGACTGCGCGACGAGGGCTGGATTTTCGTCGTCATTCAGCGTCTCAGCAAGCTGATCAGGTGATGATGCAACTGCGTATGTCTTCCACTGGAGTTGGGAGCGCCGATCACTCAAGGTGTATGCCAGCTGCGAGAGGAACTCGTTGGTCCCCTTGTTGTCGCTCTCTAATTTGGCACCTTTGTCCACTGCGTATTTTGCCAGTGGCTCTTTCACGCGCTTGAGTCCCTCCCTGTCCTGAGCACTCAAAACAAATAGTCGCGGTCTTGAGCGGTCTTCCGGAGTAATGTGCGGGGACGTGGTAATTCCTCGTCCTTGGAGGTAGGATGCAGCATCGTCAACGATGGCATGAGCATTGGTTCCGCCATATCCGAACGAATTAGTACTGACGCGGCGCACGCCGTCAGTAGGCCATGGCGTAAGCTGTCTTGCGACCTGGAGATTCCATTCGTCGAACTTGATCTTCGGATTCCCCTTCTTAAAGTTGATGCTGGGTGGAATCATCCCAGACTCAACAGTCAGAATGGCTTTAATAATTCCGGCGATACCAGCAGCTGCCTCAAGATGGCCAATCTAAATGGAGTCAGATATCAACTGCGAATAGGAAAAATTGGACATACATTTGATTTCACTGAGCCAATGATGAGCTTGTTCTTCGATGTGTGGGTCGAAGCAATTGTCCTAGCTAGTGCTGTTGTCTCTTGGAAATCGCCAGCTTGCGTGCCCGTTCCCTAACAACTCAATTAGCCTCAATGGTGTGACCACGACAATGAAGGTGACCTACGTGAGCTTCAATATAGCTAGTGTCGTTGAAATCCAATCCTGCCCCCCGATAGACATCTGTGATGAGCCTCGCTTGCGCATCGGCGCTCGGGACAGTAAAACCTTTCGTGTGCCCGTCTTGGTTCGAGCCACTCCCACGGATGACTGCTCGGATAGGGTCGCCAGCTGAAACTGCGTCGTCCACACGCTTCAAGATTACGCATCCAAAGCCTTCACCTCGACCGTACCCATCTCCAGACTCGTCGAAACTCTTGCATTTTCCATCAGGCGAAATGAATCCCTGGTTTGAAAGGCTTGTGAACCATTCAGGATTGAGTAGTAACGAAGTTCCGCCTACGATAGCGTAATCAGATTCTCCTGTCCGCAAGCTCTGACATGCTAGATGCAATGCCACGAGACTAGAAGAGCACGCCGTATCTAAAGTGAAGCATGGGCCTTGCAGATCCCACAGCCAAGATATGCGTGCCGACAGTGCAGTCGTAGGTGATGCTGTTGCAGTGTTGGCAGGGAGATTATCTGGGTCCCGAATCATGCCCTCTCTGTAGTCGCTAGTAAATGATCCCATGAACACACCCGTTCTAGTTCCAGCAATCTTGTCGAGGGGCAGACCAGCACGTTCTAGGGCTTCGTATGCAACCTCCATCATGATTCTCTGCTGTGGATCTGTGGCCTCAACATCGTTCTTTGGTAGGGTAAAAAAATTTGCGTCGAACTCTGATATATCCTGCTTTAGAAAATGGGCCCCTTTAGCTCTGGTTGCGCCACGGTTCTTCTTTTCCGACCAAAATGCATCTATATTAAAGCGCTCCTTGGGCATCTCTGACCATGCCGCTGCAATCCAAGGTCAGGCTTAATTCTATTTGGTGCTAAATGCTCATTAGGAAAGAAAGACTTACATTTCCCGTCACAAATGGACTCCCAGAAGGTATCAAGGGTGTCGCCATCACCAGGAAACCTACATGACAGACCTGTCACTGCCACAGAGTGACTGTCTGTATTCTTTATCCCCCCCATCTTTCCTCAGAGAGAGTGTTCAAGAGCAATAGCAAGGAGAAAGGATCGGCTGGTCCAAAGCAGGGTGGTAGGAAGAGAGAAATAGAAGACTGTTCAGACCGCCCAGTACTTCTACCATCTGAATAGTATCTCGACTATCAGATTTTCAAAAAGCGAATTCGAACGTGTAGACTCGCCAACACAGATCACAGGGGAATGTAAAACGAGTATACTTTACCTGGATAAGTACGATCTAACATACTTGGAGCAGACAATTTCGGTGACTGCTCGGGCAAATTACGCAGTTTTTCGTGTCCGTTCTAGTGCAGAGAACTGTGGCTGGAGATTGTGAGTAGCCCAAGGGTCCTTTACCACGTTCTTCATCTTTCTCAAAACTATCACTTGGCTTGTTTCATCTATTTGGCTAACTTTCACGCCACACTGGCGAAAGAAGACCCGCCGGGCGAGAAGATTCATGACCGACCCCCGAAAGATGGCGCAGTAGAGGGCTTGTATGGATGAGAGCTGCCCAGATCCTAGTGGTCGCAGGTGTATGGTATTCTGGCGTTGGCAGTCGCGATACCAGGGTCTAAACAAATTCAATCTAGCGTACATCACCGAAATTCTTCACCGAGATTTATTCCCGATATGTATGACCGAAATTCCTTACCGATTCTCTTACCAAGACTTTCTGGATGACGTCCCTGGCCAGGGCCACTGCCCAACGCTCGTCAATAAAGTTCCTCGTCCGACCGTACACGAAAACGTGGTGGTTGGTTGTGCCAAGTCTTAAGGCAGGCTTAAATCCGAGATTAACCCCGATATTTACACGAAATTTATTTACTTGTGAGATTATGTAGTTCATTGCCCTAATCCATTGTAGATTGATGAGTCATTTTGGTCTTTTCACAAGGACCAGCAACTTATGATTCCCCTTTAGTCTATCGAGATAGCACTGTGCTCCTGGTTACTGCTTGGCTCGCACCGCCACAGTCAGGTGGATCGCTTTCAACACATCTTCCTTTCCACCATCCTTGAAGTAGTGTGAAGGGATTATATCATGTCACAGCATTGTATCAATTTTATGCGGAGGCCAATTCTAGATTTAAGCTGGCAATGAGGACCAGGAACGAGCCGCCCCTGACTGTGACTTCCAGTCAGGGGCCTGCACCACCTAGCGTGCGAACCATTGTGGGCCTGGACATGAGAGTAAGGATTGTTACAATAGTGACTATTCAAAATACTAAAGTTGCTACAATATAGCAAGCCCTTTGAATATAAGAAGTTGTTCTCACCCCCGTCAATTTCCATCTCTTGTGCCAAGTTGTGCTGCAACAGCAATTCGACTTGTGCCATCCCAGTTTCGTCACAGTTGTTGACTCCTTGTTCGCTCAGACACTTGACTTATTATTCCAAGAATTGCCATGCAGATAAGGTGCCATCAAGGCATTGTGCTCATCATTTAAAGGCCAATTCTTTAGGGTCCCTCCACATAGTGCACGGATTGTATCGCCAAGCACCACGATTTCGCCTACCAAACCAGTGGTGAATGATGTAAGGCACAAAGAATGGAACTGACGGGAAGTCATGCATACCGCCTTCGAAGGTCCTGTCAGCGGTTCCAAACACAAGGGGGCCGACTCGATACTAAGACAAAGTCAGTGACTTAACAGACTCGCGCATATGTCAAAGTATTTCTAACATTGTCTGTGGCCATAAGCTCTTTTTCGAGACGCTGATAAGCTTGGCGTATACTCTTGCTGTCGTATTTGTCAAGACCTCGCAGAGTTTCAATCTCGTCATGCAAATGTTGGCCTAAAGGCTCCGCAAAATCTTCGATGAGCTCCTTGATCTTCTGTCCGTTATAGTCTTTGGGAGGACAAGTTCGAACGTGTTCCTGAAATCGATCGAATCCAGGCGTGAATGCTCGATGCTGCTCAATATTGCGCTCCATGATTCCGTTGACTTTCGTTATCTGCTCTATGTTTGGAAAAAAGATATTTTCTTCGGAATCATGGTGGTGGTGCATTGATTCACCCCAGCACTGGCAATATGTGAAGAAATCTTGTATAGCATCTAGGTCTTTGGGTGGTATGTGCGACGCTTGGAGGTAGATGGAGTTCAACCCTCGGAGAATGCCGTTGTGGGCAAGTGCCATCTGCGTTGCGACATAGTATGCTGCATGGGAAGACTAAGGTCATATTGAGCGCTGCAAAGGCTATGCATAGAGACGACAAACATACATCTTTGGAGAAGGGATCAGTACTAATGAGAGCATACGGCTTATCTGCCCACTGAGAAGACATGCTAGCTCGTCTAGCAATATTACGGAGCGACGTCAATTCAATAGCAGCAGGGCAAATTCATAGAGTCCTTCAACACAGGCAACCATTAGTAAGCTCGAATCCTATCATTTGAAACGCCGAGGAAAGAACACCGAACACAAACAGCTGCGAGCAGTCTCCGGAACTCTACAGACGAGGACTTAGCTGCGCATTGGCAAGCCACTTTGACTGTGAATGTGTGACGATGTTGTCAGGCTGTAGTTGCTTACTGTGTGGTTGTTTGTCCAGGTCAATAGTCAGACTCCAAGACCCACGAATCAGATTGCGGGGCAGTCATCACCTGTGCGATGATTGGCTCATTGAGCCTGATCCCTGCATCTAATGCTGGTGCTCGGATGATAGATGTTCCGTTCCGAGATTGCCATCATTACCACACCCAAAATTGAAAAGACGAGTGGACCAGCACGTGCAGACAGCGTCCTTCCGGTGCTCAGCGTATCTTTCCACACTGTACTCCACTTCCATCCCGACTGCTGCAGAGCAATCGCATCAGCATCATGTTTCCCGAGGATCATTCGGGTATGCCTTGCCTTGCTCAACCTACGGCCCGGGGCTTAAGCACTCGGTAAGCCAAAGTAATGTGGGGTCCACGACTCTCCAGCATTGCCACGTGCCTAGGCGAGAGCTAGCCTGGCATTAGGCAGGTACAGCAGATCAAGATGGGCCTGATTCACATGGCGGATCATCTAGTGTCGGGCCCAAGGTTCGGCTTACCTAGTCAGGAAACGTCGATGGTCAATGCTAGTGGTTTCAAATGGACCTTCGTCTCTCAGCCGCGCTTTGGAAAGGGGAGAACACGCGTGGCGCAACGTGACATTACTATCGGGGGTCATCTTTTCGGGAATCTGTGTGGCGCAAGAGGACGATGCCTTCGGGGAATCACGTGAGGCGAATATCTGACGCTGTACGAGGTGGTTGGCTACCATCAGCAAGGAAGAAAAGATGTCGGGGAGCGCCAGAACAGGAAGACGGTTCCGGTACGGCGGTACCAGAACATCCAGAGCTGAAACTAGATAAGCACTTAGGCTTGAGGCAGGATGCTTGCTCGTGAAATAAGACCGGTAGGGGATGTCATAGGCGCCGAAAAAGGGGAGCCTTGGATTAAGAGAGTCAATGAAAGGACGACAAAATCGCACATTCTTTCGTACTCTTGAGTGTCTGTTGCACTGAGCGGGTACAGCGATGCATCATCGCACCCCACCTGCAACAATGGGGTCAACACAACCCACCGTCCTCCTCTTTGGGGATGTCACAGACCCATGGGTTGACGGCATGGACTATGTCTGTCGCCAGGCTACCACGACGCCATATCTCAAAGCCTTCTTGGAGGATCTGTTCTCTGCCTTCAAGGCTGAGGTCAGAGGCATGGACCGGTTTTTGCGAGAAAGCTTTGGATCTTGTTCTAATTTCCAAGAGCTTGCCCAAAAGCACCGCCACTCCGGCGACAAGGTCGGCATGGTACATGGCATGCTTCTCTATACAGTACGAGCAGCGCTGCTGTTGAAGTGCGTCTCCTCCCTGACCCTGACTCCAACTCTGCTTTCTTGCTGACCGCCCAAAGAACTGCTGATCGCGAGCCACTGCTGCTCAACCCGGGCGAGGGCACCGAGTCGCATTTGGTAGGTATCTCTGCCGGCATATTCAACGCTGTTGCGGCGGCCGCGTCTGCCAACTTTGGCACTCTATACAGCGCATGCATCGAGGCTGGTCGGGCGTACGCCCGACTCTGCGATGTCACCTTAATTCGCTCAAGAGCGATAGAGGACCGACCTGGAGTCTGGGGCTGGGTCATCATCGACGTCGCAGTAAACAAACTTGAGAAGATACTGGAACAGTTTCAAAATGCCAAGGTACTATCCGTTCTATTTTCCGCAGGCCCGACTGCTTCGAGTAGACCGAGAAGTGTCATGTACTAATCTGAGACGCATGAGTAGGGTGTGCCAATCTCCAAGAGGGTCAAGGTTGCTATTACAGGATTTCGATGGTGCAGTATCGTAGGACCACCTTCGGTTTTAGATCTTGTTTTGAGCCAGTGCCCAGAGCTGAAGAATGCGATGAAGAACGAATTACCTGGCATTCGTGCTATGCAGCACGGCCTCGAAGTCTCGGATGCTGATGTTGACTATGTCGCGGGAGATTCTTCCCTCCACTCCATCGCCCCTCGCCCAGGATACAAGGTATGGGGGATCGCTGGGAATAAAACTAATGCCACATACTCCAGCTGGGGTCAACTGCTGAAAGCTGCAGCCTTGTCAACCCTGTCGCAACGGTTGGACATTGTGCAAGCCGTGAACAAGCTTAGTGCTCATCTCGGGATGTCAAAGCAAGCTGACATCAAGATGATGGGCCCCAGCGGCCACGCAGAGTACGTTATCAACAGCTTGAAGGCTGGGGTTGGCATGGGAACAAGGCAAATATCTGTCGATGATGATCTGGCGGCCCCTTCGTCGAGCAAAGGCGTAAGAGAAGGCGCCATCGCTATCGTTGGTATGGCGGGCAAAGGGCCCAGCAGTGAAGACCTCGACGAGTTCTGGAAAGTTATCGAGACGGGCCAAGACACCTCCCAAGAAGTTCCCAGCGACCGTTTCTCTCTGGACGAGTACTACTGTGAGACGCACGGCGCAGCCCGTTCTCCAGGTGAGGTTAAGTGCACTATGAGTTGCCGACACGGGTGCTTCATCAAGAATCCGGGCCACTTTGACGCCAAATTCTTCCACATCTCACCGCGCGAGGCTCTGCTGATGGACCCAGTTGCCCGCCTCTTCCTGATGAGCGCGTATGAAGCTCTTGAGCGGGCCGGATATTCAGCTGGCCAGACCAGGACGACGGATCCGAACAAGATAGCTGTCTTTTTCGGTGCTAGCGCTGACGACTGGTACAAAGTCAGTCATTCTTCCCTTGGTTGCGACGCATATACACTCCAAGGAATGCAGCGAGCCTTTGGCCCAGGCCGGCTAGCCTTCAATATGAACTGGGAGGGGCCGACCTACTCGCTCGACTCTGCATGTGCGGGCACAACTTCAGCTATGCACCTTGCTAGCATGAGCTTGCTGTCAAAAGACATTGACATGGCAGTTGCGGGCGCCACAAACGTACTATCAGACCCCCATTCTTTCACCCTCCTCAGCAAAGCCGGCGTCTTGTCCAACACAGGAAACTGTAAGACATACCGAGACGACGCTGATGGCTATTGCCGCGCAGATTTCAGTGGCGCCGTCGTTCTGAAGCGGCTTGAGGATGCTATCGCGCACAATGACCAGATCTTGGCCGTTATTGCGGCATCGGCCAGAAACCATTCTGGCAACTCGACGTCTATCACGACCTCGGACGCGAACGCCCAACAAAGACTGTTCAGCAAAACCCTCCGTAACGCGCGATTGTCTCCTCAAAATATCTCCTATGTTGAGATGCATGGAACAGGAACCCAGGTTGGGGACAAGGCAGAAATGGCGGCAGTCTCCAATGTCTTTTCACCAAGACCAGCTGGGCACCCTCTGATCGTCGGAGGCATTAAGGCCAACATCGGTCATAGCGAAGCAGTGAGTACCGCTTGTTATCTTCATTGTCCACTGTTGTTCTTGTTGGAGTTTCGATGGAGTAGACGTTGACCAGTAGAATAGGCTGCCGGAATGTCCTCGATGCTGAAAAGCATTCTCATGCTCCAGAAGGGCATCCTTCCCCCTCAGGCGGGCATGCCCCATGGCCTGAACCCCAACTTGCTCAAAGTTCTACAAGGCGATAGCGGTATTGTTATTCCCTCTGAAGCAACCGAGTTTAAAGGGGTTGCCGACGAGCCGCGACGTATTCTTCTCAACAACTTCGATGCGGCGGCATGTTTTCTCCCTTGCACACCCTTGTGATAGTCACGCTAAGACATAAGCAGGGCGGTAATGCATGTGTGATCCTTGAAGAATACAAGCAAGATCCAGCTAGACACAGTGGAGACGACCCTCGGTCGACTCATGTCATCTCGAGCTCGGCCAGGACACAGTCGTCGTACCTCGCCAATTTGCGTCAACTCGCCAAGTGGCTCCATGCAAACCCCAACGCCAGGATTCAGGACGTAGCCTACTCGACGACAGCACGGAGAGTGCAACATCCATTGAGGTTTGCTTTTGCGGCATCCACATCGCAGAAGGCTATTTCCGAGCTCGAGGCCGAGATCGAGCGCGCCGCCGGCGGTTCTAAGGCGGCCAAGTCCACGTCCACCGACGTCGTCTTCGTCTTCACAGGGCAGGGCTCGCATTACGCAGGAATGGGCGCCGAGCTGTACCGCACAAGCGACGTCTTCCGCAGGACGGTCGACTTGTGCGTTGCGATCTGTGCCTCTAGCAAATTCCCGCCCTTCTTAGACATTATCACCGACAGCTCTATCGACTTGGCGACCAAGGACGCGGCGCAGATCCAGCTCGCTGTCATCACACTAGAGATTGCCCTGACGGCTTTCTGGCGGTCCACTGGCATAGTGCCTGCTATGGTCATGGGCCACAGTCTGGGAGAATACGCCGCCCTGCACGCTGCTGGCGTCTTATCGTTGGTTGACACTCTGCACCTTGTCGGCTCGCGTGCTCGCCTGCTCCTAGAACGATGCGAACCGAATTCTTGTGCTATGCTCTCTGTGTCAGCTTCCGCATCATCAGTGCGAGATCGCCTCGCCCAGCGCAAAGACTCTTCCTGTAGCGTCGCATGTATCAACAGTCCAAGCGCTACCGTCATCAGCGGGACGGCGGAGGACTTGAAGCAGATCGAGGCAGACATAAAGGCTCAGGATTCAAAGACGCGCACTACGACGCTATCTAATCCGTTTGCATTTCATTCGTCCCAGATAGATGCCATACTGCACGACTACAAGACTGTCGCAAGTGGCGTAACTTATCTGCCGCCCAAGGTCCCTGTGGCGTCAACACTTCTTGCATCTGTCGTCGAGGGGCCGGGTGTCTTCAGCGAGGACTACCTCGTAAAGCAAACACGCCAGCCGGTTGACTTCTGTGGCGGCCTTGACGCCGTCAAGTCAACGCTGAAGAATTCGTTCTGGCTCGAGATCGGCCCGGGGCCGGTTTGCAATTCATTCGTGCGGGCCACACTTTCTCCACCACCTACGAAGATCAACCACAGCATCGACGCAAACTCCAGCAATTGGGCTTCCATTTCTAAAAGTCTTGCCATGGCGCACATGAGTGGGGCTGACGTCGACTGGCTAGCACTACACGCACCTTACGAGGGCAACCTTGAGCTGCTGCCGCTTCCGACTTATGTGTGGGACGTCAAGGACTACTGGATTACACATACCGACAAGAAAGCCGGACTGGTCGTTGATGCGACGCAGGCTGCGGCCCCATCGGAGCCTTTCCTCGGCACGACCGCACAGTACCTCGTAGAGAAGACCCTCTCCCCTAAGATACAGGTCACCTTCCGAGCCACTATCTCGGAGCACGGTTTCTTGGGTCTTATAGACGGCCATCAGATGCAAAAGATCGCGCTTGCTTCTGGGAGCGTCTTCAGCGACGCTGCCGCAACAGTTGCCAAATATACCCTCGAGTACAGCGGCAGGAAGGATGTGACTGCGGCACACCTCACTTTCCATGACCCGGAACTTCTCGCTCCTCTGACTCGAGACCTTGTCGGCCTTGACGGGGCACTACTCTCCACAGCCACTATGGAGAGTTCCTCGACCGACACCATCCTGGTTACGTTCAAGGCCACTTCAAAACGTGGCGAATCTCACGATCTCGGGTCGATAAGAGTCGGATATCGCAACCCTGAAAAGGCTCGGACCGACTTGGATCGTGTGTCGTTCTTCATCAACGCCAAAATCGAAGAGCGGATCCGGCTTTCCAAGGAGGGCTCAGGCCACAGGATGCAGCCAAGCGTCTTCTATGCACTCTTCGCTAACGCCGTCGAATTCTCGCCCGACTTCCAGGGAGTCCAAGAGGCATACGTTGCCGATGACTTCCAAGAAGCCGCAGCGACGATTGTGCTGCCACCTGACCCAGTGGGTACCAGCTTCACATCCTCGCCGTATTGGGGCGAGGGTCTGTTGCACCTAGCGGGTTTCATGGTCAACGGAAATCCGAGCAAGTCGCCCGACTCGACCTTTGCTGTTATGGGCTATGACTTCGTGGAGCAGCTGGCCGCCGTCGAACCTGGCAAACAATATATAACGTATACGCGTATCTCGCGGTGGGAAAAGGATACGGCTTTCTGCGCCGCTTATGTCTTCAACCCGCAGACGTCCAAGATCGTCATGCAGGCTGTCGACCTGCGATATCAGGAATTCAAGACAGCCACCTGGCGTCATATTCTTGGCGGTAAACACGGTGGAGGACCCCAGCATCAGGCTGCCACCCCTCGACCACAAAAGCCGGCTGCAAAGGATATCAAGATCAGTGACGATCCGACTGCTCCTGTGGATGTAGCACCAGTGGAACAGGAGACGAGCAAGGCACAGAGTAGCGACGCGGCCCAAGATGCAGGAGTTTTCCAGGTTATTGTGGACAGTCTTGCCACGGCGACTGGAAGCGACGCTTCAGAGTTCACTGACGACACTTTAATATCCGACATTGGCGTTGATTCAATCATGGCTATCGAGGTCGTTGGGGTTCTCAAGGAGTTGGACGTCGAACTCTCTGCCGCGTTTCTCTTCGAGTATCCCACAATCGGTGATCTCCGTCACGAATTCGGTGGGCAGGCCGCCAAAGCTCCCCAGGACGAAATCAACGCGACACCTTCTAGCAGTGCAACTGCTTCCACCAGCACAACGCCTTTCACCAGCGTAACGCCTTCCACAAGCGTGGCGCCTTCCACTAGTGCAACTCCTTACATCAGCAGGAAGACTTCCAGGGAAGATGTCCCAAAATCAGACGAATCAGTCTCCAGCGAGACCTCAAGCCTGGTTCATGTCGAAAAAGAGACGTCAGCTCCAGGTCCAGAGGCGGACATCGACCACTCGCCACTCCCTAAAGTCAGGATCACGCTACTGCAGGGCCGCGCAAAGACCGACAAGACGCCACTATACATTATAGCCGATGGTACCGGCACCGTCGCATCATTCATTCACTTCCGGCCCTTTAAGTCTAAGCAGACAGTTTTTGGCATCGACTCACCCTACTACCGCTGTCCATCCCGCCTGACCAGCAAGGTTGGCATAAAGGGAGTAGCCAAGCTCATCGTTGATGAGCTGATTAAGAGGCATGATAAGGGACCCTTCCAAGTCGGCGGCTACTCGGCTGGTGCCCTCGTCGCCTATGAAGTCTCACGGCAACTGCGCACCGCTGGGCGTGACGTCGATGGTCTTCTACTAATCGACCTGTGTTGCCCACGGTCGCAGCGGAAGGACCAACAAACGCTGCTCGCCGAAGACCAATTCAGCTACGATGTCTTCGAGCAGGCTGTCAACAAAGACGGTCTTTGGAGTTCTATTGGCGATAGTCGCGAACACTTCCAAGCTTTCTTTGTTGTCATGAACGAGTATACCCCAGCCCCAATGACCGCCGCGGATAGGCCTGCTAAGACAGCTGTCGTCTGGGCTGAGAAGGGGCTTGTCAATCGTGTGTCAGACAATCCCGAGTTGATGGAGAAACTAGTGAGAGAAGAGAATGTCCCTACCAAGTCTTATCCAGGCTTTATGCAGGATCCAAAACTGGGCACGTTTGCGTGTCTTGTCCCCGACAAGGGCGACAATCTCGGCCCCAACGGCTGGGACAAGTTCACCGGTGGAGAAGTAATGGCTATGTCTGTGCCTGGAGATCACTTTGACCTGCCCATGCCTGGACATGTTCATCTTCTACAGGAGAATATGGAGAAGGCATTTACATATTTCGGCTCGAAGTAGGATATTAGATTTTTTGTAGTTATATTTGGTTTGAAATAGGAGTTGGATACCTCTCTCATGTTTGTATAGGACCAGGCGTTACTTAAATAGCCATTATCTCAAAACCATGCACAGCTTTCATACAATTCAAGACGTCCTTCCCTCCCTACCTTATACTTGTCAACGCAGCATGGTAAGTCCTAATTGCCAAACCAAGTGATAGTTGGATTGATTCGCACCAAGGAACCTAAGAAGTTCTCTCTAGGACCATGCTCTCGAGGGCATGATTGCAGAGGAGACCCGAGTGCGAGATAATACAAAGTCATGTCATTACCTCTTGACTCTATCCAAGCATGTGTGCGCCCCTGGAAGGCGTGTAGCCCTACGCTAAGCTTAATCAGGAACGATCATAGACTGTTAGCTTTCCCAATTTTTTTCTCACTACAATCCTATGACTTTACCATGAACAGCCAGCTCCTTCCCACACAACCATCGCAAGTATTTGGGTATCCCCCATCTTGTATTTCATCGATCACAAAACGTATTCTGTTGACTTTAAGCTCCTACTCTCCGAAGAGCAACAGCAATGGCCGTGAACCTGAAGCTGCATGTTTCAACCTTGTCAGTCAGCTGTCTACTCCGTTTGGGGCGGTCAATTGGTGGTTTGTAAAAGCCTGCACCTTGAACAGCCATGCTCATCATTCTGTCTCCATGGGATTACTATCGGTCTGCATGGCTTGCATAACCCCGAGTAAATTCGGGAAACCCTTTCCCGAGGTTTGTTTCTCAAGTCATGAACTGCCTATTCTCAAATTTATTGCACTTCCCTTGAGTGCCATAATTCACGGCAGGCAAATGCATAATAGCTAGCTGAGACCATCAGTTCGTCATGTTGACGGATCTAAGATAGAGTCTTATGTGGTGTCCAGCATGAGCCTATTCTGCACCATTTTTCCGGTGGCGTCCAACTTTCTCCTAGATACCTCTACATACTAGAAAATCGCTCACCGATCATGGAAAGGCAAGCTCCGCTGTATTCTCGCCGTACATCTTTTGGCTCGTTCACAGACGTGCTTTCCCGAAATACGAGTAAGCCCGTGGATTCCATGCACATCGCGTGTGGAAATGAGATCACGTTGCAGCATGAAGGCTGATCCAGGAACTTGGCGGCTGAAACCCGCTCATGTTAGAAAACTAGTATGACAAGCCAGGCTCAGAGAGCTACCTGCCCCAACTTGGTGAGCTGTCCATCACAAAACCCTCAACTCTACATGTGGAGCAAGCTATTTCACTTGTCACTGTACTCTAGCCGCTGTAGCACATAAGTAACCAAAATCATGGACATCATCATCGTTGGCGCTGGGATTGCCGGTCTGAGTGCTGGAGTTGGTCTGCGTAAGGCAGGGCATAAAGTGACGGTTGGCATCCTCTAAGGTGACAGGAAGGCTCGCTCCTGACGAGATGCCAGATTCTCGAACAATCATCATTAGCGCACGAAGTCGGAGCCGCCATCACTATCAAACCAAATGCGTCGCGGGTTCTTCGGTCGTGGGACTTTTCTCCAGAGGCATCTGGTATGGTCGCCATACGCAATGGGAGCCTGATTGATGGCACGAACATGAATGTGTTGATTCCAAGCTACTACAAAGACTGCGAATCGAATTATGGCGTGCCCATGTACTCCGTCCATCGCGAAGATCTTCACACCCAGATAAAAGTCCTGGCTACGCGCAAGGAGGGCGCCGGGCGCCCCTGTGATCTTCAGACACGGTCCAAAGCTGTTGAATATGTAAGCAAGTGAGAAAGACTGTGATTCGGCCTTGGGCTGGGAGGCTACTAACATGCCTCCACCAGGATGCAAAAAACGGCAAAGTAACGATGGAAAACGGTGAGGTCTTGCAGGCCGATCTCATAATTGCCGCAGATGGTGTGCATTCGAACGCTGTGCAGCATGTTCTCGATGACAATCAAGTTGTCCAATCTGGAGATACAGGATGGGCGTGTATGCGGTGGCTGGTTCCAAGAGATGACTTCCTCTCAGACCCAGAGACGGCCCACATGATTCGAGACTCATCAACAAGATACTTCACGGGATCTGAGGGCGCGGCTGGCTTGGTGTGGTACCCATGTCGAAAGTGCGTCGTACCGTCCCTTCAAAGATCTCTAGCAAGCTACTTACCAATCTGAAATATAGCAACGAGGTACAGAACTTCTTGTACCTCTCACGGGATTTTGATACCTCCCACATCGGAGAAGGTATGGATGAAACTTTCCCAATCCAACGAAAGACCAAGCGCTAAGATCGAGTGTAGATTTCCGAGCGAAGGTAGACTCAAGCCTGCCGCTGGAATATGCCGAGAGGCATTTTGCCCCGGAAGTGCAAACGATAGTCAAGTGAGTATGACTGTGACTTGTGCAGATGAATGCCTTACACTCGATACAGAAAAGCCCAAGAGGTGAAGATGTGGAAACTGATCGCCAGAGATCCGATTCCCAAATGGCATAAGGACCGCCTTGTCCTGATTGGCGACGCAGCTCACCCAATGCTCACCTGTAAGCTTTTCCCCCTTGTCATTCGGTTCTAAGAATTACTTGCTGACCCAGAAACAGTCCAAGGTCAAGGTGGTGGACAGGCGATCGAGGATGGTGCAGCCCTCGGCGTCCTATTCGACCAGCTTTCTGACAAAGCCGCCATCGAAGATCGACTGCAGCTGTTCGAGCAGGTTAGGCGAAACAGAGGCTCAGCACTCCAGATTCTCTCCGGTATCAATCCGCCAGCACCGCAATCTGTCCGCGATGCTGCCGCCGAATACCTTCCAGATGGCAAGAAGCTTGATTCCACCGACGAGATCAACGAGTACGTCTTTTCGTTCGATGTCATTCAGGAATCGAAGGCTGCGCTTGCTGCCGCGTAGAGAGGCTGTAAGAAGTTTCAAGTGGGAGGAGATTGGTCGATAGTGGTCATAGATAGCTCTGTGAGAATAGTTCGTCTCGTTGAACACGTCGTCTAGACACGCATTCGATGTAACTTTAGAAATATCAGCTTATCAGATCCATGGGTTTTCTTGCTCTATATCCTGTAATGGGCTCCCAGCGGTAACGGTTACGTATCCTTCCCACTATGATACCTTTGGCCTTGTTTGCCTGACACATCCATCATCCTTAGTCAAGGCGTGTAAAATATCCTCAAATGATCTACTGAGGGTACCCAAAAAAGGCTTGATTTCATGAGTAGAATAGCTTGTCAACTTATATAGAAGTGCGTTTAGCCAGCCTGATCCTTCTCTAGACCATACAATCATGGCATTCCAAAGCAATACATCCAAAGTTCAAGGTCCAGCACCGCACCCCCTAATCTGAAATCGCAATAACAGGGAATGTCTGAGCACTAGATTTCTGCTGCTAGTTCTTTCGAAGTAGTATCTCAAGAAAATTAATTAGCCAAAGCAGTCCCAAAGCTCCGACAGTCAAGGTGTTAAGCCTTCTGCACTGTCGGCAGGCAAACTAAATGTGCGCGTCACGAAGTAGGTCGGCGATTACAAGGGAGGCATAAGTGATATGAATATCTGATGAAATACTGTCATTTGAAGTAAGATGTGTAGAAGAAGATTAGATGAAGCGCGACATGTGTAGTAAGATAGGCTTTTACCGGTATGAGCCTGCAGGAACACTTCTAAATCCTACAAGTCAGCTTACCAGGGGCAAATGATCAACTTTCAAAGAAGAGTGCACCTTTGCAATCTTTTGTCAAATCATCAGTATCTGCGGCAAATGATCGACTTTCAAAGAAGAGTGCACCTTTGCAATCTTTTGTCAAATCATCAGTATCTGCGCGTTGATCTAGGCTAGGAGCCGTTCATCACAAAACAAGATGTACCTTGGGGGTAGAAAATGTCATATTAGATACCGAAGGATCTCTAATTTTGATTGCTCAAAAAGCTTCTACACCACATCTCCCACCCTCTCAAACCCTCAATCCATAGCTATTCACAAGCCTCACCATCCCATCCAAATGAGTGACTCCTACAAACAACCCAAGACCCCAGCCCCTAATAGTGCCCACTCGTCTGCAACTCAAACACATCGACCGACACCTTGCCAGAAGGATAAGTAGCCTCAAATTCGCCCACATAGTCGCCAAAAGCTAGATACTGGTATTTTGGCGAATCGGTGGAGAACGACATGCGCGCGAAGCCGTGGAGATGGGGCAGGTTGTAGTGGATGTTTCCATCGACTTTCAGGAGCATTGCTACTCCATCGGTTGTGTTTAGGGCGAAGGTGTTGACGTAGGTCTAGAGCACGTGATATGATATGATTAGCGGATACTCCTGAGGTAGGTGAGGAAGGAGATGGCGCAGTTTGGATTACTTACGCTTTCAGTCATAGGAGGAGCAGCAATGGGAAAGGTTTCGAATTCGGTACCGAGTTTGATGATTTTGCCCATTATGGCGCCGGTGAAGTTGCCTTGATTTTAATCAGTACAGTGAGTCCACTGGCGAAGTCGAGGGTGGTATGGCTTACCGCCTTGGTTGTTAGCTTGTCCGGTCATGATGCCATTGGTCTCGTTCACGTAGGTTGAGTCCTCCACTTTCAGGTCGATGTGAACGAATGGTTTGAGCATGGGAGGCTTCAATAGTGTGATATTTGACGACTGTGCGTAGGTGGATTGTGTCAGGAAAGCCAGAGCGGACAATGCCGCAATGGCAAGAGAGGCTGGGCTACGGAGCATCTTCGAAGTTGGGATGTGATTCCTGTTTCTAGGTGAAGAGTAGCGACAGATTTGTAGGCTGTGGGTTGGTTTTCTCTAAGTAACCTTCCAATGCTTTTGTAGTAGACTAGAGCTGAGTTTTGTTTCTGGGCAGGCATGGTTGGACTGTTCCCAAGTTGAGTAAGACAAAGCTAGTACCGGGAAGTTGAGAGTCGGGAGATCAAATGCAAGGTACCTGACGTCAACGTGGGTGCAAGGATGGCAGGCATCTTTTCGAGATCTGAATCCCCGAAAGCCGTATCTGCTTGGCTGACAGGGACCGGCAGGAAGACCAAAAAACGAAAACGAATGCTGCGACCTCCAAAATGGGGTCCCCGACCAAGCTCAATGAGACTATCATAATCGTTGGGAATATTCGTCAGGCTAGCACTGACAGTATCAAGGTCGAGAAGATCCTCGTTCTCTTATTGATCCTTTTCGGCTCCCCGTCACCAAAATCAACATCACCGAGGCGAAGATGTTGCACGAAGTCAACGTTTAGGGGTTTTCTAGCCGTGTTTCGTGTGTTTACACCTCTCGCTGATCGAGTCTAAGCAGATAATTTCCATTAATCGACGCTGTCATTTCCATGGTATGGCCAAATATTCAAAGACACCAGCCACACTTTCGGGGTTCGGTAAAAAGCTAATCCGGTCATTACCCCTTTTTTTTGGTACTACGCCCAAAGTAGCAAGCGCAGCCGAAGAGCACACAAGGTAATGTATCTGTAGCCTTGCCGCTGCATGCAAGTCTAACTTATGCGAGTCCACGCGCTTGTCAGTGAGGCCAGAGGTACAGTATTGCATGAGACCTATGAACAGTACGCAGGACCCGTTGCTTGGCTTTTGCCGAGTGCTAAATTACCAGCTGGATAAAGACTGACTTAATAATGGAGCACGTCAGACGTCGATAGGGATGGCTTAAGTGGAAGAGTCGTAGGAGCTATTGAAAAGGAACGTATTCAAAAGATTGTGCTGATAATACAATCGAGAAACTTCTCGCGTTTAGATTTTGGTCCCTCTTCCACAAGTACACATATGTTCATGTCATACCACACATGATCATAGCCCAAGCACCACCTCCACGATGGCCGCTGCACCCGATCCATGCACCTTCTTCACGTCCAACCTCTCGTCTGCCTCCCTGAATAGCGCCTGCCACTCATTTTGCGTTCGCTCCTTGGCCCCCAGCTCCACCATCATCATCATGTCCATCTGGTGCATGCCGCGCTCCTCATGTAGCGGCGTACCACTGTTGGGACCGGGGAGCACCCTTTCGCTGACAAGCATCGGCGTTCCTGGGGCGGCGGCCTCTAGTGCGGGCACTAGTGCACGGGCGATCTTTATGCAGTCGGCGTCGTTCCAGTTGTGATAGATGTGGCGGAGGAAGAACCCAGCTACGGGACCGCGAGCAGAAAGGCGTTCTGATGGCGGCTGCACCTGAAAGAAGTCGTGTTGCATTAGCTCGATGCGGCCGGCCACGGCAGGATCTTCCTTCGCGAGGATGCGCTTGCCCTCAGCAAGCATATCAGGCGAGTCTTGCACGAGGAAGTTGAGTTGTGGGAATCGCTGCGCGAGGGTGAGGGCGACGTGCCCGCTGCCGCCACCCACATCGACGATGGTGCCGTTGAGGGTTTCCCATGGGAACAGGTCAGCCATTGTGCTAGGTTTGCGGTCGACTGTGATTTCCTATCAGTCATTGCACTTTACAGATGCTGAAAGACATTGAGGAAGTTCTAAATTTACTCACCGCTCGCAACTCCAGCCATAGCCTTGGCGAATCGAGCAGCGTGCTCCGGGTTCTGGTCGTAGTAATCAAACATAGAGGCACCAAGGCGAGTATTGAAGGGGGAATGCGTGAGATCGGAGATCTGAGGCGACGCCTTGATGGTGTCGCTCGTCGAAGAGGCGGCCTTGAAGATCTCGTCCATTCCAAAATGCCCAGCACTCCTCAAGTTTTCGTCTCGTTTGAAGAGGACGCTGGTCAACGTGTGCGCGAACCAACCTTCCTTGATCTCTCTGAAAACGCGATGCGTGCACAGCATCCTCATTACCTGGCGCGTCCGACCCACGTCAATACCTGCCTGCCGTGCGACCTCCTCTAATGCGATGCCCTTTTCCGATTCAGGCACAATAGTGAAGAAGTTGAAATCGAATGCGACCTGAAAGGCAGCCAGATCGTTGCTGAAACAGATGAGGCTGCGTATCGTACGGCGTGGCCCGTTGACGAGCAGACGTAAATCGTCGAGCGAGGCCAAGAGGTGGCTCCGCAGGGCAGCTTGTTCTGGGGTCTCTGGTATGTCTGCTGAGTCGGGCGAAAAACTTGGGGCTGGGGCATTTTGGGAAGCGAGCAGCGTCTTGATGTTGGCCGCATCGTGGACAATGTCCAGTGCCAGGTTAAGAATGTCGGTAGAGGGGGAGAAGCCTCACTCTCATGGCTGATACCGTTTGATAACATGATTGTATCTATTCACTGGTAATCTGGCGTGCTGATATTCTGGTATGCTTGTGTGCTGAATTGGGCGTATAAAGTATCGTTTGTCTGAACTTTCCAATTTTCACTTATGACGGGGCGGTACCTAAGAAGACTAGAAAGACTTTTGAAGGCCCAGCTCCTGTGATGTTCTAAGTGCAAGCGATTGCTTGGGTAGCTGCGTCTTGAATTTGATTTCCCGGTCCTATCTCCTCGGACTTCAGGCTGACAGAGATTGAAAGCCCCCCTCAGGCTTCCCGACGGTATCATATTGGCCACCGCGTGCTGAAAACAGAATGAGGGAACAATTTCCACCAAAGGTTTGTTTCAAATGATTCCCTTGTTTTAAGCACCGGCCAAGACTGTGATCGTTAGCTGATTCCCGAACTGCATAATATGGATCCCCGATACACAGCCACATGTGGCGCTTCACAAATACGGAAGTGCAATGCGCGTATCGTTGTACTTGCAGGCCGACACATGGCATTCGCGTGCTGAAATGCCGGAGATAATTCGAATTGCGACTGTGAATCATCATCACTCTATTTCTCGGTTCCGGGGACCTGCATAGCTCACGTGATGTTTCACAGAGCTGGAAATCCTTATCCACCTCATCATCACTCTATTCCTCGGACCCGGGGACCTGCATAGTACAATGCAGGGCACCGTGCCACACGTGGCGCTTCGCAGAGCTGGAAGGACCGCAACCCTAGACCATCATCGTCGCTCTTCATTCCAGTTCCGGAAACCTGGGATAATGCCAGGCATCAAGCCATCATGTGGCGCTTTCTCTGAAAGGATCGCGATCCTGCATCATCCTCACTCCATATACTAGGTCCGGCGACAGGGGACGACGCTAGACACTAGGCCACAAGTAGCGTTTCGTAGAGCAAGAACAGCTGCGACCCTAGATCATGATCACTCTATGTCCTAGTTCCGGTGACACGGGACAAGGCTAGGTACTAGGCCGAAAGTGGCGCCTCGTAGAGCAAGAAGAATTGCGACCCTAGATCATTGTCACTCTGTATCTCATTCCCGAGGACAGGGGGCAACGCCAGGTAACGCACCAGAGACTTAAAGGAACCCACAATGCCCAACCTGCTGTTTTTCCCTGTTTTGAGGCCACTGTCACTAGCAAATTATAGCCATGACATACTCTTTCCTCTCGCTGCTCACGCTCGCAGCAGCAGGCGTCTCGGCTGTCTCGGTAGGTCGTTTTCCCAGGACAACCAGCGAAGGCAGAGAACTTGCGACTCGCGACACCAGCGGATTGAGCCCTGGATGCCAGAATTCCCCCAATTCTCGCAAATGCTGGGGCAAGTACGACATTAACACCAACTACTATGACGAGGTCTTTCACACAGGCAAAACAGTCGAGTACTGGCTCAATATCGAGGAGATCGACTGCCATCCGGATGGGTACAAGCGAAAATGCCAGGTCGCCAACGGGACAATGCCTGGTCCAGCAATCACAGCGGACTGGGGCGACGACGTCGTTGTCCACGTAACTAACAACCTCCCAATCAATGGCACGGCTATACATTGGCACGGGATCCGCCAGCTCAATACCAATGAGTACGATGGGACTCCTGGCGTCTCTCAATGTCCTATACCCCCCGGAGATAGCATGACGTACAAGTTCCACGCCAGCCAATACGGCACTTCGATGTGGCATAGCCATTTCGCTATCCAGTATAGCATGGGGTTGCATGGACCCCTGAACATCAACGGCCCGGCAACGGCTGACTATGACGAGGACCTTGATACCATCTTCATGACAGACTGGGGCCATGAGACTGAGTTTGCAACATGGGCGAGTGTCGCCACCTTCAATGTCACATTTGATGGCGCGCTCACCGGAATAATCAACGGCCAAAATACAGGAAATTGCACGGCGACCAATGCCACCAAGCCAGATCCAAACTGTATCGATGGGGGTCATAAATATGAACTTAACTTCGAGCCGGGCAAAAAATACCGCCTCCGGCTCATCAATATCGCCACCGAGGCATGGTTCCAGTTCAGTATCGACGGGCACAAAATGACCGTCATAGCAATGGACTTGGTGCCGATTGTGCCGTATGAGACAAACAACGTGCTGGTCAATATGGGCCAGCGGTACGATGTCATCGTCGAGGCGAATGCGCCCCCGGGCGACTACTGGCTTCGCAGTGGTTTCGTCAAATCCTGCATACCTAACGGCGCCCCAGAAAACATCACAGGTATTGTCAGATACAACAAAGATAGCACCGTCGAACCTACAAGTACAAGTGACGTGAAGCGGATTGGATACTGCATGGATGAGCCTACCGCAAGCCTAGTGCCGTGGGTGCCGGTTGACGTGAAGAATATTGATGGGAACATCATATCCGAGAACGTCACCGGGGAGTACTTCCAAGGCAAGTTCCTCAGATGGTCGTTCAACAAGGCCGATGGCGGTTTCATGTGGACGAACTGGTCGCAACCGGCGCTAGGAGATGTCGTATCTGGGAACATAGCTGGTATTCCAAAGGGCGACAACGCTTTCCCGATCGGGGTAAGTGAAAGCCATCTGTGATGAAACCACTTCACGGGGCCCAAATACTGACGCGGACTGCTAGGCTTTGACCAATGCCACAGCAGCCAAGTTCAAGGATGGCAAACAGTGGGGCGTTCTCGTACTCGAAGATATCACGCGTATTCCAGGGTAAGTGCACTTGTCGCTCAATCTGTCACGTCCTCTGCTAATCATTCCTGCCACACAGTATCACTCATCCCATGCATCTCCATGGTCACGACTTCGTCGTGCTATCATCTGGTCTCGGTCTGTGGGACGAATCGACCGTTGGCTGGCAGTTGAAGAACCCAGAGCGCCGCGACACTATTACTATGCCGCCTAATGGCTTCATCGTCATGGCGTGGGCACTTGACAACCCAGGTATCTGGGCCCTCCATTGCCACATTCCCTGGCATAGCAGCCAAGGCTTTTCAGCAACGGTCTTGGAGTCGCCGGCTCTGATTCCAGGAAGCGGAGCCACGAAAGACTGGGACACGGTCTTCGCACCACAGTGCAAGAAGTGGAATGACTATTACCCAACTTCAACATACAAACAGGACGACTCCGGTGTTTAGGTTCGCATAAGCGGGATTTTCAAGTTGTATATTACCTTTTTGTGAGCGCATCAGAGTCCGGGCTACAGACTGAGCTATATTGGACGCCGTTTGTTTTGCGGGTATCGAGTGATGTCCCTTGGAGACATGTCATAGATAGGACAAGACACTCCCAAAGAAAATATGAATGAAAAACGTGGTTAATTACTCTTGAAGCAGCTTCTCCGTCCCATTCCATTTTTGCCAGTGCGTCATCGGATGTTGTCATAGAAAGGGTTGGAAGCTGAGGTACACAAACCAAAGCTTATGTTGAAAGCAATCCGAGTAAAATCATCGAGCTCTTAGTGAAGCCGCGAACCAGCAGAGGAAATATTGTGCCTGACTTTGTTAAATTCCCGGCGATTCACTTGTAAGCGTCATAGATCATCTAGTAGAGAGCCAGCACCGGTATCAACACGGTTTCAGGCAGCTGAGGCAAAAGCCTGTTCCTCATTCTCATTGAAGGTCAATATTCGTGTTTGGTTCGCGTAGGAAGGGATGGTTTTTAATTATCGAAAGAATTCTTCAGTAAGTAGCAGCGGCGGAGCGGAACAACTAGTATCCGGTGTCCTTCTCTCGCAGGTATGAAAGTATTAAAACGGAGAGACGTGCGATGTGGTGATAGGAAATGGTTTATATTTCTGGAGCAATCACATCGCTATGAACAAACAAAGATGAATAAGACCCGCCCAATTCTCTTGCGTGAGGGTACATACTCCTGAATCGTACACCTATGCAATATTGAAGTCTCTAATATGATTCTCATTTCCAGTCCATCTGCCATTTCCGAGAAGATTACCGGGCCTCCGGCTTCAACTGCCCTCCTTCTACACTTTGGATTCATTCTTCTCTCTGCTATTTCGTTGGAGCGGTGCTTTGAAAGACCTTTTCTCTCTTCATGAAGGCCGAGCAGATGAGAGTTGTGGCTCCACCCACAATAACAAGAACGTAAGCATTCCCAATGGCTTTGACAATCCCTTCCAGAACGTTGCCCCTGATCTGTGAAGTCAACTGTTCGAACAGCGTACCTGAAGCTCCAGCCACCACGGCTTCAACCTGGTCGTTTGTGTAGCCAAGACCATCGAGCGCGTGTCTGACATTCTTTAAAGCGAATGTTTGGAATAAGCGTCCTGCAATTGTTAAAGCAATTGTCGTACCGCCTAGTTGTGCCATGTTGATGAATCGAATGGCTGCTGGTTGCTTGTGAATGGGAAGCTTAGCCTGTGCGATAGAATATCCGAGCTGTAAGCTGCCTCCTGCACCAATAGCAACCAGTATGCTGTAAGCATACACAGCCCCGGCGCTTGTGGTATTCTTCACCGTGTACATAAGAGCTCCACCCGTGGTACCCATAACACCGCTAAGGACATACCATGGCATGTAAAAGCCAGTTCTAGGCATAATCCCGCCGCTTGTCATAGTAGTAAAAACACCAACGAGGACGAAAGGTAGAAGACGAACAGCGGCCTTGATAGGTTCGTCCCCGCGAGTGAACTGGAAGTGAATTGGTATATAGTAAACCGGGATGAACAGCATTGTCGAAGTTGCGGCAGTACAAACGAATAGTAAGACTATTGTTCTGCTATAGAGTAGATCCACCGGAAAAATTCGTCGTTCTGGACTCGTCGTGAGAGAGAATGCTTGTTGTAGAATAAAGATTACCACGAGAGAACCGCAAAGAGTGAGAGATATCGTGGTACTAGGATCATCCCACGCCCATGATCCTTCGGCAAGGGTCAAAGGAACGATAAACATCGCAAATATGCCCGCCAAAAGGAAAGTCCCAAGACTGTCGACTTCTCGAATCTTCTTCAGTGTGGAGACGCCTGGTGCCGGTTGAATTGAGGGTAGAGAGAACAGATAAGTAGGACCACTCAGTGCCGCAACGACTAGATTGATATAGAAAGCCTGCGATATTATTAGCGAATGAAGTCCGACTGCATAAAATCATTGGCAGTTCTTACCCATCTCCAGGTAGCAGAGCTCTTTGCAAAAGCTCCACCAACAACAGGTCCCAGAATGGCGCCAACACCCCAACAAAGGCCGGCTCCAGCAACGTACATAGGCCGTTCTTTGAGCGACGTAAGGCTTGCAAATATGTTCAAGTTCCTAGATACAATCAGAAGAAGCACAAGGATTATTTATGGCACAGATTTACCCTAGGTAGAGACCTGAACCACCAATACCAGCGATAACTCTACCAATGATGAGGGAGTCCATGTCTGGGGAACCGCCGCAGAGAGCGCTCCCTGCCTCAAAAAGAGCGAAGCTGATAATATACAACCATTTAGAATCGAAGGATTCGTACATGACTCCGAGGGGCAGAATGATGGCGACGGAGCCAAGAGGGAATGCAGCTCCAATCCATGTCAACTTTTCAATGTGACCGAAATCTTGCACGATGGGAACCTGTACGTCTGCTACGATTGTTGTGTCGAGGCCGTAGAGAAGAGTGGCCGAGTACAAGGCCGAGCATGTTAGGATCCATCGGAAGGTGCCCATGTTTCGAGGTATCTCATCTGGATCGGAGCTTGCCAGTTTCTCGGTGCTGTAGTTTCTCTCATCCCCAGAAGGCCTGTAGTTCCCCTCATCCCCTGAAGACAACGACAGCTCTATGTCTCGACTCGCGCCGAAGCTGAGTTGTGAGTGCGAGGCCATCGTGTATGGAAGAAGATTCGCAAACAGAAATCTCGAGGAAGGGAAGCAAAACTAGTGATCAAAAGTGGAAGTTGAGTATGACAGCAAAGAGGCAGCAAACTTCCAGGCCTCGTGGCATGAATACATATAGATGTGACAAGCTCAGACAGGGACATCTTATGACGTCCAAGGCTTCTAACAGACGAGACCACCCACACATGAGTTATACGATGTGTGGACCTTCGCCCCTACACGTGCCCGCCGGACGTATTGTCTTACCGATCGCAGCCAATTGAGTGACTCATTTCTGGATCACATAATCCATCTAGGAGGTCCCCAATTCTTTATATGTCGGTGACTGCAGAGTTCGAGGGCGGCTCTGTTTCAAGACCGCATGACCGATGGTGGCAATCATATTGTTGAGGAATAAGCGCGCCCAACATCACAGCAGAAAGCAGCCTCATGATGCCCACCTGCCTAACTGAAGGCTTAGAAATGGCAACGTGATCCCCTAAACCTCGGGCAAACACGCTTGACGCCCTGCCAGATGCGTCATCGTCGGGGAGCCGTCGGGGAGCCTTCGGGGAGCCACCGAGGTTCACCATGGATTGAGAGCATGTATAGGGCGGTACAATCAGACGATGCGGCCGCATAGAGAGTGGAGCCCGAGGTTGCATAGAAGTCTGATGTAGAAAAACAATGTCAGTCTTACATACCTATCCTTTTCCACGTGTGCGGGAGGTCCGACCCTGACTTCTGACTTTAGCTCCCGTGCCGCTAAGCAGCTCCTGGTTAGCGCGCCGAGGCATTATATTTCTGTCTAAATCCGTCGTAGCGGATCAAATTTCGTAAGTCTCTTTTGACCGGTGAGGCGCATTGTCCCTTGGAATCTCAGCATGTTTGACTGCTGTATGGTCGTGAAAGACTAGTCGGAGGCTTGGTCGGCTCGGAATTGTCGTAAAGATGACTTCTCTACCAAGCCCCTGAGTTGTTCGCGTGTTCGTAAATGAGCATGGTGGATGGACTGAGTGGATGAGATCGGTGCAAATCGCTGATTAGAAAGCCTTAGAGCATGCGTACGGCTAGCCTCCATGAAACACATCGTTTCCTACCATGCAGCCTATCTGTTCTTTAGATGTCAATCCATAAGCGCAATAGGGAGTAGCGAAGAAGTGTAGGCTCGCGAGCGTTGATATCGTACCACCGAGTTTATAGATTCACCATTGAGTACATATTTGAGTCTTGTAGACTCCTTGCCTTGTTCGCTTGTATCTCCCCGCAAAGCAAAGTCATGCAGCAAGCGTTTGCAACATCGGTTGGATAGTTCTCTTAAGACGGTTGATAATTGGCGGCCTCCACACTAGAACTATCCACTCGCGGATTTGACTTGCACACATACTACCCGCTCTTCCCACGCCTTTCACTTGCACCAACCACGCAATAATGATCACTCCAACAAGTAATCCCATAAGTTCACAATTAATTCTCCACCGCATTATCCCTGTCCACCCACTATGACAGCCCCCCGCAAAGTCTGGCCCCAATACCCCACCAGCACCTCCGCCCCCTCTTCCACCCCACCTTCCTCGTCCACTGCTCTCCCCACTCTCCGCACCGTTGCGCCCTCCACTCCCTCAACCCGCCTCCAAAACCTCGTCTGTATAATAACCGGTGCTTCCTCTCCCCTCGGCATCGGCCGCGCCACAGCCCACCAATTCGTCCTCGCCGGTGCCAGGGCAATCTACATATGCGACTTCAACGCTCCCCAAAACCTATCCTCCCTACAAGCCGAACTCGAGTCTCTCCCCTCTTTCCTAACTATACCTTCCTCCCCTAATGCGTCGAAAACGCGGCGACCAGAAATCCACACACGCCTCTTCGACGCCGCGGACGAAGCCGCCGTGAAAGCCGTAGTAAATGATGCGATAGAGCGGTACGGGCGCCTCGACGTCTTCTTCGCCAACGCAGGTATCGTGGGAACGCATAAACTCTTCACCTCCATCTCCTCCTCCGAATTCCTATCAACACTACGCACGAACGTGCTCTCCGTGTTCCTGGCGATGAAATATGCAGCGCCTGCTATGCGGCTCAAATCTTCCCACAAGACGGAGCCGGGCGGGAGCATCATCGCGACTTCCTCGGTAGCGGGATTGAGGTCGAACGCCGGGTCGACGGATTATTCAGCTAGCAAAGCGGCTGTGCTGTCGCTCGTGCAGAGTACGTGCTATCAGCTCGCGGGGTCGGGGGTCAGAGTCAATGCGATATTGCCTGGCTTGATAGAGACGGGGATGACGGCGCTGGTGTTTGAGGGGGCAAGGAAGAGGGGGACTGAGGCGAAGGTGGGACAGTTGAATCCGATGGGGAGAGCAGGCGTTGCTGATGAGGTGGCGCGGGTGGCGATGTTTTTGGCGAGTGCGGAGAGTAGTTATGTTAATGGGCAGGGCTGGGCGGTCGATGGGGGCTTGAGCGCGGGCTTACCTTGGGTGAGGGGGAAGTTGGCTTGATGAAAGGGGGAAGGGGGATTTGGTTGGGAGGGTGTTGGTGGGTATAGCGTTTTTGTCAACTCGTGGTATGTAAAAAGTTTAGCACAGGATGGAGTCATCCTTCGGCTCGACTCATCGAGCTTTCATGTCCTTGCCCAATACCTCTAACAACTTCTTCTCATCTAGTTTCTCGATTCTCGCTGTAGCATCCTGCGTTCCGTTGCTTGTGCCATTTGTCTCCTCCCCCTCGTTTCCGCCGGCCTCTTCCACGATCTCCCCCTCGTCTACTTCTGCAAGCATCTCTTTGCGAGCGTTCTCGAAGAATTGTCGCTCGCTGAGGAAGCCTTCGGGTAGTGGAGCATTGGAAGCTTGATTGAGGACGTAGATTGTGGGGTATTCGAGAACGAGACGTGTACGGAGGCCTGAGGAGAGGAAGAACTCGGGTTCCAAGAGCGCGACGATTGTTTGGCGTGATGGAAGTGTTGGGGTGTGCAGATGAAAAGAGATGTTGGGGTCAGGGTTGGGCGGGCTTACTGGACTCGTTTGGTTGTTGGTAGTCGGAGATGAAGGCAAATTGTCCTTCAGACATTCAGATCGAGGAGCAGAATCTTCTCTTTGGTCTTTAACGTCAGTGGCACCAGAGCGGTCGCCATCAGCTGCACATTGCCCTTTGCTTGGCGAATCTTCATGCTCCGTCATCGTCTTTCGTTTCTTGGTCTTCCTCTCCCTGGGCTTAGGATTGACGATAGCTTGATAGCATTGGTACAAAGGGGTGTTATCCAGGCATTGCACTAGCTCCTTTCTCCCATCAGGGTGCACCCATTCCACTGTCCACTCGAGGCACTTATGTTGCTTTACCCATTTTGTGCGATTGGTCTTGCTCCTGTGCATGCCCTTGGGTGCCTTCGCGACAATGATCTCACTGCGTTCGAGAGTAGCGTTCAACGGTACCTCTCCCTTTGCAGGCCCGCTTCTCTTCTGGTCTGACGGCTCGTCTAGAATTATGCCTCGCACACTAGCCTCTCTCTCTGCTTTGTCGAATTCTCGCTCTATACTTGTGAGATAATTGTAGTCATGGTCGATTCCAGCGGGTGTGACAAGATTGGAATGCTTGATGTAAGCTGCTGGATCGCGTACGCCACTGCATTGCGCCCAGAGCTTGTGACGTTTGACGCATGGAAGGGAGCAGGTGAGGATTTTGCACCTAGGGCAACAGTATCTGTGTGGTCTAATGTGACTAATCGTTGTTAGATCAACTTCGATGCACATCATATATTCCGTCTTACCAAATAGAGCAAAGAGAGGAGAGAAGGGAGTCAGGCTCAGTCATTGAAGCATGTTGCACCTTTTTGCCTTCTCCTATCGAATTATCTGGAGTATTATTCTTTCAAGACAGTGTTCAGGGTCTTTCGTGTGACAGTAGACACCCTGGCATCCTGATCTAGAGGACTACTCTACGATTGAGTATGAACCAGCTTGATATGCAAATTATGAAAACTCGGGCACCTTATCGATAAAGCCCGATGCCAAGCTTTTCAGCATTTCGTCAAAGGTCCGATGGAACAGGGATCGACTCGGTCTGTTCCTCTCGATCGTCAGTGTCAGAAAGTCTCAAACTTGTCTCGTGATCTCGCATAATGCTAAGCTTTATGTGTGAAACTCAATTGGATCGAATTCGATGAAAAGCTTCGTCTTCTTACGGCAATTTGCGCGATTTGTTGACCGATCTTGGGAGTCCGATGACGCACTTTAGCTGCGCTAATTAACGCGGTCCCGGTGGACGAGGGTTGAGGGTGGGTATATAACCTCCTTCCCGATTACCTCCTGCCACACGACTTTCTAGGGGAAAAAGAGAGGAACACTCATACGTCTTTACGTGATATCGTTGCAACAAGAAGGATATTTGTCTCTGCGGGTTTGGCTCGTGATGGAGCTTCTTCAAAATGTTGGGCATGCGTATCTGGAGAAAAAGGCATTCGCAGCACCTCAGATGCTAGAGGATATTGCCAAAAAACAATTCTCAAAACCCCGCAAGTCCGGTAAGAAGCAGCAGTCGAGTAAAAAATTCGTGAGTCCCGCCGTAGGTGAGGAGGAGGACGAAATTGTTGCGCACACCGAGAAGAAACATTCAGCATCAAAAGCCGATAGTAAAGCTGCCGAAATTGCCAATGTGAGAAGTCAATTGGACCATTTTTCATTTGATCATGGAGAAAATACAAGCCAGCTAGGTCGGAAGCCTTCAAAGCATTCGTCGCCCTCGGAAGCGGCCAGTCATCGGAGCAGGAATGTGAGGCTTTCAAGGTCTGAGGAAAGGGCGCCCTCTGTGGCTACCATCAGGGAAATTCACCCGCCATCTCGAGCACATACAGTCTTAGTATCGGAACATAGCCATTCGCATGCAGCATCCAAGATCAGCCACAGTCATGCACCATCCCATGCAGCCCCTCATAGTGGGAGTCTGCACAAGTCAGCAGCACCAAGCAACGCAAGTGTCGCAAACACCCTTAGAGGTCGAATTCCGAGTACAGCCAACGAGGTGATCGAAGTATCCATCGCCGCATCTGAGCATGGGAGCCATCACGTACCCTCTCATTCGCCTTCTGTAGCCAGTAGTCATCGCACCTCCCATACAAGAGCTCGGTCTGCTCATGAAAGCGAACATCGACGAAGCCACGCACCATCCCACGCGGCCTCTCACCATACTTTGCAAAGCAGGAGGCGATCTAGTCACGAAGACATCGTGATAGGGAGTGGACTAGTCCATAGCTATGCCCCTTCTCATGCTCCATCTCGCGCTCCTTCTCATCGCAGTCATCATACCTCTCACACCGCGGCACGATCTAGCCACGCAGGAACAATCAAAGCCGGAAGCGAGCACGATCGAAGTCATGCCCCGTCCCATGTCGCGTCTCACGCGCCTTCCCACGCGCCGTCTCACCATACTCACCACACTTCGCATTCGAGGTCTACCGCAAAACCTTCTTCCCATCACGCTCATAGTATCCGCGACGACGTCTCAATCTACCCCGAATCCAGCATATCCTGTCGCGATGACTCTGACGATGATGTGCAAAGTCATCATGGAGGAAGTGCAGCTCTGCTCCACCAACGCCAGAAATATAGGCGACGATGTTCATTGGGCGTCGTACCTGAGCTACCACCACTTGAATCCCGAGACGAGATTGTAGGTGGTGGTTTCAAACCGCACAGGGCGGAGTACGCGGAGGTCTTTGAAGAGGATGATTCTCGAATGATTCTTGCGCCACACGTCAAGGAAATAAGGAGACACGAGCGACAATGGGATGACCATAAGAGTGTGGTCGAGATCAGTCGGGAGGAAAATGGGAGGCGTTTATATAAGGTTCGGTGACATAACAATGTCAAGTGAGGAAGGTCTGCAAAGTCTAGCTAGGGGCATGGAACCAAATCGAGTGAGTGCCTGAATGCGGTTTCTTTGTGTAGTGAGTCTCTGTACTTGCACGATTTAATGAAATTGGTTTTCATTGTTTTCTCCCGATATTTATCTACCTTTTTAGCTCCGCTCTTTGTGCTACCCACTCCTGGAAACAGAGAGTCGTCAACTATAATATCATTGCGCTGTCAGTTTCTAAAGAAACTTTCCCGGCTTACTCCCAATCGCAATCTCTTCAAGACCTTCTAAGCAAGATCATGCGCCATGGGCCTTCCATTTCGACGCATCAGAGAGTTTTCCAGCATCTCTACGATCACTCCATTTCCAATCATCAGCAGCTTCGATCTCGTCATCATATAATTTACGACCAGCCCTATCACCAGTGAACATCAGCCTAGGCCTCTCCCAAATTTCGCCGTAGCTCATACTTACGCCTTACAATTCCGACAATAATGACGCGAACGCTTGCCCTTCCTACCCGAGAAATTAGCAGGAGACCGACAAGAAAATAGCGCAACAAAATCGGGTATCTTACCCTTCGTCTTTGTGGTCGAGGTTGAAACCTGAACACTCAGGCCAACCCCTACGTTTAACGTCCTTACAATATTCGATGCCCACGACTGTCCATGCGTGGCCGCAGCGCGTTGGCCGGTGGATTTCCTGGCACATGTGGAATGTCTGCTCACAAGGTTTTTTTTTCTTTGCAACCCTCCTTTTCAATGCCAACGTATGGCCTTTCCCGGGCGTTTTCGTCAGAGATGTACGCGAGACTACTGATATGAAAAAGCTGAGAAGAGGAACATCTTTCTTTATGTGCCTCTGTGATGTCCACTTTAGTGTCATAGTTCTCATTGTTTGCTGTCACCGAGATATGGGTCGAGGGGTGGCGTATTGCTCCACTGCTATTGTTCGTCCTGTCTATTGATATCAGGAGCTTTTGTGCGTTCTTTGGCGAACAGATCACAAGCCTAGATATGGGAAGAATCTTTCTGTAGAGCCTCTTGACTGCAGCATTGCGAACAAGGACCAGTCTGTATCGCATTCTGCATCCAATCCAATGGCATTCCAGCTTCTACAATTGGCTACGAAAAGAACAGCAATCACAGTTGCCACGGCACTGCCTCAAGGGGCGTTGCAAGGTGTATTGAAAGGTCATAATAGAAAGACAAATCTGTTAAAAAGGTGAAGTCGTTTGTTGATATCATCACATCTGCATTTGCCAATTCTGATACTCAGCTTATTGCTTTCGATCTCCCCCTCATAATCTCAGCACCATCCAAGATTTGTGTCCAAGAAAGCATACTCTTGCAAACCCTACAGACTCTAAGCCTCTCGCATGTTCATTTAGTTCCAATATCCTCATTGATCCGCAAGTCTCTTGTATCTGCTCCTCCTTAAAGAAAGTCTTATGCCCCGTAGTAATGTTGACTGCCTCCACACTCCCTAGGCCAAAGCCATACGTTTCAATGAGTCCAGCGGGATCCTCGAGCAAGTCTTCCAGATTCTCGAAGGCGGCGTTGCTCTCGATTCCTAGCATCCCGCAATTCCTGGGCACTCAAGACGCGGCCCATTCTATTGATTTGATTAGAAACAGGTCTGTTCTCAATGTAAAACATCGCGAAGAATACTTACGACTGACAGTAGCGACAAAGATGATTGAGGCGTCCCGGCTCTCTGGAGGAGAGGTCAGCCTAGCACTCACTGCAAAGAAAGCCACAGAATGATGGGAATCCTTACATTACGTCTTGATCCATTCGGGAGCACTCAGCTTCCCCCTACGTCGAGCATTTGCACAACGCTCGGTGCGCACGAAGTCGGTCCCGTGGCCACAGCGAACCTCGCGGAGTATATCGCGGCACATGTCGATAGATCGGTTTGCGAGACCTTTGATTTTAGATGACGGGTGGGTTGATAGCAAAAGCAAAGATGTAATCGATGTTTAGAGAGCTGCTTGATGATTTTGGAAGAGAACAAGACGAGCAGACAAAGGACCTGATTTAAATACCCAGTTGGTGGCAATGAGCTACTAGATGACACAAGGTCTTTGTTACTGAGTCACGACATCTCAGGTGGTATATCGTGTTCAAAAGAGTTCCTATCCCCGTTCCTTCCTTTGGTGTCAGGAGCCTGCAAGTGTTTGCCTCATGGCATGTTACCGGCGTACAAGTGGGAAAGGTCGAAAAGAGCCTATCTCATCTCGATAGTGGCAAGACCGCTCCACACCGTGCGGACGCCAGAGTCAGTGTTTTGGTACTGAACCCAAGATCCTAGCTCTCATGGTGTGTGTTCCTGTCAGATGCCTTGGCCGGTGAGTAGAGATTCCCTGACGTAGAGAACTCCTTTGCGAACAATGACTGTGGTGCTCTACACAGACAACTGGCTTCATTGGCCATCTGACGATGGCTATCCACGGGCAGGCGACCAGGTTTGCCACGATATCGCCACCATGTTGTTGTACAAGGTCAGGCCAGGCAATCCAAATTCTTGGGTCATTTGATAGAAAATAGATAGGGCGAGAGACCTTCAATTGGTGTTCACCAATATCACGTCATTTTGTCATGCTCGAACAGGCTATGATCGACTCATTTTCTCATCGTGGATAGCATTGCGTAAACAACAGCTCTACCAACCTCCGGCGCTCATTCGTGGTACATCGAGAAATGGAAAAATGGCTGTTTGAGATGAAATAAGAAATCCGAGACTTGCATACATTTGAGGATGAGAAAACTTGGCCGAAGGAAAGGGACCAGTGGTCGAGTAGAGAGAGACCTAGATGATACAGAGAAACACAGCGGTCTTTGAACTGTCTCAGTGCCTCTACAAACGATCTCTTTTTCACCATTCATACTCGCGTGCCTGGCATAGCACCGTCTGCTTTCACGCTTTTCCTCCTCTTGTGCAACACAATGTGGGCTTCA